AAGAGACGTGACGGAAAAACGCGTGTTCCATTACTAGGTTGGTTCATTACGTGGTGCCCAGACTTAGCATTTCAGGCTATCCCGATGCATGTCAAACTACTTTATACTAACCAAGTTTTCTCATGCAGCCTGTTCTATGCAGACAATTAATGCTATGGACGACGAGGCAGGATGTGTGTGACCATGCCGTCATGTCGGTCCAGTCTGACGCAGAACAATGAGGCGTGTCTTGCAGCTCCATTCCACTACCTAGTGGGTATGTAAAGGGATGCTTACAGATCGCCATTGTGGTAATATACTGTCCTGAGAATGTTCGTCAGTATTCGATTTGGAGCTCTCACAGCTGTGAGAATATCTGACGAGCACTTGCCGAAGCCCATCTTGCCTGTGTTGCATAACATGGCCAGAGAGCTAAACACCGAGCTCTTCATCACAATAAGTCAGTAATGCTGTCTGGTGACGATGAGAACCTTACGTCTTGCCTATGCCCCGCCCTGTCGGCATGTTCTGTTGGAAATATGTGGTCTTCCTTGTTAACATCCAGAGTTGTGCAAGCATTGCAGGTTATCAACAGCCTTGCATGGGCTCACCTACAACGAAGCTTCCAAGGCATGGATTATGAATACCAGTATCGCTTGACACACCTTATTCGGAGGATGCTGTCTTTTCTGTCCTAGGAAATGACTGGACCGTTACAGGGAGATGCCATACGATGCTGTCAGACATGTGAAGATGAGAGACAACCTTCTGGTGATATGAAATGATCAAAAGGCTGCGCGTCTTGAGCAAAGCAAAGGTGCTGAGGATCTCCCTGACCAATGCAATGCTGCTGACCCATGGCGCTGCAGAAGAGGATGTCTGAGATGTGCACATTGCTTTTGTATGAGCGGCCTGGTAACCGAGAAAATGGCGCCAATCGCATTGATGTCTTGAGACATATTGGACTCAAAGACAAAGGAGCTGGGTACAGCTTGCGTTGAACAGGATCGAAACGTGCGCGAGAAGACCACATGGATCTCTACGGGCAAGCTGAAGAAATTCGTGCACAGATAGTGTATCTAGGAGCACAACGAGGTGTTCAGCCCTGGTCTTGTGCGAATGATCAGAGATCACTTGGATGGAAAGAAGTGCTGCCCTCGGAGGAGTCAAGGCAAACCATCACTCGTGTGAATGATCTCTCGGCGTTTTACTAGGTTGTTATCTTGGTTTGAGTCATTCCAGCTTGTTGTGCTGCTATATCTCTACAAGCAGAGCTCGTCAAGGCATATGCATGTCCTTGGATCGAGCGCCATTCCTCGCTTCTGGTGCGAGATTTCTTTCAATACTGGATAATATCTAGAAGGAGTATCATTTGTGAAGACTAGGTCCACTGAATCCAGGGTAGGGCAACGACATCATAGCAACGACATCATCTCGTCACCCTTAGTGCCAAATTTGTTGTTGTTGTTGTTGTCGTTCCTTCCTCTGCCTATAAGTACCTCCTTCCTCTTCTTCTCCCGCTCAATCGATTCTTCTCTTTTTTCCCACACACATCGGGTCTTTCAACTGGCTTTCTTCAGTCAGTCTCAAGGGTCTTTCTTCTCTTCTCTTCCTCAGTCTCTCACTTGTTGGTCCTCGCCGCTACCTGTTATCGTCAGTGGCAGACACGTACTAGCAAACTCTCAAGGCAAGTCAAAGATCCACAGCACAAACCCTTCAAGATCCCAGATCTTTCTCTCACGTTCCTCAATTTCCTTTTCATCATCGTCATCCTCACTCCTTCATCATCTTCTGTGCCTCTGTGTTGTTGTAGTGACACCAAATTCCTTGCCCTCAAGGCTTTTGCCCACCAATTGTGTCTCTCACACCTTGTCATCATCACAGACTGTCATCATCAAAGCGTGTGATCATCACACATTGTCATCCTCAAAGGTTGTTATCTTCCGAGGTTGTCATCATCACAGCCTGACATCCCCTTGGACGTTATCTGAGGGTTTCTTCTCTTATCCATCCCTCCCCTTCACCTCAATTGTACTGCCTATCATCCTTGCCTGGCGATTCTCAAGCTCTTGATTCAATCTGACATTGCAATCCTTCTAGCATGACCGACCTCTCTGTTAATGGGTTGGCTGAGCCTCTTCCCGACATTACCAATGGCAATCACCTCGGTTATCGTTCTGGCCGTATGAATGAGGCAGCCTTGAAGGTTGCTTCTGAACACGGCTGGGTCGCCCCCAAGTCATACAAGTACGATGCTGATCAAGCCACCACCGAGACTCCTGCCTCCAATGGTGACGGTCTCGACAGTGGCGAGAACAAGGATGACAATGCCACTGTTGAGACTGGTGCTACTTCTCGTGCCTCAAAGTTTGCACCTGGAAATTGGGCTCATGATGCTGGTCGTTACGAGTGGAAGGAGGAGTATGGTGATGTCGGCCCTCGCAGTGAGAAGTTGGAAGAAGAACTTTTCAATTCCAAATTCATCAATCGGGCTGGTGGAAACTTCAAGAAGTAACATCCGACTTTTGCTCCCAAGGTATCTGCATCAGCTAACCCACATAGCCTCACCACTGTGAAAGTCATTGTCGAGTCCCAAAAGCGTCCTGCTCCCATCAGTGACGTGAGTACCGACCTTCAATGAATTTCATCTTTCCTTCTGACTGACCATATCATAGTTCGAGACCGCTGGCATCCATCCTGTCCTGGTTGAGAACATCAAACTCTGCGAATACCAAATGCCCACCCCCATCCAAGCCTACACCATCCCTGCTGTCCTGTCGGGCCACGACATAATTGGGGTTGCTCAAACCGGTTTGTCTGCAATAAAATCTCGTGATGGCGTTTGCTCATATTCTTCTTAGGCTCTGGCAAGACCGCCGCATTTCTCATCCCCTGTATTTCAAAGTTGATGGGAAAAGTCAAGAAGTTGGCTGCTCGTCGTCCCAACCTTGCTGGCAACTTTGATGCTGAACGTGAGCGTGTTCGTGCGGAGCCGTTGATTTTGATCGTGGCACCCACTCGAGAGTTGTGTTGTCAAATCTTTGACGAGGCTCGTCGCCTGTGCTACCGCTCCATGCTGCGACCTTGCGTTGCGTATGGTGGTGGTCCTATGCGTGAGCAGATTGCTCAACTGAATCTCGGCTGTGATCTTTTGGTGGCCACTCCTGGTCGACTGCTTGACTTCATGAGTCGTCCTGAAGTTCTTTCACTCTCTCGTGTTCGGTAAGAAAATCTCGTGACAGTCATAGCATATTCAATCTGACACAATCGCAAGTTACACCATCATCGACGAAGCTGATGAGCTTCTGCACGACGACTGGGAAACTGAGATGACAAAGATCATGTCTGGTGGAGGTATGTAATAGGTGTCCACGGCGAGAATCACACTCTGACAATTCCAGATGCCAACACTGATGGCGATCATCGATATTTGTTGTTCTCTGCAACATTTCCCAAGCGATTGAAGAAGCTTGCAGCGAAGTTTCTTGATAACGACCATGTACACATCAGCATTGGCCGAACAGGTTCAGTACACATCAACGTCAAGCAGCAGGTCTGCATGCTTACTCGGTCACCGGTGGCAATGGTTCACTAACATCTTACAGATCATCTGGACTGAGAACAACCACAAGAACCAGGCGCTCTACGACCTCTTGATATCTATGCCTCCTTCTCGTACTCTTGTCTTTGTGCGTTCCAAGAAATCTGCCGACCTTGTGGACGACTACTTGTTCAATATGGGTCTCCCATCCACCTCGATTCACTCGGACCGCCTTCAGATTGAGCGTGAAGATGCCCTGTAAGTGCCACTGAGTTCTGTTTCGTGATCTCATCCGCTCACATTCTCAGTCGTTCTTTCAAGACAGGAGATGCCCCTATTCTTGTCGCAACTGGAGTGTCTGCTCGTGGCTTGGACGTCAAGCATGTCATGCATGTGATCAACTATGATCTCCCATCCGCTGAACATGATGGTTTCAATGAGTTTGTTCACCGAATTGGTATGCCCTTTGACATATTCCTCTTTCAATCAATTGCTAATCATCATAGGTCGCACTGCTCGCATTGGCAATGAAGGCTTGGCGACTTCTTTCTACAACGACCGAGATTCTGGCATGGCTCCCTTCATTACCAAGATCTTGGTGGAAACCAATCAGTCCATTCCCGAATTTTTGGAACAGTACAAGCCTGAGGGTGCCCTCAACTTCGATGAAGAGGATCCTGATGTCGAAGACGGTGCCGTTGAAGATGAGGGTGGAGATGCCTGGGGTGCAAAAGGCGGAGCTGCTGGTGCTTCAGATGATGCTTGGGGGAATGGCAACGCCACAGCTGCTGCTTCCGAACCTGCCTGGGGTGGTGAGACCGGCGCCTCTGCACCTGTTGAGGAAACCCGGGGCACCTACACCAGCACTCCCGTTGCTGCTTGGTAGAGGATCTTCCTACTTTCAAGTCATGTATGAGAAGGAGTTCCTTTTCAACAGAACCAAATTCGTGTAGGAAATCAGGTTTTCTGCCAACCATCATTCCCATCAAGATATCTCTCGCTAGGTTGAGATGGATGAAGATGTGTTGGCAGCATCATTCGGGGCAATCTGAAGAACATCAGATAGTATGTGCGTGATCGAGACAGCCATGACTGCTTCCAGTCATTCCAATCGAGGCAAAACTCATTCTCGAGACATCAGCACAAGCGAAAACCGAAGATCGATGTCGATCCCGAGGTCTGCTTAGTTAGCTGAACAGATCCAATTGACATTCTCATTCAATCAATCCATTCTAGTCCCTCTTCCCCCATATGAATGAATACTGTAAAAAGTCATCGAGTGCAGAGATGGTTTACCAAATACCCACGCACCCCCAGATTGATGGCTCAGAGGATGTGCTGCAATAGGACGTTTCTTCAAATATTGTGAAAAAGAGCCAAGCAATTGGGGCAAAGCCGCATTCAACATCTGCCACAACAATGCGCTCTTCAACATATTGATGACAACCTGAGATACCGTTATGCACATGCCCAGCACCATACTAAGAGTCATAATCAGCAACATTTGATGGTCAAAATATGATGAAAGCCGCAAATTTCTTCGTTTCTCACGTAATGGGTCCACCCAAGCAGCGAAGAACTGAACTGAGAGTTCAATCAAATTTTTCATCGTGCTTCGTCTCAGCTGTGACCAGGATCTGAACTACATTCATGTCTGGCTTCTCAGCGGAGCCGGTGCTGGCGTCAACATTGCTGAACCTTGAGGTCAAATCTACCTCGACAGGGATCCAGGGTCGGAGACTTCAACGGGATGGCCTTCATATTGAAGGACTTGACCCGCGATTCAGTCAAATATGGCGGGGTGGAAGTATTGTTGGCCTTGGTGCGGTAGACCTTGATAACATTGAGGTGAGAGAGAATATGCCCCACTCACTGGACGAAGTCACGGAGGAGTCGATGGTGTGCTTAAACACTGGAGGGTTGCTAATTCGGATTCTTAGACATCCCTCTCTCTGCATTTGCTGGCTTCTGCTCTTTTGAGAAGTCAGTCTGATGCGCTGGGTGATAGCGATCAACAAGGCACATCGAAAGACCAAGTTCGACCATCTTCCTCCTCACTCCTCGTCTACATTGTAGCACCGCATACAAGCCAGACAATCCCGTTACTGCACACAATACTTGCAAAACGCATGTCCGATTCTGCTGCGGCGATTGACCTGCTCAAAAAAGTCCAACTATTGCAGTTCTTCGATCTAGCAGGCTTGGTCGAGAGCATTGGGGAGGTCAACGAAAGCGTCTATCAACTTTCTCAAGCCATGCCCGGAAGCCACCGAGCCTTCGCAAGTTCTTCCAGCACAGATCAGGACCTTCGCACCATAGTCTTGATCGAGGGTCTTGCTCCGACACTTACAGCAGCACAGAGGAGAAGTGGAATCGTGTGGGTACATGCCCTTCTCGCTGGCCTCATTCGCAGTATCACACAGCTCTCTCAGCTCACTGCACGGCCACTGGTGCTCATCAGTGTGTTTGTGGGTGTACAGCTTGCTGGACAACCTGGGAACGAAATAAAATCTCTTGAAAGAGATGGACAAGGCATACCGTTGGAATCGGCATTCTCAGGCCCAAATGGGGAAGAATATCGCTTGCTCTGTGGGAGTGCGAGTCTGTCCCGAGCTCTGGAAGCATCACTTGATCGTTTGATTCATGTTGGCGATGCCCTGGGAAGAGTGCCAGCCCGGCAAAGACACCAGAGATTCCCAGGCCAATATGTCGTAGAGGTTATCAAGGATAGGATTGGCAGTACGTCTGGGTTATGGACCACATGGAAGGTACCAAAGCCCTGACCGATGCTAGGGAATCTACGATGAAAGTATGGGAATCTTTTGGGAAGCCGCCCTCAGCATTTCAGTAGCCGCCATTTTTGCGCAACATAGCGAAAGCATTGTCCCAGAAGGAGCGTTGACGAATTTTAACGTTGGATGGCGGCTTCCAGTCGGGGAGGTCTTATTGCCATGGAATAGGGCTCGACAGCACTTCTCCATTCCCCTTCACCAGCTTCAACGCTTCATCATACCATCCACATCACCTCTTTCGTGCTACGACTAAGCAGTATGTATTTCACTCGCATCCATTACGTCTGCATTGCAGTCCAACTCTGTCACCTCATTGCTCAGGCTGCTACTGTCACCAATGCCGATATTCTACCCGTTGAGCAACGAGATTACGACCTGGGTCTCAACACAACCGAACTCCATATTATTCCTAGCTCGAAGCTTGATGATATCTACTTCAGATCATCCGGAAGCTCTGGTGTGCCGGCAATGCACGCCGCCTTGATTCCTCCTGATGGAGATGTCCTTTTCCTTGACAAAATTGAAACATCAACTCTACTGAAGCTACCGAATGGCCGTTTTGCTTTTTCCTCGCTTTACGATCCTGTAACGAAGCGTGTGAGACCTGTTTCTGTTACCACCAACCCGTTCTGTTGCGGTGGATCTTTCCTTGCGGACGGGTCAGTTGTGACTGTTGGGGGGAACGGACCGTTGCCGTGGGTTGACGACAAAGTACTCGATGGACTCGATGCAATACGTTGGTTTAAGATGGGCAGCGAGATGGACGGAAACAGTCTCTCGTAGGAAGAGAACAGTAACAAGTTGGCTTCAAAGAGGTGGTATGCATCTGCCCAAACATTGGCAAATGGGCAAGTATTTGTGGCGGCCGGAAGCCTCAACGCAAGAGACCCTACGAATTTTAGCAACAACAATCCGACATACGAACTTCTCAACAACAACGGCATAAGTGAGGGAATAGACTATCGAATGAATATCCTGGTCAAGAATCAGCCATACTGGATGTATCCGTTCCTCCACCTCCTCTCAAATGGATTACTGTTCATCTTCGTCGACAAGTCATCTGAGATCTTTGACGTAGCGACGAATTCTACTGTCAAAGTAATGCCAGACTTGCCTGGAATGCACCGTACATATCCCAACACTGGTGGGAGCGTGATGCTTCCACTACGGAAGGAGAACAAGTATGAATCTGAAATCATGATCTGTGGTGGAGGAGAATATCAAGCGCTAGGAAGCCCATGCGATCATACATGTGGAAGGTTGAAACCCTTACGTGCAACCCCAAAATGGAGGGTGACAAGCATGCCGGAAGGTCGAGTAATGGTTGAAGGAGTACTCCTGCTCGACGGTACTGTTCTGTGGATCAATGGAGCCACAGCCGGAGCTCAAGGATTTGGTCTTGCGGATCCACCAGCCTTAGAGGCAATGGTCTATGACCCATGGACATACACCTGGGACAAGAAAGGAAAGTCACCTCTTCCTCGCTTGTATCACTCAGTCGCTTTGCTCCTACTCGATGGAACCGTGCTAATTGCTAGAAGCAATCCAAATGAGATGCCAGTACGCAAAGATGAGATTGTGATGAACGATACATCCAAAAAGTTTTGGACCGAGTTCAACACTGAAGTATGGGTGCCGCCATATCTGAGAAATGGTCGGTGGAAGCTTCGGCCAATAATTGAAAAATTGGCGCCTACAACACTCAACAGGGATACAGACTTGTACATTCAATTCAATGCTACAAAGGAGATCAACTTGCACAGAGTGGCAGTCATCTTGCATTCAAACGGGTTTGTCACGCATTCAATACACATGGGTCAAATCATGGTGTATCTTGAGATGAGAGGCTGGAAAAATGATCAATGCAGCCACAGATATCAGGTGATAGCGTCAGTGCCTCGAAACGTTACGCTTGCACCAGGACCGTATGTGATTTATGTTCTGGTTGATGGAGTTCCTGCGCTAGGACGCTTCATCACTTGGAGCGCTTGAGTTGTTTGTACTGTGTTCAGGGTATTTTTTCTTCGTGGTTCTTGTGTTATTACTATCATCGAGTGTTTGTTGAGGCTTAGCCAGAGCAGCAATAGCACTTTCACAGAATCAATTAGCTGATGAGTTCCTGCGCCTAACACTTCGGGGGACAATGAGTGAGGCTGATTGGTGTTGACTCCCGCTCTAGCAGAGTCAAATTTCATATTTGTATACGGTGGAGCATTAATCTGACTTTACAGCCACGACTTCAGCCTTGCCGTCCTAGTCTTCCCCTCTCTTTCTCCAATGCTCGGTAAACAGTCCACTTGAAGCAGTGAAGGACCGAACACTCGCGATGGCTGAGGAGGCATTGTCCGCTGCACCTCCTGAAGGGGCACAGGCAAATATCGGCGGTCCCGATGGAACCAAAGACCAGCCTCAAACCCTAACACCACAAACAGAGCTGGCTAAGGACACAAAGCCCTACCAGGCCATCCAGTCCTCAGAAACAACAGACATCGCGGCCGGGTCGCTCACATCTCCCACGTCTACACAACAAAGTGGGCCGTCGTCTGGCCCAGTTCCGCTAGATTCACCTCTACGTACCACCCCAATCCATCCATCGTTGTCCTCGGTGAAAATCCCCGCAGCCGCAGTCGCGGGCGCTACCGAGCCAAACACCAACCCCGTGACGCTGAAACCATTCACCGACGCAGAACTCTCGAAGTACGGATTTGAAAAGCTACGCGCTCATATCACGATGAGAAAACCTGGCACAGAAGTGGGTGGTGGCGCGACACCCGATTCTGGAGCAGCAACTGGTGTGGGTGCAGGAAAAGCGAACGAAGAGGAAATCAAGAAGCTGAGAGATGAGACGGCCGCGCTGCTGAAGCAGAAAATCGACGAGCGCGAGGCCAAGATCCGCGAGATCGAGCGTGAGATGGAGGAGAAAGAAAAGATTCGCGAGGTCGAACGGAAGGTGTTTCGCAAGAAACTGGGCGGGAATGCGCCAGCGACTGGAAGTGCTACGCCCGGACCGGCAACGACGATCGCTACTGCTCCTACTACTGTGGCTGGAGCTGTGGACTCGTGAACAAAGTTTTCTGCTTTGCTTTGCTACGTCTTCCTCAAATAGGACCCTTGCTATCCTGACCTGAAGGATTTTGGGCCGAGTCCCATGTGCCATGCTGGAATGAGCTGAGGCCAGAATCGCTTCGCCATGATCTATTAAAGCTTGGGATCAACGGTTTGATGCGACGATCACCTCGTCAAGCCGCCAGAAGAGAAGCAGAGCACTAGTCAAGCTGTCCTGCTCCAGGGCCACCTGCAATGTGCCATCTTATCCTCACAGCCAATACTGCACTCTGCTGGCTATCCTGCAACCACTAGAGCATCGAGTATCATGAGTATAACGGACCGAATGCTAGCCACTTCTTGAGCGCCTTTGTTCTCGCCACAAGTTAGATCTTCCAAATCTCAACGTCCCCGTTGGATTTTCTAGGTATGTAACTGCCAATACTGGGTCCAATTCGTGAGACAAGCTAATCTATGGAAGGCTGAAGAAACTTCTACGAACTGTATCTTGCGACCAGGACCAGTAACAGAATACTCCCTAGGGCGAGTGTGCTCCGGTCATCATGTTGATGTCGACGCGTACACTCTCCGACATCACGTCTCGCGCCATGAGGCTAGTGCATGTCAAACACCTCAATGCGAGTGTTTATACATCTGACGATAACTCAGTCCTTCCTGTTCTACCATACCAAATTACCTTCAATGCAATCTTGGGTAAAAGATATGACTAAAACCCATTTGAAGTGGTATCTCATCACGTGACACCATTTTCACTGCTGAATGAGAAAAAAGTTCCACACAAGTCATTCTTTTTTGAACTACACTACTAGTCAGATACGCATCACCCGGATCGAATACAGCTCAGAAGGCCGGAGAAGTGCTTACGCACCAAAAAGAAAAAACAATCGACAGCCAGCATTCACGGCTCGTCACCGACGCCATTACTACCTGACCGACATGGGGCTTAAGTACGGCTGAGCGGACGGGAAGCCCTGTTTTCCCCATTCTGTGGTCGATTGCGGCAGACTTTCTTGTCAGAATGTTAATAGTAGTTTATTCAACTATTTGTTCGGGCAATTCTCCTGCTCAAGAACTTCCCAAAATTTCCGCTGTCCAATCATGATCCTAGAGCGAACAGCTCATGCTCGCGAAGGAAGTGTAACAAACACCAGCCAATCCTTGTCCTTATACCTAGTTCTGTCATCGCAATACTCTGATTGCTCAAAGATAAAATGGCTGCTCCGATTGACACTCTTTTATCGTATATTGGCCGAAAACTCGGACGACGGACTCGATGCTCTTTCGTTATGAAATCGTCGCTAGAATGACACGGAAGCCATGTTTGAAGTTATCAAGAGAGAATCAGACTATCGCGGAATTTACGATGCGTCCTCAGATCCTTATGGATTAGTCACGACTTTAATTGTTGCAATAACCCGCATCTTACGATCATCAGCTGCAGAGCGCTCAAAAGCCTCAGCCTAGTTCTGCGCTGTCTTAGCCTAGAGCTCATCCTCCAAAGCGCACTCCCCTATTACCGAGCTTTATAGCCGTCTAGGTAGACTTCCGACCATGGGGCAGCACTCGTTGCATGCAATGGTCTTTGCATGCGCGTCAAACCCATACAAGTCCCTTCCGATGTTCTCTATGTCACATGGTGCATCTATCATACCGGCCCTGATGAAATAGGCCAGGAATGACCTAATGAGTTGGAACGTGACATAGTAGATTCCTCGGAAGTTACGAATGGGTTTCTCGGCCTCTGTGGGAAGGATTGCCCGCCGTATCAGGCGTCCCTTTTGCAATGTAGTCTATACTGAACAACGCTAGTTCGAGTGGGAGTCCACTTTCTCAAAGAGGAACAGTGTAGCCCTATGCCTCGAAATTTCCACTAGAGTTTGGACAAAGACCTGGACCTCGGAATTTAGGTTACAGGTCAGAGAAAGACATCATTTAGATCGGCCAACCTATAACTACTACTTGATGTCCTTTGTTTGACAAGTCGCCTGCCTCAGAATATGCACAGCTTCATGCACAGGTCTTGTGGAAGCATATTATTAAAAGGAGAAAGTAAGAGCTAGATCTATATCGACCAATCCAAGTCTGTTCATGTCCAATATGCCATCATCTTTCGGAACTCAAGCCATGCCAGACCTCTCTGGCAAAGTGATACTAATCACTGGTGGTGAGTTATTTCAGGATTTATGCTCCGGCAACGCACACCATATTAATACTCCTGGATATAGGAAACGCCGGTCTTGGAAAGGAGGCCGCGTTGCAATTCGCCAAACACCACCCTTCACGCATCTTCATCGGATCTCGAACCGTGGAGAAAGCGCGCACGGCCATTGCTGAAATCGTGGCGGCGGTGCCAACTGCGCAAATAACGCCTATTCAGATGGACCTCGCTTCGCTCGCTTCGGTGGCTGCGGCCGCCAAAGCAGTGCTGTCCATGACTTCACGCCTCGATATTTTGATGAACAATGCAGGCATCATGGCGGTGCCGCCGCAGGTCAGCGCTGACGGGTACGAGATCCAATTCGCAACCAATTTTCTCGGTCACGCCCTCCTCACAAAGCTGCTCCTTCCATTACTGCTCGCCACGGCACGAGAGCCAGCCGCAGACGTCCGTATTATTACCTTGAGCTCTCATTCCCATCAGCGAGCACCAAGAGATGGGATTTTGTTCGACGCACTCCGGTCTGCCAATGGTGCATCCACCCCTCTGGCGAATTACGGACAGACCAAGCTGGCCAACATCCTCTACTCGAAGCAGCTGGCGCAGAGATATCCAGCCATCAAAGCCGTATCTGTCCATCCAGGAATGGTCAACACCGGCTTAAGCACAACCATGAAAGAGAGCTTTCTGCTAGCACGGCTCGTAATGCCGATTGTGGCGTTATGGCAAGGTGTTCCCGTGGAGAAGGGCGTCTTGAACCAGCTGTGGGCAGCGACGAGCCGTGACGCTCAAAGTGGGGAATACTATGAACCAGTTGGTGTAGGGGGTCAGGAATCGGCGCTTTCGAAGGATGCAAAGCTAGGCAAAAAGCTTTGGGCGTGGACGGCTGATGAGCTGGCGAGCTTCACACCTGAAGCTAGATTATAGGCTTTCGTTGCGTACAGACTTCATGCGAAATGTTGCTCTCCATTGAAACATAAATCCCACATGTTATCATGTCAATGGTGGTATGATTCTCCTCATCTTCAAGAAGTCCTTAGGGACACATGATGGTCATCTCCCATAACTGGCGATAAGGGTCGTCATACACAGATTCAACCCACCAGAGCGCATTCAGATTTGACCTCATATCTTCCCATGTTGTTATACACATTTCTGTCATGATATCTCGTAATCTCGTGCGAAATGCTGAAGCTACTGCTCTGGGAGAGAAAGAAAATATTTCTCCCAGAAAGAGAAGCCATAAGAGTAACATCGAGTGGTCAGGGCGTGTGTAATGTTTGAAGAGTATATCCACATGCTGGGCCAAATGGTGAAGAAGATGCTCATAATGTATGGGGCGGGTGGGAGGCATTACTCCGGGAAGATGAGGGAGAGAAAGATAGAAGAATGCTCCAAGTAGAAGTGACCCCTCAACCACCCGCCGCTGTGTTCCTTGAAGATGATGGTGGGCTATTTCTCCGAGAACAGAGATGTCAGGCATTACAACCCGAGTTGGGTAGTACAAGGACAATATCTGATTCAAAAGCTTTGGATTTTCTTCGCCAGCCGCGTCCTGCGAGGCGATGGAGGCTGGGATCTTCCGGAGAAGATTGAAGATTTCTTGGTGAGTGTTATATGTCTCGATAAGAGCGTTCACACTAGGTGGGAGATTTGTGGTGTAAGGCGAAGGAAAGGGCTCGTAAGTGTCGAAGATTGGGAAGTACGGCATGGTGCCATCCTTGATGCAGCCGACTAGGTCCAGGCTGGAAGGTTGGACCAATAAGTATAAGCTGCAGCTTGATGGGACAGACGCTCACTTGTAGATCTTTTGTTGTATCAGCCTTGGTAGCGTACCTATCCCTCCTCTGAGTTCTACCATTTTTCTTACTCCTTTCATATGTACACGCCAATTGCTATAATTTCCATGAAAGTACTGGACCGTGATGACGTTAGCTCAGTTCTCTATGAATTTAGGGAGGAGAATGTGCCTCGGACTTTGCCATGAACAAGACTGTTGTTATAGTAGTATCTGAAATGGCTTTGACCCCGGATAATCGGGCATTGATAAGTCTGACTGACTCGAGCATGTGTTTCCTCTGGATAAAAGTGTTCGTCGATTGAGTATTTGAATCAGCGGCGATACAGACGGCTGAGGTACTTAGAAGAGCATGTAAAAGTGCAGCGTCAGTGATGATTAGGGAGAACCAGGCAGACTCTGTTACCCCAGCCCTGGTTGGGCGCATCAATATTGCGTCTGGCAGATTAACAGTGGTATTAGCATTCTTGAAGCAACAGACTTGGCAGAGGTTTCATTTAGCTCACATTTATGTAACAACTGCAGCATATAAGGCCGCATGTGAATGGGAAAGGTTATGCCATTCCCGAGCAAAGCACTTGGTCGATCGCGTATCTGACTGCCTTCCCAACAAACGTGGAGCTCGCTGAAAGTGCGATCTTCCAGCGCCAAAACTTCAATCGCGACATCTGCCGTGCCTTCTGCTCGGGGCATCTCGGCTTGTCGTTGGAAATTTCTCATTACATGGGTTTTGATCAGCCTGCGGCAGTTCTCGTCCTGATTTTGTGGGTGTGAGACATGGATGAAAGCAAATCGCTGTCGAGGTGACGCCGTCTTCGGCTTTCGCGGCTTTGAATGAGGTTTCTGGCGAGACCCTGACTTGCTGTCGAAGACTATCATTACAGGTCTTACGCTTGACTGTAGATTCATTGCGTCGATTTCGATGTACTGTCCCAAGAGAGAATGAGTACACGATGCAACGCGCGCTGGGAATCTGTTGCTGCCAAGTTCCGATTAGCAAATACCCATGTAGGAACCGAGGCACTAACTGCCTCACCAACATGCGGAGTAACACCTCAATAATACCCACTGTGATAAATAGAAGGATTCGAGGTGTTCAAATGACCTAAAACAGTACCCATAAACTTCCTGGAAAGCAGAACCCTTGTACACACGCACCATTGAATCGCTTTTTCTTGTACCGCTTTGCTACCTTCACAAGCCCTGGTCACCAACAGCATATGGGAACTGTGTCCCACGGAATTAGTGACAAATACCTACGAAGCTAGGTAATCGCTGTCTTGACTCCCACATGCAGGGCCATACTCAATTGAGCTAGAGTAAAAGGTATCCACTATCACAAAGCGGTATAGTTTGGCGTTATCGCCCAACTTGACCGGTAAGTGAGTGCACCACTTTATTATTTACCACTTAATCGCAAACTTCTCGACAACGAACCATGTTAGGCTCCACCGGTGCGTCACATCTCTGTCGTAGCAACCTCAAAGCATGAGGTCCTTAGGAGGACGGCATGGGGTGAGCAGCTTTGATATGTGAGGTCTTGGCGCCACCAGTAGCACCTGGGCTTCTCGAGGCCAGCAACAGCCACGTCGGTCATGGGCAACCCATTACAGGTGGGCGAGAGGGAGAAGCCACATGCTCCGAAACCTCATACACATAGCCTTGTCACTCCTGGCACAAGAGTGGCAGTGATGTCATGGAAGGAACAACGACGATCTAGGGAGATGGTTAGGTCTCGGGAGGCATCAACACCAAAACCGATGCCACCGAGGTTTCATCAAACTTCAGCTTTGTCGACAACCGCTTCGGAACGACTGTGTGGTTGATAGATGCGTCATGTCTGATAAGAACGTGCTGGCGTGCAAATCAACCCAGGTATTTGGTGCGTACTAACTCTCCAGGACAACTGGCCAAGAATTCCCCTTTTTACGATGAACTAAAGCACCATTGCTTTAGCATTATCTGCCCTTCCTCACTACCATGTAACGTCAACGCTCGCTTGTTACTGCCCCATTTCGTCTCTTCGATTGACCAAATTATCGATGGCGCTTACGAAACGTGGCCAGATGCCACTCTCCACGATTTTCTTAAACCGTGAATAACACCTGACGGTTTTGTCTTCAGCCTCTGATTTGAGAGCCATGCAGTTGTCCGGTCCAAACCCCATCCATTTGTTTCCTTGGTCAAAAGGCTGCCATGGATCCTCACCATATGCAAATTTAATCCAAGCTTCGCACATCCGCTGTGCCAATTGTTTCTGTTTCTCGTCAAACTTTGGCTCACCATTTAGAAACACATAAAGCAGCTCGTGAGCGTGGTAAGCTGTACCATTCATGATGTTCGGTATGGTTGACAATTGGTCAAAATGGTAAGCATAGGTCTTCGGGAGTTTTGATTTGTGGACCGTCAACCAGTTTGGAATCTTGAAAGCCATATCGCCCCCCATTTCCTCTACAGCTGCCTTTACTTCTCGGTCAGCCGATGTATCCTCGATACCATACCAAAAGAGAATCCTCTCGACGTCTGACTCTGAGATGTACCTCGCTAACTGCGTTCGTATGATAGAATAGTTCACATGGTCGATATTTTCTCGAAAGATGATTCCTTCATGGAGAGTATTACCTACCATGTAAGATTTCAACCAAGCTGGGGGTGATGTAATATTGTATGGGGCTGGGACCTGCTTGTGGAAGTGTCCATCTGCGCAAGGGTTTCCCGTGCCATCGACTACCCCATGGACCCGTGTGGTCGCAGATGCTACATCTGTCTCAGACACTTCTCGTAACTTGTCCAACGCATTCTATTGACTCTTAATAGAAACTTCACGGAAACTCTGAGGATTCCTGGCCCTGGATCTCGACTCTTGAAATTAAAGTGTCGTTGCTCTGCATAGTTCGGAGCTAATCATTGCGCAGTTCAGCGGCCCATCACCGCGCGCCGACCTGCCTTTAAGGGCTAGTCCTTGGGACTTTGAGGAACCTTAACATCATCGCAATGCCTCTCGCTTATAGTCGACAGGGTCTATCAGTCTCGGCTGCGATAGACTTACTTCGCAAATTCCTGTCCTCAATAGTAGTCCTTCGTGATGTTACCTAACCTCTTCGCTGAAATACTATAGAATGAGTATACCATAATAGCTGGAGCATCAGAGTTGCATGACTTTTCAACTTGATTCGCGTGCGCATGATAAAGAACTACTAGGAAGTGTGATTGCCCAAAAGACATATCTATGCTAGGCATCTATATGCGCTCTCAAGCGACGTTCGCCCATGACAATAGTGTAGCTAGTTGACTACTACTCCGTACAATTTCCGTGCACCCAAAAACCAACTTGTCGTAGCGAGCAGAAACAGAGCCCCAAATGCCACAATGGCCCAATTCATTTCTGCTGCAGTTGGGTTTGGCATTGGAGGAAAGAAGAAAACCACGCTGATGAAGGCTGCAAAGCTGAGGCCAACGACATTGTAAATAAGGCCGAGCTTACCCAAGTTGTACTCTCGATCAGCCGGTAATCTATCTCTCCCAGCCCAAAGAAGAAATCCCACTGGGAGGGCGGAGGCCACTATCAAAGTGATCGTGGAAAGCGAGAGAACGGCCGTGAGTACATCTCTATTGAGCTTAGCATTAGTGTGAGCTTGAAGAACGCCGACATTGATGCCAGACCACTTACTCGGAAACAAAGAAGAAGATGCCGACAAGACTGACAACACCTGAAAGGCCGACAGTCGCTCGTACAGGCATTTTCCAGTATGTAGATATCTCTGCGAAATAGCTGCTGAATGGTAGACCATGATCACGCGCAAAGCCAAAGGTCAGGCGGCTTGCTGCTGTCATTATCGATGCTCCGCTAATGACACTGTTGACTTGGATGAGGATGAGAAGCGCTGCAGTGCCCTTATCCCCAAGAACATCATAGAGAACTTGGACGAATGGAATGCCAAATGTTGTGTTGAGCAACGAATCGTATGACTGAACACATGCGAAAACAACGACAAGGAAAACGATACCAGTAGCCGCACCGGTCCAAATTGACCACACCATTGCTTTAGGTCCATTGACCCCAGGATTTGGAAGTTCTTCAGTCATGTGTATCTGACGTTGGTCAGCATATAAGTGGTGCGTTGGTGTCCGGAGAACTGACCACAGAGTCAAAGGCTGTGAACCCATATGAGGCACTGAGCAGGCCCAAGAAGAACGCAAAACCATCTGGCCAGCCTGAGGTGTTGAACCATGTCCCAAATATAGCTTTCCCAGACTGAAAGCTTCCTCTATGGCTGGTGCATACCAACAAAGAAACCATCAAAGCCACAAAGATCAGCAGATTGCTGTACATCATGACTGTGTTGAAGATCGGAATCAGGCGATTGTAGCGAGTTGCAAGGATATTGAACAATGCAAAAATCCAGACTGTTGCTTCAAAAATCATAAAGTTTTGCCACGGTTTGATCTCGAAGTTCGGATGATACAGCTGGATGATGGCCACATAGAATGCCGCAGAGTACGTGGAAAAAGATGCTCAAAGAGACCACCATCCCGCGGTGTTGACCCATCCAGTAATGTATGACACGAGGCGGGAGGACGAGTGTTCTGGAGCGAGGCGTAGAATCCAGTATGCCTGTCCAAGCGAGGTTGGGTAGACAGAGAGAAGCTCGCCGACCGACGCTGCCAAACAGTACATACAAATACCGGCAATAACCAACTGGAAGATGTCATGTCAGCAAGGCTATCCTCGAGACTCTTCAAAGACATCTTTACCCCATAAATTAATGAGATAGAGCCGCCATTGTAAAGACCAGCACCAAGGCTGGCAGCTAGAGACACTAGGAAAGAAATCAGTCTTAACATTACTGCCCAAGAACTGTTGTGTACCAACCCCATGTGCCGAGGATACTGAAGGCCAGTGCAAGCATAGACCAGAACCCAAATTTCCTGACCATGAGCTGTTCATGACCAAGATTGGACAAGATTACATCGTCACAGTTTGCATCTTGGATAGATATTTTGGATGAAGAGCCGTCCATCACAGGTTGCGGTGCGGTCACAGATCTCTCTTTACTGATCTCCATTGTCGCCGGCAGGTGATTGTCGTCAGGAAACAAGTTGAGCTTTCCGCAGGTCCTTCATGATATACCCAGAAGAGGTGCACCAAGATGGGCTGGTGTTTCTTATCAGTTTGGAAATCTGAGAGCAACCTCGAACCCCACCTCTCCATCCTCAAGGGGCATCGATCGAGGGTTGACATGGAGGCTTTCACTCAGCTGTTGAACGGATAAAGTTGTGGAGAGATAGAGCGACGCCACCATTCCCAAAACGGCATGTCGAAACGCGCTGACAAGGTTTGTGGAGTGGACCCCTTCTATGTGGACTTACGAAGTATGCTGAAGTGTGGAAGTTAGCTCGAAGGCAACCTCCGCACCTGCTGACTATCTCCACAACGGGACTCATCGAAGTGCGTTGGGAAACGAGGAGCATTTCTGGTGCGTTTTCGGCAATGTCTGGCATCCAGCCAGGAGTCATGACATATCGACTGATAAATGTATAATCACGGGCCCTCCACGGAGAGCAGGCGGTCAAAGTTCCAGTCGCGTCCTGAAAGCTGATGGTAATCCGAGTTTGCTCCGATTCTTCCGGACATACGTGAAGTGATCTCGGACGATGATCATTTCTATTGAGTCTGCAACCATGTTATTGAGGAGGAGTACTTGAGCGCCCGCACTGCAGGACTGCCCTTACTAACCGTTCATACAGATCAAATTTCAGAAGCAGCTCAACTTTTGAGCTCTGCTTTCTCAGACGACCCTTTGATACGATATTTTCGACCCGGCGCTCCTCGATGGGAGCTCTGTAATCAGGATTGGCAATATCGGCGGATTGAACGTGCGAGGCTGAGGGGTTACGTGTTAGTTCACGATACTCCTGCAGCTCCTGCAGCAGTTTGTGGCATCAAGACTGTTGCATGTGCGACAGAGGTGACTGGGTATGTTGAGAGGACGTCAGAATGTGCAGGGATAGGTATTTTGTATCCTCCTGGAGAACAGAGACCAAAGAGTTGGCGAGAATGGGTAGAACTAGCCTTCATCTGGCTCAAGGACTGTATAGTTCCCACCCACGACGATGGCTCAAGCTTGAGTGTGAGAGGCAAAGATAAAATCTCTCTGAAGCTTGCTAATAACCATCAGAGAATCGAGACATTCTTCAAAGAGCACTATATTGCGCGGAATAAGTGCGTGCCTGGTAACGACTCCTGGGAACTAGAGGTAATAGCAGTGGATCCAAAATACCAAGGGCAAGGCATAGGAGGAACTCTTATAAGGCAAGCTCTTGCCTTGGCCGATGGTCATGATATCTACCTGGAGTGTACCGCAGCTCAAAACCTCCCTTTGTACGAAAAATTCGGGTTTCGGACTGAATGCACCATCAACATTCCGTTTGAAGGGAATATCGGTGGCAATATGAGCACCACTATGGGCACATGCCTTGTCGTGTACTGCATGGTCAGAAAGGCTGGGCTTGAATCCTTCAACTGAAGGTAGATGTGCCGATGTCGACAAAACGTCTGCTGGAACACGTCGCTTGGCCATGGCCATATGATCTTTGAGCTTACAGTAAACTGATCTCTAGGCTCAAATGCTGAGCAACTTCATCTGCATTCAGCAGTGGATGCTGCCAGAGATAGTTCAACACCTGCAACAGACCTTGAGCTTGAACAGTCGAAGTATGATGTCGTTTCAGAGTATGAAGGGTGTCAGAAATGAAAGTTTTCTGTGCAACGGTAAGCGCCGAAGCATGAGAGCCAACACTGAACAATGGAAATAATAGTGCTGATGGATCTTCAACTCCAGCACGTTGAGTAAGCACAGAGTATCCGTCAATATGGGCAATTGATTGGGAGATAAGGGATTTCAATGCCGGTGCCGGTTGTTCGACAGGATTTGAATTGGAGGTCCTTTGTTTGCTTCGCATAGAAAGGATTCCTGCCAGACGATACATATTCCATAGAAGCCACTGAGTCGTATCACCTTCGGCATCGCACCACATCCACAGACTATTTTCTGTGTTCTCGCTATCAAATTCAGCCAAGAGTTGAATTAAGCTGCGAGGAAGACCAGTTGCTGTTTCAATACCGTCATTTCTTATGGCCGGTGGCCGTGAGTCAGCGTGTGACTGTTTCCAGACATGTAATATTGGTGTTTTCCGGCCCACGACAAAGCGTGGTAAGTCCATAACACCCATTACCTCGACGAAATGGACAACGGACAAGGACAAATTGTGAGATCCTAAGTAATACTGCTCAAGCATCGAATAAAGACCTTGTAAGTGAAAAGTCCAGTGCATGCCTCGGGTTATCTATCGTCATGTCAGCGGGATGCTGCAGAATATGTATGACTATAGAAAGGTACCCCAATCGTGCAAAGCAGCAAACATGCTGCCAGCAGTCCTTCGTTGGATTGGAGAGTGGGATCTTCCAATTCTTTGCGAAATTCATAGATGGCAGCAGAATAGGCCTCTTCAAACAGAGCAGTATCAGTAGCGCCATCAATTGTAAGTTGTAGTGCCACGCAACAAGCTCTGAGTGCATTTGACTGAGCAAGCAATGGAATGACAGGATGGATGACTGGCGGCGGTTTCGATAGCAGAGTGAGGTAGGTGAAACCCTCAGTGATGACTGGACCTCGAAGTTAGAATGCATTGAGACGTAGGATCATACCGAATCCGCATTGTGAGTACACTTGTTTTGGAACTTACAGCGATGGAGCAGATCTCCTTGGATGGCTTCTGTGAGTAACATGAATGATGAGGAGGTTGAGTATGGGAGAAGATGCAAAGACTCGGCAGTATCACGCCTCTCCTGCACAACAGCTTTAGACTTTGCCAGAGGGCCCCTTGCTGCGACTCCAACATCCCACTGCAAACGGATGGCGTACCCTTCACATTCGATACCTGCTTGTTGACAACGTGCGCATAGAGGCCTTGCTTCGTCGCACTTCTTCCTGCGACGCTTGCAAGTCCAACATCCCGATCTTGTTCTCTTGGTGATTTTGACGTCATTGGCCATTAGTCGCATGAACTGACCATGTAAGCTGATGCGTGTCTGACTTTTGGTCTAGCGAACTCCCTAGGTACTATGGCTGATGTCAGGTGTGCCAATGTGCACTAACTACCATGGGAGAGTAGTTCAACCTCAATGAAAGAGCTCAAGAATGTTGAGGAAAGTGGTTGTTCTTGGATCGTGCACAAGCCATCCAGCGAAACCCTGGAGATACGATAAGGATAAGTTGTCCCGCACGTCTAATTACTTGGAGCTACCTACGTAAACTTCAGATGTTCAGGTTTTGTATAGGTACTAGGTAAATAGCTTAGAAGAGACAGGCTTCATGTATCCTGTTTGGTAATCACTCCAATTGTCCTCAATACCTCAGTAGGTACTTCGCTCGCCGATGATGGATGACCACAATTCAATCCATTCTTACGGGGAAGGTTAGCCGATCAGTCTTACATGACCTCCCCATCCGAGCCTCCCTGAGGTACCCGGCCTTCAAGTTTTAACTTAGGCCGACGATTCCTCGATTTAGGCATGGGTTAAACCCCCCTCCTCATCCCTAGATGTCTACTCTACGTAGGTAATGAGGGCGGTGTGTCTGGGTATCGATCATGCTGCTTTACCCAGTGCCCAGTGCTTACGGAGTACCTGCCTCGCCTCATGCATGACACCTGTATCGGTTGTTCGAGAATATATTTGAGCTTCGCCCCACGATTCGCTCCATCGGCCAGGGATCTTGTGTCTCGTATGGCTCGCCCCAATCACCTCCGCCACTCTCTCACTACAACTAGGGAATGAAACGTGAACTAGCTGCAAGGCCAGCCGATCTCAAAATAATTGTCACAATCAGAATTCAGGGCCAAGTTATGAGGGGTGCATTGTTTCATCAAGGTGAGCTGCCCTCGAAATCATCACTAACTATGGTCAGTTGCTTTGTTCTACGAAGTCGCACAATCTTTGCAATATCAGGAACCCACTTCCTTTGTTCTTGATATATAACATTCTTTATTGGTCTATTTTGAAACTTATACTGTTGAGTGTTCGTTGAGGTCCGTCTTTATCAACGCAATATATCCTTTTGTCTCGCGCGACGGCATTGCTGTTTGTTCCAATTCGAGAGTCCGTTCATTCAACAATACATACTGGACGACATGACTGCATGACATAAAGTCATTGTGTTTGCCAGTTATCCGAATCAAGTAACTCTCTAACCAATAGTATTTTTTTCTGTCCAATCTTCAAATCGTTTTCTGTCACTATAGCCACAACTTCGACCTTCTTACGCGCAGATCTTGCACGTCTACATACAGCCAAAAACTCAAAAACCCCAAACCAGCCTTACTTAATCAAAGATGAGATCCTCGATTGCCGGAGCCTTGCTCTTCGCTACTATTCCGCTGCTAGTTGCTGCTCAGAACGGTACCACCCAGAACGGCACCGCACCACCGGCGACAATATTCGTGGCTGGGTATGATGGTTTCGTGCGAACCTTGGCTCTGACTGGAGAAGGAAACTCCTCGGCGTTGACACTCGTCAATCAGACAGATGGCTGCGGAGCCAATCCTTCATGGCTCAACATCGAGATCACCAAGCAGCGCGTCTGGTGCTTGGACGAAGGCTTCGTCGCAGGCTTCGGAACTCTCAACTCATTGGACATTGAGGACAATGGTATTCTCAGGCCAGTGGAGCATCGCAACGTATCCGCTAGTCCCGTCCACAGCAGGATATATAACGGCGGCAAAAACATAGTGCTCGCACAGTTTGGTAACGCCGAGACAAGTGGGATTCGCGGTGGCTTGACTGTTCACAGTATTGGTGACAACGGTGTGCTGGGCGCATCGACTAACATCACCTTTCCTGGCCTTTCAGCACCAGGGCCACGACCGGGTCAAGCCTTACCACGAGCCCATGGCGTCTTTTCAGATCCAGAGGACAAGAATCTCGTAGTCCTCGACTATGGTGCAGACTTGATCCGCATTTATAAACAAGAGACGGATGGCAGTTTGACTGAGGGTGCAGTGACCAGGCTTGCGCCGGGCACTGGTCCTCGCCACGCGAGATTTTTTCAACACTCGGCAAACCCACAACTTTACCTGTTTGTGCTTTCTGAATTTCAAAACACCATCTCCACATTCAATGTGAGCTACGATGACGACAAGTTGGTCCTCACAGGACCAAGTCGAGTCATCGACACCTTTGGTGGTTGGGGAGATGCGACTACACTTCAGAACGCCAAAGCAGCGGAAATCAGGGTCACCTACGACAACAAGTTCGTGATTGTGTCCAATCGTAATGACACGACTTTCCCAGATTCGGACTCCTTGACCACCTTCACAGTCAATGCCGATGGTAGCCTCGTCCCAGTCCAGATCGCTGCTGCTGGGGGCAAATTCCCTCGCTCCTTTCAAGTCAATCTCAAAGGTGACAAGGTCCTCGTCGCCGCTCAGACAGACTCAAAAGTCATTGTGCTGGCGCGAAATCCCCAGTCGGGACTCATCTCCGGACCTATCGCCTCGTTGGCCATTGATACCACTATCGATGGTGTACCGGCCGGTCTTCCAGCTGCCATTTGGAATGAGTAAATCTTTAGCAAGCCCGTTGTTTTGCCTTGAAGGAGTTCATATGACCGCATCGTCGCGTGCCTACAGTAGCTATCTACCCGAATTAAACTTAGCTATACCCATAAACTTTATTCTCAACTTGTGTGTTATGCTGCTACCTGTTCAGTGATCCATTATGCGCTATCCAGATTAACAACTAGTTAACGCCTTTTCTTAGGCTTTCACCTTGGAGAGAAAATTGTTTCAAGGCTGTAACATCCAAATACGTGGCAGAATGTACTACCTAATCGTGAATAATTGGTGCCACATGGACCATACTCACTGGGAAGCCTGGGAACACTAGTTAAAAGGATCTACAGGTGTTGTAAATATGGAGTTTTCGGTACTACAATTGAGTTTTACGAGTAGGTGGGTTTTTACTTAAAGTACCTCCTAGGTAGTTAGTAGTTAACTAACATATGGAGGATCTGATGATAGGCTAGCAATTTTAGGATAAGGACTGCTACAAAGAGGCTCGGGGCCCGAGGGCCAAGGCGCCCTTAGGTTCATCTCTCCGGTTTGCTTGGTCCTGACTGGTCAATGCACATCCGTAGCACAACCACTTGTTGCCTGGTGCTTAGTCCAGAGCCACCACCCCAAAATGTTCGGAGGAGATTCAGCCTTGTTGTTGTCCTCAGCCCAAACCTCAGCCTGTTCTTTTCTCTTCATGATGTCTGAGGAGCCCAGGTACTGTACAGCACTGTACGACATGCATCGCTTTGAAGTCAACTCTTTATCACTATTTGTATTCTCGCGAGGACGATCGAACTTCGACGGCCTGATCTCGAAGAAATAGGCCGCGTTCAAGGTCGTCATTGCCGAGCTGGAGCTGTCATGCCTGGCATCTACCGCAACCTTGCGACAGATCGCGCCTTCAAAGAACTACAGGGTGGACTCTTTCTGAATGATAAAGATACGCATTCGAGGATTGAAGTATTCGTCACCGAGCCCAAAACCAAGCTCGAATTCGAATGGCAACATGTTTCAGCGCGGGCAGATAACACGAATGACAGACTTGGTGGGTTCGATCCCGGGCAACACTACTCACAAATGGAACAAGATACGTCAATTCCACCGTTTCACACCGCCAAAGTAGCCCTTTCAACCATATCTGCACTCCAAGAGCATACTCGGACCTCATTACCATTATGCGCTCTCTTCATTCGAAAGCGAAATTCTTTCTCAGAGTTATCCATATCTTCAACATTTTTCAACCAACTTTGCAATGAAATATCCATTCCCCGGGAATTTCAAGACTATATACTGTACTTCGGCAGACGAGGGTACGAGGTCGAGATCTCGCCGCCTCCTTTCGACCTGGACGGCTTAGTGACGCAATCAGGGAGCAGCAACCCAACTTGGATGGCCATGGGTGTCGTTCGCTTCATGGAAGACAACGGTCGGGTCAATATTGAAAACCCCAGTAAACAATGGTCAATTCGCCAGACTGCGCTGTTCTCTAGGTATGATCAGCAGCAGGTTAAAGCTTTTTGGCTGTTCATTTCGATTTCTAATTCAGTGGAGTCTTTACTTGACGAAATTTGGACATCACCTGAACATGACACCTCCTCTCCATGGCAGACACTGTACACACTATATCACTATGCAGCATGCAATTGGAGGCCTTACGTTGTGGCATTGATGCATGAACTTGAGCGACACGAAATGGAGCTTTTAGGTACCGCACCCGATAACACTGGTCCAGTCCCTTTGCCTGGCGCAGAAGAACGACAAGCTCTCCTGATCCTAGAGAGGCAGGTCTCTACAGCAAAATTGGGAATCCAGTCTACAAAGGCCGATGTGGAATTCTTGCAGACACAACTTCAGAGCTACGACTTTGGTGGTCGCAAGGATGCAAGTGCGTGGGGTCGACATTTCACTGGAATCGTGCGAAATTTGAATGTCAATCTCATGCGCGTCGAGGAAATGTATCTACGTTTGGAGAGTCTTACGACATTAGTGTCAAGTTTTCTGGACCTGAATGGTAGCCATGCGCTGCGAGTGTTATCCGAAGAATCGAGGTACGAGAACGAGACAATGCGTAAATTAAACCAAAGGATGGCTGAACTCGCCGAAAAGAATGCAGAAGAAGCAGTGACGGTGACGGTCCTGGCAACTTTGACCATGATCTACCTGCCTTTCACAGTCGTCAGCAATTTCTTCTCAACGTCCTTTGTTGGAACGGTCACATCATCAAACAGGATCTTCGTCACGCAGGATTGTTGGATACTATTTGTCATTTCAGTCGGTTTGACCTTTTTGACTTTTTATGTCTGGAAAACGTGGACGCGGCTCAAGGTCAGACACCAATACCCATTTTGGTGGCCATTACTGGGCATTATGCGACCGAAACGATTTTCAGAGAAGGATCATTTGGAGCCACGGGAAGATTATGACTTCCGAAATGTGATCCTCTCTGAAGACACGAATTAGAGACCTTTTCAAGCTCACTTAAGAGTGCAAACCTAGATTTTGCGGAAGGCAACCGACTCTTGCAGGGGTGGAAACACGGCATTCACTTTTCACTGTGTGGGTAAGGATTACGCTTTTACCACTGGACACAAATCCATTCATTTTGGAAGAGCGTGTTGGATGCTGCAAAGGCGTTCAAAGTGTATTCTAGTGCACGCTTGTCTGGTGAGATACTAAGTCGGATTTGATTATCCAATGTCTACACTGAGGTGTTCATGAAATAATTTGAGATTTCTTCACCATTCTTGCAGGAGTGGTACATCATCACTGGCATCTCCGTCCGAAGCCCCGTCTTCCTCCCCAACCTCATATGACGATTGAGTCGCTGAACTTACATGATCTGTATCTTGAGCGTGAAATGCTTCAGGAACGTCGACTCCGAAGCGTATATCCTGCGTAGAGCCAGTATCGTACTGTCCGAACACGTACTTCAACCCGAGCCCCTCCACACTCTTATGCAGATCCGTAATGCTCATTCTCTCTGGATGTGGAATCTTTTCCATGTGTTGAAACATGCTGCTGCGGTAAAAGAAGAACAGCACGTTCTCCCGGGGATCTGTTGAAATTGGGAAGGTGAATCTTTTGCGAGGTATTCCAAGGACAATTGTTGAGACAATATAGAAGGTTCTGAAGCTCAGCAAAATATACAGAACGGGCCAATTGGTATCGAATGCACCGCTTATATGAATCTATCTAACTTAATTAGCCTTCCAGTAAGCATAATACCTGATAGAACCCCCACAAGCTAGAAATGTCCAATCCACTCCCCTCCTATAGCAGTTAAGGCATACGACATACACGGGTGCCAGTACGCAATAGTAATCCTCCCAGCGAAAGAAGGCTACTTATTCCCGGCCAACTTCAAGCCATCAAGGCGCCATTTCTGCTAAGTCGTTGACAGATGACCAACATGAAAGGTGAAGAGAAAGTGAAGCTCTATATTTACAACTTTCTGAAGCAACATTAAAGATTCGAAGGGCCACTCCTCAGCAACTGCAGTCGACGCTTGCCATTTAAGCCCATGGATATTTCCTCGCGAGCAGTCATCGATATACTTAATTCCGAGGGGAGCGAGTCAGCATCTATTCGCAATTAGTACGATGTGCATAGCCATACATGGGCAATGGCAACGATTGATGGACCGCCTCCAAGCAGCGACATACCGAAGGAATACCGGGTGACACTACATGCCACTCGTCTCCTACACGTTGAATGTAATACAAAGACTTAGTAATACCATGTTCTGCCAGGATCTCCTTGAGGTCTGATTTGCTGATATCACTGCACTTGAATCTTTGCTTTACCAAATCTGGCCTTCCGTCGGGCATGATGGCGACTTGAGACGTCGTTGAGACAAAGAAAATTGGGCTTGGATGGGTCTGATATTCGAAGACGTGTTTTGGATTGGAATTAAGGATCTCTTTTATATTTAAATTTCGGCAACTCAGGGTGGTAACGAGAAGCCTTGTTGAGGCTCATCTCGTCTCGTTTTATAGGCTGCCTTGTTTCGCCCGATTGTTTGCCTCGAGTAGAGTCAGTACTGTGATTGCGAACGGGCGTTAGACGTCCTGCCAGAGAGTCATTCATTGTGATGAATGCGACCAGGAATATTCAGTCACTTCAAAGAGTCTTTGTCAATCTCACCAGCATACTTGATCTGATTGCTAGAAGGTTGAAGTCATGTCATCATCATACGTGGCGTAGATGATCGAGGCTGGGCCGTCAGCGCGAGGAACGGCTCGCATTCACCGGGAAATCTGGCGCGACGCATTGTGGTTGCCTTTAACCTGTGAAGTGCAGGTAGACTCGCCTCACATTGTCTGCTTGGTAAAAATGAGACCCTACACCAACTCCCCGGCTCACGCGGAAGAGGAAAGCTGCCGACCGTTGACTTGTTCTCGTCCTTGAGCGAGTGCATCAATTTCTCCCTATGTATATTCTAGAGTTTATCATGTTCTCAGCAGAGTTCTCCATCTTGGCGCGAGTGAGAGGCCTTGGTATCAGTGTCAAAGCATTTCCGGCTCGGCAGGAAGTTGGTATCGAAATAGATGGGCAAAGAAAGGCTGTTGTGATATGTCACTTGTGAGTTATTGTCATCGAGTCGCTTGCTACCTCCGGAGGTCCGGATTTCATTGCTAGTCGTCAGGCTAAGTATTTGAGCTACGAACAGCTTCCAAGTTTGATATACTTTGGGTTCTTCTGGCTGTAATTTTATGCTGATCGTTGTCCTTGTTTCAAGTCGTCTTATTGGGCAAGCACTCTCCCGTGCTTTGCTTATAGACAGGCACCTGGAGTTCCCTTGCTCAGGTGCTCGCTCCGATGCATCTTATTCGCAGGACCTGAGAACATCCTACAACCAATACACCGAAATTGAAAATTAGCAACGTATTCAATTGGCTTCAGGATGATGTCTGCTGCAAAGTTTGAAGGTCCAAACTCTCACAAGGGAGTGTCACTCACATCTGAGAGAATGTGAGGTGCAACAATGTAAAAGTTTCCGTTCTTATACTACTCCATGCTCAAAATCCGCTGTTAGTCGTTCATCAGATAGGTAGGGGGACCACGAGTAATTAGGATCATCTCGCTTCCAAGGGTGATCCGGTACTAGACTTACATGTACTTCCCACTCTTCTGGCCGGAACTTCGAGCGCAGATAACGTTTCAACTTGTCCTCCTTGAGGTAGCGGGCTGAGACTTGCTGAGGATTTCTCTTCAAAAGCTCTTTGAACGCACTGCTGGTGATTGAATGCCCACTGCTGCTGTTGGCAGTGCTTAAAGTGGAGGACCTGCTAATACCATCAGAATCAAAGGATGGTTTGTAGGATGTCTGTTGATCAGGAGACATGGTAGATACACTGAGTTGCGACTTGTAAGTTGGCCAAATCTTGATGATGATGTGAATTTGGAGGAGGAAATCTAGAAAGGTCGAGCTGAGGCCCACTGAATGAGGTCGATAACATAGCATTTAGAAACAGGCAAATGAAGGCTGCTGACCCATGCAGCCTTCGAGTACGCTGCTTTGCGCCCGGTTGCACACACACATGTCGATGTGTACATCCTAGCACAGTGCCTAGGCAGTATCCACTGTATCAATGCAGTACGAATGTGGCCGACCTACCTGCAGGTCTACTGGCTACTTGGAGATTCTGATTGATTGCCAAAGATGATGGTGCCCAAGCTTAGAGTGCCCAAGCTGCATTTGCTGGTAAACGAGTGCTGCGTGTTGCGTTACGTGGGGAGCATCCGTTTGTACAATAGTTTAAACCTCAGGTATGAGAACGCCCAGAAATGTATTGATTTGCCCGATACCGTGCAACGTAACGCTATTCAAGTTGTTACACCTCACAAAATACCAAACTGCATGTTTTGGGAGGCTGGAGCGTGCATACCCGCCGTGTTCGTCTCACTTCCACATACGGGCAACAGCCCCGGAGAGTCATCCTCCAGGCTTGCTGTGTCCCTCCCTGCCACCGTCGGCAGATAGAAGGCTGCTAACTACTAAGAGATGACACCGGCACGATCAAGTCATGTCCGATAGAGTTTTCTGATCATCAGTGCTAGTATAAAGTTCAGCTGACGCAACAAAGAACATGGCAGACAGAGGACATACGTCCAAATCGACAGCGATGGGTGGACGAAATCACGTCAAAAGTTCATTGGTAAAAGGAGATATAAGATGCACCCCAACTCCAGGTTTTCATCTTCGAAGTGCCTCGATTTGGCGCTAGAGAAAGTGAGCATGATGTCAGCAGAAGGGAAACCGAAGGAGTAGAAGAGGAATCTTGACAGTCCAGACAGTCTGCACAGAACATACCGATTCAAGAGGTTGCGGTGCCTCGACCTTCCATGTATTCAGCTGGCGCTTGACGGTGTATTCGGAGTCCTTGTGAAGCGCTTTCAGCAGTGTCTCTAGCCTTGATCTGTCGATGTAGCGGCTATCGAATGTTTGCACGCTGGTATGTCCCCGTGCTATAGGCATGGTGTACTCTAGTAAAACTGTTCAAAAGTTGCGGAAAGCTTGGTGAAGAAGATGCGGACTGAGCAATTTATGTTCACCGCCGTGGCGAGCTCAAAGTGCTCGGCGTGGCAAAAGCGAAGGGCAAACATACCACCGACTGTTGACTCCCGATGACATTTATTCGAGTGGCTGTGGGACAGAGCTTGGGGGCGCAAGGACCTAGAACAGCCGGCGGGTGACAAACAGGTATTTTCAAGGGGTACAAGAACGAAACGCCACTAGTAGACCGGTTGACTGGGCTAGCATTCCTAGATATCATGGGGTAGGACACCATTGTCATGGTATCTCCTCGACAAAAAGCTAGTGAAGAGATTAGAGACAGCGACTCATATATCTACCAATGATAGCGATCTCTGTTTGCTCCGGTTGTCAGGCATTTCGATGCAATCAAACCTCGTGTTCGTCCGGCGAAGTTGTCAACACTCAGCCACGATGCCTAGCAATTTGCTGTGTGGCAGGGATGGATGCCCACGACGCCTTTTTTGCTTCCGGCACAATCATCCTGGGTGGTACAAGAAGTCGCCAAAGTCACCATGCCATGCACACTGACACAATCACCGTTTGCAAGACAAATAATTACGGAAACTAGGTCCAAGCCAGATGGTTTCGCGAAATAGGCAGATGGCCTGTGTTCAATTCCGCTAAGTTGATCGCACCGCCGAAAGGTTGAGATCTTATCGGCCAGACCAGTAGTAGTAAGTCGCTGTCTGACCAACTCAGGTACTCAATTGCTAGCAAGGTGTTCGATTTTTATGTCTCGATTTGCGCACTGTAGTCCAAGAGGCTATCAAATTCCCTGTGATCAAGTAAAAGGGCTCTGTTAGTCAAATATGCGGCCACTACAGCCTGCATGGTTAATTCGCCTGAGATCATCCATCCACTGCACCACCACCAGAGAACCTCTGCGCATGGTCAATGCATCTGATAGTCACTATCTTCCAGCCTTCGCCAACCAGCAAGAGCAGCGACTTTAGGATTCGACCGGACAGACGAAGTACACTATTCTTCACTCTACTTCAACCACAACCACCACGAGTGATGGGCTCAATAAGGTCAACGCGAGATCTGGCATTGATCTTTCACCGCTGCTGTGAGCTTTCTGAAGAACTTTTCATGATGAGTTAACGATCTCGAAGGCTCTCCCGACGGGCAACACCCCAAGCCGACTGCGGAGTCTCTGTTTGACACTTTCAGCTACAGCCTTACCAACTCATATGCATGATTCAAACTGATCCCTACCGTGGCTGCAGCAGATTTCCCGTGTATGCGACGCAGTGAGTAGCTGCAGCTACGGATTTTGGAATCCTGGATTTTGTTCGCTTCTCATCCACAGAAGACCCTGGTTCGACTGACAACATGGAGGTTCTCATGCACTTGATGCTCTTCGAGAGATGTGCCCTCAGCCTGCCCCACCCCGACACATTCATCCTCCTCAAGCTTCGAAGCCTTGACCCTGCTCGTGCAAAGCCTCCGCCCACACTGTTTGTCGAGGACGTTTCTCAGAAGTGGATGCAGCTCGTGGTGATCTCTAGCTCGAACATATAAACATGTTAACTCTCCTTTGCTATGGCAAGCTCCAAATCTCCGGCCCGAGCCTTCAGGATTTGCAACCTGAAATCATTTCTGAGGGCACACCCAACGAGAAGTGAAAAGAGATGCATGGTTTGGATCTTGTCCTCTTGTATGATTCATCGTCTGTCTGGTAATGTATGTTCCATCCTCAGAGTCCAACAAAAACCATATCACTCTTGCCATCGTCGCCACAAGCAACGCCCGAAGCTCAAACACAAGAGAATGCAAAAAGGCTCACCCTATTTGGATTACCACTGCGGTGACAAATAATCACAGCGACCACCTCAGCCTCAGGAGTTCATTATCTTCTTGTTTCGCCAAGGTCTTCTACGCCAAGGTCTTCTACGCCAGAGCGTCCTTCTCCATTAAAAATGCCAGCTCAGATGGCTTCCGAAGATGAAGCCAGCCAGGTACCTGGAACCAGCCCTTGGAGACTGACTGTACGTACCGCAACGGTGGACGATATTACCCGGCCATCGCTTTCATTGCATACCGACGCTTCATACTTGAGTCCTGTCGTGCGTTCGAGGTCAATATCATCTCTACGAAGCCCAGCACCCTCAGTTGAAATGGAAGAACTAATGGATGATATCTTTCCCCACGAGGTGACTGTACGGGTGACGACAAGATGGTCGGCAGGAGTACCTCAGACTCCAAATGTGTTCAGCAATTTTCCATGGATAGAGAAGGGCCGTTACGAAGACCTATTGCCAGCACAACCCACCAGGAGAAGACGAGACACCAGTCCGGATTCAAGGTATTTGAAGATTTATCATCGATATGGCTCCATTAGAATTACTTCATCGCCAGAACTTGATGAGGATGAGGAAGCGCCACACCATCATCTGCTCGACGATGCTGAGAGCTCAACATTATTTGATAAAGCTATTCAGCTCATTTGTGGCTTTATACACCATCACCCACACCGAAAATTCGCGCTGGAAATCCACTGGGAATGTGATTGGGTTTGCGACCCAAAACCCATCCGAGCTCTGGGTGGTAGCGAGCCATCCAATTCCAAATTCAGAAAGTCGTTACTCAATAAGTGCCAGAAAAATTTTCAGGACCAAGAATACATATCCCGCCGAGATCAGTCTGCCTTTCAGGAATATGAAGTGGTTAAAGATCTGGTCTATCATGACCACTCACTTTCTCATCTAGGCGACGATGGAAAGGAAGATTTGGTCGACAAGATAATAATCGAACCTTCAGCATTGAAGTTACTGCTGAACTGTGTTCTTTCTGGTTTCCCCTTGGAAGTACTCCATCATATCATTTTTGTTCACGGAGCTCACGATCAAACACAACAACAACCCGACATAAGGAACTGTGATCACGAAGACTGTTCGACATATGTTCCCGTGATATGGGCCAAGCGCACCATGTTCCATGTGAGAAATATCGAACGGGACTTTGGGCACCACTTGCTTCCCAACTCAGAGGTCGTACCATTGCAGTACACGGGAAAGGACAATAGGGCTGAAAAACTTGGCGATGGTGCATCGGGCAACGTATACAAGGTCCGCATCGACTCTGCACACCATTATCTTTCCGGGGTAGGTCAATTCAGCTTAATCCCCATCTTAAATGCTACCGCTAACTCATCATGGCAGGACCCACTGTGTTCTTTTGCTCTCAAAAAGTTCTCTGCTGGTCGTCAAAAGGAGTTTGATCAGGAGAGGAGTATGCTTAAAGTCCTTGCGGACAACCCACAACCTTGTATTGTGCCCCACATTACAAGCTGGTCACAGAAGGATGATCATTTTATATTGTACCCTAAGGCAAGATACAATCTGAGGCAATTCATGCAAAATGTTGAGCCGGTTAAATTCACGAGACATGAAACCTTATGGTTTCTCAAGCAGCTAGAAGGCTTGGCGCTTGCTATCGCCCATGTTCACGACATGAAAATTCCTACAAATACCCAACCCGAGCCATCGGAAGGTACCTTCTGGGGCTGCCATTTCGACATTAAGCCTGAAAACATCCTCGTCTTCGAGAAAGTCCATGGTCAGCATCCCAGGTTCAGAATTGCAGACTTTGGGGTGGGTGTCTTTCATCCTGCGGGCAAAAAAGGGGCGCACTCTGAACTAACGTCAGAAGCGCATGGCACGGTGACTTATTTTGCACCAGACAAGGAAATCACTAACAAAGTTTCGCGGCCCTTTGATATGTGGGCTTTGGGTTGTGTATATTTGGAATTGATGGCTTGGTTGTTCGGCTTCTTCCAAGGAATCGAAGGCTTCTCGACAGCACGATTCAATTGCACAGGGGCCGATGTATCGAACAGGAACGACAGATTCTGGTATATGAAACAAGGGACACCCAGATTACTACCCACCGTGGAGAACGTCATGAGAGAACTAAAGATCGTGTGCTGCCCGCGGATGCCCGCGTTCTTGGGGGTCCTTGAAGCTGTTGACCACCTTCTGGAGATCAACGACAAAACAAGATGGAAGGCAGAAACTCTGAAAGAACACATGGCTCGGATCATAAAAGAAGCAGATGCCCTCCTTGAAATCGATCGCAAGTTCTATCATTCTCAATACGAGGCCAACTCAAAAGCCAAAGCCAAAGCCGACTACCTCGCAGGTGACTTTCTGAGGTCAACCCCTCGAATACCAGGTGTTGCCAATGGACTAGGAACTGGAATCGAGAATCCGTCATTTAGCTTGGAACAGTCGCGATCTCGACAACCACGACAAGTCTCGCAGGCTGACAGAGCTGCTAATGCTGTTGTCCAAACAGGATCGAAGCTTGATGCAACGCTTACCACCAACAGAGGTCGAAGCACTTCAGGTACCAGTCTGTCACCCATTCCTCGTTCGCGCCCCGACTCACCTAGAGATCCTCTCGCGGAGGATCTGGACGCTATGGTCAATGCTCGACCACCGCGTCCAGCCGTCCCACGAAAACCCTCACGCCTGTTTAATCACGGCGGCCACCGAGCCTTGTACAGTCCTCCCTAACATTGAATGGTCCAAATGGGACAGATAGCAAACGAGATGGAGACACAGTGATACTTTGGTCCAAGATAGCCAGCCCCCCCCCCCCCCAGATGTCAGAACAGCATCGTCACTATATTGGTGAGATGTAGGATCAAGGCTCAATCGCCCACAATCTGATGACATCCCAAATCCCACTAGGACGAGTGACTCACCAAATATGGTTCGAAGTCATCATCAGTCGAGAACGGCTTGCATTTTCAGCAAACGCTGTATCATGATGTCGAATGAGCTTTTGACCCTGCCATACAAGGTCAGCATTGAGCCCAGGGTGTGAGGAAATGTCCCATGGAATCAAATCAACCAAGGGAAATGCTATCTTGCGGCTACACATTAGTCTGGCAATTGACGGACACTGTCTCATTGTGCGGGCACTCTAGGCGAACAAGGCATGACTTCACAGGATGATGAGCGAGAGCAGCCCATGCTTTTCTGCTCTCATTTGTCAATAAGAGAATTGTGCTGTTCTGGACCTGCTTTCTGAGGTGGCTGAAAGCCACTACTCTTTGTTACAAAACCTTCACGAGACGGGTTCAGACAAGCGGATGATATAAGATTATCGAAAGTAGAGGCCCAGTCCCAAGCTAAGTGGGTATGAACTCATATATCCTGTGTTTGAATTCACACTAATCAGGTACAAAGGTGTAGTTTTCATTCATGTTCTACCGAGTCACTATCGGGCAACAATCCAGGATCGGCGCCAGTCAGAAATACTTTCAATCCAAATTGGTGGAGAAGTTTCGACAGCAAGGAAAGGGAACCGAATGGCTATACTAACGGGAAGACGAATAGTTCCATCATTTCCAAATATCGCCTCCTCTCTGAAGCCCAGCCTATCGCGCGGTGTACATGCCGATGCCAGAGTGATCACCGACCTCAAGAACGCCCGCCCGCTGCCTGTTTGTGTCTATGCTTATCAGGGAGGGCAAGGCTGACGACTTGATCCCGAATACAGAATCCCATTATGATCTCCCACCGCAGAAACTGCTTCAAACTAGGCGACGACAATACGATTATGGGTTGTAATGCTCTGAATCCTCAATTCTAGCAAAACATCGCATCCCACTGCTAGCCCTAGTCGGCGGCAGCCTACATGCATAAGCCCGAGAAGACATCTTGATCAATGCAAATTTGACCATCCTCCCGTACACCGCGGATTGGCACGTCCTTACACTCTCCCAGCTCAACTCCCCTCTCCAACCAATGCAAAGATACAACGCGACGGAAAGGCTTACCCAGTGCGGGAGATTCCCCCGACCGACGGGAAATGCCTCTCCACACTTCGCATCGACGATGAACCCGCCGTGGCCGTACGTGAAGGACTGCAAACAAGACGCTTCAGTGATGCTGTCCCATTGTATTCCGGAGCTGGGGTTTCGATATTTGCAGTTTCCGTAGCTGGCGGCGACGAGGCTGGAGGTGCAGATGGAAATGGGTTCGTTGGTGGATCGTCAGTCAGTCAAGCGAGCGAGTAAGTGAGTGAGTGGAGGAAAAGGGATTTGTGGATGCCAGGCATGGAAACAACTGAGTCGATTTCTCTGGAAGAGATGAAAAGAGACTTCAGTTGTGTCGCTGTGTATTTATGTTATACTCTATCTTGCCTTTCTATATCATAGGTCATCACGTTCCTCTCAAGCGGCTAACCTGAATGATTCTGCATTATTGTTGCAAACACGGTCTTCTCCCGCCGCTCGACTCTACCCTCTCCTCCATCCAGGAACTCAAGCACCAACAACCTCCCTGAAGCCTCTCTCGCCAGCACGGAAGCCATGCTCCCACTCCCAGCCAAAAGGGCAAGTATTCGAGTCCGCGACCCAAGCCTCACGCATGCGCTTGAGGACCCACAGATCGATGGCGCCGATGGTGTCTGCTCCGATGACTTTGTTCTCGTCGCCTGCTGGCGGGCCCCATTGTGACCCGGGCTGTGATGAGGGCACAACGGCGTATAGTCTCGCTGCGAAGAAGTCTCGGGCGTCGTTCCAGCCCTGCGAGTAGCCATCATTGTACCTCCAGTGCTCGAACGGTTTGCCCGGGTTCGTACTGTCCCACCAGTGGGAGTGGCCTGTGAAGTTGGCTTGTTGGTTTTCGCCGCGTTTGCTGTCCGCCAGAGCTAATTTCTCCTTCACCTCGCGGATCGTGAATGTCATGCTCTTGGGTGAGATGATCTGTCCGCTATCAGTACCGGCTTTAAAGCCCCATTCCCATCCTGGCATCCATTCCATCTTGAATGTCCAGAAAGCAGAGCCGCTGGCTTTTCTCTGCCAAGTCTTGCTCTGCTCGTTTCCGAATTGTTTCATGAGATTATCTTTCTGGTCTGCTGGTGCTCTGGACCAAGTTTGAGGTGCTAGTGCTTGAGAGTATTCGCCGATGTAAACGGCAATACCGGCACGGTGGTTGAAAACATCGCCCATAAGGCTGGAGTCGAGTTCCGGGAGCTCATTCTTGACTTGCTCGATGATCTCATATGGATTTCTGGAAGTGTCTTTTTCATCGAAAGTCCAATACTTGTGACAGTCAACCACGACGGGTGTCTTGGGTGGTCCCTCGACAGTGTTATAAGCTCTTGTGAACCCAGCTGCACGGCTCAGCTCCCATCCATCGCTGATGTACAGAGGGATGCTGGGATCCATAGCAGAAACCCGTTGGATGACATCGTTGTACCATTCATACATCCCAGGAGGATTGATAATTGACTCATTGCAGATTTGAATGCCCACCACACCTGCCAATTGTGGGTCACGAATGGACTCGTCTGCAATGAATTGGATACATCTGGTGGCGAGATTCAGGTTGAACGAGTTTCCCCAGAGCTCAGCCTTGCCGCTGCTGGTTCCAGAATGAGTTTCGTGGTTAGCTCCACCAGGGACGCCATGCAAGTCGATAAGTACACCGATTCCCCGAGCGTAACAACGGGAAACGATAGATTTGACAGCAGGCCAAGCATTGACATAGACTTGCGAAGGCTTCCCGGCGAAAGCAGTGTTATCACAAAACCCTGGGCCAAGTGTGAAATAACCTATAGGCAGGCGAATATTGTTGGAGTGTGCAGTATCAACAAGCCAATTCAGATCGTCGTCCGTGAGAGCATTAGCCCAATGAGCTTCCCACTTCCCTCTCGTCTCGTCAAGGCCACGCTTCTTGAGCGAACTACGGTATAGAGGAAGCTTAGAGTCAGTAGGTTGCGAAGGGATGCTTTGGATGAAAGATCATTTAGGAGACCCACGTGGTAATAGCATCCAGCTCACTGCTAGACTTGACGCCTTCATCGTACATACTTCCAAAGAGCCATTGTTCGAGGATGAAGATCGAGCCCAGATTAGTGCCATGTTGATAGCGATACCTTATGATGTCTTTGGGTGACGGCCGCGTCGGCTGTGAGGCGGACATGGCAGCTTGTGGAGGGGGTGGTAGTGGTTGAGGCGCTGCTCGCTGAGCTAACAGGTAGAAATTGTCAGATCAGAAAAATATGAGGGTCAGGTTATCATAACGCCCAGCCCAGCTTCGAAGAAGGGGGGTAACAATGTGCTTGAGAATAGATCACAAGTGTGTGTAGGGTAGATATAAATGCATCGCGATGTTCGAGCCATATCCTGTCTGTCTCAAACATCCACCCTTGGTATTTGTAACAGGCAAGGCTGAGCAGGAGGCAAGCGCCGACGGCCCATCCCATCCGGCCCGCTGTCACATCCATGGAACTTCCCCCATCACCAGGAATATGATGTCAATCAGGGCCATTCAATTCTCACCACAGGGAGGAATCAACTCGACAAATGAAACGAAAGAACGTAGAACATACTCACAGAGTCATCTTTGCCCTCGACGAGATCCTGCACCTCCTGAAACGCCTTTTTGAAAGCCTTCCTCATGATTGCTCGCAGAGATGTTGTGATTAGTTTAAGCTTTCCAGAGTCACGGAGAACCTCTTCCGAAGCCTGGGTCGTTCGAGCTTGATTCAGCTTCTTCTTGGAGGAAGGGTGGTTGAAGTATCCGTCACGTCATGTGCTCGGGAGAAGAAAGAACTATCTTACCGGAGGACTGCTGATTTCTACAGCGATGTTGATGCCAAGCGACGGTGACGTGGTTTTTGTGGGTACATACATAATGTCCATGTCTTGGTGTTGCTTGGTCTTTCGTTTTGGTAAAATGGTCAGTAGCGTGATCGAATGCAATCACTGGCAGAAGAGAAGGAAAGCATCTCAAGGTCATGAATAATTCGTGTTGCGATGATCTTCATGTCTCTAGATGAAGTATCCTAAGGCACGTAGTTCGTAATGAGGATCTAACAAGACGCGAATTGAAGGCAATTCAAGTCCATCATGCACATACGTGAGTTCTGGGTCATCCTGTCATTGCGTTCGTTCATCTATTCTTTCATTTCCATGTCCATGTCCATTTGCTACCTCATCTCGACCTCGGTTTCCATGAGGGCGCTCGTGCAAGCGCTGGCTGTCAGTACTCGACGAAAGACCGTCTCCAAGGTCCAAAGCATAGACTAACTCAAACAGAGCTCCCAGTACACAATGCTCATTTCAACAACAGATCCATTTGTTCTCTTCGGCGATCATGGGCCTTCTTAGCCTGGGGCACATGGTCCTTAACATCACCGATGCCAAGAGGATCCAGATCGTCCGCAAGGGAAATGACTTCTGCATCTCTTTCAGGTTCTGCGAGTAGTGACGAATCAGCAGTCTTGTTTATGGCTGCTTCAGGATTTTGCAACAATTGAGCCACAGCAGCTTCTTCATTGTCTGTAGTGGGTATGAGGGTGGGAGGTTGGTTGTCGGTGGTGGTTTCTTTCTCTGAGCTTGGTTCTGGAACGCTCTTTTTCAACTCTGATTCGGACTTAGAGACAGGTACAACCTCGATCTCTTTCTTCGACCCGAACTCTTCTGGTCTTGGAGATACAGCACGGCCAGCAGATCCGACGGGAGTTCTAGTCCTCGATAGCGGCTCTGGGAACTGAGAGGAAGCCGTCAGTCCAATACTAGCCTCGCTGGTCTCAACACCAACCAGAACAGGCGTTCGTGCTCTCGAGATAGGTACAGAAGCAGAGCCAGATTGTGTGCCTACTGATGTCCACAGGTCTGTTTCCCCATCACTGCCACCGTTGGGTTGAGTTTTGATTGGCTTGCCATTCATCTCATCATCCGTGCGTCCGAACAATTCATTCCACCATCTGGTCTCTTCAGATCGTGGAAATATGAGTCTTTCTTTGCCACGGATGTTGTCGTCGACAGCGGGGTCGTACCTGGGATTTAGAAACTCTTTCTTTCGAGCCAAGAAGTAATCCCAAACACTTCTCGTACGCTCTCTCAGACGTGCTTCCTTCCGATCCTTCTCATTGTCGAGGAGAAATGTGCCATATTGACAAGAGTATAAATGATAAAGTAGGCGACGCAAGAATCGCTCAGAGAATTCAAATCGTGTAGGATGTTGATACATGAGTTGATAGGTGGCATCGAGGAACTGATGGAAAACTGGTGATGTCTCTTTGACTTTTGTTACCACTTTCTCCTTCTCCTTCTTGGCTGTTCCGGACACAATACGCCGAGCAGGTTGAGACTCGGAATCATAGTTGGCAGCGGTATCGGCTTCCGAATCGACATTAATTGATTCCCTCGAATCATTGTTTCGACTGTTGGAGAAGAACCCTTTCGCACTGAGGAAGGCATTCTCGAAGGTCTTTTGGGCTCCGGCAATGGCATTATTACCTGGTTCCTTACCTTCTGCGTCTTCAGTTCCACGACTTATCCTTTCATTTTCGATTTGAAACCATTTCTCTGAACTGAGAAAACCCGAGCGATGCTTGAACATGTGACCGAAACTCAGCCAGTCCTTCTCCACCAGAATCATGAATCCTTCCATGGTGCGGAAGTACGGATCCAGACATATCTGGCTCAGTGAAGACAATTGACTGGTCCGATCCCAGCCATCACTGCAATGTATCGAGACATGACTGTGTTGTAGACCGACCTGGCGTGCTATCAAGCTCACACCGTCCAGAACGTTGGCAATATGTTTCAGCCAATTGCTCTTTTGTAGGAGATCACGATTTGGGCCCAATGGGGTAAGATCAGAGTCTTTGAGAGCGTCAATGACTTTCTGCAGACTATCTCGCATGACGTGAATGTTGTCGATACCGAGATAAGCTTTGGTCGCGAACTTGTAGTTATTCATGTCCTCAGATCCAGCTCCAATGGTCTGCATAGCCAGTGCGTTCAGGGTAGGCCTAGCATCGACAATCATGTTTCTTTGTTGAGCACCATAAACTACCGACTTTTTTTCCTCTGATTCAAGGGTGCCAGCTTCTTCTTCATCGCCTCGCAGCCGAGAGATGACAGCATCTTCGAGTGCTTCGGTGTCAGTTTGCTGCAGGTCACCATCTAGACGTGTCGAGCAATTCGTGTCTTTATCTTTACTTGAATTCAGATCCTCACGTTCCGGGGGTGGGGAACTGTAGGCCGAGAGAGGACGTTCCGCTCTGGTCGTATCGAAGATTGCGGCGAGGAGCTTTTCGTCTTGAATGCTTCTGTTACCTCGGACTCCGACAAGGGGTTGAGAACATCTGGTAATGGAGCAGTCATTGACAGGGTGGATGTATGTCAATGCTGGAATTCTTGCTCTAGATCGGTAGCGGCCGGCATAGTTGAGAGTGTTATCCGAAATAGATGCAGGGACGACGAGGACTGAGGGGTATGTGGGTGAGAACTGGCTGAGATTAGTCCTGAAAGAGACACCATGGTGCATTGTTCAAAATACCGTGTAGTCTTGATTCAACTTAGAAATCCTCCACTGCTGCTTCTTGGTCTCATCACCCACGCCCATCCGCCGAAACTCTTTGATAGGATCATACAACGACCAGCCATTGGGTGAGACCTCTCTCTCAGGGCCCTGAGGCTGGTATGTAAAGGCATACAACTTTTCGATACCGCTCAACTTGCAAGTCCAAGCCCGGATGCTGTCGTAGACATCCCTCGCTTTCCGGTCATCGTTGAGGTAGAAACAGGCAAACGTGAAATCACGACAACGTAAGCGGATCGAACTGGGTTGTCTGGAGGCGGCGGGACTGGTACGAAGAGTACAGGTGTGGATGATAGGATACGTGATCCAGAGCTCTCGAGGTCGTACAGGTTTGCCATTGGGTGCGGTGGTGTTAGAGTCGGTGGAGGGTGCTGGGGTGTGGACGAAGATTAGGTGGTGAGGAGTGAGATGGATTGTGCCGCCGACTTGCTCGCCGCGTCGAGACAATGTGACATCTTCGACCTAGATGAGAAGTGTGTTAGATTCCCGAGTGATTGAAGACGCGACAGGAACGAACCTTAGCGATACGAGTTCGTTCCATGGCCATGATGGGCGGGACTCTTGAGCCTGCGCGACGACAATGCGTGGTTGCTCGGCGGGGAAGATTGGGACGCAACTACAGCATGGCTGCAGGGTTATGAGGACAAGAAATGGAACGGTAAATCACCACGAATGCTCAGTCTTGTAGACATGAGCCAGTGCTGTCAATGAGAAAATTGTTCAAAGAATAAGTGAAAGTCGATATGATAATATACTAGACTGGTTGGTTGTAGAGGTGATACGTCAGAATCCGAGGCCGAGCAGATGCGGGCCGTAAAATCGACCAGCCTTGTCCATCACGTGGAGCCAGCCTCGTCGTGACTTTCACTTCATCATCACTAGCACTCTATATATCTTCCAGAAAACAACCAAAGGGATCCAAGGCACAGTATTATATGTTCAATTGTTTTCATTTTTCGGCTTGTTTGCTCTTATCATGTCTTTTCTCATCTACTACATCAGAGAACCAAAGTCTGTCCATCTATGGAAGACACTTGCTCCAATTGCTGGTTCTTGTTCTGTCCATATCAGGTTTTCTTCAATTGTTCTGCTGTCTCTTCTCAGCCAATTTGTGACATGTACCTTCCAGTAGTCCTGCTGTTTCATCTCCAATGCATAAATGTAATCAATCAATCAATCATGCCGAGTTTTTGGTGCCGAGCAGGTCTGTCTGTCACTGCTCCATTATCCGCATCTCTTCGTGACTAATAGTACAAACAAAGCTGTCTATCTCCCAATGGGAAAGACTCGCCTTCAGTATTCATCACAACTGCAACACTGCAAACCCCAAATACGTGTGGTTTTCCAGTCTGCTTTCCCAGACGCCGCGCTATGATCAAACAATAAAATGAAATGTAGTCAAAAGAAACAAACCCACAGCAATGCATGCCTGCTGGTCACTTTAGACATTATCTTCAAGACTGTGTCTCGGTTTTCCTGAGCCATACCACGTCACAAAAAGTCATCAATGTGTCGCAAGATCTCTGCCGTTTCTCCATGCTGATGTGGACTTCGTGGATCGAATGGTGCAAGGATCCGTTCTCCCGAAGGATTCATGTGTGCAGGGGGGAGGATCACCTGATGTCGAGGCATGACGAAACTCTTTGAAGGCTTCAATGTTTTGGTTCGAGTAGGAACTGTCGACACATCGCCTGCCACGGTAATACCAAAAGGTGATGCCATAAATTCACTGGCTCGTGGTGACAAGAGAGATGGTGTGTCAGGCACATCTTGCATGGCCAGATCCATCCTCGGGGAGTCAATCCTCAAACCTAATTTAGGGGTTTTAGCTGCCGGTTGTGCCATTTGATATGACATCTTCTCCTCAAATTGCTCCCTGAATGGCAGAGGGCGTGGCGACGCTGGCTGAAGGGCTGGCTTCATACTCTCGTCCGCTGCCGGTTGATGAGGTGGACTAGGTGTTCCAATGCTGTGCAAAATCTGACTGAGCTTCACGGGAGTCGCCACTGGTGCTTCCTTCGGAAATAATGGAACGGGTGGTAGAGCCTTGTTCAACTTCAACGCTGGAGTTGGCTTCACAGTTGCAGGGGTCAAGATCCTGCTCTGTGCCACGGGAGTCTTTGAATTCTCCTGTGTAGCATATTCGTTTGCCTGGGGTGTTTGCCAACTAGATGTTTTTGCCACGGGGGTGTCGGCGTTCGAGAACGGGTTGGCTGCTCGCGTTTCCCACCAAGCAGGGTTTGGATTGTAACTGAGGTCACCATAAACCCCTTTGACTACCTTTGAGCGGAAGTCGGTAAGTTGGTAAATCAGACTCATATTCGGTCCCACCCATTGGCTGCGCTTTTTCACAGTCATGTACATGGAGTGGAAATCGGATTGGTAACCCTTGTACAGACCGTATGCGATGACAAGTGATGCTGAACGACTGACGCCGAGCTGACAGTGAATGAGCACCTTCTTACCGGCCTGGATCCTTTCATCAATCAATCGACATAAACAATACAAATCATCCAGAATTTCCGAGTTATGGTCCCACGGTACATGCAAATATTCCGGACTCTTTGGCTGATAAAATGATGAAGGTCGGGGAGTGGTCGGGGTCTGCATTTCACTAGGCCGTGGCCACTCCCAGGCAGACTTGAATGACATTTCAGAGATGGCCGTCTGAGGTTCTGTGATTTCGGGTTTCGATGGAGGTGTCGGAAACGGGCACTTGATTTCCTTGGCCACGTTGATCACCGTGTCAAACTGACTTGCTTCATCGGCCGTGGGTTCTAAGAATAGATAGACTCCTTCATCGTAGATCAATACGGGACCATTGGGATATCCTTTCTCTTGTGTTTCCTGAGATTTCAGTCCATTCATTTCGTCCTCCTCTCGTAGATCGGGTAGGCTGATGTTAAGTGGCTGACTAGAAGAACTAGAATCCGAGTTGGGACCTGATGTAGAACCCGAGTGAATGCTTCCACTTGAAGGGAGATGTAAGAACAAACCCTGAGGAGCTTTGGTAGGAGAACCAAGCGATGCCAGGGCAGGAGATGATGCCATATGGTGTAATGAGGGTCTTGAGCTGGGAGTGGGTGGAACATCCAAACCAACACGAGGGAAGGATAGTTGTTGGAAGCCAGGAGTTCTTATGGTTAGATTGTTAGGTTTCCGCCTTCCAGTTCGAGGGGTGTCTTTCATGGGCGAAGTAGGCGCCGAAAAGGCATGTGAACCCTCGAAGCCATGTGCAGTAGCTGGGCGTTGTAGGAGGATGGGACTGACATTCAATGACAGATTCTTGACGTTCTTAGTGGCATCAAGTGGAGGGGGAAGCCGTGGTGGGGGCATCGAAGGAACCTCGGAGCGAACAAAGGTCTGGTGGTGGTAGTCTTTTGGGGGGTTGTGTGTATGTTGGGGCATGATGGATTTGAATGGAGATGTTGGCAAGTTGGAAGTTGCAGACTCTGGGGAAGAGGAGGGGGAAGCGTCCATGATCAAGGGCGAATCAAAGGTGGAGTTTGTTGTGGTGGGAGAGGACTCGGTAGAAGCCGAAGTCATGGAAGTGACACTGTCACGGTGGTGTAAAGATTGAGCGGATTGATCGAGAGGTTGTGAGATTGGCTTTGCGTCTGTGACGAGAATTTGGGTTTCACTGTTGATTGTATCGAGGGTGGGCAGCTCTTCCATGTCCTTTGGGAGAGAGTTGTTTCCGTCCCCAACCACTGACATGAATGATGGGAAAGGTGTTGACATTATCGAGCCGAAGTCGACGGGCATGGTAGAATACCTCGGAAAGACGGTGCGTCTCTTGAGGCAGGGGGAGATGGAATCGAATTCTGGGATAGTTACTGCGACGGAGGAGGTGGGTTGACCATGGTGGTGGCAGTGTCGAGAAACGGTCAATGGAGGAGGGGAGCAGGAATCGTTGGCCAAGTCAAAAGACCTCTTACGCTGATGAGTGTCAGCATGAATGATCGAGGTCTTCATCTTTGTGCCTTGTATAGGTATGCATTGAATGGAGGAGATTGAAAGGTGGAGGCACAACAACGCAGATGTCGAAGTGGTTGAGTCGAGCAAGAAAGGAAAAGTAGCGGAACGTACCCAAAACCAAACAAAGAAGTGAGTAGTCGGTACCAACAAAGAATAGGCGGTGTCGGTAGAGAATTACGGTTCAACAGCGCATGCGACAAGAGCGAGATGATGCCTGACCTGGGGCTTCTCTCACAGTTTCAGATTCAGCGCGTATCCAATGTGCGGCGGAGCAGGACAGGCAGTGTAGTGTCGAGCGGGCTCCACCAGGGCCAAGTTGAGCGGGGATGGGATTTCAAACAATAACAGCGTCCTCTTGAAGCTGGATGCGCAACAAGAGATTGAATAGAGCGGACGATACCCGAGGCGTCTCGAAGGGTGGTTGAAAGAGAAAGAAGTTTGAAGGTGTCGAGAAGAGAAGTGATCACTGATGATCGGGTCGCGATGCGATGCGGGAAGCGGGTGCGCAAAGGTCAACGGGCGGCAAGAGGGCTGTTGCGACCACAGGCGTAGGGAGTAGGATGGAATGAACGGATACTGGAGAGTGGTCACTGGTCGGCGTTGAATGGTGGGACCGTCGGGATTGGCAAATAGAAATGGACAAGAGGCGCGAGATGGCGCAATAGAGAGGCAAGAATGGACGAGAGAGATTGGGGCAGAAAGGAGAGATGAAAAGAAGAGAAAAGGACAGCCAGGTCCAGGATGGTAGCAAGTACGAGGGACCGGTAGAGGTGCAGGTACAGGATCAAGGATGTGGCATTATTCTTGAATTGCAATTGCAGCGATAATCAGAATGAGGCCAGCCCAAGTGTAGCTACCTAAAGAATGCAAGCACTGCAGTTGAGGAAGAGTGCTCGTAGGCGCTTGGGGGGAAGTGGCCTCGGCCTTGGAGGGGGAAAAGCCCCCAGTCCCAAGCCCCAAGCACCAATGCAATGCCAATCCAGCGACGATCCACTCTTCTTGGAAGGCTTGGGCGTGGACAAATCAAAGCTGAAGAACAGCATGGCTGGAGAGTTTGCGGATGGCTTGCAGGCGAGGGGGCTGAGCAGATTGGATGAGCTGAAGACCTGAAACTCGCCGAGGGGATACTATGAATAGATGGACATGGGTAGGGCCACGGGCATGGACAATAATAAATGGAAATGAAATTTACCGCGCGCATCCATTCCCCATTCCTGCCGATCCACCACCTGGACGTTGATTTGAGGGGATCCCTAGGCCTCTTTCTCAAACAACCTACCATAGGACCACCCCTGGAGTCCTGGACTCGTGCCTCTCCAGTGCTCGGACTCCACGGACTACTCGTACTCGTACCTAAGTAACCAGGTCTTTGCCCGGGGAGAAAAGGCTTGGGCTGACTGTTTTCTCACTGACAAGTCCAAGTCAGAGCCTCACTCGGGTCAGCTGGAGAATGCATTACCTACCTAGGTAGACACCTGAACAATTTCCCATTCCTCAACAATAATAGTAATGATAGACACGTCACATGTCCATAGACCAAAGTAATCCAAATTGCCCTCAGGCTGGCGTTTCAGGTTTCAGACACCGTACTTCGTACCGAGTGCCTCCGTCAATGTCTGTGCGCGCCACCTGAGGCTTGTCCTCCTTTCCCCTTAGTCCCTGCCCTTCTTGGCTTTCCCACCCGGAGTCCCTCGTCCCTGAGTCTGTCTCAGAAATATCAGAAACACACAAAAAGAGGTGTTTGGACCGACCGCCGCTGGCTGGCATTCAAAAACCCAACAGGCAACCACTCTTTTTCTGTCCTGGTTCATCTCGCCTCGCTTGCGGCTCTGGTAACCAACAATGGCATGATCTGACCGAACCTCCTCGGCTGAGAAATCGTATTTCGATACAAAACACATGATGATGATGACACTGATGATCGCCCTTCCCTGCCATGTCCATGTGTCCATGACAACAAACCCAGCCCTCTGCGACTAGTCGTTACAACGTGGCACGCGAGATGAGATCGATCTGGATTTTTCCGAATATCAAACAAAGACAAATCATGACTAGATCTGAACTGAACCCGAATTTTGCAAATTTGGAAAACCATCCATGGGCTTTTCTGTCCTCATTCAACTCAACATCAGTCTACCTACTACTACATGGAGTACCGAGTATGCACCTAACCTGCACCCTGTCAAATGATGCTATGAATTCCCTCCCCCGGGTTCCAGTCCGTTGTTTTATCAATCGACGCCAACCAGGTCAGCTGGCCTGGTGATGATTGTCCCAAGATTGCCAAACAAAAAAACTTTTGTGGGAGTGATCCTATGTCCTTCTTCCTTTGTCCCTTTTCATCTAAAAACCAAACTAATGACGCTTTGTCCATCCGAAAACCCAAAGTTGATCGGAGAGGGATGTTTTGTGTTATGGTTGGTTGTGAAGTGACTGAATGCATGAGCCATCGACAACGTGACTTCAGCCTTGTCAGAAGAAAAGACGATGAGAAGAGATGGCCACCAAAAAGAAACTGATAATCGTCATGAAAAGTCGTAAATGTCGTGAATGAATGTCCGCCATCACCCTCCCATCAATGCTTTCTTTTAACCTCGGAATTCTTGACATACAGTCCTCCAGCGCCTCCATTGTTCTTCGCCCGGTGATTATTCACTTTATTCCTCGCACTCATGGCGGCGGGATAATGCGAGAAGGAGAAATTCGACCAGTCACGGTGCACTCGGGTAGGCCTCGACACCTCAACCACCCGATTCAGCTCCTTCTGCGGCTTGTCGTAGGTGAAGATGTCTTCAAAGTCGAAGTCCTGGGACGACAGGTCCAGGGCATCCAGGCTGGCTTGGGCTTTGTCGAGGAGTTCTCTTTCGGCGTCAGAAAAGGAACGCTCGAAACTCGCGGTGCGGGCGTAGGGCACCAGTTGCACTTTGGGCAGGGCTCCGGGTGGTGTGGTGGGCGATGATGACGATGACGATGATGAAGAGGATGAGTTTGATGTGGATGTTGAGCTTTTCCGCCAGGAAGGATATCCAGAATCTGACGACAGGGAGGTTGGGCTGTGAGGAGGTGAGTCGACGTTGGACTTGCCGAAGAAAGCCATTTCGATGTGATCAAGTATGGATGGATGGACTTGAAAACGGTTTGGTTGCCGTCTTCCAAGCCAAGTTAATTGCAATATCTCCAAGATTCCAAGACAGTCTATGAGAATCGATAGACCAGATCCGTGAGTCACTGATCAACAAAAGGGCGGATGACGGCTGTTCTTTATTGAAGCGAGGAATTCAGGTACGAAGCAGGTACCGACGAATATCAGGAATCCAGGTACGGATACCTTTGTTGATTCCCCAATCAATCAGAATCCGACCAGGTTATGAGGTGTAATTCGTAGAACTGCCGGGTCGCGGTATATGCTTTACTCAAGGGACAGAGTACACGCGGTTTTGCGTGGAATACCCAGAAAACCCAGAATACCCAAGAAATGGAGCCCGCCGGTTTTGATGTCACTGTCACTGCACTGCGTGTTTCGGAATGGATCCTTTCCCAGGTTCCTCCCGGTCTTACGTGTGCCAGCGGATGTACGAATTGGAGACCACTTGTTGTGGTTTGTGAGTGGTGGTGGGTTGTGTGAGCAGGTATAACGGAGTACGGCGTGCTGTTCTGTTCGGTGCTGTGCAGTTCTGTGTCTTGGGTTGCAACTCGTCACAATAATCGAAATCATGCACCAAGGCGGAAATGCCTCAACTCTTATATGATTGAAATCCAATGCAAGACAAATAGATATGCAATTCCAATGTGGAAACTGTGGTGTCAAAGACTGGAGACTAGAGACTATGGCTCGTTCAAAAGGCTGACTACGAGGTACTAGTACTAATAAGTAGCAACACATGTGCCATGCTGGTTGGATATTGCGACATCGGGTAGCATCATCCAGGCACCATAAGAGTCAATCAACTCGAGAAAAGTCGACTTAGTACACAAAGAAGACGTGACCGATTCAATGGAAATTAATTGACCGACCCAGCAGCCGGAGCCCAGAGCAATCAATCGAGTCAGCCCGCCCTGGTCCATGAGGCCTGCCTCCCTTAAGGTGCTCATTGCTCATTGCTCAGAAGAATCCGTGAATCCATCCCCCAAGGCCAAAGGTGCTCAATATCTGATGATGGCGTGTTTACGCCCCGCCTTGACATCTTGTCTTCCGGCGTGGTCCTCAGACTTGACTCCTCATCCTCAAACAAACGTCAGCCTGCCACGCTGCATGGCAAGCCAAACACGTTGCGAGAATCCTGAAACTCTGTGCCATTTTGTTAGTCATTGGAATTCTTCTTTTGTTCTGCTTCTCCTCTCCTCATGTCTGCTGCACATCGAAACATCAAAGGCAGGCCACCTATCTAGCCAACTACCAATTGTTGCATGATGGCTGTCACTCCTCTACCGGTGGATACTTTTATGTCCTCGAAAAATTCATCCCCCAGTCATGCTCACTTCAGCGTGTTACAACGTTTCGAAAAGACTGGCCATGACAGTCTCCTGTCTACTTTACACATCATGTCTTTGCCTCCGCCCTGATTCTTTGCCTTGGCCCATCCGTCAGTCATGACCAAATCTCCCCTGACTTTCTTCGCACATGGTTGTGTGCCATTCGGTGGCCTCGTTGCGTGCTCCAGAGACGTCCGTCATTGGAACATTCCAGGTCTCGATTAGATAATGCCATTCCCACTCCCTGATCTGCCGGAACTCCAACTCCACTCCCAGAATCCACTGCTGATCACCTGTCGTCTGCCAATCAAATATGCACACTCCGGTGACACCACTCCTGCAGTGATGGATATCCATTCCGAGAAATCCGGCTTGCTCCGTCGCAGATTGAGAAACAACATTTTTGTTCGAGAGATTTTCATTATGCCGATAGCGGCATTGAAGAACCACACGCATGACTCCGAAAAGCTGAGGCAGACCCGATCGAGAAGATATCTAGCAGTATCAAGTCCAGGTTTGGTTACCACCTTAGTCTAACACACATCCAACGCGTCCACTTCAAGTTGCACAGCTTCAACATCCGTTGCTAGAATGCACACCATGCTTGTAGGATCTTCATGGGTCCAAGCGAATTGTCGTCAGCAGCTGGGTGCCGTCCTTGAGATCAGAGATCTTGTGATGATTGTCCGCTTCTAAGGGTCAGAACTTGTGTTCTTAGCAGCTTTAACATCGATCCTGCCTACCTATAGTCCTTCCAAAGAAGTGGACTGACCTTTGATAGGTACTTAGGTAAGGTATGCAAGACAAAAATAACCCCAAATTCGATGAAAAGGAAATATGTATATACTAGAAAATAGTCGTTCATCATACCCAGCACAAATAGGAGTGTTGTGAAGCCCAACTGGCCCAGGATAAGGCCAATAAACGCTGCGTTGCGACGCCGGGAATATGAAGTGCCGCTTCGTCCGCCCAACATGTCCAGGGATGAGATCCATATTGACTTTGACCTTGACTGGTGATCCATCCACAATATGAAGTACCTGACGATCAATAGAATACAGCTAATAATCGAACCGACTAAGACCAAAACACCTAAGAAGTCGTACAGCAGAAGGTGTAGGTCTCTGAAACGAGTCTGCATACTCAGGATTCCACTTGCGAGGGACATTGGTAGACATATGCTTGCGAGTATACTCAGTAAACGGATGCTTTGGGCATCATACAGCCCTCGGGAGAGTTCGAACAATCTCAGGCGGTCTTGCAGCGACGTTGCTCGTGTGGTCATGGTCTTTTTGATATCCGTACATGTTGCCTGCAACTCGACTGCGAGACTGCGACACTCACAAGAATTGGTGGCGTCCCTCATGAGTATTCTCAGAGATTCGACCAAGACATCAACAGCTCCGGTCAGATCGGCGAGCCCCTCGCTTACCTCTTGGTAGAACATTGCTTCTCTGTTGATCTGCGCAAGCGACGCAATCGTAAGCATGTTTTTACCTTGGTCTGTCAGGGCAGTCCCTGGCTCGATGCTCTTAACTTGGAAATCCCAAACTAGGTTGCAGTAGTCCTTGACCAGGAGATAAGTGTAGCGCAGAAGCAGCAATTGCTTCATGCATATAATAGGAGGGACAAGCGATCCTGGGGTTGGATCTGCTTCTGTCGGTCGCCGCAGGCGTTCGCAAAATTGCTCATGTAGTTTATAGGCAGCTTCAGGGGACAGATTGTCAGGGTTGGAGAATTCGATGGTTCCTGAACTGGACAACAGCTCTGACTTTCGCATCATCGAAGTGGCGTCAACATAGACTAACACTGGTTAAATTTCATGTTCTGGGAGAGACGAAAGGTTCGCCTACAGGAAATTTGGCTTTCTTCCTCCGAAACGAACATACACTTCAGTGTTTGTCGGATGGCTCCGGCCGCTAGAGGCACATAGTCGTCGGGCGAATGTCCCAGATTCTCCCATGGCCGATCCTCCAGTGTTAGCCTGTAGGAGCACGATTTCCAGCGGACCTGCTCCGAGGCTGGGCCCCATTGAGACACCATCGCAGAGGAGCCTGTAAAAGCTCGTCGTTGAGTAGAGAGACTTTTGATGAAGAGGTTCTCCGTGAAGTACACACGAATGGTATTCTCTTCTTGCGCTGGGAGGTCTGCCACAATAGCTGCTGCATCGATGACATCCGTTGCTTTGTGGAGTACCTTTGCAGCATCTCCAGAGAATGAAATGTCGAAAATTTCTAGAAAATTGCATTCCTTTGACACAACCGGTACCCACGCGCTATTAGGGTCATCAAACTTCAGGAGTATCCGTTCTGGTGGTTGAGAATGGTTCAAAGGCATGGGAACCGCCATGAGAGTTTTGAATATGCAGAAAAGAATAAATAGCAATGATCAGGGCGTCAATACTTGCCAGCGTACGTACCATTTGCCAACAAGTGCAAGAGATATCAGGAGTGGTGAATCTCTTGCAGCGCTCTCCATGAAGACGTAGAAGGCGTCAAGTAGGTTGTCATTCGGGGAAGACCTAGATTCACTCCTATTTCCGCTTGCGCTTCGCACGTACTGATGGTGGACGTTAAATTTAGAAGCTCGATGCACTGGCTGCCTACCCTGTCAGGAAATCAAGCTGTGGCTTGAGATGTGCCTCGGGGTAAGGATTCGTACTCCGTACTGGCTGAGCAGGAGTAACGAACCATGTCAATGAACAGCATTGTCGATTCATTTTACGAGTACCTCGTAGGCTGACTCGAATTCGACACCTCAGTCTCGAGTCGAGGGTTTTGACAGAGTGAGGCTGAGCGCCAGGAAACATATGTGTATGATGGGATAGGTTCCAGCACCCGCAGAATTCCTGCACGCTAAAGGCTAAGCCAGCCGTTGTGTAACCACCAGCCTCAATTTCCACAGCCTTGTCCTGGTCCGAAGAGGCATGAACAGAATTTCAGATCATTTCCGCAGCAGGAGCAATAGGAATAGCCAATTTTACGGCCTCATCGAGAAAGAGAGCAGGCCTTGTTCCTTACCTGTAAATCCGTCAAGACAACTGGCAGGGAAATTGACGCACATGGATGTAGATGAACGGAGGTTCGAAGAAGGGTGGTAGACGACGACTCACAAAGTCATGCAAGGTAATGTCCGTCCTTTATCACGCTAGCCACATTTCGCGAGTGCCAGGTTAGGGCTATTTTCATCTTGACCCCAATGGCCTTATTGTACACCCTGCTTTTTCAGCCTCATGAATATTATCCCCTACTCACAGCAACTTCGGGCGCCAAACTTGGCGAGTATGATTGATTCGACCATGAAATAGATGGCTACCAACCTCATTTGTCTAGCTGAGTATTTGAGGTAGGATATCACGAGAGATGCATTCAGAAACAGAAATAGAGCAAGCCGGCAATGTTGATGCCTCAGCATATATTCAGCCTTTCAATACCATGAGAAAAACACCACATCTTCTCCATACTCCCGCTCCATTGATCCATATCCATTGGCATATCCATTTCTGGGGGTATCAAGACATCGAGAAGGACTGCCTTCTCGGGAGGTTAAAAAACAAACAAAAACAATGAATAATCTGTACAGCTATGATACAAATCGCTGTGAAAATGTCGTGCTCACCCATCCAAACTCTGACCGGCGGAACCTTGGCCTTGTCTGTCTGATTCAACCATGGGATTTCCCAACTCTTGTCCTGGTGATACATTTTCACGACCTGCTCGTGCTTCGGCCGTCTCTCGAAGACTGGTGCTTCGTTCCGCCTTGGCTTGCCGTAGTCGATTGCTGACACTACTAATTCTGCTGGCGAATCCTAGACTCCTCCTAGAATTGGGTTGTCTAATGCTGGCTGGGCTGTCCAGTGCGGGCTCAATGGGACTGGATGCCACATTGGGTACTATTGTTATACGACCCCATGCGTCTTTAGGCGTCACGGGGGTTTCCTCTTGAACTCCCACAGTACTGCCGGGAGATGCATACTTGCGCCTGGAGATCAGATTCGTGCTCAAATTGGATGGCATAGCACTCCTCGTCACGGGCGTTGTCTCCTTAGAAGACGGCATTGGATGTTGTGCTGTGTACTCTCTTGAGTAGGCAGCTCGATCCCTGGCCATCTGTCGATACGTGCTGACTTCGGTCATTGCGCGACTGACTGGTCGGACAGATGGACTAGCTTCCTCGTCATCTGTGTTTCCGTCCAGATATCCTGGTGTTCTTCGACTACGGAAAGACGTTGGTGTGCGTCCCACCCTGGATGACGAATTGGTTTGGATCTGTGGTAGAGCTGTCGGTGGAGTCTGATAAGGATAATCTGCAGAAGGTTGTGGATTGAAAGCTGCACCCAGAGGAGCACTAGTCCTTCGACTATCCAGCCGAGATTGTACTCTGGATGTCACTGGTGGTCGATCATTCATATCGTTGCTGTATCGACGACTTCGTAAGCCCGCAGAAAGTGGTTGGTAATGATCTCTGCTAGCTGGTCGCGTTACTGGCGCCGGTGCCGGCTTGGTCTCTGCCAAGATGGCAATGGCAAGTTCCGTCAGGCTTCGACACATGCTTTCTGTTCGTCGACGAACCTGCCTCTCGGTCAAGGAATGGTTACCGACTGTGCTTCCTCCTACAGTCGATCCCTCATGGTGCATCATTAAAGACAGTTGCAAAGCATCTTGAGCCGTGGCTTGGAGTTTTTGGTACACTTCGGTACTGAGCACGCCTTTGGCATTACCTAGAGCCTCATGAAGTAATGGATGTACATTGGATGGAATTCCCTCCACTGCGGACTGTAATGCCGGGACAGTCGATTTCTGTTTTGGGGAAGATGACATGGTTGTGGCTGCTGTAGTCGCCGTCTTTGGTCTCTCGGAAGAAGTCATCGCAGCAGCCGAAGATGGAGGTAATTTACCTGTGAGCTCGAGTTTTCGAATCCTCGATTTCAGATCGTCAAGTTCATCCCAAATCTCTGATGGCGCTGTGGTGGAAATGGTCGATTCAGTTGCATTGTGGTCAACTAATCGAGAGCGGTCTTGAAAGCCGGCTTCAGATACAAGACGGTTGGTTCGAGCAGTACTCGGCCGTTGTTGTCGGCTGGCTTCGGTATTGGCATTGGAGTGCCGCCGTGACATGGCTCGTCTGGGGAGGTCGGCAGGAGAGTTGCTGTGAGTGGCGTGTGTATTCGCGGGAAGGTCGCGAGAGATTGTTTCTTGAGTATATGCCCTGGACAATGCACCAGGTATGTGCTGACCAAGGGATGCCCTCTTACTGTAGTAGTTGATGGCATCGGAGCGTCCCGACATGCTCGCAGTGTCGAATTGCTCGTGAATCGGGGACGATTTGTAACCAGTTGAAGGACGCGTATTGGAAAAGAAAGGCAATGATATCCGCGATCGTCGCTTGTCCATCTTGGACTGCGCACCAACACGGCTTGCGTCTGTTTTGGCAATGTTCAGAAACAAATCCTCACTCTTCCGCTCATCACTACTCGAACCTTTGCTATCATCCTCAAGGGTTCTGACTTTGAGATGATGCGCACCCATGTTTTCCTTTTCATCTCCACTGGCGGCGGCAACAGCCGAAGGGGAGATTTTACTCATGCTCGAGGTGGGGGTGAGCAGAGTTTGGGAGTCGGCAGTGACAGAGCTCGAGGTCTCGAGGGGGTTTATTTCGTCCCCTGAGGAATCAGGATTGGGAGAAGTGGTGACGTCGGGGTTTAGGGATGATGGAAGTCTTGAAGTAATGGATTCGGGTTCCACAAGCAGTTCATTGGACTTTGTTGGTGACGTGTCACGCGTCGTGTTGTTGGGGTTGGTCGTTCGAGGCAGTCCACCGTTGCGGTCGAGGCTACGAACGCGTTCCTGGGAAAGAGTGCGTTGAGTGCTATAAGAGGGAGGTGGACCAAGAAAGGTCTCGACGCCGTAGCTGCTATGGGAGGCAGGTGGTTTCCTCTGCTTTTGGGAGGGAGAGCGTTGCAGCTGCACGGACAGTGGATGAGAGTTGACGCGCTGCAAGGGGCTCGGTGGGTGGGTGAGGGCGCCGGAAGAGGATGGACGTTGAGTGTCAGAATTTGATGGAGTGATGTCCGAGTCGTGGGTGAGTGCGAGGCGGAGGGAGGGTACACTAGAGGTGGCAGCTAGCTTGTGCATGTGTGAAGGATTATTAGGATCATGAGCCTGGACATGAGCACGTCTCCGTAGCGGTAGCGGCAACGGGGAAGTCGAAGCTGAAGCTGAAGTGAAGGTGTTTGTGGAATGAGTCCGGATAGTGGATGTCAATTTGGGCTTCTTGCGGAGTTGCGGGCGGAATGTCAAGTCAGTCGCAGCGTTAGTACGTGTAGCAGGGACATGGACATGGACATGGTTTCTTGGTTGACGGACGGTGGTGGTAGAAGTAGTGGCAGTCGGTGGAGATCGGGAGTGAGCCGTGTATAGTCGGGCATCTGCAACGTGTAGAGTCAGGTGGTTGTCAGTCCCACCAGGATAAGGCGAGAATAAAGATGGAGTTGTTGACGGTGTTGTTGTTGAAGAATGGATGGTGTTGTGTGTGGTGCCGGTGGTGTCCTCTGCTCGGATATTGAGATCCATCTGTTATCGAGGGCCGAGGGCTGCCAGTGATGGATGGGCCTATAGTGGCACTTGATTTGGCCCATGGATCAAACCCCCGGCTAGCCTGTCTCGCTTGTCTGATGGTGAGGTTTGCTTGTCTCTGGTGGTCCTCGTACTCAAAGAAAAGGAGAAGCTACACTAGGATATCTGGGTCATTGAAGAGTTTACATATTCATCAATTGAGGGTTTCTCGGTAAATCTACACTTGGACGCTGGTTGGGCTCGGTTTCCAGAGCAGTCTCCAGCAGCAACTAGCAACAATAACGTGCGGGAGCAGAGGCGAGCACAGTTTAAAAAATGTGATCTGTGTGCGTTTAGGGTCTGTATCACGCCCAAACCACGAATGTGTGTGCATGTTTGGCAGGGTTGGCATGGGCTGCCATGAGCTATGGTTTCAGGCTACCCCCAGTCGAGTCAAGTGCCCGGAGAGTTTTTTCGTTAGGGCCCTTAGGCGTCAGACGGGACCTAACACCCTAAATCAAGGAGGGGATTATGGAGAATTCAATGCCCGTATCTGAACAATGGTGACGAGGGAGAGTTGACCTGTCAATCAAGAGGGTACCGAGTACTTTGATTGTTCTTGATGCCGGTTTTACTTTATGACTTGAGCAAGCATCTTTAATTATATCAATACTCTGTGGATACCTAATTGACGTCCTGTCGATCAGTACAAGGAAGACAGGGCCATGGACGATCACCCCTCCTTTTCCTCACCGTCAACGCTGGAACAACTTCGGACCTGATTTTTCCGATAGGCGCTAATGTAAGGTCCACAACAGTGCTCATGCCATCATCCATGCGTGCCACGTCTCTCAGGTTTATGCTCACTTCAACACATCCTCAAGAGTATTATAGCATGGTCATGTTGAGCTACTGAAAACCCATCTAAGAAAGCGCAAATATATGTGAGATTCGTGGGCAACACAACCACACTTGAAGCCAGGCAACAATGCTATCCCAAAAAGATGAGTCATGCCACGAAAGACGTCGACTTAAATGCCCTGTAACGGCGTCTGTTTTGTAACCACCTCTCATGATCATGGCTTCGACCAGACGGATCAGAATCGTCTGCATATCTGATACTCATAACCAGACTCCTAAACTTCCACCCGGAGACATACTGATCCACGCAGGAGATTTCTCTAACCAAGGTACTTTCTCGGAGCTACAGAAAACCGTCAAATGGCTTCGGCAGGCACAGTTTCGTGTCAAAATTCTCGTCTGTGGCAATCACGATGTCACTTGTGATATTCCATTCTATGAGCAGCATGGTGGGAGGTTTCACAACAAGAAAATCGAAGACCCTCAGCGTTGTATCGATCTATTTCGCACTGAACCCACCTTTGTTTATCTCAACCATGAGGCTAAACTGGTCCGCCTCGACTTCGACGACAACACTTACACTGTACTGAAGGTATTCGGGTCTCCATACTCCCCAGCTAGGGGTTTTTGGGCTTTTGGCTATGCTCCAGAAAAGGCCACCGAGCTATGGAACCAGGTCCCTTTGGATTCAGATCTCATCATCGCCCATACTCCAGCAAAAGGTCACCGTGACCGGTGTAGTGCCCGTGGCACTGCAGGTTGCAAGGTTTTACAACAAGTACTCGGACGAGTTCGACCAAAACTCTTCGTATGTGGACATATACATGAAGGACATGGTGTTGAGATTGTCACATGGGACACATCGAGTCTTGGTAGAGGATGCGGAGAAAGTGATATTCGGCAGTATGAAGACCAGGCGCCCGACAGTAAGAAGCTATTCACTGTCGACTTGTCCTCGAGATCACGTGGGTCCGCATTGCAGAACGATGGCAGCATCGATCATATCACGTGCCTTGTTGGTCAGACTGTGCAGGAGGTGACACCTGTTGACGGCGAAGAGACGATTGCGTTAGATGCTTCCGGGTCGAACAGAACAGCCTCCGTTATGGACCTCATTTCAGATTTCGAAAAGAAAGAAACACGTTCTGGTAGGCTTCAGACTTGTGTTGTCAACGCCGCTTATATGGGGAAGAATTGGCCACACAAAGACGGCAAGACCTTTCACAAGCCCATCGTGATCGACCTTGATGTTCCCATCCTAACGAACGCGACTATCGAAGAAACTTCAGGTTGAAATGGGATTTGATTCCACTAGCTTAAATCTTCTCCACACCGCACCATTCGGCAATAAATAGCGCTACAGCAATAGTGACGTTCTTGATACTCTTCACACTGACCCATTCATCAAAGCCGTGAATATTTCCAGCCAAAGGACCATAACACAAGGCCGGAATCTTATCATACAGAGAATGTACCCGGGAATCGAGGTAAGCACCCGAGAAGGCCGACCTGAGCGTCTCACCCGTCGCTTGCTGATGGGCTTTCTGAAGAACACTTTCGGCGTCGCTACCCGGTTCGAGCACGTAACCTTCAGCGTAGAAGCCGTTCCAGGTGACTTTTGGGGGTGTCTTTTTGAGAAAGTCGTTGGCCTCGGTCACTTCGGCCACCTTGGCCTCGATCTCGTCGGCGGCTGATTTCGCACTGACGCCCGGGTAGATGGCTATGCGGCAGTCAACGCGACACCACGCAGGTACGGAGGATTGCCAGTCTCCAGCATGCATCATGGCGACATTGAGGTCTGTTGGGAAAGAACACGACGATTAGCAAGTGTAATCGCTCTTATTGGCAGGGAGGGAAACATGGGTGCTTGGTTGGGACATCAGACTTACTCAGGGGATGCTCCAGCTCTTTATGTTGCTCAATATAAAGCTCGCGTCCGATCTCTCTCGCGTTCCAGTCCTTCTCAAGTTCTCTCAATGCCTCAATGACTTTCCAACTCGCATCGATCGCGTTCGTTCCGGTGGCCATCTCCCTCACATGCACTGGTTTTCCTCTGACCTCGACTTGAAACCATAACACGCCGACATTAGCCCGCACCAACTCTTCTCCCACGGGCTCCGGAATCAGCGCGGCGTCCGCCTTATACCCCTTTAGATGCGTCATCAGCGTCCCGTTGCCGGTGGACTCCTCTTCCACCACAGACTCGAGAATGACTTCGCTCGCAGGCTGCAATCCAACCCGAGTCAAAGCATCGAGCGCCTTGACATAGACACCCACTCCCGCACGCATATCCCCAGCCCCGCGCCCATACAGCTTATCGCCCTCGATGACCCCGCTATAAGGATCCAGGGTCCACAGGTCTGTCGGTCCCAACGGCACGACATCGACGTGCCCATTGATGATGAGACTCTTCCCGTTGGGAGCCTGCTGCTTTGGCTTGTGCACGCCGACCACGATGGGAGCTTTTGAGTGCGTCGCGCTGATTCTCCCACCTCCCACGTGCTGTGCGATGGCCTCGGGATCGATGTCGAACTGTACCGGGTTATAGCCTCGATCCGAGAACTGCTTGAACATGAATTCTTGGATCTCGCCCTCCTCGCCCCGCTGTCCGCCCAATTGGATCAGCTTCTGCGTGAAGGCGAGTTGCTCGTCGAAGCCATCCGACACGGACTTGGTGATCGAGTCGATCAGCTCTTGTGACAGTGTTGGCTCCTGTGACTTTGCCTTGACGCCGGGAGCCGTGGCTATTCCGTGATTCTGACACATCGTTGCTGCTCGTTTAATCTCAAGGGGTCAAGACGTATGTACTTGATCCACCGCTATCAATGAATAAAAATAGTATGATTATGTACAAGTCCAACACAAGAAATAATTAAGAATATATTCAATTCGAAAAACAATCGAACACGAAACCCATATTTCTCCAAAACGCCTGATCATTACACTCATGCTCCATCAACGCCCACCCTCATATCAGGAACCAGAGAAAACGTCATACCCGCCAATCACAGAGACTTGCGCGAGCCCTTCTCCGCACCATCAAGCATGGCCTTGCCCCTCCAAAGTCGCAGCGTCCGAGGCAACGGACATGTCCTTCGCAAGGCGATCAGATCACTTTGGAAACACACAGAAATACTGGAAAGGCAAGCACATCCGTGGCAACCGCCTCGACGTGCCAGGATGTAGGAGTGGCTAGCTATCTTTGGGAGGGGAAAAGGCTATCAGATATCAGATATCGTCACCTCGATATAGGCTTTCTGAGTTGGGCTTTTAACGGGTCGTGGATTGTGGTTCTGTACTATCCGTTCCGACTTGGTCTTATCTCATTTTGCTGAATATAATTCATGGAGTTTTGTCTACGTGGCCGGTGCAATCTAGAAAAGGGTGATCCTACACCAGCATCGAGTCGAGACATGGTTAGAGTCGCCCAGTCACTGCCCTGCCCTGCCCATTGTCTAGTGCTGACCTCCTAGATATCTAGACATCTATCACTAGATATTTATTTACTCTCGTCTCGCAGCATCAAATACTTCAGCCGATTGTAGAATCCATGTCCCGTAATCAGTTCATAAGCATGCGCCCCCTGCCCCCCAAATCATCCCGTCCCGTGAATCCAAGTCCGCTGTACAACTGTACGAGAAGCACCACCAACCCCCACTCCGAACCCACACGCCGCGATCCGCATTGCGCCGCGCCGCGCTGATTTATTTATATTCGGCGTGCACAGCGTCGGAGGAGAAATACGAAATGCATGCATGCATAGGTACCATGCTGTGTTACGCTCTGTACCACAGCGAGCGGAATAAATGAAAGGCCTGGCTGGTCGTTGATGCTGCGAGCGGAGATGTCAAAGCCCATGCCTTTGAGACGTTGAAGTTGAACGCGGGATGAATGTAACTTGGAGATGGTGGGGTCTGCTCACGCCGTATCTGGCATGGCAGTGCTTGGGATGGACTGTGAGTGTCTTCTGATTTTGCGTGTAGTGGTGATTAAATACAGGGTATAGATGGAGATGGATGGGTTCGAGGGATATCAGCGGTACGTTTTCGTCGTTGTTCGGACTATCTGATGTCGGATAAGAACGCGAAATGTCATAGTTGCAAGAGTATCTTTTTCGTCAACAGGAAAATAAGAGGTAATTCTTCTTGTATGCTGGTATTATCAAGAATTCCAGGTTGAATACTGTATTTATCTCATTGATGTTCATGTGAGCTCATTACATCGTCAATCCCCATCCGAGGTGGGAGATGATATAGTTTGTGGATTTATTCTGTACAAAAAATGTGCCCTTGACCATCCCAGTGTTCTCTCCTCCCCTGCTACTCTGTGGGTAGAGCAGCAAGATCAAAGGGTCGTGAGTGGAGCAAGGGTTTGTGACATGTGGCCTTCCTGCCAACATATGCCTCCTGTATACCTGAGGTAGGTATTTGAACATGGTGCTGTCGACCTTAACGGGTTGTCCTTCCCCAGCTTGTGTGATCACCGGTTCCCCTTCCCAAAATGCAGTTAGCCGCTCTGGTATGATTCAACCTCCGACGAATCCCCTGCAACCAAGACCGACACCGTCCCTTGACCGTCCATAGCCCGCTTTCGTGATAAAGAAAAAAAGTGATTAAAAACACAGGGGAAGCAAACTGTGACGTTATGCACAATACATGCCTCCAATTCAGGAGAAAAGGAGTGGAAAGATGCTGGCTTGCAGAAAAGAGAGGATAAGGTTGTGGGTAACCTATTGAAAGGAGTGCTTGATCATGTTGATCAATATACTGAAGGTCTTCTGGCTCGTATTGGCTCCGGGAAACGAGAACTGTATTCAGCCTCGCGCATCTCTGCGTACTTGGCTGCTGAAGGGTCTCGGCGAGGCGCCATGTTGATCTTCTCTCCAGAGTAGGATCTGGTATAACGATCATCTGGCGGAACTTCCATGTACAGCTTGTTTCGACCACTGTCGTGTCGTGAAAGAGGAGGCGTATCACGTGGCGAACGTGGTGAAGCTCGACTATCAGTATGATGACCAGAATCGCCACGTCTGATAGGTGGAGGTCCACCAGCAGCCATTTCTGCCATCATAGATGCGCCCCGGGAAGATTTTGTACGACTGGTATCAACTTTAGGACGCTCAGGCTTATCCCGACTTCGGCGATCTGTTTCACGAGTATAGGGATCTCTAGAGATAGGCTCTGGACTGTGATAACGGGCATAGCGTTCGGGGTCTGGGTGGATTTTTGTGATCCTGGGTGCTCGTGCGCCGTCATCATCAACGATCTCAGGATCGACGATCTGATACTTGGTTGATGTAGTGCTAGCATAGCGACCTTTAGATGTACGTGGTGGACTCTGTTCCCTCATTTCTGGGGTCTGAGGGCTTGAGCTACTACTATAGCTTGAGTCGTGGACGTGAGCTTCTGAGTGTTTCAAGTTGGAGCCCTTTGAGGGTGCTGAATCTTTCTTGGAGCTTGACCTGGGGACGGGGGTAGTATGCGAACGTGTCATGGGGGGAATAACTTTTCGGTGTTCCCGATCCCTATCATGTTCCCGACCACGACCACGGTCGCGCTCTCGATCCCGATCACGAGAAACTCCCACTGTCGATCTTGGAGGGGCTCGCTCTTCGACATGAGCTCGCAAATTGTTGGGAGATGAGGTGGATTTACCAAGGGAAGGGGGGAAGTAATCCTCCTGAGTCCGACGACCTTTGGAGGAGCTCGGTCGCTTTTCGCTGTCGCTACCGCTTTTCCGGCCCTTTGGGTCGGCACCTGCCCAGTATTGGTATGCATCAGAACTGGTTCTCTCCATGCCTGGGCGATTTGAAGCTTTGCTGATATATGCTTTGACGTCATCGTGGTGTCTCTCCCACTTTCCATCAAAACTCTCTTCATCCAGATCGTGAGGCTTCTCAGACTTGGTTGATGTAGTACGGGGATAATCGGATGTCGTCTTTGAACGAGAAGAAGGTCTCATCGAGGGTCTGACTTGGGTGTGATCAGAGTCACTAGAATAATCATCGACGTATGGAGATCTTCTTGTCTGGACTTTTTCCGTTCGTTCTCGCTTCTTCTCTCGATCTGATTTCTTTTCCTCAGCTTTGCTAGATTTTGTTCTCTCGGCCGCTTTGGACCTCAAAGTGGAGGCAAATTGAGCTGCAAGACCAGCGGCGGCAAAAGACGTGGTAGTTTTTGGTTTCTTCTCGGTCTTTGGTGCAGGAGCCCGTTTTTCGTACTCGGGATATTTGCGAGAGTTTGACCTCGAAGGTTCATCGTAGGCATAGGGTTCGTCATAGGTAGGTACATTTCTGGGTTGTCGAACTTCTTCGAAAAAGTTTCCATCTTCTCGGTATTCGCGAGCATTACTTGTGTGAGGAGTATGTGCAGAGGGTGCAGCAGGAGATCTCGTGGAGTAATTTGCCGTGGAAGCAGCTCTCTGTGGCGAATCCCTCATCATGGATTCTTTGCGAAGTTCTGCTAGCCGGACACGATCATCATAACGTTGGCGTTTCTCCGCATCTCCTAACAATTCCCATGCTCGTTGAATCTTCTGGAATTCATCCTTTCCCTTTTCTCGTAGAGCCTCGTCCTTTATTCGATCGGGGTGGTGCAGTAGGGCGAGCTTCCGGTAGGCGGAGCGTATTGCCGAAAATTCCACATCTTTGGCCACTCCCAAGGCAGCATAGGGATCTGGAGGTAGAGGCGATGACATTGTTGAGTGTTAGAAACAGTAAGGGAGGAAAGGAAAGCCGAGCAGAATTCGGGGAGAAGATGTTTTGTACAGAGAGGTCTCAACAGCCGGTCTTGATGGCCATAGTGTGTGCCAGCTGTCCAAAGGTAGGTGGGTGTGTGATTTGTTGGTCCGGCCTGGTCGGTCGGTCTGTGGGTGGGTGGTTGGTGGTTGGTATATGGCCGCTGGAGGAAAACAAAGATTGGTGGCGGTCTGAAATGGTGGTCAAAGAGTCCAAATAGGTGAAGAAGAATTACAAAGATCCAAAGTCGGTATGGGGTAAAGAAGTGTTGGGTTGAGAAGGGTGTGTAAGGGTAGATGGTGGTGATTTGTAGCAGCGTTGAAGAAGCCGCTGACGAAATGAATGAGAAATGAGGTGGAGAGGGAAGAGTATGGAGATGATGGGAAGAGATTTGACGATAGTGATCCGTGCAGAGTCGGCAGCTCCCAGTTCCCAGATGTAAGTACGGGTACAAGGTACTCGGAGGGTTGAGTTCCTGGCCCTGGCCCGCCTGTATGTACGAGGTAGGGTAACTCGGGCTCTGAGTAAGAAGAGGCTTGAGGAACCTTAAGCCAAGCACTGCTGGTTCACACCCGACTTCCTCGGGCTTCGACTTAACCAGATTTGCCCTGGAGATCGTCGATTATAGGCTCTGTTCTCCGATCCCAGTCGCTTATGTAACTGACACTGCGGCACTTTTCTGCTCGTCACGCTTCGGGTGCAATGCTTCTTTGTTTTCTTTTTCGTGGCGGGCTTGCGGCACCAGGACCAAATGCTACTGTTGGACAAGAGTCTGAAGCAGAAGTCGAGTTGACTGTCTGAAGGGGGCAATTAAGGCGTGAATAACAATCAGTCAATAGGGTTGATCTTGTCCATTGGATTCACGGTGAGTGCCATGTGGAGAAGAAGGGGGGCAAAAAATGGATAAAATGCGTTGCTACTACGGAACCAGTACTACAACTAGGTAAAGATGGACATTCTTCCGGGCCTCAAGTCTCATGTCTCGAGTCTCTCGGGCTGGTCCTTGCTTGATGCTCTCATCACTGGAGAGTCTATACTTCGTAGACCCAAGGACCATGGCGTAGCCCCGGAGGCTGTGCTCTTACGAATACGCATTGATGATGGTTATTGTTGTCACTGTCGGTAGCTATTCCAAACCACGGTGATACTAAGTAGTCAGATTGTGGATGCCTAGATCTAGACCTCGACCAGTGCCAATTCCGGGCCCAAAGACCGAGTGACCCAAGCCCATCAAGGGCTGAAGTGTCAGTCACCGGTGGGCGAGGATCTAGTCATAGGCACGCCCGGGGACCTTCGGGTTGGTCGTCTAACAAAGGCCAGGTGGTCCTGGTCGTGGTAGGCTCTTGGGCCTTCTCTTCCCTTCCCTTCCGTGCCTTGCCTTCTCCCGTGCCGAAGCGATGTGCACGCCACGTTTCGACAAGTCGATTCTGGAGAAGCAATATGTGGTGCCACCAGCATGATCGATTTCCATGACTTTTGGCTAAGTATGAGAACACTGGAATCGAAGCAGTCTACAGACCTACAGACCTACAGACCTATCGTTCGACACTGGACGTTCGATGACGAAAGTGTTGCTGGTGGAGATCCAAGGCTTTCCCTGTTATCAGCATGTCGTGCTCTGTGTCATCAGCCCGAAGTGCTGCATCCCACTTCAAGAGGGTGTTAAAGATAGTACAACTCGCAGTCACAGCCAGTCAAAGGGAGCAACACTTGCAATTCTGCGAGACCATGAGCTGCTTTCTTCTTTGGGTCGCTACGGGCCTTTTCCATGCCTCGTCCTGCTCGGGCTCGTCGTAAACCTCATACCAGTCGAACCGCCTTCTCCATCTGCTAGCTGGGACGATAGTCTGACCATCACCTTTCGTTATTGGAATTGAACCGCCCGCCAGGCAATTCTTGCAGGCCGTCCAAGTTCTAACAGATCCAATTGCCCTGGTTACTATCAACCCCTTCTGCAGCCAACGTGTCACGCTTCACATTCTTGTTCTCATTGACTGGCTACTTTTTGGACACTTTCTCCACGATAGCTTCATGCAACATGACCCCGACCTGGCATGACCTTCAGACATTCGAACCCATCTGCAGGAAACCCCATTTTTCGCCTGCTTCTCATTCCACGAGACGTGTCCGTCTGACCACTCAGCTGGACTCTACTGGACTGACCAGCTCACCAAAGTCTGCAATCCACATGGCGATTTTCAAGCCTGAGCATTGGACATGACTTCATGCAGCCTCTTTACCATCCCTAGATGTGATCTAGTCCTGGGGCGCAGTCAACCTTGTTCTTGTTGTAGTAGCCTCTGGACTACTAGGACAACAGGACTTCCGCGATTTCAGGCAGCACAATGTCCCACCCAGGCAGGCACGAGTTGATGTTCGTCTGTAATTCCTTCTGGGCTCTTTGTACCCACCATTGAAGAAGTATGAATGGTCAACTTGTGCCTGGGAATTGGAGCGAGACCCAAGCACGACAAGATCTTCGCCCCCAACCATCAAGCTGTTCACCCCAAACTCCACAACAGCCAACCGAGGCGGTCCGCTCCTGTTGTGGCCAGAAGCGGCTTTAGAAGAACTTAATTATTACTGGCTACTGATTGCCGTTTGTTGACGATTGGCGATTGGCCATGGCAGCTAGATTTTGCTTGTGGACTCGTTTGTGTTTGAATCATGAGGCATCGATTTCAGCTCAGAGGCCAACAGAGCACACATGCAACACGAAGAGCCCTTTCTGGGGCAACACGAATAATGTAAAGAACAATGGACACTTCTGCAGAGGTTCACCTGAATTGGACCCCAACATGGGACAATCCCAAAATCCCAATCACCCCGCTTGAGATGCTGCCCAACACCGCCTATCCAGACAAGAAACTTGAACACTGCATCAATCTGCTGCAGACTCCCCCACCCGGAGTCTGGGATAGCCCATCTTGATTTCTTGAACCATTGTAAGGTTCTTGCTGGCGCATGTTCTTCCAATCAATGATGAAGATCCAACGCCTTTACCGCCCAGTACTTCCTGACCATCAACGTTTGGTCAAAACGTCCGTCACATGCGTCGTGTATTCTCCTTAGTAGGTGTCCGTCCTTGTACATTACGAACTTTGGCGTCAACATCAACCAAGTTCCTGCAACGAGATGGGATTGTGCTTCACTCTCATGGTCACATGAATATTTCATGTTTGAAGGACAGAGACATCGTCCACCCCACAACTGCATAAATGATTCGTCTCTTGAAGTTATTCAGACATTCGTTTCACATTTCCATGAATGATAGACCCACCAAGTGGCTTAGTGAACAATACAGCACGGCTCCCACCCTGTGCCCTCTCTACGATAATTCTCGTACTAGAAGACTTCTGCCCAATGTCAGATATCAAGAATACTCATACCAGGCACCATTGCACGTCCAACATGGGGCTTCGCAGCCCAATAAGTCTCGTTGGCCGATCGAGAATCTCTCCACTTCGTTACATGCCTCCGACACTCACATTTTGAGCAATACTCGGTAGTGATACAGCGTTCGCCACGCGGTGGAGAATCAACCCAAAGGGTCATTGTTTCTTCCGCCACAATACTTGTGGCTGGTGCGTGAATGCTCAGAAAGGTCTGCAGTCCTTCCACAAGTTACCCTTGCCACAGTTGCAAAACCTCGAAGAGTCCATCTGGTTGAATTAGTACTCATCCGGACATGGCCACTTGGTACACCGTAGCACCAGTCAACCAGGTTTGGTGGGGGGACTTTCATCGCTGGCAAGCTCAGCAAATCACTCTGGAATATACCCGAACCAATTGCTAGCAAGCCAGGCGTTCCTCCCAAGAAGCGTGGATCTTGAAAACACCAGCCAATACGTGGGGTTCAAAAGAATCCCGCACTGACTCCGTACCCCTTTACGAAGGCCAACAGGACTCAATCGTGCTCTGGGCTTTCCTCCGCTGTGGCATGTTGTGTAGGTTGTGGCATGGTTCTCCATCGACTGCACCTTCCCCTGCCAGGATGCAGGTTCGACAGAAGGAAGCTGACGGTCGTCATCAATGCAGCGTGCCTGACTATTTGAGGCAATTCCTGATACATCGATATGTGCTCATGACATTGACGACTCGGATCACAATCAGGAATAGGAATATCAGATGGGGCTTTTTCAAAACAAATCAACATAACCTGAGCATGTTGCTGAAGCATGCCCGTTGATTGATATCGGTTTCACGCACGCAGTTTCATGGCCAGCCAGGATGTGGAGTGTACCTTGTCCCGTGCATATCATTCCAAGCTCTCCCCCGCTGGTCTGGCAATTTACGCCACGATAGTCCTTGCTGGTGTGTATTCACGACCACGCTGGCCTGATTGAAACCTCTTAGGATTTAGACTCGTGTGCTCAGCCCGGTACAACGGTTTTAAGCCTCCAAGTACCATCATGTATACGAGCAAGCGGATGAATTTTGGGGTTTATATGGGCTTGGCTCCGGGTCCGAAATCTCAAAATACCTCACCGACAATTGTTCTCCATCACTCCTTGTTTCATGTCGTGATGCATTGGTCTTGTGTGAACATCGTAGATCCTGACATACTCCGTATGGATCTATCCGTTATTCCAGTGCGCAAATTATGAGTCGAATCGTGTCATGTTCGATGCAAGTTCCGAAGCCGTGGTTACGACGCGAACGAGGATCAGAGATCGACGACACAAAAGTGCCTCGCGTGCCCCATCACAAGTGCCGAAGATTTGCCACTATCAAGCCACATTTCGCACCGCACCAGCCACAGATCAGCATAGCCACAATTCTCCGCCGCATCCGACTTCCTTTTTTCTTTTTCGCGCCATCAACAAATTTACCACCTTCTCCTCTCTTCCTTCTCTTTCCGTATCCTGCGGGCATACGAACATCTGTCGACGAAAGTATACTCGTACGTGATCTGATCTCCTGGTGGCAAAAACTCCGCTGCAGTCAGCGGCAGCCGGCGCGGGGAATGTCCTAAACCAGATTCAAAACTCCATCGGGCGGCAGGAACCATCTGGCACAGGCAGCACCCAAAGCGGATGGGGTGGCAAGTACTTGGCTGCTTTTTCTTATTTGCTCGGTTCACCCCGGCTTCGCTTAACATTTGATGTTGATGTTGCTGGCGAAGTTGAGGCGTTCTGTTTTCTACAATTTGTATTACGCGCGTCAAGTGTGGCAGTGGTGTGTTCTGACGTTTGCGTATGCATACTTCTCTGTGGATCATCTGCTCGTTGAGGTCATTCACTTGCTAACTGGCGATGAGACATGAAGGCTATCAGGCAAACGCATATCGGTCTGAAGTCTGGATACGGCGAGATCAAACGTGATGATACTGGCATTCTAGACGTGACATTGTCGTGCGGATGATTTGCTATGCACACCATACATCACAAGTATCATTCATGCCTCTTGCAGGCTGCTTGACTGCGGAATTTGTATGTGATGGTGAGGTCGAAACCGCACCGCTACTCGTGTCCTATACTTCTCAAGATGAAGCAATAAGGTGTAGTATTGCACACGAGTATGAACCCGGAATCTTTCCTTCATTCTTCCCCCGCGAGAGAGTCGCTTGGCGACTTGGTAATGATGATACGCTGCCCCAAGCTTGCTTTTGATCAGTACCTGTGCTTCCTTCATCCGGAGGGACGGCCGAGTACAATGTTGACGAAGCAATGCTTCTATCAGCTCCACACGTGGCCATTTTCACGACGGCTACTCTTCTTTTATCCACGAATCGAAAGAGTGTCAATAGTCGGATATGGTGAACAGGCTCGAGGCTGCTAGGCTGTAACTTGAATCACCTTACATGCAATAGCGGACGTCCTGTCATATGCGTCTCGAGTTTTTGGTATTCAAACTGGCAGTGTTTGAAAAAATCGAGTATTGCTTCGCGAGTTCATCATTATGGTCGTGTTTTTGACACCCTCACTCAGGCTGATCCACAATATGCAGGCCTTGGGTGGGAGCTATCCAATTCATCTTACAAGCATGGCAAGGCTATATCTCTCGTCTTTGCAACAACGCACCTAATGCGACTTAGTGAGTAAACAACCATGTCGATTGCAGAAAATCTATTGCTGTCAAGTGAGTCGCTTCCGCGTGTTCATGTTGATGCCGCACTTTACAATACTTCATAATTGAGAGATAGCGTGGCTACGCTCTAAGCTCATATTCTGGATTTTTTACGACAAGCGAGGAAATGGTACACTGCCAGCCCAGCACCTCGAAGGCTCGCAAGTATTCTGCATTCTGATAAGCTCCATTTGCAGGACCAGGTTAACAATATCAAGGCTTCATCGACTTCAATGCAAGCGATTGCGGCTTCAACATATCCTCTCTTCTGGCACATAGATTCATGAGCGCATTTACAGGACGATCCCGCAAGCATTTGCAGAAGCTTGATCTGGCAAGCACTTCAATAAAACCCCAATATCGCCACACAAGAACCATCCTCTGGAGCGCATGCAGAAGAACTTAGTCGTCAACTTCGCATCGCAGAGCTGATAATGGTGTGCCGACGTGTCCTGACCCAGACGAAACGTTGCATAATCCTAGTCGAGGCTGGAGAATCTCAGCACAGTCATGATTCCAGCAATGATAACGCCCTGCGTATATTCGTGAGAAGCTTCCAGACTCTCTACGAGGCATTGAGAGACGATTCTGTTGCTGTAAATATGTTGTTGATCAGCTGTCGGGTTGGGCGGCAGTTGACTCCCCATGCGGTCAAAACCAGAGCGATGTCCACGTGGTCCATGTTGGAATTTCCCTGCCAATATCACGGCGGTCTAGGCAGCCTCTACCCAGGCTGAAGTGGCATTCATCGCAGTGACGTGACGAAGTATTCCGTGGCCATCAATTGTTGCTTATGGATTGCCGGTAGCGCTATCTGGCACAGAGGTCCAGAGAGCTAGCATAAGTATTACTCTTACGACTTGGAGGCGGTCAAGACAGCGGTTTTCGAGACAAGCAGAGAGTGATATACTCGACGGCTAGATGCTGAATCTCGAATCTAGCGAGACTCCGCGCACGCCTAGCAGTCTTCTGCCGACTGTAGCTTCTGGTCTGGGGCCCCTCAGGCTGGCCCCCAGACACTGCGGATGTTCTCTTGATGTCAGGCAATTAGTGGGCTGTGCTAACCAATGGTGCAGGCTCATAGTCACAAACCAGGTTGCAATCTAATTACAACCGAGACGTACTTGACAAGCCTACGTCTGAAGCGTATCCAGTACCTCATGTAAGAGAAAATAAAAGGCAACTGGTGACACACAATTTAGGCGACCATTCGACAGCTCTTGTCCATCGATATTCCCCACCGACAGTAACCCGGTCCAGCACACCCAGGCATTTTTTACATCTATTGCCTGATAGCTCCTTCTTCCTCTTCATATCAGATTAACTAAAGCCGTCGCTTTGACACAGGAGACAAGACTCCAACACGGACTTCTAACCTAGCGAGTCTAGGATATCGCATCGATTCCGAAATGGATAACACACTGAATTCACCGCTTGAGCACAATATGCCAAGCGCTATCCCACTTGCAGGGACACGCCACGAGGCTCATGCTATGGTGCCAGGAGTCCGGTCAGGGTGCCTTGAACCCCCTTTAGCTAGAAGAAAAGAAAATAGGCCACACAAGAATACCACTGTGCCAGTCAGTGTTGGGAGCCTGATTAGCACAGATCGCACATATTCAAGTATTCGGTCATTACCAGTTTCGGCACCCTCTGCCACCGATGAGGAGAGTGACAAGGACACCTCTGAGAAGGTTAGAAAGCACGATTCCCATACTTTGCGAGAATGTGCACATACAAACTTAACCACCCTTCAGCAGACCCTGCACAAATCGGATTCTGTCGAAAAAGTCGAGCAAACACGGATGGAAGAAACACGAACAGTGCAACATCCTCCTCTGAGTAGTGAGGAGCGTCTGCCGCAGGCCCTGACAAATCCCTTGCCCGAATTTACCGACGAAGACAATCTCGCAATCAATCTTCGGACTGCGGAGTTGGCCAAGAACACTCCAAGAGCGGAATACATATCCATAGTACTGCGGATGGACCCAAGGGTGAAACAAAACTTGATATACCAGTCTGTCGATCCAGCAATTTATTATTTCCGAATGTTGGCGGTGAAGGAATTCAGAAGTCGAAGACAGATGGAAACAAGCCAGGGAGAACGGACGGAAGCAAGAGAGCGAGAATGAATCGATATGATACAAATGCGATCTCAGGGAGAAGAACAGCAGATCAGGATTTAAAAAGATCGCACTATTGCAGACGACCGTTCTAGGAGTTCGGAGGAAGGTGTGCGGAAACGGTTTCATATCATGAGGCGAATATAGGAATAAGTAATGTCGAAATCTGATCGAGCCGCAGCGGCCAAGCGTGAAGACTGGTGATAGCGACATGGGGTGCTGTCGTCCAGAGGTTGATTGACATATATATCTAAGTTTCTCGGTTGAACCCGCTCTTGATATTCCAGAACCAGCATCTCGGTGACCGGGTATGGAAATCTACGGCTGGCGCAAATCAATCCAACATGATACCCAACATGAGTGGTTTTCAGGGATGAGGCTTGATTTATGTATGTTAGCTTATTTGCTACTCACATCGGGGAAATCGCCGTGCATATAGATCAGGGGTAAATGAGGAAGAAATTGTCAATTCAGCTATGTGACAACGTATACAGTTGCTATTGGAAAAGTCAGCAGTCTAGTGTGTGACTGTAGCACCAGCGCTACGCAAAATCCCAAGTTTATATGCAAAATGGTCCCTTCCTTTTCGAAAAGGGTGTGCGAGGTCTTGCCCCACATTGGTGTTCTGTTGGTCCAAAATGATTATGGTCATGATTGTAGGGATAAGTTGCTCATCAGAATCATGAATTCCAATCAGCAAGGTTGGCACGGAGGGTGATGGTCCAATTGTCGAGTCAAATGCGACGGGACCAGATCTTACTGTCCATGACCCGACAGATAAGGAAGAAGATAAGCCTGCTTATCCGCTATGGTAGCTGATGAGAGATGGAGTGTTTCAGAGTTCGTCAATTGAGTCAGTCGACATTCCTTGGGGTTTTCGTAGACAAGTTCCGATCTTGTCGAACCCAGCCGATCTGCATCCTACCATCCTGTTTGGTTGCATCGATAGGCGAAGGCAGTGGAACATGGCGCATGCCATTGGAGTACCGGGACTGAGGTGTATCACAAGGGCTTGATGCGAGATAGTTCGTCGTGTTTTGTGTACGACGAGTGCGCGTAGAAGATGAATGAGTAGCTCCGCCACCGCTGCCGAATGATGTGGTTGATGAAGCACCGGAAGAGCCCGAGCCAACGTCTTTAACTGAAGATCTTGTCCCTGTACTTGTGATGGACTCATCATCACTTGCAGTACCATATCGAGAAAGACCATGTTCAGCATTGCTTGTGGCTGCGGTTTGCATAGTACGGGTGAGAGGATGCAGTTGATCACGAAAGACTCCGAGTGTCGCTGGTCCCCACCGTGCCGTATATCCACGCCAAATGAACTTGACTTCTCGGTCGCGTCTCTTGATCAGTGACTCAAGGTCTGTTTCGATCGATAGAATTTCCTCGATTGCTTCAGGCGTAAAAACTGCGTTGGTCTGGTCAGTCATGGCTTTTGAATGTGGAGAACTTTGGCTCGTGCCACCGTAGCACTTACGAGGTAAGGTCGGAGAGTCTAGATCGATGTCTCCTTGCAAATCATGCAGTCTCGCCGAGAGATCATCCACCTTTGATTTGTACTTACCCAAGACTTTGATCTCTGCTTCACGTCGGGCAGCTAGATCACACTGACTACAAGCTCCTTCCAGTGTGTAAATTTCGGGAGCTGGGTCCATGGGGTGTATACGAAGGTGAAAGGGCGCGAATCTGAGTAGGTTTTCGTGATAGGTCGTTAAGGTAGGCTGGACGTTGAGAGGCCTCGAGCAAGGTGGTGAAGTGTGAGGACAGGTAGTATAATAGAACGTTTGGCTGTAGGCAACCTCGGGATCGGGTAATACTGATTGGGTGGTAGCTCCGTTGCGGCTGCTCTGTTTGTAAGCTCGTGACGAAGCTTTTGACCAGTCTGAACCGATCTTGGGAGCCGATGGTTTGGGGTCCATTATTCGATCTCGTGGGGTGTTGCAAGGCTTTGTGTGTGGTCCTGAAGTGTTCTGATGGAGTAAAGGCTTGGCTGACGATACCAAGTTCTCCTTACCTTCCCCAGAGGAATTGCACTCGTCAGTTGATTCCTCGGGTAGCTTCTGCATAAATTTGCCAATGTATCGTTCAACATGGTTGGTACTTGGGAGGCTTCTACCGGTCTTGGAAGAAAAGAGTTCATTAGATCCACTGATTGAAGATTTTGTGAAGATATCACCATCATCACGACCGTTACTAATATCTCCTTTCCAGCTACTTGGTGGATAAAGCGGTTTGGTTGCGCGCATGTGAAGAGCCTTCCCGCTTGCATTCCTCCTGGCGACGGGAACCGACGTACCTTCCGACTGTGAATTTTTCTCGACCGCAAGATCACGGGCATTGAGCGGGTTCTCATTTGGCCTACTTGCAATCAATCGTCGGGTACGTCGGAGTGTTGGTACAGACGCCGTATGAGTAGTGGGTTGACTTGTGTTGACAGGTAGAGTCTCATCGTGAGATAGTGTGAAAGCGCGTGAATGCTTTAACGCATCAGTTTGGTCATCTGTGTGTGTAGGGTGTGCCATCAACGGCCCAACATGCAAGAAGAGATCCATGATGTTTGGTTCAAAATGTTCAAGTGCTTTTCGGACCGGGGGGTTTCTGGAAGACCAATGGCTCTGTCTTTTATTCGTCGAGTTGACCACCGTTAGGCCCGACAACAAGGAGACTTGAGCACCAGTGGTTGTCTCATATCAAAAGACATCCTTTTCCTTTGTCTCGGTCGACTTCACAACAATGCGTTTTGTCGTTAATGGCCTTTCGTCCATGTCTCGAGCCCCGACCAAGAGAGACCGACAGACCCCAGCAGGATGAGCGAAACCCGTCTGAGATAAAGACCTGGTTCTCACGCGTTTTTGAAATGATGTGGTGGAGAGCACAACAACATAAAAGGCTAGTTGGGACAAAGTTTTTGGGAGTGGAAATGAGGGCTGATCACGTGAGGTTGTCTTCCCGCGTACCCGGCCCAAGAGTCTGGACCCAAGCCTTGCGGGTCCGGACTGGGCGTTATTCTGAGATTGATAGAGCGAATGCTCCAGGATGATAATGTTCGACTCTGGAAGTCAAACACAATCTCAGTCTTCTTCAATGTTACCTGTCAGGATGATGCGAAGATTCAATCGCCACCGAGCAACTTCGTGTTCAAGTGCACTGAGCTTTGCTGCAATGCTGAGCAAGCTTGGGTCGCCAGTTTCTACTCGTACCTTTTCGCGGACAATAACATCTCGTTTACCTCTCCATTCGAAGATTTCTCCCATCTCATCGTGATTGGGAGGCTTTGGTCCAAGTCCTAATAGCTTGCTTCTGAGGCTAAAGCCTGAGAGAGAAAATGGAGATTCAATGGGGGTACTGGGAGTACCACCGGGAGAAGTAGGCGCAAGCGTACGAACAGTGAGAACGAGGTGTGCATCTTGAATGGTGAAATGTAAGCTCAAATGTTCTCCAAGAGGTGGTTGAAATGTGTTTTCATCAGGACTATTGGTCCACCAATCAGCTCCAGGAACCGAATCAGACTCAGTACTCGAAGCAGGTCCTTTCAGGCAGGCTTTTGCTTCACGAAGGTGGTCATGTAGCAGCTTCAGCTGACCAGACATGAAAGACGAGTCGGTTGACTGGCCGGTCCAACGGGAAACATCAATGATATCGAGGGAGTCATTGACCAGGGATTTGACAGCAAATAGTTGGGGTAGCAGGATATCTGGGGAAGAAGGTGAAGCAGCGAATATCAGACGTGTGGATGGAGTAGAAGTGGTAGTCCCTCTGGGTGTGTTTGGTGGAAGAGTTGTGAGTCTAAGGTGGATGTCCTGAAACAACGTTCAGCACTTGTGCTAGATAAGTGGTACATGCTGCCTTACCCCTTTGACGAGTTTTGTTCCAACTCGAGTGACAAACCCCTTGACACTTTCAGATCTCAGAGAAGATAGTACAAGTGTAGAACCAGGTTCCTTTGGAGCCAGGAGGCCAACACAGTCTTCTAGGCCCTCCTTCAATGCACCAAGAGAAGGCTGAAGAGACTCGAGAAACCATTGGAGCTCGAGTTTCTGCTACGAGTCAGACCGGGTAGTGACAATAAGATATTTGTCACTCTTACCAAAGAGGTATCTTCTGCCTTTCGAAGTTCGTCGGGCGGGATTGGAGGATATACCCAAGTTGACATGCTTGGATTTAGATATATTGGAGTAATATGTGTTTTGGCCTATCATCAATTGTCATCAGAGTGGAAACTGGCGTCTGCAGCCTGAGAGAAGGACCCAATGCCAAGAGAAGCGAGATCAGGTGATCAGAATTGAAAAGTGGCAGCGGAAATCGAGGTTGCAAAAGCGGGAGTTTAGCCGGGGAAGAAGGTTGGAGCTATTGGTACCTAGGCCAGTACACTAACTGTGAATAGCTTAGCTCGTCAAGCTACTTACTAGTTTTGGCACGGATGACGTGTGTTGTTTTTGTAGCTCCAAGTTGTCATCGATTGATGATCAGATGGGCCTGCAGCTTCAGGTTAGGGTCGTTGAGCCACAACAGAACTGGCTGCTAGCTTGTTTGCTTGCTGTACCACCCCAAATGCCGTGTCTCTTTGGGATCTCTCAGCTCAAGTGATACCCCCCATTGGAACCGCCGAGGAGGTGGACACCTTGGTTTTCATCTCTAGAGAATCCTGGATCGATTTCTTGGAGCCACACTTCAAAGTTCGGTCCAATTGTGGGTGCACCCAAGGTGACCTCATCCAAGAACTCCCAAGTTGCTGCTGCTACCACCACCACAGCTCCTCTTCTTCCCGGCTACAAAGACCCATCTTCCTTTGCTTCCTGGAACCATCATCCTTTCCTCTCCCCATTCCATTCTCGAGCTTACACGCCTGGTTGCGGTTTCGGCCTCGTCGCCTATTCCTTCTGCAGCACTTGAGCATCCACCGCCTATCTCACCGTCAACCCAGAACACGTTGCCAAACATGGCCGGAAGTGAGTAAACATGTGCGCTCAATCCTGTTATGCCACAAGCACTAACCAAGCTTCACAGAGGGACTTTTCAGCCTACTGTCCTTGATCCTCGTAGCTGGTGGACTCTTGTTCATGTTCTTCATCCTCCTAGCAGGTGCTATCGACCACGCCCCCGTGGATAAGTGGTATCTGCTCCAGGCCGATACCTCCAACATCCCCAACGCGCCGCCTATATCAAGATGGTCATACTGGAACGTATGTGGTGTTGAGAACGGCCGCACTGTTTGTGGTGAGGAGGACTATTCAAAAGTTCATCCCGCGTTTCCGCTGGATCCTGCTTCACACCGCACGTTCGACACGGATGTGAATGTTCCGGAAGATTTCGTCAATCATCATGGCTTTTACTTCCTCATGACGCGATTCATGTTCGCGTTCATGCTTATCGCGCTCTTCTTCGGCGCCATCTCATTACTCACTGGTCTCCTCGCGCTGTGCACCAGAATTGGGAGCTATCTCAGCGGTCTATTGACCCTGATTGCCGCCTTCTTCCAGGCTATCAATGCAGCATTGATGACGTAAGAACCCGTGTTGTTACTTCTCGAACAACCACTAATGGAATACAGTGCTGCTTACCTTAAAGGCCGAAACAATTTCCGAGACAACAATCAAGATTCTTCCATTGGCCAGTACGCTTTCGGTTTCGAATGGGCAGCGTTTGCTTGTTTCTTCTTGGCCACGATACTCTTCTGTGTTGGACCCTCTCGGAAAGACAAGACCGCTTCTTCCGGCCGTGGCGGGTTCTTCAAGGGCCGACGGAGCAGGAGCACGAGAAGCCGTGGTAGCTTCGTCCATGACAAGGAGTATGGGTCATGAAACAGAATCTAATCGTCGAAACAACATCGACACAACTGAGTAACCACCATAGAGGGAGCTCTTCCACCGATCCCCAGAAACGAATTTTTGTACAGGCTTTATGTGGTGTCGTAAATGGAGATGGGAAATCTCATGCTGCATCGGAGTTGCAAGTGAATGTCCAGACTGGAAAATGACTCATGTCGACAACCTTGTCCTGACCGACACGAGTGGTAGTATCTCGTGTCATTATCTTAATGTTTGATCAAGTCAGAAATGAATGAAAATTTTGATATAGACTATCCGAGCATCTTGATTCAATTGTGTTCTGTGATGTCAGACGGGGGAATTGGTCGAAAGCTTCTCCAGATCAGCAACAGGCGAGCACAGACAAGATACTCCATTGGCTGCATGAGGGTATTCAATGACAATGTACTCCATAATTGCAAGATCCCGGGTTGGATGACGATGATACCCGAGATCAAGATCGCATTTGCCTTTTAGTCGAGGCTGCTCCACCAGAATAACAATGCTAGCCAAACCCTATTCAGACCATTCCTTTTGCCATATACTCCCTGTCCTAGACCACCAACACCCTCTGAACTGTCATATAGGGCGGATCCAACGTGTGCTTTCGAGCATCATTCGAGCTCGAAGCTGTCTTTGCGATAGCTTGAAGGACCTGCAGCACAGCCATGGTCAGCCAGGGAATGTTTTGTTGCTTCATAATGCATTTCTTACCACGGCAGGCTCGTGCAGCATAAATTGCTGCTTGGACCATGGCCCCGAGGGCGAAGAAGGCCATGAGGATACCGAATACTATAGTGACGATGACTTCGGCTGAGACTGCCATCGTCTGGAAGAGGCTTTCAGGAAAGATTAGGTGACAGTGCTGACTGATAATTGGTGGACGGCGGGGGGTGCAAAGAGTCTCGGTTTGATCCAAGGCTATACCAAAAGAGTCAAATTGAGTTCATGTCTCTGTCGTCCGTAAGGAAAGTTATGGCGAAAGTCTGGCTTTGACAGAAAGTATGCTAGGAGAGGCTACATTATGGTTGTTCTTGGACTCGCAGGCTCAAATATATATCTATTCAAACCTTTTGATCAACAGATTGAGGTTTCAACTTTCAAGAAAACATTAGGGAAGGCGTCAAGTTCGAGGAGGAGCTGAGCCACACAACGCCGCTCTGCAAAAGCTCCGCTCTAAGTGGCGATAAAACTCCACTGACGAAAGTCATGCAGGGCCTCCATTTCCCCGATGTTCTCACTGGCCGAGTGTACACTCCACCATGCGTTGTCTACCTGCCATTGGAGCGCACCCCTCCGTTCTCTGATAACCATGCGTTGTCGACTTGCCATTCCACGCCCACTTCTCATCCTCCATTCGCTCAGCACGACTTCACAGCCAATAATTCTAGAAATATGACGGATAAATTGTACATAACATTGGCCCTTCGAACCTCCTAGAGGGGGTCCATTTGTTACTTACCTAGGTCCCTAGCAGTGGGTATTCTCTTGAATCTTTGGGATTCTTGCTCTCTTTTCTCTCACTCCATAGAACGATAAATCATACACTATGAACTAACCACAATCACCACGGTTACAGTTCGGAAGCAAGTAATACTTGACTCTGATTGCAAAATGGGAGTTACATTTCCTGGGCATGCGTACTTATGGGCTACCTAGGCTTGTAGTGGTTGGCTGATGTTTAGCCCGCTGCCTGCCTGCGTTTCCTTCTCGCCAGAAGGAGGTATCCGAGAATGGTCATTTCGCTTGCACACAATTACCTACGTATATCTCATCCGTGTTTTTTTACTCTGTTCTGTCAATGTCCAGCCAGGCTTATCATGGATGCATCTGTAATCATGGGCATTCGGACTATCTCTGTCTTGCTGGAAACAATGGTCGTTAAATGCGAACTCAAATCCCTCATGTTGTACCCATGGCCCACATGAATACCGTTTTGACGGACCAGGGTTGAGCCAGGCACAAACCGCCCTGAAAAACGATACCGTCATCAGCCATATGGGGACTTTGTATCTTCGGTAACCCCTGGAGCGTATTGCATACTCTCCCGCATGTTATGTACATAGGCTGCATTGGCCACTGGTACGATGGGTCATTCAAGCTCGAATGTGTTCTTTATGTAAGAGTCTAGACCAGATTGTGATTAGCACTATGATCCTACCTTGGTAGATGACAATGTACTCACTCCGTGCAGCGTATATCGCAGCTTGAACCATGGCTCCAAGCGCGAATAGAGCCATAAGGATTCCGAAGATAAGAGTTGCGATGACTTCGGCTGAAATGGCCATCACTGGGGAGAGCAGCCAGGATGACAAAAGTTTAACAGTATGAATGGTTGATTATTGCCGAGTAATGGTTGTCTGTGTGGCTATGGATGATGTAAGGCTGAGCGGACTTCGACGAGAACAGGTCGATCTTTGGATCAAGAAGTCCTAATGTTGCATGGCGGATATTCGTGAGAGCGAACAGGCATATATATACCCTATAGCACACATTTCAGAAGAAATCTCTTCATGTCCAGATGGACAACTGTTGCGGGCTTGCATCTTGTGATTATTGGTTTAACTGCCGCGCCCTGGCAGGTATTTGTCGTCTTTTCCAATTCGCGCATCTCTGTTAAACGACTTTTGCTTCTCCATGTCGCATCAATCCTCAAGCAATACATTAAAGCAAGAAATCGAATCCGCTGGGTAAGCGGGAACTCTCAAGTTGGCCGTCAGCCTGTCGAAGAGAGAACCGGAGGGAGAGAGAATTTCAACAACACCATCGCTAGCGTGGCAGGGTCGGATCTCTGAGTTTCTGGCGGACAAAAACGACTTTTGTCCTCGAACGCCTTCTTCTCTGTCCTTGCTTTTTACCCGTCTCGCTCTCGGACTGACAGAGACCACCTTTGAAAGGAAGGATATCGTTCTGTCTGGTTGGTGGTGTCAAGCGAAGGCGAGGTGGCGTTTACCTATTCCTGCGTGACAAGTTGCAACTGTTGATGCTGATCCCCGCATGACACAAGTTGCAACTTTTGTTGCTGATCCCTGCATGACACAAGTTGCAACTTTTGTCATCCTGGGCCCCTCATAAGGCTTTGCCTAGCTAGGTACTAGACGTCCTTGCTTTAGCCTCCAGGCTGATAGAAGTTGCAATTTTTATCAGCAAGGACTGGCCTCGCTCTGCTTGCGAATATCTGTCACTGTATGGTAAACGGCAATAAGTCTGTGATTCTGCCGCACTGTTCCATCAGAACTCCAACAGCTTTCCCCAATCCAAACTCACAGTCGTTGAAATTATCTTCGTCCTTCCATCTTAATCAAGGAACTCAATTTACTGCACCACTAATGGCGGGTAGTACTCGTGCTGCCAGGATTTCTCCAGAACGCTGGGATGAGCACCGTGACCATATTGAATCTTGCTATATTCACCAGAACTTGAACTTAACAGAATTGATTCGGGTTATGCGCCAAGATCATCATTTCAATGCCACAGACAAGCAATACAAAAGGCGGCTTGCCGCTTGGGGGATGCGTAAAAACGTTAGCACCCAGGAAATGAGAGCATTACTTGAAGAACCGGATAGAGATTTCAAAGTCAGGGGGAAGAAGGTTCCTACTGCAAAGCTTGTCAGATTCCAGCGCCGACAGAAACTCGCAGCTACGAAGGTTGGTGCAACAGAATCCCAAACAACTACAATGCCCATGGCGCTCGCCTCAACCTCGGCAACAGGGGGACATATGACAGCGAGTACATTGCCCAATCAGTCGAAGTTACGAGGTTCATCATTTGAAAGGGAAGGTGTTGTTTCCAAAGCTATTCATTTTCATGCCCTTGCACTGGTAAGCCACTATGATCTTGTTCACAAATGAACAAGAACGACTAATTTCAACCAGTTCAAACAAGTAGTAGATGAGTGGTGGTTTTTTGATGGTGTTCGAAATCTTGAGAATGTCAGGCTTGAAGAGAGATACCTTCACCAAGCCAGAATTGTGTTCACTGCTTCCTTCAGGGATTGGCGGCGGCTCATTTTGGCTTTCATCTATCTTGAGAGGATATGTAAGCCAGGATACGCGCACATCAAGAGCTATTTTGACCCAGCTGAGCGCGACTGTCAAATAGAAAGTCGCATCATGATTCTGAGACTAATAGTGCTTCTTGTTGATGCTTGTAAGTGTAACAATTATAAAGAGGAAAAGACGGAACTAACGCGCGACGTAGGCACGGAGATACAATACCACAGTCATGCGCATGAGCTCATTCGTGGCGACTGCGACCCTTTGGTCGAGTGCTCTCGCGATCTATGTGATCAAGCATTGAACTATCGAATGCTGACGTACACCGACGGAGTCCATCCAATGAATGCACTTTGCTCCGAGTGCCTGGTCACGGAGCACGATTACCAAACCTTCTCCAGAGATGTCAGAGCACTCTGTGGCACATGCATCGTATTTGGTTCATGGGCGGTAATTCTGCTCCCGAATGAAGCGGAGTACAGGGATACGAAGGACAAGGCTGACCCCCGGGTCCAATGGCTGCTTGACGGTTACTCCTGTAGCGCTCCTTAATGGGCCAGATCTGTACACAATTTTCCCTACCGTTGATGAATGAACTTGACGATCCTTAGGAATGAATGCAAGAGGGTTGACAGAAAAGACATTCGCAAGTCGCAGCTTCCGTGGTATAAGTGGGTGATAAGGGGGTGCCTTGCTGACTGACCGGACTATCGCCTCACCCACGAGTCAGACCCACGACTGACTTGATATGGCTACAATTCATGGTCAAGCACTCGGTGGAAGACGTCCGGGCCCTTCAGAATAAACGCCTTGACTGGACATGTTTCCCGCATGTTCGAGCAGTAATTGAATCATTTTACAGGAAATGGCAACAATTCATCTTATTATTCATATATCTGCGAAAGATAGACTTACTGTTAGCATCTGAAGACCCTCTGGCAGACTGGTGCACGCGCGTGAGGATGGATGCCTCTCCGCCTTGAGATTAATCTTGAGACTGACTGATATATATGAGTCGAAGATTCAGGTTTCAACAACTGGTCAAGATGGATAGTCGACGGCTGAGATAAATACTGATATGCTAAAGCAACTCCGAATGAGTGGGGACGTCTCAACGTTGACTACTGCTGCATCCACTGTGGTCTTGAGAGTGTGGATATTGTCCTAGGTGCATCACTCAATGTGACCCTTTCCAACTTGGATGAGTGCTTCTTTATCCTTACGGTCGCAGAAGACGATTTTGAATCGGTTGCGAGTTCTATCAAAGAACTCTGGAGTAGCTCTGTTCTGGTCTAAGCAAGAATATACAGAGGCGCCGAATCGCTTATTCTATATATAAATCGTTCAGTCCTGAATGGTGTAAGTTCCATCGTTGATCAAATCGATCAGTAGCTTGCTGGCACCAAGAGACAGTGGGGTGGGTATCAAGTTCAATGTTGTTATCTCTACTCCCTTATAGTGAGGATTTTCTCTCAAATCCACACGAAGTTATCTGTGTCATTCCATAGGTCGCTACAACGAATTGTGATCACACCGTCGAGTTCGCCGGGGTTGAAAACGTGGAAGAAAACAGAGTGTGTGTTCGTGGATAGTCGTGTTACCCTGGTTGCAGTCGCTCCCTGGCAGACGCGCGGAGTAGAGCAAACACCGGGACGACTTGAAGCCGGAACGTTGGAGAGAACTTATCGCCTAGAGAAGTTGTCTTGAGATTTTACAAGGGAGAATCCAGCGATAGAACGTCTAAATTCGATGAGGCATTGATGTCTTCCTCATAGTTCACGGATAGAGTGATGTTAATGTGGCCTAGTGATAGGGAGACCGACCTTCATGACCGACAATATGTTGCAGCGGAGTAGAGCAAAGAAGAGTATTGAATGAGAGGCATGTGTGAAGCATCGAAGATGCGACGTATTCGTATCTCTCGTTCGTATTGACGAGGTCTTGAATACTTGACAAAACCCTGCCAAGTGTTCGAACTCGGATTGTGCCACTGCACAAGGCAGACTGGATGCAATGCCCATTGAGGGGTTATTGGTGAGCCTTGTTGTCTACGTGTAAATAACCTTTTTATCATGCACATTGATAGGGAAGAGCAGGCCTCACCTTGTCCAAATCGCAAAAGGGATTCATAGATCTACATTGGCGCAAACGATCACCAGACCAAAAAGGTTGATGGTGTGGGTAGAAATTTATTTCCATTACATAGTAGGTAGGTATTCTTTTGGCTGTCAATTTAGTGGAATCTGCCTTGCGCGCCCTAAGCTCTTTCAAGGCTTAAGACTGACTTCCCCATATTATGGATTGAGAATTGATCACTTGCTCTGGAGATTTGAAAGATCATATAAGAATGTCGTTCCAATGACCAAAGTCCTGAACACTCTCGATTTCAAGCAATTGATCAGTGCAAGGATTTGCAGGTCCACAGCTTACTATCCCCTCGGTCCCAGTCCCTAAGTATCATTCAGACTTATATGCTGAGAGTCTTGATCGCGGCTCTCTGTTTCGATTGAAAATGTCTGACACTAGTAAGTATCGTTTCCTACTTGAAGATCAACAGACCAATTGATTCAAAACTCAACAGCGGACATCGACAAATTCCTCGCTCATCCAGTCAAGGGCCCATCAGCCGTCTTTGCTATCTTCTTTGCCTCGTCCTGTGGCTTACACATATGGCAAAGCCGGTCAGTCCTGTTCTTCTTGAGACTTTGTCATAGAATTAAACCCGTGTTAATGCGACCTACTCACAGAAAGTACAAATCATGGCCATACACATGGGTTCTTCCATGTGCATGTATCATTATGATGGCCGGCTTCATCTGCCGCGAAATCACAACGCATGGAGATTATGCAGATAACCTGGCTAGCGCAATCCAAGGTCTGTTCTACAGCGCAACGTAAGTAACAACATACTCGATCATAAAATGAAGACACTGACTTGAGACGTGGATAGCCCTATCTTCACTGTCCCGTTATACATATTTCTCATCCGCCTGTTCGCCACAGGTCCAACGCCTGCCTGGTTTCGGCCACAGCTGTACACCATCATCATGACAGGATTCAATTCGGCCGTCATCACGTGTACAGCGCAAGGAGCCGCGACGTACTTCAATCCCGACCAGACAGACGGAGCGGTCAAATCGGGCCTTGCACTGATCAAAGCCAGTCTCTTTCTTCAGCTTTTCATGAACACGGTATTCATATACCTTCTCTGGACGACACGAACTCAGCAACAGACTCGCGAACACACAGTCACGACAACCGTACTTTTGGTCTTGATCTGTCTCGTCATCGTCCGCAACATATTCCGCACTGTTCAGATTTTCGCATCGCCTTTGTCTCAGCTGTGGATGAAGGAAGTATACTTTTGGATTTTTGAAGCATGCATCATGCTGGTTTTCACCACCTTGTTTCATGTTATGCATCCTGCAAAAATCCTGGGGACAAATTGCGCTGAAGAGAACAGCGGCAGACGGGATAGCTAGAGAGCGAAAGGGACCGTCGTGATGGCTGCTCTTTGATCTCAAATTGACTGACAAGTGGCGTGTCACTCACTTTGCACTCCAGGTTCCATGCATCAGAGCTATTAGTAGTGTTTTCACACAGAATGAATGGGCTGCCGGGGGGGGACACCTCCCTTTAAGAGAAGGGAGAAGGGAGAAGGGAAGATATATGAGCAATTGTCCTGTCCTGCTCTGATGCATATATGTCGTTCACAAATTTATTTCGTCCTTCTCAGAAAAATCGTGGCCTACTATGGCCAATTTACCACGTTTCTAGACCAACTTGAGTACATGCCCAAGGCGATCGGTAGAATTTGTGGCACTGTAATTGTACCTCCTGGGCCGACCATTACATATGGTTTAGTCAGAAGAAGAATGCCCAAAACGATGTTGCTGGACGTCGAGCTCAAAATTTCCAAAACCAAAATCGTGGTCAGGAGCACGCAGCCTTGCTGACTAACCGCGGAAGCGCGCTATCAACTAGGCCACCAGCAGGCACCCATCCCTTTCCTCGATCATTTTGTTCTTGAGAGAATCTAGAAAGGAGTATATGATACCATTCATTGCCTCGGTTTCAAGACCACAGCCGAATAATCAAGGAATAGACCATTGACCTTTGAACGATATGAGGTGTCCTCAATTCCTGGATCATAATTAAGTAGGTCCAGCGACGGAAATCTTTTGCAAGCACATCATACTAGTATTTAGCCGATTGCCTATCTACTGTCCGGCAGCATACATATGCCCATCATTCGCCACCATGCCGCCCCGAGGAGTAAAGAACAAAAAGCGCAAGAAACGCACGTGGGATGAGATCGGCCAAGAAGCGCACGCGCACCGTGACGCCAGCGTCGACGAGGTCCGGCCTTCGTTGCCGCAACTGCCCGCGACATTGCCCAAGGACGTCACAGGTGTACCGGAGACTTTGCTCGATGAATTCGAGAACAGGATCACTCAAGAACCGCCGGAGAGACTTGTGGAAATGCTCGCGAAGGGCGAGGTTACGGCCACGGCCGCCACGAATGCGTTTCTCCGGCGCGCGGCAATTGCGCAGGAATTGGTATGTGAGAGGCACTTTTTTCATCATGATGAATTCTAGTGCTGGTCCCTCTTTTATACTGCTCTCATCTCCGTGTTTTGGTCAAAATGTATACCACCGGATTCTACAATATCTAACCAACCAGACAAATTGCATAACCGAACTCCTCCCGCAACGTGCTCTTGCCCGTGCTGCATATCTCGACACGTACTACACGACGCACAAGCGGCCCATCGGCCCCCTGCACGGCCTACCCATCAGCGTCAAAGAGCACCTGGGCATGAAATCCCTCCGCCTGCACGCCGGGTACAGCGCATGGTGGGACAACATCGCCTCGGACGACGCACACGTGCTCAAGATCCTGTGGAACGCCGGTGCCGTGTTCTACGTGCGCACGACGGAGCCGCAGAGCATGATGCACCTTGAGACCGATAGCGTGTTGTATGGCGTTACGGTCTGTCCGTTCAACACGGCTTTGTCGGCGGGTGGGAGTTCCGGGGGTGAAGGCGCGTTGTTGGGTCTCAGGGGGAGTTGTTTGGGCGTCGGGACTGATGTTGGTGGTGGGTCATTATGTGCATTTATCTATCGTCCTTGTATCCACCACCTTTCTTTTCTTTGGGAGAAAGCGTAGAATATGCCAGCGCATAGACAGTCCCAAGACTCAGTGAGGATCTGACAAGTGAGCATCTCCAGGAAGCATCCGCAACCCGGCCGCACTGAACGGCCTGTACGGCCTCAAGCCAACGGGCTTCCGCATTCCAACCGACGGATGGTCCTCGATCGCCGCGGGCGCCGACAATGTGATAAGCTGCATCGGGCCATTGAGCACCTCTCTCGCAGGCCTCTCACTCTTCATGCGCGTCGTCATCACCGCGAAGCCCTGGCTCGTCGAGCCCGCCATGATCCCCCTCCCGTGGACACCACAAGCCCACGCCATCACAGCAACCACAAAACTCAGAATCGGAGTAATGCTCCACGACGACATCGTCCTCCCACACCCGCCCATCACGCGCGCATTGACCCTCCTGAGCGAGAAACTCGCAGCGGTGCCGAACGTCACGGTCGTGCCGTGGAAAGCGCACGTGCACGACGAAGCCTGGGCCATCCTGAGCAGTTTGTACTATCCGGACGGCGGGCGGGGCGATGCCGAGATCCTCGCGCAGACGGATGAGCCGTGGCGGCCGTTGACGGAATGGATCATCAAGGAGAATCCTTGTGTCAAAGACCTCAGTCCCGCCGAGTTGGGGTACTGGCTTGAAGAGCGCGAGGAATACCGTAGGGAATATGCTGCGAGGTGGAACGCGACTGGTTCGGGGTTCGGGATGGGGTCAAGACCAGGGATAGGGTCAAGACCAGATGGGCCTGGTGTTGATGGTGATGGTGGTGATGACACTGTCGATGTGATCCTGTGTCCTGTTGGACCTGGTGTGGCGAACCGCCATAACACGGCCAAATACTGGGGTTATACCGCTGTGTGGAATCTGCTGGACTATCCGGCGGCCGTGTTTCCCGTGGATAAAGTCGATGCGAGAGTCGATGTGGTGTATTCGAGGCCGAGGGCGAGTTTCATGAGCGGTGCGGATGAGCAGGCGTGGAGATTGTGTAAGTTTTGATTCATGCTATTGCGGTGGCCAGTTGTTCAGCTCGCTGCTACTCATGCTGCTACTCATGCTGCTGCTGATACTGATTTTGAATGTAATAGATGACGACGCGCAAGAGTTTCATGGTCTGCCAGTGAGTCTGCAGCTTGTGAGCCGCAGGTTTGAAGACGAGAAGGTGTTGGCTGTGTTGGATTATATTCATCGGGTCGTTGAGTTGCCTTTTTGCGGGAAGATTTGAATGTGTAGATGGATGGGGGTTGGAGGGAGGTGGGTTCGGGGTGAGGGCAAGCTTCAGAGAATTGATGGAAGAAGACGGAAGATATAGTCCTGGAGACAGCTGAGAGGAAATGATAGATATGAAGCCCCATTTCGGGAGTGACGAAGCAATTTAATCATGGTCGGTATAATAGCAGCCAAAGCCGCTTTCATCTCCTCGACTATTCTGCTTGAGCAGGACGATATTTATACATAACCAGAAGTGTAGAATGTCCGCGTGAGTGATGTGCTTAATAGACATAAGGGATAATCCTATAAGGGACGATCTTGCAATAACGCTCCCAATCCTTGCCGTACTTCTTGCGGCACTTCTCCTCGTCACGGCGTTCACGATGCACCAAAAGAACACCGAAATAGATGATATAGAAGTACGTGAATACCATACCCCAGCCACGAGCAGGACCTGGATTGAGGACACTGGTGACGTTTCCAGTAACCGGGTTTTGGTAATTCTCAATCAGATATCCGGCAATGCCAGTGGGCAGGCAATAGCTGAAGGCCATGATCCAGTCGCCGAGATAATTGATGTGGCGGGCGCGACCCCACCAGCCGGACGTCAGGAGTTTCGATCCGGTCTCGGTGGAGATTGAATCCAGGTGTGCGACGCGTGGATCGGTGGGATCGGTTCGGAAGCGGTTCTTCTCGTTGTTGGCGGAGCGGAAGATGTAGTATCCGATTCCTTGGATGGCGAGGACGCCAGCAATGCCTTGTAGACCAAGGCTGACGGGGTGAACGGCCAGATAGCGAGTTTGAATACTGTATAGAGCGGGCAGCCAGGCTATGTCTCCGAAGGATAGCATGAAGCCGAACCCATCTTGAATGCAGTCGATGGTGGTGAGGATGGCGGGTTCCATATAAAGACCGTCAAGGACGTAGAACATTTGGAAGGTGGTGATGAGGAGGATGGAGTCCGTGATATAACCGTGGACTTTGTATTGATGGGCTATGAAGGCCAAGTCCAGAATGCAGTAGCCGATGAGACCAGGGCGCATTTCGTTGAAGAGTTTGATGTCGATGACTTGACCTCCAATCACGGGGATAGACGAGGGAATGGTGATGCGGGGGTTCTTCTCACGACCAATGAAGAAGTCGTAGATGATGTTGCCTGAATAACCCAGGGCGATTTCTCGATGTTCTGGATTGGGCTGGCCGGGATGTGGGATGGTAAAGGAGGCCAAATAGACGTAGATGGCTTGAACCGTGCAGATGATCAGAGCGCCGGTTTGGATTTGTACCAGATGGTCCCAGCAATAGGTCCAGACAACAAAGTCAACACCATAAACAGCTGTACCGGCAGCCAAACCAGCAAAGATGAGAATGGCCGTGTTGAAAGTGTTGAACTTGTAGTGGAGGCGTCCTCCAGTGTTCAGAACTGTGCCCTCAACCTCCTCTCCCGGGAGGACGAGCTGTAAGACGACGAGAAGCCCATAGTATGCACAAACCCAGCCAAAGACGTTCAGGTCGAATAAGCCTGGCAATCCTGTCGCAGCCAGCTGTGTCTGCGAGAGGAGTTTGCCCCATGTGAGGTTCTGAGGATCGAGGAGAGCTGGGACAGGACATCCCGAGACATCATTGCAGAAGAGAAGACTGGCGTAGATGAGAATAGGAAGACCAAAAGTCAAGACTGTGGCACCGGGACTGTAGAGCAGATGAGGTTAGCTGTCGATGTGGGTTGTTGGTTGCAGTTTTGCAACGACTTACGGTCCAAAGAATTCATAGTCGTGTTTGAGGTGGACTGGACCAGACTTGGTGGTGCTGTCGACTGCCATTTTCACAGAAGGAAGGCCGAGGTGGAGAAATGGAACTTGTAGCAAGAAGGAGTGGTATTGAGAAGGGCATAACGAGTGGCTTTTGAGGTTTGGAAATGGAAATGGAAATGGAAATGGGGTCTAGATGGCGTACCCCAGAGTTGAGCGCAGGCAAAGCATGTCGGATCGGTGGTTGGCCGAACAGAAAAATGATGATGCCACTTTTCTTGAGATTTCCAGATCTCTTGTCTTGAATTCACAATCTAATTGGTCTGCCAGTTCCACGAGATCTCAGGTACCAACTTGGACTCGAACTCGAATACGGAATACGCGACGCGACGTGACGGAATGCGCGTCAGCCGCTGCAGTGGTGTCCAAATTCATGCCCATACGAGTACGCCTTTCGAGATTTAAAATACCCATTACAAATAATTATATGGCCTCCCAATATACTCCCGGTATGCTCGCCAATCCCATGTAACCACTTCTATCCCTCAGCATCGTCAACCTTGTCTGGGTCCTGTGGTGGTGTCATCGGGTAGATCATGACCCCGGCCAATGCAGCAACCACTGCAATACTCCAAAACCCTCCGGCTGACCCTAACTTGCTGTAAAAGAATCCAGTCAGAGGCGGAGAAACCGTCCGTGCACCTGATGATGCTGCCATTGCCAGACCGTTGACCTTTCCCAACATGGACAAAGAAGGAGTGGCATTCTTCAAAAGTATCAACAGGGAAGGATAGATGACGATCAGCATGAAATTATTCAATATCAGATCCACATAGATTCCTGCCACCAGTGCTGATCCTGAGAGGGCTGTCAAGAATGGCGCTGCCGCATGGGTCAGAGGCACGAGTATGGTGAGCCATACAAAGGACTTCCAAACTCCAACATTGGCCACAAATGGCGCAAAGATGAAAGCTTGGATGAGTAATGAAGCGACACCGTTGACTGATAAGAACACGCCCACATTTCGAACCGTGTAGCCGAGCCCGCCGTGGAAATCCAAGCCCGGACGATCGGGCTCATCAACGAAGAAGACTGGTAAGAGAGAACCATATGCCATCTGGTAATAGGCCATTATGATGAGCTGAACAATCAAAAGTTTGACTTCTCGGGTCCAAGGACTTGTACTTGAAGTGGAACTGGATCCAGGGCTCGACAACTCTTCGTCTTCGTCGTCACTGATGGCATTGGAACTCCGCCTTTGCTGGGTTCCAACCAGATGTCGGAAACTACCCCCGGTGGTGCTTACTGATATTGCAGACATTCGACGAAGATCAACTGTGGTGCCCGCCGTCAGCGGCAGATTGGTGCCTAAAAGGGAGGGTTGTTGATTGCCCTCTTGCGACTCGTACCCATGTTGGACGCGATCGATGCTCTGCCGTGGGCGCAAAGGTGTACGTTCGTTGGTAAAGGCAGTAGAGACATCTTGCTGTGAGAGGGATTCCACCTTTGTCGGAATGTTCGTTTCTTTGAGGAAAATGGCGCCTATCACAATTGTCCCAGCAATGTAGCCAGCGGCGATCAAATTAGGTAGAAGGTACGGGTATTTTCCAAAAAGACCATCAGGAGGGAATGTCTCGGGGAAATTCTTAGCAGGTTGAGCAAGATAGCCACCCATCCCCGAACCGAGAATGGCACCGGCGGTCCAGACAAAAGGCATCACACTGTAAGCTCGTGCTGGAGAAATATGTGTCAACTGGGGGTATTGGCAGGGACGGAGTAGATGTGACATACGTTCGTGCTCTGGTCTTTTGCACATTTCAGCAACCATGGTCTGGATGACAGCAACATTGCCATTCAAGGCGCCGCCGATCACGCGGGCTCCGAGAGCAAGCCAGTAGTTCTTGGAGAAACCAAAGACCAAACTGGACAAGGCTGTCCCGGCGAGACCGAAGAGGACGACGGGCTTACGACCGATTCGATCACTCAAAGAACCCCAACTGAAGCATGTCAATGACTCTGCCAGAGCAAAAGCCGATATCATGAGACCAGCATAGGCGGCGGCATTGGCCTCGTCATCGGGTCTCACATCTCGTACAAAGACGTAGATATATGCTATGATGGAAGTGAAGGCAATGGGCTCAGCAAACCGACAAAGACCTGGTTTTGTCGAGGATTAGTGAATTGCCCGTGGAAAGAATTAGTGTTTGGATGGAGCAAACCTAGAACGAATAACTGCTGGGCCGGAAAGTTGTCGTCGTCTTTATCGGATAAGGCTTGGGGTGGAGGAGGCATGGCAACGGTGTTCCAGATATCAACTACCACGATTCTCACCTACTACTTCATATGTGGTCTCGCACAGACATTGAAGTCGGGATCATAAAGACAACATGATCACTCACCGATGTTACACGAGGAAGAGCTCGAAATCAAGGTGGGGAGGACGGGCACATGAGCACCCCGCAAGATGAAGACATCATGCAGTGCCAGACTTTAAAAGTGGATTGCAACTGGAATTTATCCTGAAGGAGTTTACCCGTAGGTAATGCCGGACAACTAGAGTCGTATCTGGAGAACTTGAATGGTAGATCATCCACGTCCTCGTATGCATCACGGGATCCTGGTCGTGAGAATCTCGGGCTTGTCTCCAAACACGACGACACATGGTTAAGTAAAGCATGGGCGACAGAGTGATCATAGCACAATCTTAGAAGGAGCCCAGGCTATTGAAAAGGATGCATGCCAAGACTTCAGTTCTCTGTCTTCTCCCAGCTGTCCTTTTTGCGCCTCCAATTACTGACCATGAGGATCCAGGCCGCTATGTCTCCAAGGACCGACCTCCTAGGGAAATCTGCCCCTGCATTGGAGACGAGAGAGAGAGAGAATTACGCAATGCAAGCCATCCAGACAATAATTGTAGTACGAGTAGCATGAGTATACACATTGTTCCTTCCTCCTTTTTGTTCACCTGCACTTACGAGTACTCGACCACCACGGCAGTTGCAGCCATCTCCATCGCCATCTCCATCTCACCCGTCGCGCCTGCCTTCAATTCAGTCCGTGCCTGCCTGCATTTTGTACTCGGCAACTTTTCTTCAATCATTCTTCTCAGGCACCCACCAGACGGGGCTACATCAACTGTCATTCTCTTCATCTGCCTTTTCCAAAAGCCATTCATTGTCTTACTAGAATCACTCGACTAGAACCACTCACTATTTCTACAATCCTCATCAACTGCCGCGTCCCGTCATCTTCCACCAACTGCGCTTGCTGGTCCAAGAAGCTTCAAATCACTGATTTTCTCCTTTACCATTCAACTGCCGAACAAACCATGCATCTCTCATCAATATCCCTGCTTCTCCTCTCTTTATATTCCTCTTCCTCCCTCGCCTCAACCGAAGTCAAACCTGTCACCAATCCCTGTACTATCTACTCTCCCGCGACCGGTTCATTCTTCGACCTGCGCCCCTTACAGTTATCCACCGAGGGCACAAAATATCAATCCGCCTCTAATGAGTCCTACCATGCCAAAGGCTACGACTACCCTTCCAATTTCTCCATCAATTTCTGTGGCTCCGTCGTTGAAACACTCGAAGATGTCGAGGGCGTATCTTCATCCAAGGTCGCAAACATCTCGGCTTTCTACAAAGACACACAAGGCACCATCTTCAGCATAGGTCAACAGAATGACCAGTTGTTGTTCCGTGGCAAGAAGCTACTCTTGAACTACACTCAAGGTTCTCCTTGTCCCGACCTTGATGAAGAGGGTCTCCCCCTGGACTCCAATCTGGTCCCCATGAGGTCCAGCAATCGTCGAAAGTCCACCCTCTTCTCTTTCATCTGCGACACCTCTCCTCTTCTGTCGGGTCGCCCGGCCATCTCTTTCCTCGGATCTCCCGACCATTGTACCTACATATTCGAGGTCCGCTCACGCTACGCGTGCGGAGGTACAACACAATCAGAAGAGAAAGGCACTTTGGGTCCTGGAGGCGTCTTTGGTGTCATCCTGGGCATCGCACTTCTGGTATACCTCATTGGTGGTGTAGTCTACCAACGAAGTGTCATGCATCAAAGAGGATGGCGCCAATTGCCCAACTATGCCGTCTGGGCTGGTTTATTCGGCTTCTTCTCGGTATGTATCTCCTTGCTTCCCTCGTTCGTCATATCTCGATGTCATCTGTCACCTTTCTGCCATGCGCCATTCCTTACCAAACATCGTGTTGCATTCTAGAATCCGTTGTCCCTCTCTATCCGTCGAAAGCGTCGTGGCACAGATACCAGAGATCCATGGCAGCCCTCACTTTACAAATCCGACACACCCTGACTCGTACACAATCAACATCAACTAACATTTCTTCACTAATCAAGGACATGTTCATCATCCTGTTTTCCTCCTGTACCCATCGAATGCCCGATCGAGTCACCGAACTCTTTGCTGGGCGAAGAGGCTACCACCGCGTCGGCACCAATGAAAATCCTTCTGGTGGTCGAAACAACGATCCAGAAGCCGAGAACCGATTAATCGATCAGCTGGATGAAGAGTGGGAAGATTGAGTGGGAAAAAATTGGCCGTCTGCGGTCCAACTCGACCCATTCTCGCCATGACTGATGCAATGATATGACCTGCACATATGTTGAAAAGAATATATTCCACCAAGTTGCTCTTTCAGATGCTATATGTACCCAAGCATTTCGACACAATGTGAAACGAATGTATCCCACTTTTTCTCTGGTCATGACAAGTTGATCGTCACCACCTGAAGTTACGACTGCTCTCCGAAGCCGCCAACTTCACTACCTGTTGTTCCACCAGCAGTCGGTCCCGCGAGGTCTCCGAGATCCATTCCATCTAATGCGCTTCCACCATAATCCTCCAGGTTACCATAACTGGGAGGCTCAATATTGAATGGAAGCAACCATGCGGACGATCCTGTGTCCATCATTCCACCATGCATATCTCCATATCCTCCGAACCCTCCCATATCCAATCCTTCCCATGGGTTACTTGCTCCGAATTGGCCCATCGATGGAGAATTGTCGTTGAGGGCACCTGTTCCATGCGTCGAAGCGACCGAAGGGTCCAGCCCGGCATATGCCCCGAAGACCATTTGTCGATCGATTTCGGGTAGTGAAGATACAAAAGGGAACCCCGCAGCGTGATAATTGTAAGGGTCGTTGGACGAGGCATGTCCTGGTACTTGTTGGCCTCCTGGGAATTGAGGGGTATGGTATAACGTGGGCGATGTGATATCGAAGTCGGATGGATTGAACGGATGTGTTAGATTGAGGTTGGGGTCGGGTCCGGTCGGTGTCGTGCCTGGAATATGTAGTCCTGGTTGTGATTGCTGGGCTTGCTGTTGACGTTGAGTGTCCAACGAAAGACCTCCGCTCACAGTGGCTGTAGCACCTGCACCAGAAGCAGTGCCAACATTTCCAACCACTCCTGTTCCTGTCCCTGTAGCAGTGGCACTCGCACTGGCTGTAGCATTCGAACCTTTCTTGTTCTCTGCAACGCTCTTCCCCCTCCGCCTCGCAACCTTCTTCCCCCTTCCACCAGCTCCAGATCCTGCTCCACCAACGCCATCCTCACCTTTACTCGGCGGGCTCAAACTGGCAAAGAACTCTTCGACACTCTGCAGATCACTGCGCTGCGACATGACGGCATCGGCCGTGCCGGCCTCACGCCGATACTCGAGATGCGACTTCTCCCACTCACTCTCACTGACGCCATGCGGGTACTTGTCGAACCAGTCCCCATACTGGAACATGGCTTTACTGGACCCGGACGACGACGACGCGCCGTGGCCGCCACCGGCCTTGTCGCCGCCCAGCCCGGGTGTCTCGCTGCGCGACGGCGGATTCGTCGACGACGCCGTGCGGTCGTGCGACCCCGTCCCAGACATGGGCAGGCCGTCCAGATCCATCGGGATCAGCGGCGTGTGTGTCCCGCCCGCGCCCGACGGCCGGCGCAGCAGCAGTGACGAGCCCGGGTGTTGTTGTCCGGAGGAGATGGGACGGGCAGACTGTGAGTGGTGGTGGTGGTGGGCCGCGGCGACGCGCGACGAGACGTCGGCAAACGCGCGGTAGATGTCCTTGACGCTTTCGGCCATGTAGTGGAACATGCCCCAGTAGCGCTTCATGCGCGTCAGGTACTTGTAGTTGTGGCGCAGGTTCTCCTTGCTGGACGCCTCGAGGCTGGCATTCTTGCTGAAGATGCCCCATACGTGCACCGTCGCCGCCGCGTACGCGCAGTAGCCCGCGAACGGTACCGTCATCGTGTGGCCCGTCGACTCCGAGATCAGCTTCGAGATCAGCGCCGCCGACTCGATCACGGTGTTGGCCGAGTTGGTCAGGAACGGTTTCGGCATCCCCGCCGCGGTGAAGGCTTGGTGGTGTTGGTGCGGCCGGTGCGATGGGGTGGTTGGGATGGCGAAGCGGTGCAGGAACAGCGAGGCCTGCGCGAGCACGATGTGCAGGAAGATGAACTGGTTGGCGAGGCGTTCCGAGACGTGGGTGGCGAGGTTTTCCGGCGTGTTGGCCATGTGGTCCGGCAGGGAGGACTTGAGCTGTTGGATCTGGCGCTGCAGCGTGGCGAACTGCGACAGCGGGTCCCAGATCGAGTGCGGGTCTTTCTCCTTGCCGCCCAGGTTCAGGTACTTGACGATGCGCTTCCACAGCACCACGCCCCGCACGATGTACGCGGCGACGCCCATGTTGGCTTTGGCTTCAATGGCCACGTCGTTGTTGAGCCCGGCCTCCAGCGACTTCTTGTTCGTCAGCGGTACGTTCCCGTGCAGGTCCTCCGTCGGGCCCGGCACTTCCATCTGGAAGTGAGATTCTTTAATCGGCAGCTGGATCTGATAGTAGTCTTCGTTGAGGAACGAGGGCCGCTCCGTCCCGGACGAGTTGAAAGTGTCCATCAGGTAGCAGGCCCACATGGTGCGGCGGCGGATCTCGCGGTCGGTAAAGGATAGCTCGGGTGGTTTGGGACCGCCTTTTTTGCTCGAGTCGCTCGAGTTGGCGATCTGGTTGCGGCCCAGTGGGTCGTGGTCGAGCTCGCGGTGCAGCTGCAGTGCGTATCCCATGCGCATGGCTTGGCCGCCGAACGACCACGACAGGCCGCCTTCGCAAGTGCCGAAATAGTGCAGCCCCAGCATCAGCATGGCGGTGAGGATGGTGATGTTCGGTTCGTAGTGGCGTTTCTCGACGATCCGACGGGCGGGTGTCGCCCATTGCTCACCGCGGAGGAAGGCTGGCTCCGTGCTGACCTGCGGGTGTGTCGAGAAGCGCGCCGAGATGGCGCAGACGGCGAGGATCAAGACGGGTGGGATCGTGCCCGCCTTCAACTTGCGCATGAAACTCGGTTTGTGGAGCAGGAGATATGACTGTCCGTAGACGCAGTCGAAGAAGACCTCGGCGAGGTGTTCTTGGATATGTTGGGGTGGGAGGGATTCGGAGCCCTCGATGAAGAGTTTGTTCTCTCCCTCGCGCTGTTTGCGGAGTCCGGCTGTCGGATCGAGGAGGGTGGACTTCTCCTTGGATGTTCTCCAGTCGCTCAGTTCTTGGGTGAAAGCCTCGTCGGCGGAACGCTTTTTGGCCTGATCCTTTTCTTTCTTGGGCGCTTGTCCCGGCAATGGTGGTCGGACGGAGGCACGGCCTGTGGTGCTCAGATCGGGAAGTTCGTCCTTTGGAATCACGCGAATCACGCGGTCTTCCATACGTTTTAGTCGCTTGTCCAGCATCGCCATGTAATCCGTTCTGGGTGCGGCTTTTCGAGTCGTGACTTTGTAGACACATGGGATTCGGGCACGAAGACAGTGCTTGCACGCGGGCTTTTCTCCCGAGCATCGGATTTTCTTGCGTCGACAGGCAATACACGCCAACGGGAGACGCTTCCTCTCCTTGCCTGCTTTCGTCTTCAATTCGCTCCATGCTGGTGGCTTCTCGTCGTCGATGGGTAACTTTTTGTCCTGGTCTGTGGTGCTGGCCGCTTTCCTTGGCGAGGAATCAGAATTACTCACTGCTTGATTGGCTGAATTTGTAGGCGTCCATTGATTCATGGTAGAAGGTCCGAAAATGTCATGATCGAATGCAGAATCGATACTTGCGAGACTGGCACGGTGTTGAGGACTGGGTACTCTTCCAGAAGCGTATCGATTTGGATCCTGGGGAGGAGCTCGATTGGGGAAACTTTGCGCATGACTTAATCGAATGTCTGGCGGGGCATCGATTCCACTATTGCTACTCCCATGAGGACTCCCAGTGAAAGGGAAATTGAAGTCGATCGAGATGGGCGAAGAGGTATCAAACATGGATGGGTTTGGAGGTTGGTGTTGTTGTTGAGCTTGGGAGTTGATGTTGCTGTCCATGGGAATGCGGGGGTTCTGAGGGCCAGGCATGATGAAACCGGTGGAAGAGAATGAATTGGATTGATAGTCCGATCGAGAATAACCAGCAGGTTTAGATGAACTGGTCATGTTGGCCGTTGATTCAACGTACACAAGTCGACGGAGAACCGCATATCCTTCATGCAAGATGACAGCTAGAAAATGTGGGTGGTGAAGAGGAGAGAATTTGTGGGGGAACCGGCCCGACAACCAGAGCACTGATCAAGAACTTGAATGATGTAGAGATATACAATAGATAGTGGCAGTATAGCTGATGATCAGTACCGAGTAAAGAGGGATGACGAGGCTGGCTTCGAATGATGAAAGACCCAAGTGGCTGAGTGAGCTTGAGTCGGGGAGGTTGTTGTTAGTTCGACTTTTGGCTGAGATGAGATGGACGACTCAGTAGAGTGTGGTTTAGTCGAGACTCGAGGCCCGTGTGGGAAAAGAAGGATAGCGTCAGAGGTGGTGGAGCTGCCAGTGGTTTGCAGGTGGGCGGGAAACCCGCGAGAAACCTAGTCGACCTTTCTAGCCGACTATGGACAAAGCGAGGGCGATGCTAGTTACTTCTTAACTTGTGTGGAGGTTGCCCTGCATGGACGACGACGCCCTCCAAGCTGGAGGCTGTCTGCGGGAAGCACCACGAATCCACGATGGCTCGATGATGGTCCACGACTCGGAGAACAACCTGGGCTTTGGAAGCCTAGGCTTAGGCTTAGGCTTGCGAGTAGGGGCTGAGGCTAGATTGACGAATCCAACACTCGCGGTAGGCAATGAAAACGATCTGGGGTTCAAATTCGGGGGCTTGATGTCCCCAAATTAGGGTGGGACTAGGCGATCTGGGCGCCTAGGACGAATAGACCATGCTCGGAGAATAGCCTAATTCACCCTGCGCTCCGAATCTGATATGGGTAGGCCTTTGATGGTCCCAGGCGAGTGATGATAGGGATTGACCAATGCTTGGATTGAGAATGAGATAGGTCGAGGTACCAGGCTGTCAAAATGAGTCCATTGAGCGTTCCAAGTATTTATTCCCATTGTATAAAGTTCCAACTAGACTGGTGTCTTTGCTATGCTGAGTAGTATGCATACGATATACGCACAATCATCCCCTGTACGAGAAGATATATCCAGCTCGCCGTGAATCGGTTTCAAAACACATGAGCCCAACTGCTTAACTGCTCGTAGCCCAAAGTGTAACAAATTAGTCACCCAGAAGAAAGTCTTTAGGTGTACGGATTGTGGGGATCAAGCTCCCCGGCGGGGAGTTTTTAACTACCAAGTATGGGTGCTCAAACAGAGTCACCCAATGTTCATCAGCTCATTGAGTATCACCACGCTTTCCATCTTCGACATAGTCAACGTGCAGTAGGGGCATTTAATCCCTCAGTCCTCAATATCGGATCCTAACCCATACTGCACTCGAGTCTGTGCCCCTGCCAATATTTCGGGCTGGTTCGAAACGGTTTCTCCCCGGACTGTGGCTAGGAACTAGACCTCAATAGAGAACATGATCAGAATATTCCACTTCTGCCCAGTGCCGTCCTCAGATCTCCGGGGAACCCTCCGGCGGCTTCCTCAGCATTTGAAACCACCGTTTGATCGTCAATCTCATCCTGCTCTTGTTTCTAGAGCCTTGTTGCCTCGGTGGTATTTGCACTTGAACACTGCCTCGGTACTCTGTATACAGCCGCAGATATATAGTATTAGAGTTTCCCCTTACTTCTAGGACGGGTCTACGGGTACAATAGGACTCACAAGCTTGGTAACAGTGGATTTGATTTCCTGAGACTAGTAGTAGGATACCCTGGTTGAACCCTCCTGCGTTGCGTTTCTACAAGGCCATCTTCAAGCGTTCGACGTCAGCCCCATGTCGAAATCGCGCCTAGAATGTGGGGCTGTTCCGTCGCTCCGTAAACGTTCGTGATATTCTTTTACTCGTTGCCAACTCTTTGTTTCCTTTTTCCAAGCAGCACAGTATCGACCAATCTACCAGTGTCTCCGATTTGTCCCGTCGGCCGTCTGAAGCAAAACTAAGGCCCTGTGTCTTGTACTAACGTTGCAGCAAGGAAGAAGCAAGACATCGGCTCCACTTAGAAAGGTGCAGGACGCATTTCAGCTTTTCCAACCCAAACCCATCGCCAGCCTTGCGCTCCTGCTGCCCGGTGCCCCTTAGAACGGATCCATGACGGTTCTAGCACGGCCCGAACGGAATCTTCTTTCCTGCGATACTTACTAACTCGTTATTGACTCGTTCTGGGACGCAGTCAAGCCCCACCTTCACCCTCGATCACTATTCATTTCTATCAGGATGAATGAACCCGACTTTGGGAACCTAGTGGCTAGCCCTACTGTTGCATGGACCAGGTGCTCCTACTTGGTTCGTTCCTCGCTTACTTTTCGCTCAAGACTGAGAAGACAGAGAACGGTTATCTGGAACGGTAAGTGACTCGTCTCTGCATGCACGAATCAAGGATATGTAATGAGGCGAAAAGGGGAGAGTTCATGGTCATCCGGTCACAAACACCCATGATCCTGACGTTCGTCTATTCATTGGGTCTCTCTACCTTACTTCCCTTGGTCTAGCATGCGTCGTCGGCGAAATATGTACCATCGATGTCGCCTTGGAGGTGACTAAGCTGGAACCGCCAAGTTCGAGGTGACGACAGCGTGGTACCCAACCACTCAGTACGAACTAGTCGGTCTAGACATTCGATAAGGTTTCATCCACTCGGTCCCTGTTCATCAAGCTGACCCTCAATCTAGTGCTTCTTTTACGCCTTTCAGATAATCAGACCAAACTTTCCCGATGTCGTGTTTGTAAATCCAGGCCAGCTTATCCTCCTGGTTGATACCCAATGTCTTGAATCTAGCTTCAAGCACTTCTTCAATAGTCTGGTCTCCAGCTTTGTTCACCCTTCCCAATTGGTCGTTGAGATAGGCATACCTGCGTGCAAAACACCATTAGCACTGCCAACATCAAATTCCACCAACCAAGTATCCCTTCAGACCTACATCTTCTGGTAATAGGGGAGCCGAATCTCCTCAAAAACCTGCAGAGCTGGTACGATGACATTTTCCGATGACCGGTTGTGCTCAAGTTCAATCGCTTGTGCTAGAATCCAACCATCTTCCATCCCAAAAGTTGCTCCTGAACCAAATGCTCCTAGAAAGGAAAGTGTCAGAGCTATCTATTTTTCTCATGGCTGATAAGGAATTACCGTGAAGTGGATGACTGGCATCCCCTATGAGGACTAATTTATCCCATCCGGTGATCTTTTCTGGGCCTGGACCTGCGAAGCCCGCGAACTCTTTCCATGAACCTTCAGGAACTGTTGCAATGGCATCTCGAACCCTTTGGTCATAATGCTAGTAGAGCAGAGAATCAGAATGGTTTTCATAGGGGTCGAGGTTTCAAACATACCACAAATCTCGCTTGAACTCTCTCATTCGTCGCTGGAATTCCCCACGACACTGTCCTTCCTGGAACATCAGGTTCATGGTAAGATCTTACGGAAAGCTCGAACAGATCTTCTCCTCCAGCTTCGATTTCGGAAGGATCATCAACCCCTGAAAGAAAGACATGGCCACCTTTGACATACCACCATGATGTTCCGTTTGAGATATCGGGAATATGTGCAAGGGTAGCCCTGGGAACGAGCGTGCGCCAAACAGTGTTTCCTGCATATCAAAGTCTGTCATTTGATAGTCCCAGCCTAACTCGATTCAGACACACCTGTGAAGTGGATTTTGAGATCCGGATACAGTGTTTTCCGCACAATCTGTAAGGCTAGATGTCAGAATTCATCCTCTCGCTGCCAGATGGACTCTACCTTACAGATCGTATACCATCAGCTCCAACAACAAGATCTGCAAGAGTCTCTGTGCCATCTTCAAACGACAAACGTACGCCGCTATCTCCGGCGTCTTTGGCAGATATCAGCTTCTTCCCATACCGGATGGTCCCTTCAGGCACTTTGGCAAGAAGGCCAGCTTGAAGCCGAATTCTGCGAGCCCTTATGGAACCCCGCTTGTCCAAGTTGGCATTCTCTGGCCATGGTTGAAATAGGACTAATTCGCCATTGTGACCATTTCTAGAGACCGAGAAATATGAATACGGGAGTTCTTTATGCCATCAGATTCCCGTGGAGATGTCCATACCTATGCCGCGTATCGTGCTTGGATGATCCTTTCACTCCGTCGGCAGCCCCGAGCAGATCAAGTACCTTCCAAGCATTGTAACTCAAACTCAGGCCTGCTCCAACCTCTCGAGGCTCTGGATTGCGCTCATAAACGGTGACAGAAAGATAGGGTAAGTTGGACAAAGCAATTGCTGCGGCCAAACCGGCCGGGCCTCCGCCTATGATGGCGACAGTCGTTTCTGGTTGATAAGAACCCATTGCTGATATATTGCTCACCAGCGAATACTTGGCGGTAGCACTTATTGTGTGGTGCCCTACATACTAGTTCTCGACTGATTATATATCATCTCGGAACTTGCACACCAAATGTCCATACTTGCACGTGGAGATAATATGCCCAACTCAACATGTTCCCAAACTGACGCCACAGCACGCCATTGTGGGAAGAGTACTCGGTCGAGAGTCCTCCATTTTCATTGGCTACAAACGGAGCTATCCGAAGAACGATTGGAATTCATGAATTCATTTGCCGATAGATTAGGGCAGCCCACGTTCTCGTGCGTACGTGCACTCCACAACGAGTCTTAACCGACATGAATCAACAAGCGATGCTCCACCAGGCCTCTCCACTGATATTGGCAATATAGTGGAAGTTATTAACAACGGCCATCAGCATGGGAAATCTCCTGCTTAGGAAACAGCCTTTGTAATGCATGGACCGTCCAGACTATAGTCCAGAAACACCAAGAACTCCTAGAGTCCAGGGACTTTCTGCAACCGATATCTCAAAATCGACTAGCCCATCACTGTTGTTTACCAGCCAGACCTAATACTTGCAACAGTCCAGCTTCGAGCATGGGGCTATGCATCATCTAAGCACGGGAAATATTCCACCAGCGTGATGATCATCGAGGTCGCGTTCTTCAAGCCAACTATGGCACAATCTTGACCATCTGGCATCATTGAACCCTCCAAACCGACTTGTGATGGGAATATCAGTATAAAATGCTCTACCACGTCGAGAAGATGTTTAGCCAGCAGCTTTTCAGATTGTGTTCACAATTCAGATCTATCAAGTCATCTTAGGTCTTCTTCAACATGTCGAAGCAGATCGAGCCTATTGTTACGAATGATGATGGTGACCACCAACCTCCCATCCAATCCGTGCCCAAAAGGCCATGGAAGAGCTACATCTGGGACACGTTCGATAAATCGCCGGAGGAGCGAAAATTTCTATTCAAGCTCGATGCAGGGATGTTGACTTTCACGTGCCTAGGTGAGTACTATATGATATGGTTCATATCTACATCCCACGTTTTGCCCCAGACTGTTCACTAAATACAACAGGGTATTTCATAAGATTTCTTGATCAGGCGAATCTGAACAATGCCTTCGTCTCTGGAATGTGAGTTCATGACCACGCAAGGACACGGCACAAGCTTAATGTCCCAACAGGAAAGAGGATCTGAACATGTTGGGAAATCAATACAACTACGCACAAACCCTGTGGACTGTGGGCTACATCATTGGCGAAATTCCCAGCAATCTCGTCTTGACCAAGATACGGCCTTCGATCTGGATCCCAACCCTCGAACTCATATGGTCGGTCTTGACGATATGCACCTGTCGAGTAACCAGTGTCAATCAGCTCTACGCATTGCGTTTCTTCATTGGATTAGCAGAAGCCGGGTTGTAAGTCGTTCCTGGTTCTCTTATTTCTATGTATCAGTCTTGCCATGCTTGGCCCTCCTGTTGGATCTGGATCTAATGATTTTGCAGCTTCCCAGGTGTGATGTACATGCTCGGTTCCTGGTATGGTAAGAATGAACTTGGGAAGCGCTCAGTCATCTTCCACGTCTCAGGCGCTCTTGCGACCATGTTCTCAGGTTACTTGATGACCGCCGTCATCGGTCTTGGTGGAAGACTTGGTCACCGTGGTTGGCAGTGGTAAGTCTCACACGAATACAGATAGCAATATCTCATCTAGCTGAAGTCGAATCTAATCAATTTTCGGCAGGCTATTCATCATGGATGGAGTTATTTCCTTGCCAGTGGCTGTCTCGAGCTTCTTCTTTCTGCCCGATCTTCCGCACAACACCCGTGTCTTTTACCTGAACAAAGATGTAAGCTGCCGTCTCCTCGCTGGGACTCATCATCTGCAAGGCTCACAGTCTGACAAATCATGATACTGCAGGACCTAGCGCTCGCCGAGCAGAGAATCAAAAGTTTTGGCCGTGCAAAGCGAGAAGGGTTTTCGAAAGAGAAGCTGCGGAAGATCTTTTCAAGATGGCATATCTGGGTGTTCCCTCTGATGGCCGTGTAAGTCAATAATTCAGGATCACATCAGATCAGAAGTCAAGACTCTAATCTTCAGATAGCTTCGGCGGTGGTGCATCTGGAGTTGGTCAACCGTTCTTTGCTTTCTATCTCAAACAGTCCAAGAATCCGAAATACACGCTCGCTCAAATCAACAACTATCCCACGACCCAGGCTGCGGTCATGGTGGTTGCAGAACTGACATACGCTTGGATTGCAGATGGCCCTCTTAACGGTAAAAGATGGCCTGTCATGCTGTTCGCTGCGGTAAGTCTTCCTCAATGAGCTACTTCGGTCACGAGGGAAACTAATCCTTCTCTAGACCCTGAGTCCCGTCTTCTGGATCTCTCTGTTGGTGTGGAATATCCCTGAATGGTGGCGCTGGTTTTGCTACATCACACTCCAGCAAGTCATTGCCCTTGTCCCGTTGAACCTGATGTAAGTACACCCTGAGCATCCCCATAGTTACCTACTCCGAAAGTCTCAGTACAATGCTCACGCTACCTCATACACAGATGGGCGAATGAAGTATGCTCAGACGACAACGAAGAACGCGCTCTCGTGGTCGCTGTGATCAACACCATCCAATACGCACAGTCGGCTTGGCTGCAACTCCTGATTTGGAAACAGACCGACTCGCCGCGGTATAAGAAAGGCTTTCCCACGGCTATTGCATTCAGCTTTGTCGTCATTGGAATCATCTTCCTCATCAGGCATCTCGCCAAGAGGGAGGCCGAACAGTAAGTCACATTTCGGACGAGATTGACAAGGTCGAGAATGATTGAAGAAGTCTACTGACTTGGGTTACTTGTAGGAAGAAGTCTCAGCGTGATCAGATCGAAAGTGACAGTGGAGTGGTGAGCAGCTCGAATGCTTCTGAGGTGGCTGTTGAGCCAGGGAAGAGCGGATGAGCAGCATGGAGCACAATGAGGGAAACGAGACAGGTGGTGGAAGTGAGCTGGCACGTCAAAGACGAACATAGCCTGTCGTACCCGAAGCAAGAGAAGGATTTTGCATCGATAGTGACAGTCAATTTGATTGCTCTGATCTAAGGATGGCTTGGAGACTGGAAACTTATAGTCCTTCCGTAATGTTGACATCTTCCTATCCATACACAATCTCTTCAAACCGAAACTCCGTTTCTTGAATTGACCTGCAGGTTAGCCAACTTGCAAACCACCCAGTCCGAGGATGTGCCAAACTTCCTCATCAACATATTCGTCGCTGTCCGTATGAGCTCATCTGCATTCTCTCCATTGAAAGCAGGGAACGGCATCTTGCTGGTGATCTTGGTCATCATGTCGATTGCAGAAATCACCCTGGAATAATCGCTACCGTCAGTTCTGGCGGTGATGAAGAAAGTTCATGCTCGCTGTCTCTGGGATATAAGATGTACGTACCTATTAGCCATGATCACATCGATGTCCGGCTGCTCGGTGGCAAAGATCTTCAGCAGATTCAGCGCGGGGAGTAGTCCTTCGCGGAAAGGTTCCCATATCGGCAAATGCGACCACACAGCTCCGTTGTCCAGGGTCTGAAGCATGAGTGGTCGATGGAGTGCGAATCGTGCATACCAATACAGCAGTTTCAGACGGGTCGTCAACGGCGAGCGCTCGGAATACGCATTGGTTGGCACGGGCACTGGGTTGGGGGACCAGTCGAGGTTCGCCGGCAGGCGGAGGATCCATGTGTCAAGCTGGGAGTGGAGCTCTTGTTGCACGGGTGAGATGTTGAGTTGATATGGTTGATGGATTGAGGCCGGGGAGCTATGGGCGTTTAGTTCGGGGGTGGTTAGGATACTTTCTAGGATGGCGCGCAGAGACATTTCCGCCAAGAAGAAGACGAAATGTGTGTTGACATGGGGTGGGCGTTCCTTGTTGTCTGCCTCGTCGCACGGTAGAGGTAGAGAGAAGTGTTCCTCGAACTGTGCGAGGTTGCTGCGTGGCAGAGTTCCGTCAATCTCACGTAACAAGTCTCTGGAAACGGGTTGGAGCAAGTTAGTCGAATGTTCCTCAGCATGAATACCAAGGGGATATTCCTCACCGTTCAAGGTTGTTGCAAATCCAGAAAAGCAGCCTGAGATTGTTCTTCTCATTTTTGGGCCGTTCTAGCCGCGAGATTTGGTCCCTAAAGAGCGAATAGACTTTAGTGTACTATACTAGTGGCCGAATATGCAAGGCTGAATACCTTTGGACGACTGTGTGAAGCATGGAGCACGCTGTATTTAATGCAACGGCGAAATCCAAGAGTCGATCTTTCCGCAGAAGAAACATCGCCGAGAAAACCAATATGTGGACATATTGCAGACTCAGCTGAGTACCGACTTGATTGCGAAGCTGCATAGCGCGTTGATAATCGGCCAAGCCACTTTCCACTGAATCGTCGTCTCTAAAGGCCTTGGTCAGAGCAACGACCAAAAGGACAAGACAGGATTGCACGTCCTGCTGAAAACCCTTGGCTTGCACAACATCTGTGATGCAGCTGAGAGTGGTGTCGCATATCAAAGGGTACAAGTAGCCGAAAGTCATGAAAAATCTCTGCTTGATACGAGGTATATCGTTGATGTCAATGGGAACATGTTGATGCAGAATGTCGGGGAATCCCAGTCGTTGCTCCTCACAGAATATTGGTGTCTTTCCGAAGTAGCGTGAGATCCTGGATATGGACGCGGACCCGTGATTGACGTCTATGTTAGCATTACTAAATGAAGTTCGCCTAGAGGAATAGTCAATGTTTCGAGGTGCTAGTGCAGATCTTCCACCATCTGGCCGTTCCTGCCAGACTTGAGAGCGCGGACTCGAATGGGATGGCGAGGGATACCACAGATTTGGATCATCTGGTCCCTTGGTTTGGCATGCTGCCTCAAGAGCCTGGCATTGGCCTATCGAGGACTCCAGCTGGTCGAGCCTACGCTCTGTTTGTTCGAGACGCTGTAATAAAACTTTCATTCCCGGATCATGGCTACCCACGCATGAGTTTAGCAACTTGAACTTCATAGGATAAACTGACCTGAAACGATCATGTGAAGGATAATTGCACTTGAAGCCGTGGCGAGTACAGTAGCCACATGTTGGTCGACCTTCACTGCATTTGACCTTCTTTACACGACACGTCTCGCATGCCTGTGGGCTTATGTTATGGCTAGGTTACTGTGTGAACAATTGTTTTCACTTACTGCGGATGCTTTCTGATGGCCCTCCCTTGGAGATGAAAAGGTTGAGGGTTGTAGCTTTCGCGGACTTCGTGGGATGAGCTCAACCAGATCAGTAGGCCGCCTAGGAGGACTTCTTGTTCGCTTCCGACTGTTCTCATTCTTCAGATCCATTTCAGTCCTGTAAGAGCTATCGCAAATTCCTAGTCGTCTGATGCAGACAGTCACTATCATGCAGATGTGTTGTGGTAGCTGAAAGTGGGCGGGAAGATTTCGGCCGACAAAGCCGAGGCCGTGCAATGAGAATGGCGCCTTAAAAATGACACCATTAGCCTCAGGCAAGGCGTGACCACTCTTCATCTTTCTGCCCACCATCACCCACATTTTCGCATGATAAGTATCTAGAACTCGATGTATCACTGGCTAATTCCGGAAAGCCGTCCGAAATGCTCACGATTTATGGCTCCTCTAAATTCAAGGACTCGTCTCGATCAGGTGAGCCCGTCGTCCCACAGTCGGGAATACAGCAAGGGATTGCCACGATGGTGGGTTCAAGGATTTTTGGATAAGAACATCGGCTCATAACCGACCGGGCACTTTGTTGTGCATTTCTCTTTTTTGCAGAAAATCACAATGATTGAACGTCCTCGACGTGTTGCTGTCGTTGGAGCTGGTGTTTCTGGAGTGATAACTGCAGCCCATCTCAAGGCAGAAGGTCTCGACGTTACGGTTTTTGAAAGAGCTCCAGTTTCTGGGGGTATATGGTCAGTATGCCAGGCGTAAGATTTATAGGAGAAATGTTGAAAGTGAAGATGTAGGGTTTTTGATCCACGCATACCTCATGAACCGACATATCCATCCGTGAAGCCTTCGCTCTCAGACTCAGTCTTTTTTGAAAACATAGACGGCAAAGACCCATACACCATACACTCGCCGCCTGGGTATGACGCTGAACCTGAATTTCGAGTTCTTGCTGAAGATTAAGACAGGCCGGCATATGAGTCTCTGACAAACAATGTCGGGACTCAATTCCTTGAGTTGAGTGTGAACAAATGGCCCGCTGGAACAACAACATTCGTCAAACATAACGTCCTCGCGGAATATATCCAGGATACGGCAGTCAAAACTGGCGTACATGAGAGCACTATTTATCACACTCAAGTGACGCGGGCTTCCAAGGAAGGAAATGTTTGGAGAATTGAGACGTCGACCTGGGATACTACCACGAGACAAACAACTGAAAAGACTTGGGTAGGCGTCTTGAGATTGTGAGGCTCAATCCGCTGATAACGACAGGCATTTGACTTTCTTGTGGTCGCATCAGGCCGTATGTCCTTCTCCAGGTCTCCGAAACACGATTGATCCGAAGTCACTGACGGTTGATTGGCAGATTATCATGCTCCAAGAGTCCCAAATTTCCCTGGGTTGGCAGAGTGGAAGAAGAAATGGCCATCAAGAATACAGCATTCCAAGAGCTATCGTAATCCTAAGGGTTTTGAAAACCAGGTAAGCTAATCAAAAATACTAGATGTGTATGACTAACCTTTCTCTGAAGATGGTTCTCCTGATAGGTGGCAGCGCCTCCTCGAGTGATATTGCTAAAGAGGTAGGTCCGATTGCGAAGAAAGTGTGGCAGTCGACAAGAGGCGGTTTCATGGATGGCCCTGAGTCTTGGCTACCACCCAATGCTACCCGTGTTCCTGGAATTGTTGAGTTCACCGCTCTAGAAGAGAGTGCCCCCGAGGGATCAACCGCTATACCTGGCAAGGTGGTGCTTGCTGATGGACAAGTACTCGAAGGCATTGACCGCGTCGTTATCGCAACCGGATTCCATTTCACACTTCCCTTCTTTGGATCGGAGTTTCAATCTGACGACATACCACGAGAGGAAGCAGACGAGAACATTCTGGTCACCGATGGCACGATGTTGCATAACCTCCACAAGGACATTTTCTATATTCCAGATCCAACACTGGCTTTCACTGGAATTCCGTTTTATACTGCGACTTTCTCACTGTTCGAATTCCAGGCCATTGCGATTGCCGCGGCATTTTCTGGTCAGGCTGAAATTCCGCCCACGGAAGACATGAGGACAGAGTACTTGGGGAGAATCAATGAGAAGGGGTACGGGAAGCCATTCCACACCCTGATAGGGCAGGATGTGGAATATGCAAAGAATTTGATGGCATGGGTCAACAAAGGCCGAGATGACGCAACGAAGAAGACCGATGGCTACTCTCAAGAGTGGATCAATCTGCGAGACGAATTCATGAATACTTATTTCAGGACTGGGCTTAAGACAAATGAGCCAGTTGGAAAGGATGCTGTTGAATGATTATGTCCTGCTGTTTGAGAAAGTTTGCAGTAGGTGGAAAGTTCGACTTGAGCCTGTCGACTCTATCATTAAGAGTTTGACATTCGGAGCTCATAGATACGTAGACATCTGCCTAGATTAAAAAATTGCAGAAGTGAATGGGATGGAGCTTTGCGGATGGAGAGGAGTCTCAGCCATCAGCGTGGCACTACCTCCCTTGTGTGCCATCATCTCATCTCGGGACCTGATGTGCGCGATTGCAATCCTGGCACCACGATTTCAATACCTACGTAAACACCACACACTGAAGACCATCTTGGCGCGATATGGCTCCTCTCAACTATAGTTAATAAGCAGCTGGACCTCGGGATAAACTGGCCATCTCGAGACAGCCCTTCCGAAGGAGAAAAGTTGATATGTGAAGATACAGGAGCATCTCGAGCTTCAAGTTGAAAGATGGTAGGTGCTTTTGTGAGAAAAGGCGCCAAGGCCAGTGTGAATTGTTTCCAAATGCGTCACCGTAGAATCAGGACATCACTCCCCGAGTAATTTTTAGCCATTTTACCAATATCTCTTGACCGTAGATGTCTGATCCGATGCCATAAAATGCACCCTTACCACAATTGTATGTGTGCTCTGAGTCTAAGTCCCTGGTGATGGGTTCGCACGCCGAAGCCAAACGTGTGGCAAAGCTTGTCCTGGACAAGTTCGATGCTCTTCCAAGCAAATGTAAGCCTCACAGATTGCCTGATGGAAGGCGAGAATGGACAACTCTGTCTGGCATTGTTATTGCATGTGGTGGGTATACCACCTAACTTGAAAATCATGCACGCCTAATGTAAGTGGACCAGGTGAGCAACAAAACCTTACCTGTGTCTCTCTTGCGTAAGTGGAGGTTTATTCATTGAAGTTGGCTCACGATGGCTGACAAAATGGCAGAACCGGGACAAAATGCCTTCCTGCAACTGCTCTACCCAAGTGTTTGGGTCTCGTAGTGCATGATTCACATGCTGAAGTGCTTGCACTTAGGGGGTTCAACTATTGGCTCTTGTCTGAAATCAAAACAGCGATTGAAGACTGTGCATACACTTCTCCATTTATTGAATTTTCTAGTACCAACGCTTCAAGCAAGCCTACAGATCACTGCAATAAAACTCAAAGCCGCGCATTTCGGCTGAGAGACGATGTGTCACTTTACTTGTTCACAACCGAAGCGCCTTGCGGTGATGCATCAATGGAGCTTCTAATGAATTCGATGTCTCCAGGTACGGCAGAGCCATGGGAAACTCATGATCTTGAGAGCCTGGCGACATCACTACAGGGCCGGGGTCACTTTTCGATGCTCGGCTATGTTCGTCGTAAGCCTGCTCGGGCTGATGCAGAACCGAGCAATTCAAAGTCATGCTCCGATAAATTGGCGGTCAAGCAATTCATGAGTGCCATTGCCTTTCCAGCTGACCTCTTCATTGAAAAGACCGACAATGCTTACATTCGGACAATGATTGCTTACGGAGACCAGTACAATGAAACCGGATACCTTCGAGCCTTTGGACCGAAAGGACGATTGTCCAACATTTCTAAACGTGGGAGGTTCTTCGAGGTGGCCGTCCTCCCTCACGACTTCCAATGTTTTGCCTTTGCAAGAGCAGCAGGAAAGGTTGTAGAGGAAGAACAAAAGCCGAAAGTAAGCAACGTTACTTGCTTATGGATTCGACATCCTACCACTCCATCTGGTGACATACTTGAAGTCATGGTCAACGGGGTCAAACAGGGCTACAGACAATGGGACGATCGAATAGCCAAAGCGAGTGTTGTCTCCCGGCGGCGTTTGTGGGATCTTGCTATTGAGATTGCTGGATTCCCGACTCGGATGGCATTTGAGGATGACATACGTACGGTTGTACCGACCACACTACCTACAACAGCCTCAGTGCAGTTTGAGGAGATTTCTAAAGCACTAGCGAGAGGCAGTTATGCTCAAGCAAAGTCGTCTTCTCTGCGAGGCAGGTCAATCAAGGATAAGTCCTATGTCACGACAGCTCTGGGAAACTGGCATAACAATGAAGAAGATAAGAATTGGAAACGTAATTCAGCCTAACTCTATCCATACACAAAGACTGCTCACCAATGTCTTGGTATGACAACGGACCCACGAGAGTACATGAGGAGGTCTTCAGTACCTCCCCGGTAATCGCTGTCAATGATCGTCTTAATAGTTGGGTAAAGGAAGCCGCGCTGCCTCTCGATCTACTCGGAGGCGACCCAGTATGATTCACAACGAATCTCTATGGCATGCGAGGCATTGTGATCGGCCATGGATCTTCTGTCATATATCTAGGGAAGAAGTCCACCATCTCTTCTTTTCCATATTTCTCCTCCATCAGATCATCCTCTCCAAGACCCATTCGAACAACCAACCCCTGAGAACAGGAACCGTGGAGCCAAGAGAGACTAACCAAGAGTCAGCTACCTTCAACCATGGCACCTCGGAAGGGAAAGGACCACTGTACCAAGGATCGATCTCTATCAGTCCAGCGGGTTTCACTGCCAGCAGTTCTGAGACCTTTTCAAGCAGGCATTGTTAAGTCTCGAACACCAGTGACAGCACGGAATACACCGGTAGCAGGACATGCCATACCACCCACTACACAAGACTCTCCACAAGGAGGATCATTACCAAATGTTTCTGATACGTCTCAAACCCCATCCACCATGCGAAACACGTCTCGAATTCCAGCAACAGCACAGAATGCCACAGTTCTCCAGGAGGCTATGATTACCGTCCCAACGATCCAAACTCCATCCAGAGCACAATACGGACGGGACATTATTGAAAGAGTTGCGAACCACAGTCGGTTGGGTGGTTCTCAGGCCCGAAGTCTTCGAGTGCCACGAGTTTCAGCTGCAGCAACATTCGCGAAGGAAGCCCAGCAAGAACATCTTCATGAGTACATCTTGAAAAATGAGGCAGAAATCAACCCAACGAGTTCTTCCAAACTCCATTGGCACTCCGTTCCCCACTTCTGATACCGTCTTTCGGTCTTTTTCACAAGCATCAACCTCGAGAATGCATGGTGGAGTTCGTTTGCTCAGCGGAATGAGTCGCCAACGTAAGCCACATCGATATGGTTATGCCTATTCTCGTCCACATGGAGTGACCGCAAGTGATGAAGATGACCGCCTTGCTATCGCCGAACTTCTGGAGACAGAGGCGTGGCTTGCTTCCAATACCGCAGCTGCAATCCACACGGTGATTCATCTCGACATTCAACTCTTGGACTTCGTCACACGTCGTGCGATCCAAAGCAGGTTTTCCTTGAAGGTGGATAATAATCTGACCAATGCACAATTCTGGACCGCTCTCAAAGTGGCCTTCACCAAACAATTCCCACGCTCGACCCTTCGTCCAACGCCGGAAACGTTCATCTACGAATACGTTCCAAAGTTGAAGTCCGCAGATGACCCTCCCAAGCCAGGTTTCCACGCCAATTGTCTAGTATCCGACACCAGTAGCTCGAACCGTACCTTCCAGGAGTTTATCGGATTCTATATGCGAGAGGCTAGAGAACGAGCCGTGCACATCTATGCTGCCACCAAGGATCAGGCTAAACAGACCAGAATCGGACATTTCAAAACATCCCGCTACGATGCTGGTGGGCGCGTAAGAGCAGTTACACATGCCAGTATCCCGCGCGAAGCGGCTGTCTTTGCGAGGGTGTCGCTTGTTTTCAACCAAACCTTGATCTGAGCGCTTTTCTCGAAGAATGGCTCTTCGTCTTACTCACGAGCAGCAGTGGGAGGGTGGATTTACTCACTGGATGACATCAACGGTCTCAATTGGAAGAACCTGAGGCGTATAACCGTTTGGCACGACTGTTGTACGAGTATTTCGGGACTTGCAGCCTGGATAGACTGTCAGTTCAAAGACTAGTGCCTGTTTGTGGCAGTATTGAATACCATAGACACCACAGGACTTAGCACAACTGTTGTATGTGATAGGAAATCCATCCGTGCAAGTATCAATCCACGATTCGCCATACCATTTAAGGTCTATCTAGATAGGCAATGCTCAAACAACATGAGTGAAGTGGTATCACGAGCACGAGACTCGGGAGCATCAACAGTGGACTATTTGACATAGTTTGTGGCCTCATCGGCCTTGGCCATGCATGACTCCAATACCTCCCAGAACCGGTCCAAGTCCAGTGACCGGGGAATCAAGACTCCTTTCCCATCCTCTGCCAGCACAGCCACCGTCCGGCCAATCTGCTCTCCCTCCAGAACAACGTCGACTTTCCATCGCTCACCTCCATTGTCATCGAATCGTATCTGGACATTGAAATCTGGATGGTCAGCTAATAACACGACCACCGCGAGTGGATCATGTAGCGGTGGTCCCTCAGTCAAGCCGAAGACCTCGGAATACGTCTGAGCGAAGAACATGAGTAGTTCGTTGAACATGGTTCTTAGTTTTGTTCGTCCTTGCACGCCAGTCAAAAGCGTTTCTTGCACTTTGGGCGTCGCGTATGCTTGATGGGTTAGGTCCAATGGTATCAGAACCGTCTTTGGGCGTAAAATTGGATTGGTGAGCACGCTCCTGGCTGACTCCGGGTCTGCCCAGATGTTGAACTCTGCGAAGGGCGTGATGTTGCCGCAGCGCACGTGCGACTGGCCTTTTGAGTCGGTGTAATCTGGGCCCATGGATACATGGCTGTGCCCTGAGCCAATAGCGCCGCCCATGATACTTACGCCTTTAATATGGGAGGCCAGACTCGGGTATGTGGCGAAGAGGAGGGCGGTATTGGTGCAAGGCCCAGTGGCGACGACCCAGGCGGTGTTGGCCGGGGTTGCTATCAGAGCGTCGTGCATCTCCTTGATGGCATTGCAGTGGGTTAATGGCTTCCTCTCTGGGAGGGGAAGAAGGTCGGTGCCTTCCAGACCGCTTTCGCCATGAATGTCAGTTGCATTTTCGACAGTACGGCAGAATGGACGTGAGGCTCCAGGGATGACGGGGATCTGCGGCTGGCCTATTGCTTGTAAGACGCTTAGAGCATTTAATGTCGTCTTGGCTAGGGGTGCATTGCCGTGGGTGGTGCTGATCCCAAGGAGTTCAAAGGCTGGGTGATACACAGATAGAAGAATGGCACAAGCATCCTGAAGTTGTTTTCAACAATGAGCATCTGTGTTATGTGTGTATGTATTCCTGAGATGTCAGAGGTGTGCACTCACGTCATGCCCTATGCAAGGCTGTGAGTTGATTGACAGCTGGTTGGAAAGGGGCTTTGACAGGGTCCCGGCACCGAGCCTCCCCCACAAAGTTTGATAGTCAACTTACCTGGATCACAGTCCAACCATATTGGTATGCGGGGATATTGGTTCAATGGCTCTCCCATTGCTCCTCTAGCTGTTAGTGAGTATGACTACTAGGAAAGAGAGAAGTCAAGACCAGAGTGTCCTCGGAAGTCTCTTTTGAATCCGTGTGTCATCCTCTGAAACTCCTTTGGGGCTGTTGTTGGTCATAGTGAGATAAAAGAAGCTAATTATACTTAGCGTGAGGCTAGAGAGAGCTAGTGCAGACATAGAATGTTAGCCGGGTCTACCACATTTAATTCGATTGTCGCACGCAGCCTCGACTCACTTCCAGCCTTGAGCCAATCACACGTTGACACACATCTCGACACCATCAACTCTACCAACCCGGTGAGACTGCTCTCTTGCCCCTGCATTGCCAGCGTGGCCAGCAGGCGACGGCTACCCAACGACACTTCTCTAGATACATTCAAAAAGGCATCTGTGCGGCGTCACCATGATCTTGAAATGACTGCTTCTTCTCCAGCACACCCACACCCACCATTTCCTCAAGTTGCGACAAAGGCCGCTTCCACTGCCCAATCCTCTCAGTTGAACGCCCTTGCCGACAGCAAGGTCGCTCCCGTTCGATCTACCACTCACGTCCTTCCAAGCGGCCCTAAGTCCCGTCGAGATGCTCCAGCATCAACCCAGAGTGCCATCTCAGACAGGGCAACCCTCTCGTTGATCAGGAAGACATTGGTGGCAGATGGAACCTATGGCACGGCCCCAAGGGTTTCTCCGGCACCCATCGAAGGTATCTTACCTCCGCTAACAAGTTCAAACGATGTCGACGTACAACTATACGCGATCGTTGCCATCATCATCAAAGATTTTGTCAATTCTTGGTACTCCAAGATCAGTCCGGACCACACCTTCATCGATGAAGTAATTCAGGTAATTGCACATTGCAGTCGAGCAGTGGAACAGAGATTACGACAGATTGATATCACGGAATTGATATTGGATGATGCTGCGGCCTTGGTTGAGAGGCATGTCGTTGGTAAGCAAGAAGACGAACACTGGACGATGGTGACGCAAATCTCGTTGGCTCCGCTGACCGTTTGCCAATTCCAGCCTACCGTACGGCCTCTATGGCTCAAGCTGCTCTACAGTATGGGGAAAGCCCCCGCCGAATCTATCACGCCTTGAATCCACATCCAGCTCTCGACCCTTCCATGTCAGAAGAGGATCAGAAAAAGTACGAGTCTGCTTATCGCCAACTACTGATTCAAGGCGCACTGGCCGTGCTTCTGCCAACCGAGGACCTGGCCAACACTTGTCTCAGAACTCTGGTGACTGACATTATTGCGGATTTGATTCTCGGCCGGGCAGTGGCGGACAAAGTGTGCGAGCCGTGGTTTCTTCATGGCGCCGTGTCAAAAGTGGTGGAGATCGTGACATCGCGTTCTACAGGCGACACTGTCGTTGACGAAAAGGCCTTACATTATGAAGACCGCACAAGCCGACTTGAGAAGTTTGGCCTATTGTCTTCGAAAGCGGCGGATCAGGAAAACAATTCGTCAGAACAGCGCCAATCATCGGCTAGTGCGTGGATTTGGAAACTCCTCCAGTACGCTTTCATTGCATATCAGTCCTTACGATTTATTCTCGTCGGAGTCGTCCACGCCCAGCATCTACCCCGGAGAGTTGCCCACAATCAGCATCTCGTCGACATCTCCACTTCCGCCTCGTCGTCCTTGCATTCGCAGAAGTCTCCCGCTCCCTCGACACGGCGCCTATCGGATGCCAATTCTCGTTCTCCCCGAGCAGTGATCAACTACAGATTGTTATCCTGCATCTCTACCATTCTCGATTTGTCAGTTCGCATGCCGTGGCTGGCCAGTTTGTGTGGTTTCTGGCAGCATGTTCTTAGCGACGGGCCGGGCAGATATGGAAGTGCTAACTCCACGCTTGACAAGTAAGTGATACATCTCTTTCTATTACCCGTCCCCAATCGTCCGGTTTTTCTTCGCTTCGAGATTTGCAATGTCTCACCGTGGTCCCAACTTGGAGGCGAGTGAATGAGTCCTTCTTATCCCCTGAAGTCGCATATCGTCTGGGTCAGATGATATGGACTGAAAATCAAGCACCAATGAACCTTCAAACATGGCATCTTCCCAGCATGTGGAGGATCTGACGCTTTTGTTCGTCATGCCAGCTCGAATCAGGTGGGTGTGGATATGTGGGCCAAAGATTACGATCATACCAAATTTGACCCAATGGCAATCATTACGGTCCAGACGGTACAGGACGGTACGGGCCTTGTATTGTCAGCATGACCAGAACACGCTTTGACTGGCTGAGGTTGGCTCTGCACGCCTTGCCATTTTCTACTGGTTTGTGTCACACCTCAAGACTCAACCTTCAACCTCGCTCTCGTCGGGCCCAAATTGCTCGTCGCCTGTGGAGATACTCAATGCTTGTGCTCGTCGCCCCTACGTCAAGTCCATCTTTTACTAGGCCCACCCCCAAACACGATCGACCAAGTTGAAGATCATATGAGAAAGATCTCTCGGCCCACCAGGCGAAAATCAGAAAATAGAACTCGCAATTCATCCAATCGTCGCTTCGGATTTATTGGTATTTTCTCATTTCCAACCCCCGTTCGAAACATCCTCCCAGCATGCGACCAGACCGACATGGATCCACCCCGCCCATGGTCGCTCCCTTGCCCTCTTTGGCGACCTTGCGTTTCCGACTTGTCTGTCTAGAACTTCAATATTCTCCACCAATTACTGTTGCACAATGGCTTCAGAGCTGTTAGCACACATTTTATGAATCAGCTACGGAAGGGCCAAAACTTGCATGCAGACCATCTGGTTGTCGACTCAATTAAGAAATATTTCAATGTGGGAGCCAATGACTTCGGCTAATCAGACGAATTTTCCAAATTATCACCAGATCTGCCGCATTATTGGTCGCCCGCCCAATTTCGACATCCTGGCTTCGAGGTCTGATGATGAGGCGGTTGCCGATACCCATTTAGGCACTGGGACGGCCATCTTCGGCGCGTGCCGATAACAGAACAGTGAGCAATCCCGCGTTACAGATAATACGCCTGGAGCAAACATCTTTTTACGTCACAAATGGCACATGTCCCAACAATCACCACATAAACCACAGCCGTTATCTATCAAAAAGATCTGTCGAACATCCCCGTCCTGTCAACACATCTGACAGCGGTTTGTGCCACTTGAATTGCAACATTTCAAGGACACCACTAGTGCTCGGTCGTCTTTCGCTCTTCGTGCCCAGGAGGCTTACCTAGTTTGGCTTGGGCTTCCTCTGGGCTGCCGTATGCCTGTCACTACTCCGTACACCCTCCGCCAAACTCAATCTCTTCGCAACTGGCGCTTCAAGCGCAGCTCTCACTCGCCACTTTTCCATCTCGGACTGATCAGAGCTCCACTCCAACACTTCTGATGGCTCTCTGGATTGACTTCGAAGATTTACAATCCCTGATCCTAGTCTACTGCTCTGTGGAATCATTAGCACGGTTGAATTCTGCAAACAGACCGTAGTGGGATTCTTAGGCTCCTGCATGCGCAGACAACTCCACTTGAACGTATTGGGCATTTTTTCACCAACGCCATGCCCTTTTACTTGGACCGTTTCGACTATGCAGGCAACTCTTTCAAGTGCATGCGAACACCAGTCCCGTGAACACATGCTTGTGAGCAACTATGCTGCAGGTTCTTGGTCAGCGCCTTCCCGTCCCTCGATGCAACAAGCCGTTTTCGCCATCACCCCCTGGATGTCAACGCCTTGCGCACGGAACAGCGTTCTCGAAGCGATCACGTGTCATCTTACGCAGGTCACTGGCGAGAGTAACGCTCACACTCACTGAGCCGGCGGCGAGGGAGGGTTTAGGAGAATGTCATCGGGTGAAAGTGTTTGGGATGGTAGCGAGGCCCGTGGTTCACGTCCAAGAGTAGAGGCTTCACGATATTTGAAGGGTTAAACTTGAATCATGCTTCTCAGGCCATTGTGGCATTCGTACCGCCTCCGGGTGCCAAAGCTACTGATCGTTCGTTCTATTCATCGACTTTTACTCGCGAGCAACAATGCATTGGTGCGATATTTGTTGCTATTGATGCTAACAGAATTTCAGATTCTTTTATTACACCATTTCAACACGAGTATTCACCCCGACTCTCCTGCCAGCGCTGCTTCTACAGGTTCGTTCCATCCTCTTTCCCAACAATACGCTTGGTCCGCCTGCACCTCCACCACCACCTCCTGAAGAACGCTTTGCAATCAAACGCAAAGCGGCCACAGACATCCTCAAATTGTTCCCGGACAGGATTACAAAGACACTTTTAACGCACGATAACGAAGAAATGAGAATTGACGAGGTTGAAGAAGAAATATTAGGCTGGACCGACGATGTTTGGCTGAACAAGTACCTGATTTATGGACTCTTGGAGCTCATCTTGTGTAAGATATGTCCTGAGTTGAAGGACAAATCTCCTTCAGAACTCCTGGCTGAAAGAGGTGTTGTACTGCCTGCCAATGTTGAAGAAGGCGAGCTGGACTCACATCTGGAGGAGGACAAAGGCGGGAATTCGTCGAAGTCGTGATTCTAGCAACCCAGATCTTGAATTGGGAATCCTCGTGCAGAATACTTGTCGGGTCTTGAGGACCTTGTACTGGATTTGGTATTCCCAGGCCAGGTGATGCAGTAAACAGGTAAGATTCTTCAACAAATGTCGCAAAAGGAGCCATTTTTCTTACCATAATTCTTCGCATCTTCTCCCTGAATCAGATCTTCTATGGCCTGTGGACCGATAGGGCACCATTCGTTCTCCACGAACATTGGAAACTTACGCACTATGTCTGCGATGTTCTTTCTCCCCTTCATGTCTTTTCTGCTTCTTGTTTCCCCCCGCTTCTCCATACCGTGATTCTTCGCCTTCCCAGGGGTTCTTTCCTCGTCCTTTTCCCCCTTTCTCTCCATATGTGCCAGTGCCCGCCCTCTGTTTCTCTATTGATTTTCTGCTTCTGCTTCTGCTTCTTCTTCTACCACTTACTCCTACTTCCTGCTCTGTTCCGTTCTGTTCTGTTCTGCTCCCCACCCCACTCCTTCTGTTTCTCTTTCTCTTGCTCTGGCAAAATCTCATTCTCTGGCACTTCCCCGAGGAAACCTAGAGGGGTGCCGTGTGTCGCCATGTTCGTTCGGTTTGTTTGGCTCAATGGGTAGAGGTTGCGGGGTGAATCGGAGGATCGAGTGGAGGATGGAGAAGAGAGAAGAGAGACAGAGAGAGGAGAGGAAGGAAAGATGTGCCCCCACACAGTGAAAATACGAGCCAAAGATACTGGAAGGCCTTTGGGTGCTTCTCCTCTGGGTGATTCAATCTGTCTGTCCGTCTATTTCTCCATCTCGATCAGCCCCGAAAAACTGCTTACTGCTTGGGTTGTGACAAGTTAACGGCCTCTGTTCTGTGCCGTCTCTGTCGGCATTGAGAGGGAGGCAGGTGAATCCATATAATCTCGACACTTTGATCAGTCGCTGGCTGGTGGCTGTCTGCTCGGAGCTTCTTCGAAGCCTGCTCATGTTTCGAGAGTTCGAGGAAGACTGGGGGCAAGGCTTTTTCTTGCGAGGGGCTGTTTATATAGCACTTACTTTGTGGGAAAGCTATAGAGGAGGGGAAGGGGGGAGAAGAATGGTCATGATTGATGTGATCGTTGGTAATAGATAATACCTATCGAGCAAGATGAATTGGCAAGATTCGCTCAGATGTCTGCTGCTCTTGATCCGGGGCTGAAGATGCCGTAGATGGCTCATGGACCCATGGAATGGAGGAGACGATCCGGAAGGGGCCCCTGGTGTGGTTATGAGAAATGTGTTTGTTCCCACCCTTGTTTGCACTTGTGATTGCAGAGGGCCTTCTCTTTCTCTTTCTCTTCCTTTTTCTACGGTGCGTACAGACCCCATTAGGGCACTTCATGTCTCTTCCAAAGAGCTCGAGGACGGACAGCATCAAGTTACGAATTTAGTTTCATCAATTGCAGACCGAACAAAATATGAGAGAGAGTTGGGAGAGAGGTTCGCTGGCTTAGTATTGCAGGCAGATTCTGAATCCTTAGATTTTCCCTCCCCCTGCAAGTCGCAGCAGGACCTCTCTCAGGGGAAGATACAGGCCTGGCAAGCATTAGCACTGTAGGTCATGCGTATGTCTAGAAAATACCACTTGTTTGACGTAGTCTGTATGAAATTGGTGGACGCGCGAATTGAACTGCCCACCTATTAACCCCTGGTCGACAAAAGAAGCCATCAACGCTCGTGAAGCGAATAGAGAGTGTTTTTCCTTCTTCATCGAAGCACAACTCACAGCGAAAATGCCGGTGTTCTGGGAAACACCAACGGCACTAATACGCTCGCCCCTTGGACCACTAGGGTGCTGGATCTCAGCGTAGCCATAGAACGGATCTACTGGTGAAGGGAAGACGAGAGCGAAGGGTCACTGAGGGCCTTTGAAGATTATGATTCATGGATGAAGAGGACGATCTCTACAAACGGTGCTCTGCTTTGAAGCGAACATAGCGACGTTTGGAGGGCCCCAGATTTCTTTCTCCAGCGTTCCATGACTTTGGAACTATTTTCAGCTGGATGAGGGTTCTTTTTCGTAAGCGTAAGCGTGGATTGAAATGCCATTGGTAGTGTGTCATGAGAACTTTTTGACTTTGCTGGCAATTGTCCATCCTTGGGCTTCAATTGGTGAAACATAATTCCTACCCTTTTCCCATTCCCAGAGGCTTCAAAGATTTTCTCGGATTCGATAGGATATGATGAATCTCATTGGAATACTGATGTTTTCCTGAGCCACGTCATATTTCTAGTTACATTTTAGAAGAGCTGCGTTGTGCGATGTACACATACTGCGTTTGCACCTGCATTATTGGATCTTTCTCGCCCCCCTAACAGGCCTCAACATGGCAAGACCTTGATAGTTGGCTAACCTATGAGGCAGGACAAGCATAATGTCACTTTTGGAATGGATACATATCCATCACGTTGTGCCTCAGAGCTGCATTGTTGGTTCGCAGTGCTCAAAACACATCCGCTTGATAGACAACTCATGCGGCCATGTCTTTGGTGTATGCTGCTAACCTCTGCACATCCGAAGATCCACAGTGTATTTCAAGGCCCATCCGAAGTTTTTCTCCTCATTGCAACATCAAGCTCCATCCTTGCTTTGCCTTGTTGTCCTGAAAGACGGTAGAGTCGGAGCCATGCTGGTCGGTGGATCTCGTATGGAAGCGTGGGGGAACCGTAGCAGGTAGGACGTCAAAAGTAGGACTGGGGCGGATGATCACATTGGAATGGACGTCTCAAAAGGATTCCTCGAGGATAGATAGTGGTCCATATTCGGACACTCAATGGAGAATGAAGCAGGAAAGCAAGTCGCATGGAAGGAATTCTGCCGTCTTTGCCCCAGTTTCAACGAGGAGCGGCCAATCAACTCGATGTATTGGCGTCAAATAGTTCGTTTTCGAGCAATAAGAGAAGCGAGTATATTTGGACTTCAGATAGATATTCACAGTCTCGAACGATCCACTCGCGTAGAGATGGTTTACTTGATCAGCAGCCTGTAAGGGTTTCGAACGGATATCTGACTTGCTCGAGAGTCACTGCATTTCCGCCCGTTGACCAGTGGCGTTGGATGTGTGGTCGTGCTTGGGCAAAAAGGATGAAACACGGCGTTCAGCTCCAATTGAGCTTGCTGAGTAGAACATGGCTGTCTCGGTCCTTGGAGAGGGGCCATGACCATCGATTGACGCCGCAAATCAGTTTAGTAGATGTGACGAGAGCAATATTTACGGGAGAGGAGTTCTCCGCGTGGAATACGGATGATGGTAATCTTAGAAGGTCGTTGCGGCCACGTTGACGGGCCGCTGGAACATCAAAGAATGAAGGTCCAACGGGCGGATCGGTCCTTCCTTTCTCGCATTTCTTTTCTGTGCTTTGGCGACGTTCCTCGGACGGGGCAAGCAGGAAGTCCTCTGTATAAATGTGAGGCGAAATGATCGGCAGGCACGACCAGGTCAGACCGTTTGATGATGCTCTCCACAAAATTATCCAGCCTCACTTTGAGCCTTCCAGAACTATGATATCCTTGGTCTGTAGGAGGTCTTGATATACTTATCGATCAGTGTGATCAGCATGATCAGCACGCTGTCTCGCCTTACCTCAAAATCAAGGGATCGCTAACCCGTAAGGTTTTGTGTACAAACGAATAGCTGCTGTCTATCTTGTGTTCCAATTGTCTTATCTGCCTCCGATTGGTAGTGCTGTGGGCGTTTCCTGAGCACTGGTCCTTGACCTGCACTTCGTTCAACATGCACTTCATAGCATCGCCGTCGCCGCCGAATGCAATGTTTACCATGTTGATACAATGTACATCTAAGTTCTTGATAACTTCACAATAATGTTTTCTCAATCTGGGTTGTTCTTTCCTCGGGTTTGTAATTGCTGTAGATTCAGCAAAAGAGCTGCGCAAAAAGAATGCTACCACATCATAATGGTCAAAGTTCCCTCTTTGAAAGGAGAGGAAGAAAAGAAACAGTTATATGCTTGTGAATCCCATCCCTCGAGTCGATCTGCTTTACAGCCTTGCCCTCAGCCTGTCGACCCTTTCCTTCATTCATGGCCTGACCGCTTCGGCAAAGTACGACGGGGCTCTCGAGCGAATCCATCCCTCCTATCACCAAGAAAGAGACGATGGAGAAAGATTTGTGGGAGACTCAAATGCTCACTCAAATGAGAGACATCCCCAACACAATGATAGACAAGTGAAAAATAAGGAAATGAAATACATATGTGTGGTTATCAAGATAACAGCCCTGAGCTCGCCGGCTCCGTCGTCGTTCGCTCTTGTTGCACCCGCTCTTGCATGCCGTCATACAAGTGATAAGGAGATTTGCGGTGAGGCAGGGTTTCTAATTCACTCCTCACTCATCCTCATGAGCGAGCAAGGTATTCCAAAACCGGGGAAATTCGTTAGACCAATGTGTTCTTCCATTCTGAAATTGGCCCCGTCGTGTAAAACAAGAAAGGATATGCGACTCCATGATCATGCTCATACCCTGGTATCTGCTGGCTTGTTGTTGGCGTTATTCGATGGTGAGATCGTTTCGTCCTGCTGTTCTTGTATTGTTCCCAAATCCTTGTGCTCCGCGCTAAAATGTAATCGAAGGATTGTGATCTGCTGATGCAATGTAAATGTTAAACCTGCAGCATGCGTATGCTGGGAGAATTGTAGCAAAGAAATGGTCGTCGTCGTCCTATCCCCACCACTATTCATGTAGATATACCAAGGATTGTTCTCTTCTTTGAGATTCGAGGGCTGTCCATGATGTCGATGGCGTGCATCCCTCCAGGCAACAATGCGGCATTGGCCTGTCGTATGAGTTTGATTTTCTGCATCAACTTTCCAATGGAAACGTAGTCATCTGGCTCAGAATGGGAACTCTGCTCCAGGAAAAGCTTGATTTCATGCAATGATCGAGTGTGCTCATCATCCATGGGAGAAACAGGGTGACTGACAGGTGATGCATCGGCTGATCGGGGTAGTGATTGAGGCAATGGTGGAGGTTGCATGGAAGTGACACGAGGCTGCTCAGGGTAGTGAATGTCAGGTACACTTTTATGCCGTTTCATCATCTGGCGAGGATCGATTCCTGAGGCTCTCATATCTGTTTGAGTGGATGTCAATGAGCGGACGGGTAGTGAGGGAGCTCTTTGGCCAGCTGATGATGGTCGAGAACTGCCATATGCGTGAGATATATGAGAAAACGTCTGACTTCGCTGTCGATGAGAATGGTCCAGGAGATCCTCAACAATATCCTCTTCCGCTACCAGATCTGCTGTTTCACTCTCGATTCGTCCTGGCCTGGGCGATAGGGGTGATAAAATTGCGTTTGAAGCTGCTTCGCCAATCTCTGTTGTCAGATCATTTTCCATGGGGGAATCTTCGAAGGTGTCCTTGTCATCTTCAAAGTCGAAAAAGTCATGTCCTTCCAATTTCACGCCCGCATCAATCGTCAAATCATCGATTGCTGACATTGGGGGAGAAACAAGCCCATTGGAGGAGTCTGGTGAGGTATCGGAAGGCGATTGATCGTTGGAAGCAGTGCTCGAGTTGAGCAACTTCGAATCCCGGTCCTCTTGGGGAGTCAAAAGCTGATTCTTACGTTTGAATTTCTCAAGCCATTCAATGCTTGACACAACTGCTTGGTCATCTCGACTGAAGGAGAAGACCAGCGCCTGCTTGCGTAGATCCTCATCGGATATTGGTAAGCCTTTTTCGTGTTGATTCCTTACCCATTTGGTCAAGGTCTTCTCGAAATCCGGCAATTTCGCTTTTGACTTTTTCCCTGGACTGTGGCTATCCTCTTTGGGTTTAGGATTCATATACTTTTCACGCTGTCTTAAGATCTTGGACACAGTACTGTAAACCATCAGCAAAGATCGAACACGGGAAACTGGCGACCTCAGACCTTCTCTCCACATTGAACTTAGCTGTTCATTTGTCAGTATATGGTATCTGACGGAAGGTAAGTTGGCTTACCTCCTATCTGAGTCTGCTTCATAGTCGGGTTTTGCTCAGCTTCGATACACATTTGACGCCGCTCATCATCTGTCAGTTTGCGGCGGCTTGGCGTGGGCTTTGCACTCGTCGGCGTCATGTCTGACGCAGTGCTAGCGGATAAGGGAGTCTGTAGAGGCCCAGCGGGCATGATAGGTGTTTGGTATCCAGTTTGAGGTTGACTCGCCAGCATACTCGGCCAGAGTCCATTGTGCGGCATGATCAATGGCGGAGGCATAGGCGCATGAGTCGTGGCAAAGGGAGATGGCCGAGGCATATTATATGCTGGCTCCTGAGGTATCGATGCTACCGGATAATATTCAACACCAGGAAATTCGTGCATTGGTGACATCGATGTCTGAGGACTCGCTGAGTACGTCGATGGTACATTCCATCCATGTGGGCCGACATAGCCGGAATGCTGCGAGTCCTGATGGTCCGGTGGCATCATCAAGACCTGCATTGAGATTCACGCTTCATATGCTTGATTGACTTGATCGTTGGTCAACCTCGTCTACCAATGCATGCCAACAGTACTGAGGTCGGGATCAAATAAACGTAAGCGCCCTGTCGAGGTGAAGCTCAGCTACCACGAACGCAAAGCTTCACGGCCTCCGATACTGCTAATGAGTTGATTATAAGGGGCCTCTGTACAAGTACCAGTCCCGCCCAAGATACCGACAAGCAGTATGTCAGGTGGGATATCTGAGCGGACAGCCCAGCATATGAAAGAAGGAAGTCGAGGGTTGAATATGAAAGAGTGGAGGTAAGGTGGATATTGCAGACAATTAGAGCAGGCGAAACGAGGGAAGACTGAACGAATTAAGGAAAGAGGCCAGGACCAGGGTGCGACCAGGATTCTAGGACAACAGAAAACTGAAGGGGAATATGGAACAGGCTTGGGGGGCGTCTTTCGGAGCCCTTGGGCTGCAAAGAGTTGCCAGGGGTTTAAGTGGGTTGATCTGTCTGAGGTCGTGCTGCAACTTGCGACTCAAGAAAGAGATGAAATCGAGATGGTGTGTCTTGTCCCGGACTTCTCGTGAGAAGGTCTGGATTCTTCCTTGCTTTGCTCTCGCAATGCTTTTCGAGGGAGTTGGGAGATGTTTGGGACTGGCTCCTAGGACCAGACCCTGTGCAGGGTGGATATGCTAAAGCTCTAACCGCCGGGCAGGCCTATTAAGAAAGGCTTAGGCAAGCTAGCCCGTACCGGGCGGTCGCGTCAAGGAACGGCCCTAAAGGCTCTTAGTTAGCAGGGTTGTTTAGCAGCGAGTTAGGCATCGAAATATCACCCAGGATAGACTTACTTACTTAACCAGAATCGTCACTTAGACCCGCCACGGGAGGTGGTAGAGGTCCTCAATCCTGGCAAGCCACCACCTCACGTCTGGTGTAGCTTTGCGGCAGTCCCCGGCAAGAGGGTAGGGACAAAGTACTCGTATGATGAAAAATCTGGAGTCTCAGTTGGAGGGGTTGGCACAATGATGAGTGCGTTGATTATGATAAGAAGCCAGACCTCTACCGAAAGAAAGAGGGGTGTTTGGGTAAAGATAGTATGTCCTCAATCAACACAGTACAAGAGATTCATAGCAGAAAGAGAGGCACAAGAACGAAGGCGAGACGGCTTCTTCAAGTGCAGAATCGGCCTCTTTTGTCCTCTCGATCCGTTTAGGTCATGCCAGCCCTCTCCTCTCCTGTTCTCGTGGTCAAACTGGCGGATACCAGTAGAGGTACTTGTTCAAAGTCGCTCACCAAGCCCCACGGAGAGGTAGATTTTACCAGTAGTGGCATCGGATTAGAATGCAGGCTAGGCGGAGCTGCTTGTCTCTGGCTCATGACTCGATATTGAACGGCAATAAAAGGTCTGGCGCTCGCCGGCTAGCTCCCTTGTACGGACCGCGAGAACCGAATGATGCGGGCGATCCTTGAGCCACCATGTTCATTCGGTGGAAAACGCGATTGTGTCGGTGCAATCAATGGCATGGTTCCCACAGCTGAACGCCATCTAAGAACATTGCTCACTAGTGTCTGGTGCGGGTTGAAGAAGGGGCAAATGGGGCTGCGAACGGAGAGACTGTGGTTGAGGGTTTGCTGCGGAAAGAGTTTGTTATGGTATTTTACAATACACTCTGGGCAAAATGACGATACGAGGAGATCAAAGAGTCAAAAACCCAGGGGACAGAGGGGTTGAACTTGCTCAAGCCGTGGGGGGCCATTGGACTATCCAGATGGAGTATAGAGAATCAACAATGCCCGTGTGTGGTTGATGTTCTCGAGTCTGTGCAACACAACGTGGGTCCCGACTCCCGAGGATCGAGAGACAGGACCGGCTGAGAGCAAGGAGGGCTTAAGGGACACGGGGGGGACAATGCTTGGGAGACAGGGCAGGTTCTAGGTGGCTTGAGCCCCATGCGATTACCATGGCAAAGCCACTCAAGCCGAGCGGATAACAATGGCATCGGCCATGATCAATGTCTCTTAATCCGCACCTGAGAAACACCAGGGGCCTTTAACGACAATGAAAGGAGCCAAAGAAGGGAGCGAAGACATCATAAGCACCGGGATTGGTGGGAACTGGACATGTAGTCGGCGGCAAGATAGGGCTTGGACGGACAAATAGGATAAGAAGCGACGGACTAAACAGTAATAGTGATTGAAACTCGCCTCATGTCAGCTTCATCAAAGACCAAAAGCGGGAGGGATGGTGATCGCAGCATATTGTAGCTAACGAGAACTGTCCTAGCTTATGATGAAGAAGGAGATGCCTCTGGATGAATACTAATACTACCAAATAAGGTGGCTACTATCTGTATTGAATGTGTGGAACCACTCCTTCCATTAATGTACATTTTACAGTGGTCAACCATCAGCGACTGCCCATTTCAAAGTACCAGGTATTCATGAGCCCCTGCCTCGCACAATCGTCAGAAAGTAGGAGTGTTGTTTGTACTTTCTGTACCTGCCTAAGTAGATAGAGGAGTTCAGATGGGCGGGCCTCTTAAGCAGCAGGTATGACTTATTGGAGCTTGCAGGGTCAAAGGACTTCATGCAGGCCAGGAGCGTCTGGCTCCATTCTTGTCTGCATGCACAATGAGGGTTCGACGAACCACTATGACTTAATAATGTGCAAGCGAGGCATCAGAAGATGAATGCTTAAGTAACTTCACTAGTTAGTTGTAGACTGTAGAGGCTGGCCTCGGGGCAACCAAACGCTTAACTAGATGCCTATCACGACCAACGAGCCAGGCGATCCCACATGCCTCATGGATGGGTGGTACTACTCAATAAATGATTGACCGCTCGTTACGGTTCATTTGTATCTGATGCTTTGACATGAGTACTCCACGCTACTGCTAGTTGCCGGTGTTCTCTTCCTGCACCGTTGAATGATGCCAGACGAGTTCCCCGTGGGATGCAATGCGATAGCCCCTCGAGTCGCACAAAAGATGCCCAATATTTGTTATTCAAGCTTTACTTCAACGATGCCCGGTACAGGTAGCAACAATGCCAACCGCTTTACCGTCTTTGCATCTTGCTTTCTTGCCAGGATAAATGTTGAAATGTTCTGACTATCGCCAGTTCCAGTCCGCCACACCGTGTAATACCCTGTCGACCACCGGGCGGCTTGCTGGCTAATGAGGCGTTGGCTATATCTCGAGCGTGCAAGGGGTCGGTGGGCACACCATTTGCGTAGGCCTACATTTGCGGCTTCTTGGAGGGTTGGCGTGCATGCGACCCAAACATTTGACTCCCACAGTACAGAGTATTCATCACTCTGGGAGCCCAAAGCAACAGGTCACATTATGCAGATACAATCTGCTCCCCTTTCTCACGGGAGAGCTGTCTTCCGATCTTGGTCCCGCACATGCTCAGCAAAGCCCGGATGGCGTTTGTATTTGCAGCACGGGGAAGTTGGCACGAGCCATGGGTCGTGGTTTGATGGCTTGACACGTCGGACGGGAGTTGTGGTACGGAGGATTCAGCTCCAATTCCAAGACGTTTTTCCATGAGTTTGACACATTGCTGAGGCGTCCCAACGTCCTGCACACATGGTTGCAAGCTTTGGGATTTTGACACTTGGGAACCACTCCTGGCCACGACCTCGTACTCGTAGCCCTGTCCCGTAGCATGGATGCCTGAGTCCTCCGTCAAGCTCTGGTCTTGCAGAGGCCTAGCACTCAGTACGCCACAAACGAACGCCGCGTCTCTAGGAAGTACGAGCTACGCGGAAGACGGACTTCCTGCGGCGAGGTGCGCGCTCGCTAACGTTAATGAGGGAGGATGAGTCCCGCCTTCCACGACCTCCACCATAATGCTTGGTTACCAGGTCGCGGAAAGCCCATTGATGCAGTCTGACGAGCCCCCAGGGTCAAATGATCTACAACATTTGCCTAACCGGGAAAGTTGATATTAATCAGAAAATTCCGAATGCAGCAATGGAAGCAATAGAACAGCATGGACATTCGGTATTACCACCCAATATGATGCTCTCTGGCGGTCCCCTCAGGGCACCCACTGTCCACCGGGACAGGGAGTTATACCCTGATCCGGCGCATTACAGGCCATTGAACGAGTATCCCTTTAGACAAGCTTAATTTTGGCGATCAAAAGATTGTCGCATGTCTTCCTGGTCAAAGCAGTATGCCCCCTTCCAGGAGCATTTTCCACATTCCATGTGGCCTTTCCAGGCTGACAGTTGTGCAATCTACAGTGATCCGTAATTGGTCCTGGGTTCCTGTCGAAGCCGCCCCTTCCCTCACCACCCCCTGCAAGGCGTCTACAACGGGTAAACCTTTTTGTTGGGCGTGGTAAGCTTTGTTTGGTACTCAATACAGGCCTCAATTTGTTGGCCTGAGATCCGCCATATCGTGACTCTGGTGCTTGCACGTAAGTAGTGCTGCGGAGAGACCAAATTTGACCCGTGTGGATTCGTGCCGGAACGAAAATAGTGGAAATCATCGCCGACACATGGTCCTGTTGGTTGCAAATATACACTTCGACCCCCGGTGTTGATCGCAAGTGGTGGCGACCCTCTTCGCGATCCGAGGGCGGGGGGAGCCACGGAAGCCAGAGGACCCAGGCCATCTAGCCTTATTGAGCAGAAGTGTTGGGTCCGGGGGACAGCGGAAACTTTGAACATGCTTCGATGCCTCACATTTCAAGTTTCCAATTAACGTCGGATATACTGAGCATTGCACCCAGACTTCGCGGGGCTCATCCGAAGTAATTCACAGTTGACTCATCATTTCTTAATAATGGTAACTAGAAACAAGGGGTTCGAAATTAGACTCCAATCGGGACGCGGAAGGCACGCTCAAATGTACAGTACTTACTGATGTCCTCATCTGCGAGCTCGTGAGAAAGACCCACCCGTTGGGGCTGATGCTTGACTGAACGACCATAAACAATTGCATGCTTGAACTGCTCGACAATGGACTTGTGTATAGCATTGCACTGCAGATGTTAGTAATCGATGATCAGCTTGGGTTGTCCTGTTTGCTTACAAAATCCTCAACCGTTGAAGCGTTCTGTCTCAAGACCACGGGAGCAGAATAGTCCGGTTGTTTGCCCTTGGGTTTCGTGTAAACACGTTTCAGTTGAAGTTTCTCCCACATCAGCTCTAACAACTCATCAATGTTCCAACCGTGCTCCGAGCTGATCGGACATGCGTTGGGAATACGATACAACAGGTCCAGTTCCTCGATGGATATTGCATCGATTTTGTTCAGGGCGTAAATGACCGGAATATAACTCCTGCTTTTTGCCTCGAGCACATCGATGAGGTCATCGATGGTGGCATCGCATCGGATGGCAATGTCAGCGGAAGAGATGCGATACTCGTTCATGACAGCTTTGATTTCATCGTGGTCAATGTGTGTCAGCGGCACAGTACTTGTGATGTTGAGCCCGCCCTTGTCTTTCTTCTTGAATACAATATTGGGTGGCTCCTTGTTGATGCGGATACCGAAGCCTTCCAATTCCGACTCGATAACTCTCTTGTCTGTAAGTGGCTTGTTGACGTCGAGGACGATGAAGATCAAATGACAGGTCTTTGCCACGGCAATGACCTGCCGGCCACGACCTTTGCCGTCCTTGGCTCCCTGAATGATACCCGGTAAGTCGAGCATCTGTATTGCTGCTCCGTTGTACATGACTTGACCAGGAACCGTGGTCAGTGTCGTGAACTCGTAGGCCGCAGCCTCAGAATGCTGACCCGTCAATCGGCTCATGAGGGTGGACTTCCCAACCGAGGGGAATCCAATGAAGCCGACTGAAGCGACACCGGTTCTCGCAACGTCAAACCCACTGCCACCGCCACCACCAGAAGAAGTTGGTGTAAGCAATTCCCTCTTCAATTTGGCCAATTTGGCTTTGAGTTGGCCCAAATGAAAAGAGGTGGCCTTGTTTTTCTGGGTCTTGGCCATTTCGGCCTCGATGTCCTTGATCTTGTCGACGGTGGTAGCCATGTTGTCTGAAGAGAGTAATTATCAGGAGGGTGGGAGGATGAATTGGTTGCCCAACCTGGGATGATTTGATGGCGCAGTTGAAACGGGACGAAGATGATTTGGGTCAAATTACCCCGTAGGTCGAGAGAAAGCTCGTATCAACGGGATTTTCGAATGGCAAGCTGTAGTGTCACGGTCCTTTGGGAATTGGTGCGACGTGGGCGGCGGTAATGGTGGCAATGATGAGGTTGGACAAAAGACAATTACCCTGGTTGAACGATGGGATGGAAAAAACTTGTGTGGAAAACAACCCTCGTCTCCCCGCAGTTGCAGGTGAGGGCAATGAGGTAATGGGCGAAACGTTGCCGCCCAAGTTTCCAGTTTAGGTGGTAGTGGGCGGCCAAGGGCTGAACCCGTTACCGTCTACAAGGGCATCTCGGCCAAGGTAGGGGAGGGGGAGTAGTTAAAAGCCTAGGCCAACCCATTTCTTGTAGGCGAGTTTGCGCCAGGAGGTCCCACCCCCGTTAGGCATGGTTGCACAGGCGGTGGCCTTGAGCCCGAAGCACCCCTCAGCCCCTCAAACTAGCACTTGGTTGCAGGGAAAGCGCGAGGGCCGCGACTCTTGGAATCCTCCAAGTGCTTGCAGCCTGAGTCATGTGTTCTTCAGTCATCTTCAACCAATAAACACTACGATAGATGATGTGATCGAAGAGATACCCACTTGACACCTGACTTGGCGGATTCAACCAGTGAACAAGGACTTGGTTCAATATAATTTCTAAATTGAACGACACAGCCTTGCTTCCTTGTTTATATTCATCTCTACCCCGAGAAATAACTCGTCTGCTTCTCGCCGTCCTTTTTTGATCAATTTCGACCCAATATTGACTGGAAAACAGGCTGAGCAACGTGTTTTTCTGAAGAGGCATTTAAACACGTGTTCTCCGGGCTTGTGCCCGAGATAGCCGAGAGGTCCTCACTGCAAGCAGCAATCAAAGGTGAGAATAATGGGGATTTGCATCAACACGAAAGTTCTGGTCACGGGCCTTGTCAGTGAGTCCTGGAGCACAAAATCTGGACTAGCATGACGCAGGAAGCCTATGTTCTTACGTTGAATATTTGCTCAAATTGGATGGCCTGCGAGTTGTGCTGTTGACACGGGGAACGCCCTGTGAACAACCAATCCATCAAGGTAACTTGAGTGCCCCTCTTATCTTCTTACCTCAATTCTCCATTTGAAGTCTCCTATCATTGCAACTCTGCTTGCTCTACACCATCAACGCTTCTTGATGCACATTCATGTTCACACATCTGGCTTGAATTTCACCATTTTGTGATGATGCTTTCCTACCAGCAGTCCATTTTCCCCCCCTCAGCCTTCTATTCAGCACATCAGCAAGACACTGTGAGGCCCGTGGGTGGGCTGGACGGCTTTCACCGCCTTGTGAAGGCTCTTTCGGATGTCCTTGGCCCATCGTCTGGTATTGATTCTGCTGATGTCGATGAGAATGTCCTTATTTCCCTGATGAAGGATTACATCTCAGATGAAGCACAGTGGAATCAATACGCCTTTGCTGACCCTTCACGAAATTACACGAGAAATCTCGTCGATGAAGGGAATGGAAAGTCCAATCTTCTCATTGTCGTGTGGAATCCTGGACGCTGCAGTCCCATCCACGATCATGCAGATGCTCATTGTGTGATGAAACTTCTCAAAGGCAGCCTCAAAGAAGTGCTTTATGACACACCCCAATCTACCCCCGACTCTACCGACTCAGGTGATTCAACAACCCCCCCTCGGATCATCAAGGAGACGGTCTACAGTGAAAATGAGGTCACATACATTTCTGATAACATTGGCCTACACAAAATCTGCAACATGTCTGAGACTGAACCTGCGATCTCTCTCCATCTCTACACTCCACCTCATGCCGCCAACTTTGGGTTCAATTTGTTTGACGAAAAGACTGGGAAATCGACACATATCAAACAGGCTGGCTTTTACTCTGACCGTGGTACATTATTGGAAAAGTCCAAACTTGGCACCTTCTAGTCTCATGCGGTGTATTGCGAGCAGGAATTGAGTTGACAATCGGGTGTTGTGGAGTCTTGATGGTTCGGGTTTTGTCACGACACATGCGGTGTGATCGATCTACTGTGGATGAAATTTGAGTATCCAGCTTACCACAATTTCCAAGCCTGTCAGAGCATCCTGGCATGGCTACGATAGGGGTATGCTGCATTCATTTGTACTTATGACGCTGTTTCTTCCTTCAATTTCTTTCTCAGTTAGATTGGGTTTGTGAGGATGGGCAGGAAGGATTTATCTACGTTGAGGCCTTACATGGCTTGCAATGAGTTGGCTCCTTTTATTCTACGATGAAATAATGACACGGAATAATGAAGAATAAGCCTCATGTGCGATCCCTTCTTGCATCCTTCGATATTGTTTTGGACCTGTGACCCGTGTCGAGCACCACACCACACCCCCACCTCCGATCAGCACCGCGATGGGCGCAACAGACGTCTAAATACTGTACCCACTCTATGTATCGGAGATAATTGATCGTGTTTCACAACGATAATGCAGGACCGTTGAGAATGAATGGGTGTTTCCGACGATAAACGTCAGCTTCAAGTTTCAACAACGTGCAGTGGATGGGGGGAATGGATGCCAAGCCATATCTTGAATTGCGGCCTTTCAAGTTGCCTTTGTTGATGGATCGATGTTAAGCGAAACCAGCCCCGATTTCTGTAGCAGGCCCGATTCTGTCCTCGCATCCTTGCTTGCAATCCTTTCAGCACGTATCTCAACTGCATGTATTGTTTGTCGTGGTACAGTTTCCTTGATATCCCATCCGTTTCACGTGGAAAACACGCCTGCATACCTCCTGCAACCTCACAATCACTCACCAACGGACCTCCACATCTTTAGTCCTTTGCCCCTGCAGACCGCTTTCTGCAAGCCCCCTCAAGCGAGTCGAACTTCCTGCGAACCTAACGTGGAGCCTAGCGCGCGTCGTGATCTTTGCTCTCAGTACTGCTGTCATTGCTAGGAGCGTTCACACGCCCGAAAGATCTTGTCTTTTGCATGGATGGTGGCCTTTACCAATGTACATGGCGCATGCACCCTGATCTGAGGGAACGCTGCTTCTGCGCTCGAAATCAGCTCGGTAAAATATGGCAGGAATTGCCGCAACAGGAGTAATGACTACGGTTGCAAATGGCACAAGACAGCAGTATGATATGATTGGATCTGCCCAAGAGGTATGTTGGAATGTGCAACCTTACACCTCCACCCGTCAAATGGGACTTTTGACAGGACTGACATTTATGGCATAACTAGAACTCGATTGCCAACAAGAATCGGCCCACAGGCTCTCGCCAGAATTCCAACGCATCCTCGCGCATGCCTTTAACCAACGTCGCCCCCAACCGGAAAGACAGTGGACCTACAAATGGACGGGTCATTTATAATCGAGTGGAAGAGCTGGGTCAATCACAAGGACCCCTGGTTCGAAGTGGAAGCGAGTCCGACAGTCTCCTTGATCTGTATAGGAGTAATCCAAGCAGCGGCAACATCAGTCAGCAAGCTACGGACAATGACATTCCCGAGAACATGTATAAACCGCAGGAGGATGATCCTGACGGTTGGATACACCGAGATAAGCTAGCCAAGATCGAGAGCGAAGAACTACAAGCGGCAGGTCTGAATCTTGCCAGTGCCAGACGTACCGGCCCAAAATCCTTGAAAAGAGACACAAGCTTGGGACGCCGAAGTGAAGACAAAAGTGGTTATGACGGTCGCGCAGGCGAGACGGATAATGGAAGACCACGCGTTGTACAAACACTGGAAGAAGTGGAAGACGACCAACCTCACTGGGACTTTCGTACACCTGATGAGATCGCTGCAGATCAATCCTCCCATATTTATTTGACTCCCATGGCAAGGAAATCGGGGTCGAAAATCCCCGTGTTGACCACAAGTCCCCTTCCAATCCCCCAGGAACGGATCGATCGGGACACACCATTGGTGCGGAAGAGAACCATTAGCAATAGTATGAGTCCAGAAGATGGGATTCCCGTCCTCAAGAGTCGGACCCGGAGAGGGAGTGCAGGGAGCCAGCAGCCGTTACAAGATGAAGTTGATTCGCCAGCCAACACGCCTGTTGCAACAACGGCCAGATCCCAGGCACAGAAAACCGGATCGCCTACCAAGACAAAAGCGAAACCCGTCCAGCCATCGCCGCCTGGGACTGTAGCCGACCGCAAAGTCTCGGGGACTTCTCGGAAGCCATCAACCAACAACAAGACAGGTGTTACGCCGTCTCCGAACCAACGGCCTGGAACGAGATCCGGCGAGTTGGATCGACCACGGACAGCGGTGAATCGCCCGGAAGGAGACCCTCCTTGGTTGGCAACCATGTATAAACCCGATCCCAGACTTCCTCCCGATCAGCAAATTATCCCTACTCATGCTCGACGGCAGCAACAGGTCCAATGGGACGAGGAAGGGGCCATCCCTAATACATATGATCGCAACTTCTCACCTTTGGCGATCCATTCGCCGAATGGTCTGGTGAATTCTCATTCTCCCAATCTTCCTTCCTCTCCATCACCCAACCCCAGCAAAACTCAAGACTTGAACGCATGGCCGCTGAAGACGAACTCGAGCGTGAGGAATTCCGTTAATGGCAGACCTGGCACTTCTAGTAGTTCCAATGCTGGATACAGCACGATGCCGCGAGTTCAGAGTCCCGCGATCATCCAGAGCCCTAGGATGGGCAGTATTTCTTCGACGCCTGGTCAACCTCCTCCGAGCACCAGAATGCAAGTCCAGCGACTGGAACCCAACGATATGGACGAGAAGGTTAAGGACAAAGGCTGCGGTTGTTGTGTGGTCATGTGACCACTTGTCTTGCCAGGCTTTCATCTTTGTTTCTTCCCCTATTTATTTCCTTGCTTGCTGTGTACACGAATTGGAGTCGGATTTCGTTTGTTTTCCAGAGGGGGCCATGGCTTTTTCTCTCTCTTGACAGCAATTTTAGCGGGAAGCGGTCTCACAACAACTGGGAATTGACTGTGTCAAGTGCTTGATTAGGCGTTTGAAGGCGATCAGATGGGGCGTATTGTTGGCTTCGACCACCGTTACATTATCTTTTCCAATGGCCAGCTGGGCAACATGAGGATTGAAGGAACTACACTATGATTGGGGCTGTGTTGGCAGGGAAGGAGATGTTGCAGAGACGAAGTACTAAAAAGTCATATCAACTAGCATAGCTAGATGGGGCTGTGAAAGAGGTGTTGAATGAATTGGATTCGGACGAGAAGAAGCGCAAGGGTTCAGGAGTCAACCATGAAGGGAAGGTGTTCCTCCGCCCTCGAAGCCATCGAATGTCAACCTAGATCAAATCAGGATATGACACCAGATATGCTGCCCCATCCCTATCCTTATCCGTGGTCAATAAGTAGTTACCTGGTAACTTCCCAGACCACAAGTCTTCCATGGCAAATACCCCTTTCGGTCTAGGCGACTCTGCCGCTTTAACTCGGGTAAACATACAAGGCACGTGATGACTCAATTGGGAGATCTTCCGCGAGATATTTTTCGCTGCTCCCCCGTCCTGCAAATCATCGGTGATCACATCATCTCCTGCACCTTAACACTGTCGTCATCCAGCATCAATTTGTGCCTCACAATTTGTCACTTTGAATTTACCGCACTGCTCATTCTCGTTTACTCGTTCTGATTACGAGTATCCTTCACAAGCTACCGTAGAAACCCGAGGCTCTAGATCGTTCCCATCCTTACCTAAGCGGCATACCTCCCCTCCATAAATACCTACTATTCAATCCCCCATCCCCTCGTCATTCATTCATAACCCATCAACCACCAAAGACTCCATCAACACCGCAACCATAGCTTCCTCAGTCTTCGGCTCGTTGCGCACTTTGACCCGTTCATTCTTCTCCGGACCAACCATCAACCCCGCAGCCATGTCCGCCGCAAAGACAAAGGCCCAGAAGATCATCGACGACAACAGTGTCGTCGTCTTCTCCAAATCCTACTGTCCATATTGTCGCGCCAGTAAAGCCCTACTAAACGAGAAGCACGCAAAGTACTTCTTGTTGGAATTGGACGAAGTTGGTAGGTTTTGCAGTCCTCCTGATTGTCTTATTTTTGCCTATCGAAGAAGAGATTCGCTAACTTGTGACTGATTTCGTGTTATAGAGGATGGCGCTGCTCTCCAAGACGCCCTCGAAGAAATCACAGGCCAGCGCAGTGTGCCTAATATTTTCATCTCTCAAAAACACATCGGTGGCAACTCCGACCTCCAGGCTAAGAAGGGCCAGCTGGACGACCTCCTAAGGAGTGCTGGCGCCATTGAGGCATAGAGTCATCAAAGTATGACCCATCATGTATAAACAGGGCGGATAGTGAGTCGTTGTACTACCGCAGGACTCGGGGGTTCTACACACAGTTGAGACGAGAAAAATGAAGAATACACGACGGCCTCATTATCGTTCTCATGCTGCAGAGGACAGGCGATGCTTGACCTTGTTTCAAAGGCACTTTCACCACCTGCATGCAACACCTATACAACACAAGCAGGTCGCCTCTCGATCCACAAGACAAGAAATTAGAAAGCATATATCAGTCGTTCACAGTATTTCATTCCCTTCAAACACAAAGCCCATGGTGTGCTCCGTAAGACTCGATTCCTCTGCTCCAATTTGCCATCGATAGACAGGCCAGGGAGCAACCCTATGCTTTCTATATTGAGTGATCGCCAAATGGAAGGTATCAAATTAAGACATCGCTTATCGCAACATGCGGGTATTATGTTCCATACCTTGCCGAGGTAAGACGAAGCGGGACCAGATTAGCATCTGCAACGGGCCTTGCTAAAAAACTAGGTCCTTAGAATTAGATCCTTCTCAAGCCTCATTCCAACTTGAGGTCAGGCAGAGTCTCGAGTACGTCCGGTGCGCACTTATCGTCTAGCTCTGGCTTCGCATCCATCCCCACGCGCGTGGTATTCGCCAAAGCCAGTACTACTAAACCGGACTGTATATAAGGCAGCATTCTTTTTCATGGATTTTTATTTGACTCTCAATTGACTGATTACTTGAGAATCACACACCCGTGAAGCATAACGACTTCGAATAATATGAGCAATGCTAGGCACCCAACGGCCTCTCCATCCGATACCAGAACGTTCAATATCAGGAGCTCCAAACGGAAAGTAAAAACTGGGTGTCAAACCTGCAAGTAAGCCTTCATGTGCGCAATCAGACCGTCGGTTTGCCCTGTTAGTCTACATTCGCTCATGAAAACCAAGAGATCGCAAAGTCAAATGCGATGAGGGTCGACCTACGTGTACGACATGTCTATCGACTCGACGAGTCTGTCAAGGCTATGGAATATGGGGAGGTGGTGATAATGGTACCGCCAGAACTACCACCATCAACGCGCTTTCCTCCGCTAAGTTAGCGAGAACATTGTCCGATACCATCGCGCCAGAGACTCGAGATGAGCATGGCTATCTCCAGTGGTTCCGCCTACGCACCGCAATCAAACTCCGCGGCTCGTTCGAGATGAAGTTCTGGGACGCCCTTGTTCTGCAGGCTAGTCTGCAAGAACCTGCCATCTATCATGCCATGTTGGCCCTGAGCTCGATGCAGAAGAGATGTTGCACCGGTCTCGGTGAGACGTCACAAGATAGGGATCTAGCTCTCCTGGATCAGTTCACTCTTCGGCATTATAATAAGGCTATCAAGCTGCTCATCCAACCCCGCTTTGCCTCAGAGGACAAGGAATCCGTCCGCGTCGTTCTCATTGCATGTATGCTGTTCATCTGCATCGAATTCTTGCGTGGGAACTACATTACTGGAAATAATCATCTCCAAAATGGCGTGAGAATATTGGAATTGCTTCCACCGGATTTGCAAGGGAGACTTGACGGTCGCAATTCTCAATCTCCAAATGCCAGTAGTGACTCCGTCGACGTCTGGATCATTCAAGTATTTTCCCGAATGAACCTATTGGCAAGACAATTTGGTAAGGGGCTCAGCACATACTCAAGCCCAAGCCAATTTCATTGCAGATCTCTACCCATTACATTTGAGTCTCTCGATCAAGCAAGGAATTGCCTTGATTACCTATTCCATGACATCCTCTGCTTGCAAAAGCTATCTCACCAAGAAGGTACTCTCGAAGGCTTTTCAAACCTCAATTCAAGAGAAGAGTTATACAGTATCCAAAGACAACTGCAAGCCAATCTGAACATTTGGTCCGAAGCCTACAAAGCATCCAGGGTCAGGTTTGAGGGTCAGCTAAGCCTTGTCTCACAAGTCGGTCATCGATTACTATATCTCTACCATATCATGGCCAGCATTTCTGCCGACACATGTCTCCAGCCAGGTGATGAGATGCTTTTCGACTCTCACTCACAGGCATTTGCCTCGATGATAGTTCACGCCATCAAGGTTCTGAAAACCGTTCGGCGCGTCCACGACGTAGACACTATATTCAGACATGAGGCAGAGTCCTCTCGCTTCACTCCTGATATCGGCTGGATCCCGCCGCTGTACTACACGGTAATCCACTGTCGAGTGCATCGCCTCAGGATGCAGGCAATCAGGCTCCTGCGCGCGCTGCCCAGCAAAGAAGGGATATGGGACTCGCGAATAGCCTCTCTTGTCGCCGATGAGGTAGTGCGAGTCGAAGAAGGAGACTTTTACAAAGATTCCGCATTTGACGATGCCTTTGACGTCGAGAGTCTGCCTCAAGACTGCGATTTGAACCTACGAACTCTGCCAGCGTCATTTCGGGTCCGAGATGTTCAGATCAAGTTTCCAGATGGTATATCGGGGACGGCTGTCATGACGTACATAAGGAGTACTGCCGATGGGAGCTCAGAAACGATGACCAAAGCGTACGAGTTAAGTCTACAGAGTGATGGGTCTAGAGATAGGACTTAATGCCACATCAACGCCCCTGTGGGGGTCTGACCGTCGGCTGGTTTATGAAATGACTCAATGACTGCCCTTCGTCCATCCGTCCTGTCGAGGGCTCAATTCAGACCTACAAATTCAGCCCCTACCACAGATCTCAATCTCAAGTCTCAAATCCCCTGCCCATCCAATTCCTTCGCCGTCCACTCCCACAGCTGCCGCGCCAAGTCCTTATCAAGAACCAGACCCGACTGCTCAGCAACCCCGATGGGTGCATAATGCGATCCACTCGTGACACCCTCCTCCGCCGTCGCCGCCCACAACTGATTCTTGACCCCCTCCTCAACCGGCCGAACCCTCGCCGGCGCCACCACAGTCTGCAAATGCACCATCTGCTCATCACCCGGCTCGCGCGAGAAGAGCTGGGTATCAACCTCGCCAGGATCAATCGACACGGTCGTCAGCTGCGGATAGTGTCGTGCGAATTCCTGCGCGTACAACATGTTCGCCGTCTTGCTTTGGATGTACCGGTTCACTGGGGTCACACCTTCAAGAGTCTTGAGTGTGGAGAACTGGATCTTCTCTGGCCCGGCGTATTTCCACGCTGAGGATGCAAGGCTAACCACGCGGACGGGGTGGGTGGTTGCTGTTTTTAGAAGCAGTGGTGTCAGGAGTTTCAATAGGAGAGCGTGGCCGACGTGGTTCGTGCCCATTTGCATCTCGTAGCCTTCTTTGCTTTGCGCGGGTGGGCAGCCCATCACTGACGGGAGGAGGTTAACGGCATCCTATGGGCAAAATGTGTGTCAAGTACACTCACATCCAGCATTTAGCATCAAAACATCCAGCCTGTCCGACTGCGCGATCGTCGTCTTCGCGGCCTTTTTGATCGATTCGAAAGAACTCAAGTCCAGCTCCAAGAAGCTGACCGCCGCGGCAGGGATCTGGCGTTTGACCTCCGCAACGGCTTCGTTGCCTTTCTCGAGATTTCGTGCAGCCATCCAGATCTGCGCTGGGTTGTGCTTCGCTAGCTCGAGTGCAGATTGCTTACCGAGTCCGCTGTTGGCGCCGGTGATGAGGATCACTTTGCCGGCCAAGGAGGGGATGTCGCGGACAGGGTTGAAGTGGATGCTTGTGGTTGTCATTTTGGTTGCTGGGAGGGCTTTGGGGGAGTCTAAGTTAATTAGAGAAATGGATAGATGTATCACACGTTGGGATATGCTCTAGGAATACTTGGTGGAAACTATCGAGCAGCATAACTCGGGATATCTCGTCTCTTGTACCTTTTGCAAGATCCACTTCATAGCTGTCTAACTCCTTTCCAGCACCGAACAGCGCTACGCAATTGCCCTTAAAGCCGTATTCACGTCATCTTTGATGTGCCACTGTTCTTTAAAACGCTACCGTTGCTTCTCATACTGTGCCGTGCAACCTGTAGGCGGTGATGTGGAGCCTCCAGGAGGGCTCGAACCTAAAATACACCGCATCTTACACTAGTTGAATAGATTACTCGGAAACTTAGCACTATGATTGGCAAATCCGCAATCATACTCCACACGATTGCTTTCTCCAGAACGGTAATGATGGACCGGACTAGTGGGTGAAGGAATCGAATTTAAACACGTATCTGCTAAAAAGAAAGACGTGAACTCTCTAGACAACGTCTATGCTCAAAATTATGAAACTTGAAATCTCTCCGACATGTGAAAGGTCGATTATGAAGTTGGATCTAAAGACCCAAGCTAGGAAAGTGATTGCTTCGAGAATACTCTTACCAGAAATCGCTGTCACCACATCCGCTGTGCCAAAATCGCTGATCTTCCAGGTGCTGCTCTGAAAACCAGTAGTACTACTACAATTGTCATCAAACACAAGTATATTATCCGGCTTGAGGTCGTGGTGGTAGTGGTAAGTACAGTGAGCCAGAGGATCTTTCTAGCTCTCTGGCATGATCAGACTGACCTACGTCGTCATTTGGAAGGCCCGATTTACCTCCCAACAGATGCAGTGCAGCAAGCGCATCTATCAGACCCCACAGATGTGAAAACAAATTCTCAACGAAATCTCTTGTCAGTTGAGGGGTTTTGCGGTATGATCTCATAAGGGCACCAAGATTACAACGTGCCTTGGGATATAGAAGGTAGAACTTGTCATCGGCTGCTAAATCTTGCTGTCTCCACGCCGCTAGTGGCATTAAGATGTGCTCGTGAGATACGTGCATAAGCGTCGAAAAAACGTTCTGCTCTTTTACAAATGCGCTTGACAGTGCCGGACAAGATATAAGCTCCTTAAGCGCAAAAGTCTTCCGGAAATGTAAGAGTTTAGTAACATACATGAGGTATCCGCCTCCAAGGTAGGTTGATAAATAAGAAAAGAGTTGAGCTTGGCATTCTCACTCAGTCTTCTCAACTTCAGGGCGCCAACATCCAAATTCCCCACAAAGTTGCCCGAAGGCAAGCCCCAGGGCCGCTAGTGCAGCCAGGCAGGCACAGCCCCAAAGCCTGAGAAAATGTGTGAACCATCACGCAGGTCGTAGTGATTCGAAGCAGGCCGATTTGTCCTGTGGCTTTGTGGCCCAGAGTTTGGCGGAATTTGCGGCTTCCGGAGATGGTTGTTTCTCTGCCTGGTACCCACTGTTCCTGCACCGCCCCTCTGTGTGGTTGTAATTCATCCAGCGCAAGGCTTCCGGACACTCCCTTTGAGGCTGGATAGGAATTACGATTGCTATGGTCTACGGGCGCACGCGATCAGTGATTTGCTATATAGCCTTGCCTTGCCACTGTCACCATCATGCAGTGTACCACGTTGCTCGCTCTGATTCCTCCGATTTTAACAAGTACGACTGACCACTGAGCAGTAGTCTCCAGTTTCCAGCGTACGAGCCTGCATTCAACTGCACAAGGCTCCATGGAAAGTTCACCAACCTGCGCATCCCCAGAGGTGTCGCCACGACGGCCTTCTACGAATTCATCGCCCTCAGGCTGGGGATTTGGAAAAGACCAATGCGATTGCCGCGAGCTCAAGGTACCGAGTCTCAATGCAGACCTCGAAAATACGTTCGCCAATCGCATGAAAACATTCGATGCAAACAAAGGTCACAGCAACGTGGCAGTGCTTTTGCTAAGCTGGGAGGACACGGATCTACGCCTTTTGGACGATGAGGTGAGAAATTTCAGAGTGAGGACCAATCCGCGTGTTGACACAGTGCAGTTAGATCGCTTGGAGAAAGTTTTTCGAGAGGTTTACAACTATACTGTTGAGAGAGCCTTGATCCCCAAGGATATCGACGATGCTGCCTTCGAGACCATACGTCTGGTGGCAAATTTTATTGCTCAGCACAACTCTTCGGGAAGTCTGGTGCTGATCTATTATGCCGGCCACGGCATGAAGCGGCAAGATGATGAATTTCGCATGGCGAGGTGAGTAGGATATTTGGCACCCCAAATATCAGTTCGCTAATGGCATCAGAACAACCAACGACGATCCGGATATCTGTCTTCAACGTCGAACAAAGAAGAATACCATTGTCTGGAATGAAGTCGAGAAGGTTGTGTTAAAGACAAAGCCCGACCTATTAATCATCTTTGATTGCTGTCAATCCGGAGCTTTGACACAGTCGACATCTCGCAATGTTCAGTCGGAGAGGATAATCGAGTTCATCGCATCTTGTATGCCCGATGATGTCGCTCGTGGCCCCGGAGATGACTCCTTCACATCTGCACTTATTTCTGCACTACACTCACTCTCGAAGCAACGGCTGGAAGGATTCACCGTAGGTGAACTCATGCAGCATATCGAGGAGTCTGAACATTTTCGAGATTTCAACCAGATACCGAAAGCCGGGTTCAGAGGCACACACCAGGCTTCTCAGAGACTCAGACTAAAGCCACTCGTTCAACCCTCCGCCAGGCCACCGCCTACTGTCCAGCAGTCATCAGACGGTGGAAGCGAAGTTGTTACGCAGTGTCAATATGTTCTTCGATTGAACCTCGAGTTAAGTGAGCTTCCATCAGATGACCATGTTGTTGAACTTGCTGAAGACATGGCGCAACTGATGAGGTCAAGCTCGGCTCCGGTCGTGAATATCTCTTGGGGTTTATTAGGAACGAGATTTCAACATATCATGCTCAGGAGGTGGCATGAAGTTGTGACCGTTGCGGTCCGACAGAATCAACACAAGTTCGCATCTAGCACGCCTCATCTCAAGGTGCCGGTCCACTCAAGATCATCTCCGTCCAGCGACCTGAATCTCCAAGCGTCCGAGAATGGTGCTGCAGATCTTCAGCGGGCAGCCTTCAGCTTTGCGTCTCGTTCAGCAAGCATCGCGGCAAGCCAAAGGTGGATGGGAGTGGCTCCTGTTCTAACTCTGGCTTTTCTCGCGTGTTGGTCCCTGCACTGGAGACGTGCAGCACGGGTAGATTGGTGGTTCTTCTGAGCGAGCCTCGTTGGCATGTGAAAAATACTCTTGTGATAGGTCGCAGATAAGAAGGAATCCTCGAGGCGTTGACCGGTGTGACGAGACTTGATTCCTGCACATTGCTACCCCGCGTCAAATACACTTGACCAAAAGTGTTTTTGTCCAACGAGGAACTGCGCCCAGGGCGTTCACGCAGCTGCTGCACACCATCTCCAGGCCACCCCGGCAGACTTTGAGCCTCATTGAACCAGGGGCCGAGAACATTTAAGTGCCATCGCCTGCGCGTTGGGGCGCCAAACCGCGGCACACTGCCTTTGGCAGATTTGAAGAACGCCTTACGATTAGGTTCTTTGTCGAACTTTCGCTCCATGGCAGATTCGCCTCAGGTATCGTAGCAACTATCACAACATCTTTGTATGCACCTCACCATCGTACAGCTGGGCAGTACTCCCAAACTTGCTACCCAAGACCGGGCGACTGTGAAAAAATGGGCGATGCCGAATCCAGTATGTCTCCCCAAGGCGGACTTCAATCTGTACTAAGGCCTTAGCCCACGCAAAGCTTCAATATTGGTGATGATGTTGGTATGAAAGATGAAAATGGGAAATTGGTGTACGGGGTCGTGAGCGATGTTCACTCAAAGAACGATGAATTTTTCTACGACTTAGAGATTCGTGGCCACACCAAGAAGGATGTGCCCCAGAAGCAGCTAAGACTCCGACAGCGGAAAGCAAGTAATTGAGATCCGCGTTATAAGTAGTTGGACTTTCAAGCGTCAGATTGTCAGGATAAAGAGGACATGTGCCAGAGCTCAGCTCTTGCGGTCCCGCTAGTCAAATATTCGCATTTGATCCGGCCAGGTCCATAATAATTCTTTGTCCTAAGCAGAGAGATGTCGTGCCCGCTTCTAGCGCAATTTCGAGGCTCCCGGGTTCGTGCCATTGGTGCCCAACTGGGCACACTATCTCACCTCGCGCATGACACCAACGACGTGGTATGACCGCCGTGGCTCGCGGAACCAGTGAAGACGAATACAGCCAGGACTTCTGGTGTGATGCTGATATAGATAAAGCTGGGTGTCTCCCAGCCTCATGTATGAGGTAACCTCGAGTTGATTTGTGTTAGGCCTATTTCGGTTTCTATATGAATACTAATTAGAAAACATATGTGATGAATCCAGACGTGGAGAAGGCACTACCAACATTCATCGGCAATCATCGTGATGAGAGCTATCAAACCAATGATCCCGAGGGGGGAACAGACCCCGCTGCCATACCAGCGAGTCCGACAACCATATCAAGCGAAAGCACGGTTTCTGGTGGTTCTAGAAGCCCATTAGGTTCGCAAAACTTGTCCAAGACCTGCGGAAAGCTGATTTCGACACAGTCAAACGGGTATATCCACCACGCATCTGGTTGTCGTTGAGTAGGCTCTGCGGTCACAGGGATCGCGAGATACATGAGAATACACGAAGCAAGGCTCCAATTGTCAAGGAGAGTGAGTTGACCATGCATTCCACCACAGCCCAAAGGAAAGACCAGGAACTGATTGCGACACACCACAAGTTCACAATACGCCACAAGGGTATCCTCGACTCGCAGCCTTTCTAGACTCTGACGAGAACTTTATGGTCTACAGACATTTCGGCTACTTGCAATCACGGCTGCTCGTGGAAAAGCAGAACGACCTCCACCTCCTCGAGATTGAATTGGAGGAGCTTGACTGCAGCGACGAGGCAGAGGATCCACGGCGCCTACAAACTCGGCGAGACTATGATGCTGAGCACATGCGGGAGCGTGTGCAGCTCCTCAAGCGTATAGAGCGGAAGTGGCTTGAGTACTGTACGCAGCCCCCGTGGCCAAAAACCTCTACTGTCTTGCTCTGTTGACTCTTTGCTGACATATCCTCTTTTCTGATTAGCTAACTTACTGGCCGCGGCGCAAAAATTGACCAAGTTCAACAAGCCCACGGAAGGCGAGTACGTCAGCGTACGCAACTGGATTGAGGGTCAGAACGGCGTGCTGGATGAGGACGCCGAGTTTGTCTACCAGAAGGAAGACCTAATCACGCTTCGACCGGGCCGCGAGTACGCCTGGCTCGACGCTGGTGTGGAGCGTTTTCTACGGTCCTTTGATTGTAGATTCATTCGGTGGCTGTTCCAGTCAGGCGAAACGCGGCGCAAGACGGATGGCTCGGGCCATGAGGTGTACTTCACCCGCAACCGCATTGAGCAATTTGTTCTGTTGATCATCACGTTCATTATCCTGGTGCTTTTGGTCGTCCCGATTTATGTGCTCTACCAGCTGTCCGACGAGAACGAAGACGATGCAAATTCCGGACGGGACTTTCAGTGTATTGGCGTTCTTCTTGTCTCCACGTTCGCCTTTTCGGCCTGCATTAGTCTGTTCACCAAGGCGAGAAGGCATGAAATTCTCGCCGCAAGCGCCGCGTGAGTGTTTCCTTGAACCAAGTCTCGATTCATGGCTTGTGACTGATTTTATGCAGATATACCGCTGTACTGGTCGTCTTTATCGGCAATCTCTCAAACAGCCTCAATATCAAAAGGACTTGAGAACTTTTGTCGTTTCGAAGCAATAAATCCCACTCTATCATAATTGGTTATCAAGATCATAATCTTAATTCGCATCAAGTGGAACTATCTTAAGGAACGATGCCATCCGCGCGGTCATATTGAACTCAAAAGATCAGTGACCTAGCAGCATACTAAGAGAATTGAACGCTCCATACTGATACTTATATCCTCCCTATTTTCAGGCAGTTAAAAAACATTAGCACAAAAGGAATGAAGTCGGGAATTGTGGACAAGGGAGATTAACAGCACAAAAGCCCTCAGAACTATCGCGAGACTAGAGGCTTGGTGTTCGTAACCAGCAACTCCCTATCTCTATCTTCATGTTCCACTGGTTCTTGCTCAGGGTAGAGCAAGATTAGGCAGATCAACTCAGCCTTGCCAAGTACTCCACGGGCTCAGATTCGGCTCGTACCTACACGTCCCGGCCCGTGCCAACACATCCGTCTGAAGCTAATTACAAGACTAAAGATTTCACGAGCGGCTATTCTTAAGTCTTGGAGGGACACAGTGATTCGCCTAGGTCCAATCCTATACTTCCCTTCCTTCGCCGGAGACATCTATTGTGTTTCTTTGATGGCGATAACCGCGGCAACGCAGGCCGAAAGCCGCGGCAATGCGAGCGTCGGATGCGTAGTTGTGGCTGGAAAAGACTAGTGTTCCAAACTAGACCGTCACCGCGATTCGCGTGACGAAGATCGTGTCCAAAGCTGCCAGTGTCTGGAAGTCCGAAGATACTAAATTGGAATCTTCGATTTCACTACTTTGAACCGACGGAATTCGATGACAAATTTGCTGCTGAGCCGATGAAATATTAATACTCCTGTAGCTGGCGACTGTGTCCTTGGTTGGACGGTTCTCTAGGGAAGGAAAGTAGGTTGAGATTGTTGTCTTCTCTTATCGGTAAAATTCAGCAGTATGGCAGCTCCCTCAGATATAACGATCAAGACATTGAGTGGGAGATTTGTCCTGGTAATTCAGCTCTGTTTCAATGATCGACGTGATCAATACTGAACCTGTCAGAACAAAAGCCTCTCTGATGACGTTAATGCAATGCTGGCCTTGCAAGGCCTGAGCTGGTTCACACGTAAGGCTATTAGTCTCGCTACGGTGATGGTTAGTTAGACTTCCACTTCAAATGACAGAAATATTCCAACTAAGATATAACTTGAGTAGCTTACCATTAACGAATATGTACAAGACTCAATCTACCACATTGACATCGCCTCGGTGGCAAGTGGCTTATCAACAACACAGGAAAACCGAACTATAGACTGGGCTGAACAAGATGATGCAGACAAGATCTTTGGAAGCGTGAAAGCCAAAGCCCGATGGTGGAAGACTGGAGAGTTCGAACAGTTAAGCCCCGGAGGTACAGAATTGAGTGTATTCCTCCAGGGGGAAAGGCTCAAAGACGGCACCACTCCGTCTAGATATCTAGATAGCGAGCATGTACAGAGCTGGACAAGAAATGTAGACAGGATCGGAGGATGGACCGCGGAGCAGACTTGGGGATTTGAGGAGATTGAAGGGGCAAGATACTATACGAATCGGATTGTGGTTGAGAATGGTGGTCAAGTTCAGCTGGGCAGGCTAGTGTATAATTACATGGGTAAAGAGTAAAGGGAGGCAGACGATGATTGTGATGGGAACATATGACTCTTGAATATGAAATGCGGCGGCTGTTTGCAGTTCTTTCCGAGCTAGCATTGATTCTCGAGAAAATATGTGAATCCGATTGCTCTATTACCATTACCCCCACAAGACACAACGCTATTGAGACTCAGTCAAGCTGGCACGGAGGACCTGCTAGTCCCATGAATTCCACACAAGGCTGAGACCGAAAGGGGCGACAAAGAAAAGGAAAGGGATTCAGCCACGGGGATTTGTCGTCGAATAAAGCAATTTTTGCCCAACGCGTGGTAGGACCGACAAACATGTGTGACTGGCGTTCACTGCGCTCGGTTGTGATGACAAGCACAATCAGTTGCTAGGTGTCATGGACGGGATATTTCGCTTAGCCGAATTCCGGCAAACTGGTGAATTCAGTACGCATAGATGGTGGAGATGATGATAGTAGTATTGGTACATACTCGTAGTGATGGCCAGGTATCCTATATGTTTGTACACCACGACACTGCCTCCCCTCAATGCGAGCGCTTTTATGAACTTGAATCTTTCCGTTTTCCCTGTTTATGCTTCCACGATTTGTAGTAGGCGGGGTTTTCGCTCCATCCACCCGTGCTCGCCGCCCAAGTATAATTCAGTGTAAGGTAACCCTACACGACCTGCGTAGCAACGGTACCGACCGGCCGTTCCACGAACTCCAATACGCCATCAATGACACTCTTCCTCAGCGGCTCGGAGCTGACTTGCGCACCAGCAAGATAATTCAGAGCCAACAGCCTCCCTACGCGTTCATCCGCAACCTCACCCATATGAACCCTCGTGCCAGTATTGTCCTCACTGTACACGCCCATCGTGCCGCGAGCATCCCTGGAAAGTAGCAGGACCTCACCTTTTGGCAGCTTCCTGCGCGCGGTACCACCAAACACGGATTTGAACTCATTGAGGGCCTGGCCAAAACTTTCGTCCTGGAACGACAGATCCTGGCGATCAGAGGCGAAATGCGCGCTGCGCGCCGTGACGCCCCTGACGAACCCGTCCCTCAGATGCATGAAGTCCGTGGCGCGGGTAGGCACGATGCGGAAGGCGGTGCGCAGGTTTCCGTCGCGGATGATGGCGTTCCAGAGGTCTTCGCCCTCGTCTTTGTCAAGGAGTTTCTCGCGCAGGGTTTTCTTCTCCCCGGGCACAAGAGTGGTCGCCACGTCGGCGGCTGCGACGCTGTGGACGAGTCGTTCCTGTAGAGCCGCGATGTCGCTGACTGCGATGTATAGACCCACCACGTAAACTTGGATGCTGAGGATCGAGACTGTGCGGACGCCGAGCCCGACGAGCTGGTATTCAACGGAGGATTGTTGGCCGTTGTTGGGTTCGTTTGCAGCGGCAGGGCTAGATGCTGGTGCGGTGCTGGGGAGGTGGATGGTTTTGGGGAATGTGGGGATGGTCGAGGTGCCTGTCGGAACCTGCTCGACGTCGTCAGGCTTCGCGAGAGGGTCTACAAGGCCACCACCGATCGAGGGCGGAGCATCGAGCTTAACGACATCCGTTTTCTCCTCTTCTTGCAGGTCCAGCAGTCGCCTCCTCTCCGCCTTTCTCGGATCCGGGTACAGCACGATTGTGCCGAAGATGGCGGCGGCGCAGGCGACAATGCCATACGCCGACCAGCGCATTCTCTTCACGCTCCGAGCTCGCTCTGCTTTGGCGACCTGTGACGGCGTGAGAAGTTCTTGCTTGTGGTGTCGGCGCAGGAGCTCTGCAGAGCCGTAGCCCGAGATGGGCGGTGCTTGAGTGGGCGATGCATTTCTGCGGGTGCTGGAGAGAAGACGTTGCTGGACAGATGAGCAGCGGCAGACTCCTCTCTGAGCCAGGAGGGTCCGAAGAGGTGAGATGCTCTGGGGATTAGGCATCTTTTCAAGCTTGTGGTTTCGAAGGAGGGAGCATTGATCGTGTGAGAAGGTGCTATTTATTTGCAACTTTCGTCATGCTCAAGAATCTCTGAGGGTCTGCTGAGGGTCGCCTCATTCGGTTTAGATCACAGCGAGGGTAATGATCTAACCCAATACGGCTAGTAAGTCATCCTCTCCCTTTAACGGCAAGAGTTTACAGGTGCTGTCGTCGGTATTTTGCACATTGCTTTCCATGAGGCTGTTGATGCTGTAAAATGAATTAAAACACGATCTTGAGATCGGAAATATCTATGTAGCATGGAGGTAAGTCACCTGCTAATCTATCATGTCGTTCACTGCATTATCCACGTTGCCGATCATTACTCTCAAGCACAATCCAGTAGTCCACCACATCAGCTTTCGTTGGGTTGTGAGTGATCACCGATTCTCGGGCTTCTCATCCATCCACGCCGTTCCTACCCTGTCGTAGCTGAAGAAAATGCAGAATCCTGTTGTCGTTGGCCACTCGATGCTCCGTTCGGCTGGGCACCATTCGCGCCATCAACTTTGTCGGTCTCCTTTGTATCTTCCGTGTCGAAGCCAGCATTGTCCATAATCCTGTCAACGTGCCTCGTCAATTGTGGCATCCGTTCCTTAAGTACCTGCGCAAACACCTCGCTGAAATCCTTGAATGCCTTTTGCTTCCCATTAATCACCGCATTCCCTCGCTGTACATTCTCCACGAAATCTCTGGTGAAGATGTCCGGATTGCGTCCGTCGTCCACGTAGTCCACAATCTCAGGGGCGATTAGTACACTATGGATTGGATTGTTCGGCGAGACGGTTGTCGATGTCATGTTTTGCAGGTCGTTGAGTGACTGTGCGAGTTCCGTCATCTTGTCCACTAGTAGATCTGCCGTGTCAGGCACATAGCCATGTGTTTGAGACTGAATGTCGTACAGATTCTGGATGACATCCTTGATTCCAGCTTGCACTCCTGTTGTGTCAGTAATCGGAGCCATTGTACGAGGTACTGGGCGGAATTGCGATCCAGGAAGTGTCTTCACAGTCGCAGGTGCTTGGTTTGAAGAACGGCCGCCTGATTCACCTGGATATCCAAAGCCTTGCGGGGAATCCAATCTGGTCTCGGGCGAGCAAATTCTTGTGGACAGCTTACTTGGACCAACGCCAATCTTCGATAGGTCATCAGTTGCAGTAGGCTGGTTGCTGGAAACACTCTCCAAAGGCGTTTCTGGTCCAAGACCGGGTCCAAAATTTGGGGTAGTCGTAGTAGCCGAGATAAGTGATGGGAGTGGTAGTGGTGATTCCTGACTCTGAGCGGATGAAGGACTGAACAAAGTCAGAGGCTTGGGCGGGTTTTGGTTGGAATGTGGTTCAGCAGAAGCAGCAGCTCCTTTCTTTCCACGCCTCAAAGTCACAAATGGTTCAGATGCCGTATTCTTCGTGCTGTAAAATCGCAGAGTGATATAAGCCGAAGATGGTCGTGCTGGAGTGGCCAAGTGTAGTGGTTTCTGGCCAGTTGTGAGTGCAGCGGCATCAGCAGAAGTTTGGGTGGTGGGAGCTGTTCTGGTGCCCAGAGAACCCCTTCGGGCTCCTCTGATTCCCCTGCTGCTGCGACCGCCACGATTCGAGCCTCTGGAACCCGAAGTGGAACCCCGCGGCGCCTGAGGCACCTGAGGCCCGGGGGTTTGCCAGCTAAGATTGGTGCCCTGGCCGCTTGGTGGCGTGAAGAAACTTGGGGGACCATTGGCGATCGGTGGGCGGGATGACGCCTGGCCTGCCCCGCGTCCCCGGACTTTGGTCCCTCTTTTGGGCGGCATGATGAAAACAGGTCGACTTTCTTCTGCAGTGTCAAGAATTGATGATTGCGGATGATGGGATGAGAGAAATTTGTTGAGGGATTTTATTTCAGAAAGAAGTTTAACAGCAAGAGAGATCTGGTCAATGGTTGTTGTCACGCGAGGAAAGTGAAAGTCGGTCGCGGGCTGCCTGCAGTGAAGTTGCCTCGCATTCACTCTTCACTTCGCGAGCAAGAATTCAACTATAACCTCACTTCCCAGTCATGACAAGAGCGAATGGAAAGAAAGACAAGAATCAGTTCAAACAGACCCAAAGATACTGTAGTACAACTGTCTCGCCGGTGCCTTGTTCCTTGACTGAAATCCAGAGGCCAAAACATCGGATGGTCTACCTTGGAATCTACATCTATTTGTGCATACCTCATAAACTTATATTTCTTTCGTCCTTACCGTGGCCGTTGTCTTGACCGGCTCGTCTATCGATGTCTCGACCATTTCCAGGCCAGACAGACTTGGGTATCGCTTACTAAACGCCGCCTCCCAGTCTTCATCGGCCCTCACCTCTACCTCATCTCTCGTGGCTCCGTTATCAATAATCGCATGTTGCAGAACTTTGGGCTTAGGCGGCGCTGCTGGCCGTTGTGATCGTATCTCTGCTCTCGATATATCGACCGATGATGCTGGTGCTGAAGATGTCGAGATGTGCTGTGCAGGGGTACTGGCCATCGGTTGAAATGTCTGCGCGCGCTCGCCAACTCGCTGTTTTGGTTCAGGGGATTCGGTAAATCTTCCGTATCCAGTAGCTGTCTTCTGTGCAGGTCGCTCGTTCTCACTAAGGAGCGATTGCAATCGATTCTGAATCGAAGATGCCCTGGATGAGACACCACCACCACCACCGCCGACAGAGCCGCCTCCCCTAGCCGCCAATCGTTGTCTGTACTCCGCTGCGGCATTTGCGACTCTTCTCTCCTCTGCTTCAAGCTTTCGCTTCTCTAACTCTCGTTTCATTTCTGGGGACAGCTCTTCCGTCTCATCCCATCCAGGTCGATCATCGCTCAAGTCTGTTGCTTCTGAACCAGCAATCGGAGTCAAAACATTAATCGGATCTCGAGATGGAGATTCGCTTCTATCTCGGTGATGATGGTGATGATGATGATGGTGGTGGCTCCCATTATTCGAATCGGTACTCTCGAATTTCTTGAAGGCATCGCCAAATTTCCCAGCCAATAACTTGGTACCAGCCGCAAGACCAATAGATGGAAGACTAGCTCGTTTCATATGTCTGGAACCACTACTAAGGCGTTTGTGGTGCTGCTTCCGCTCCTTCTCCTCCTCTTCCTTGGCTTTCAGGTACTCTATGTCGGAAGAAATATTGGTTGCTGATTCCGACGGAGTCAAAGGTGCCAGGTCTGGTTCCGCGCTCGTGAAAGTCGCCTCATAGTCAAGTCCTCTGATTTCACGATCTTTGATATGGGTCGGTCCCGCGCCGATATTAACGCTTGCGGGTCGCTGCCTGAGGTTTAATGATCTCGATCGACTTACGCCAGAGTCGAGACCTCGTAGCGATGGACGACCTCCCTCAAGTGATGGTCTTGATGAAGTGGGTGATCTTGACTCCTCCTCACTAGCCTTTTGGGAATTTCGCGCATCCTCCTTGAGCAAGCTAGCAAGGCGAGAACCAGTTTTGCTAGTCTCTGGCGCCCGCGTCTGACTCGAGGGTCTGTTCAGACTTGAAGATCTCGGTGGTTGATCACTGGGTGGAAAGCGATGTATCGGTCGGTCGGAAATGGGGAGTAATCCTGTAGTTTGAGGTGAAGCGGAGGTCATGGTGCCTGTGGATACCATTGAAGGCTTCGGGGTAATGGCAGGGGCGCTAGCTCGAACAAGTGGTTCCCTTTGCTCTAGTGATTTCTTGTGCTGCAGAACTGCTTGAGATTTGACGGCAGGTAGAGGTTTGTCCAGAGCCGGTTTGGGTTTGACAGGACTGGGTGGTCTACCGAAAGCCTCGTCTGCCAAAGCATTGGTGACTCGTTGCGCTATCGACGACTCGACTGGTTCGCGTGGCTTCTCTGCCGTTGACTCGAAGGCGAATTTCTTGCCTTTGTCAGTCAACAAGGCAAAATGATCAAGAGAGGGGAATTTATGAGAAAGTTCGTCTTCCACAACTGGCTTACTCCCGTCAAGAGCGGCAAAGGGATCAGTGCTTTCGACCATACGAAGGGGAGAAGGACTTGGCTTGGCGGAACCATGATGGGAGACGGGTTGAGTTGGTCGACCTCTGCGCATAGGCTCAATTTGCGGAACAGACGGAGGAGCTTCTTGCTTCGGAGGAGATAAAGTGGCACCCGTTCGTGACTGAGAACTCGAGGGTTGAGGAAGGATTTGGTCTTTCCGACCCTCCGACTGACTTCGTCGACTGTATATATCTTTGAGGTGAAGCTCACGGCCATCTAACTGACTTGACTTCTGGAGAACCTGATAGATGTTGGGTCTGTCGGAAGGTTTCTCTCGGAGCATCGAGGCAATCATCAACTTTAACTGGTCGGAGAAACGTGGATATGCAGGAAACTTGAACCTGGCATTCAGGATGGCCATTTGACCAACATCCTCGAAAGGAGTGGTATAGTAGCATAGTTTGTAAAGAAAGACACCCAGTGCCCATATGTCGGCCTTCTCATCAATCGGTTGCTTCCTGTATACGTCTATCATTTCGGGACTTCGATATTGGAGCGTGGTATGTCGATTGATGTCGTCCTCAATCAGACGCCCTTCAGCAGCCGTGGTGGCAGCGGGTCGTGCAGGAGCTGTGGAACCGAAATCGCACAATTTATACATCTTTGCAGATCCGCTGCTGGCTATTAGAACATTCTCGACTTTCAAATCTCGGTGCATGAGTGGAGGTTTGAGGTAGTGCATGCAGGCCACTCCCTCTGCGACGTCGGTAAAGATCTTGAGGATTTCAGGCTCGGTCAAGCGGTTCTGCAAGCGAGTGTTCATGAAGTCGATCAGACCTCCTCCCTGACAGAATTCCATAAGCAGGAAAACTTCATAACCACCGCCTTTTAATTGCGAGGCGTGGGAATCGATGTACTTGACAATGTACTTTTGGCCCCGCAGTCGCTTCATGGTTTCGACCTCGGTGCGCATATTGGCCAGGTGGTCCTTATCTGGGACGGCCACTCTTTTGAGGACGGCCTTGGTGTTTCCGTCGACTGGTCGTGGTAAAGTGACCACATAGACATGGGCAAACCCACCCTCGGACAGATATCGATCAATCACCACCCTGTGGTCTCCGACCTGGACCTTTGTCCCAGGCATGAAAGTGCCTGCGGGGGCAGCATGAGTCGGTATAGATGGAGGAGCCGAGGTCGCAAAAGGACCTTTTGCTCCGATCTGAGAGGCATAGACAGCCATGGTATGGGTAACAAGAGCGAGGACGGGGGAAAAGGTGAGGAGGAAGAGGAATCGGCCGCCGCAGGAGAAGCTGGAGGACTGTGGCTGCTGGCGGGATTTATCTGTCTATCATAGTCGGGCATAGAACAAGGAAGACACCTCGCAGGTGTTGGAAGGGTATACCCAGGCAGTCGGGAAAAGGACAGAGAGGAGAGGCTGAAGGAAAGCCCGAGGCAGCCGTGAAAAGAAGTGGTTAGGTTCAAGTTGTATACCGTGACCTTGAAGGTGCAGTGGTGGTAGTGGGTAGACGCAGATGACAGTGGTGGCAGTATTCAGCCTACCTATCCGTTCTGGGCGTGGAACTGGACTGCAACCGAGTGAGGCACCTACCACATGCCCATTGCCCACTAATCGGTACCACTTCACCTGAAGCTATGACTTGGCCCAGAACTTTACCTATTATTGGGAATTGGTTTAGAGTTTCTTTAGCTGCGAGACCGAACTAGACCTCGAATCTAGGTGTTGGTAATAGCGCAAGGTACCTAAAGGGATGCCTAGGGATAAACCATTGGTGCCTGGAGGCCTGAGCAACCTTTAACTGGGCACTTGGGGGTCCAAAAGAAGGCATGCTCCGGAAATGACGTCGCCAATCTCTGCAGATTGTCTCCCATGCAGTGCCTTCGAGAAAAAATTCACCGGTCAATTTTCTGTTCGACCGCTTCACCGTTCACCCGTTACTGAGAAATCACGAACTCGGCCCTCAACCATTATTCGCAACTAGAATCAACCGAAGTAATCTCAGCAAAACAACTGATCTCAATTCACACAACATTTTTGACTACATCCACAATGTCCAAAAAGAGAAAGCACGACCAGGTCGAGCCTGACGCTGTCCCCGCGCAAGACGATGGCCCAGAACCAGATCAGTCTACACCAGCGAAGAAGTCGAAATCCAAGGGACAGAGCCGACAGGAAAAATCCGAGCGGAGGGCCAAGAAAAAGAAGTTGGACACAAAAGAAAAGAGAAGCAGCAAAAAGGAGCGTGCCAACGTGGCGGTGACCGAGGAAGGAGAGGAGCAAGAAGAAGAAGGCGGCGCTGCAGAGGTTTCCTCCAAGAAAAAGAAGAAGACCAAGTCGACGGCCGAAGAGCAAAACGGGGATGCGGAGGCAGATTCGAAGCCTTCCAAGGACAAAAAAGAGAAGGTGAAGAAGACGAAAAAATCCACAGATGAGCCCGAGGAAAAGACCGAAGGCACATCTTCATCATCGCGCTTCATCGTCTTCGTCGGCAACCTGCCCTTCACCGCCACGGCAGCACAGGTGCAGGACCACTTCGTCAAGCTGGCGCCCAGCTCGGTACGGCTCTCGACGGACAAAACGACCGGGAAAGGCAAAGGGTTCGCATTCGTCGAATTCGACGGCTACGACAAGATGAAGACGTGTCTGAAACTGTACCACCATTCGATCTTCGATCCGGAGGCCAAGGGGAAAGACAAGACGAATGTGAACCAGGACGCAGATGGAGCAGGAGCAGGAGGGTTCGATGCGAAGAAGAAGGCCGGAAGACGCATCAACGTCGAGTTGACGGCCGGCGGTGGCGGGAAGCAGAGCAAACAGCGCAAGGACAAGATCCGGTCCAAGAATATCAAGTTGGATGAGGAGCGCGAGAGGACGAGGGTCAAGGAGCGCGCGGAACTGGATGAGGCGGCGAGGAAGAAAAGATCCCAGCCCCAAACTGGTGCTAATGCCGCCCAGGTCGACAATGGGTCGATACATCCGAGTCGTTTGGCTCAAATGAAGCATTGAACTGAGCGCGGATAGGTGTCTTGATCAGATTGGGATAGGTCGCTCGGGTCAGGTCGAGTCAGGTTATATACGATCCAAAATCAAATCAGGTCTAGATGTGTGTGCCAGTTTGTGTTGAGAATTTCTCCCATCCCGCTGTTCAGTCCGATGTCCTATATAAAACGCCCCGGCCCTTCCTCAACTAGATTGCGTAATTGAATTACTTGTGATACGATAGAGATGCCCCTGGTGGTGTCCCTACTTCCAGAACGATCCCTTTGCTCTTGTAATCCATTCATAACGCGGATTTGATGGGCAGAGAGTCAAAAACCAGGAAACCCAGAAAATGAGGAGAGCAAAGCGCATCGAAGCTTGCAAAGTCTATGTCCACCATCTTGCGAATGCGATCTGTGATTGTTCCTTTGCCATGTCCATGTCCATGTTCTCAGCACCAGACTGGCCAATCCAAAAATAGATTATCGGCCACCTCAAGTTTTGATCTTGCATTTCCTCAGAAAATCATCCGATTTGAATGACACTCAACCGCAGTCGTTCTCTGCGCCCTTCCTCAGAGGATGGTGCACCGGGACTTCTTCTTAGTTGCGGTCGGTCGGGGATTGAGCACGGCTCTGATGGGGAAAAGTTAGTGGTCTGTTGCCATGCGCCAGAGACAGGGACAGGGATAAGTGTTTATCTCACCTAATCGCCTCGTCAAACACACTCTTCAGATTCCGCTGTGTCAATGCCGAGCATTCTAGGTATTTCACCGCTCGGATTTCCTTGGCGACTGATAAAGCTTGCTCGTAGGAGACAGGCTCCATCTTCTTGGCCCTCAAGTTGTCTGCGGTTCCTTTATCTTCTCGTAAATCCAATTTGGTTCCGACGAGAATGATGGGCACATTGGGTGCATGATGCTCGATTTCCGGATACCACTGAAGACCAAATATTAGCTTGAACGCTACCCTCTCATGAAGATTATGGTCCACTCACTTTTGCCTTGACGTTGTCAAAACTGGGAGGAGAGACGATGGAGAAACATATCAGGAAGACATCGGTTTGAGGGTATGAAAGTGGTCGCAATCGATCGTAATCTTCCTGACCAGCGGTATCCCACAGGCCGAGTGAGACAGGTTTCCCATCGACCATGACACTAGCTGAGTAGTTGTCGAAGACGGTGGGGATATATTCGCCAGGAAAGGCGTTTGTAGTATAGGATATCAGCAGACATGTCTTGCCGACAGCACCATCACCAGTGACCACACATTTTATGGATTGAGTTCCCTGCGCCATCTCGATTATGGCGAATGTGATGAAAATCGATTGATTTCAAATCGACAAATTAAGGATCGATGAGTTGATATGGGAACTCAAAGGGTCTAGGGCAAGTATATTATCGCAGCTTCAAGCTGGGCAGAGGAGTATCAACAAGGCGGACCGTGACCGTGACCGTGACCAGCAGGTACTGTATGCGCGTTCTGCTGGTGTGCGAAGGTGATGGGAGCCCGCAGGGCAAAGAGCGTGCAGTGCAGATGCAGGATGCAAGATGGTGCAGCTGGAGATGGAGATGGAGATGGGAAAACTAGTTAGGCACGCACTGGAACGCAGGCGGGTACAGTGCAGTGCAGTGGGTGCCAATAGTACTAACTAGTCGTCGTAGGGTATGGCAATAGCAAGTACACAGTAGTGCTGATTGATGAGGAAGGATGAAAGAGGTTCGTGCAAGATCAGATGAGTGTACGGATACGGAGTACGGAGTAGTGGCAGGACAGTGCGAATACAGTTTCAGGGTCCAGGGGGTAGAGACAAGATGCGGCGGGAGTGGCCGTGTGAAGACTGAAGAGAGGGACAATTGCAGGTGTTCGTACTCGGACGATAGGTGCCCTGGTGGTTGGTTGATAGGAAGACTTGGAGGGGCCAGGGGGGGCCTCCGGGGTCCTCTAGGCGTTGGGCGATAAAGCTGTGGGCGTGCTCAGTAGGTACCTCCTCGTTGGTGTATGAAGTCTGTAGTGGCTGAGGCACTTTGTGAGACGCTCAGGTTGGAGTATTGCAGCAATGGAATCAAGAAAGAGACATGTGTACGGATACAACCTATGATGGATCAAGGCTCGAAACCAATCGCCAGTGAGGTTACAGACATAGCTGCCAGTGGTTGTCAATCGATACTGAACAGTCGACTGGTAGACGAGATCAAGTGGGTGCATCCTTGGCAAAAGGGCCTCCGGGTCAGGATACTGAATCAATTGGGGTACATTCTGATACACCAACTGTTGCCGTATCCAATTGTGGACTGATGATCTGTTTCGCCATGTTGCTTAGTCGAGCGTCTGTGACCTGTTGGATGCTCACTGCCGCCAACAATGACGCCAACGAGGGTGACAACGACATTCGCAAGGTATCCTTCAGAGTTCAACCCACCTCCACGACGGAATTACTCGGGTATTGTAGTGAAATCAACTGTCGTGTCGTGAACAGGCAAGGCACGAGGGCTCTCCTCTTTGCGTCTTGTTGATTCAATCTTGTGCCGTTCTTCTGAAAGAAGATGGAGTTGTCCTCAGCTTATGCAACCGAAGGACTACGAGTGGTTATACCCAGCCAAGTCGAGTACTATAAGCCACGAGGAACTCCATATCTTATCCTCTCCGCGGCCAACATTCGCTACATGTATGGATCCTTTGTGATTCGTGATTTCATTTGGCTTCATTCATAAGGCCATCCTCGACTAAGTACCGAGTACCTACGGAGCAGGTGGGCACCAATATGCGATTGCCAGGGGGCGTCTTTTGTTTATCCACAAAGTACTACGGACTCCTCATTCCGGAGAATTCTTTGATAGCATCCAAGTTATCTGCAGGCGATCGCACCTAGTTAACGCCTCTGAGTAGAAGGTTGCCAGCCATTACTACTTTATCCAACTCGTCCCCTGCTCAAATATTAAGGCCGCCCACATTGTATCCGAACCGGTAGCCAGGAGGCTTGGATACCTGCTTGAGTACTCAGGAGCTTCCAATGAAACCAAAGCTACCTGCTGCCCAGGTAGGTATGTGCGCTGATGGAATGGGATTCCGTTTTACGGACGCACCCCGTTCAGCTGTGGAATATCTCTCTCGAAATCCACATCAAAATGGATACTAGTATCTTCCACGGGGTTTCAGGCTTGACGAGTATGCATTTGTTGAGGGTCACTTTCCTACTTCGTAGCTATGGCTTTGCTTTACACCAGCCTCTATTCACATTTGGCATATGCGCCGTGAAACATCATTGCGTACCCAAGGTACGTGCTGTTTGCATGTCTCACTAAATGATGCTAGTAAAGAACGACTCTTCAGGCTCGCAACCCTCGGGGCCCATGACCATTCAATCGTCAACCCAAAGGTCTAGCCCAATTCCCCCTGCGTATGCTTGTCAGGACATGCCGGCATATTCTAGCTTATGACCAACACCATTTAGAGCTATACCGAGAATTGATCAACAGGATTGCGTGTTGTTTCCCCGGTTATGTATACCTGGAAGGGGTCCAACGTCTGAAGCTTCGTGATGGCCTGTGCCGAGCAGCGAGTCTTTTCAAGTCGAGATCCACGTGGATGGGCGAGGAACTCCTGCCGACACTAAATCCTACGCGACAGGTAGTTTGGCCCAGACCACTGGGTTGATCTATTACTTTGCCTCCAGGAGGATGGGCACGATGGGTCTGTACAAGTGACATTCAGTGCGGTTCGAGTTGACGACGACGACTAGGATGTGGCAAGTTGCTCATCAAGTCTCCTTCGCCCTCCTGCAGGATTCACCTAAACAAGACAATGATGCACAGACCGCACTATGTAATCGTCTCGACTTACCACGCACTGATGTGGTGACAAAATATACCTAGGCACAGTAAAGATGATGCTTCGACTATCGGGACATGGAATAAACGACTCAAAGGAGCACTTCTTGCGCCATTGCCCTGAAAGTTAAAGGCGAGCCAACTTGGACCCGTACGAAGCACTCTGAATCTGTTGGATATCGTTCTTGCTCACATTAGTCAACTCTTATCCATTTCATCGCCCCCCAGAGCCCGTAGGCTCATGGCTTAATACATCCCCGACATCCGAACCTCCAGAAACAGTCAAGGTCAGGCCTTCTCCGTTAACATCCATATCCTATTGAATTTTCGCTTGATTTATCCAAGCACCCACCTCCATTCCATATAGCACCCACTTTTGCCCTTCAACACCGTCGACTCTGGTGCATACGAGGCCCTTGCTAGGTCTTGAACATAGTTCCGCTAACGGTTCGCCTTGCACCGTTGACCGTTCTCCTAATCAAATGGCTTGTGCGCGCGTGTCTTGTGCCAGCTTCATGACGTGAACAGGGGCCCTACTCTTTAGCTACGGCGACAGGGCTATTATGTCCTCCTCTCCCTCCTTCGGGCCTCCATCAATCACATTTACCATTTTCTGACCGGGCCTTCCACTTTTCAGGACTCCCGTTGCTGTTGTTTCCTTGCCTCTACGATCCGGTGGACGTCGTTGGCGTTCAAAAAGCTGCAATTGCCCTTCTACGACTGCCTCTAAAACGCGGCAGTTTTTGACTTTCTTACCAGTACATGGGGGTGGATGCCTCATCATATTTGGAGCGGTGTCAGGGTCAAAACCAACTAGATATTCTGCCGACTCAAACCCCGCCTATCTTTTCTCAACAGCCTCTTGAACCGAATTTCCACCTTGAGGCTGTCTGGTGAATCAATGACTACCATTGTTATGATGTCTACCTCTCAGGGAGGGGCTCATCAAGCTCCAAGTGGGCATCAGCCAACATCTACACCATCGAAAAAGCCACAGCGCCGATTTCAGTTTATTGACAACAGTGATGTCGCATCTTCGGGTACCAATTACAACTCTACTCAAGTTCGTCGACATGTTATGCAAGAATACATGAGAGAGAAACGGTGGGAGTCGCGCGCCAAACAAAGCGATTCTTCGGAAAGTGATGCTCGAAGAAAGCCTGAGAAGTCAACACGGCTTCAACCACGGAAACTCAAGACGAAAACCCTACCCATCATCGATTCTACGAGGCCCGATTCTACGCCTTTGGCGTCTGCCTTACCTCATGGATCAGCGATGGTAGCGCGTAGCCGATCCATCTCCTCCAATGCGTCACAACCAATTCCCGTCGTCTTGTCCCCGTTTCAGCCACAAGATGTACAGAGGCGACCACGAAATTCATTTCATCTCAACTCGAATAGCTTTGCTAAACTACCTCTCATGGTATCCGGTACACCATTTTCAACACCTTCAACGGGGTATTCTGGAGAGTCATCTTCTCCAAGCTGGAACAATGAGAAGGTATGGAAGCTCTCGCGGAGCCCGGAACCTCAAACAATACTCAGCGCAGCGCGGACGGACCCATTCGACTGCCTTCCGATGCAACTTAATGTCCAAGATCAAGAACTCTTCGACTTTTATGCCAACGTCATGCCAGCCTGTTCATACGGATTTGAGCGCAGAAGCCCCCATGCCCACAATTGGTACCTTTCCGTTTTCATACCGGAGGCCATGAAGGGGGCCGTATGCTTCCAGAATACTGTTCTCGTTCATGCAGCAAACACTCAGGCGTGGGTCAAGGGACTAGCAGAAACCCCATTGGCGATAGAACATAGGGCAAAGGCATCGCAACTATTACTCCACCATTATCAGCAATACCCGCACGATACATCTGATGCAACAATATCGGCGACACTATCTGCAGCAGCGTTGGAGGACTTCGACCCTAGGATAGAGCGCCGCAAGTATGCCTGGATGCACTGGCAAGCGGTGGTACAAAAGATACGAGATCGAGGAGGCCCTACTGCATTGGTACACCATAATCGACTCCAAATGCTGATCAATTGGTCCGACTACATCTTCTCGGGGTATAATGCCCACGGGGCCACCTTTTACTTTGATCACCAATCATCGCCTATGCATTCAACCCCTGAGCAGGCAGATGCTATTGCTAGGCGTGAGATTGCTCAGCAATGTACAGAGTTCATTACCTTTTTGAAGTGTGCGGAACACCTTGCTCTCGTACAAGCAGGCATGCAACAGAATCCAGTGGCTCGGGCCCAGCAGCCTATGCGTTACTCGGTTTTCCGTCCTGGTCAACCACTCTACAATCTTGTTGCCAGTCCGAATGGTCCAAGGTATACCGAGACTGGTCAATTCAAACAAATTATATCTCGACTAGGCTCACTCATGACCATCAACACTGCGATTTGGGAATATCGCCATTCTACGGACCTGAGCGAGGAATTCTTCAGAGAATTGCTGCAAAATATTGTCTACAACGAGCTCCACCAACATATCTCAGTCGAGGCCTTGGTACAGATCTTGTTAAGCGGAAGCCGAAATCCCACTCTCCTCCATACAGAACGGCCTTGGTTTGTTGGTAGATTCCTGAAGGTGGCGAAGCGACTTTCTCGTCCTACTTTCGAACGACTAAATGACGTACTGTTGGAATTTTTGACACTGGGACCCGGTTTAAGGCCTGTGATGTTAGGTTGGGAGGACGAGCTCCGTGCAGAGATATTAAATGCCCCTCTCGTGAGCTATCAATCTCGTTTCATGTTGGGGTAGTTTGATAAGCAGCGACTGAAGGCATGAGATGCAAAAATTGACGACTATTTATACGTGCAATTTGCACGTACACACCATTGAGGCCCTCAAAAGCCGAAATCTCACAAAAGTTTTGACCGCGGTGATGAAAGTTCTGAGCAGACCGTGTTTGCCCCAAATTTGAACGTGAAAAATCCACAGAGCTGTTACGGGTCTCGTCATATTGACCACTATCGCTCCTGCAATCACCCATAAAAATAATGTTGATCAGTATTCCAGCAGATGTATAATTGAAGCAGTTGAACTGCTTTTGATGTGCACGACACGATGCCCGCCAGCAGAGTCAGGTTTCACGACTAGTTCTGGGGACAGACTCTTCTAGATTTCAAGGGTTTTGCTCCACCCCAGCACGAATACGAGATATCAAGGAAAGAGATTGTGCATAATTGGACACGGGAGATGATGGTGACTAAGAGAACCGGGGCGAGCTTGGCAATGCGGAAGTCTTTCTCGGCTGCTAAATGAGGCTCAACTTGACCAACTCATCCTGTCAGCACTGTATTTTCAGGCCTTCTGTCTTCCCTCCTGGACCATCTCCTTTTCAGTTATTGCATATCTATCAAATGCTTCTGGTCGGCTTTTGTTGCGCTTTCGCGTGCTTGGGTGCATTTCTTTTTGGATATGGTGAGTTGGGCGGTTCTTTTCCCATCTTTTTCTCCTGCATATATCAGCTGCATGTGGGTCCAGCCAGCACGTTTTTATGTCAGCCATGACATGGTGCCTTCCGGATATCAAATGGGCTTTTCAGATTCACAAAATTGACTGGTCACTAATCTTGTTTCTTCCTCCCCACAGATTCTGGTATCATAGCATCATCCATATCACAGGATGATTTTGTTCAACGATTCGGTAGTGATGGTCTTTCCGATGATATCACTGGTGGTATCGTCTCATCCTTTACCGGAGGTGCTATCATTGGGTCTTTGATCCTTACCCAGCTGTCTGATCTGTACGGTAGACGTGCAGCTATCTTTGTTGGCTCTATTCTGGCTATCCTCGGCGGTGCTTTACAGGGTGGCGCAAGTAATGCTGCCACTGTCATCGTCGGACGGGTAATTGCTGGGCTGGCAATCGGTCTGCTGTCGGCGACGGTACCCAACTATTGCTCCGAAGTGGCTCATCCCAGAATACGTGCATTGCTGGCTGGTCTACAACAGTGGCAACTAGGACTTGGGTTTGTCTGTGCTCAATGGATGGGGTATGGCTGCTCACTGGTGAGGGGTCCATTGAGTTGGAGGCTACCACTCGCTTTCCAAGTCGCACCAGCGTTGATACTCGCGGCGGGAACCTGGTTTCTCCCAGAAAGTCCGCGATATTTGGCGGAACGTGGCAATGAAGCTGCTGCGCGGGCCACTCTTGAGAAATTACACTCCGACCAAAAAATTGTTCAAAGCGAGTATACCCTCATACAGCAGATGCTCGAGGTCGAACGGCAATCCCGCGTCGGCTGGCTCGACATGTTTCGAGAACGTTCATATCGTAAGAGACTTTTGATAGCATGCAGCATTCAACTCTTCACCCAGACCAGTGGTATCAACGTTATCAATTATTATGGCCCACGGATATATGGAGTTCTCGATTTTTCAACAAGTAGATCTCTTTTCATCATCGGCATCTATGGGGCACTCGCCCAGGTGTACAACACAATTTGCATTGCTTTGGTCGACCGGGTAGGGCGGAAGAAGCTCCTAATCCCCTCGATGATTGGAATGGGAGCAGCACTCTGTGTGAATGCGACTTTGGCCCATTTCTTCATCGACGATGCTTCAGAATTGGGAGAGCGCAACACAAATGCTCTAAGAGCAAGTGTCGCGATGAATTTCGTGTTCTCGGTGTTTTTCACCAGGTGAGCGTGATCCTCGGCTTACCATTCCATTGCCTCCTCCTCCGCTTCGACTCCTTTTCGTAATTCATCGACACAGCTAACCTGAAAATTCTCAGTGTGGGATGTCTCAGTTGGATCATGTGTGCCGAACTGTTTCCTACAGCTATCCGAGCGAAAGGAACTGCGTTGTCAACCTTCACCAACTGGGCTTCAAACCTGGTTGTTGCTCAATGTTCACCAATTGCGCTTTCGAAAATGGGATATCGATACTTTTATATTTTCATGGCTTTCAACTGGGTGGCTGCGGCAGTGGTCTATTTTTACTATCCAGAGACACAAGGGTACACGTTGGAAAGAGTCAACGAGCTGTTTGATGACATCGTTCTGGGTCCATCCGACTCATATCCGGCAAGCGATGTAACGGAGAAGGGGCATCCAGGGAAAGAGCCGATCAGTACTGTTAGTGGATTGAACTCCCTAAGAAGTACGGATGCTGTCCGACCCGCGGAAACCTGACCCGTGGCAAGGCAGTCACGCGGAGCCGGTGTTGTTGGCACGAGGCACAAGAAGGCTGATAGTAGTGCTCAGTAGGCTGACTCCAGGTGGGGTTACTTAAGTCGATTATGCACCGACGCACGCGGTGCTCTTCAGATTTATTGTGCGAGTATTTCGAGTGTGATATCATGTGAACTACAGACTTCCAGGCACAATATCGTCTTTCCAATGGATATCTCGACCCATGGCATTGTCTGGTGAATGCCATGGACCAAGTGAGTTATCGACAGTAAATCTCCCAACAGACAAAAGATCAGAAATGCATACGTGTACACCTACCAAAATACCCTCGCTAAGGGTGCAGTGTGCATATTTCCAAGACTCGTAGTGGGTCGAGTTCGCACGATACAGGCCGCTCTGCGTTCGTGCTCTGCGTTCGTTGTACGACGAGTGTTGTAAGAGTGCCCCAGACTGAGAGGATGTTCAACAAGGAACAACGACGGCATCATCACAAAAGAACATTTTTGCGTAATCGCAGAAGCTTCGCTTTCGTTCATCTCCAATCCATTCCGTTGCTTGTAAATCTCTTATCTCTTTGTTGATTGGAAGCTAGCATGGGAATTATATACCTCATTGTCGTCGCATATTCTTCGGGCAACTTGCATCCCGAACTTCGTACCAGGACACTTTGGGAGAAGGAGGGGTCACCTTGGTGGGACTACCACGCGAGTTGGACGCCTATCTCAATTAAACGCCACAAGTACCGATAGGCTTGAAAGGCCCATTGGCTCAACAACTCACTCGATTACAAAGAGCTGCAACAGCCTCTAAACAGTGACCATAGGAGATCTCGAGGTCAAAGTATGAATTTCCCTGAGCACACGGTTTGTGCAATGTGAACCGGAGTCGCACGATCATTTTGTCTCAGGGCGCAATGCGTGCAGAATTGATGCATCATGATCCGTGGAAGTGCTTTTAGGTTGGTTGACAAGCGAGGACAGTAGGGTTACAAGCATCAGTGGATTTATTGGCATGCCCGGAGCACCATCCCCTGGAACTACCCAATACCAAAACCCAGTGCCTGTAGGATCGGCGACTCCCCATCCTCCACAATGGCTCTATTAGGAGGCACTAGGACTTTCCCTCCTGAGCCTTTGACCTGTTACATCATGTCAGTGGCCGTCTTCCTTGCAAGTTCCAGGGGACCATGGGCGCCGTCGAGGCACGTTGCAGTGGTTGAAGCACCAACTAAGTCAACCACCTCGTACTCGCGCTCGCCCCTTCCCACAGAGGGGAAGCCTTTCTCAAGCTTGAGTCGATTAACTCGAACTCTCTTCAAGCCACTCGAGCATGAACGAATCTTTTAATTGGGGATCTTATTTCCAACTGGAGCAACCTCATTGACCTGTTCACGTATCAATCCTCCCTATGACGTTGACCTGGCCGATATACCGGCATCTTGAACATCCCAGGGTCAATCCTCGCCTGTGAGTCTGTGACTACAACAGTCCAGTCCCAGTACCAAAGCGCGAGGCGGATGCGAGATCGGGGCCTTTTCCCTTGACATTGTATTTTTAAACCACTCTAGCTTGAGTGACCCGTGACTCAATCTGATACGGGCTTCTACAGCTGTATGCTGTAATCACCACTCTTCTTTCTTTACCCTCCCCATGTCCGCTGGTCCTGCTCAACATCACTCATTCGTCATTACCATACGAGTGCGCCACTTTTCAACTGCGGGGTGCACCCGTCTCCGAATCTTAAGCCCGAAGCGCGAATTTGGGGGGACTTTGGTTCTTGAGTAATCCTTTTCACCAAAATAAATTTCTTTGGGGCTTCAATACTTGTTACCTCTTTCATGCATCACCGAGGTCGGAACCCTTAACCATCTGCTGATCAAGCGGAATGTATGGGCGCACAGGCGCCTTTCAAGTCCCTCAACATTGACATTCTCGTTCAATCTCTAGACCCCACAACATGATGGGCGACAACGATATGGTAACTCCGCAGTCATTGGATTCTGCGACTGATGATGCGCCAACCAATATCCTCTCAACTTCACAGGTTGATGCCTCAGGCAAAAAAGAGCAAAACACCTCCGACTCTCGACCGGAGTCTCCAGACGCAGACTCTCCTGAACCTGAAGAATCCACTACAAAGTCTACTGCCCCATTACAAAAGCGACGGAGAGTCACTCGAGCTTGCGACGAATGTAGGCGGAAGAAGATCAAATGCGACGGTAAACAGCCTTGTACACATTGTACGGTCTATAGTTATGGTAAGTCTACGCCCGGCTAAATGACCAATCTCGTCAGCAATTGACTCATCTTACCTGTTTGTAGAGTGTACATATGATCAGCCATCCAATCGTCGACGCAATCCTGCACCTCAGTATATTGAAGCCCTAGAATCGCGACTACAAAAGGCTGAGGCCGTGTTGCGCTCTGTCCTCCCCGGACTCGACTTGGACGACCCTAAATTCGATGCTCAGTCTATCCAACAATTGGTTGAGTCTGCCCGGAACCATACTCGACCTGAGGCTAAATCAACAACGTCCGCACCCGAATCAGTGAAGCATGATGATGATGCTCAACTACAGTCCATGGTGGATCGGACCGGAGCTCTTGATCTTGACGACACTGGCAACTGGGATTTTCATGGACATTCTTCTGGTTACGTTTTCATGCGACGATTCCGTGCCCAGTTTGGCGACCAACTTCTCCCTGACTCCAAGACACTCAACAAAACGAGGACAATTACTGGGGTTCTCGAGTCTCCTCGATCAGCCCAATCATCGCCTTATGACTTCAATCTTCCTGCCGCGGTTGACCTACCACCGAGAGAAGTCGCTATCGAATTGTGTTGCAATACCCTTGATGACTGTTGCGCTTTAATGCGACCTGTTCATAGACCCAATTTCTTCAGACGTCTTAACAAATTGTACGACACAGAACCCGAGCAGTACAATAACGAACATGTACAGTTTTTACCTCTTCTTTACGTCGTCATGGCAGTGGGCTGCTTGTTCTCAAAGGCGGAGAATGACTACACAACTCTTGATATCAAAGGCTACAAAGAAGCTACTGAACAAGGGTAAGCTCAAGCAGTCCCACTATATTTTTTTTGGTTTTGCTAACCCCCGACCCGCAGATACCAGTATTTCAACACTGCAAAACAGATGCTGGACATCACAGACTGTAGAGATCTCACCTCTCTCCAGGCTGTGGTGTTTATGATCTTGTTTCTTCAGTCGACAGCAAAGCTTGTGACGTGCTACGCCTATATTGGTATTGCGCTGAGAGCATGTTGTCGTCTCGGCATACACAGGGTCGTTTCGCACAAGTTCAATCCTATTGAGTTGGAAGAGCGGAAAAGGGCATTCTGGCTTGTTCGAAAAATGGATTCTTACGTCGGTGCTGTACTTGGGCTTCCACAAATGTTGAGTGACGATGATTGCGACCAGGAGTTTCCGACCGAGGTTGATGATGAGTATATCACTCCAGAAGGCATTCAACCTATGCCAGCCGGTGTCTTCTCTCTCATGAAGGCGACCAATGCGGGTACGAGATTAACACATACCTTGCGTAAAGTGGTGCGATTTATCTATCCGATCAAAGGCTTGAACACTTCGCAAACAGATCAACACTACACCATTAGCCACCGTCGAATTCGCGAATTGGAGCGGGATCTTCAGGTTTGGATGGACGAATTACCTATGGAATTAAGACCTTCGGAAAATGCGACCAGAGAACTTGCCAGGTGAGTCAAAAAGATCCAAAATTCGGGACACAGTCGTTTGCTAAGTTGAGCCCAGAGTACAACAACTACTTCGCATTTCCTACGCCCACGTACAGATGATGATCTATCGCCCTTTCCTACACTACGTTTCACAAGCTTGCCAAACCAAAAATGTTGACAAGCGAAGCTTTGCTTGTGCAGCTGCCTGCATCAGTGTAAGCAGAAACATTGTGCATATCACGAGTGAAATGAAGCGACGGGGTTTACTGGTTGGATCGTATTGGTTTGTGATGTATACAACCTATTTCGCCATTCTGTCGCTCGTATATTTTGTTATCGAGAATCCCAACAGTCCGACCGGGCAAGATATTCTAAAGGATGCAGTTGAAGGCAGAGACACTCTTGCAAGCCTTGCCAAGCGGAGTATGGCTGCTGATAGATGCACGCTGAGCTTGAATGTAAGTCATTGCAATAAGATCCGCTGATAAGCAGGAGATACTGATAATGCTTAGGTCCTGTTTGACGCTTTGCCGACCAAGTTACAGGAGCGAAGAAGTTCTACAAAACCTATTCCGAGTACGGCTCGCAAGAGGCCTCCACCCGGTAATGAAGCAACTCAAGAGAAACCTCAGACATCGGGAATCGCCACTCCAATCAGTCTTCGGGAGCCTACTGGTCCCCCAGCACGTGCACGAACCTTCCCCTCTGATTTCCTTGCGAAGATTGCAAAACGAAACTCGATGCCGGAAGCTCCTGCTATGGCGAGCTTCATCGATGGTGTTGCCCCACAGCCCCCTATGGTTGGGTTTGGAAGTCCGTCGACGGCCTCGCCCATGTCTCCCAACTTCGATTTCACACCTCAAATGGCAAATGCACAAATTCCCGATCTCAAGAATGTTATGTTTCCAAGCGACAATCCATTTGCGTATCCCAATCAACCGATCAGTACGTTGGAGTCCTCAGATGCCCAATATTCGTTCCAAGATTCGGGCATGGATGCCTTCACCGGCCCCAGTGACCATCACATGTACGAAACACCCACCACCAATGTCGGACAGATGCCACAATCCACCTCAGCGCCCAACTATGATTTTCATTATCAGCGGGCGCTCAATGATCACGCAGGTTTAATGCAAGGCTATGGTGGAAATGCCAACCATTTTGGGGCCCCATTGACCGACCTCCTCATGCAGAACACGTTCGGTGCCGAGCACAACCCGCATTTCAGCCATAATAGTCAGATTCCCAACATCCACGATCCCATGACGACCACGAGCGACCTTTCCGACAACACAGGCCCACCAGGATCGCAGAATTCGGAAGAGTACTGGAATAGACTGCAGAAGAATGACGTGAGCTTGAGGACCGGCCTCACGCCGAGTGCGGAAGCCGGGCTCAACGATTTCTTCACGCCGGAGAGCTGGGGCACGAATTGGAACGGTCAGCACTTCACCAACCCGCAGTGAGGCACTCGAATGGTTTCAGGTGTTTTTTTGAGAATATCTGAAAATGATGGAAATGCCCGATTTGTGCTTTGAGCTTTGGTCGTTTGACAATGGACGACCGATGGATTGGATTAGGAAATGAAACCACCGACAAGACATACTACAATGCGCATAATGCATAGTGACGACCGACCAGAACCCGGCGTTAGAGATACAGGATAATGGAAAGAAATATCTGCTTTGAGAAGGAAAAGCCGGACCGGCCGAAATACGAAATAGAAAAAAACAACAACAACAGCCATCGACTTTTCGATTTGCAGGAACGAACCTAGCCGTCATTTAATCACGAGGCTGGAGATTTAACGAGGTGTCAGTCGATGGGATTCTTTGAGCTGGAATCGTCATCGGTATTTGCCCGCTTTATCTTTCCTGAGGTGTTTTGGGTGTTCAATGGCTGTTCACGATTCACGGCATGAGAGATTCGTCCATCGACAACAAATGTGCTCGGTTGTTTTCGATGGGGCAAATGGGAATTGGATTAGGATAGGCAGGTACGGTACGTGGACATTTCGTCTTGTATGGGATGGATGGCGTGGTCGGATGTGTGTCTGAACGTACGTGATTATGCAGGTATCTAGGGTTCGGTGTGGTATATATAATATTATATTATATTTCTTGAACACAACTATATCGCAATAATTCAACGGCCACCCGCAGTATGAAATATAGGACGAGGAAACACGTAACCAAGCACCGGTATCATCTGGATCCGAGTGCGTTGCAACAAGGAGAGGTAGAGCTCGGACTATTGGTAGAAAACAAGTGGAGAGTATATTCTGATTCTGATTCTGTTTTATCATCATTCTTCAAGTTTCTACTGTCTCCTTGCGTGATGTTAATATTAATTTGACAGATATGATGTAAGCGTTGAATTAATTTACTGTTATTATGGGATGTGGTATTATTAATAGAATTATGAGGCGTGTATTGCATGATATTTGTGGATTCGTCGCTGTAGAGCGCTAAAATGTACCATGTGGTGGTGGTGATATTGATGGTGTTTTACGTCCTAGTTGATTTCTCGTGCGTTTTAGATACGGGTACTTTTGCAGGCTTGCTTGATTACTCTTGATCAATCACGCCAGGCCTGAACGCGGACTATATATACCAGGTAACGCATAGCTACTATCCAAGAGAAAGGCATGCGTAAAGACAGATACATAGATGGTAAGAAGAACACTTCTCTCTTTTTTTGGCAAGAGGGCATCCTGCAATCATGGAATCTTCCCCAGGACATGGATGAAACTGAGGTGGACGGTGACATTACCGACGGACGTTAGACTGCAGCAGGGCTTCGGTCACCGTGTTTCCGATACTCTTTACCAAGAAAAAAGAAGGATTAACCTATAGGGATCCAGGTAATGGTTCATTTGTTGATGTTCTGCACAGTAGTGAACGCAAGAACAAATCCATGGGCGAGCACTGCGTTGAATGAGCGTCTACTGCCGACCATCGTTCCACATGTGATACAGGAGACTGAGTGATAGGGTGACGAGGGAGTCTGAGAATTTCCCTATGACGGCATGGTGGTTACCACTTGTCATGGAGACATTTTCAACTTCCAAGAGATTCCGCTCGGAAGGAGAAAATTGGCATGAGGCAAACCATTCTGCCATGCATCAGATATAAGCGACCTGTAGCATGACATAATTGCTATGCACACTCCGGAAGTAAGGCATACGCGTCCTATTTAGTAGTGGCGACTTGGCAGGAATGAGAGAGGGAAATTGAAAACCTTGGAAATGTGGCGAGGCTGGGCATAATCTCGGAAAGGCTTGGTAAAATGGGAGGAGAGGAGATGCTTGGGACGGGAAATTTGGCCAAGAGACATGAATTGAATGATGTAAAGGAGGGCTTGAGCCAAGTTTGAGTGATGAGTCCACGTGGACCATTGGATATCTGGTACCATGGCGGGCACCGCTCAGAGACCTTGGCTAGAATGCGATCGTCATTGAATCATGGTAATTCTTTCAGCACGTGAACGGAAGCCTCAGGTGAGGACGTGAAAAATGGAGATGGAAGACATGGTCGGATAGAGTAAAGTCTGATGCACTGGCATGCAGGCGACATGAGATCCGATCAGCAATACACTGTGGATGCTAAATAGACAGACAACCCGAGGTAGGTTGATTCTTCAGGTATGTGATGGAGAAATATATGAGCGTCATCACGTCATGCATGAGGAAAGATAGATCTCTGATGGACAAACATGAACACCTGCACATCGGGATGTATGTCGGGATGGGGAAGACGGGGACTGAGATAGACAAGAAATGAGAAGCACCAGGAGTGGGCTGAGTCTTTGTTGCGATGGTGCAGGAAAAGAAACGTGGAAAGTTGGTTGTTCGGGAATCGACTCTGAGAGTTCAGCTACTCGTGCCCAGAGTTGTTCTTTCCAAACAAGAATCCCGACTAGGCCGTGCTTTGTCTGTTGCCGAAATGCAGATTGTGAAAAGCTGCCAATCTCAAGTCGCCACCTTGCGTTTAGTCAAAGTTTCATTTCTCGGAGCATCAACACCAGCGCCCCCCTTTGCTGGGCATCGCCTCCGTGAGCTGGGCATCCCGCTCCCAAGCGTCCAAGACATGCCCAGGTGTCCAAGAATCCCGGCCTTGGCTCCCAGGAGAATTCCCATCCCTTTCGTCGAATCAGTCTCTCAAAACATGGAACAAGATACAACACAAAATACCTTGTCACGCAAAGGGTTTGCAAGGTTGTTCCTACGTCCTGAGAAATCCAAATCAGTTACAAATCTCTTTGCACCGCGCTCGTATCGTGCTGACAGCCACAATCAGGTGTTACGGCCAAATCGGTGCAGGTCAAGCAAGAGCCCCACTTTGGACCAGCTAGTGGCTTGGCCAAACCTCTTGGCGTCTTGGCGTGACACGCTGGAAATCAGTTGTTGCGGCTGCGGTGGTGCCCGCTTCGTCTTTGATTCTGTTCATGTCGTCCTGCTTGTCTCTTCCTCCAAACCGGGACCACTCAATCATCCCCATAACATCTTGGGCCTTGGCCTGGTCTTCCTCTTCTACCCGCCCCTCCCCCATCATCAGGAAGTAACTCCGTAGTTAGTGGTGGGCTGTGGCTATCAGTGTCCCTACCCTGCCAGTGCCCTCCACCAGTGAACCGCGTGTGAGATTCATTCACTACTTGTAATAGTGGCTAGTAGTCGTAGTTAATCCGATCATATCACCCACTGGCACCCCCTTCCCCCCTCCATTCCTTCTATCCTCTCTTCTTCCCTCCACCGGATTCCTCTCTGAGCAGTGTTTTATTCTTCTCACCGAGCCCATCTGAACGACAGACAGAGAGAAACTCTCTCGTGGTAGTACTTACAGACTCAATCCGACTAGTCTGCCGAGCAGCACGAGTCTATTTCATTTCACCACCCGCCACTGCCCACGCGCTGCAGCTACTTCTTCCTCTTTCCCCTTCAGCACACCCTCCCCCAAATCCAAAAACTCAAGCTGCCTCTTCTTCCTTTCTCTCACCACCGATTCATCAACAATTCAACTGTTGACTTCAATCTCATCCGCCGTCGTTGCATGCGTGTTGTGTAGCCTTGTCGACGTCGACTCGATCTATTCCAGATTCCTCTCCTCCCGGTCGCCAAGTTTCCTGATCTTGGCCCTCTGATTTACTTGGCAACCATGTCTGAAATTGGTGAAGCCAGCACCACTACTCCCAATCCCCCTCCTCCACAAGATGTTGTCCCTCAACAAGGTCAACTTCCTCAACAGCCCGCTGCCGCCGCCGCTCCGCAACCCACTGCCCCTGCGGTGAACTCTGCAGGTGAAAATTTGCAATGTCAGTGGCAAGCCTGCGGCGAACGCTGCACCTCACCAGAAGCCCTCTATGTAAGTCGATCATTCTCCATCACCACTCATTTCGATCCATCTAATCGGCAACAGGAACACGTTTGTGAACGTCATGTTGGTCGCAAGTCGACTAACAACCTCAACCTCACCTGCGCATGGGGTCAGTGCCGCACCACCACGGTCAAGCGCGACCATATCACCTCTCACATCAGAGTTCATGTGCCCTTGAAACCTCATAAATGCGAGTTCTGCGGCAAGGCTTTCAAGCGGCCCCAAGATCTCAAGAAGCACGTCAAGACACATGCTGACGACAGTGTGATCATGCGCTCTCCAAACTTGGAGCCCAATGGTGGACAGCGTCAACCTCAGAATGGCATGCCCTCGGGCGCAGACTACAACGCTTCCTACTATGGTCATCCTCTGACGGGTCAAGTTCCTCCCAATTACTATGCACCTGCCATGCCTGGTCCTGCCGACTACGCTGGTCAACATCATCCCAATCAGTATTATCAACCTCACCCTCAGGTAAGCATCATCACCAATCAAATTGAAACAGAGATCATGAGCTAAAGTTACCTACAGGCTGGCGCTCACCCAGGCTATGGTCCAGTGACATACTACAGCACTGCCCCTCAAACCACCTACGATTTCGAAACCCGCAAGCGTGGCTATGATGCTCTTGATCACTTCTTCGGCCAGGTGAAGCGTAGAGAGCTCGACCCAATCAATTTCCACAACGTCAGCCGTCGCCTTTTTGAGCTTCAAGGTCTTCAACTTCCTCAAATCATTCCATCTGCTGTCTCGGTTCCGGCCTACCAGCCTGTCTCGCTTGGTGGAGCGTACGATCATGCCGATCCTATTCAAGCTTACAGCTTGCCTCCTATGGGCAATGCAAAGACTCGTGAAGACTTGACCTCGATTGATCAAATTCTTGAGCAGATGCAAGCCACCATCTATGAAAACGACAACCACTTGGCTCAGAATGGTGTTGCACAACCTGGTGCGAGCTATGTGGCTTACAGAACAAGCAATAGCCCACCCAGCTCTCATATGCCATCTGCCGCTTCTCACAGCACCCCTTCATCCATGCTTCAACATCATCACCAGGGCAGCATTGCCAGCGCGACTGATGCAAGCACTCCAGGACTTACTCCACCATCTTCTGCTCAAAGCTACACCTCCGGTCAAAGCCCTCTACAGGGTCATGCTGCACCATCCACCAGCGCCATGTACCCTACTTTGCCATCCAGTGCCAGTGATATTGCTTATGCTGCTGCCAATGCTGCAACTCTCAGTGGGATGTATGACAGCGAAGATCACCGTCGGCGTTACAGCGGTGGCATGCTGCAACGCGCTGCTCCTGCACCTGGCAAAGATGACATGGATATCGCTAGTGATGGATCTGTCACCCCCCCTGCCTCTGCTATGAATAAACAAGCCAAGGGCAAGGGTAAAGCTTCGCCAGAAGAAAGTGTCATTGACCCAGCACTCAGCGCTGATGCCAGTACCCCCAAGAGCGACTCCAAGGAAGCCGATCATGAACAAGTTTGGGTCCAGAACATGCGACTCATCGAATGGATGCGGGAATTTATCAAGAAGAGACTCGAACGTGGAGATTTCGGAGATGTGGAAGGCAATGAGTCTGACGTCAAAGACGAGGGCAATGTTGACACTGATATGTCAGGCACTGACGACCACAAGGACAAGTCTGATCAGGAACAACTTTACCCTGTTCTTCGACACGTCGAGGAGAGTGTATGATTGGCCAGTCATGATTTCAATACAGTGTGATATGAAGCAGGCGATGACTATCGAATGACCGAAAGAGCATGGGCAGATTCCTATGACGACCTTCAGCTGGATGAGATTGAGAATCAGCCCCATGCCCCAAAAGCTCTTTCATATGATTTGTGGGAGTTTCTTAGGCGTTAGATCACGCACTGGGCGGGAATGTTTCAACGTGTAAATTGCTTACTGGGTTGTGAACTAGAGCAGTCACATCATCCCAGGGACGGGCAGTGCAGATTAACTGCTGCTGCTCAGAGCATAACTCAAATTCATTTTCAGATAACATCTGCATGCAATGACGCAGAAGAATATCAACCATACCTCAAAGTTTCACCAAGGCTGATGATGAGCTTCAATAATACGTGGCGCTTGACCCTCTTCATGCAATGATCAACCAAGTCATGTCCCCACAGTGTTACAACCTCAATGTACCTAGATAATATGCGAATATGATGCGGAAGGAGACAACTGGTAGGCCGAGTTGCTCATGCTAGGACAGGGAAGAATAGGGACGATGTTCTCGAAGCCCGATGGAAGGTTTTGGATAAATGCAACCAAACTCGAGTGGGATAGGCAGACCCAATAGCCAAGCGGGAAAAGCTTTCGCCGGAATACGAACCAGCTTCTAGAACTCTTCTCTCTGACGTCCCGAAATCCAAGTTCCAGCACCACTGCAACTTCAACAAGACGTCTTCTCCCGGTATCACACGAGGTTACTTAGGTACTCTTCACCGTACCTTGACCTCACTGAACAAGGCCTATTGACGGTCCTTTATTTAATAGATGGGCTGTCGGCCCACTGTTGAGTGCCTAGGCGGAGAAGGTCAAGCGGGTGTCAAGCGCGCTCCTGTACCTTACACTATGTGATTTGGGTTCCAGTGTGTCATATGGCAGGACTGCTGGCTGCTTCTGGTAAGTTGTCCTTACCCTGACTTTTACTCAGGCTTGCTGGGCGCGGTCTCAATCATCAATCAATGTCTTTGCAAAGTGTTTTGAAATATATTCAAAAGCTTTGTGATGTCAACGGCGGGCACCATCAACGCAACATGCTCCAGATGCTGGAATTGACCATGCATTCCCCTTTGTTGATTTCGCATGTTGACCGCTTTCATGTTCAGAGGTAAATGTGGTTGCATGTGAGTCTTGTAGGACCAAGAAATGCAGAGTAAGGAACACCTCAAAGTCATCGGTATCGTTATAAACCTGGGACTGACGCATGACTCTACACAGTGTGATCGCAAACTCCCAATATGCACACAATGTATCGGGGCTGGCATGCGATGCAACTACCCGGAGAGTAATAAAAGGTATGACAATGATGACAAACCAATGTATAGACTCTGGTGTTGACCGCTGTTACTATCAGAGGGTTTCCCCCAGGATACATCGCGGCTCTGGAGAAACGATTGCTAGAAACAGAGCTAGCACTATTCGACACTTTACACACGCTCTCCTTCCTTCAACCGACCCCCTTCAACGACAGAGGAGGCGACTTGAATACCGGACAGGAGCAACCTCACAATCTTGACACTCGACGAGTCCTTGCGAAACAAAGTATCACTCAGACCAAAGCCGAGAAAGTTGCCGAATGGGAAAGACTCCCAATAGGAACATCAACCCAGCGGTTGGAATGGGTCCAGGATCGAATGTCTTTGGTCGGCTTACATACAGAATCTTTCCCAGAACAGTCAGGCTCCAGAAGACAGCCGCAATTCCACCGATCAATGAGCAGTGGTGATCTGGTTCAACTTCAACAACCAACTTTCCTGCAGTCTGGGTTTATGCATAACCAAGACACGGTATCATATCTATCTCCCGGCGGAACCAGCGATGGAAGCATGACGCGCGACGAAAATACCATGATGCCACCACCCTCTCGGCCCGCCATGCCGATTTCTAGCACATCATTCCCGAGCACCGTAGACGGCTCTTCATCAGCTACATTTCCATCCTACCAAACCCAGACCCTGCCACCAGAACAGTGGAGAAATTCTCCCACAATGGTCGGGAACCCAAATCAGTCCTCTTGGCTGCGCTTGACCGATCAAAATCATCCTTCAATGTCCTCCATGAATGTGGATGGAAGCATCAATGAATCTTTTGGAAGTGATCAAAGTTCTGGTGGGAGTCGGGCACAGCAAGTGTCGTCGACCCAATGGCGGCGTTTTTTCTGAATCATATAGCAGAACTATGTCAGTGAAACACTGAACAAATATTCTGCCAATATATTTTACCTTTGTAGAGCTGAGACTCGAGCTCTTGCTCCAAAGACGTATCTGGTTAACTTTAGCTGTTGTGCACATATAAGATATACACATTCGATTTCCATGTTGCGTTATCATCTGAGTGTCTAGCTTCTTTGCCACGTGAAACCTCGATACTTCATGTCGTCGGAGGACAGTGAGATCTGCTGTACCCGGTCGAAACGAGGCAGGCTTTGCCTCAAATGTGACAGCCAGGAAGTAAAAGGATGCAGGTCGCTCGCTAACAAGATGGTTCGATAGGTGGGTAACTACTTAGGTAGCTAACGACCCATCTAAAATAGTTATGCTTCCCCCACATTCGTTCCAGAAGGCCAGACTCAGCGCAATGCTGTCGTTGAATAGGCACTTTCGTTGGGTGAAAAGGCAGAAAGAGGGGCCGAGGGCACCCAAGGTGGTTGACCCGAGGATTTTCGGGCCTGCTCACTAATTTAGGTGCTTACCTAGATACCTATGCCAAAATTCGTGGAGCACCAAGGTAGCCACTCGTAAGCTTGCGCGGCCCTGCCGCCCGCAGTGAATAAAGACTACGCCAAAACTAGCACCTATTGTTGATGGCAACCTTGGAAGTTACTGACTTGTATTACAGTCTCATAGATAATCTCTAGCTGAGGAAAAGTGCAAGGCCCCGCCGCCAGAATAGATGTGGTAAAAAGCTCAACTGAAAGCTGCAGTTGGGCATTCCACGAATTCTGACCACCGCTGAGTGCTAGCAGATAGTACATTGAACTAAGAAACCATAACTAGCAAAAGGAAGCATGATATCCGTACTTTGCGGGGTGTGGGCAGGGGCTAGGCTCTCGGCAGACCCTCCTGGAGCTCCGGTCGTCGTCGATGCACACGTCCTCATTTCGTTCTGTTGAGATAGAATAACCACTTACAATATTGATAATTCCATATACGTGTCGACATACACTATGCAATCATATCGGAACACTTCCTCGCCACGGGATAATATTGGGCAGGAGAATGGCGAAGAGCGTCCAGCAAAAAGACAAAAGGAATCCCACGGCCAGGATCCAGCACGACAACAAGAAGTCGGCCTGATGCGCAATGGAGGCTCCGTGACTTCAGCAAGCTTCGTCGGAAGTGCCAGCGGGATCCATTTCATTCGCTCCGTTTACAGCGCGATGGTCGGAAGGACGCCAAATACCCATGGCGAAACCCCAGAAAGTAATCTTGTCCCTGGAGAGGATGATCGGCTCGAGACTGGTAACGGCGTCGCGATATCGCGACAAATCTGGCAGCCGCATGAAGTTAACCTCGAAGATCATCATCCTGGTATTGTGCCTTTCACTTTTGATGAATTGCTCGATTGGTCGGCGAGCTATTTCGATATCTGGCATCCCGCATATCCATTCCTCCACGCGCCGTCAGTACTTGAAAGCTTTGAGAAATTCGCGCAGAATGGTGTCCCCCTGGAAAACACTTTTGAAGTGATCATCATGAAAACCATCATCTCAATCAGCTTATGCGACCGGCGGCAACGGAACCATCCCACCCAGAGACCCGTACCTAAATGTCTTGTCTTCACGACGTTTGACGAGGCACTTGAAAGTGTACAGCCCGCCCTGACCAAAGCGGCGACAATTCAAGCGCTGCAATCCGTGGTTTGCATTCAACTGCTCGAAGTGTCCATGCTGCGACTCAATGCTGCATCTAGGCTTGGCGGACTCGTGATAAGGCTCGCATTTCAGATGGGTCTTCATCGATGTCCTGCAAGGTTCTCCTCCTTTACCATCGGCGAACAACAGCTACGTCAACGGCTTTTTGGTCGATATATTGCATCGATCGACACTTGTGCCAAGCGCTTGGATTACCACTCACCATTCGCGACGATGATGTTGACGTCTGCTACCCTGATGCAGAGCGACATGTTGTCTCGGCGAAGAATACTCAGTCATCAAAGGCCGATCCTCAGACCAACAATCCACCGGTAGATGGCAGGTTGAGGATATTGACTCTTTTATCGAAACACGCTCAGATCAAAGGCTTGATAATGGAACTGCGGAATAAGTCGGTTGCGCAGCGAGCCGATAGCCTAGAGAGAGCCATGACGATCAACGCTAAGCTCACCCAGTGGTGGAATAATGTGGAAGACTCGATTGAACAAGCCGATATGCAGGATATGCCGTTTACCACGCTGCACAAGGCGGTCTTCAAAGTGCTAAAGCATGAATCTATCATTGCCCTGAACCGACCGCTCCTGACCGCCTCCAAAAAGACTGCAAGTTATGCTGGTGCCTTACATACCTGCATTGCCGCATCGAAATCAATCATCACGGTTCTCCATTCTCTCGTCGCTCCAATCAATGAATCGACCACGACGTCACCAGGCCAAGGTTTGAAGCTGTTCCTCCCTATGTTCTGGCCATCATTCACCTGGGCTGTTTGGATGAGCGCATTTATCATGCTCTATGCGGCGATGGAAAATCAGGTGGAAACCCAAATCGCAGTGAGATACACCGATCGAAGCCTGCAGATTCTAGAGAAGCTTAGTGCTCGAGGAAGTATTTGGCCATCGGCTTGTGCGATTGCAGTTCGCGATATGCGATCCGCATTGCACCAGAACGGCGGTAGGAGTGGCGGTGGTAGCAGCACCGCCGGAGGGGTAACGGAACGACCGCGCCTGATGTCGACCATCTCGTCTGTCCACTCCGACAGTGGCATCTCAGCAGGACACCTCGAACACCCGGGACTCCGTGGCGACGAGGACAGTAGTGCCAACAACACGTACTACCAGAGCCATGGGCAAGACAACAGCCCCAGGACCGCGATCCCACAACCCAAATGGACGCCCCCGGCATATCCCACGAGCCAGCCACAGCCCCAGCGGACCCCGGCACAGCAACCCTCTCAAATGCCGCAGTACGGCACCCTCGACGCCAGCACGACAAGCACAAGGCAGAACCTACGATCGGGATTAGAAGAACTGCAGAATCAGCAACAGCAACAGCAACAACAACAGGTTTTCACACCGCCCGCCGGCTCAACCTCGAACGTCCAGTTTTGGAACGCCGGTTCCTCCTTTCCAGAGTCGCCTTTCTTTCCTGACACTGCAGGTGGCGGCAGCGGCGGCAGCGGCGGCGGCAGGCCGTGGCCGGATTTCACCACGATGGATCTGGGGCCGATCTCTGAGATGCCACCCTTCTCGGTCGATGGGCTCGATCCGTTGCAGGGCTTTGATATCCCTTTTTGGATGGGTCATGACAATACGGCGGCTTGGATGAATCATAATTGAGGGTGCATGGATGATAAGTCAGGAAGAGATTTTTGGATCTCATTTACTGGCGGCCTCACATGTGTGTTATTATTTCCTAAGAGCTTGATGCAAGTGGGAAAGGGAAGACAGCTGGACTCTTATACCCTCCTGCCCCGACGCTTCTGATGCCGAAAACGACATTGTCCTTACTCAGATCAATCTTGGCCGTGAGGACGTCCCCAACATCGATAGCATGCGTCCAAAACGCAGCAGTCGTGGGTCTCCAGACGATTTCATACCCAGTTACACCAATTCCACCTCCGATGGGTGGCTGCCAAACAAATTGACTGTTATTGTCCAGTGCGGTGGTGTTCACATACACATTCGTTGGTTGTCCAGGGGCATTGGCCAAACTCCAAAGTGCTGCGCCATTGACCTTGGCTACCCTCGAGATGAAATCAAAGTCGCAGAATTCCGGTAGATCGCCATACTGAACCCCATCCTTCACGACCACGTCCTGATGCTGGTGTTTGAAGTCCTCCATCGGCTCGGTGAAGCGTGCTGCTGCATATCCAGCTTCGAGGAATGGTCGATGGTCACCTCCGCGCAAGTATCGATCTAGTCGATAGATAAGGCTTACGTTCATCTCCGTGTACTCATTTGCGGCTACCTCATGGACGAATCTTCCCAGTTCTCGGGACGGGGAATCATTTTCACCTCCCACATTCAACCGTGTTGCTCGTTGAGTACTGTTCTCCGTAAGAGGTGGTCCTTGCGCGAACAACCGAATGGTATGAGGGTCCTTTGTCCCATCATCTCCCGTGGAGGAGCCAACAATATCATTGGTGAACATGCCCGCCACGTTGACGCTGTTGTTCTTGTATGTTTGCGCAAGGAATTGGGAGCCATACAAGCCCTGCTCCTCGCCTGCGACAGCAACGAAAACAATGGTCGCTTTTGGTCGGTGGGTTGCCATGATGCGAGCTAATTCAAGGGAGATTGAAACTCCAGATGCACTTTGCGTATCAAGTCAGCAAATCTTACTTCCTCATATATTTCCATCGACGCTTTCCAGAGAAACTCACTCGTCGTCCGCCCCAGGCGCATCGCACTCATAATCCATCGGATCCAAGCACCTGGTATCATAATGACCACTAACGACATAAATCCTCTCGGGATCCTCACTCCCCTTTAACGTGGCTACAACATCACTGAGGAGGATAGGAAAAGTGACCCGATCGCCATCAGGTTGCTGCACATATCCAGGCACCTCGACGGTCATGAATCCATCACTCGCCTCAGCATACTTGCGGAACTCACTGGCGATCCAATCCCGAGCCGCACCGATTCCACGATTGGGATCCGTCTGCGTGGAAAGTGTATGTCGCGTGCCAAAGGACACGAGTTTCAGGATCGTGGCTTCTATGTTTGCAGGCGATACTTGGGAGAGAATATCTTGTAGTTCCGAATCGGGCACTTGGGGTTCAATGAGTGACCCTATATCTGCCTGCGGCCATGAGGAAGCCGGGCAGAAGAGTAGTGGTGACTGGATGTCTTGTGGCGGATTGGGAGATTGTCGAAGGGAGAGTCGCTGTGCGGGTACCGCGAGGGCGGAAGTGATGCAGAGTGATAGCAAGAACAATGCAATCGATCTTGCCATGTTTGTTAGTAGCTTTTCGGCCTGGATAAGTAATAAGCAAGTAACAAGGAGGAGCAAGATATGATTAGAGATGCGCATATATCACAGCATAACCTATATATGTACCAAATATTTTCTAATCCCAAAGTGCCTGTGACGACCTCAACCATAACGACCTACCTATTTCGTCAGTCACCACAATCAACCAAGGCTATCCATGAACCATCGTCAACCCCTCACAGCCAATGTGAGTGACGGATAAACGTTGACTCCCCTAGGTCTGTAGTGTCGATCAAGATCTGCACGTTGTACCTACCTCACCTAGCGGATAGTCACTCTCATGCAGTGCGGAGTTCGTTGTCGGCAGTGGGCAAACGTCTTTTAGCATTAACTTGCAGGACAGGTGACAGTTTCACTGATTCCCGAGGTTCATAACTATTCTCTCCCCTGGAATCTGTGTGGGGTACTTACATACTCACGAGTTATCGGACGGAGTAGTCCAAGCGACATGAATGAAATCCCTTGCGAGCTGTAGGTAGCTAGGTATCCGGTATCGTCGCTGTCGTCATCGAGTCTTCGTGTAGCGAAGATCGCGCTGTGCAAACCAAGCCAGAAGAGGAAGCTGCGACGCCGTTTGTATGGATATTGGGGTTGGAGATATCATACCAAGACTTTGCCTGCATGGGTTGAGTACTACCTAGATATTTGGGATGATGTGGGATTTCCGGAGAAGTGGGATGCTGGCTTTTGCTATTCGCATCACGAACTTATTTGATGAAGAATGAAGAAGGGAATGTCTAGAGGACACTCGATGCCACCATATCAGTATATCGCCTTGTCCTTCCAAGGAAAGCCCGGGATACTGACCTGATTCTTAAAAAGAAACATATGAAGCCTGCTAGTTAGTTAACTACTGCGGACACTACATCTTAACTTGGACCTCCAGGATAAGGAGGATCACTATTGAGGGCTGAGGGAACACTCATGGTAATTTGTGAGAGTCCAAGGACCACGCGAAGGACTTCCCTTGGCCCCTTTAGACCCCGCGAATGGGCCATCACGTGTCTTTATAGGTGTCTACAGCCCCCCTTCAGCAATCGACTTAGGCCTAGGCGGGCCCCTATCCTCTTATGAAACCGATCCTCGCTAGCCAATTCTTACCGACCTTCGCACCGTTCCGTTGCAAAAGAATCCAGTTTGATCAAGGAAACAAGGATGATGAGCCGCAAACGACGACCTCTAGCCACAGTCCCGGCAAGGATATTGTGCAGGAGTAGACTAAGATCGAGTTTCGACGAATGGCGATTCCCCAAGGCCAAAGATCCAAGGATGAAACTCGAAACGTAACACCCTAGCGCCCGTATCACGCAGGGAGAACCTGCCAATACCAATACTACGAATGCGGATAGGACATCACTGACAACTTCAAAACTGGTCACAATGAGGAGATTGATAGAATGAAGTCTAGATGGAAGTCTATCCAGGATATCCGTGTCGATGGGATTCTTCCGATACCAAGGTTGTGCACCTCGTACTCATCTACATATATCTCGCTTATGCACTCGTGTCTTGTTCGTTTTCATTCCAACAGCTACTTCCATTCCTTTCCCATTCATTCCTTTGAAATTTTTCATACTCGCGCGCCGGTCGTGCAATTTGTCTATATCCCCGCATTTGCATATCACTCCTTTATCGATAACAAGAATATTCTAGCTGTTTGACAGTGCACCAGACCACCAGGCCAGGCCTCTCTCTATCTACACTCCTAAGATTACCGAGATTACTCACCAAACAACATCCATCTTATCCAACAATCGACAATGCGTTTCGCTCTGATCTACCTTCTCGCCGTCGTCCTCCCGGCCGTACCCGCTTTTGCTCAGCGAGGTGGCGGTGGAGGTCAGGGAGGTGAGGGTGGCCGTGGCGGTCGCCCTGGAAGGCCAAATGGAAACCCTCCAAACACCCTTGTCACCGTCGCCCGCCCGCCTCCCGCTGCTACTGCCGCTCCTGCTCCTGCTCCGGCTGCGGGTGGTAATGGCGGCAACACTGGCGGAGGCAACGCAGGCGCAGTCAGTGCTGCACTGATCCCTCCCTTCGGTGTGACAGCCGGAGTCAAATCAAGTGATGGAACCGCAAACTGCGTGGGCATTAACAACATCAACATTCCGTACGTTATATCAGACACGAAGTCGCAACGGCCAATCTAACATTCAGCAGTTGCGATTGCCCACCAAGCCTGAACACCTTTGTCGGTGCTGTCTCGGACTCAGTGGCTCGTGGGGCTGCTTTCCCAACAGGTGAGATTCCCGCAAGTGTACTAAATTGATCTTGAGCCCCCTGGCTAACAATTGCGCGCAGGAAACTCGGTGGCAGATCAGCTCACACGTCTTCAAACATGTATCGTGACTCTTCAGAACTTCAAGGGTGGACCCGGCAGCGGTGTTGGATGTCCAGCAGTCAGCACGACTTGGAAGGCGCTCCAGGCACAGCTGCAGGGCCAGGCCTGATGCGCGAAAAGCGATCAGGAAGGATCCTGCTTTCTTCCATATTCCAGGCACTTGCCGATCTTCTTTAGGGGAACGAACGAATTTGTTGGTATAGAGCTAGGTTGAAACACCTGGAAGCCCCTTGGGTGGTGTTCATCGAGCAATACTTACCAAGCCTTGGTTGACGATTTTCACGATGGTTCAGGAACTCAGGAGTAAATGGTGGGATAGGGATACCCAGGTACACGGATGGTAAAAAGGGGTGGTCAGATATCACAGCAATCGGGAAGCGATCTACGTAGCTGATAAGGTGTTCAAGCGCCGTGTTTTTGAAACATGATTGTTTCATGAGGTTGCCGTTCGATCTGACTCCCCTTGTTCTAGACTCAAGGTGGGCTAGCGTCTGAGATCTCGCCATACCGCGGTTTATCCTTTCGAACCGTTGTCGGATTCTCCTTACCTTCTGTGTCGACTCACCTTCAACTATAGATCGTTAATTCGAGGCTGGTTTGCAAACTTGCCATACGCTCAATGATGGAAGTAATTTCTAAGGTCCTACGAGTCGTACGTTCTACGTCGATAAGTACCTTTTGTAGCATATGAGCTGTTAGTCCTACGAAGTAAAGGTTACGATGGGCCAATGATAAAAAAACGAATTCCCGTCATGCGTCCGAACTGTCCATCGAGATATCCGATAAATCGTCCACAGATATATCTGACAACTCATCCACGTCACCTTCCATCTCAGAGCCATCAGGGATTCCGAACAACACATCAGTCAGATCCCAGAATCCAGGCTGACTCTGCATCTGCTGTTCCGCTCTTGACCATGTCCCTCTTACCTCATCCTGTAACCCAGTTGTTCGTGGTGGTCTGAGCGTTCTGAGCCATTCGAGGACTGTCAGCCCGTCACCATTTACTATGGAAGACGGACGTAGCTCCTAACCAGGTCGTGGTACTTTCAGGAATTTATGGGCGAAGCAGCCTCTTCCCAGCAGTGCAGGTTTCCACGACCCATTGAAGCAGTCGGTGCCAAGGTCAACATCTGCGCAGGAGCTACAGACATAGCGATATCCCCCTGTGGGGGTTTCAGGCCCACCCACAGCCGTTGCAGAAGGGGTGGTGGTGGTGTGCCAATCGAGGACGCAGAGAATGGGCCACGTGTTGCGCAAAGACGGTCCTCGCGTTCGCCTTTGTCTCCGATGAACTGGAGAATTCCCCACCAAAGAGGGTTTTGCCCACGATTAATGGAGAACATAGTGCATGACCTTTGGCCGATGTGCGCCCTATCGAGCGCGAACATATCGCCTCTTCACCGACACGAGGTCGAGGATCGCGAGCTCCTCACCACCGAGTATCGGAAATTGCGCCTCGTTTGGATATCCGGGCGTATCTTTATCAAGCTGCTGGCTATTTATCTGCTCCCATACTCGTTCTGGGAGAAGCATCTCATGAGCGATACTTCGCCGCTTGGCGACAAGAGCGAGCGCATCAGAGTTTCTGCGTTAGGATATCTTCGGACGTTTATCTTTCTCGTAAAGCACGAGTCGGATTTCAGGATAGCACAGGATGAAAAGTTGTGTTTAATACCCACGGCGGTCACCTGGGTGCAATTCTGCGACTTTTCAGCGACATTTGGGAATATTGATGATTTTAATGTCTCAGGGCGATATCGCTATGGAGAACTTCGTCTCACGCGTCTGAATATCTACGTCAAGCTATTCCTCAAGGGCTTTCATTCCCATCGAGTACACAGACAATATGGCGCCTGGATCGCTCGTCTTTACGGGTCCCTCTTGTTCATTTTTGGAATTTTTTCGGTCATCTTCAGTGCGATGCAGGTTGCGCTGTCGACAGAGCAGGTTTCCCCGCGGCACTGGACCTCATTGTGGGACGCCTGCAGATGGTTCAGCATCGTCACTTTGATTCTACTGGGCTTTCTGATATTGAGCTTGATTTCGATGCTCGCAGGCAGGTTTGTCAAGGAGTGGAGATATGCTTTGAGGGATAGGTACCGTAGTCGCAAACGGGAAAGGGTCATTGAGCGGGGTAAAGGAAGTAGGAACTTTGCTTGAGATGGCTAGATTACTCATGCTTTGTATTTGGATCTTGCAAATACCCTCGACGGGTGGGCGAGGGCCTCGATCATGATGGAAGACGTTCGGAGCGCAGCCTCACTATCCCCGGAGTCGTGGCCCTGTCACCGCCTTCGCTGCGTTATCTGCCGAATTCCCGAGCGGCCCCAGCCGCTCAGGAACCGAGGCGAGCCGAAGCTAGTGTTATTGGTGGCGAGAACGATGCTTCCATGCTACCGCTGTGTAAAAACGTAGCAAGGACTACTACATAAGTGCCGAATGAGGTTCATAATACCTCGGGCTCGACGGGGGAGATGACCGCAAATCCTACAATCTCAAATCCGCGAATTGCGTCCAATAATCTGGTTCAAATGCTGTCATCCACTTCTGATACTCCTCGCCGGCATTGACCCAACCTTTGATGCCTCCTTTCAAAATCACGCTTTGAATCATGAAACCATCATCGCTCTCAGAACCTGCCTTCCTCTGGTCCTCAATGAAGTCGTTGAACCAAGCTGCCGTCCTTGTGCCTCGACCACGAGACGTTCCGCAGTAAAAGATTACCAATGGAATTTTCCCGCTCTGAAGCAAATTGTAGATACTTGGTATGCTGTAGTAGAGTGTTTGTGCCGGTAAGTTTGTTGAGTGTGTGATTGTGCCTCCCTGTGTGAGCAATGTCAGTGGACACAACTAAACTCTCCAGGGACTTGTCTCGCTACGAGAGCTAGATGAACGCAAATCCTGGGGATGGAAGTGTCGATCCGGTACCACTTTAACCTACTCACCTCATGGTCTGTTCTTCTTACATCCACGAGTAGAAAGTCTTGGCCTCCCTTCTCACCAGACTCAAATCTTGCGAGTAGCTCGTCACGTGTGATCGCGCCTGGCTCTTTGGTTCGTGGTGTAGGGAATTTCGCCTGCCATGGAGTATCCTCTTGGCCAGCGTCCAGAACAGACATGATGAGTTTGAAAGGTGAAGATATGGGTGGTCACAAACTCGTGGACGTGGAATAGACCGATAAGATCAAACCTTTTATTGCTTGACGGCGACGCCGACGAACCTGAGATATATATATGCACCAGAAACGGTAATTTTGAAGATTCGATTTTCTGCCAGATGTCACGGGGAAAATATGATTGGTCAAGACTCATCACGACTTCTCCTACCTCGCACTGTGCATGCTCTAACTTTTTTGATCTCGGAAACATCGGATGGAAGCGAGATGACCAGATTGTCCAATGACACGTGCTTGCGCCGCCGGTGACCATTTCCTTTGGGGTAGGGCCAAGAAAGTTTTCGAGAAGTTTGTTGCAGCAGAGTGGCGGATTTGGGAGACTCTATCTTCGACCTCAATTGCTGGACTTACGTTATCCCAATAGTTCTCATGCTTTGAGTTAATGCATGAACGCCCACGAGCTGAGGGCCTCAGAGATCAGTAGGACCGGTTCCGCAATGTGCCTACGTAAGTAATAGTGGTCGCTCAACGAATTTTCGTGGTGCCAGGTTGAAGGTGTGATGAGAATGCCAAGACGAATCCCGTGACAGGGCGTCAAAAATTTGGACGGATCGCGCGTTGAAGACGCGTCTGAGGAGGCAGGTACTTACCCACCTTGAGGAGATCGAAGCTGAGAGCAAAAGCTGTCGTGTCTACCCGAGTACGAGTGATGGTGAGCAGCTCAGAAACCTCGGCTATTTTGCGACGAACACTGCAGGATTGCGTTTGTGAGGATAGTATCTCGCAATTAGTATGACGACGAATCGAATAGCGACCACGCTACTCAACAGACGTTCAGAACTGCCTGAGATGGGCGGCCTGCCTGTCGAGAACTAGGTCTCCAGGTTCGTGCTTGACGGCCCTGGTGATACTTGCTCAGGTTTCTCAACCTTTATTGGGGGGCCGAAGAGAAATCTAAAGAGGTGTTTTCGGAAAATATCTGCTGATGATTTGCAACATCGTGTGCCTACACTGACCTCAACATCATGCCACTTTGAGGGTGAAGGGCAGAAATCAGGGTGATGGATTCCGCAATGCCCGTTATCAAGACTTGAAGCCAACGCGACATCAGAACGCCTTGATTGAAATTCCCCCTGAAGCCATTCAATTTCTTAGAATCCCCGCACTAAACCATAAAGGGCACTAGTGCACTTCTATTCGCGGCGCACGTCTTGCTCACCCAACTTTGAACCTGTCAACTCGTCTCCTTATCAATCATCTCCATTTCATTTCATTCCTCGACTTTTTCTCAGCTTCGTCAAGTACATCTAAATTCTCTTCTTGCCTTCTCCAAAGTTGTTGTTGTACCTCGTGAAACCGACAGGCGCCGTGGAGGTCCAGCCCAACATCCCATCTCTCGTTCTCAGGCCGTTATTTCCAGGATCTAGACACTTGGCGTCCAAGGAATCCTAGCGCCCCTTTTGCTTCCTGGGGTGGACTCGACAAATTGAATATATCTTTCTCTTAATTGGCCCAAACGCAGGCATCATCGCCTTCTTTACTCCACGATATCAAGGACTTCGCGATCAAAATGCATTTGTCACTGTCGACTTCAGCGCTTCTCTTCGTCTCTCTGTATTCAACATTAATTTCGGCGTACCGACCAGTTCAATTTGTCAAACACACTGGCCAAAGTGGACGCGCCGACCAGGCATTCTCCTTGGTCAACTATTACAATGAAACGACACAACAATCCGATCTCTATGTCCGTATGTGGATGTTCCGATATAAGTCGTCAGCAAATGGCTGGGCGTCGCTCGCGTTTGGTCCGAGAATGATTGGCTCGTTCATGTTCATCATCTACGGCGATCCCAGTAGTACCGATGATATGGGTTTCACGATTAGAACGGTCGATGGCCATCATCCACCGCGACCACTGGATGAGTTCAAGGAATTCTACGATGGCCCGCGCCCAGACGTCGAGTTGCTCTCGTCTCGCTTTCAACCCTACACTGGCGAATACTACTCAGAACAATACAAAATGAAACCCTCGCATATTGGCGAAGCGAAATTCATTGTTCACGGTTATGAGAAATGGAAGAAGACGGAACTCGAAATCACGAATTCCACCACCAAGCAAGCCATGATCTGGTCGAGCAACTTCAAGCAGGACTTTCAGGGTGATTTCTCGTTTGCAAGGCACGTCGACATGCATGCCTTTGGTCTAGGCTTCGGTTTCCTGTGGGCCGACTTCAAAAACGCCGTAAGCCCATATCCATTTTTCGAGGATATCAACGATCTCAATGACCATACTGGCGTCAACGAGATTGCTGATCCCAGCCCGCCAACGGCCGAGGAGTTGAAGAACGGAGAGGCCATCATCGCTAAACAAGCTGCTATCTTCGCTGCCGGTGGAGCCGCCCCAGACACTGACTCCTCAAACGACACACCAGCAACACCTGATGAAGCTGTGCCAGACACCGGATCCTCAAATGACACGCCCGCAGCCGATGATGGAACAGAGGTTGAGGAGCCCGTGAAATCCCCCAAGCAATGGAATATCCGCTCCCTCATGTGGTAAGTCACTACATATCCCCAATCCTCCTTCGAAACACACAAGAAACTAACCTTCCTTCACAGGCATCTCCACGGCGGACTCATGGTCCTCTCCTTCCTGGTTCTCTACCCACTCGGAGTGTACCTGCTCCGCTCACCGCGGCCTACAGCCTTCAACCTGCACTGGACGGTGAACTCACTCAGCAGCGTCTCCGTGAGCATCGCAGCGATGATCGGCTTCGTCAACTCGCGCTCCATCTCCATCACGCATCAATACCTCGGCATCCTCCTGGTGTGTGCCCTCGCCGTGCAGACCGTCCTCGGCTGGCGCCACCACATCATCTACCTGCAGGTGCAGCGCCGCACGTGGATGAGCAATGTGCACCTCTGGCTCGGCCGCGTCGTGCTCCCGCTCGGCATGCTCAACATCATCTCGGGCCTGCTGCTGCGCCAGTACGGCTGGCTGACCATCTCGCTGACCATTGCCGTCGCGGCCATCGAGATGCTCATGCTGGTCTTCATCATTGCGCGCGCAAGGACCCACCGGCCCGGTGGCACGCAGAAGGGCCCGTCGGCCCCGACCGCCGACGAGGCCGAGGAGTATTTCCAGCTGACGGGCGCGGATGACGACGACGACGATCTCAGTGATGACGATGTGGGAGGCAGTCAAGGCGGCGCCGCGAAGAAGACCCAGGATCGTGCCGACCAGCAGAAGCGCCTGGCCCGTCTGGATAAGGTGTGAAGCCGCACGTATGCTCTGTGCTGGGCCCACCGCAGAGGTTTTTTCTTTTCGCGCGGTGTAGAAGAAGCCCTTCTGTATTTTCTTTGAGACACGCGTTTTCTACTGTGGATAAGGTATCTGGTGTGTCGAGAGCCTGGAAAATTATCTCGTATTCCCGTTCGATAAAACATGTCTTCCTTATTTAGTATTAGATTTCCCACCCATGTATGAACTCATTATGACCAATTATTAGTTTATCGCTTAGGAATGGAGACGGGGGATTACGTCTAACTGGGAACATGAGTAAAGATATACGTTTCACTTGGTCATTCTTCGCTATCTCGTATGTTGAAGGTGGCAGTGTCAAAGAAAAGTAGTTCGAGTGCTTCACGGGCAGAAAGGACGGAAGCCATCTCTTCCTCAACAGACTAGATTCTGTTATAATCCCCCAACGATTGCTTTCCAGCCCGCAGCAATATCTCCCAAAAAGTAGGTGGTCCAAACCGTAGATCCTGCAAGTAAGAGGCCACTTAGCTTTTCCAACCAGGTATGAAACCATATCGCCGTCATCATCAACATCCACAGGTCAAGAGCGACAACCGTATAGACGAAATACCTTGACCACACACGGACTTTTGCAACGGGTCCCGATTCCCATCCTCCCACCGCCTTCCGTTCTTCTTCGGTTAAATCTTGTGCCAACCTTGCTGCTGCCTTTGGCGAAACCGAGGGATGTGAAGAATGGCGATCGGCAATGTAGAGCTCATAGAGTAGGAACGCAGAGGATAGAACGAGCATGAAAACATGGCCTGAAATGTCATACCCTCCTTTCCAAACACCACCTGCAGATTTGCATGCTGGTCCAGATGTTGCCATCTTGATCTCGAGCGTCTCTTTTAACCCAGCCTCATTGTAGAATTGAGGTTCGCAGTGGCCTCCAGTAATCTGGAAGCTGCGATCGATCAGGGCGGGTCCAAAGAACCACTGGGTGGTCAGATACCACGATAAAGTAATGATAGCATAACGCAAAGTCGCTTGAACATAGTGTTTTTGCGTGTTCGAGGAAGGTGGGCGAGTGGTGAATTGGAGTAAGCTGAATGCCAGAGTTGTCCAGAACCATCCGATCTTCACAAAATAAAGATTGAAGATATTCTTCTTTCCCGAGAAATAATTGGTTGATGGAGTGTTCAGCTCGGAGGCAAGGCCTGGTGCAAGGGGCGCGGCAGGCGGAGGAAATGCCAGAGGAGAGATGAGAGAGTATAGTGAGCCGAGACCGAGAATGACGGGGTAAAGCAAGAGTAGATATGGCGACGGTCTCCTTTGGTTCATATTGGTATCTGAGGACTTCAACAACTCAGGGTGTGAGCTCTGCGTTGCTGAGATGGGCGACGATTGAGGCGTGGATTTTCCACTTCGAAAAGTCGCGGGCATTGTTTATGAGGGAGAGAAGCGGACCGAGGGTGTGTTAGCGCAAGCAGAGCACTAAACGGTGCTGTACCGCCAGGCTGAATTATTTAGAAAGATGAAGATGGAAGACGAAGGAAAAGAACACACTGGCAGTACGAGAGTGTGAGTTGCAAGTTGCCGCACTTTCGCATTTCGACATCTGAGGTGACGTCATCTTTTATTCCCACCGGGCTGTTGTTGCGGAAGGCACAAGCGTTAGGGTGCTGTGGCTCGCTCCCTCCTTCATTGACCTCGAGGGTTCGTTAGCCATGCGTTTTTCTTTTTCATGTCTACCGTACCTAGGTCTGCAGCGAACTCCTGGGTTGCTATATTTTCTACCCCAGGACAACATCGCACTGGTACTCGCCTACTTTGCGCAGCGCGAGACTGTTTCACTACCAAAATGTACCACAAATGATGTGTGGCATCCCCGCAGCTCAGGGTTCTGATGCGTATCCATGAAGGTCCTTAAAGTATTCTTGATCATGACAGTCCTATGTTAAAATCTGGCATCGCTCTCCTTCCAAGGTTCTCGACATGTTGTTGCCTTGGCTGACGGGCAAATTAATGGCACTGAGACCAAAATGATAATCCCCACGCCACCTGCTCTGAGAATCTTAGCCCAGGTTCATATAGAGCTGTTGGATAATGAGCAACGCTTCAAGACTCGAGATGCCTGAATGTTTGCTCATGTTCAGTCCAGATCCTCAGCACAAGGGCTTCCAGTTGTTCGTTGGCCGAAAATGGTGCGAAAAGACACCCCGAATTGCGGGGTGGCGGGATTGTGGGACAATTTAGTCTACGAGCACTGGTGCTGGTGTCGAGCATTGAATAGACTCTCTGTTGGGTATTGCTCATCTTTTACTGATCGGAGGAACCTGCAACATGTTATTGTGGCCAGCTGTAGAACTTTGTTCTGTGTATATATGGTCGTGCTTTCGCCGATTGAACGGCAGAACGCCCTGTAGCAGTGCACCAAGTTCTATTCACTGAGCTCTTCATCCATTCACCATGGCCAACGAAGACGTCAAAGTCGACTCACCGAGCATGCATCTAGAGGAGATCGATCATAAGAAGGATGGCATGAACCTACCTGCGGTAGCTAGCGAGCGAATCAAAACCACCCTCTTCCAGGTCGTCTTCTCGATGTTCGTTGGTATCTCAGGGTGGATGTACAACTTTGATCTAGTAAGTATCCTCTGCTCATTCAAAGTAACTCCTTCCTCTGAAACTTTCATAGGGCTTCAGTGGCGTTGTTCTCCTCATGCAGCCATACAACCGGGCCTATGGTCACTGCGTTCCAATGCCCGACGGCAAGGGAGGCACTATTGAGCGATGTGCCCTCAGCGCAACTCAACAGTCACTCATATCACTGTCCATTATATTCATTGGTGTTGGGTCTGCAATCGGCGGGCACGTTGGTCACTATCTTGGCCGCCGCGGTACTATCCAAGTCGGCAGTCTGATCATCGCCGTTGGCTCCAGCACTATGCTCGCAACAGCAGGCAATTTCACCGCATATATGGCATGCAAGTGTATTCAGAGCGTTGGGCTTGGTCATCTCTTGGCTGCCGTACCCCCGTACGGTGTGGAGTGTGTGGCGCCAGGCAAGCGAGGAATGCTCATGGCCACGTTCAATGTTGGCCTTGGCTTAGGGAACATGGCCGCCGTCGCCGTCTGTTTAGCGTCCTCCAAGTACACCACAAATTTATCCTGGCAGACCCCGATCATCTGTCAAGTTCCTGTGGCGGTGGTCCTTGGACTCGGCGTCCGATTTTTTCCAGAGTCACCTCGATGGCTGCTTGCCAATGGCAAGGAAGATGCGGCTAGACGATCGTTCGCCAGGTTCTACTCAAAAGACCCCTTATCGCCAGTGGTTACAGCACAACTACAGGAAACTATGCACTATCTAGAAGTGGAAAGGACCTTGAATGCAAAGACCACCTGGCTCGACATCTTCCGAGGCACGGATCTTAGGCGCACCCTGACTAGTACCTTGGTTGGTACTGGTGTTGCCCTAACCGGTTCCAAATTTCTTTCGACCTATGCCGCGATATTTCTGGCCGGTGTAGGTATTCGCAACCCGTACCATATCACGTTGAGTTTTGCTGGCTGTGCCTGTTTTGGAGGCTTAATCAGCCCTTTCACATTGGAATATCTTGGAAGACGACGCAACCTCCTCGTCGGATATGCCTGCATGGGCTCATGCATGTTCATCGTGGCAATCGCAGGTTCTGTACTGGGACAGACCAGCACCAAGACTCAACTTCTCTGCACTGCTTTCATTTGCTTCTGGGGTGTCAGCTACGGCGGCTTTGTTGGCACCTCGCTCACAGTTACCACGTCCGAAATGCATGCAGTTAAGCTTCGAGGTTACGGGCAGGCGTTTGTAATCACGGTCTACGAACTCTTGAGTTTTGGCTCTAGCTTTGCCACTCCTTACATGATAAGTGCTAGCTATGGAAACATGAGGATGAATGTGGGATATTTTTTTGGCGGTGAGACCTGAACCCTTCTCGAGAGAACACTTTTATAGAACCTGCAATACTGACTTTGAGAAGGGTTGACCACTATCATCTGGGTCTTGGTTTTCGTCTTTGTGCCAGAGACAGGACGATTGACTCTTGAGGAAATTGACGATGTTTTCAACTCACATACTAAGGCCTGGTCGACTTCACTCCGGAAGAACAAGGCGAAGCACAGAAATCGAGGTACTGAGTGAGGAAAACCTCGGGTCGTGAGGATAGTGGGTCGCCGTTCGGTTTTTGTAGGATCTCCTGAGCGATCAAGGAGAGATATGGAATAGTTGTATAGAGTTACAGTTTCGAACATTAGAGCATCAAGCCTGGCAACTTGACAGCGACTGCATGTTGTCCCAATTGTTACACGTATTCATTAACCACACCCTTTCATACCCGTCATCAGCACGTATTAACGCTAGTCGCCATTGAATCCAACTCGAGGCAAACTTTTGAATTGACTAAATTGAGCTATAGTCCCAGCTATTTCTAGTTCTAGGGTGTGGGACTAGTCGGACATCTATGCAATTGCTCCGAAACAAGTCAGCCCGCAGCCGAGCATTCAAAGTGAAGTATAAAAGCAAGTCCAGATATGAGATGGTCTTCAGGTTTTTATTCTGCCCAGTACTCAGCCTAAAGGTCAAATATGTCTACTGAAGATATTGTTCTCGTCCAGCAGACTATCTGCAGAGAACGAGAAGCTCGCGACAGGCAGTGGTGGGACGAAATGCGGTCTCTCTATGGGGCAGAATCCTGGGTTGATCTCTCATGGTATCAAGGATCGGGGGTAGATTTTGTCAATGAGTCTATGAAGCTCGCGAAAGGAGGCACCACGGCCAAACACCAACTTGGACCAGTCATCGTCCGTGTCAATAAAGCTGGAACTCGAGCTCTAGCGACTGTTAGTGCGAGCATAGAAACCCGCCTGACAATGCAGGATGGTGTGGAGGTTGATCTCGTCGCACAAACAAGACTGCTTTACAGAGCGATCAAGGGCATCGATGCTCTCTGGAAATTGGAACGATTGAATTGCATTTACGAATGTGACCGGATCATCCCAACCGTGCCTGGACAATCGATCAGGATGACTCTGGACGACCTGAGACCTTTCCGAAGTTCATACAAATATCTATCATGGTTCCTGGCCGCAAAGGGACTCGCTGTCAATCAAGGACTCCCAGGTGATGACAGACCAGAGCAGGTCGACAAGCTCTACTCAGATGGGTTTCATTGGTTGAAGAATGGGGAATAGACCGTCCAGGTTGTCGTATAGTGGATGTTGATGGACAGAGTAACTGACTGTGCGGGACGTGCTGTGGGTCATTCAGGAGGTGAGAGTTACCTCGGTCTAGACTGTTCTGCTGCACGGTCAGCTGGTGTCCTCAATGACCACAAGTTCTCAGATTCTTCTAGCAAAGAGAATTACTGACTTCCGCATCCACTTCTCGCTGTGTCTTTTCGGCCTAATTTTTGCCAACGAGCCGAGCTTTTTGATTTGCTTCCCCACGCCCTCCCCAACCTTCGCATCGCCCCGGACACCTTCGGGTGCAATGTATGTGGAGGAGGAGGGCCTTGTCAAATCTGGGGAGTGCACCTTGGCGAACACCGTCCCCCATGTTAATGCCGGCATCTCTTGGCTGGCCCGCCGCTGAACTTTCGCAGGACTTCACGTTCTTTCCCTTGTTCGAAAAATAGTCGTACTCTTGCCCAAGGCAGATTTCTCTTTTTGTGGAGAGACATATCCCAACTGTCAAATATTGAAGAGCTGATCTGAAGATTGACAAAACGCTCTGAATTAGTAACTCCACGATGCCTCGTGAGTGATGTGGCTTCCGAACGAGAGTAGACAGACATGATAAGTCAAACGAAGCAGACGGGACTTGCTTGCCACGCTTGTCGAAGTCGAAAGGTGCGATGCTCAAGGGACTTTCATGGGTGTCATAACTGCCGCAAATGTGGTGACACCTGCATCTATCCTCCCGCAGCGCTCAAGCCAGGCCCAAAGCGCGGCAGTGTCCACAGGAGACGGCGTCACGATCGGCTAGATCCTGCCGCAGAGTCGTCGTTGCTTCCAGGAACAGCTCAGATTGAGAACTCAGGAGACCGGCTTTTGTCGGCATCGACAACTTCTAACAGGCCCAGGGGTGTTAGCGAGGATGAGCAGGAGGCCTATTCTGAGCATATCCAGGAAGTAGCTGAGCTGTGTCATCCTTCAAATGAGTTCTCTTCTCCACAAAGACAAATATCTCGCCATGAAATGCCCGACCAACACGGGGACGTGCTATCTGCCGCATGTCGTGACCTTGGGATTTCTCGAGATTTTATGGAACAAATGTGAGCCAGATGCGAATTGAATCCTCCCGGCACTTCATACTTGCATGCTGACCGGGGCAGGATAGCAGTCTTCTTTCAGACCTTCACGACATTCAGTCTTTTCCGAGCGCCCTATTTCATCACTAAGCTGAATCAAATCGTCTCTGTGGTCCAAGTCAGAGCACTGCTTGCTGCAGTATTTGCTTTCGCTTGCAAAGGGTTGATTCGCTCCCAAACAGTCCAAAACGAACCTCGTCTCTCAACCACGGATTACGCGGAGTTGGCGATCAACTATGCCGAAGAGGCTCTGAATCAATGTGGAGATGAAGCTCCCCCTTTGTGTGTTCTTCAGGCTTTAATCTTGACAACGCACTGGTTAATCATTAAAGGCGTCCGTGGGAAAGCCTGGAGATATGTCGGCATATGTACACGCCTACTTTTTGAATTAGGAATACACGCAACTGATGCCAATGTTGAATTTGATGGCGAGTATCTTGCAGATCCTGAAAAATGGTGCCGAGATGAAGAAGGCCGCCGCGCATACTGGGCTGTATGGGAAATGGATCAATATGCTAGCCACATCAAACGTCTCCCAATTACCTCAGATTGGACTCGAGATGGTGTTCACCTACCTGCTGAAGATGAAAAATGGCTCGCTGGTCGCCCCCAGAGAAGTTGTGCTTTAGCACGAGATTTGATCGATCGCTGCAAGAATTTGCAAGCCACAGGGAGCAAAAGTACACGCGCTTGGTATATCGTGATCGCTTCTCTAAATGCCGTGGCGCACGATATCGTTTATTCTCGAAATCATGCGCGTCGTCTAGCAAGGGAACAAGTTCGCGTGATCGCACATCAGTGGCCAGAGCTGTTCAATATCATCCAGCTTAGCATGATAGTCCTCCCGGAGGAACTCCAGTTTCATGGCCAACACCTTGATTTTGGCACGCAGACCATGGGGCTTCCACCAGTTGCTGCTACGCTACACCGCCATAGTGCCATCTACGAGATAGCCTTGATGCCTGAAGTATCTAAGGTCATTGCTCTCAGGCCTTACGTTTTCGATATATATATGAGGAAGTTACTTCAAAGAGCGCAGGGAACCGGAGATACCTTCCAGGCCGCGAATGGTCTGCCAGACGAAATGACTCGAAAAGCGGAGCAGTGTTTCCAATCGGCGGACCGCATCTTGAACCTCATCGTGAGTTGTAATGAGAGTCACTATCGATATGTCAATCCCTATGTCACGCAAGTTTCCTGGTTAGGCGCCACAGTCCAGTTGCTACAACTCCAGTTAACCGGAGATGAGTCTAAGAAAAAGGTAATCAGATCAAAGTTCGAGATCTTTAAAGCTACAAATGAGAAATTTATGCAGCACTGGAACATGTCACGGATACCCAAAGAGAACCTCGAAACATTAGAATCTCGGTTGAACCAATTCACAGCGGCTTCGCAACGTCTGATGCTACGGGAGACTATGATGGCGGATCACGCAAACGATCCTCCGCAACAGGCACGAAGTTCACCCTCTGCTCAATCCTACACTGAATCATCCATCAACGGGATTTCACAGTGCACCTCAACCTTCTCGAACGAAATTTCACAAACTCTCAATAGGTTCACCTCTAACAGTGTTGCCCTAAATGATGGAGGGCACCCTTATCTATCATTGCAAATGGAGACAAGGGAAGAACGGGGATCTGCTGCTTCCGGCTTCTTATTCACCCAACAGCCCCAACAAAGGGTACAGAGTGTGGAAGGGTCGGGCTTTGCTGATACTCCTCCATACTTGCGAGAGCCGCCTAAATCATCCTCAAATTCTCCCACATTTCCACAAAATATCAACATAAACCCCTTGTCTGAGAATCGCAACCAGATACCGCAACACCCAAGCCTCGATTCTGAGCCCATGGACTGGCTATCCATTTTTCCGGTCACGGAAATTGACGCAGATCTGACCGACTACCTGGAGATCTTCTTGGGCCATCATATGTCGGGTGGAAATCCATATTAGGTCAGGATTATTACCTTGAGATCAACTTGAATGAACCTGGAGGGAAAATCTTTTTAGGTCGCCGACGAACCTTCTATGTGAACAGGAGGCAGTTCAGATAAGCTTGCGCGTTGCACTGGGGAAAATTGGACAGGAAGTGATGGTTTCTCCCAGAAGACGTAGTTCTTGTTACTTTTTACCCAGTCAAGGTTATCGTCCATGAGCTTCATGTCAAATTTCCACAAGATCTTCGCCAGGACGATTCGGAGTTCTAGCATGGCGAGACTGTTAGACCAATTAGCTCTGGATAATTTGGACTGTGGGGGCATGCATACTGTCGACCGAGGCAAACTCGACTTCCAGTCAAGAAAGGCTGACTTGCAGCCTTGTCATCCTTACAATCTGGGTCGAGCCACCTTTCAGGGATGAATTCAAAGGCATTTCGAAAGTTACTTTCGATATGCCCAGCAACCCAAGGGTTTACGTTGACAATGGTACCTTTAGGGATAAAGTGCCCGTCCACGACTTCGCCGGGGCTAACTCGAGGTAGTCCCGCCGCGATCGCAGGATAGAGTCGAAGGCCTTCGTCGATAACAGCCTTCAGGTACGGCAGCTGCTCGGTAGCACGCCCTGAAATCTCGTCCAGGGTAGAAAATCTGGATCGGATCTCACTGATGAGCTTGTTGTAGACGCGCTGGTCTCTACAGAGGTAGTACGTAATGCCAGAAAGAGCCGTTGCTGTGGTCTCGCTTCCCGCAACTGTCAGCAGGCTCGCCTGTGTTTGAAGCTCCTCGAGCGCAGATCCTGTCCAGTCATCTCGTTGAGAGATCATGCGGTGCAAAAAGTCGACTCTCGCAGGCGGATTAGCCAATCTTCTATTGATTTGTGTCAGCCTACCATTGCGATGGCCCTCCCAGCTGCCGTCACCTACATAGCCAGCTTCTCGCTTCCATAGCGCGCCATCTTCGCACGAAGCTCATAAACCCGGCGCGGCAGTAGTTTTAGTCGCAGAGCAATCCTCAAAAGTGACCTCAGGAGTGGAAAGTACTCAAAGGAGCGTACAAAGTTAGTGTTCTTGATAAAGCCAAACAGGATCTCAATCCAATAGTGAGGCTTTCCTGGGTTCCCAGAGATGTTTCAGCAATGTCTCGAATACTGTTGCATCTTGCACTTACCAAACTCGACGCACCCGAAGGATTCTCCAAAGGCCAATTCCCCAATCACATCGAACGTCAAGTAATTATACCACTTAGTCATATCGGCAGGCTTGTCAGTGTATCGACTGGAGATCTGCTTGAGCATCATGTCGAGATAATGGTGGACGCGATCCTCTTGGCTTGCCAATGCACCGGCGGAAAAGCCATGGCTCAAGGCCTTTCGCATCGCTGCATGGCGGTCGGGGTCTGAGACAGAGACGATCTGGTGGGGATCCGATGGGAATGGTTCATACCAAGTTCCTTTGAGAAATTGTTTACGGCCCGCTTTGTGGCCGTGGATATCTTTCCAACTCGAGCTGGTGCAAAAGGAGAGTTGATTTGGCGCAATACGCACAACGGGTCCGTGTTTTTCGTGCAGCTCTTTCATGACCCACAAGTTGTCACCACTGACCCAATGCTTCATGGCGTAGAATGGCGCCACTCTCGCTTGCATGGGTCCGGGAAAGTTCGCTAGTGGATGGAGCCATAAATTGTACGCCAGGTATATCAGAATCACAAGAGCAGCCTGGGGTTTTTCAGATCAGAAGATTCGAGCTCATAGTGGAAAGTGGCTTACAACTGCGATGCACGTGAACACACTTCCAATTGTCCCAATCTCTCCATGATGAAACCGTTGGAGTTCAGTTGTTAAATGCTTCAAAGCGGAAGCCATAGGAAAAGGGTAGCTCTGAAGTAGGACCTGGTTAGACATGTTTGAGGAGCTGCTGCACGCCCAAAATAGAGAAATTGGCTTTGCGCTCGGTTTGGATATTCAATGGGCGAGATGAGATATCGTATAAAAATGCCTCTCGCGCTTGTGTGGGACGTGAGCAATATTGGGCCGCTAGACATGTGTTCGGGTAAACTCCCATTGGCTGCGGACGCACTACTCGCACGGATTCAACCCTTTATGGGGCATTATGGAGCTGCTTCTTGCACGGGAGGTCAACGAGTCGTGGTGTCCTGGTTTGCCACAAGCGGAGCGTAACAACGAGCATCTGTCGGCTCGTTCTCTCGGCCCATCAGAAACCGCTAATTATTGCGCCGAGACAAGATCACTTCACGGTGGAACTAATTCAGCTTGAGATACCCCTTTAGCGAGGAATAAGTCACCAAGGGTCGGTGCAATCCTGAGTTTGGTATTGCATAGGACTTATGCCTCAACCTTCATGAGAACAGGCCACAATCCAACATAACACAATGGCAGCTCCTTCAAATTTGAATTATACAGCCTTGCCGCCACGAGCGGAGGAGGTGGTGAAGGGGCAGATTTTCCTCTCTGATGGTGCAATTAGAGAGGAATTGGCCAGGTTCCGGCATATAAAACCTCGTACAGTCAACTCAGAGGGTGACACAGAGATCATTGAAGGCGTGACTTTCACACATCACTTCGTGCTAGGCCCGGGTGATGGTGAGGTCGTAGAGTGGCACTATGTGGAGGCAGGGCCCAAGGATGGCGAGATAGTTGTTTTTCTCCATGGCATTCCCGATTCCTGGTATCAATGGCATATGCAGATGTCCAGATTATCCAAAACTTACCGCTGCATTGCGCCCGACCTCAAAGGATATGGACAGTCCACCAAGAGTCCAGGAGATTATCGCCATGAAGGTGCCGCTGAGCAACTTTTCCAGATGCTGCTATTGATCGGGGCAGATCGCTTCAACATTGTCACACACGATAGGGGCACCTGCCAGGCGGATTTTATTGTGGCCAACCATGCCGACAACGTTCTTCGCTATGCCCGTGGCGAGCAGCATCTTTTTCATTTCAATCCACTGCTCGCCCCACAGGGTGAGATATTTATGAACGCAGCGTACAATGGCGCGCTGGACGACCCGGCCAGACTCATAATATGGGCCCACATGTCCCTGGATGTCCATCTAATGTCGGATTCAAAGCTGGAGAGATGTATCCAGGAGTTCTCGTACCCAGGCATCGCAAGGGCAGTGCCGCGTTATTTCAATTCATCGAGCTTCCGCGCCGAGTGGTTGCAACGCCGGGACCGCCTTCTCGCAGCGTGGAAATGTCCGGTCTTGCTTTTGCAGGGCTACCACAGCAAGACCCAGCCGCGGGAATTCTATCAAAACATCACCAAGGAGCATATCCCGAATGCCACGTCTGTTCAAGTCAAATTCCTTGATGGAGGTCATTTCTGGCCCCTTGAATGCGCAGCTGAAACCTCGGATGCCCTCGAACAGTTTTTCAAAAACTGATTTGACTACAAACCGGAATATTATGTTTGCGAAGTTGTTGCTGCGGAGATCATAATTCAGAGTCATCAATCTACATCGCGAAGAGTCGTAGACCAGAAAGACGGCTGACCCGAATACTCGGGCTCTAAGTCCTTCAAAAAGGGTATTACAGTCTAAATATCGAATACTAAAGTCTTTACCGTGGCGATCAAGTGACTCATGTCCCGGTGTGGGCTAACTCCTACTTTATTCCAAACAAAGATTGTACATATCGGATTCTTCTACGAACTTCACGTATCTTGAGAGGGTAATTCACCAAGAATACGAGCAGCGGCACAAGGTTCATCTGTAAAATCACTAGCCTAGGGATCCGTTCGGACCGTGCTCCAGGAAGGCTCAGGCCCAATATAAGTGAATGTGGTGAACTAAAAGCATCTCCTGTTCGAGACCTAGTGCGACTTTTGTCTCCATCTGAATTTTGCGATCATCCCAGATTGCATCCAGAACCAGGCCGCATGCAGCTTCCACTCTGGCTCCGGTGCAGCCCAGATTACATCGAAATCTCTCAGAATCTGTGGGAGGAACTTGCCCATCTCGAGAATAGAGATGTTCTTTCCAATGCAAGTTCGGCTTCCGTAGCCGAACTGTCTAGGTTAGTGGCTTACTTCTTAGAGCGGGAGACATATTCACGAGAAAGAACATACGGCAAGAAAACTTCGCTCCATCATTTTCAATCGTTCCGGTGAAGCATCGATCCATCGTTCGGGTCGGAATTGATCGGCATCTTTGCCGTAGACGACTTTGTCCATATGGATGACGGCGGCATTGACGCTGACGGTGGTCCCCTCTGGCAGCCATACTCCACAGAGAGTGGCACCCCCTCGTGGTACATATCGTTCCAGAGGAAATGCAACGCCGGGGTGCATTCGCATCGCTTCCTTCATTACAGCTTGCCTATCGGTAACGATTAGGCATGGTGGTACTGGGGAATCAGACGATGGCTGGACTCACAGATATGGCAAGCGCAAGCATTCATCATACGTCACGAATGACGATAACAGGCCTCGAGAGTCCGCACCGTCTATTTCCGCAACCAATGCTTCGTAGGCGCGAGGAGTTTTCATGAGGTAGTAGAAACAGGCGCGGAGAGAAATCGCGGTCGTATCGGAGCCAGCAAGGCTACAGAGTATCAGTCGGTCCAGGCAGAGTTTGGGACATGACCTACATATTGTTGGAGAGGTGATTGACCATGTCACGATAAGAGATCTGCCCACTTTGTGCATCTTTGGTTCTGAGCTGAGCTAGGAAATCTGTACGTTCCATCCCCTGTATCTTGGCCTGCCGATCGTACCTTTCGATTTCATCTTCGGTAATCTACAGAGTCAAACGAGTCTTCGGGGCCATGAGTCAAGGGATGCTTTACCTTGACAAACTGCACCAAAGGATCTGGCAGACGAATCCCCACCGCTTCGATGGTATTGAGCAGGCGTTTATTCCCGATCAACCACGGATGGAGACCCGGAAATTGGCCGATTACTTTCCCATACTGAAGGGCGGAAGAAAGTCGACCGATCATGTTATCAACGTCTGTGCGATTCTCCATAAAACCAAATCGACGTTGAAAGGTGACAGAAGCAATGACGTCGAAAGCATAGAACTGCAACCACATGCCTAGGTCGATTGGCTGATCCTGTAGCTCCTGCATTATATCCATGAATATTTTGGTACATTCGTTGATATAGATTTCGTAGTGCTTCATATTGGTCATGGAGAACAATTGGGCAACAGGTCTCTTGAGAGCCTTGTGGTATTCGGTGTCAGATGTTGCAAATAAGCTCTGCATCGGCCTGTCTTTATAATATGGAATAAAAACATTATAGAAGTGCGTCTTCGAGAAGTGAGCGTTTTTTCCACTTGCTGAGCATGGATGAAGGACTGACCTTTTTATAATCGGCCCCGATTCCATAGATTTGAGGTATGACGACCGGGTCCGAAATGGACACATGGTTCGGTCCAACTCGCACTATCGACCCGTATTCCTGATGAACTCTTCGGTACTCTAGAGGGGCTCTCCCAGTCAAGACAAGTGATAAGCGATACAACCCAGAAAACCTGGCGAAAAATGGTCCAGGAATCTGTCGTAGCTCCTTCTTGTAGCCTGTCTTGATGGAAAGGAGTGTGAACGAGAGGATGACGACAGCCACTCCCAGAGAAAGGATACCTCTTGAATCCATTGGGGAGATCAAAAGCGCCATGAGTCTCATAGAGTGAAGTGCGTAGTCGAAACAAGACCGCCTAAGAAGAAATATGTGTTCCACGAGAGTGCGGATATAACGAAGTCAGGCTGTCCTGAAAAAGGTCCCTCATCACCTCGGACCCCGTTGAAGACGACATGATGTAGGTGCGACATCTTCAAGGCGGACTCCTCCGCCGCTTCTCAAACGTACCTTTGGCGTAGAGGAAGTGAGACCAAAACTCTTGTGCTCGGAAGAACTTTTCGGTGCAATTCTTGCGGATGCGAACGCCTGTTCTGGTCCCACTGAGCAGCATCACGTGATCCATGGATTGTTGACTGTGATCAATACCTAGGTAACTTTTGCAGGAACACCCAAGGATCCAAGCCATGCAAGAACCATGCAAAATGGCATCTTCATCATACGTCTGTATTAAGGCCGAGGTTATTAGGTTTGTCCTGGGTGCGGTGCGACGATTCTGCATGCCTAGGTAGGTGGTGCCTGGCGACTTCTCAATAGGTACCTAGGGAGACGACATGCTGTGTGAGGCCACGTTACGCCAATGCCGGACCAGACTCGACACCCAGACCAGCCGACACTTGGCTCCCTCAAAAGGGAGGCCATAGTGAGATAGCGTGAAAATATGACCCGACCACTGCTGCAGCCGACCATGTTGGAGGTGAATAGTGAATAGGGCGGCATGTTCCTACGCCAAATGCTGTGAGTCACCAGCCCATCAGTGTGGCGCTGCTGACAAACGCCAATGAGGCTGGGGGAGGAACTGCGCCACCCGGGTGAGGGAAGGAGGAGCCATCATCAACTTGCAAACCCAGCTGAGTTCGCTCCTTTCGGTACCACAAGGTCCAATCCTAGACGGCGGATCTTACATTATGCCTGCCTAAGTACCTAGTACCCGTGTACTCACTTTGTGCTGCGTTCTGTAAAACATGACAATTTTTACGACAGGGTCCTCAACTGTTGTGAGTTCTGTATCTTCAAAAGTCCTAGCCTGGTGGTTGTTCAAATCCGAAAAGGTCTGGGGTTTCCGTCTGACATTTAAATCCCATTGATTTCCTTTGTGGAAAACAGCCGCAGATGCAGATCGGCAGAGAACAACTACCCACACCTGTGCCTGTGCCCTCTATTGTTCCTTTCTTATCCCTGTCTGTTTTGCCTCGGCCAATCCAGTCTTCTGCAGTAGCTCAGGATTCCGTCCCTTGTGCGGATCATGCATGATTCTGCTGCAAGTCAAATAACCGGCTGGAGCGTCATTTGGAAGTGCTACGCGGCCAGGCAAACAGGTCACCGCGTCTGCCTGCATCGCCTCCGCGGATGCATGCAGCCTTTACAGGCATAGTGAACTTCGATCATCGCCAGATCTTTCAATTTGTTCTCTCATCACTCATTCTGCCTGAACAAGCATCTACCAAAGAAATCTCATTCTTGCCGATTTTCATCAATCCCTAAAGTGACCAGATTGTGATCTAAGTCTTCCAGAACGAGGCGAAGTTGCAATTGTCAGCTATTGCCCATAAAACATCCTTTTCATTGGACGTAGGGTGGACGCCTGACATAATCGCCACACGGCATCGAAATCGACACAGACAGAACCCTCGAGTGTCACATAGGTCATACGCTGGACAACGCATCAGACCTGACACAAATTTGAGTTCCTTCTGAACTTCAACTTCAACTTCAACTCCTAGTTGTCATCTCTCTAGCAACCATACCATGGACCTGCAACATATGCGGAGGTCGGTTTTTTCAGGCTCCAGTAGCCTTGTCGACTTACCTGAGTATATCATCACTTCTTTTTTGCCTGGAGCGCGACCTCTCTTGGACAGATACCCTCGCCTCTTTCGTTTCCTGGGTATGTTGCTTGCTTTCTGGTATCTGGGTCCGGTGGCGAGGCTGCAAGCCATATGGGCACGGTTCTCATCAATCCTAGTGGCCGCTGTCAGTGTGTCAAGTGAGGAAGATCTTTTTGGCTATGTCACTTCATATATTGCCGAGCGGAAAACTCTTCGAGCCGATCAAACTCTTACCGCCTCTTCGAACCCTCCTCAAGAGTCCCGCAGGCGCCATCGCCACGATCCAGAATATGAAGAATCTTCAAAACGGACCAACGAGGACCCCAAGATCAAGTACGAACAGAGTCAAGGACTGCAATTGTTTATCCACCAAAAGCGGCTATTCTACATTTCCCGAAAATATGGAGAAGGACATACCTACCACGGCAATCGTTACAAGCGAATAGAACTCATAACTATATCATGCCTAGGGCGTTCTACCAAGCCTATCAAGGATCTTCTAGAACATATATATTTCTTGAACAAGGATAAAGAACGCTCTCTGACCATTATTCGAAGGCCCTATACCGGGGGCTATGGCAGCCGTTTGACCTGGTCAAGGCTCACTTCGAAACCACGACGAGCTTTGGATACTGTGATACTGGACGCGACGAAGAAGGAACAAGTCTTGGCCGATGTTGCGGAATACATGGATGATGCAACAATGACATTTTACGCAAACCATGGAATCCCATACCGCCGCGGCTACCTCTTCCACGGGCCCCCAGGTACAGGCAAGACTTCATTTGCATTGGCACTGGCTTCAAAGTTCAACCTCGATGTTTATAATCTGACACTCTTAGACCAAGATCTCACGGATTCAGATCTTATCTCATTGTTAAATCAGTTGCCCGGCCGCTCACTCTTGCTACTCGAAGATATTGATACTGCTGGCCTCAATCGAAAAGCTAAATCTGCACCAGCTCGTCGAGGAGGCGGACGCCGTGGAAAGCTACCTGAAGGTGTTGTGGTACCAAGTTCCCGTGCCAAACCCTCGGGGTCAGATGATGCTGATCTGGATAGTGACGAAGAGTCTGGCACAACTTCTCGTGTCACGTTGTCTGGCTTGTTAAATGCGATTGATGGTGTAGCTGCACCTGAAGGTCATATTCTGGTGATGACTACAAATCGCCCTTTTCAATTAGATGATGCACTGGTTCGAGCAGGAAGAATCAGTGTGAGAGTCGAGTTCAAGGCCGCATCAAAGCGACAGGCAGAAGAGATCTTCTTAAGAATGTATGTTGATCTTCCAAGTACATCCCCTCCATGGGACGAGAAAGTGGACGACAAGGTACCCCCCAAACGGGGCCACTCTGAGAAAGAGGTCCTAAAGGCCACTACCGCGGTAGACGATGCAGCTTCTGCGCAAACAAGAGTTCTGGCGAAGAAGTTTGCAGAAATCATTCCTGACCATGATTTTTCACCTGCCGATTTGCAAGATTTCTTACTCATGCACAAAAAGGACGCATCGAAGGCCGTTGAAGCTCTACCAGAGTGGATGAAGCAAACATACGAAGAACGACAGAAGAAGGAGGATGATAAGGAGGCCGATAGGGCAGTGAAGAGAGATGCCAAACGCCAACAAATGCGGCAATTTAGGGCTGAGATCAAAAAAGCGGTCAAAGAGGAGGATACTGACGAAAGTGACCAAGAAGAAGATAGGCCAAGTGTCAAAGAGACTGACTCAAAAGGCGATTCGAAGGGTAAGGCTGAAAACACTGATAGTCCTCAGAACGACGAGCAGCCCGCCGACAAAACGACAGGAATTGAAGACACTGCGTCCACCCCACAGAGCTCATGAGTTGTGAAGGATTTTCCTTCGACTCCGGCTATACGCAATGAAAGTAGATATAGACCACACGCTGGCAATTCGTCGCATTGCATGGAGCATACTTATAGGGTGTATGGTTGTAAAAATTAACGCCGGAAAAGGGTTCTTAATCGACATACAGTTCGAGAATACGTCATGGGGGAATGGTGCAAGATAGCCATAAGCGAAGAAATGCTCAGATTCACTCTTGAAATTGCATAATAAATCAGAATTGCAAAGTGTGCATGCTCCTAACTCCGCATTTATAACTTAAACTTCAGGGAGTTACAGCATCGTCGCGAATTGAACTTGTGACGGCCCTGACTTCTCTGCAACTCTCAACTGTAATGCCTTTGTGTGAGTTGATCCATTTCCCCCTTCTCCCATGCGACTGGCCTCTCGGGAGGGATGGTCTGATCATAAGACTTCCCAAGCTGACATAGAAGGTCCGCTAGCCCATTCCCGGATATGAAGACGTAAAACTTGATATATCGACTCCGCACCCGCATACTGAACGAGGTAGTCTTCGGGATGTACGCAGTCTCACCAACATTTAACGTCGCCTCTTGGTCTCCAATTGTCAGCCCCAGCTGGCCGTCAACCACTTGAATGGCATGATGCACGTTCGCGAAACGGAATGTCTCGGACAATGGCGAACCCTCGTGCCACGAAGAACCTTCGATGCACGCGATCGAAAACCGACCATCAGATTCTGCGGCACCAATGAGCGGGCTAACCACAACTCCACCTACCAAAAACCGTGGACCAGTACCAGCACGCAGAAAATAGGGCTTCAGAGCACCCGGCAGTTTATCGTCCGCGCCATCCCGCCACGGCTGAGGCTGCACCGCCGGATGATCCCTGACAGGAATCATGTCAAACTTCTCAGTCGCAGCCTTCAGCTTCGGAATCAGCACCTCGAAGATATTCCGCTCGTCGACCAACGGGAATAGCGGCCCAGCATACGGTTCGCCAATGAACCGGAAGAACTCCTCCCAGCCGCCAGGCACGATCAAGCCCACGAACTCGGTGTAATCGCCGAGTATCTGGTACTGATGGACCGTGTCGGGCGGGACGCTGGCGAGATCTCCCGCGCTAAGTGTGCGGCATTGGTCGTCCGCCCAGACGTTGACGTTGCCTTTCAGGCACAGAAAGACGTCGTGGGCTTCGCGGTGGTAGTGGAACCCGATCGGGTCGCCTTGCGCACCACCCGTCCCGACGATCGCGAACGCATTGTCGCTCTCCTTGCCTGTGACGAGGAGGCGTGTCGCCGATTTGGACAGCGGGATGTAGATGACTTCGCCGCATAATGATTCTAGGATATATGGTTGGTTGGCTTGCCCAGGGGCCAGGCGTGTAGGCTCAAGCATTCTTCACGGTGTCGCAAGACTGAGGATTTGCTGATGGTTAAAGAATAGACCTGAGAATGAGCAGCATCATCACTATGGCTAGGGGTGCCCCAGCGAGGCTATTTCAGCGTTTGATTCATGCTGCTCGGATATCCCGAGCGTGGAGCCGTAAAGCTTGTTGAGATGAGGAGTAATTCCGACATCCGAGAATGCTGTTTGGGATAGAATGGCGGTGACGACAGCCGTCCTCCACATTCGGCACGGGATATCACGGTGTTCGTCATTCTATGACCCTCTTACGCATTTTAGATCAACAGTCTGCTGTAACGAAAAAAGAAGTTGCTGGAGTCGACCCTTGACAACCTCAAAGTACGATTGCAAGTTCACAAGTCTTGAACATGGAAGGCCTGAAAGCCTTCGGAACTGACATTGGAACCATCGTTCTTCCCACATACAAAGCGTACGCCCCATTGTTGTTAAGAAATGCAGACGCCATCCGCTCAACATCACGCGAGACGCACTCATACGGCCCCCATCCCCGTCAACACCTTGACGTGTACACGCCTTCTTCAAAAACGACCGGAGACCTCAAGAACTCGGTCCTGGTGTTCCTTTATGGCGGCGGGCTTGTCCGAGGAGAGAAGATCAATCCCAATTTCGCCGGAGGACTGGTCTACTACAACCTTGGGCACTTCTTTGCTGAGAAACTCCAGATTCCAGTGGTCATAGCTGATTACCGGTTGATATCCCATGATGCTGTCTTTCCATCTGGAGGAGCAGATTTGGCAAATGCGATAAACTGGATCAGCGCGCATTTTCAGAAGCACCACCCCGAAGGAGTTGATCTCTTCGTTATGGGAAATTCTGCGGGTGGTATCCACGTCTCGACGTTCCTGCTTGCACCGGATTTCGCGCCAAAGCGCAGCCATATTATCAAATCGTCAGGGACGGGAACAAGACTACGGGGCGCGATCTTGTTGTCCGTGCCGTTCCACTTCCAGCAGGCTGACGCGAGCAGACAAGAGGTTCTTGCGACGTATTTCAAGGGCGATCATCAGTCACTGTCCCCGTATGGACTCCTGAAAAGCGCGATCCAGAACAGCTCCATTGAGGACCTCAAAGACCTGCCAGTACTTTCAATCACGGGTTCACTAGACCCGGAGGACGAGATTCTTGTTCCCAACAAGGATTTCCAAGAAGAATGGCAGAAGTCCGAGTTGGTCCGGGATTGCCTACAAGTGGTCACCATAGAGGGTCATAACCATATCAGCCCAGTCTTAAGTCTAGGTACTGGAGTGGAAGCCGAGGAGGCTTGGGCTCAGCATGTTGTAGACTTTGTTAAGAATTCCATATCTGGTCGAAGATAATTTAGAGGTATACTTCGAATTCATTACGTGGCGTCGGCTCTGTCGTCCCATGTGAAATCACTATCTACAGAAAGAGGAAAGAGCCGTGTCATAAAATCAAGCTGGTCTTGGTCGAAAGGGTCATACATGGTCTCATCGAAAAGGTCAGGTACCCCTCCCTCGGCGTTAGTGGCGAGTGAGTCTTGTGTCGTCGAGCCTGGTTCATCGATAGGTGCGGCCTCATTATTGAATGATCTCTCCTCCCTAATTCTCAATGAAGCTTTAGTTATTGTAGCGGCCGCCTTCTTCGCAACAACATTGTCATTCATGGTCTTGAGGACATCGACACTCATCTCCACAAGACGAAGTAATCCTGAGATCTCGGGCGGAGATGCAACCTTCTGTGCATAGAAGACGATAATGGAGGCAGCGTACAATGTGTATGTTGTGTTGTACCACCAGGTACGAAAGTAAGAATAGTGGCAGAACATATGGTGCATGAGTTCAATTGTTTTCGTGGCTGCAGAAACACATTTAGCCACAGCGCTATCGAAATGACCCGGAGTGTGGGTGGCTCGATGGCCAAGATACAAGAGGAAAGGACGGTAAAGGACCATTTTAACATTGTAGTAACGAAATCGAAGTGTATGACTCTGTCGATTAGCCCATGCGGGTATGTTGCTTTTCAGAGAGGTCTCGTCGCCCATACTATCCAATGATGGAGGCCGGATAATCTGTGGCAAAGCACTAAGCCAATTTTCGAGCTCAGTTTCGAGCTGACCAGCAATCATAACTTTTTGTGTAATATTTTCGCCAGAAAGATATACGGAGTAGGAAACCTTCTTGATGATTTTTGCTAGGTCAACCATGCAGTTGATCAGCATAGTCGGCGAACCATCAATGGCTGGTAGTTGCCGAGTATGGTAGATATCATCTCCAAGTGAATCAGGTCGGCCAAGGGCAAAACTGGTCTCCATTTCGAGAGAGTACAATGCCCACCATGTTCTAGATATCTCCTGATGGTGGGCTCCTTCAGTCGATGGATGGCGATTGTAGCCAGCTGAGAAACTTGTCCGAATAGCATGCCCAAGATACATGTATGCCAAATTTGGATTGAGTTCATTTTGACAGATTTTTGCCATGATGATATATGCTTGCACACTTTCTGGATCGCTACGTCCCGGGAATTCCCCGATTGCCATTGATGCAAGAGTAAACATTTTGCGTGCCCAGTCAAAACGATTCGTTGTGTCAAGAGATTCTTCATCCCACTCCCGAGTAAGAGCACCTAATGACATTATAGAATAGTAAAGTGCGATGAAGCTCTTGCTGGGATTGCTTGGTCTGTCAAACCAGATGTTCTCGCACCTGGAGAAGAATTTCACTCTATCCACAATTGGGTGGATGTAGTGGAGATTTTGGAAGTATCCATTCAGGAAGAGCTGTGATTGACGGAAGTAGAAGGAATTAGCTGACAACTTTTGCCACTCAGTAGTCGTGTAAGCTGCAGAGGTGGGCGAGAATATCTCGTTGTGGAACGTCGATACCAAGGATGAGGGCTGATCTTCGGATGGTGGAAGCTGGTCAACGTTTGACCGAGCTTGGTTCCTGTTCTGCCTCTGAATTGTTGCAAGGAATGCCAAAGATGAGGTTGGTCCATGAAACTCATTGTTCAAAGTATGCGTATTGACTTCATCAACTTCGTCGGAGACGTCCGGCCTGTTGATACTGCTGCGGAATCCACCAATTCTCCCAGAGTGAGAATCAGGGGACTGTCTCTGGGAAGGTCTAAGTTGGCGAGTTGGGGAAGAGAAGACCTTGTTGGAGACATCGGCCGATTCCGAGGTGGTAAGCAATTCTTGGGTGAAGTTATGCTGATAGATGATCTGTGACGCTTGTCGTGTCTTCAGGCGCTCAGCTCCTTCGTACTCGCAGCTTACATTCCATCCTACTAACGTCAGTAAGAAGCACAGAAAGCGGCATCTAACGCACTTTGACACTGGTGACAGGGTTGTTCCTCGTCACATCGATACTTCTTGGCCCTGCACCAGCGACATGCTCTTGCAGCCCTTCGGCGCTTCCGACCAGTTTCCGCGGCTGTGCTCGATTCGCTCATCCCAGCTACAACGAGGTGGTGTTTGTATGATGAATGCTGACACCCCGTTGACGATAGTCGGCTTTAATGATTCTCGGATTCCTTCGAAGGTGCTCGGAGCGGGAGGAATGATGAGCATCTGCTACGGGGTGTCTTGATAGTCGATAGCATGCGGGAGAGCACCCGTGACAATCTAATTTAACTAAATTCCTTGCAAGTGAGCTATTATTACTCAATATTCTCGTTATTTTGGCGTATTGGCGTAGTTGCAGGGACTTCATATGACGACTTTCCGAGAATATGAGGGGGATGGTTGTAAAGATTCTCGGCAAGTAGCTCGGCAACTTCGGAATTGCCGACGCGCGATAACATTGGAGGGAGTTGACAAGAGGACTACTAATAATTGTGACGAAACGTCCAAGTGTTAGACTGCTAAATTTTAAAGGTCAACCACAAGAGCATTCTGCAGTATGGAAGACGCTCACCAAAAGCTCGATGTAATCATCGTTGGGGCAGGTCTGGCAGGACTTGCAGCCGCCATCTCGTGCGGTCTGGCCAAACACAACATCACAGTCCTGGAAGCGGCTAGACAACTCACAGAAATTGGCGCTGGACTTCAAATCACTCCTAATGCCTCTCGCCTGTTCAAAGCGTGGGGCATCGAAACTGAGGTAGCAGCCTTGGCTGCGGAACCCTCACTTCTCGCGGTACACCGATACAGCGATGGCAAGATTCTGGCCCAGGAGGACGCGTTTGACCAAAATATACGCAGAAAGTATGACGCCCCATTCATTGACATGCATCGAGTGGATCTGCAGAAAATTCTATACAAACGAGCCATAGAACTCGGAGTGGATGTGAGACTCAACCACCGAATTTTGAAAGTGGATGACGCTAGTGGATCGAAGCCTAGAGTCGTCCTTGAGTCTGGACAGTCACTAGAATGCGATGTTGTTGTTGGTGCCGATGGCCTCTGGTCAAAATGTCGCGAGAGCATGCTGGGCAAGGCAGATGCTCCGCTACCGACAGGAGATCTCGCGTATCGAATCGTATTGGAAATCGACAAGATCACAGACCCGGAGTTGAGATCACGAATCTCCAATCCTGAAGTACACTTCTGGATAGGCCCTCAGGCCCATGCGGTCGGTTATTCTCTCCGCGGTGGAACCATGTACAATATTGTTCTGCTTTGCCCGGATGATCTGCCACCAGGTCTGTCACGATTAAATGGATCAGTGGGCGAGATGCAAGATCTTTTCACCAATTGGGATCCAATATTGACCCGTTTTCTTCGTCAAGTCGATAGTGTCGACAAATGGAAATTAATGCATAGGGCAGAAGTGCCTTCTTGGACAAATATACAGAAGAACTTTGTACTTATCGGAGACTCGTGCCATCCGATGTTACCATATCTTGCGCAGGGTGCCAACTCATCAATCGAGGACGGCGCGGTATTGGGGCGACTATTGTCATATGTTCGTTCCAAAGCCCAAATACCCTGGGCTATCGAGCTATACGAGTCGTTGAGAAAATCCCGCAGTGAGATGATAGTACGTGAAACATTTCATCAAAGGGATGCCTTTCACATGCCAGACGGAGATTCTCAGATCGAGAGGGACACTTTATTTCTGTCCCAACTGGGCAAAGAGGTTGATGCTAAATTTCCTAGTCGTTGGTTAGTATGACCAGTCCCCCAGTCTTTCTATGCCTGCTCACATGAGACATACACAGGACTTGCCCAGAAGTGCAACCTTGGTTGTATGGCTATGATGCCATCAAAGAAGCAGATAATGCCGCGATCCTGAGCCTCTCGAAACGATGTTAGCACATTCCATTCCACTCTCGAGCTGGCACTAGCTTTGAGAAATGCCTTTCGAATTGTCAATTACTTTACCGAACTTTACGGTATCATTAGAACGTTGAAGATAACGAATTCTTGCAGCCTATCATCATTCGGGTTTGCCGAATCCCACAATACCCAATTAGAAGATACTTTCGCAGAAGCATGGCCAATGGATCAACAGCTTCGCCGAGAGTGGAGTACAATCTCCTGCTCTATATTCTTTCTCTCCTCTTGTTGTTGACAATAGTCTGCCGCTTGTTCTTATCAGTGTCCTCTGGAGTTTGGCATTGTACCATCAACTCTATCAAGCATCCTTGCCTTTCAATCACTACGGCTGTACAATGGCGCCGCATGCAGAGGGTGTGTTTGTCCCCAATGGTGTTTCAACGAAGAAAGGAGCTCCTTATGTTTCGCCGCTCTATCCCAACATTGACATGCAAGCTTTCAAAGATGCCGCCGAAAAGTATCTCGCTTGGATTGGCATCCCGTTCCAGGAGAGGATCATCACGGGCTCTAGGGATCTTTACTGCTATACCGCGGATGGTCGCAAGATTCTAGACTGGACATCGGGGCAGATGTCTTGCTTGATCGGACATGGAAATCCGGAGATTGTATCTGTGATTGAAGCCTACGCCAGCCATCTCGATCATCTCTTCAGCGGCATGATTTCTCCCCCAGTCATCAGCCTAGCTCAGCGCCTTGCCAGTGTGCTACCCAAGCCCCTCTCCAAGACACTATTCCTCTCCACTGGCGGAGAATCGAATGAAGCAGCGATTAAAATGGCGAAAATATATACCGGGAAGTTTGAGATTGTTGGGCTTGGTGCGTCATGGCATGGATTGACAGCTCAGGCACTCTCATCTCAATACTTTCACGGCCGACGTGGGCAGGGTCCCTTAATGCCTGGGACGCACCAACTTCCAGCCCCTAACGCATATCGATCAATCTTTCGCAATCCTGATGGTTCCTATGATTGGGAGACTGAGCTCAACTATGGTTGGGAGATGGTTGATCGAGCATCCTGCGGGTCGCTTGCCGCATGTATCGTCGAATGTATCCAGTCGGCAGGGGGTATGCATGTCTTACCTCCAGGATATTTGACCGCATTGAAGAAGCATTGTGAGAAGCGGAATATGCTGCTCATCATTGACGAAGCGCAAACTGGATTAGGAAGAACTGGTACTATGTTTGCGTTCAACTACGAAAATGTGGTGCCAGACATCTTGACTCTGAGTAAAACGCTTGGGAATGGGATCCCACTCAGTGCAGTGGTGACGACTCCAGAAATCGATCGAGTTTGTAAAGAGCGAGATTTTATCTTTGTCACAACTCATGTGAACGACCCACTCCCTGCCGCTGTAGGTGACAAAGTGCTTGAGATTGTACTGCGGGATGACCTGGTGGAGAATTCTAGAGTCATGGGTCTGCATCTCCAAGAGGGACTGAAGAAGCTACAATCCCGTTATGGTTGTGTAGGTGATATTCGTGGTCGTGGATTGATGGCTGGCATGGAAATTGTGGGTGATCCTGTCACAAAGGAACCATCGCCAAAGCTAGCTCAGGCTCTGGCAGATATGGTGTATGAGCTCGGACTTTGGGCAAACCTTAGCAGTCAACCTATATCTGGAGGTGCATTCAGGATCGCACCACCAATTACGTCGACGCAGGAGCAAATTGATGAAGGTCTCGACATTCTAGAAAAGGCCCTCGCTGCAACGGAGGGGTCTTTGCCACTATACTGATGAAAAAAGACGTCGTGTCATCATCTGGCAGGTTTTCAGCTTTAGCATCTGCACAAATAGAGGTTCAGTGACAACGCACCATGTGAATTCCTCCGTAGTATATGCTAAATATGCCGCGGTGCCATCCTTCTTTCTGCCATCCAATGAGAAATATTTGCTCTGTGCAAAACAGCGCTGAGAAGGCCTCAATTTCGAGTAGATATAACTCAACTTACTATCTCCACTCACATCTAGAGCGTGATCCCAATCCAACTTCCATTTTACCCTCTAACACCGGTGTCAATCATGGCGAGTCGGGAGCCCGCTATCTATACATAACCTCAGGTGACAGGGTGCCCTAAATGTAGGTTGATTAGGCATTCTAAACTCCAACATAGGATGGCGTTGTGCTTTTCTTCATCCGTATAGGACTAGTGGAGTGTAGTCTCATGGTTGTGAGATATCAGGATGCATTTGTGAGACGCACTCGAGAAGTTCTATTTACGATAGATCGTGTTTCCGTACCGTACCATACAGACCATGAATCTCAAACCGACACAGAAAGATAAGGGAGATAAGTAGACAGATCAACAACCAGTAATCGCATGCGTTAACCTGACCCACTTCGGTGAGCTTCAAAATCTATTGGTGCAGCTCAATGCCCAGCTATCATTGAGACTCGGTCTTGATATGCAATGCATCTGAATTATACGGAGATTGATACACAACATCAGTGTTGTTGCTCAGAGTGAGTTTGACTTAAAGCTACCCATGGCCACCATTGAACCAAAGATGTTCGAGTCCAATCTTCCTGTCAATTTTTCTTTGGCTTTGTCCAAGCCTTGACTTCACACAAAAAAAATCTTCGATCACAGCCGGTCTCTAGAGGTCAGAATTTTTCCACGAAAGCTTTGAGTTTGCTACATTGTCGCCATGGGTGCTGAGAAAGAAGGTGCTGTTACCCAAGGTCCGGTCGCTTCGGATTCGGAGTCTAGCGAGCAATATGCAGGCACCCTTCGAGAGCTTGGGTATGTGCCCGAGGACAACCGCGAGAGCGATTTCTACACTCGCAACGGCCTTAACTTACGCAGTTTTGGGAAACGTGAGTTTCCCCATTAGCATGACTACATACCTACAGCTGACTCGAATAGGTGACTGGGGAACTGGCCTCGAGCAACTCGATCGCAGTATGAAGTCGCGTCATCTGAATATGATCGCGATGGGCGGCTCAATCGGAACAGGCTTTTTTGTGGGCTCCGGCAATGCTCTTACTGCGGGTGGGCCAGGGGCAGTATTCATATGCTTCTGTATAGCCGGCATGCTTGTATTCAATGTTGTCCATGCTTTGGGAGAACTCGCCGTTATGTATCCTGTTTCGGGCGGTGTGTACACCTATTCTGTTCGCTTCATCAGCCCGGCATGGGGTACAGCAATGGGCTGGAACTATGTAAGATCTCCTGCTTAACGTTTAATAGTGGCAACGCATGTCATCCCTGACACAATTTCTAGGTTTTCGGCTGGCTGGTCGTTATGCCTCTCGAACTGGTCGTCTGTTCATTCACGGTGCAATACTGGAACAAAGACATCAGTCCCGCGGTCTGGATTACGATTTTTTACGTCTTCATTATCGTTATCAACATTTTTGGAACACTCGGATATGCGGAGGAAGAATTCGTATCATCTCTATTCAAACTGATCTCCATCATCATTTTTATGATTGTTGCAGTAGTTCTGATCTGCGGCGGCGGTCCCTCGAATGGTTTGTACCATGAGTATTGGGGTGCTAGACTTTGGTACGATCCAGGGGCCTTCCAAAATGGGTTCAAAGGATTTTGTGCAGTATTTGCTACTGCAGCATTCTCGTTTGGTGGTACAGAGCTTGTTGGACTTGCTGCTGCTGAAGCCAAGAATCCCGGCGAATCGATGCCCAAGGCTGTCAAGCAGATCTTCTGGCGCGTCACTATCTTTTATATCCTCGGCTTGAGTTTGGTCGGCTTGTTGGTTAGCTCGACCGATACTAGACTTCTCAATGCGCAGAATCCCTATGCCGAAGGAACTTCACCTTTCGTTATTGCGGCTCGAGACGCTGGGCTGCGTGGATTCGACAGCTTCATGAACCTCCTCATTTTGGTTTCGGTTATTTCGATCAGCGTTTCGTGCGTCTTCGCCGCCTCTCGCACGACAACCAGTCTGGCTCAGCAAGGCTATGCGCCCCGAATCTTCACCTATATCGACCGCGCTGGACGACCATTATTCTCGGTCATCCTTTCTCTTGCCATGGGAGCATTGGCTTACATCGTCTTGGCTTCCTCAGGCATGGAAGTCTTCAATTGGTTGATGGCGCTTTGCAGTCTCTGTCTACTCTTCACTTGGGGCTCCATTTGCGGTGCCCATATCCGCTTTCGCGCCGCATGGGCAAAACAAGGTCGCTCTTTGGATGATATTCCGTACCAAGCACCATTTGGTGTCTGGGGATCATGGGCTTCATTGATTCTTGTCATCATTTTCTTGGCCGCACAGGTATTTGTCGCCATAGCCCCACCAGGTAAAACGGAATTGAACGATGCGGAGGGGTTCTTCCGCAATGCTGCCACGCTACCAGTGGTATTACTTTTCTGGGCTGTGGCTTATTGTATGAAGCGGCAGGGAATGGCCAAATTGGAGGAGATTGATCTGGACCTCGGCGCCCACGTGCATGACTGGGATATTATCAAATCACAGAGAGCCAAAGTAGCCACCTGGCCCTGGTGGAGAAGGATCTTAAATGTCATGTTGTAGGGTTGGAGCACACATAGCTGGATGCACGATGTGGAAGAGCCGTGGTCAATCTTTGCTAGACTTCGCGACACAAGATGTTCAATAGTTAGTTGAGAAGTTGTTTCATCTTTCCAAATAAGTACTCCAATTCTGCTCGATGCAGTGACATACACTCATTTTGCACATCGGTAAGTTCAAAATATTTACTGAGCAGCAACTTTTACACATCAAAATTGAAGTCATCTGGCTCAGGCAGAAAGTTGTCAGTGTACCAGTCGTCAAAAATTTCAGGGAAAAGCGCTTCGAGGCTGGAAGCATGTTCCTGGTCTGGGAGAATGAAAGACGAATATTCCGAAGTGTATGCCCCTTTACCGTTGTCATTCGATGGATTCTGGCCAATGAGGTCATTAAGATCGCTTTGCCGTTGATAGGTGCGCGCATAAGGGGTTGAATTGCTTCTTGTAGCTGTTGCTGAGCCGACGGTTTTGGTAGCCAAATCCAGAATTCTGTTCAGCGTTGATTCACTCTGTGAGAGACACGTCTCTGCAAGGTCCCATCTATGCTCATCTCGGTACTTTCGGAGGCAATTGACCATGTCAAGTGCACTAGTAATGCACTGGTCTCGCATCTTTGGGTTGATAGGTTGTTGGAGGGCACAGCGCAGTAACAAGGTGGCTGCTGATGTGAAGTGATGAGCATTGTAAGGCAACCAGAAACCCGTAAGATCATCCTTTGTCAGAGAAATGACGAATCGTACAACATCTTCGGCTGCAGCCTTACATGAGAGCGTCCAGGCCTGGTCTGAAGCTTGCTCACCCATAGTCTGACGCGTGTCTAGGCTGTCCCCCTGCCAGGAAATGCGTCGCAATAGCATCCGAATAGACAGGTACGAGAGCTGCAGATTTACCAGGCCAGGAACCTGGGGTCGAGAATCAGAAAAATCTGTCATATTCAACCACACGGGCAATTCTTCAATCCAGCGATCCAGGTCACTTTCGGCGCGTGAGACTCTGTCTATGGATGTAGATCGTCTCCCAGCACCGACACGAAGGCGGTAGATTATAGGTAATACCCCACCGATGATTTCCGTGAGTTCGCACAATTTGATGTAGATCTCAGCAGCACGAATGTGCTTATGAGAATCTGCTCTGCCTCCTTGCAATAGTAAACCGACCGTTGGCATGGGCACATCGTAGTGGTCTTGCGAAATATAAGGTGGGGTGCCTTGTGCAAAGTTGAACCAGCGATCTTGAATCAAAAGTGCCCACCAGACCTTGACACGGGTACGTTTCTCCAGGTCACGGATCTTCCACCCTTGACAATCGTGGTTCAGACCAATGATATGTGCCAATGCCACACTGCGTGCCATGTTAGTTGCGTTATTGACCAAGCGCTGGCACGGACGACCAGAAACACCAATGCAGATGGTTGCAATCGTGGCGACGTCACCCCTCTGTATGCTTGCTGCGCTCAAAGCCACTGCACTTTGCCACGCTAGATCCTGATCCGGCCGTCGGTGCAATTGTAAATTGGGGGACAGTTCCCAATAAAATAGTGCGTGGGAAATAAGAATGATTGAAAATAGCTGTGGAAGACGGTGGCCCTGGGTCTGGATCCGGGTCATGATATATTCCTCTTCCACGATTGGGTAGCAGGGAGCGACATGGTCGAAATAAACCGACATCAACTCATCCAGGTACGGCTCGACTTGAGCCAGAAGCTCTCGTGGTGCGTCTCGCCCACATTGGCATCCTATGGGGCTTGGTAATCGGGGCGGAATGGGCATTTGGTAGATTGCTTTGTCCTCCAAGTCCAGTGGGCTTTGATCTGATGCTGATGGGTCCGGGCTCCCTGGAAGATATTGATCGAGTATCTGTCTATCCCTAGCAATCACTGGTCCGACCAGAAAAGCATTGTTCTGCAGAGACTGGTCGTCAACTAGCAGTGAACGATGAACAAACCCAACTCGAGGGGTGACACTGTGGATACTGGCATGTTTACTGGACGCCAATGAGCAAGAAATACGTTGTTTGAGGCATAGGGAGCACCCTTCTCCAGGGTTCTCAACCACACATCGTGACCGACGCTTGTGGCAGCGCTCGCAGGCCGGATATCGATGTGATCGATAAGGACGCGCAGTTTTCATAGCGGCAGCCAACGCTGTCTTCGGTAATGGGTCGCAACATACACTACCCAGGTAAGTAAGATATTCACTAGATTGAAGAGATTCTTGGGTGGGTTGGCACTGCCATCGAGGTTGATTTGCGGCTAGTCCAGATCCGATTGCTGGTTATCAGCAACTGCTTGATAATGCCAAGGTGATATGACTCGAACTAGTGCATCGAAAAGACTACTCATTTGGTAATACGTTCATTACAATCACGTTACACTGTTCCTCTGAATTGGAGAGTCTGGTTGACTAGATCAAGATTCCATAGCGAGCAGCGGTAACAAATGCCAAATTAATCCAAACCCATACCAGCGTACACAGATGCTTCCCTCTCAGGCTTCTGGGATGATTATTCAGTTCCTAATTAATCGTTCGGAGTCCGGTTGCTGTCAGGGCTTGGCATATGGGACGGGACGCCTGTGCTGCTCAGATTCAAGCCACCTTCCTTACTACCCAAGTATATCCCAAAGAATTGGGTTGAGAATCTGCCCTCCCTCTCTTTCTGTGGTATGGGCATGAAAAGGACCGATTCCTCAATTTCACCATGAGCGACATCTTTACAAGCATCTTCACAAAGGCTACAAGCATCCTGGGTCTACTGACCACTTGCGGGGCTGTATATCGACTTGTCGACTTTCTCTTCTTTCATTTCACGGTTTCCAGAGACCCTCTTGCCGCTTACAGATCCGATTTTCCTTCACATGATGAATCCGACAGGCCGAAAACTTATGCACTGATCACAGGATCAAGTGGAGGCATTGGTTTCGGTCTTGCGGAATCGTTAGTGAGACGTGGATTCGGAGTCATCTTGCTGTCGAACGACGAAGCCGGTCTTCAATCTGCAAAGCAAAGACTGGTGCGGCAATACCCGAACTGTGCATCTTCGATCGAGCTTGTACATCTCGATGCCGTTAGGGCTTCAGTGGAAGACATACAGAACCGAATAATCAGTAATTGCATCGAGCTTAAGAATCTGACCGTCACAATCTTGATCAACAATGTTGGTGGTGTGCTACTGCCATCGCCTCTGTTCAGGGTTTTCTCTGAGTATGATTCAAAAGGGATCGATGACAATATCGATCTGAATGCTCGATTTATGGCCCATGTAACGCGTGCCATGCTGCCTACTCTATCCGCATCATCAGCACTTTCGTCTTCACGAAGACCGAATCGATCACTCATATTGAGCATGAGTTCCGGCGCACGATCTGGCATACCTTGGCAAGGCATATACAGCGCAACAAAAGCATTCAACGCTGCCTTTAGTATGGCCCTTGCACGGGAGTTCAGAGCCACCGGGGTACCAATTGACTGCATTGCCGTGGTTCCGGGTGATGTGCTTACCGACTCGAACTACACCGGGCTTGGAGCCTGGAGTCCCAGTGCTCATCAGTTTGGAGAAATGATTTTGAATAGAGTCCCTGCTGCTGTAAGCCGACATCGGTTATGGATGAGTCCATATTGGTTGCACGCAATTCAGATCGCCATAATGGACTGGATCCCCGAAACTATTTTATGTGGCGTTTTGGCTGATAAAATGGTGGACAAGAAACTAATGTTTGAGAAAGAGGCACAGAAGCAGAAATGAAACGTGCCGCAAGCATGAGGTGACGAGTGGTTTGGATACTATTGAATGAAAGAGGACCACTCAGGGGAGATAAGCAGGAGGGTGAGAAGAAATTCGGGTCGAGATGTGAGGAAGGTGAGTCGTGAACAAGTGGCGTCAGAAGCCGCACGGTCGTAGGAGACGTCTACATTAGCTGCGGGCAATTTGACCTGGTCTAAATGTCCAAGTCGATACCGTAAGACACCTTGCGCCGTAGCGTACTCATGCGTTTCGTCCATGCATTATGAAGTGCGTTCACATCTTTCTCCAACACACGCAGGTGCTCTCGGATGGGCACCTAGCATCTCCCCCAGCTTGATGAGTCCTTGACTTTGGCGTTGGTGCCCTGCATGATGTATGACAATGAGACCTGGAAGTCTTCTGGTAGATCAATCGCCTTGAGGTGTGATCGCGTAGCATAATAAGTCTATTCCATCTCGGGCGTGATAACGTTGCTTTGTAGGCCGTCAATCAAAACATCCCTCATGGTCTCTGCACTCTTTACTCGTATATCGACAAAGCTCTCCGGACTATAGAATGCTGTGTGGCACGTAATAACCGCCCTGCCCATCAACCAGGGCTCCTTCCGTCGATACGCCTGAATAAGGGGGTGCACATTGTCCTCCGGTATCGGTTCTTCAGGCAGCACGTCAAGGCCAGCACCACTGATGATTCCCTCTTTGAGACACCGTTCGATACCATCCAGATCCGCAACTTCACCACGGGCTGTGTTTACAAACACTGCACCTCTAGGCAGTAGTTTCAACAAGTCATAGCCTACCATACCACGAGTCTCTCGCGTACAAGGACAATGTAAGCTGAGCGTCGTACTTCTCCTGAACAGCTCATGGATGTCCTTCGTCCTTTCGATTCCAAGACTCTTGTCGACTCCATTTGGCAGATATGGGTCGTAAAACAAAACGTTGCACCCAAATGCCTTTGCTCGGAGAGCCACTGCTGTGCCTATCCGGCCCAACCCTAATATTCCGAAAGTGGCGCCTTGAAGCCGGGACACTAGGGGCGTGTCGATGTACATCCATGGTGCTGGTGGATCAGCACGCTGAGTCTCATTATGGAGAAGGATCCCACGGCGTAGCGATAGAGCAAGTCCCATAGCATGATCTGCGATCTCACACGTGCCGTAGTCTAAAAGTGACCAAGTCAATGGACATTCTTGGTCGGCAGCTGCGTGGGGGTGGTGGGGGTGGGATACGACTTACCAGGAACATTGCAAACCGTCACTCCTCGCTTTGCCAGAGCCTCTCTGTCAAGTCTATCATAGCCAACACCCATTCGCACAATTCTGAAAGCGTGATTAGACCTGAGATCGTACAGTCATCCTTGGTTTGTTCACGTAAACTCACACTTTGAGTTTCGGGAACAATTCCAGATCAGCCGCTGTGAAGCCCATTTTCAACACCATAATTCCATCAACTTGGTCACGAAGCGCTTTGTCAACGTCAGACCATGGTCGCCTGGTTGGTGTCCCAGTTGGCCAGAGATAGGTCTGCTTGTAATCGACTTCATATTTCTGTGACTCGCCAGGCTTGAAAATATTCTGCTCGATCGACTCATCCTGCGCGTGCTTGTGTCAGAGGATGGAAGGATTGACACAGTCGAGACATACAGGGTATAGACCATCAGCTTGGATGATGGTGTATCTTGCTTGATTTCTCGTAGACAAAGACATTATTTTATTCAAGACAAGAGACTTTGGCAAGTTCATGCAACAAGGGAAGAAACAATTTCAATTGAAGGGGCACCTTATGAATGACGTTTTAACCCGCTTCTCCAATCTCATCGGTGGACACGGACCGAGGAACCGACCTCTTCGGCTGGGATTGTTTTGCGGAGAACCCATGTGTGCCCATCTAAAACGTGGGGGTAGGAGACCACCCGGACAGCGTCGTGTGTCGGCCAATTTGTTCTCCAACGTAGACAACACGCCGATATTTCCATCCTTGATCAAAGTGAACAAAGTATCGCTGTGACAGTGTCGAAAAATGATCGGTTTATATGGCCAACAGCGAAACGAAAGCCTCATTAACCAAGGTCATGTTTAGCTACACTCCCTCGCAATAATTAAGATGTTGATTATTTGGCGAAAAGCCCCAGCACAACCGTTAACATTCGTCAGCAGGAGTCAACAGCACTCAGCGAGATTTTCCGCACAGCTGACCATCACTAGATGTTGCCAGCGACGTTGGCAAACCCTTCCTGTGTAACTTTGCGTCCCGCGAGTTGGTTCGCGAAGGTCAGTTTCTGAAGCAAGGTCCAATCATCGGCATGGACAAGACAAGAATACAAAATTCCAGCTATGAAAGTGTCACCTGCACCAACCGTACTGTGGTTGTGAGTCAGTGAAAACCCTACGACTGAGATTTCAGGAATTCACCACATACTCGACAACCGATTTACCGGGAAGAACGTGTGCGGGTTGTTGGAGGTGACTTCCTGTAGCTGATTCGTAAACCGCTGCGCCTTGGTCGCCCCAGGTGCAGCAGAGAAGGAACCTGGTAGAAAAATGGTGAGCCGGGACAGAACAAAATTTCAGAACATATCCCTCACGCTTTTGCTGCTAATGTTCTCTGATGTCGAAGGCATTCTTCAGCCCCAGAGTATCCGTTGCCCTGTAGTAACGCCGATTTCAGCAAGTGGATGTGTGTGTGATGAGGTGTCTTAGCCCAATGGACAAAATGCACGAGCATAAGAAGCACTTACAATTGCCCAGCTCTTCGAATAAAAGACAACATCTGCTTCGCACGCGATTTCTTGAAGGCCCTCCCTCTGTCGCTTTTCTAGCTCGACACTAATCTTCACATCTGCAGACTGCTTTCGCAAATGGCGAATGCACTGAATGACAATATCTGGTGTTCGGCCCTAATGTTGTTTAGGCCACAATAGTTAGCTATTTGGTGGAGTCATATCGCGGCATTGTGGGCAAAACTACCATCTTACCTCGAAATGATACCATGACGTGCTTGACTCGAGTGAGTCGGTAGCTTGCGCAAACTCATCATAGGTCATATCTGGTAGAGCATTGAAGTTGATGATCGTCCGAGAACCATTTTCGAGGTTCCTGATAACGTAGCTTGATGCAGGCTCGGAGTGATCTTCCCGATAAAGACACAAGGACGTGCTCACATTCGGCCCCAATGAGTCTCTGACTTCTTGGACAGCTGCGGAAGAAGCCTTTGGAAGGACAGTGAGCAAGTGGAGACAAATATCAACCTGTTGGTGATCAAAGAGCTGTTGAAGCACCTCAAGGCTGTTGGGACAGTTGCCCCCGCGTCTTCTCCTAATTGTAGAGGCACGCAACTTCTCATCTTCGGCAACAAAGTGGGGGACACTACTTGCCGATATTAGTTCCTGCGGAGAATGGGGTGCCCAGAAGGATTTCATGCCTCAATATGGTATCAGAGTAGCAAGCGCCAACCCCTATGAACGACTTCATCGTATGACAGACAAAAGATGAAGATGGCTGTCCTGGGGGTTTGCCTTAGAGTGTAGAGGGGTGCACACGTATTGGCTATTTGAATCAGCTCTGAATTGGTTGCGGCGACGTCCGTCAAGTAACTGCAAGGCGGACAGCTGCACAAACAAAACACACATCCGCGCTGAGTGTTTGAAGCTGCAAATGGTAGTTGGGTAGATTGAGACTTCCGCAAGGTAAGCTACCGCATTGGAGTCTTCTCAATTCTCATGCGTAGTCACCCTATTTGTAGCTTAATGCCCAAGGAGGATCACCCAGTCGAGCATTGTGAACAGCTTCCGGCGTAGCCAGCCTATTCAAGCTTAATAAAGTTCCATCATTTGATGAATTTAAATTGTTCAAGTGGCTTAGAAAGTAGACAGGGATACGGAAGAGATGAAAAGAAGGGGAGGAAACACCGGGCAGGGGTAGTAGCAATCGGGCTACTGCCAATCAAGACTTTTGCCAAGCTGTCAGAAATGATTTGCTGTGTCGCGAAGATGCACACTATGTCCTAATCAGTACAGACAGTTGCTGAATCTGGCATTATGTGCTGGAAACCAGTATGTGGCGTAGAGCATAACCTTTCCTCAACCGGACGTAGTTGTGACAATCCCAACTTGGAAACATTGAGCAAATCTACAGTGATTTTCCATTTGAACGATTTTCCAAGCGCTGTGGCTCCAGTAGATGGCCCTACTGAAACCAAACCCTAGCAATGGTTGTACATACTTAGTACATCTATGACGTGGATTCCTAGACCGGCTTTGCTTTTAGACGTTCATGTTGATCAACATCGTCTTTGCATGCAGATAGCCCTTTAAACCTTCATAACCACATTCCCTGCCTATCCCGCTTTGCTTGACTCCACCGAACGGTACCTGTGGTGATGCCTTAAATGCTTGGTTGATGCCGACTGCTCCAGCCTCAATCTTGCTCGCAACCCGCAAAGCTCGAGGAATGTCTGACGTGAATATCGATGCTACAACTGTTAGCTGGATTCTTTGCGGAAGGATAACGGTCAAACTCACATCCAAGACCATAGGTAGTGTCATTAGCCAAGTGAAGAGCCTCCTCCTCAGTTTTAAATGTCTTGATAGCAATGACCGGGCCGAATATCTCATCAGTAAAGACACGACTTTTAACATCCGGGTTCAGAAGTATTGTAGGTTGAACGAATGCGCCCTTGTCACCCAGAGCGTCACCGCCAGTAAGTACTTCAATTCCTTCCGCTTTTCCATCCTTCAAGAATCCCATCACCCGTTCGAATTGCTTCTTGTCAGCCAAAGGTCCGAAAGCAGTTTCTTTCAAAGAAGTGTCACCCATCTTTTTCGAGGCATCCTCGAACGCTCTCTTGACGCCCTCAATGAATTTAGGTGCAATACCTTCTTGGACCAATACTCTGGAAGATGCAAAGCAAATTTGACCCGAATTACGCAGGAAGCCTTCCGAATTATGCAGGATGGCGTTGTCAAGGTTGGCATCGTCGAAGATCAAAGCGGGCGATTTTCCTCCCAGTTCAAGAGAAACATGCTTCAAGTTAGATTTAGCTGCCGCTATTTGGACAGCGCGACCAACCGCAGCTGACCCTGTGAATGCAATTTTTGCGATGTCCATGTGAGACGCTAGCATAGAGCCAACTGGACCGGCCCCAGTCAAAAGATTGATTACTCCTGGTGGAAATCCAGCTTCCTTGATCAAGTCGCCATAAGCCAAGGCTCCCAGTGGTGCCTTTTCGGAGGATTTAAAGACGAATGTATTCCCAGCAGCTAGTGCAGGTGCCATCTTCCACGCAGCAAGTGTGTAAGTCGAGTTCCATGCAGCGATTCCAGAGCAAACTCCTAATGGTTCGTACGCCACGATCTTGTATGATCCGTCGCCTTCAGGAGGATAGCTTTCTCCTGCTATCTTCCCAGCAAAGCCGGCGTAGTATCTCCACACACCGGGTGGACCCTGTGCAAACAGGGTTGCGACTGAGATCGGTTGGCCCATGCAGACACTTTCAAGCTTGCCAAGTCGTTCGGCGTGGGCCTCAAGCAAGTCCGCAAATTTGAGCATAATAGCCGCTCTTTGGGCTCCAGGCATGGACGACCATACAGGAAATGCAGCTTTCGCAGCAGCCACCGCGCGGTCAACATCGGCTTCTGATGCGACTTGTATCTTGTCTGAGACTAACGAGTCATCACTGGGGTTGTACACGGAGATGGTTTCCCCAGTTGATGACGGGACATACTGTTGGTGTATCCGTCAATATGGGCTACAGTGGACATGGAGCTCGGACACTTACTTCGTTGTTGATGAAGAGATTGGTTTGATACGACATGGTGATGAACCTTCTGAGAGGAGTGAATGTAGAAGTGCAGAAATGAGCGACGACCCCTTTCAAGATACTCTGCAGCTATATACCTGCAGTCATGAGAGCGCCAATGCTGGCAATAACTGATACGACTGGGAATTCATGGCTTTCATTTTCCGGGCATATTCTCCCCTCATCTTCTGCCTCGGAGACTAAGAACACAAACAACCCCGCGCGAGACCCAAGTTCCGTGAGAGAGCCGGGCCGGTACTTGTGAGACCTCTCAGTGACATTGTATACCCCTCACTTAGCTGTCCAAAAACTTCAAGTTTGATAGCCAATTAGTGAAGAGTTGCCCGCGATGGTTGGGGATCGATAGCAACAGGAACGTCACCGATAGCAACAATATTGATGCGCTATGTTGAGGTTACTTGCGCTGCCTGTTCGAGATTGCTCTCAAGGTTGACTGTGGACTTTTGTCGATGAAACCAACACCTTGTGCCCAAGATCAAGCGGCTTTATGACTTATGTCTAACCAATCTACCCATCCATGCAAGGCTACGACTGAGGTGGTTGTACATACCTATTGCGTACTTGGTATGATTACGACCCATGGGAGGCCAGAGATCCTAGCCTTGAAAACCAACAACGTTCTTCTGGAACATAAAGTCTTCCAAAAGTCATCTCAAGTTTTGCAAGATGGTTTGTTTGGAAGGCCGACGATAGTCCGGCCCCAGCTAGGGCTTACGGGCGACCCCAGAGGAATTGCGCCCTTTCCGAACTAGTTTACGACCCAATTGACCATACATTCTGCTGGTAGTCGTGTCCTGCTGGGAGGGCTTCTTGCGAGGGCAAAACCCATAGGAATCACTCTCTACGGATACTGATGAGGCACTTGATATAATTAGCTAAACTCGTACGAAAAGGTCTTCGACTGGTCCGTCGCTACATTTACGGATAGGAGTTTCGCCTGCAGAAGTTCGCGAGATTCATCGCCACTGAAGCCTCAGATGATAGCCACTCGGGTACGGTTGGTGTATGCTCATTGAGTATAGTTAATCACGGTACTCGTCCTAGGAAGCAGTACGAGCACCGGAACATAATATACAACAGACTATCAGAGTTTCAGCAGAATCATCAGGATTCTATTGTTGCAGTATCCGTACCAACTGCCCTTCCGGGATTAGGGGCTTAGCGTGACTGGCGACCATCTTCTGCCTTCCCTGTGTGTCGCAGCATAAGTAATTTGCGAAGGAGCCTTAGGGCTTGGACTGAGGGGCCTCCTGAGCCCATCCTCCACAAGCTGAGCTTGATCGCCAGCAAGGATTCATGCATCTTTCAATAGCCTCGTAATTTGTGCCAATGTCTGGCTGCAAGCCGCTGACAAACTATGGAACATCTTTGAGGAGCACCAATTATCGCCTATGCTTAACTGTTCTTTTAAGCTTGAACAGGGCTGAAGGCACTCCAATCCACCAATTTCTCGTTCCTCCGTCTCGGCCACGTAACAACAAACGCCAACTTCAGGCTGCCTGCATTTGACTCTCTAAATTGCCGACTAACTAGTTGACTAGTTGGTTACACCGTAATCATTCATTCTGTCGACGATTCCTTCAGAAGCTACCCAAACAAACTCGGACACCCGGTTTTACTCGCCGGCCAACGTCAACACCCTCTTGTTCATTCAAGTTCTTCAAGCTTAACGTCGTTCCAGTGACGGTTGTCTTTGTCCCACAGACTACGGACATTGGCGACCCACGTCTCGTGATCATATTCAGATACCCTCAAAGATGACTTGCAGGTACTAAAAACCCCGCGGTCATGGCGCCGAAGTCACGAGCCGTGCAACCAGACTTTGTCTTTCTATCATATGCACCAAATCAAAACCGTAAATCTCAGGCGATCCAAGACACTCAAAGGCGCGCTCATGCCGCTCGAAAATCGCATGCAATTGCCAGGCAACGAAGAGCCGTGCCTGAGACGAGCTCAAGTGATGACGGAAGTTCTTCTGCTAGCCCGGAAAGCCCGAGCAATCAACAACTTGAGACAGCCAGCTCCAACGAGATATTAGTTGGTAAATCTACGGAGGTCGTCGAAGAAACGCACACAATTCTCCTAAACGACGACCATGACGAACGGCAGCCTGTTTTCAGGAATGATCAGTTGCAGGTATGGAGGTCTAGAAATGTTTCGCCAAACTCCCCATTCCTGGGACAAGGAAATGTTGACCCTTTCGATGCTTTTGCGGAGAAGGGTCTCCCTCCATATGTTTTCAAAGTCCTAGATATAGGTCAGTGATTGAATGGATCCTTAAAGTCGTGAAAAGAGAACGACTACGCCTATTCTCTGCGCTCGTGTTCTCCAAATCACTGACTTTACGCTTAGCTGCGGACATGAAATGGGGACATCTTAAACCTTCCGTCCTCAATCAACGATCCAATCCGTTGAAGAGGGCCTGGCTTCGTGCGAATATGGAATCTCCGGCAGTTTTACATGCCATGGTTTACGGCATGCTAGTCTCCCTGGATTCAATCCAGTCGCCGGTCGATCCCACTAACACCCTGGGTCTAAAGCATCAGACGTTTGCCATGAACCTACTTCAGAAGGAATTGCGAACACTTGGCGACGGAACTCCACACCAAAATCTTCTTCTAGCTGTGATAACGCTTGCTGCGCACGGCGAACCCGTTCGTGGCCAATATATCCCTCCCCTTGGTTATCCTGAATCCCCACTAGCAAAGACTCAAAACCTCCACATATATGGACAAATGAGACTGGCCCCTGAGCATACGCATGCGATCTTTATGATCCTTGAACGGCTTGGAGGCATTGAAGCGGTAACTCTCTACGGCTTGAGAGATACTGTTGAGTTGTTAGTCCTGTCACTTAACTTTGAACCTTTAATTTGGTACTGATAACTCAATAGTTGCGACCTGTATTTTGCCACTCGCTTCGGAACCTCTCCAAGGCTCCCATATCGCCACCCAATCTATCCACTGATACCAGACATCGAGTACGTTCCTGATTCGAAGGCGGAGCACATTCTCTTGAAATCTGTCAGATCTCTAGTCACACTTCCAACACTGGCCTTTAGCGAGTCTTATATGGAGGTCATAGGAATGGCTTGTGTGCTGCTTGCAGGCCTGGATCAGTATCTCCGAGAAACAGCATCTGCCCCTAGCCTACCTTCGCTAGTTCGTGCGAGATCTGTTTTCCAACATAGGTTGACCTCGCTACAGCCGGTCGATATGGCGGTTGCCGTCTTTGATGAACAGGTTCGCGAAATATGCCGGGTGACCTTACTCATATTTAGCAATATGGTCTTCTTTCCGCTCCCACATGTCTCAGGCGTGAATACACGGCTGGTCACCAGTCTACGCCACAGTATCTCCATCACTGGGGATGAAATTCTCCTGCAAAATCTCGAAATGATGACATGGGTTCTTATGATTGGCGGAATCGCGGCTTTCCCTACTGAACATCGCTCGTGGTTTGTTTCCACTTTCAGGCATAATCTCTTATGGCATGCAAATGATTGGAAAGAAGTCGAAGGAATACTCGAGGCTCATCTTTGGTGGGATTATTGCTGCGAAGACGCGGGGAAGATCTTCTGGAAAGAAGTCCATGCTGCACATCGCAGTACCGGTTTAGCTGGTGATGAAATTGTGTTACCCTTCTACGGTCCACCCTAAGCATATGCTACGACCGACAACATTGAATACCACGGTGTGTCGTTCAAGATATGTTAATATTCTGTCCAGCCCTCGGGAGATCCACCCCCACCACCACTCGACGACAATTTATTGTCTGATACTGGAGCATAATGACATGTGAGATATGAGCAAGATCCTAGCCCGCCACAGAAACAGTGCCACGAAGGCATGTGGGTGCTCACAACAGGTACACAAGTTTCTTGCCACTCACCTTGCCACCCCTAAGTTCCGAAAGTCCGCCGCTTACAACACCTTCGAGCCCGCCATTCCTAACATCTACCGGATGCGGCCTTATGTGTCCCATTTCAAGCAATGTCTCCACAACAATGGCAAAATCTCTCGCGTGCTCGAAATCTTCGATACTAGCTGGGTACACTTGTCCCTTGAACTCCCATTCCTCGCCAAGGAAGGAATAGCCAACAGTTGGCAGTGTTGTGATACCCGGAAGAGGCGGGGTGAATGATGACAAGACGCTGTGAATGATCTTCGATGGATTTGGCTTTCCCCCGGGTGTGAGGACCGCAGCGTAGAACTCAGCGGAATCCTTTGTTGAGATGTTATCAACACAAAGCTCCAGCGGGCCAAGGACTATCTCTTTCTCCTTCAATATTGCGACAAGCTCTGCCACCGCATTCGACGAGTAGTGATCGACAACGAAATCCGCTCCGTATGAGCACCTTTTCCATATTGTGCGGTTCACTAGTGGTAAGGACAGTGAAGTTCGATCTGGTGTCGCTCAGCCCTGGATTTCGCGATCCTCTAGTGGGAAAGATAATTAGATAAGGTGACATGAGGATGGTTCGAAAGTCGAGGTATGCTTCCCTTTAGGAAGCCATAACAATGCTCACACGTTTCAATATTTCGATCGTGAACAGAGCCAGATGCAAATAGTTTCTCATTTTCTGATCCTGGGTATCTGTAGGTAGCCTTTCGAGTTTGGAAAGCTGCGATCTATTTCTGGAGCTGTAGAGAGACCAGTCCGGGTCAGAGTTCAGAATTCAAATTACTGATATCTGTTAGCAGGGATCGGGGTGGTGGCCACAAACACCCAGTTCCCTTGAAACCGATAGCGAGAGTTCTTCTGAGGTCGAACTGAATAACTCCTAAGTAGATTTCCACCAGCAAGGAAACTACTACATCTCCAAGTCCAACATCTCTCCCTTGGTAGGGAACTCCGCTACCGATCCCAACGAAAAGGCAATATTGACATGTTTAAGCTTCTGCTCAGGTTTGAAAGGGTGTCCGAAGCCATATTGGCTCCATATTCTCCACGGGGCTGACAAGCAACAACCACGTTGTGTCAGTGAATACGCGAGCGAAGAATGATTATTGTCTGCTTCAGGGAGCCTCAATGGGCAGTGCGTATTGTCAAATAGTGCAACGATGCTGCTTTACACTCCAATATACTTTCGATAGCGTCGAACCTCTATCCGTCGTCATTTGCTACCCCAGGCGCTAGTAAATAAACCTCTAATGATATCCAGATACCTACATGGCTCCTCAGCTAACTCGGGGCGATGCTCGTGCTCTTCAGGTGTGCCTCAAAACCCTCCAGGTTGGGCCTAAGACTCGCTGCCACAGCCTTGGATGGCTTAGCCACGACTCACGTTGAACCTTTACGAGTGGTTCAATCCGAGAAACGGAAATGGGCTTTGAAGCGGTCAAGCTTTGCTATTCAGTATAATGGTTTATTCAGCGGCGAATCTGGACCTGGGTTTGGCACCCGTTTAAAACCAGGCCTTGCCGCTCTACTCAGGTATCGGGTGACCTGGCTCAGCTTCACCTCAACCTCAGCTCGAGATACTCAGCCTGCTCAGGCGTGTGCTTACTTTGCTCATCTATCTTAGCAGCCATGCTCAGGGCCATTCTTGGGCCTCTACTGTCATTGATTATTCATGATTGTGTATATTTATTCCTCAACAAAATCATGGCAAGTTTACTCGAGCGTCAATGGATCGGATTAGGGGACTGCAGGGGTTCGAATCTAGACCCATTACAAAGACCGTTAATCCGACACGAAAGTTTGCGCACGCTACTGTTGCATCCATCTGAGAGAGCCATATTAATCATCCTCTGTTATGTGAACAACCGTAGCGGTCTGCCTGGTAGATAGGTTCCCGGATCGTTAAAGTGAAGTCCTATATCGAGGGAAGCAATCAACTCCAGTTCATCCGGTGTCATGTCGAACCCAATCACATCCAAATTCTGCAACATCCTGTCCTTATGATTACTCTTTGGAATGACGCAAAGACCTCGTTGAGTTGCCCAACGGAGGAGAACTTGCCCCGGAGTCTTCCCGTACTTGGCCGCAATAGATTTGATCAGATCTTGATCAAAAAGTCTCGGAGTCTGTGCGGCTTTGGTAGGAAACGAAGCTGGAAGTTCGAGGAAGGATTGTGGACCAAACGAACTGTACGCAGTCACAAGCATATTCTGGTCCTTGCAGAAATCGACCAAGTTTTTCTGGACAAGGTAAGGATGATGCTCTGTTCAGATCAGACGGAGTTGCTTGACACATCTTAGATTCGGTACTCACCGATCTGCAGCATTGACGGCAGGACTCTTGCATACGTGAAAATATCGAAAATTGCCTGAGAATTGAAGTTGGAAATTCCGATATCCTTTACAAGTCCCTTATCATGCAACTCTTCAAGCGCTTCCCAAGTTTCTCGAATTGACGTTCTCTCTAGGCGAACCTCACCTTCACCATCGTAGTACCAACCCTAGCGCAAAGTCAGTCCTGTCACCAGTCAGAACAAGGTAAATACTCACTCTCGTGTGTTTCGGATTGAATGCGATGGCGATGGGGAAATGGATCAAATAAAGATCGATGTATCCAAGGCCCCATTCCTCTACCTGCTCAGTGCCAGTTTTGATGGCTCTTTCCCTGATTGTTATCAGCCATGAAACGCATATTCAAAGCGACTTTATACTTTTCATGACAGCTGTTCCATAGTTTAGTGGTTATAAATATGTCCTCCCTCTTTACAATACCCTCACTGATAGCACGCCTGATTCCTTCCCCGGCTTCCTTTTCGTTACCATAGTCATATGCGCCGTCAAACAGTCTATAACCACTCTTGATTGCCTGATGCCAGTTAGAAAGCTGGCGCTTCTCGTTGAACGACATCATTTACCTCATAAACCAAGTTCGCGGCTTCTTCCGGGGCTACCTTCCACAAGCCAAATCCCACCTGTGGGATTTGGTGACCCGAATGAGGGAGTGTCAAATATGGTATTGTGGCCATCTTCAATATGAAAAGCAGTGTCAGTTCAGGTATTCTTGTTGGAACAGAATTTGATCCCTTTGTGGTCCTTCTAGATATCACAATTAATATCAAAGACAGCGACTACAGCTTCCCGTTTTAGCCGTATTTAACTCTGGTGACAATGAGCAAAGCTTTCAATTTTCGAAAAGCCATGTAAGTGGCAAAGCAATCGCTTAGGAGCACCGAAAAGAAATAAAATAAGCGTCCCGCTCCCATGGAAATGTTTTGACAAGTCACGTGCCAAGAAATGCACCTTATTAAATGATGAACGAAAGCTTTTCCTCCAACATTCGCAGCCATCCAGCTGTTCCAGAGCAACCAGCATAGATCACACTTCTTGAAATGACGTCTCTTACAGGGTTAACAGCTTTAGTGGTATGTTTTTGATTCACGAAGAAGTTGCGTGCTAAGATCTTTCTAGACGGGAGCGTCGATGGGTATTGGAGAAGCAATCGCAGACACGCTTGCCAAGGAAGGTGTCAATTTGGCCTTGTTGTCCCGCAGCGAAGTAAGACCATAGATGAGCTAAGTCGGACACGGTTGACAGATTCCAGGACAAATTGGTGGGGGTCCAGAAAAAGATACAAGAACGCCATGTCAATGTCAAGGTAGCGATATACCCAGTCGATCTTCAAGACTACAAGGCTGTGGACGAGGTTGTGGAGGCTGTGGTTTCCAAATTTGGGCAAATCGATATTTTGATCAATAATGTAAGTTTGAAAGTCGTTGCGAAGGCTTCAACTGACCGCACTAGGCTGGTCTTGCCCTAGGTGCCCCGGCAAGATTTTGGGAACTTCCTATCGAGTTGGTCAACCAGATGAATGGGACAAACATTGCAGGAGTCATGTATGCCACTCATTCAGTTCTGAACAGGAGTATGTGGCTGAAGAAAGACGGTACCATTATCAACATCTCGTCTGTCACAGGTCTAGAGTGTCCGCCTTTTGACGGTGAAGCCGTGTACCATGCGAATAAAGCTTGTCTGGAGGCATTTAGCAATAGTCTCCGAATGGAAACCGCAGGCAGCAACATCAGGATCCTTGTCCTGCGACCTGGTTGTGTGGCAACCCACTTCCATCAACAAAGAGTCCAATACGATCAGAGCGCGATGGATGAATTCTTTTATGGGTATGATCCTCTGGTTGCGGAAGACCTTTCAGATGCCGTCCTCTATATGCTTAGCCGACCAGGAAGGACGTCGATCAAGGCGTTGGACTGCGTTCCTACAGCTCAGCGCGCCTTGACGCGTTTTGATCGTGAATGGAACCAGCGGAATGGTCATTAAATTTCCGACCACTTTATCCTTCATGTAATCCACTTAAGATTGAGAAGCCAGCGTCAAAAGAAAACGATAGCCAGTGTTATGGGTAGCACATCTTAACCGTTCCCAAAAGCATGCATTTTACACATCACTTCCACAAACAGTCCGCTTTTGCAAGTTGGCAACAAATGAGACCCATGAAAGAAGGCCCATATAGAGTTGCACTAAAGAGCCACGACCTCTCACAAATTTCTCGAGCTCGACGTTCAAAAAGTCTTTCATGTGACCCGTTGAATAGTACGCAGCCAGCCGTTGCTTCTTTGCTTTATAAGCAGCGTCAAGAGCCTTTGGTGCGGCCTGCTTCGTTTTCCCTTCGGTAATTTGCATATAAATACCGCACGTATGGAGCCATCGAAAGACATGTCCCAGTAGCTCATTACGTAAAAGAAAGACTGGGTAACGTATGGAGAGCCGGTTTACCATAGATGGATAATGAATGGGACTGTGCGGATGGGCTCTTTCGGAATATTGCTAGCGGCATCTCCTCTGAGGGAGTACAGTAGAATTTCACCCTCTAAACATCAGCTTGCTATGTACTTCTAAAACGAGGAAGTAAAGGCGGGTGAAGTATCTCAAACTTACCTCCATGCTTTCAACCATACCTTGAGCGTTTCTGCCAAAGCAGCCCATCGGACCTTACCTCATCTTCATCGACAGACTGATTTGAATTTAGATATCGCTCTTCTAATTCCACAGGTTTGGGCTTGCCAATTCATGCTCAAGGCCGCATTTCGAAGGCGATCAGATCTTGAATTTCAAGCACAAAGCAGAATGCTCCGCACTAAGATCGGTAAGAGCGAATCTCGGTGGTGTACTGAAATTTCTGGCCACTCTGCTAGAGATGACTTTGATGACTGTGAACACACCAGCGGTCCAGTAGTGGAGGACACAGATGACCTGCGGATGAGCCAGACTAAAAAAGTTCCGCTGAACAAAAAGAGATCTCATGGGGATCAGGAAAGTCAGGTGGGACAGCACACCACTTCGAAAGCACCTCAGGTCTCGCAGGATCGTGTAGAACTCAACTTGCAAGAAGGCCCCCCTGCGCGAACTCGGATAAAGCAGCCGACAAAAAATAAGAACGACATAATTCATCCAGCCCTAGTGATGGGATCCACTTTTTCAATTGTGCCAGAAAAGAAACCAGCAGAACTCAACAATCTTTCACAGAAGAAGGTGGATGAATATCTCAAATTCCTCCTGGATAGACGAGCACGGCTGGAGCGAGAAAAATTAGATGTTCGGATAGATAACACTGTCCCAAGTTGTCAATTACCACGACTCAAGGTCAACCACGAGCTCCCGAAACATGAAGAGGGCTGTACATCTAATTGCCATCCATGAGATTTCTGAAGGCCTTCCAAGTGGCTGTAAAGCAGAAAAAGCACGAATATCAGGGGAAGGGGGCTGTTATATCTTGAGCCTTGGCACATTCATCCAAAAGTCACTGGAACTTATTTGAACTACGACCTGATTGTGAGCTGTTATTACTTGTCAATCCATTACCTGTCACCCAGTATCCTACCGATGCCGCTTATTGATCATGTTCAACAAGAGTATATGCAAAAGAGACACAGCTTAAACCCAGATATAGGTAGGGATCCCACGACTGTACATATGAGAGGGCCATATCGATAGAATGTCGGTGGCATTGATGGGAACGTGGTACAGGGAATTCAAGTTGCTCAGATTACGAGGAGAAAATGACCATTGATGATACAGATCAGATCGTGGCAGAACTCGACCGATCTAAATCGGGTACCACGCCTCCTTCCTTGGATTCCACTCGCAGTCCCAGTCTGTTATCAGCTGGGAATGCAAAGCTATTCGCACGTAGCAAAATCTACAACCTGTCCCACTAAACATTGAAAGATATGATAGGCGCCCAGAAGTTCTTTTCGGACAAAGCTTCTCACAGTGCTGCAATGACTTCAAGTACTAAATAGTTGTGACTTCCGCTTAGCTAGCTTAGCCTTCATGTAAGAAATCGAATCACGATCTCAGCTATAGATAAGCCTTAGATGTACAGAACTCATCTGTTCTTGAGGGCTTCATGCTACGAGAAGCGTCATTAGTTCATGGCATCAATCGAGTGTTCCATGGAATTGTTATGCACACCAGAGCTTCGAGTTGTCTTCAAGGACATGCCTCAAATAAGACGGTGCTACCTGATCATCCTCTCTAGATTGAAGCAAAAAGTTCCATTGTTAAAGGAAGGGTAAGTGACACGAATCAATCTATCAACAGTCATACATCGAACCTTATTTCTGCTGGTGGCCAAAAACTGGACCTGATTTACTATAGAACTCTGCGACATCTGCCACTAGTGCATCTGGTCGTTCCCAAGCAATGAAATGACCTCCACTCTTATGCTGTCTCCAGAACTGGATGTTACAAGTCTCTTCCATCCATTCACGGGGATAGAGCCATAGCTATTGGCAAGGGTCAGTCGTTCGTTCTCGGGACTATGAGGGAAATCGAACGTACCTCCTTGGGAAATAACGATCCCCCAACCGGTTGCGAGATATATCTTCCCAGCATACTTGTTGGATTTTCGTTTAAAACTGCTTCGGCTTCCTTATAGATTTGCATTGCAGCACTCGGACTACCTTGATAGTGGATAAATGCCCAATGGATGATTTCTTGTGGCGTCCAAGGATATTCGTCTGTCCACGCTTTCAACTTTCCGGCAAACCAAGCCAGCATACCCACTGGAGAATCATGAAGTGCATATCCAAGAGTCACTGGTTTGGTTTCTTGAATTCGCTGATACCCACGCTAGCGGGGATTAGCCCAAGTTCAGTTCCGAGACAGGGGTACGGACCTCAACCGTCGCAAACCAATTGGTGCGCTCCAGATTCACAATCTCCTGCTGACTGAAATCATTGGCCACATAACGCGCATACTTTTCGGGTGCCTCTTTACGATTAGGCGGCAATGCCAAAAACATGTTGATATGTATTGCTTGCACAGCTTCAGCATGGTTGAGTGCCATATACCGGACAATTGACGAGCCCCAATCTCCGCCCTTTGGGAATGTTAGGCCATACACTCATTCTGCACCTTAGACTTACCTGACAAACATAGCGGTCGTAGTTGAGAGTCTTCATCAGGTTGGCGAAGCATTCTGCATGTTGCTCTAGCCCAAAGCCGGACTTCTTAGAATATCTACTGAACCCGTACCCTGGGATTGACGGAGCGACCACATGGAATGCTTGTCTACCATTGGAAGGCTCGGTGAGCAACGGTATAATCTTTAAAGACTCAAGAAATGAACCGGGCCTTGCAAGGTTAGCAACAAATAACATATCAAGGATAGTCGAGACTCGTACCAACCATGCACAAAGATTAACGGAATAGCCCCTGCCTTACTCGATCGGTGGTGCAAAAAATGGAGCTCAATATTGTCGAACCCACTGACTGGAATCGAAGTTTTGAAATGGTTGAATGTATTTAGATGTGCTTCGAATTCGCGCCAATCATACTCATCCCGCCAATACTCAATCACTTTCTTGAATGCCACATGTCCAAATTCAAGATCATTCCATTCTACCTCGGCCATATTATCGTCCAAGCGCGCATACTTCAGCTTTGCCTTGGTCTCCTCAAGGAACTGATCTGAAAGATGTATCTGGAATGGTACGATATCTGCCATACTCTCAGGACCTGAAGAAAGAAAATCGTTCGGAAGTGGACAAGAGGTTCAAAAGTAAGAAAGTTGTGCTGAGGCGACGATACTGGCGCCTCCCGTCTTTGGCTGTCTTCAATCCTATGTACGACTCTGACTGAAGGTAGAGAACTCTTCAGCGCGTGGTTGGCAATTGGCATTGCTGCACCAGAGAGCGCAAAGGGTCATTACCCCAGATCAGAATCATTCCTTGCCGAGCTTCGTCGCATCGAGAGAAAACTTTATAGCCGCTTCTTCGATTTCGGCCATGCTTGGCAATATGCCAGCTTGCACTCGTCGAATCACGGCCTGTCAGAATCTGGTGTCGCATCTGACCACCTATTTTGTATTGCTGCAAGCGCTTTCTACAAGACTACAGCAATCCGAATCTTATCGCAGTCTTACTTTCCACAGCATGCCTGGGCCGCGTAAACAGCACTTTTGTAGCAATTTTAACCTCACTGAGATTGAGAAACCCGGGGAAGTTGCGGGTAAAAACTAAAACCCTGATACCATGTGGCAACTCGACTTGACATGAGAGGAGGTCAAACATGCACGTGGTGCAGACAGATAAATATCTCACGTAGACTTAAGAAAGCGGCGCATCACAAGTCTCTGCTCACAAGATCTATCTGAGAATTCAATCACTTGAATAAGAGTCTTTCGAGATCAATAACCGTTCGACTAGCAATCGTCTATCAGTCTTCGGATCGAGTCGCACTCATGGGTCTACTCACAACTCGTCGACACCACCTGTTTGGTGAGGGTCGATCCGTTATTCTGGCAGTCGCATTCGCGTCCGGGATGGGCATGCTGGTACCACTGTCTTCTATCATATGATAGTTCATGGACTAATGACCCCATAGTTGTTGGGGTACGATCAAGGTGTCATGGCTGGGTTAATTGGCACACCTGGCACCCCATTTTCGGTGACTTTTCGTGATCCTGATGCAACTATGCTGGGGTTGATGGTTGGCAAGTAAACGGGCATCCATCACGCATCAAATCTGACTGATTATAGCCATCTATGAAATCGGATGTTTCTTTGGTGCACTTTTCATACTGTTATACGGTGAACGTTTTGGCCGTCGAGCATGCATGTTGGGAGGTGGAGCTGTCATGCTGGTTGGTGCAACGCTTCAATCTGCATCATACTCTTTCGGAGCCCTTATTGCCGGCCGCATAATCACAGGACTGGTTTGTGGATGTTCCGCCATGGATGAATGCTTGCTAAATCTTGATTTAGGGCAATGGAGCAAACTTTTCAACCATTCCGGTCTGGGCGTCAGAAATATCCGGCCACGAACAACGGGGCAAGGTTGCGGCCTTCAGTGGATGGCTCATTATCTGGGGTGTTGTTATTGCCTACTGGTATATCATATCTCTCTCACTACCATTCATTCTGTTGACAACGTTAGGGTTGACTACGCTTGTGCCACTTACACTAATGATGTCCAATTTCGTTTTCCCATCGCACTCCAATGCCTCTTCGCTATCATAATGATGGCCATGATTATCGGTAAGTGCATCAGAGCTGGTTTTTTGCACATACTAACTGGCCTCGCTAGTCCTGCCGGAGTCGCCTCGATGGCTAATTTCGCAAGGCCGAGACGCAGAAGCGAAAGAAGTACTTCGATGGATAACGCCCAAGAAGAGTAAAGAAGATGCGGACAATGAAGACGCCGCGCACCTGATATATGCGAATATCGTGAGCGCCCGAGAATTTGAACTTGCCGCGGAAGGGGAGTTCTCGATTATGGAGTTGTTTCATGGTGGAAAAATGCAAAACTGGCGACGGACGGCCATTTGTTTTGCTGTCATGGCATGCCAGCAACTGAGCGGGTAAGGGCAGAATGCAATTATGGAGATTTTCTTTTACTAACGGTGAACAGGATCAACCTTCTGACATATTATATCTCTTATGTCTTGGAAAACTCTCTAGGCCTCGACCATCATCTATCACTCTTGCTAGGCGGCTTTAACGGCCTCGAATATCTTTTTGCGTCTGCCATTCCGATATGGACAATCGAGCGAGTTGGTCGCCGAAAATTGCTCCTCTTCAGCGCGGCAGGTCAAACCCTATCAATGGCTATCCTGGCTGGTGCTATCTGGTATGTCACGGAAAACCAAGATGGTCCTGCGAAAGTTGGTATGGGCATCCTTGCCGTCGTCGCGTTTTTCCTGTTCAACACATTTTACGCTCAAGGATTTCTCGCGATTCCCTTCTTCTATCCTGCGGAGATCACCAATCTGAGAACGAGAAGTCGTGGTGTCGCTATCTCTGTCATGAGCAATTGGATTTTCACTTTCTTGGTTGTCATGATCACACCAATCTGCACAGCAGATATTGGATACAGGTAAGCTGACACCGATCCACACTACCGGGCTTTGCTGACACTCGAAAGAACGTACATCCTCTTCGCCGTGCTCAATTTCTCCTTCATTCCACTTATTTATTACTTTTTCCCAGAAACGGCTGGATTGTCCTTGGAAGCTCTGGATGCGATGTTTGATTGTCCAGGTATCACGAAAGGTGTATTGAGTAAATCACACCGTCGAAATATGATCGCGATATCGAACGATCCGTTCCGCCGCGACTCGCACATTGATGTGGAGGTGCCAAATGCGTGCGAGAAGAGGCTCTCTGTGGGCCACCTTGAGAGGGGCTCGGAACAGTAGTTCAAGTGTTTCTCTTTTGACAGGAAACAGTGAATGCTTTCTTCGCTGGAAACATTCTGATCGGTTCTGGAGGAAGGATGGCAAGTACGGAGGGGAGTTGAGAGGTGTATGTCTTCCGGTGAAATGACCAAACTTGACATAGGTTGGTAGAGCATTTGGTTCATGTTTTGCACGTAGCATAGTATAGTTGCGTTGTTTCTCTCGACGACATACAACCCAGAGAGTTCAGTCTTTACGAATCAATTTATATTAATGTCTCTTTGTTGGTTCTCTTCGCAACTACATCAGAAAGGTGTACCATTCATCCACTGGGCTTCTCGACAGTGGTCACTTTGGTTCACCAGGTCAAATAAAGAGTTCAGATTTCTATCGGCTCACAAACCGTTGTCTCACTTTAAAACTGGCGTCTTCTGGCTCTGGGGTTTCGCGGCCCCCCAGGTCCCAATAATTACATCAGGCCCCAAGTTGTACATATTCTTGGTGACGGCTTGTTCAGGACAGTTGGCTGTTACTGACATGAGACCCATACCCCGCAGAACGAGCAAAGGACGGTTTCGTATTTTGAGATCCAGTCTTCTAGGATCTACCATCGCTTGTCTGACTTACACCACGGTCGCTGAGCAGCAGAGTCATATGGCAGTGGCCATTATCACGACCGATAGTCCGTCCTCAAGATTTTGGCGGGCTCACGGACATCCTTGCCCAAGGGGGGCACGCTAGTATCTATCGACACGTACCCTGCTTATCTCTCATCCCGAGCCCATGGCGGTGATAACGGTGTCTTCCAGTCTGGATTTTAAACACCGAACAATGGTTTGTTAGTGGCGACAAAAAACTCACGGCAACCACAGCCCACTAGCAGCCGTGTATCATTCTCGGTTCACCACATTTCTCCGAACCGACAAAAGCGCAAAATCTTTAACGGAATAATGCCACGCTCAGTAATGATGGCCAGCTTATTTCCGTGCTTAGGTTTGCCCAAGTCGGAAAGATCATGCGCTGGCATCACTACCTCAAAGCGGCCAGGTTAAGCGTATGTCTTAAACACTTCTCCAGCAGAGCACCAGCAAAAACGTTGTGGCGGTTCCCACTTCCCCTTACAGTCACGGGTAGTGATGTCGAGTCCTGGGCAAATACTCTACTCCTTTCGAAATACATCTTCAAGTTGGCTATATCTGCCTGCAAGGATTAAACTCTGAACATCTTCCCATCACTTCCATCAATACACTTACATCGACAGTCAAGTCACTCCACCGAAATGTCACCTATTTCCGAGAAGGACATAATCAATGACAGCGGTTTCAGTGCTTCAGGGAAAATCATTAGTAAAAGACGACTATCACAAGCAACAACAGTGTCTTGGGCGGCTCCAGCGCTTACCCAGGAACATGATTTAGTTTTGAAGACTTTTCGCCTTTTGATTGCCGACCTATGCCAGCAATTCAAGGGTGGCCACCCAGGTGGTGCCATAGGCATGGCAGCAATAGGGGTTGCACTATGGAAATACGTCATGAGTTATGCTCCCTCCCACCTAGAGTTTTTCAATCGCGATCGATTTGTGCTCTCAAATGGCCATACTTGCTTATTCCAATATACCTTTTTACACCTGACGGGCTATCGCGCCATGACGATAGATCAGCTCAAGTCTTACCATTCTTCGAGGGAAGATGCATTGTGCCCTGGCCATCCGGAGATTGAGCTTGAAGGCATTGAAGTCACAACAGGACCTCTCGGTCAAGGGGTTGCGAATGCGTTAGGCTTAGCTATAGCCACGAAACATCTAGCCTCTAAGTTCAATCGACCAGGCTACGAGGTGGTCAATAATCACACCTGGTGTATGGTGGGAGATGCTTGCCTACAAGAAGGGGTTGCCCTAGAAGCTATATCATTTGCCGGCCACCTAAAGCTAAACAATCTCACTATTATCTATGATAACAATCAAATCACTTGTGATGGGTCTGTCGACTTAACCAATAGCGAGGACGTGAATGCCAAAATGCGTGCCTGCGGTTGGGACGTGATTGATGTCGAGGATGGGTGTTTCGATGTGGACGGTATTGTATCCGCTCTAACAAGGGCAAAACATTCCTCAGAAAAACCAACATTTATCAATGTCAGGACGATTATCGGCCTCGGCAGCGCTGTGGCCGGCGATGCACTATCTCATGGAGCGGCTTTCGGCGACAAAGACGTGGCCGATATGAAACGTGCTTCTGGATTCAATCCCGAAGAATCTTTTGCCATTCCAGAAGCAGTACGCCAATTCTTCGCCGATTTGCGTCCTCGGGGCGAGGTCATCGTGGCGAAATGGGAGAAAACCTTGGAGTGCTATGGAGTTGCACATCCTGAGCTAGCAATTGATTTTCAAGCTCGACGGCGGGGCGAACTTAACTCTGACTGGGAATCACTTATGCCAACTATATTTCCAGAAACAGCTACCGCCACTCGGGTTGCTTCGGGTCTAGTCTTTAATCCTATTGCCCAAAATATCGAGAACTTTATGGTCGGCACAGCTGATCTCTCACCATCGGTGAATATGATTTGGAAAGGCAAGCAAGATTTCCAGCCTGCAAGCCTGAAAACACAATGCGGTATTAATGGAGACTATGCCGGAAGATATATTCACTACGGTATTCGAGAACACGCCATGGCAGCCATCGCGAATGGGATAGCTGCGTTCTCACCCAACACAATCATTCCAGTTACCTCTTCGTACGTTAGCCCTGTTAATAATTTCCTTCAACTACTAACGACGTTTCTAGCTTTTTTATGTTCTATCTCTACGCAGCTCCAGCTGTGCGCATGGGGGCACTCCAAAATCTCCACGTAATTCATGTTGCAACACATGATTCCATCGGAATGGGCGAGGATGGGCCCACTCACCAGCCGATTGAGCTCGCAGCGCTCTATAGAGCCATGCCGAATCTCTACTATATTCGTCCAGGCGATAGTGAAGAGACAGCCGGCGCATGGGCTATTGCAATTGAGGCTAAGCATAATCCTACGATTATCTCAACTTCACGTCATGCAGTGCGACAACTTGCCCCAAAGACCAGTCGTAGTGGGGTGAAACGAGGCGCATATGTGATTGAAGAGGATGAAAATGCCGACTTGACCATTATTGGTGTTGGTGCAGAACTTGGGCTAGCAGTGGATGTCGCATCGGAGTTGCGGGAGAAGCGAAACATTCGTGTACGTGTTGTGTCGTTCCCGAGTCACAGACTATTCGAAAAACAATCACCCCAGTATAGGCGCGATACACTACGTCGAAGCACAGGCATACCTGCGGTGGTGATCGAGCCTTATGCCGCTCTCGGTTGGGAACGGTACGCCGACGCCGCAGTGTGCATGAGCATGGACCGTTTTGGACAGTCTCTTCCAGGTCCCCATGCTTATGCATACTTTGGATTCTCAAAGGACACAGTGGCGCTTAAGATACAGCACTACTTACAACGGAGAAACGCAGGGGATATCTTTCCGAATGAGTTTGTTGAGATGACTAGATAGGCTCTTGACGATGTCTAAACCTCAAATGGTGCCATGTGTACGCACGCGGTTTCTGGCGTTGCAGAATTTGAAAGCGATTTGACGAGCTAGAGGGTGATCGTGTATATAACCTGCGCATGTAATTCGGCGAACGTGCTTTATAATCTCTGCAATCAGCCACAAGTGTTCTACGAGATATCAGATCCAAGCGGATGCTTGGTTGTCTATGGTTGTTTGATTTGGACAAACTACCAGATTCAGACGGAAATTAGGAAAGCGAAGATAGATCGATAGGTCGGTAAAAAATAGATTCACTCATACTGAATGATAAAGTGCTTTGGGAAACCAATCGTATAATATGGTGAAGATTGATTGACTTGTTCACAAAACTGAAGGTGGTTGATAATTGTCTCATAAAGAGTACATAAATGATTATTTCACCACTGGGTAGCGCAGCAACTGGGTGCTCTGTGAGCCACACTCCGGTCAGACATACGGTGGAATTGGAGTGGTCGACACATAAGTACCATGAAAAATGATTCCCTGGAAATACCATTCTTTGGATCGTGTGGTGCAGCGCGGAAAAGGTCCATGGACCCTAATCACCCAAGTCTCCCCAGTGCTGTTTCAAATCGTCTGCTCTCCACATGGCACCCCAGCCGGTGTCACGTTCGATCCGCTCGTAGATTTCAATGATTGCTCGATGTTCAGCGTGATGTGACATCAATTGGCCTGCAAGCCACAGGGGTTGCACGCTGTTTGTCCAGCACCCATGATGGGTGTTAGACATGGAGATTGCACATATCTGACGTGCATGCCAAAGCATAGATCTGGGTTTTTTCGCCACTTTCCGTGGTATCCTTTGCAGCATAAGAAGCGCTGCGGTGTGGTGTAATTGGTTGCCAGAGATGGCCGCACCGCTTCCATATAAGATGGTGGGAAAAGGTGACTGAGGATCCTCCTTCTTCGAACTGGCACTCTGGTACAATAATTCTTGCATCTCAGGAGGACGATGAGTGTACCAGTCTTCTATGCGAGTGAAAAGAGAGACCCATGTTTCAAGGGTTTCAACTTGACCTTTGTTATAAGTGGTGAGAGAATTCTTTTCTTCCTGTCTCGAGGCACCGAATAAAAAATGTAACACGCGACCCAAAAGATAGCAGGCGTAATTAGCATGGTCCTCGAAAGGCTTAGGAGTGCAGAAGTGGGCACAGTCCATCTCAAAGGAAGAGGTGGTCATCCACTCATCGATGGGAATCAGTGTTCGTTCGGTGGAGATGAGACCTCCGCAAACATCTAAAATCATCCATTAGCCTTGTTGTTCAAGCTCGAAGACTTGATCTTTGAGTCTCCTAGGGTTAAATACCCATCCTTGCGAAGCACCAGAAAAGTGCTTGCTCAACCCCACCACTATCACCACGGATATTCATTGCTCTAAGTAAGCAGGCACACCCATCCAGGTGACGTCGCCACGCTTTGGGCGAACCTAACGGCATCAGATGGACTTTTCAGCAAAGTTTCTCCCAGTACTCACAGCTTAACATTTCCAGCACACAGAGTATTACGCACGAAGCCACGACAGAGACATCTTTAGTATGCATTTCTGGAAGCAATTTATGGATTGCCTGCTGATATAACATGAGACTTGTAGCGGCCGGGAACGACCCATTTTTTCTTTCGAGCTGCCGTGAGCTCAGCGCTAGCATGGCATAGCGGAGATGTGATGATTTCTTTGCGATGGTGGGAATAGTATGGCGAAAGTGCTTATGGATGTCGAATTTGTCGAGCTGCTTTGCACGTAAGTAGTTGTAGGAGAACGGATGAATTGTTGGCTTCAACCCACCCAAGCAGAGATCTCGTCAATCCAGTTCTTCCATAGAATGTACTCTTGTTGAGCTGTTAGGACAATGTTTGTATCCGAAATCTCTTCTGATCCAGCAGACACGCCAAGGGTGAATGCTGCAGCATTCGGCTGACTCGCAACAGTTGGATTCGTCGTATCGTTAAACGATACATTCCGCGAGGGGCTGGCCTCACGGCTCGGTTCCACGGACTGCGCAGTTAGAAAGACTTGGCTGCGCAATGTGTTGTGAAGGGCCTGGTATCTTGAGCCTGGCAGAAACACCCCGTCATCAGTGGTGGTGCCTGGTGAAAACTGGAAATCTGCCTCTTTGAGTCCAAAGAGCGCTTCACTCGCAAAGGCAGTGTTTTCTACGTCTTCATAGGTCTGGTTGTGCGGTAAAGGAATCCAGGAGCTGTGTTGAGGCTGAATTCGATGGAAAGTGAGGTTGATTCGCTCCCGGATCGTTACTACCAGATAGTGATGGCGATACTAATTGCATTATCGAGTTGGAAAAGGGACTTGTCTGGAAGTTAGGGTGGGCATCTGTCGGAGATTGTGGGGCAACAAGCGTCCCCTGCTGTAATTCATGCAGTTGCTCTTGATACTTATCATCGGGTGCGACCTCAGCGATAGTGCGCCGCCGTTTGTATTTACCGATGTGTCTACTGAAGTCGGCGTTATCGAGGACCTCGGACGTAGGGATGCCTTCAGGGGTATCATTGACATCGGTTTCTGTACCCTGAACCCTCACAATTTCAGTAAAAGCTGCTCACATTGGAAGGTCATTGACCGTGTACCTTGTCCCTATCTTCCCGGATCCTACTAACAGCCAAGCGTGGTGACTGAGAAGTTTCATCTATGGTCAAAGAATTCTGGGGTAAGAAACTAAGGGGGCGAACCCATTGGCACGATTCACCAGTCCTGTCGCAAGTTGAGCATGTTGGTTTCGTCTCGTCACCTTCAGAGGATGATTAGTGAATCAGGGTTTATAACAAACTCAGTATGAGTAGATGCTGTTTCAAACGCATACATTTCTTCTTCTTCAGGCGACAGTTTACACAACCTGTTCGTGAACGGGTCCGCCGTTTGCTATTGAGGGATATTTCCAAGAGATCTTGGTCGTTCAAACCCTCCATTGGTACGTTGAATCAGGCAATCTCAATAATGGGCTCGACGCGGCAGCATTCGAGGGCCGGTTCTCATGCCACCTGCGAACCCCGCTTGCCAGGCTCCAGGTCAATCGAACTTTTGTGCTGCAGGCCCAAGACCCTTGTATTGCTGTCGTTGAGCAACCAGAACCGGACAAGAGAGTAACAACATGAAGGTGCAAAGAAACTCAGCAAGACGAAATCAGCAAGACGCCACGGAAGTTTTGATGGGAAGCTTTAGAAACTTGATTTAGAGCAGAGATCCGATGCCTCTGGCGTGCTTATCATTGGGGAGAGAGCGCGGGGTTGGGAGCCCGGCGCTGCCACAGCGGCCGAGGGTTGGATTGGCTGGCAAAGTCACTCAGAACTTTGAACTTGTGGCAGACACTACTCGTACGGATCTTTCTAATCCCAATTTCCTGATTGCTGGCGATCTCTACGGCTAAATGTGAGAACTATCTGAATACATCACCCAACCTGGACATGGTCTTGCCTACAGTTGCAGTGCTGCACTTATTACGCGGTCGCACAATGACCTCCATCAACTCTGAGATCAGCTCCTGTCATGAAACTACTGCCTTGAGCCAGCAGAAACACTATTGGCGCTTTGAAATCCTCGGGAGTTCCCAGCCTTCCGAGAAGCGCCCCGGCCATCCATGTACTCTCAACATCGGGTTCAGCTTGGAGGAGAGCGTCGGTCATGGCCGTGCGAATATACTGTCCAGTTGTTAGCCACTGTCTCGGAACAATGCACAGACATAAATTACCCCTGGCGATAATGTGTTGACACGAATGCCATATTGGCCCCATTCTTGTGAAAGCGATCGGCACATCTGCCGAACGGCGGCTTTACTCGCATTGTACGCTGTACACGTGAGTCCCTATTGGCAAGAGTCAGTCTCAACTATTCACGAATGAAACATCTGGTCACTCACTCGATTGGCAATATTGCCAGACATCGAAGCGATCAACACTATGCTACCTGGCGTTCCGGTCGCAACCATGATCTTCGCCGCATTCTTGGCGGTCAAGAAGGCACCGGTAACGTTGACACCCAAAATTTTCTCGAAATCTCTTGCTGGATACTCTAGCGCTGGTAATTTTTGTTGAATTCCGGCACAAGCCACTGTGCCCTGGAGAGGAGCATTACGCGCTTGCGCCTCCTCGCTTATTGATGAGAAAACCTCTTGCAACTCTTCGTCATTCGTGATATCGCAACAATGATATGATACACTGAGCTGAGACGCTTTTGCCATACTTTCCAAGTGGCGCCATTCTGCTTCTGCAGGTTGAGGCAAGATGTCCAGGCAGGCGACGTGGCCACCAGCCTCTGCTATGGCACGGGCCAAAATGATTCCCAGTCCTCGTCCAGCTCCTGTGACGATTGTAGTTGTGTTTTTTAGTGAGAACAGCCTGTCAGTCGCCTTGTCTGTCGCCGCCTGTTGTCTTTCTGGTATAACCGAGGGCGTTGTTGTATCGTTAACGACCGAACCCGCAAGGATACCTGGCGCCATTCCTGCAAATGGTTTGGAATTTGGGTTGCGACGAAGTAAGTGCTCTGAGATTGAAGTGACAATATCGTGAATCTTGACTCTACAGGTTCGAGACTTGGCTTGAGTCGGGATCATAAAGCAAGACTCCTAGATCAGCATCGATCTCACACCTTGGACAACTTCAAGCACTTTCATCTCGTGTCCAATCTTGGTGGTTGGCGCGAGAGGGGAAGACGGTCCCCCTGGTGTCAACGCATGAAGCGCTAAAATTGCCCTAGTTTGGCATAAGTAATAACCACGGAAGATTTGGCGCAACTTTCGGCGGACTCAGCGCAAATCGAATCCGACAACAGAAGCTGTAAGCGCCTGTTCCGCACCCTGTAGACTGGTCGGGTAATTGTGCTTGAACTCTTGAGCAGTCCTGTCTTACAAGTGGCAAATATTACCATTTTCAAGCAGATAGAGAAACTGCAACACTTGTCCTACCATCGTAATAAGAGAATCTCTGAAGCTGTTGAAAAAGCTCCCGCATCGATTGCAAGCGCTCGGCATGTCGAGTTAATAATACCTATCGACTATTTCATGGTACTCTCTCCCGCCGTCTGAGAAGTTATCAAGAAGTGCAGATAACGTCGGTTCTAAGAGGAATAATATGTACGATGCGGACCAAACACTTTATCAACGATGCAGATAAGCTTGTCGAAGCCGCCTTGAAATCACAATCTGTTGTTCGACCAGATCTGAGCCTCGACCTCGGAAACAAGATCTTATATGGCCCCAGACATGCCGAGAACCCGAGCCAGGTTGCGATAATTTCAGGAGGCGGATCTGGTCATGAGCCCTCTTTTACCGGTCTCGTTGGTGAGGGCGTTCTCTCAGCTAGCGTAGTAGGCACGATTTTCGCATCTCCTTCTGCGAGGCAGGTCCTCAACGCGATCGAAGGTGTCGATGGCTCTCGAGGAATCCTTGTCACAGTCATGAACTACACCGGAGATGTACTCAATTTTGGTGTGGCTATAGAAAAGGCAAGAGCGAGAAACCCCAAATTGAGGATTGAGATGCTCGTCGTTGGCGATGACGTGGGAGTCACTCGCAGTAGAGCAGGAAAGGTCGGTAGAAGGGGGATCGCAGGCACTGTGCTGGTGCACAAGATCACGGGAGCTTTGGCAGCTGCGGGTTCGAGCCTAGATAAGGTCGTTGAAGTTGGCCGCCTCGTGGCCGCCAATCTTGCCAGCATTGGCGTGTCTCTCAACCGTGTTCATGTGCCGGGTCGTCCGTGTGAGCAGGATACGCAGGATTTGCTCGGCATAGATGAAGTCGAGTTGGGTATGGGTATTCACAACGAGGCTGGCTGTGGGCGAAGAAGTGGCGATGATGCGAGACTTCCGGTACTTGTCAAAGACATGCTTCAACAGCTTCTTGATCCAAACGATGATGAGAGAAACTACCTTCCAAAAGCCACGAAGGACGTGGTAGTATTGATCAACAATCTTGGCGCCTTAAGTGTTCTAGAGCTAGGTGGTATAGTCCTGGAAGTTACACAGCAACTTCTCCAGGACTACCGTCTCAATGCTGTAAGGGTTTTCTCCGGGACTTTCATGACGAGTCTTGATGGGCCAGGATTCTCGGTGAGTTTACTCAATGTGGTAGACACAGGAGTCCAACAGACTCTGTTAGACTTGGTTGACGCACCGAGCAACGTATCAGGATGGCATACCATAGCAAGATCCAACACGAGTATGGCGTCCACATTCGTCACCACAGGAAACAGTCCCTTTTCGTATCAAGGGGAGGAATTAGAACAAACGTGTTTGGAATGTGATATGGGGCCTATACTGGCGAAGCTAGGAGGTGGTCTGCGTGCGCTTGTTGCTGCAGAGCCGGACATCACCAGGTTCGATGCCATAGTTGGAGACGGCGACTGTGGGACAACACTTAAGCGTGGTGCAGAAGGTAAGATTCCAGGCTCATGAACATCTCACGTGCGAAATTGGGGCTTACTAGTATTGATAACAGGCATCCAGAAGGCCCTCGCAACATCACGTCCAAAGAACATCATCAAACTACTGAGCCGAATCACGGAGGTTGTCGAAAGCACTATGGACGGGACATCGGGAGCTCTATACGGCATCTTCTTGAACAGTCTTTTGCATTACTTCAGGTCGCATGCTGAAGTGATGACAGTAGTCGACAGAGGATTTTGGACTCTAGCCCTTGACTCCGCACTCACGGTACTCTCGAAGTATACACCTGCGCAAGTTGGAGACAGGACGATGATGGATGCGCTCATCCCCTTTACGCTGGCATTGAAGGCTTCGAGTGATGTGCAACACGCGGCGAGCGTCGCCAAAGAGGGCGCTCTGAAGACCCGGTCCATGCGGCCTGGACTCGGCCGGACTGTTTATATAGGTAACGAGGAAGCCTGGCTGGGAAAAGTTCCTGATCCAGGAGCCTGGGGTTTGAGTGAGTTTTTTGAGGGTCTGGTGAGGTGATGGCGCCTTTACGCTCTGTGTTCCGAGAAAACCGAACACACCATGGGAGACTAAGCGTAAACGTAGACTCATCATCAGTCACGAACACTTGTGAGCCTAAATTGCGCACCTAGACTACGTACTCGAAAGCCGAAACCCCTCTAAACATTCCATCAGAACCACTTTCCCAGGATACTGTTGGACTGGCCACGCCCCGATCAATTTTGTCAACATCCCGCCAGTCTCTCTGTTCCGTCATGTGTGGTCCCAGTATATGTTCTACCACCTGATGCCTCGATGCTAGGATTCGACCTGCCCTGCCCCTCATTTGTCTCAGGGTGACCAACTTGGCAGACTCTAATGAAGGATATCCTTGCCGGCAGGGCCAGGAGGCGTTGTATTCTCACGGACCATATCAATTTTACACAGTCACAGAATGTTCTTGGGATCTTATTGAGAACAATGATTCTCCAGTGGTGGGAAATATATCGTAGCAGCTTCATTTGCCGAACTCTTCTCCCCCCTTTTTATGACCTAGAGGAAGGTAATGATATACTGTGCTTGCCGCATAGGGCAATAACTGCTTCAGGATGGTTGAAAGATACCGCGTTAGGGCTAGTTCGTATCGCAATAACCCCCAAATAGTGCGTGAACAATTCACTGGTCCAATCCGTAAGCCTTCACTCCTCGAGAACGTTCACTTCAGATTTAACAGGCACACGAGTTATCCACGGGCACCGGAATCTTGCAAAAGAAGAAAAGAGCAAGCGTACGGTGTGGTTGATCAACGGAACTCAATAAAGAGCAAGACTGGGAACCAGAATACGAAAGACGTACCGCCAATCATGGTGAATGTCATAAGGATCGTATTCCTTGGGGACCAACACACGACTAAGATATCCACTAGGGAAAGAAACAGAAACAATGCGATAATCTCGCACTCTTTAACTTGTCCAAGCATGCTCCGCTCGCAGCAATTAATGCATCTTGTGGATCATGAAATGTGGTGCATGGCTGCATGGGTTGAGCTTGGTCTTATCATACGAAAATCGTAGTTAGTATTCTTCGCGATATGCCGAAACTTGAGTCCACCACATATCTAACAATATATGTCCGAGGAATGATTATTGCTTACGCTTCGTATATGCGGACGAATCTCCACACAAGAATAGCTCCCTTCGTATTTACATGATCAAATACTGTTGTGTCCTGTTTGTGTCTCTTTTTGGGTCTAAGCTGAGATAGTTCCGTATCGATGCTCTTATTATTTGAATCTCAAGGATTCTGACCTTTGAATGGCGCGGAGCATAGCAATTAATCTTATTCTTCATTGTCGCCAGCTTTTCGATACTGGTATCTACTCAAGCTTAGTCTGGCCAGATACGTCTTCTTGGCCGACTACGCCTCCAAGGCTTCTAGGGGGGACTTTGACCTGCAGCAGGGTGTAAGGACTCATCCGAATCATTACAACGATACCTGAAATAGCGTTTCCTCGCTTGCGAACGACTAATGACAGCCTACTTTGGTTCCAGCTAGGGGTCTTGAATATTCTGCACCTCCGTTTTGATACTGAGTCCAACTTGTTCTAGGCGGTCAACATACTCGCGTCCGAGGCAGGCAGGAGTGTATATCCCTCCTGACAATCGTCCTGAGTCGACTTCCAACAAAGTTCGAACTGCTTGTCCAAGCAGCGCCGCCGTCACTAAAACCTGGTCAAGATCGGACATTCGCTCAGCTCGGAATAATGGAACTTACAGTAATACATGCTCCCAGGGAAGCGGAGCTGCCCAAAAACCTGCTTTCCCCCTTCGGACTTGGTATCGGGCATGGCAACAGCACGGAATTCGATGATCTCGTTCTTTGCCTTTTCCTTATCGGGCCCTTCACCGGGTTGGAAGACGGCCTTTCTCACCAGTGCTCGGAATGGAGGCAATAGGACGAACAAAGCGCCGATGATCAGGCTGTAGTGCACCAGCACGCCTTTGAAGAAGCTGTCAGTGTTCATATACTCTTGGTACGTGAAGTTAGGCCCATAGAACTCAGCGTTCAAGGAATCTTCCTGTTTTGTCAAACCCCAGGTGCGATGTACGATTGCCGTATTTAGTGGACCAGTCGCACTTGTTGATAGGCGGCCAAGGCCTGTTATCGTACGTTGGCCAGTAATGGCGGACAAGAAGGATCCTTTTGGTGCCATATGCTCGTTTGGAACTGGCGACAGCGCGTATGGTTTCAATGCTTGGCCGATAAATTTGAGAGAATATGTGTCGAAAAGATTCAAAAACGTCGTTACTGTGCCGCCAGACGGCATTGACCTAGGACCAACGCATCAGTGGTGCTCGCTTGTGGCTGGGAAAACTCAGAGGGTCACACTGACTGGAGCTCATGCATATCCACGACCACATCGCCGGTATGTGATGAGAGTTTCGACCGGACATCGGTGACAACGGCCCAAGTAAGGAGGTCTGACGGTGCAGATTCCATCGCACACTGAGGAAACATACAAGCGCCTGTCGTTTTCGCTGTAGCCTCATATTTTTTGATCATTTCCAGCGTCCAGGGGACCTCCGGTGTGCAGTCGACATAATAAGTGCCTGATTCAGCACAGGCCTTGAACGCGTGCTCTCCATATAGCGCATAGGGACCGACTGCTGCGATCATAGCGAATGTCCTTCGTGCCAATGCGGAGACATCCTTGTCGTCTAATTGGCAGACCTCGATGGCTGAAATGCCCATCAATCAGCCTGACCAGCAGTGCTGGAATGTCCATATCTTACCTGGGCTGATGTGTGTTGGTGCTAGCTCTTTGCACCGAGTAGCAAGTTGTTGGAGTTTATCAGCTGAACGACCTGCAATCGCCCATTTGAGCTCTGGAGGAAATTTTGAGGCAATGTGCTCCGCCGTCAACGTTCCAGAGTACCCTGGATGGGCATTAACAACCATTCATCTATCATTATCCGACCGATACTCACCAGTGGCTCCAAAGACAACTATGTCGTACTCACGGCCGTGCTGTTTGTACACCATGTTGTCTCCCTTGAGTCTTGAAAGCCTAGCTCAAGAACGTTTCGTTGGCATCCTATCAAGACTTTATCAACCGCTGTACCCTGACTTTTTAAAGACCTTGATGCCGTCGAGGTAAAGCAAGAATTAGTTTCATGCACTCACTTTAGTCTGGTCCGTCAAGCAAACCCTTCTCGGTGGGCGGCGTTTCAGTACGCCCGTATCTTGAGTGCCAGCCAAGCACTCGCTTGCGATTGTTGGAATTAGGCGAGAAAAGGCTGACTATCTGCGGCCCGACAGTAAGAGCCAGAAGATAGATTACACTCAGGTCTGCTCGGTGGTTTAATCAGTCAAAGGTTGGCCTTGGTCGTCAGAGCCACCCTCCGATTCTCCATGAAAACTCCGGTGCACTCCACTTCAGCGTGATCGGCTTGAGTTTCATCCGAGAAACCAATCGTCCCGCCTCCCTTGTTTGCTATCACTACTAAGTACGATTCTAAATAGCCATCCGGGATTCTAGAGAGTTTTCTTGACATCCGGCTGCTAGGCCGGAGGCAGCCTCTGAGATGTCAAGCTCTTGTCATATGTCGATAGCAATAGTTATTTAGATGACGTTGTTCAATATCATATCAGCCGAGTGCATACCGCATTCAGCTTTGAAGGTGATTGTTCACTAGATGAGCATAATTCCTAGCCCACTTATGTAGTAAATGCTACTTACCCGTGCTTGCAGGTCTCAAAATCTCTCTTGTCTCGTTAAGCGATACCATGTATCTTCCGAGCAGCTTACAACGCCTTCTGGAAAAATCATCTCATAGTCTAGCTCGCCTGAGCCATCTAATGCGCCATTGTGTTGCGCGTCATCATGCGGCAGTCCTGTATTTGAAGGCCATACCGAAGGGTCACATGTCGGAAAATGCTCTGGTCCAGTGAACTGCTGGTTGTCAATTGTCGACAAGCCTATGGGCTGTTGCGTACTGTTTATGGCTCCTATGCGATCTCCAGGCATCTCGAATAGGGTCACGGGGTGGCCAACAGCTGCTTCACTCCGGCTCACTGAAGTGGCCTCGAAATCCTGGCTCGGAGAGGCTGATGGTACCAGAGGGGGTGGAAGATTTGGAGCCCCATTACCAGCTTTCCCTGCATATTTGTCTCGCCACTGCCACAGCGAATCATGTACAATACTGAAGAATAAACGAGAGTTGAGAGAAATGCTTGGTGGTTGCGGATGAGTGTTAAATAAGTCTGCGTGGATCACCCAAATCTGAGCCAGGAATTTCGTAGTTCGTCCGTTTGTATCGTTGTCTTCGACTGAGTATTGCTTGTACATTGAAATTACGAAATTGAAGAGATTTGTAGCGACTTCGATGTTGACGTACTCGCGATAGGTTGAGTGGAGTACCTTGGATATAAAAATTGCCATAGCACTACTCACCCGTAACGTGAGAAGACTGAGGTATTTGATTGAATGACCTTCTGCTTCTCCAAGCCGTAAGATTTCAAGGTATTTCACGCCGGTGTTGAAAGCCTTGATGATACCCTCTTTCCGTGCTGGGCTTTCTATTCCATCAAACAACCAATACGCTCGCAGCTGGAAGCTGGCTGAGTAGAAGTCGAGCTCTGCGTGGTCTGATCGAACTTATTAGTCGGTCAGTCAGTCAGAGAACAATCTACAACAAACTCACAGGTCCTGACACTGCCTGAGCGCCTTTCAATCTCGCGAAGATCATACTCCATCATTTTGAGGAGTGATGCTCTTGAGATTTGAGCTTCTCCATGGTCCATTTTACTCACATCGTACATTGCAAAGTGTACCTTGTTGCAGAATGCCTGTGTGGAAATTGCTTGATACAATCTGTGTGGCAGCATGTGTGGATTAGACGCTACACATGCTTGCTCGACCATATAATCTGATGCAAAAAAGGGCTGATGGCCCTCTGCTATCGCCACGCTGAACAACAATTAGAATATTAATGTACGACGAAAAGAACAGGTCAAGGTGGATGACTAGTTCTCCAATTTTATTGGGAAACCCACCTTTCAATGGCAATGTAAGTACAGCACCAGACCTTGATTACTTCACGCAAAGCTTCGCCGGTGATCGAGTGTGGCGCTCGCGAGTAGTCCCTTAATATATCGGGTCGGTGAAGTCCGACGTGCATAGCAGCAGCCTTTAGAACCCCTGCTAGTATCATGGTGATATCGAGTGGCATTGATGAACAGGGTAGTGGCCAGACACAAATTATTGCCATAGCTTGCAGGGAGGACAAGTTATGTGGAGGATCTGCAATGGTCAACCAAAGTAACCGCTTCATTACTGGAACCAACTTCGGAAAAAGAGAAAAGTCAGGACTATCATGGCGTGCTGCTGTGGTCATTACTGTCCAAAACAGGAGAGTTGAAGATTGATAAAGGGTATCTGCACACGGTGGGCGTGTAAGAATTGGCAATGAGGGATGATAGAAAGAGAAATATCTGCCAGTAGTGAGAAGATTGGATATGACGAGTGGAGGTTGGCCCTTACATTTCGAACAAATCTTTGATCTGGCCGGAGGATAATGAGACAGTCTCGATGGTTCGGGGAGTTGGAATACTGAGGCTTGTTCGCTTATCGGTACTCGATGCATATGTATTGCTACTTTCTGAGGTCGGAGATCGACCCACCGAAGTTTCGGAAACCGGGCCAACGTGTGGGATGTCAAGCGACATATTTTCACCGGGTTTTGCAAGGCTGTTTCGTACGAGATATTCACCTCCCGACGGTACTTGCTCAAGAATTTGTGGTGAAGAGGGACAATCTTGTCTCACGAGCGCGTTCGATGGTCTTGAAAGGCCAGACTCGGGCCATGACAGACTCCCAGTTGCTTTAAGCAATTCAACATGATCTAGTAGATCATGGAGCGTTCTGATTCAATATAAATCAGTGAGCTACTTAAGATGATTTGTTGGTAGACCTCACGTTCTCTTGTTCATACGCTTATACTCTGCATCGAATATACATGGCCGACATAACTCAGAGCAGCGTTGACAAGCCTGACTTCCATTATTGGAACCCTCGCACCTGAGCTAACGATTTTAGCATCATTTGATGATTAGAACTCGTACCTCTGCATATTGGGAGCATGGATAAGCTGGAGAAGATTGCAGCACATACCTTGGACTGTCTGCAATGTTGACACGCAATTCGTTTTCGCTTGATTGGACTGTGGTTTTCTTTCGTACCTTGAGACTTCTGGCGCGACCCCAAATTTCCTCTCAAGTCATCCGCCATCATGCGATTATTCCCGACGAGACAGATCTCTAGTGCTGCTTCGGGGTATGTTCGTCCCACGTGTTGGGCAAGGCCACTTTAAGATTCATGAGACAATCACAGTTGCTCGTTATGAAGTCTCAAGACATCCTGCCCAGGAAGTAACCTGACCTTGCGCCAAACTTTCTGTCATGCAAACTCTCATGTTTGCAGGTAGGTTGGATGAAGAGGGCAGAAGCTGGAGCCCAGATGCTGAACCGACACGAAACGTCCACATGCGAAGTGAGATTCGATCTGCAGCATCCGGGGTAATTTTCTGGATAGTAAATCCGATCTGCGCCTGAAAGCTCCTCAATCATTGGCCAGCTGATGGCCGTTTTACGCTCCGAGAGCTCTGGCTCAGCCTTGGCCACCATCACCCAGCCATAAAATCGGCACGCGGGCGAACTAAGAGCACCGACATTCTCAGCCGTCTTGATTGAGGCCACGGATCTAAGTCACTATTTGCTCTGTACGACATTTGTCTTCAAGGTTGATGACTCAGTCTCCACATAACCTCAGTCTGTGAGTTTGTCAGCATGTCTTCACGCAAGCCTTGACTCGCCTCACATCCACAGTCCGGCAGGCTATCTAAGCGACTTCGATTATATAACCGAGGTTGATTCGTACATCGCCGATGTAGGTCGTGTTCGCTTGAAACTGTTATCTAGCATGCACGCGTCCAAGATGAGAGACACCTTAACGCAATAACGCTAAGTGCGAAGGCTGTTAGAAAACCAAATTTCAATTATGTCAGCTTGAGGAGACTATCTTTCATATTACTGCAAACAGACATGTACTGCCTTCACCTGCGTCATATCATAGAGCTCAGCCAAGCTGTGTTCTCTTCCTTTCCCTGACTGCTTATACCCACCGAAGGGAATGCCAGGATAGTGATGACTACTAGTATTCACCCAGATATAACCTGCCTCCATTTTCTTCACAGCTTTTTGCGCCGTAGTTAGATTTGCTGAGTAAACTGCACCAGTCAAACCGTACTCAACGGAGTTGACGTCTTTCCACAGTTTTGTCTCATCGCTCCATTTGAGAACACACATGACGGGTCCAAAAATCTCCTCTTGCGCAATTCGCATCTCTGATTTTACATCTGCGAATATGGTTGGGAGCATCTGACAGCTGTTCTCTGGGGCACCCTCAGGAGCATGCCCTCCAGTGACAAGCGTGGCACCTTCTGACTTGCCAATTTCAATGTATTTCTTGACTCGTGCAACTGCTTTCAAGTCGACAAGAGTTCCCATGGTTGTTTTGGGATCCAATGGATCTCCAGGTTTATGTGTTAAATTGATTTTCTCCACAGCGAGTTTAAGAACTTTGTCATGCAAAGACTCGTGCAAGAAAACTCGTGTCGTTGAAGAACATGACTGTCCACACCAACCCCAGTTCATACCAGCAACAATACCGTCGACGAGTTTCTCTATGTCGGCATCTGGGTAAGCGACAAGAGCATTCTTTCCTCCAAGTTCGAAGACATTAAGTTTCAGGGTCTCAGCAGAGGATTTGGCGATTAATCGTCCAATCGGCGCACTCCCAACCAATGTGATTTTCTTCACAATTGGGTGACTTGATAACGTCTGACCGCAAGCGACCCCACCTGCTAGAACATTCACAACGCCTTTTGGGAATATAGGCCCAACCAGCTCTATTGCCCGAAGAGCTGAAAGAGGCGCTTGCTCGGCGGCCTTGAGAACGACCGTGTTGCCAACGAGAATAGGGGTGATGAGTTTGACGATCACCATTAGTAGTGGATGGTTATAAGCGACAACCCTAGCCACGACTCCCAATGGCTCATGCACTGTATAGTGGAACATTTCCTCATTCAGTCGATGTGTGTCTCCAGTAACAGCCGGAGCAAAGCCAGCAAAAAGATCCAGATTTATAGCAGCATATTCCACCTCTGCACGCATGATCGATACCGGGCTCCCGATATTCCAGGAATCTAGCTGTGCCAGCTCATCCGCATGATCGCGAATGACTTGAGCGGCCTTTCGTACCAATGCACACTTCTCTAATGTCGGTACCGCGGCCCAGCTTTCAAAGGCGTTCTCTGCCGCTTCCAGCGCTCGTACGGTGTCTTCTGCACCGGCGAACGAGATTTTCGTAATCACTTTGCCGTCGATAGGACTGACAATCTCTTTGAGTTCCCCATCTTTGTGATCATGAAACGCTCCATCGTAGTACAGTCCACGTTCTTTTGGTATGAGGTGTTCAAGGTTCCGGGTCCCGTTCGAAGTTGCACCATTTGTGTTGGCACCGTTTTCTGTGGACATTGCGGACTACTGTATGATGAACCTTAATTGTCAATGGTTGTGCTTCACGTTGGGAAAATAGGGTGTGATAAAGAAGCTTGAAAAAACCTATCTTTATTTAACGTTGTATTTATCCTCGAATCACAAGAGTTATCTTACACCTCTGGTGCCCAGAAATGCGATTCGAAAGATCAGAACCAAAATCGCTCTTCCAAGAAATTCTTTCCGACTGATCATGCGAAATGCGGTCCGAAAATATGGGGCCCCAGAACGACCACCCCGCTTCGCCCACGAGGTGGTTGAGGAATGATCCACAAAATCATCTCTCATCAGGTGGGCAGAACGCCACTACAAGCATTTATCTCTTAGGAAATATTCGAGCTGAGGTAAGACATATACCACTTGATATTCTAGGGCCGAGATAGGAGCTAGATGGAAATATATCATACTCAAATATCAGAGGGTCAATTACCAAACCGAATACATATCAATAATCTCTTTTGATTGGAAGTATCAAAGTAAAAAATTGAGCACCAGTTTCTCATACTCTGCTGGGTATTGTTCGAACTCAAGCTGCGTTTCGTGTTGAAGAAAGGGCATACCGGCGATATCTTGCAACCGGAAGAGTAAAGCCCATCAAAAATCTATCCGCGTGAATGGTCGATCTATGGACCAAGAGCATCGTCAACATGAACTCTCTTGTGTCTAGACTCCACACGTTGGACAAATCTTACCTCTTGATCATCATCCTGACAATATCTCTTCTTCTCTCGTTCCTGGTTAGTGCTCTCCACAACTCCCAAGTCAAAAGACGTGTTGGTACTAATATCTAGCAGTATAAAAGTATCAAAGACCCTTTAAGATCAGTTCCCGGCCCACGTCTAGCGAGACTTACAGGATTCTACATCACCTTCCTAGAATTCGCGGGCCACCGTGCCACAACCGTTGCAGAACTACATAAGAAATATGGACGCGTTGTGCGACTAGCACCCGACCAGCTTTCATTCGCATCTCCGGAAGCTCTGAAAGATATCTACGGTGCGAATTCGAAATTCACAAAAGGGCCGATCTACGAGTCGCTGGGCTTCAAAGGTGTTTTCACCACACGTGAGCAGAACGAATATCGCACTATGAAGAAGCGAGTCGTTCCGAGCTTCAATCCCGCGTCGTTGAATGACTTGGAACCGATTGTTCATCGGCAAGTCGCTAATTTGATCAAATGCTTTGATAAAAGGGTTGATACGCAACTGGATGTTCTTCCATGGTTTCGCATGCTTGCCCTTGGTGTTGTTGGTGAGAAAGAATCTGTGGTCTAGACCACATCATGAGCTCTGACGACTAACTGTATGTACAGGAGAAGGATTTGCAGGAGAAAGCTTTGGAGGCCTGGAGAACGAAAAGACGCCCCAGTTGCTGCATGACATTGACTGGGTGTTTCCCTCACTCCTTGCGCACTGGATGTTCCCACTGACGTCGAAACTCCTCTATCATTCTCCCATCAAGGGCCTGCGCAATTTCATGAGAGCAGCTGAAGAGTTCAACAAAGTGAGATTGAACTGCCAAATGAATCTCATCCCTCACCAACTAACGCTCCCAGTACTGTCTGGGATCATATAAACGATACCTAGCATCATATGACCCCCAAACGCGCCATGATCTGATTGCCCGAATGGTCAACGAGCGAACAGCCCTGACCAAGCAAGGCCAGAGCATCCCACGGCATGTGACGGAGCGAGGAATCGTCGACGAGCTATCGAACCTGGTCTTCGCAGGCACCGATACCACCGGCAACACTCTGACCTACCTCTTTTACGATCTAGCGCGCCATCCAGAATGGCAAACAAGACTCCACAAGGAAGTAGTAGATGCCGTCGGCGAGCAAGCTAGTCCTGACTACAGCCTCATCCAGGGACTTCCCGCCCTCGAGGCAGTCGTGCAGGAGATTTTCCGCTTCCGCCCTGCATCTCCGGATGGGTTGATCAGAGTCGTCCCGAAAGGAGGTGCGGTTGTTGACAGTGTCTTCGTTCCCGCTGGGGTATGTACAACACGATACAGATGATCATCGGAGCTTACTAAAACTGACCGTTTACCTCCAGACTCTCGTTTCAAGCCAGGCGCTAAGCACGCAGCGCGATCCGACCATCTTCCCTGATCCGGACAGCTTCAACCCACAGAGGTGGCTGGACGCCGAGGGCACCGAAAACATTGATCTGATGCGTGAGCAGATGCTGCTGTTTGGGAAAGGTGCCCGGTCGTGCCTTGGCCGACGGCTTGCAACCATGGAGATCAAGTGTGCTCTGGCAGCGATCGCTAGGAGGTATAAAGTCGAAATCGGCAGCGCCGAGACCGATGATGACATGCAGATGATTGATCATTTCGTGCTTATTCCGAAGGGGCAGAGATGTGTTTTGCGACTTACAAGGCTCTAGGCGCGCTGATAGTAGGAACCTGTGAGGCAGACTGAGTTTCTAAACAACGTGAAGGATCAGTGCCCTAATTCAAATGGTCATAGCCAGAGCATTTGGTAACTGACATCTTACAGAGGATCAAAGAAAGGTTCAACACTATGTAGGTATGCTGGTCTGAAAAACATGCCTGCCTCTCATGAATTCTCTCAGTCGATTTTATCTCATTTTCAAGTATGCTGCGCACACCTTGTCACGTTATGGGAGGGTTCGCATCCTAGCCCTTCATACAATACGCCACTCATGCATATTTTGGTGACACCCTGTCGCAAAGGAGACGTCCCAGCAATCCTCACTCCCGTGGTATCGCTCACACCCTTGTCTCCCCAGTACAGCCTTTCGGATGATCCGTTTCCCCAGTCGTCCACAAAGTTGGCCAGTTTCTTCAGGTTTCCCCATGCAGCAGGTTGTGGTCCTTTGGGCTTTTTGAAGGCTAGAAAGGTCACCATTGCAGCAAGTATGAGACTTATACCAGCCAGGCAGAAGATGGGCACTGGATTAAATGCAATATAACCATAAGAGAATCCCACAACACTGGTACCAAACAACCAATGACTCACAGCCTTGAGAGCTAGGAGTGCCAGTGACTGCCAGGCCATCAGCATACTTCTGAGTGATGTAAGACTGATTTGTGCGCCACTAGAGCCCGCAGAGAGGTTGGAGGCGCGACGCCACACCGCTTCATCGCGGGTGAGGTTGACAATCTGCTCGGCTGCATGGAGGGTCAGGGTATAGATGGTTTGCATTGCCGTAATTATCAATAGAGGAAGGAAAGTTATCCAAGAACGGCTCGAGCGGACTTGCCTGTGTGTCCGGTCTGGGTACACACCACCAGATGTGTTTGCAGGGTCGAACGACGTATTTGGCTCACCATGGTTCATCCTTAATTCAACGAACCACATCGTAACCCCCCATATGACGATGAGGGGGAACAAGATCCACAACCAGACCACAATTCTAACGATGGATCTAGCCGCCTTTGCCGCGTGTGGTTGACGACGGTTGGGTGGACTAGGGTGGCCGCATGTTCGTTCAATGCGATGGTGGTGAAGTAGGGCAAGGGTAGTGTTCAGAGGACTGGAATTCCAAGACAAAATTTGCCGAGATCTGGATGGAGCCATGCACCAGATAGCGAAAATGATTTGGAGTAGGAGAGCTATACCGAGAACGCACAACGCTTGAGCGTTCAGACTGTATGCATCATGGGGAACGTCGCCGTAGCCATTCATGGGCTGGATGACTTGTGATGCCGTGCTGTACGAAACAGTGATGAGTAATGCCCAGAGACAGTTCATGTACCAGCTGTTTGCGGCACATCTTTTTGCGCTCGTGAACAAACGGAGGTTTGAATTGAAGTTGAGGCGATCTTCATGATATAGCGCCCATCGCAGAGACGTTGCATGAATGAATCCGACCGTTTCAGTGCATGCTGTGACACAGATATTGAAGACTAGCGAGGTCATTTCTTTGATGGTAGTCGAATGCAGAATTGCCCTCTCGTCGTTAGAGAAGCCTCGCCACCGAACGAAAGATCGAGCAGAGAAACCGATGCATACGATCGAAAGGATCGACGTCGTCAATAGTCCCGCAATGCATAGAGTGCGTGAAAGTTTGTCTACTTTGAAGGGAGGTAACTGACTGGGTTCGAGCGGGCCTTCTGCGGACTCTGAGACTGATATACCAGTATTAGGCTTCGAGAGGAATGCCGTCCCTGCGGACATGGTGCTTCGTCTTGATTGATCCTAAGCTCTATAAGAGGAACCCACAGATGATGTGTCGTATGAGGGCTCCGAGTGAAGGAATAATCATGACAGATCGAACAATAAGAAAAGCAGTTATTTACCGTAGCCAGCCAGTCTATTGAGACAGTCTTTCCAGTTGAGCGGGCATTCTTCTTCACATGTACCTCGAACACAAGTTTCACTTTTGGTGCATAGACCCGATTGGTCATGTGCAACTTCTCAAAACAATCCGTAACTCGTAGCCCGAGATTCAGCTGGGAGGAGTGGTTGGTTCTTGGGTTCAGCGTGCATTAAATACGAGCTTCGGGGCTGGGCAAACTTTGCAGTGACCTTGCTGATTCGTCTTCGTGGCTCAGAGAATCTTGGGTACTTATTAGTGTGCTGGAGACATCTTGGTTTCCTATGATGCAAATACTAAGTAAAGGTGAAGAGACACGCAACGGCAGTTCAAACACCTGGAGTGGTTATGACATGGGCGAAGGCCAATTACTTGTTTGATCTGTAGCCTCGTAGTGGGAGGCTTGATATATTCTGCAGCCAGCATACCCAACGCACGCGAAGTCTTTTTCGTCACAGTTTAGCCTTCTCAGCAATCAAAGGATAACTCCTCGGGCCACTCCACAGCCTATCCCTCGTCAAGTCATCCACGCTGTTCACACCAGCCGTCAACATCATGATATCGAACTCGGCGAGCAAGTTCCGCATAATATGCCTGACGCCCTCTTCGCCCATGACACTGAGACCCCAGACCCACAATCTGCCGATCCACACGAACTTTGCGCCCAGACACAATGCTTTCATCACGTCGGCGGCGCCGCGCACGCCCGAGTCGTACATAACCGTCAGCTTGGAGCCGATGCCGGCGTCGATGATGTCTTCGAGTGCGTCGAGCGAGGCGACAGCCCCGTCGACCTGGCGGCCTGCATGGTTGGAGACGACGATGCCGTCGATACCGAGCGAAACGCAGTGTTGGGCGTCGGAGACGGATTGGATTCTGGTGGTGATCACGAGAAGGTCAGCGGAATGTAATGTAGAGCGTTTAGAGTTCCTGAGATCTGCGAGACTCGACTCCTGACCTCACTCACCCCTTAATGCAGAACGGCTTCCCGCCGCTCAACTCCTTCCACTTCGCCATGACCCCGGGAATCTTCTCCCAGCTGAACGCCCGCCCATGCCAGACATTGTCGATCCACATTGCACCCGCCTCCTCCGGCTGTTTCTTGGGGTCGATGCCGGCTTCGCGGAGCCGTTGTTGGAAGACAGGATCCGTCAGGCCGAGATCTGCGCCGATGCCGCGGTAGAAGGCGTAGTTCGAGGTATGGATGTCAGGGTGGCGGAACCCAAGCTGCCATGTATCCTGAGACGACAAGCAATAATCAGCTTGTCTGATCCAGGACACGCGAGAGATCCAGGCCCTGGAGTTGACTGGGCTCACTCACCGTGGTCAAGATACAAGCCGTGAATCCACTGTCAACAGCCCGCTGCATCAAACTCACCGCCAGCTCGTCGTCATGGGGCAAGTACAACTGGAAGAATCGAACAGGCTCATCGTTCTTGGCACCTTCAACGTTCACAGCACGTCCACTCTGTCTGCCCTCGTCATTACTCGCCGCCACATCCTCGATGCTCGAACTCCCCGCCGTGCTGAGCGCGTATGGCAGGCGAAGTTCTCCCGCGACTTTGGCGACCGGCAGCTCTGCCTTCGGATGGTAGATCTTGTTGATGCCGATGGGCGCAAAGCCGATGGGTGCGGAGACCTTGTGGCCGAATAGGGTGGTCGCCGTGGAGCGTTCGTTGACATCGACGAGTTGATGGGGAATCAGGCGATGGCGATAGAATGCTTGTCTGTTGGCGAGGTGGGCTGTTCACGTTGGAGGTCAATGGCACGACTCCAGAACGAGATACAATCAAAAAGGACTCTTCAGGTGGAAACTCACTCCACATAAGTCCCGCATTGGACTGAGCATAAAGCCGGCCGTTCACGCTCAGGGAGCTTTCTGCAAGCGCCTCAAGTTTATCAGGGCTTGAGGCCAAGGGCATGCATCAGCCAAGAATCCAACTCAAATTCTGTCTCTTCGTCTCTCGATCAAGCAAAAGATGCAAGCTTACCTCGTATCGAACGGGGAGCCTATCAATTGGAGTTTTGTTAAAACTTGGACATAAGAAAAAATAGGAGAGCGACCGAGAGCTCATGACCACAGGAACACTCACTCTTGCCCTCATTCAACTGCCAGAACTGCTCGCGCTGGGCTTGCTGCCAATGCGGCGTGTCGCGATGGTAGAGTTTCGGGATCTTTGGGTCGCTCATGGTGATGATGGTAATGCTTCAAGCTGATCTCTGGCTCGATGGCGAGCGACTGGACCGGATGGATTCTGTGCCCCAGATATGCTAACGTAATACGGTACGTAGACCAGAAAAGAGAGTCACGTATATCGATTGGTTTAAGCAGGCAAATGATTGAATGATAGAAGCAGTGCAAGAATGAGATCCAGGAGCTTCAAGGATATAATGTCCTTGAAATCTGAGGAAGTCGATGCCGCATTGGCATATATGCAGTTTCTTATGAATCCCAGCTTCATGGTCGATCCATCACCTACCGGAAACAGGCACAAGAACATCATCATTGCCTCGCCGATCGACATGACAGCACCTGGCGGGTTCTGACGGAGTCAACATGACGTGGTACCTTTGGAAGTATTGGAAGTAATGATGTATTGAAGGAGCTTTTGCTGCACGATGTTCAATCAAAGTGTCGGATACTCTGACCGGCAGGGGATTTCTCCAACTGCAGGCGCGCCCAGATACCATGTCAGTGGTGGGGAGGACGATCGTTCTCCGTCATTCAATGCTTGATTGAATTCTTGTCTCAACGGCTTTCGGGAAGCCTGTTGATCCACCTGCATTGATAGTCGCTATGATACTGGATTATATAGTAGGGTTCAGGACGAGTCCAGAAGCATGGCTACTTTCTGTGTTGATATGCTATCTCATTACAAGGCTTTCGCCAGACTCTGAAGTCGCAATCCATTCATTCAATGCACACAATCAATGCTTGCTTGCTTGCTTGCTACCATCTACCATGGGCTGCCGTGGCTCTGAACATCAACTTTTCCCATCCTTGATTGATCAACAGTTGGGCAAATTCTTCATCTTCACAAGTCTATCCTCCATTGTGCGGCTGGGGTGCTCGGCACGTCAGATCTCGAGCGCGACCATATATTACTCCAAGCCTGTGTGATGAGCCACAAATCCGTTCAGAGCGCCTTGCTTCGCCTTACTTCTCCGCCATTACCTGGTGGTAGAATCGATCGGAATATCTGCGTGAACATCCTTGGTCGTCCAGACATACTCAAGGTGCAATCCCCTCATAGCGGTGTTCCCGAACCCATCAGGCATATGTAAATCATCATCGTTCGCTTGTAACTTCCGAGTGCAAGACCAGATTTCCCCTTGACATAAATCATTCCCCGTAGATATCAATCGTCATCATCATTCTTCATCCTTCCAGTCCCAGACCTGCTTGAGGAAGGTCGACATACTCACCTTCTTGTTTTTCATTTCCGTCATCCATGGATGCTCCAGCATACGCCAGGGATTTGCCCTTCTGGGTGGTTCTTTCTCCAGACAGCACTCGATGAAATATTTGAACATGTCACTCCATTTGATGCCATTCTCGGGTTCGTCTTTCAGTTTGGGTATTGGTTGTGCAACAATATAGGTCAGAAGGTCAATAAGACCAGCACGAGGTTGCATCTCAGTGCCATCTGCTGGAAAAGGAAATCGGTGCTGGGCGACCTCGAGTAATGTCACACCCAGAGACCAGACATCGGAAGTGATTGTATAGGATTGACCCTGTATCCGTTCCGGAGCCATATAGTATGAGGTTCCGATGAAGGTGTTGGCATCGCCCTTGGTGCCGAATTCTCCGCTCACGCCAAAGTCACACAGCTTGACCTGTCCATTTCGGCAGAGGAGAATATTAGAGGGCTTGATATCTAGACAAGGTTAGTATTGAAACGAGAAAACGAAAGCGGATTGGAGGCATACCTCTGTGGATGATCTTCCGGCTGTTTAGATATGTTAGACCGTGCAGCACATCTCCGGCAATTTTGCCCAAGACTTTTTCCCCTGTTCGGCCACCGAGTTTTTTGACTTCCTTGTAGACACTGTCGAGACTTCCACCTTCGCAAAATTCCATGGCTATGGAGATTGTGCTGGACGATTTGTCCATGAAGGCACCATAGTACTGGCAAATGTATTCGGATGTGCAGTTTTTGTTGAATTTGAGTTCTCGGAGAATCTGTTTCTTAACGTCGGGATCAGGGCTTGTGGTGATGATCTGGTGGGTTTGTCAATATCAATATTATAGATCAAGAAAGGCCGACGTACCTTTAATGCAAACACGGTTTTGCCGCCTTGTATCATACATCTCGTGACAGCACCACCGGCGCCCTCGCCCAGAGAGCCGAGTTCTATTATTTTCTTTTGTTCACTTGCGGCTGTCCATCCTTCATCGTCCAGATCGTCCACATCGAGTGGTCTCCCTTTCTCGAGACTCAGTTTATCAAAGTCGACTAGCAATCCGCTCATGCTTCCTTCTCTTTCCATTGACACCCCGCCAACTTCGGAATATATGGAACTGATTGCTGACGAAGGGTCCGGTGTGCCGGCTTGTCGACCACCATTGATTGTGAATGAAAGGGCAGAGTATGTTGAGGAAGCAGCAGAACCAGGGACACTGGTGCCCTGGAAACTGTCTCCTCTCGGCCTGCTGGCATTGTCGTTGCCATGCACTGCAGCAATGTTGAGGGGTTGTATTGAGGGTCGGAAAGATCCAGCCTCGTGAATTGCACCCTGGCTGCCCATGGGGGTGGCCAGAGACAATTTGGGTGCACCTTTATTGGCGAGACTGAATCGAGGGATTTCGACGGGTTGTCCGCCATCGTGAACGGGTTTGGCACTGGGCGAGGGAGGAATGCCCAAAGTGAGGCGGGGGGTCCGGCTACCGCTTTGACTTCGACCACCAGGCACTGGCGGCCGAAGAAGCGGCACCGGGGAAGACATTGCGGTAGAAAGTGGATGCAGGCAGGAGGAAGTCGTGTAGTGAGGTAGTCTTAAACGTTGGTGATGGGTGTTTCGAGGGTGCGAACAATGGCAATAGTGAGAAAGGTAGTCAGGTTCGGATTGCGTTGAGAGTGGGGGAGACTGCGGGTGATGGTGGTAAGGTGCAGGCTCTCTGGTACAGAGACTGGGAACCAGTGTTCAGTGGGAAGTAGTATTCGCCGCTGGTGTTTGTTGCACCAAAGTGCAGTGGGTTGTGTTCCCTCTGGGTAGTTGGTGCAGATAGCCTGGCTGCTTGTTGCACCACGAACAGAGGGTCGAAAGGCAATAATAGTGGCACTGTAGCACAAGGTAAGGTACGTTGGTTTGGAGATGGTGAGCAGAGTAGAAGTGACAATAAAGTGGTTGATAAGCTGGAGAGGTCTGGCAGGTTCTGGTATCCAAGTGCCCAGGTGAATGTAGAGGCGAGTGAGTGCAGGTGATGCTGACAGAAGGCGACGTACAAGAACCAGGACCAGAACCAAAACCAAAATCAGGACTGGGCGAGTTTGATGATCTGATCTGCGACAGGCGGCTACGTGAAACACCACTCACGTCTTCTCAGGCTGGCTCTGGCTGCTCAGGCCTCAATGTTAATCCGGGGCCAAAATCCAAATCCGCGCCACAACACGTTGACTCGTAGGAATTGAGTGGGAAATTAGGACCAAGGTATTACTCAAGACATGACTCAAAAGAAATAGAACTCCAAGGATAAGAAGAGCCCGAAGAGAAATGATTTGATTTTCAGCTCGCCCTCCCTCCAAGAAGTCCGGATACAGTGCTTGGGATGCAGTGCCTTTGAATGCCAGTGGGTGCCTTGGGCCTGGGGTAGTTTAGGTATGTGTCAATGGGTTTGCCAATCCACCATTATCATCCAGTCTGCTTCTCACACTGGCATTATTACACTCTCACCACTTATAAAGCCGGCCAAATCTCCGAGTATGATCGGACAGCCAGTGATGGTGGTTGTGGTCTGGTACTTTGGTGTCCGTAGATGACTGACCCTCGTAGTAATCGATAGTAGCTGGTCAGGCCCTCACCTCGCAACCTGCATGATTCACATCCCCCGATCCCCATCCACCACGTTTACACCAGAAAGATTGGTTGACCAGCTTACAGGGCGAGGCTTGGCCTGGCCAAACCCATGCATGCCCATGCGTGCCAGTGCCCAAGCCCTACGCAGTGATAGGCACCCGATATGCGTGATGAACAGGCGCGCATTGCCCCGAGGGGTTCCTTCGACCGCCTTTTTCCCAGCAGTCAACGCCCATGACCCGCCTGTCAGGGCCACAAACATGCGGTGACCCCTCTCGTCTTCTGCCAACATGCCTACGGAGTCCTGCTCAGCTCAAGCACCCCATGTCCACTTTTCTATCTACTCGTCCACTATGACATCAAAGAATATACTTCCGTCAGACTCCTCATGTGCCGATTCCCGTCAAAGGCCTGAGCCCTGAGCCCTAAGGTCCAGCCGTTGATAGGCAGACGTTGGCTCCCAGCATCGAAACACGCCATTCCGCCAGTCAGATTGATGATCTGAATGTTCCATTCGGTTGTCTCTATTGCGTCCTAACCAAAGTTGGTAGCAACACTTATTCACGCCTTGTGGTCCATCAACAGATTTCTCTGTGCCTCTCCGGCTACCCAACTCCACCCCAGCCTGGTTACGTATGCAGGCCAAGGTACCCATGATTCTGGTCATCACAGCCCAATAGGAAATTTACGAGACACAAGGCAAGTATATTGACAACAGCTTACTAGCGCCAAACAAAGCCATACGAGGTAGAGGTTTGCATGAATTTGTTTTTCTTTTTCGTTTGACTAGGAGAATTCCACCCGCCCTTCATCGTGTTTTCGCTTACAACTGCTCCTGGTTGCTGGTTTTATACTTGACTGTGTTCCGGTCTTCTTCATCTTGTGCCAGGGCGTCATTGCCCCATCGTGATCTGGGCCCAGCCTGACTTTTCCCGTCGCACATAACCTTCACCACAGTCTTCGCCACACTCTCACCTCCATGTGAATTCCAGTCTTTCGTTGCAAACAAGGTCTGAGAGCAAAAGTGTTTGTGTTTGTGTTGGTGGGGTACAGGCATTCGTCGAGATGGTCATAGGTCGTCGTTGACTCTTGCGCCTCAAGAACGACGACGAACCTAGAGTGATTGGTGGGTGCATGGTGTGATTAAGAGAAGGATTGTAGTTGTGGGGTACAAACTCAGGTCATCACTCATCAACTCGCATACCAGGCGAGAAGTTTAAAAAAAAGGTATCATAAGCTTCGTCAGGTCGCTTTGCGCAAGACACCGTCTATCGGACGCCAAAGGGGAAAAAACAAGACGCCCCGTGCTTTTCATCAATGTGGTGCGGGTGGCAGAGAAGGGCAGTGGGTAGTTGGTAATCGGAATCGAATGAGCGTGTGGGAGAGTAGTGCGTAATGTGAATGTAATGTCTGGAGACCTGTGCTCGATCGGTAGCTCATTCCATCGAAATCTGCTGTCGACGACCTTTCTCGGCTTCCAAGTTCTCGTACAAGAGGTACAAGGCTTTCTCGTTGGCACTGGCGCTGCCCATGATGGTGAACATTCTTTCACCCGTGTCATCATGAGGCGCCTTGGCGATGGAGATTCTTGCACCGGAGCTCTTTCGAATTTCACTGATCTTGGATCCTCCTCGTCCAATGATGCAGCCGACCATATCGGCAGGGATGCTGATGTTCTGGGTCTGGACCTCTTCACCATCTTCAGTCACGGCGGGAATTCCTCCACCACGGGGAGCATCATTGCCACGGTTGTAGGCTCTGGTCTCGCTAAAATCAGCACCATTGCCAGTCCGATTGAATGATCGACCACCGCCGTAACTACCACCAGCGGGTGCTGCAGCAGTGCCAACGCCGCCAGTTCCAGCACCGACAGCAGGAGGTAGAGGGCCCGAGCCGACTTGCACTCTGACCGCAGGGTTGTATAGAACGGTGCCGGTGCCACGTTGCCAGTCATCGACTAGACACTTTCCGATCTCCCAGATGGCTTTGTCGATGCCCTCTGGCGTGCCCTGAACTTCGACGATACGCTCAGTGGATTGGGGTAGCATTTCCTTTTGGGCAACCATCCGCACACCAGAGACGTCCTGGATGTGCTTGATCTTGAGACCTTGACGACCAATGATGGTACCCATTTGGTTGTGGGAGATCAACAAACGGATGGCTAGATGGATAATTTGTCAACCCGTGTTTCATAGCGAGAGGTGGGGGAAAACTTACGGTGAGTTCCATTGTTTTGAATGACACCACCCATGCCCATTTGAGGTGCACCCTCCAAGAGGCCTTTGGCAACGAGAGAGTAGGCCTTTGCAATACCAGCGAGGGGTCCGGTGACGGTGAGAACACGGTCATGAACACCTTGGACGACCTTGCTGACGCCAGCTTTGACACCGGTCTCATCGCGTAGGTCAGCAACGTTCTTGCCTGCTTTGCCGATGATAACACCGGCTTCCTTGGTAGAGACAATGGCCCGGAGGGTAAGCTGTGACTGCGCGTATTCTTCCTCGGTCTTGGGTTGCTCGTCTCTTCCATCACCCACGTTGAGTTGGTTCATGCCATCGGCAAGGCCAGCGTCGTCAATGTGGTTGGCATTGATTGGTGATTCTGCGGATGCCATTGTAGATGGATTTGACAAAAATCAGATGAGATCTCAACAGGAAAATGGGAGTTTGTGGTGGAGAAGGGTGGTGAGGTTGTGTTGTAGTGGTGGTGAGGTTGTGTTGTAGTGGTGGTGGTTGTAGTTGTGAAGGCGGGTTAAAGAACAAACCGGTCCGAACCACCAAGATTGAGATATGTGGGTTGGTGAGGAGGAGATGATTGATGAGGAATCGGGCGGAGACTGGAGAAAGAAGGGGGATGAGATGGAGGATGGGTGGAGGGATGAGAGATGAGGGATAGAAGGGTGCGAGGGAGTGAGTACGACTGCGAATGCGAGGTGGTGATGGTGATGGCAACGAGGATGAGGTGAAAGGTGGATAGAAAAGGTGATTATTGGGGATGAACTCTTGACTCTTGGAGTTCAATTTTGCAAGGAATTTGACTGCAGCCAGTTGCCAGTGTTTGTTCGTTCGGTTTGGGAAGGGACCTCCCCGGGAAGCCCACTAACTAAGGATTCTTAGGTAAGGACGGGGCAGGAGGCAGGACTCACGCTCAGCTGTCCAGTGCCTGCCACTGAATCATACTCCAGAAGTTGTGACTGAGCTACCGCCACTACTACGTACTAACGACGTACTAGGTGAATTTTTGGCCGCTTTAGAGTGAACTAGAGAGGCTAGCTCACAGTCCATTTTACTGTCACCACTTCATAAAGCCTCGTTCAAATTCCCTGGGGATCTGGCATTCATGATATCCACTGCAATGCAGTCAGGATCTCAAATTCGACGATTCAGCGTGGGCTCCAAGAGTCCCCATGCTGTCAATCAAGATATTTTTATTACAGCTGCAGGTTTCAGGGACAGCTATAAGTACCTACTAAGGCACAAACAGATCAACAAAACATCCTGTTTGTTACATGACCAGGTGAATCAAGCCTCAAAACATTCAATCGTCTACTTGTCGGCTTCGAACACAATCTTTTGAACTCTCATGTTGTTGAACTCATCATACCATTTCACCGCTTCCGACATGGGTTTGATGTTTTCAATCATAAAGCTAGAACCACATGTCAGCAAGGTGTCCACGGCGTGATCCATCCTAGAGGTTACACAGTGATGATGCACTTACTCAAGTTGATCTTGCTTCTTCGCCAACATATCCAAAGCTTTTTCAAAGAGACCTGAAGAGAAAAGAAAGCACACGTCAGCGGCACGCCATAGTGATATCGGATCCCCTGATGTACTTACTTCGTACTGGACAACGACCCATCTGGATCCTCAAATTCTTGCCGTACGCCTGATTCCCTGTCCATGGAATCTCACCGTTGTGTACACCCACACTGGAAATATTACCCCAAGGCCTGAGCAGTTCGAATCCCATTCCAAGGGCGTCGCTATGCCCGACGATTTCAATGGCAGTATCGGCACCTCGTCCATCCGTGAGCTCGAGAACGCGTTTCTTCAGCCCCTCCTTGTCCTTGAGGTAATTCCATGGCTCGGCTCCGAGTTTCTTTGCTAGTGCTAGTCGATCCTCTACACCATCAATTGCCAATATGGCCTTGGGCTTATATTCCAGTGCGTTTACCAAAGCACAGAGTCCTACCGGCCCGCAACCGATCAACACGACGACGCTGGACTCGATGGTTTCCTGATCAAACCCGCGGAAAGCATTCGCGGCAGCGAAATATCCAGTTGGGAAGATGTCTGCCATGAGAACCAGCTTCTTTTCATCGATATTTGGTGGAGCTTTTGCGACAGTCGCATCCGCAAGAGGAATGCGACAATACTCGGCTTGACCGCCATCGAGGACGGCACAACCAAAGAGCTGGCATTTTTCGCATCGTGATGAAAACCCCTTCTTACAGTAGAAGCACTCTCCACAGTTGACGGTGAAGGGCGTGACGATCAAATCCCCCTTCTTGACCAACTTGACGTCCGATCCTGTCTCAACCACCTCTCCAGTGAACTCGTGGCCCATGATAAAGCCGGTGGGCGAAGGTTGATGACCACGGAAAACATGAAGCTCACTAAGGTCAAGTATCAAGCCATGGTCAGTTACTCGACCTTTTCAGACAGTGTCAACTCACCTCCCACAAAGAGCAGTATATCTGACTTTGATGATGATATCTTTTGGGTCTTGAATTTTGGGGATCGGTCTTCGTTCGACAGCAACCTCGAGTTTCCCCTTGAAGACGACCGCTTGCATAGTCCCGTCGTTTGCCATTTCTGCTTGCTTGGTGTTTCAGCAGCAACGTCACTCCACCGTGCAAAAAGTAAATGCGGGGATGCGTGAGAATCACAAGTCAATCGTCAAGAGCAAGTATTCTCTGTAAGGAGCCGTCACAGTGAAGCAAGACGCAAGCCAAAAAAAAAATATAGGATCCCTATGAAGGACTGAGAAGGAAGAAGTTCAAAAATTGTCAAACCAATATCTTGTCCGGACGTCCCATGGAGCTATTATCCAAGTGAAGTTGACATGTTCACGCATGACATTGTCACCGCGCAGCTGTGAACCCCGAAAAAGGATATCGGCGGAAATCGTACCTAGGCTGTTTACCTGTGCCAGCTGCGGGGAAAGCAATCGGACTGAAATGAAATGCCATCTTTTCCTGAAGTTGTCCGACCATTCGACATCCATCCATCCCTCCCTCCCCCTCGGTACTCCATTCAGGATTGTAGTTAGTAACCTGAACGGGATCGCAGGATATACATTATTGGCAGTGTATAGCCCCGAAGGCCTAGCTAGTTACTTAGGTACCTATGTCGACAACAGCACCATCATGATCGCATCCCCTCTCGAGTCGATGCGCAAGATAAAATAGTGATAACCTAAGTAGTATTTCCCCTTCCCATCGTTGTTCCTCAACCCGAGTTCGGGTTCAGCCAAGCACCATCTCGCCCCCTCTCCCTCTGTAGCGAACTAGTCAGGCACTTAAATCACACCCGGGGATGCAGATAGCAGTGGGCGCAACTCCCACCCTGACCTGCTAGTACCCTGCCCCTCCCAACCCATCAGACTCCGAGCTCCGGAAACGGAGTCCCATGGGAATATAGTTGCGATGGGCAATCCCAGGGCAAGTTGTTACCCCGCAGCCTCAGCGTGATCCGATCACGCCGCATCGTCTGCGTAGGGCAGATGCCGTTCAAATAAGTACTAATTCTCGCCACTCGCATATCACTTGGTGGAATTGATTGTTAGAGCGCTGAGGGCGCCAATTAGAGTTGATCCCATCGGAACTCATCTGTCGGATCTGTGGTAAGGATATTATCATACGATTCATGGGAACAGCGACAGATCGTAAGGTGGCTGTCGCTCGAAGTCTATGGACATGCAGTCCTCAATTGCCAAACAACGCCCGTCCCAGTAACCAAAGTCCTTCCGATGCTTCCCACTTCCATGCGTTGAAAAAGAAATCGTGCCAACGTATGCAATTTGACTCCCCAGAGTGTGCTTCCCACTCGCCCGACGAATGGCCGTCACTGTATTGAAGCCTGTTCATCCATCCAAAAGCTAGACCGCCATCGTGTAAACTCCATATAGCCGTCCCGAAGGAGGCTCTGCCGCAGATCGGTAATCCGAACTCTCAGACCATATACCCGATCCCAGCCCTCAGTGCAGGACAGCTCTATGCATGACATCTCCGCCCAAGCCAACATGGCTTGACTACAGCTCTTCAATTCACCGTACACAGCAGCTCGGACTCGAGGATGAATTTCCCCTCCTTGTACTTTTCACTGGCCTCATAAGCCTTGTCGTACTTCCAACCCACCGTGTCGTCGCACTGCTTGCACTTGATGTCACGCACAATGTGTCTCCCCGTCGTCATGTTGCGCTCCATCGCTTCGGCCTGTTTGATGTTGACCACGGTCGAGAACAAAAACGCCTTACCATGCTGCCCTCGGAAGTTCCGCGAGATGATGTCGTCGAAGTCTGCGAGGTGGGTTTTGCAGTTCTAGAAAGTAGCAGGTGGTTGGTCAGTCTCAACCAGGCAAACGCATTTCGAAGCGGGAGTAAGAACTGGTGGGATTGTCTGATGAAGCACATACTTTGCACCCGAATATTTTGGCGGAATTGAGGTATGTATTGTATGTGAGACCCATCCTGCTCACACGGCCGGTCTTTCCTGTAGTTGTGTAGAAGGTTTCTTGTCCTGCAGCGGGTTTGGGACGTCAGCCCGCTTACCCAAATCCTCCACCTCCTGTCTTTTTGGTTTGTGGTCTATCGGCTTCCTCCTTTATGACTTCTATTGGACTATCAGCGAGGAGACCGCCTTGGGTTCAGAGGGATAGAACTCTGCGAGGACGTGAAACGGTCGATTGCAAAGAGAGGTGTGGAGCGACAGTCTCGTTGGGGATCGGGCAGCGGTGGGAACACGTCAGGATTTGTGAGCGAAAACTTGATGTCTAGCATGTAAAGGAGATCCTATATTGTGAGCGATGGCATGAATCGATGTCGAAACCCTCAGCTGAGCGTTCGATTGAACCTTTGGTTGTTACCTAAGTACTAGGGGTTAGAATGCAGATGAGCAGGCATGGTTGGAGATGAAGTCAGAGGGCATCAGCAGTTCCAACTCGGCTGGGCAATTGCCCCACCAAGACTCTTCAGCCTGCTCGAGGTCAGTGGGGGTTGCCGGTGGGCGCCTCGGGCGCAAGATTAACCGAAGTTCCAGCCTTGTCAATCATCTAATAGGCGTCATACAGGCGACTCCTTCCTGCTCAAACTAGGCCCTCAAAACCATTCATCGGATGCACGCATTTTCAACTCTAGGTAGGCTCTAGACATCTAAGCAATTGGCTAACAGATAACAAAGAATTACCGGTTCTACTGATTCACATCCGGGGTGCCACTAGCAGTCATGACCCACGCTATTCGTCTAGCGATGGATGAAAGAGTCCGCTACTCTCGTCCTCCACGCATCTTGGTAAGCGTAAAACCATCATCCTCGCTCTCAGAACCTCTCCTTGTCTGTTGCGCTTTCGTCTTTGCCTCATTTGATAACTGAGCGGACCGAGTTTTGGATTCACTCTCCCTTCTCTGCTCGGGCAACAATGCTGCCGAGGTCACAAAGCTCGATCGATGCCTATTCTCTCCTAGCATGAATGAGAATGACGCATCCATCAACGACGGTCGTGATTTGTGCCCCGCAGAACTAGCATCATCCTCGTCTTTTGTGGGCTTTTCAACCACAGGTGTGGCATTTGAGATGGGTTCTTGCGCTACCTTTTCGGCTTCCACTGTTGGTGGACTTTGGGTGCTGTGTGACGAGGATTCTGTTGGGGGTGTTGAAGCTTCTGACTTCGATGTCTCCACTTTCACCGTTGGTATGGTGCTCTCCTCCGTCAAGACTTCCGGTGGTATAGGTATATCACTGTTGTTGAGGTACACCGATACAAACTGGATCCTGGCCAAGCTCATATTGAAGCTCTGATCTGCATCATCAGAAGATTCAGAGCTTGCAAGTTTAGTCGTCCGGAGTGACTGAAGCGCATCGTCTAGCATCTTCGCCAATTGTTTGTTGCGCGTTTCTAGTTCCTCGATTTTGTGCTGAGCGACTTGTCGAACTTCTTCTGCTCGACCATCCAAAGACTTGCGCTCACCATACAATACATCCGAACTTGGCTGTCTCGAATGTGGCGTCTGATAGTTGTTCATGTTACGTCTAACTTCGCCCACCGCACTTCGGACAGCCTTTGAGACATTCCATCCCTCTGTTCGTTTCTGCAATCCCCCTGCCACTTCTTGAAATAACCCTTCCAGTTGGCGTTGGGGTGATGCGAACCTGCCTGGAGAAGCACTCGGTGATTGTCGATGCTGTATCGTTCTCGCGTTGCGGATCCCAGATTGACTACGACTAGCCGAAGTCTCATCCGTTTTGGGACGTCTTCCTGTGTAATGCTGAATCAAAGTGGCTCCGGCAGATGAGTTTCGATTCCTATCTAGGAATGTGGCATCTCTGACCAGTTGTTGAGGGCCTTCTGGGCTTGGGGGAAAGCTGTAATGGGTCAGGGCTGTAATCGCTGCGGTATAGTCCGCTTCGACCAAAGACCACCGACATCTCAATAACATTGCAACACATGTTAGGTCAACAATGTCTCCTCTGAGATTCTCAGCGAAAAGGAGATCCCAAATTCGCAAGACTTCTTTAAAATTAAATTCTCGACCGAATAAGAGTCGGATCCAACGGCTGCATGCCATGGTGAGTTGTTGTCTTCTTGATGAAAGATGGCACTTACATGCTATAAATTTGTGGTAGAATTCCAATGACTGTCAAATGGGTAGCAAGCTCCGGATCCACAGCTGCCAATATCTCTTCGTGAATTTTCTTGCTCCTCTCAACGATTGGTGATGAGTCTCGGTTTTCTCCAATTTCGTAGAAAGCCTTTGCTGTCTGCATCACTGCACAGAAGAGGCTGAAGGCGTCATGCTCGATGTACTTGCTGTCTAGGGCTTCGAGCATCAAGTCTGCCCCTTCCGCTTGCTTGTCGACGTTCACGGCTGTCATAAGATCGATGCCGTCCTGTTGGATAATCCAAAGGATTGGTGCCAAGAGCTCATGCATACCCTGTCGATATCCGATATCAGGATTGAGTTTGGAGTAGATGAAGAGAATGTCCAATAATTTCTTCTGAGTGGATGGTTCTCGAAAAAAATAATTGTCTTGCATACACCGAGTCACATCCTGGAAGATTTCCTCCCTGTTGATTTCATCCTGCCGAAGAGTAGACCAAGGAGACTTGACTTTGTCAGATGTCAGATCCTTCAGATGGAGCTGAAGGACTTGGAACATACATTATCATCGTCCGCCAGCGGATCTGCAGACGAATGAAGGTCGTTTGGATGGTCAATGAAACGCAGAAAATGATTTCGTAACGAAGTGTAAGCGGATCGTGATTCTGCCAACTTCTTTGGCCATGACCTTTGACTCAAAGGCCCGTAAAGAAGGAATGCCTAGGTTGATTAGTACTCTTTCATAGATGAAGCACTAGAAAGATACCCACCTTCCAGCATACAGATCGCAGACCATCCTCACACGGGTCGAAGCCGTCACCGTCTCGTAATGCTTGCCGCAAGTCAACTCCAATTGACGTGCTAAACAGCGAAGTCCAACGGCGCCTGACGCAGTCAATGACTTGGAACAAACTCGGAGCAGATGGAGCCTTCTTACTGTATGTCTTCCAACGTGCGCATGGCCGTCATATGCTTTAGATATCATCGGGATTGATTAGCCATGGGAAGCAGATGGCCACGCGTTATCAGCGACGGGAGATGCTACAAGCAGGTGTTCTAGTTTCGTCGTCTTTCTCAAGTTGCTGCCAGTGCCAGGTGATCACCAAACTCATATCGTTCAACGGTCTGACGTCGTTAGATGCCAGTCAGGCCAGCGGAGGGGAATATTTCTTGGCAATCCTGTCTGATGAGTCATCCGTGTCCAACCCGCCGCTTGTTTCTGGAGGATGATTGACGAGGCTTGTTATTGTTACTCGGCGGTCGCCCATCATCACCGTGATCGCGACCACCAAGGTCCTCTTGGCCGTCATATCACTCAGACGTACCGTCGGTGCTCAAACCATGTCTAGTGTGGAAAATGTCTGCCGATCTGTTTGCTGCTTTCATCAATGATAGCAATGAAGACTCCTCGAGCAAGTTTAATGTTACTGCACAAAAGCAATCCGTAGCCTCTGATTCTTGGAGCGATGCTTTTACCTCTACAGTAGCAACGTCGATTCACAATACCGTCGAACGAAAACAAAGGGACAACCATGCTCCACCACTATGGCAGAAAGATCGGCGAGGAACCGATATCCTCTTTGATGCCGAGGCAGCCGATGAGGATGACTTTGGTGACTTCGAGGATGTTAATACTGTTAACACAATAAAAAAATTCCCGGAAGTCACAGGTGATAACGAAGGTCACCGGATGCCGTCCCTAAAGGTTGCTGACCAGCACCCTCCTGACCTCATCAGCCTCGAGCCAGAGTTCACGGGTCTAGTTACAGGCCCTTCCACATCCGACCCCTTCAAAAGGCAAGAGGTACCCGAGATATCTACATCAGGCCAACATGGAATCGAGGAGCCAGGCGCGGCCTGGGATGACGATTGGGGCGACTTTGAACAGACGTCGCCAAAGGTCAAGCCTTCTGTCCAGATTAGACAGCATGGGGTTCTTGATAAGGCTGCCAATATCAACCCCCCAACTACAGAAGAGGCTGAGGATTATTGGGAGCCTTTCGAAGATGGGCAACCACAGCAGCCGCAAGGTCAGAAATCAACATCTGTTCAGCCTTCGTCTGAGCTATCAATGACTGGCAAGGCTATCAAGCCAATTTCTACAGACGCTGTAACAAGACCACTAAATGTCCCTCCACCCGCCACGCTTCTGCAACTACTGTCCAACATCTTTGTGTTAATTCACAATCTACACAGCGCTGGTCAGGAAGCTAAGCCAGACCTTGCATTAAAAGTCCTGGTCGTGTTCCGGGTTGTATCTAGAATCGTTGCCGGGAGGACTCTACGTTGGAAAAGAGACACCATCTTGGCCCAGAGTATGAGAATTGGGCAGGCTGGAAGTACCGGAGGTATGAAGCTTACATCGGTCAACAAAGGGGAGAGCACAAGAGAAGCACGGGAAGTGGAGGATCTACTCGGTCACTGGTCAAGATATACTCATGAATTTCACAGCATTTTGGCTCAGGCTGGTATGACGGGTACTCGATTGAAAATTGCTTCCTCTCCTACACTGAAGATCTTGAAAGCGACCGGAACCTCAAAACAATGCGCCTTATGTGGACTTCAGAGAACTGAAAGGATCAGCGGCGTTGATACCGACATAGATGATCTCTTCGGGGAGTTCTGGACTGAACATTGGGGGCATAAAGAGTGTTGTGAGTTTTGGTTTCTTTACAAGGAGCACTTGAACCAACGCTGAAAGGCTCGAGAGCTTCTGTTTGACATAATACCTTCGAAGTCATACTTTGATCCGCCGGATAAGTGATCTACAGTCCAGTTTCGAGGCTGTCAAACAATGGAGTCAATGCTCCATGAAATTTTTGACAAGATAGATATGTTAGAAACTTTATATTCGTGTCTCATTGATAGAGGATTTGTTGAGAACTGAGCGCATCAATCGTATTCCTCAATCTCGATGTTCACCCTGGTCTTTGTACTTGTCCAAGTCGTCGATGTTGGGCTGCTCGGGGAATTCCGGGTGGCGTTTAAGCAGCGACAACGTCAAGCATTAGGCTTGGAAAGCACCTAGACCATGACTGCGACTGCCTAGATCTTGACCTAAAACCTCGATCACCTGCTTGGGGAATTAACCAACAGCCTCAGCTACCTGATCGTCGGCACGGGTGACCACGCGTCGCGTTGTTTGGACGATTTTGACTTTGGATGTGATTTTGGAGGGGAAATTTGCTGGGCAGTCTCCTCGGTCGATCACTTGGGCAGCGAACTGAGTGCGGAAATAGGCGGACCACTGCAGACATGGGCGCCTCGGGCGTGGTTAGGGCCTGTGAATAACCCTTTGGCCCACTGTGAAATTACCCCAAGCGGTCCTCGTCCTCTGCTCGTCCTGCGCCTATTGAACAACATCCTCCCATTCACCCACTTGCACCCATCCATCTCTCATCCCACCAATTCATCCCGCATAGCCACCTGCCCGCTAAGCGGGTCTTTGCAGTGCTGTGCTTTGCTGTGATCGACATACATTTTTACTGTTAGTAACCTGGTCGCCTGTGATTTCTGTGCCCTCAGTCGGGGATCCATTTTTTGCTCGTTGTCGACCTCTGTTCATTCTCCCACCAAGCTGCTCCAGACACGCGTTGCCTCTCCTTGACTGATTTTCACATCACACAAAGACAAAACACCAAAGTCAAGTGCTTGTGGTTTCGCTCTCTGCTCTCCACTCCCAACCTCTACAGCCGTCGCCATACCGATCAGCTGTAACATGCATTTCTCTTTGATATCATCGTAACAATTGCATTGGGACCTGCGGGTCATCCGGCCACTGGCACTGGCACCTGAAGCCTGAGAGTGACACTGTCACTGGCACGGGTTGAGCTCAGAATGACACTAGACGCAGGAAATGACTATGGTATGTCACATGTCAACATGCCTCCGAAGCTTACAGGGCTTCACTTCTGATAACAACACATCCCTATGGACCACTTTCAATCTTGCTGATGGCGAATGCAATGCTCACCATATCCTAGGAGACATCACCCCACCGTTATCCCCTCTCCCCATTGTTCCGGGAGGAACGATGTCCGGAGATCAACAGCTTCGCCTTCCCAAGAACAAGAGCACTGGGAATCTGCTCTCGCCCAAGACCGACCTGGGTCAGAGAGCACGGTTCTCCTTCGATGCTGGATCCACTCAAGAACTGCAAAATCTAAAGAGGTAGGTCTTGTACAATTCTCTACACCTGCCACCGGGTTGCATATACTGAACAAGACCAAGGGCATCGCGCGCCGAGCACGAACATGGGCTGGGAAGATCTGGTCTTCGCCGAATACGACGACCAGGTCCTTCACTGGTTCGTACCCCTACTCTAGTCCTCGAAGAGAGCGAATGGGTGCCTCCTGCACTACATCATGCCAAAACAGCACCAATATCCGGCTCTTCTTCAAGATCTGTCTCGGTCGGTTATATGACAAGCGGTCCTGCTTCCCCAGTCCTTGAGGATCTGCATCGATTCCCATCCGAGTCTCTCCACTCCTTCTCATTTGCCAGGCAATCCGAAGAGCTTTTGCACAGCAGACAAAACATTCTAAAGAAATCCGTAGACTTTGTACGCGATCGTGCATCTTGGGTAGCCAATCCCGCCCTCGCCGATGCTCATGCACGAGTCAGTGGTAATGTCGAATTACAAGGCATGATGGATTTGCTCAAAAAGGCCAACATTATTCCCATTGATACCGCGGCTGCCAGGGATAGACAGATCGGAGCTGGACCGGTCACAGGACCCGCTCATCATGATGGCCGCAATATTTTCGAAACTAGTTTTAGTAAACAATTGGAACAAGCACAAGAGACTGCGGCACAGGAACATTCCGATGGTCTCAGGGAGTCAAGGAAATACTCGCTCGATGAAGAGGAGACATTTCGCGATGTTGGTCTCCAAGTCCAAATTCCGCCTACAAGAGCCAGTTCGATGAGTGGTCCAAAAAGAGCTGGACTAAGAAGAACTTACACAGATCTCAATTCGGTATCGCTGCAACAGAAACTGATCGATGCCCTTGCACAGCCTTATTCCGCCGACGACCATTCCGCCCCACAAAATACCCTCGGAGCAGCAATGCATGGTGCAAGTACTCCGGGAGGAAGCTCCTCTGTGCACAGTCATAGCAGTAAATGGTCTCCTACACACCAGGCTGTCTTCCGTACTGATGCTGATGCTCCTTGGACAATACTGGCTGCAAACGACTTGGCCTGTCTGATTTTTGGAGTGACTCGTGCGGAAGTGCGCTCTCTCAGTATTCTCGGCATCATACAAGAGGAACGAAGACACTGGTTGGAGTCGAGACTCGCGCGTCCAGAACCGATTGTAGAAGAGAAAGTTCATTCCCCGACCACGAGTAGTGCCAGCAGTGGTGGCCTCTCTTTGGTTGGATCCAGAAGTGGTATTACCGCACGACTACTCAGTAAAGCTCCATCTCGAGCTAACAAATCTTCAGTGAAAGCGCAGACAGACGATGGCACCGGGGGTTACAATCGCCCATCTGCCAAAAACCACCCACCAACGAAATCGAGAGGCGTCCTTCTCTGTGGAGATATTGTGCCCATTCAGAGACGTGATGGTAGCAAAGGCGCTGCCAGTTTTTGGGTCATGGAGAAGCGTGGCGGTTTGATATGGGTGGTGGAAGAAATACTGGAGGATGTTGCTTACTTGAACTTTGATTCTGAGGGTCAAGTCACAAGTGTGCATGGGGGTGAGCTTGCAATCTGGGGTCAGCATATCGCCGCTGGTACCCCATTACAGTCACTCTTCCCCAGGTTTCCCATGGACAAACTCGACACGTACAACAAACAGCATTTGGGGTATTTCGCCGCTCGGACATGTGAGTATGTCAATGTTCCTACTGCCATTGAGAAGTCTCCGACACAAAATGAACTCCGGATTTCCAGTCTGCCCCATATTGCAGGTGTCATGGTCTTGGATCCCGACAGTTTTAAGATCAGCAGTTCCAACACCATCTTTTCGGCTGCACTCTTCGGTTATGAAAGACCCGAAGGGCTTTCAATCAACACCCTCATTCCTAATTTTGAGGATTTGTTGGCCATCTTGACGGAAGAGGAGGATATCGAATTGACGGACGGAATTGTGATACCTGAACACAGCTTTCGTCGCGGTCGTGCTTTGCTAGCTTTACGAGAAGGGAAAGAAAGTCCGGCAAGCATTTTCCTTCGGCCGTGCGGTGTACCTGCAACACACAGAGATGGCTCTGATATCATGGTGGATATCCAGATGAGAGTCATCCGAAGTGAGACAGTGTTCCCTATGGCAGATCAAGCAATCATCGAAGAGAAGGATGAACCTGTCGCGGAGACAAATGTTGCTGTGGCCGAGCTTGTATATGCGCTTTGGATCATCTATTCGAGAAATATCCACTCGAGTGGTCTTGGTGGTGTCGAACCTGAAAACGCGGCTTCGCTTCGACCAATGTCCCCACCCAGTCAGCCTGAGCCACCCCAGGCATTACCTTCACCTCCAGCAACATCGATTGGGGAGTTTGGGAAATCTGCAGAAAGTTCGGAGTTGTCTCTTGCATCCGACCAAGCAGACGAAACTGGATCAGTTACCATGGAGGAACCTTTAGACCACCCGCCACCCCATACGGCATACATACCGCATGAGAAAAAGACGATCGATGATTTCACAATTCTAGAAGAAATGGGCTCAGGTGCATATGGCCAGGTGAAATTGGTTCGGTATCAGAAGGGCCAGTCTCGAAGAATGGTTTTGAAATATGTAACCAAGAAGCGCATTTTGGTCGATACCTGGACTCGAGATCGAAAGCTTGGCACTGTGCCGCTGGAAATTCACGTCCTTGATTACCTTCGACGAGACGGCATGAGGCATCCTAATATCGTGGAGATGATTGACTTCTTTGAGGATGACGTCAACTACTATATCGAGATGCTTCCTCATGGAATTCCAGGCATGGATCTGTTCGATTATATTGAGTTGCGTACAAACATGACCGAGGCTGAAAGCCAAAACATATTCCGACAAGTCGTCGATGCCATTCACCATCTGCATACCAAGGCCTTGGTGGTGCATAGAGACATCAAAGACGAGAATGTTGTCCTGGATGGCGAAGGTCGAATCAAGTTAATCGACTTTGGAAGTGCCGCTTACATCAAAAATGGTCCTTTTGATGTCTTTGTTGGGACGATAGGTGAGTCTCGACTTTCTTATGCCACGTGCCTTGACTGACCAATGCAGATTATGCTGCTCCAGAAGTCCTGCAGGGTAAACCTTATGGTGGTCAGGCTCAGGATGTTTGGGCTCTCGGTATTTTGTTGTATACGATCGCCTATAAAGAGAGTAAGTCTCCGCATGGAATCCGTCCGGTATAATTTCGTGATGCTAACCGACCTTTGTAGATCCGTTTTATAATTTAGGTATGTGCTTACCCGCGGTGGGACGAAAAACTCCAGCGCCTGGGTGCCTGGCCATTAACATGAATGTACACTGACATATTGAACCAATAGATGAGATTCTCGATCACCCTCTTCGAGTACCATTCCTACCATTCTCCGAGGAGTGCTTGGATCTGATCCGCAAGATGCTAGACCGAGACGTTGATAGACGCATCTCAATAGAAGACGTGTTGGTCGACGTTTGGTTATGCGAGGAGAGCTGAGAAGGCATCAATAACAACCTGATTTTGCCTCTGAGCCTCGCAGCTCCGAGTTTCCACCGATCGTCCACCCCATTTGCAGAAAAAGACACGACTGAACCCAGACGACCAATGAATTACGAAGACGCTTCACATTAAAGATGCGATGCAAATCGCTATGAAGGAGTGAGAGAAATCATGCGAACCCCGATACTGGATAAAGACGAAAGGAATCTCGAAATATAGTTCTGCAATCTATGAAGTGCATGAAGAACGAAAAGTCGGTTTGAACGACAGGCATGGTTGGAAGTCTCTATTCTTTATCTACGATGGTGGGCCAGCCGCCGCGCCCGGTTGGTTTGCATACTGGATGTGGGAGCAACCTTTGAAATGATGTGCTAGGCCGCCATACGCTCGCACCATGGCGTTCAGATGGACATGTGCCACCAGCAACGCAGCGACCCGAGCTGTAGGGCGCACGTGGAGCAGAGGTTCTAGTTAGGTAGGGTTGCAGCAATTGCAGCCATCGCAGCCAAACCCCGGCATGTCGCATGGTTGGGTCTTCGGCCACTTGCCCCCTGTACCTAGGCCTGTTCCTGGGAACACTCGAGCTGTCCATGCATGCATCAGTTAAGCGCTGCCAATTGCTTCGTCCATGGACGAGTTTTTGGATGAACGGGGACTGGAAAGTCTCCCAACCACTTAGCGAGTGTCTATTCCATGTACCTACCTCCCAATCTCGATTGGTTAATCGGAAGGTAGCTGATGTTTTGTACATAGTTAACCAAAAATCACCAACTTCAGACAAATTCACGATTCTGTTATCACTATTGCGGATTTGTTTTTGATCCGGCTGTCAATGAGCTAGCCGTTTGGATCGCAACTCGGATATAGCAATGCTTGAAACTAATACAAGCTCCTGAAACTCCACATTGGTTGGTAAAAAAGGTCGCTGCGCATGAAAAATATAAAGGTTTCCGACATTTATATTCGTGCTATCACAAAGGACTCAAGAGACCAAAGTCGAAATGAAATTCGTTACCCTATGCTTCGAGACCTCTCGTTGTCCAAATTTTAGCCGGTTTATACATCCTACTCAGTCGGTGCTCGCATGCTTTCGCTTTGGTGTGTACGGTCCCTGTGTCGCGTCGGTGTGTATAATGTAGTGTGCCAATTGAATTAATTAGCATGGCTAACTGTTCTCTACGACGAGGGAGATCTACGGATCTGGTAGGCCTCTGCAGTAAGAGGGCAGGTAAGGTGTCTTCGACCTTCTATTCGCACAGTCTGAGTGCGAGGTACCTACATACCTAGGGAGGTCAGTACGAAGCTGTTGGCCTACTACCCTAGCTTTGAACTATTCCGAAGGCGTTAACAGCCCGGTGGTTGGTGCATGGGTAGGTAGTGTCTCGGTACTCGGTATCCCCCGCAATCAGGTGTCGTTAGTGAGAACATCAAAGCATTCCCAATGCCCGTGACCCGAGTCGCCGAACCCAATTGAGAACCCAGTCCGCCGTGGCTTGGGGATTTATCCGATGGGGTTTTTAACCCGTCAGATTAATGGGAGGATTAGTGAGTGTCGGATGATAGGCAAACCATGCAGCGTGTCTCTGGGTGAAAACTGGTTGGATCTTCGCAGCTGGGTGGCAGGGACCTCAACCGTTCATGACATCACAAAGAACTATAGTAATTGCTGGAGATTTAGCCAGGATCTGAGATGGAGGAGGCTGTGAGCCTGTGCGCCTGTGAGTGCGCGCCTCCAGTTCGACATCACTTTCGGATAACCGTACACCAAGGAACTTTGCATTTCAAGCTGGGCTACGAGGTAAGTTCGGACTCATTGGTTGCCCAATTGTAGCTTGTACCTAAATCTGGCTTTATTCTGGGAAGCGCAGTGCATCCAATCTGTCAATGACCAAACGATATGTACATGAGCTGCATGAGACTCCTTACGGCGCAGGACCTTGATGGTTCCTGCCTGGTCAGCCATGACCTCTTACAGCTGCAGTAACACGCCCCATTTTGGCCACATCATCCTTGGATAGCCTTGTCAATTAGAGCGTCAAGAGAGGCGCTCTCTCAGGCTCCTTCGGCCGTCCTTTCAAGGAACAATATGGTGTGCACATTTGAGAAGACTTCATGCACCAAATGTAGCACAACTTCTCTCGAACTTCCGCAGGGATCAAATCCTCAAGCTTCTATGTTCTACCTATAAGGCGTGTTTCGACGCCCAACTTATGCTGATTTTCGTGTGTCGTGTGGCCAAGCCTCTGCGGCGCGGTTACCTCGTACACAACCTGGTTTGACGCCCGACTTCTGAGCAGGCTGTTTGCTGCGCCCCTGGCTGGGCCAAAATCACAAGTTGGATGTTCAAGCTGTTCTTTCTATGTGCTATAAATCCTCGGAGGCCAGATTGCCTGACATACGACTATGCGATGCGATTGCTTTGGCCCAGCCTCGTGCGAATTACGACTTCCTATCAGCCTCCGGCGCTGCTTGACCTGCATGCAAGGCTGAAAATCTCTTGACGCCATGTTTCACGCGTTTGGCAACGCAACGCAGGTCCCTCCGGCGAGCTGGCGTGACGAGCCCGCGACACGCGGAACCTTCAACATACTCAGCAGTTGCCTCATAACTCTTGGACTGTGTCTGTGGACCGCGTTACATCTCAATATCCCACGTCACAATGAGGGCGCATGGGTGACCCCAATGCGCAAAGCTTCCTGGCTCCTGCTCGGTCTCCTGGCACCTGAGATGATTGCGTATACCGCTTGGTACCAACGGCAAGCCGCGCTCAATTTGACCGCCGTTGCGAAGCGCAGGCTGGGCCAACCTCTTGAAGGATCCATCATCCAGAAACTCGCAGCCTTCTTCCGCCGTAGCGATCCACCTGATAAGAGTGAAATGGAAGACAATCAGACTGCCACCCCGACGGTCAAGCGACACTATCAGTGGACCACAGTTCACAGCTTCTATACCAACATGGGCGGTTTTGTCTTCGACACCACGGAGGTGGACGCCAAATTTTTGCCGAACTCTCGAGAACGACTGACACTTACACCTCGTGGCTTACTCTATATTCTGGAGCACGAACCCGACCTGATTCCCGATATTTCCGAAAAGCAAATCTGGGACAAGAGCAAAGCTGGAAATCTAGCCAAAACCCTTATATGCTTGCAGGCAATTTGGTTCTGCGTCCAATGCATTGTTAGATTTGCCCAAGGCCTTGCAATCAGCTTACTCGAGCTGAATGTCTTTTGCCATGCTATTTGTGCGTTACTCATGTACATCTTGTGGTGGGATAAGCCTATGGACATTGAAGAGCCCACTGCGCTACGTGGAAAGGTGGTCAGAGAGATGTGCGCCCTGATGTGCATGCGAAGCTCCGATGGTCACTCATCTGGCTGCACAGAACTCCCCCACGGAGTGAGATACGGCAGCGCAAGCGACCGCAACATTGCCGAGGCATATGTCTCAAACGATGAGAAACGTCCAACAAGCATATTGAAGATGCTTTTACTTGCTGTTTCCTTTCCTGTTCTTCTCTGTTTGGGCATTGTACTCTATGTACTCCTTCCTTTTTATGGTTTATTTAGAATTTGTAAGGGAGTGGTGCAGCTTTTTGGTGGCAAACATATCGAGAAACCAGATCTACTGGGCCACCGCAGAACGCTAGAGTGCCGCCTCAAATGGACTGCACCCAGATCTGTGGATGGCCAACTCGAAGGTGCCGACAATGATGAGTCTTTCCCTGTCGACCTCACCCATTCGTCGGCGGACGCTTCAGAGTTTGAAGGTAGAACGATTTCTCCTCCTTCATCAACACCGGCAGGCATAGTAGACCACGGCGTGTACGTAACAGGCAACAAAGCCACTCAAAGCCCACAAGCTCCTCCACAATCGATTTCCACAAGTCACATCGATGGTATCAGCCTGGCGCTCGGTAAATGGAGCCAGGGGGCGTTCTTTCCCTGGCAACCAACACCCGACCACACTCCAACATCTATCAATCTCTCCGCCACGGACGTTGCCCGCTGGCGGCTTTGTGCCAGTGCTCTGCAGCGTTATTGCCCATCAACTCAGCGGCTACAAGAAGACGGCACTGATAGCCATCAGGACTTTCCTGCCCACCAATCTGTTTGCGATCGTTCCCCGGATTGGCCGTTATCGGATTACCTTTCATGTGCGGGAGATGGTAGAAAACCAGTGACTGCTATCTTGGTTGGCTTCTCTATCGCTGGCCTCGCCTATGGAGGCCTCCACCTACTCGCCTGGGACGCCCCCTTTTCCTCACAACTCGAACACAATTTGTGGCGCATTTCTGGGATCATTCTCGCATGCTCGGGCATGGTTTTCACCATTGGATTCCTCTTACGGAAATGGATGATCAGAAGCGGCTTGACGAAGTTCCGCAAGAAGCTGAGAACTCAGCCCGGACGGCTCAACCTAGTTGGACATTTTATTTCCGTCATCGTTATTGTCGCTCCAGTCTATGTGGTGTGTGGCGTGTACATTGGTGCAAGAGGAATATTTGGTCGTGGAATCTTTCATCCAGCTGGTGCACTTGCCGGACACAGCGTATCTGTTGCCAAAATGGTCGCAGTATTTCCCGCATATCTCGTAGGTTTATTGACGAGTCAAATGTCATTCTAGGAGTTATTTGGGAGCTTGTCCGCCTTTGAGTTATCCGCTCTTTCACGGCGAGAGGCAGGCATGTATGAATGAATGCATGGAACAACTTAAGACTTGAGGCTGCATTGCTAGATGTTGATAAAGTTTAATTGATATAGTACTTCACATACATAGGAGATCCTAGCCTCGGCCTACCAGTGTATAGTAAGGTGGCCAGGCGAGTAATTGCTGCCGTTAGAGGCAAAGCAGGGGTTTTATGAGAGAGGTTCGGCTTATGGCGCGTACGTCAACGAGCTACATGCGATTATAGTATAGATGATTCTAATTGGTGGTGTTTGTGGTTTGAAACTCAGTGCTACTCAGGTGAGTTAACTTAGAATGTCCTCGTGCTAAGCCCGAGGGATTCGCGTTGGGGGTAATCGGGGTCTGGGTAAATTGTGGGGTGTCTCTGGAGACCAGGCCGCAACTGCAAACGGGTGTACCGAGTACTCGAGAGGAGGAACCGCCTTCTGATCACCTCGTAACCGGTCCGTGAGAGCTTCTGAAATCGGAAGCGGCAGCGCTCAGTAGACAGCCAGAACCATTGTGGTTGTTTGAGCACTCGTGAGGCTGGCTGCAGAAAATCGCAATAACAACATTTGAAAATGGGAATAATTCATCTGCCGACGAGAATTATCGCGGTCCTCGTACGGAGCAACTCCGGGGCAAGTCCCCCCATTCTGCCCCATCTGCCAATACGGACCCTCAGTTGAGGTTGCGCTCCGATTCACATCGAAAGAAAGACGGAGGGGAAAACTCTGGTGGGTTTTCCGGGGTGCACCACATTAAACTTGGGGGTAAGTCAAAGACTAGAGGCACCAACCAGTTAATACCCAGCCGTACATCGTCGACAAAGTCTCCAAAAGCCGTTGGGTAGCCAGAAAAGGAAGCGCTTCACTTTTGATACCAGATAGGATGATGTCTGATTTATCGAGGTCACCAACAGTCAATCGGACGACTTCCTTCACCCTGCTGATGCAACCCTCGTAATGGAAAGGGGATATACAGTACAAGTTTCCCTGCAGGAAATGTGCAGGAGACCCTGCTTTGCTGGAGGTTACAGTTGTCCATTTGGGAGGGATCCTTACGAAAAGGTGCGCCGAAAAGTGTGTGGCTCAACTGCGGGCGCTAGAGAACAATATGCGGTATCTTGCATATTGCAGTTGGCCTGGACCTGGACACTTTGACTGGGAGACGGACTCTGTTCCATTCATGCTTAAATCGACCGAATGAGACTCCTCGAGTCGGGCGGTAGGTCCACTTCTGGAACAAGTGGCCAGGCGAGAACAGTCGCCACGAGGTTCCCCTCGGTTGAGGGAGGATCCGCAGTGCCAGTAGCCTAACCCTAAGGAGAAGACACCGAGTTGCAGGTCACCTACCCGTACTCCGTGCGTGCTGAGCAGGCTAAATGGCGACAACCTGGACTCGGCCTGTCATTACTTCGTAGTGTTGGTAGGGCCATTAACTGCCAGTCTCGTTGCAGCGGCTTCTCCTTTGTGGGTACATTCGGGGAAACGCTGGGAGTTCCTCAAGAAAAAAGGCACTCGTGTCTGCAGCTGTACGAGGGCGGCTCACTGCAGGGGAAGCCGCAATAGGGTAAGCAAACAGTTCTGAGTAGTGCGTTCCCCTGGATGGCAAAAATTAAGCACGCGATAGTGATGGCGAAAAGGGAGAAGATGAAGAACAAAGTGTGAGAGTATCATGAGGTGTTCGTTTTATGGCACATGCAGCATGATCAACACTCTCTCAGGTTGGTTACAACCTCCTTATCGACCCTTCGTGGATCCAGAGAGTGAGATCGCTGGCAAACAGGAGTCTGCTGACCACTGATGCTGGAGGATTCAACATGGAAAAGTGATCACGCCTGTCGTATGTTGTCGGAGGAGGGCGGCTTGGCATTGAGTGCCCCAAGCCTCGGGTATTGTCCAACAGCAAATAGGGTGTCATTGGACTTATCTGGTATCTACTATCGATACCCCGATAAGCTAAAGGTTACAGGGGGAGAGATGCCCCTCTTAGGCCTGGAAACCACCGTAAACTTGCAATCCTCGGTCCCTCCACTCCCGAGTATTCGCACCCCCTCGCCCCCCCTCTCCCACCACCCACCACACCTAGAACTCTAGTGACCACCACCCATGATCCGTTACTGGTTAGGTACGGCTATACTTGGAGGAAACTCCGTCCCTTCTTTCCTCTGATGACCCCTGTAAATCCATCAGCTCGTACCCTGTAGCCGATAATCCAGAGTCACTCCCAGCCGGCTTCTTCTCCACCATTTCTTGTGTCTTGCGTCCTCATATCTTGTGTCACCGTCGGTCTTTTGTCTCGTCGAAGTTGGACTCGTAATTGGTCTTGGTCCAAGGTCTCCCTCTACCTGTTCCCTGTTCCAACAAACCTTGGTGAACTCTTCTGTCGCCTGACCTCATCGTCTGAACATCTTGATTGCTTCACAAGACTTGACTTCTCTACTCCATGTGCTATATGCCATTTTGTCGACTTCCAGTCTTTTCTTGAGGTGGTGAGGGGCTGGCCTGCCTCACGCTTGTCTTGCAGTGACAACATCGGCACCCTGCATAACGACTGCTGGCATCAGATATTTACATATACATAGCGTGCTTGCATCATGGAGTCAATCACCACCACCATGACAGCAATGTCATCCGTCTCTCAATCTCAAGCACCCCAACTCGAGTCTCCGAGGCCAATGACTCCATCCAGTCCAATTATCCAAGCGACTACCGCCTTTGATCACCAGCCTGCGAAACTTGGCCGTCGACATAAACTACTACAGGGTCTCCAACGCATGTCCTCGTCCCCATCACTGGTAAAGCTGGGCCGCACCCGTTCTACCGAGAAAGTGTACAAGTCAAGTCAGAAGGCCTCCATCTCTTGCGTCTCTCTCAATTCCCCTGCATCTACCTATTCTCTATCCCCTCACGTATCCTACGCATTCTCCAATGGCTTCTCAACCGCTCCAACCACACCCGGCACACCAGGCAGTCAACAATCTTATTTCGAGACGCATTCAAGACTTCGACCCTTAGATCCCAATGAAATCACCAGTGTCGCGCTCCCTGGGGATGTTCGATCCTCCAAACCTCTCTCTACCCCTCTACCTGAGATCTCCGAGAAGCCCTTCCCCAGACGACCGAATTTCAACTTCTGGCAGGATATGCCTCACGAGATTCGAGTCCATATCCTATCCTTCCTCTCCCCGAAAGATATCATCAGAGTATCTGCAGTCTCTCCAGAGTGGCATGATATGTGTTTTGATGGGCAGTTATGGACTAGTCTCGATTGCCAGACATACTATCAGCAAATCACTTCGGATGCGCTCATCAAGATTATGCTCAAAGCTGGTGCTTTCGTCAAGAACCTCAATTTGCGTGGCTGCGTTCAACTGAGAGACCAATGGTTAAGTTTGGGTACTAGGATGACGAATCAAGAGTGCAGGAACCTCGAGAATTTCAGTATTGAAGGGTGTAAGATTGAAAGATCCTCCATCCACTTTTTCCTACTACGAAATCCCAGGCTCCTTCACATTAGCATGCCGAGCATGCAGAATGTGAATAATGCGACCATGAAGATCATTGCATGCCACTGCCCTCAACTTGAGCTGCTGAACATTGACTGGTGCTCTCAAATCGATTCCAAAGGACTGAAGAGAGTGGTTCAATCATGTCCAAACTTACGAGATCTCCGCGCTTCAGAGGTCAGAGGTCTAGACGACAATGATTTTATGCTGGAACTCTTTCAACGGAATACATTGGAAAGGTTGATTCTGCAGCATTGTGATAGTCTGACTGATAACGCGATGCAAATCTTAATGCACGGCATTGAACCAGAAAGAGACCTCCTAACCGACAGACCCATGGTCCCACCAAGGAGATTGAGACACCTGGATATTTCCAAGTGCCGACATTTGACAGACAAGGGTGTTCAAGCGATGGCTTATAATGTTCCATATCTGGAGGGGTTCCGCCTGTGCCAGAATACCCCCCTGACTGATGATGCATTGGAGGAACTACTGCAGACCACCGATCGCCTCACCCACCTCGAAGTGGAGGAGCTTGAGAATCTGACAAATGCCACTCTAATCACCCTATCCAAGTCCAAGGCCGCAAAGACGCTCGAGCACCTCAGTATCTCTTATTGTGAGCAGATGGGCGACATTGGAGTTCTCCCGCTGTTGAAGGCCTGCTCCAATATCCAGTCTTTGTACTTGGACAATACTAGAATCTCCGACCTGGTACTTATGGAGGCTTCCGAGCAAGTTCGTCAGCGTGGAAGTACGACGAAAAAGTCGGACGTGCCAAAGAAGGGGCTCGAACTCGTTGCTTTCGACTGCGCCAATGTCACATGGGCTGGTGTTAGGGAGATCCTTCAAGGGAATGGCCGAGTCATGCAAGGCCGCCGAAAATCGGTGTACCAAACTCAAACTTTCATGGGAGAAAATGGTCAACGAGAGGAATCCAAACGAATCATCGAAATCCAGACCCTATTGTATCCTACGGAAGTCATCCATCTCAAAGCCTTCTATGGCTGGCAACAAACAGTCGAGGAACACTACAAACGATGCACGACTGGTAGATGGGGCGCCGCAGCTCGCTTGGAATCAAAATGGGCCGAGTGGATGGTTGCTAGTGAAGAAGTGGGTGGTCTTGGTCATGGCTGGAGCTCTAGACGGAGACGACGCAGAGCCAGAGACGCTGAGACCAGGGTTCGAGATGACGAGGATGGCAATGTCCAAGACACTGGCACTGGCGATGATGATGGCAGCGGAATGGAATATATCACAGGCAGGATGCCTCGCGGAGGTCGCAGACGAGCTCGGAGTGGTGGTTGTTCGGTGATGTAGACTGCCCTGGGTCATTGAATGTTTGGTGAACGGTGGCCTGCGTGGTATGATGCAAAGCTGTGCCAGTTCAGTGGGCTGATAGGGTATTTTGATTGATGAGTGTACGGATATTGCATTTTGGTGTTGGTCAATTGCGGGGGACATGATGATGCAATTTCTGGCGACTGGGGGCCTTTGAGCATTGATTTTGGAGTTAGGGATAACTCAACCCAGGCGAAACGACTTCATGAGCAGATGCAGATGGAACAGCAGTTCAGATGAAGTGGGCTCGAGGAGGGATGGTTCCGAGCAATGAAATGAAAGCAGTTGCTCATAGTGCGCATTTTGATGGTCATGCAAGGCATATTAGATGGATTAGCGGTGACAGTTACTCTCCCCATATCATTATACAAGCACCGCTCATACATTTCAAGCAAGATTTTGAAAACCCTTTTTTGCTTCGTCGGTATTTTGTGGTTGCTTTTACATTTCCCAGCGCTGTTCTACAGTCTAAGATAGTTTGATAGGCGGGAATGTTGCCCCATTCAGTGCCAGGCTTTCGTTGGACTGGGATTCCTCACGCAGGTGCACATGAAGACAGGCGGCATGCATGGTGCATGAAGATCCATGCACGTCCGACCAACCAGCTGGGTGATATCACCAATTGAGCGCTCAGCGTGGTATCATGTCTTTTGCCGGCCATAGCAATTCTGTACCTTGAAATGGAACGTGCCCGGAACAAGGCACCATACAAAACCCGTAACCCCCTTATCTTCAAGACTTGTAAACGACCTTCTCAAATCGATCAAAGAGATTGAGTACCTCTTTATCCATGAATGGGAAGATGCTCGTCATGACGAGACCGAGCTTACCACTTGCCGGGTCTACCCAGTAGTAGTGATTGCTGAGGCCGGCCCAAGCACCACTGCCTGCTTTCCGCCCACCAGGGTTGTCGTCAATGTTGTACATCAATCCCGCCGTCCAGCCTTTGCGCACACCAGGGAGCAGTTCGCCGCTATCGGAGATCGATGGGATCGTGGTCTTGATGACCCCTACGTACTTCGACCCTTCTGGACCGATGATCTGAGGTATCTGGTCTGTGTAGAGATACTCCTGCACGGTCTCGGGTTTTAAGATCTGCACGTTGCTCGTTGGGTGAGTTCCGCCGTTGAGTACCACCAGCAGGATCTGCGCGTACTCCTCCGCCGTCGAAACCAGATAATGGCCACCAGGACTGCGGAAGTCACCCGGCGAGGATTCCTCCTTCGGCTGTGGCGGGATAGGGCTCAGCGATCCATCCGCTCCGCGGAAATGATTCACCGTCTCAGCAGCACCGACCCTCCAGTCCCCGCCCGTCTTAGTCAGACCGAGTGGCTGGAAGATATTCTTCAGGAAGTAATCGTCGAGATCCAGACCCGTGATCGCTTGGACAACCAGTCCGACCCAGTCAGTGTTCATGCCATACTCCCACTTGGTGCCGGCTTCGAAGGTAAACGGCGCCTTGAAATCGTCAACCTTGCGTCCTGTGCGCTTGATCCCCTGCGTCCGCTCCCGCCAGGCATACCACTTCTTCACATCCTCGTTGAGGAAATCATAGCCTAGCCCGGACGTGTGCGTCAGGAGATGTCGGACCGTCACTTTGGTTCTCGGCGCACGGCAGATGGGCTCGCCGTCACTGGTCCAGCCGTCGAGGGCCTGGATTTCCGCGAAGTGAGCCACGTATTTCTCGACAGGGTCGTCGAGGCTGGAGAGCTGTCCAGTCTCCAGGAGTTGTAACGCCGCAATCGAAGTCACGAGTTTCGTCAACGACCATGCGAGGATAGGCGTCGATGTTGTCATGTTCGGGGTGGACGCGTCGTTGATGTCCCTGGCGGAGCCATATGCGCCTTTGTACAGCACGTTGCCCTGCTTGTCCAGTGCAATGGCTGCTATGCCGGGGACACGCTTGGCTTCGGTTGCATCTTGTAGAAGCGAGTTGATCTCGCTTTCGAGTGTCATTGTTGTCGGTGGATAAGTCCGTCGTGTACAACTTCAAGCTTGTTCTTCCGGGTTGAGCTCGATTTCAGAGTAAGTGGAGGAGCAGGTATCTGGTTGCAGCCTCATGTTCAAGGCAGTGGGGAACAAGACCTAATATATGGAATCTGCGGCACCCGAGGCGCACGAATCTTGAGGCCGCTTCGCTGCAACTCTAACTAGATGTCCAAGAAACTTAGCACGAAAGCGGGCAGTGTTAGTTACCCGAAGTTACGTTGGACGTAAGTTGGCAAAGTGTATTATGTTCCTCCTTCGTATCGGCTCTGACTAAGGTCTCTCGGCGTGCCTGCCCTTTATCTCGGCTCGGATGATCCGAGATATGGTGCAGGATGGAAGGAACGATGATCACCACCGAGATCACTTACAGACTAATTTACTTGTGGGCAGATGTAGCGCTCTCGAAGTAAGGGCACCTGTCTCCGCTTGGATAACGAGCTTGTTGCAATTACTGATGCTCCGCAGAGGCCAACGTGGCGATATATTTACCTTTGGCTGACTCAGACGTAGCCTGGGGATGATGGAGAGGGTCACTTGCCAAGGTTACCATGGCCCTTCTGAGGTCGATGTATTAAACTCGTATCAGACACTGCTCGAGGACTTGTGTGGTTACCGCCTACATGAATGATTGGTGCGTGGTAGTCTTACATGCTTACAGGGGCATGTTCAACGAAGACGGAGTGGAAATCATCACTAACCAAGACTAGCCAATGCTGCGCAAGCCATAATACGAGAAATAGAGAGCAATCAAAAGGATTATCGGAGCAACAAATCGAAGTCACGGAAAGACGACTACAGCGTGGATTAAACACTACCTCGGAGACCGCAGGGGCACCTGAGCAAGGTGAAGCGTAATGCACGTAATAAACAAAGGACACAGCAATAGTCACCTAGGTCGTTGACAATCCAGGGGAAAGGCTCGCAAGCCTTGACGAAGAGTTCCGGTCTCTTGTGAACAGGGACGCCAACTACTCGTAGTTAGAACAGCTGGCTGCTCATGGACATCAGCGCCTAAAGGTAGAATTCAAAGCTACCGGGGACTTAGCTAGATTAGTTGCGGGCCACCTGAAGGCACCGCTTAAGGACGACCAAACTCAAATTCAACCAGCACTCGACTTACTCGTAGATACTCAGTGTGCACTCAACAACGGCCATGTTGCATCTCTGCAATACCATGAAGAGCAATATGAAAACAGGACATCCGTGGCCCAAAGCAGGTAGTGAAGCCACAATCTTGATTTGCATACCGAGATGCTATCATTCATGACTACGGAGAGGCGGTCAAGCCTGCTTCGAAGCGCCAGTCGTGGAGACCTGGCAGAGAAGACAATTCTGCAGTGCACGACTCGGAAAGCGTCATTCACCTATGCAGAGAGACTCTTGGGGAAGGCAACAACCCTGTGTGCATGTCTGCCTTGCGAGTGGTGGAGGCGCTGCACCTCAAGCCACTTTCCCAGCGCATCGCGACAGCACATCTACTCATCTCAGCCTGATGAGGACCAACTCAGTGGTCTTGTAGCTTTGCGAATAATCTCCTTCCAGATGTCCTTCAACCTGGTAAAATGTTCTATCCATGGAACCACTGAGAGCAAATGGTGTCCAGGATATTCTATCTAACTATACGAAGTGGTTGAACGAGCAGCACTCGCAAGAACATCGTTCCTTTTTTGAGGCTGAAGATCGACCTTCATCAGGTATGTTGCGCCATCCACACTGCCAACCCCAACGAGTTGTCTGGTGTTTTCCAATTCCTAGCTAGAGCTGACGGATCATTATCAGATCCAGAACCTTCTGTCGAGCGAGACCATCGACGAGTCGAGTCCGAAATCTACGCTCTTGAAAAGCAGCGTACTTCGAAATCACTCTTCAACATTGGAGGCGCAGGCGCGGAAGCCACTTCACACGAATCGGAGACGTCTGCCCCAGAAAGCGAGGCATCATACGAGCAGAATCCGTATTTCCCTAACAAAGAGGATTCGAAGTCGGGAAATTCGGAGGGCGAATTCGAAGAAGACCGCGAAGACGAGGAATACGGTGGGGACGACGACGAAGACGAGGAATACAGCGGCGACGACGACGACGACGACCACGAGGAATACAGCGTCGACGACGAAGACGAGGGATACAACGACGACAACGAAGAATCAGAAAACGACGAAGAATCAGAAGTCGACGAAGACCTTGAGCACCTAAGTACAAACATCAAACCTCAACCTGCTGACAGGCTCTCAGTTTTCAAAAAGCCGATCGAAACTCCTTTGTTCAATGCCATCACCATTTCTGATGATCAAAGTGCAGGCAGCAAAATAGCAGAACGCAACCTTCTCGCACTTAGAGGCAGCAAGGGTAGTCCTGAACTACCAGAATTCCACTACATTCCTGAACCTTATTTCGCAGACCCCAATAACAGGCTGAGGGACTACCAGACACAATTGACGTTACTCGAGCAACAAAATAAGAAAAGATTATTAATGCCGCCATTGGATAAAGATACACATACCTCTATGGATGCTGGGATAGGGCTCTCGTCGTCAGTACATCCACTCGCCTCGGCCACGGCCTTCCAAAATGGCAAAACGCTGCAAAGTGGAGTGGATATAAGACATCTTCTCCAGGCAGACGGTTCTTCCCATCTAGATCTTGAGAAGCTGCAAGAATACATCGAAATATTGCAAGTTGAGGTAGCACAGCTAAAATCAGGTCAGCAAGACACTTCACCGTCCAGGTTCCAGATCTTAAACCGCATAACACAGAAACAGGTTTCTGACCGTAAAGGTGGAGCTCAGTTCGAGTGGCATCTTTCTTCGCCATACTTCGATGTCCCAGAATGGATCGAAGGGCAAGGTAGCCAACGACACCTTCGATGCAGCTTACCTCTTGCCAACTTCGAATTATACCTGGAGAAAAACAAGGATATTGCATTCGTTGTGTACCGGGATTTCCACCCAGAACGAGATATAGCACCCTCGAACGCTACCCATCGTCCTGCCAAAGGCACGAGCGGAGGGGCGCCGCAGCCCACTAGCGAGAGCATCAGACCCATAGGTCGGGTACTGACTGAAGCAATCGAAACCTTGTTGAGCTCGCGAAACGACTATTCTAGCTTATTGTCAGAGTACAAATCCTCAAAGGAGTTGCATGCCCCTTATCTTCCTGTATACAACAGCCGCAAGGATCTGCACGCGATTCAGGAAGGATTGTCCGCGGAGGCTCAGAAACAGTTTTCTCTTCTTCTTCAATACATCACAGACCGATATGGGGACAAATACGCAGCTGCAGACTCACTTTTCTTGGAGCACAAGGTATCATCAGAGAATGTACCGTATCTCTTCAAGCCAGGTGATATCCTGGTGGAGCGCAGACAGAACCGGTATGCTGCGTTTGTTGCTAGCAGTTGGCCATCAAAAGGCCGAGTCAGATATGTATCCCGGCTGAAGGGTGACATCAGAAGTGGTGAAAATCTTCCGCTCTATGGCTCAGAAGAGTCTTCTAAGAGAGTGTCGAATGAGAAGATGAGGGTCCAATGCTGGGCTGTCACCGGCTGGTATTGGGCATTCGATGGACATTTCCAACGCCAAAATTGCAGACACGAATTCGACATTGAGGTGGGCGAAGAAATCAATTATGACACAACCATACGCGATAGTATTGATGGTGGACATGATACATCGATAGGCGCTCGTCAAGCCAAGGAACAAGCCATCAAGGACCTGAGCATCTTTCCTCTGGAATACGCCGAGCCAGATCTGGTTGACAGACTTCAAAGGAGAGGTAGCACATTCTGGAAATGCCGCAATCGACTCCTAGTCTCATATATGGAGAATGGGATGGCTGACAGCCAAAATATGGAAAGTTTTCTTCTCCCCGTTCCCGTCCTTATCTAACACATATGGTAAAGCAGGTCGAAGAGCGGTACATGATTGATCTGAAAACGTACTGTAGCTTGCACCCTAACAAGAATTTCTCCATTCCATTATCAGATGAACTTGGTGATGATGCGATGGCCAAGGATGAGCCGCCGGACGAGAAGTTCAAATACCTACTTCCGCCAGAGATCAAGGGCTACAATCTAAGATTGAAAAAATGGTTTGATCTCGAAGTTGATAGGATTTCCGAAGTTAATTGGAACGTTGAAGCGTTTGAAACCCTTGTGATCGAACGAAAGGCCAGAAACCTCATCCTGGCACTAGTCAGCAATCAGATAGAGTCGGAGAAGTCAACGGATCTTATTGCCGGCAAGGGCAATGGCCTCATCTTGCTATTGCACGGTGGGCCAGGCACCGGAAAGACCCTGACTGCTGAGAGTGTCGCCGAGATCGCCCGGAAGCCGCTTTATCGTGTCACCTGCGGAGACGTTGGTACAAAAGCAGAAGATGTCGAGAAGTATCTTGAATCGGTCCTCCATCTCGGGAAAATCTGGGGCTGTGTTGTCTTACTTGACGAAGCCGATGTTTTTCTCGAACAAAGGAGTTTAGAGGATCTGCAGAGAAACGCACTGGTTTCCGTCTTCCTACGAGTTATGGAGTACTACGAAGGTATCCTTGTACTCACTAGTAACCGTGTGGGAACATTTGACGAGGCATTCAAGTCAAGGATTCAACTCGCTCTGCATTACCCTAGCCTGGGGCAATACCAACGGCTGCGAGTGTGGGAGAACTTCATTAAGCGACTTGAATCCTTTGATGACGGCAAAGTTGACACAGATGATCTTCGAGACCACCTCGAGGACTTAAGCAAGGAGAAAATGAACGGTCGACAGATTCGAAATGCGATTACCACCGCTAGACAATATGCTGAGTGGGAATCTCAACAATTGAAAGACCGCAAGACGAGTAAAATGACGTACGAGCACCTGAAAGATGTGATTGAAGTTGCCAGTCGCTTTGACAAGTACATTGACAAGCTCAACGGCGGATTCTCCTCAGATGAGCTCGCACAGGAAGAGAGATTGAGGCTTGCTTAACTTTTTTTTACTATGCACAACATAGAAAGAGCGAAAATGCTCGGTTTTCTCTTGTAGCAAACTCAACACGCTCGCCATGCTTACTAGTGCGTTGCTCAACTTGCTCCTTTACTTACGGCTGGGAAAGACTATTTGCGGCAGGCAGAATGTCGTATTTCTAGGAAGCATCCAGAAGTTGCTCAACGCCTAATACTCGAACTTCTGGCCCACGAGCTCCTCACTCAGCTTCCACAACTTCTTCGCTTCACGAGAACTGATGGCGTGAGGTTGTATTTCATCCAGGTCTAGCGGTTCAACATCCGAAAGGAACCTGCCATTGTAATCTGTCCGATATCATTGGTCAGCCGGAATGTCACATAACATCCGAAACGGTGAATCTCGCCAGGCCAGGGATCGGGGCGCAAACCTTTCAGAGTCGGATCAAATGCAGCTCGAATGTGCGTCGCAACGCCCTGACTGGGTGTCTTCCGAGGGAACTCGGTCCAGTCACCTTGATAGTTCCCAAGGTCCTTGTCAAGCTGGTCTAAGTTGAAGAAGCATACAGGGTCAGTACTGGTTACTAGCTTCAAGCTAACAAGGCTGCCGTCCAATATGTTGCACGAAGCCTGCAAGGAAGACTTACTCAACGCAGACCAGTCGGTATTCCAATCTAGATGAGCCCCCAGATTGGTAACGATCACACCAGGATGAAGGCTGAGTGCGACAAGTCCTTTGTCTCCTAGCTTCTCAGACAGTGAAATAGCGATCAGCATGTTTGCAGTCTTAGCTTGTCCGTAAGCCCGATACTTGTTATATGTCTTGCCATCCTGAAGGTTTCACGACGATAAGTTAACCGAATAATTACGTGCCCCGATCTTGCGAGGCCCAGGAGAGCGAGGTCCCAGATGGATACAGCGAATTGGGAGGGATGTATGTTGTCCTTATTACGTACCTTGAATCCGTAATCATAAAACCTGATCGGACTTAATCTGTAGCCATCACTCGACACATTTACGACCCGTGGTAAGGACGATTTCAAGATCTTGTCCATGATCAAATTCGTGAATAACCAGGGCGCCAGATGATTCGTCCCAAATTGGCCCTCGAAGCCATCTGTCGTCTTTGCATACTCCGTCGCCATGATCCCGGCGTTGTTGACCAAGACATCGATAGGTTCTGAGTAGGTGTTGACCACTGCCGCAGCCTCACGAACCTTGTCCAGCGATCCAAGATCGAGCTCTAGGATTCTGGTCTCGACTTTGCCATTCGTAATCTCGGCGACCTTGGCAGCTGTAGCCTCGACTTTCGATTTATTGCGACCCGCGAGGATTAGGAGCTTGGGCTCTGCCACGGCTATTTGTTCCACGAATGCTGCTCCCAATCCACCAGGCGAGACCCCTGTGGTGAGGATCACTTTTCCAGTAATGTGAGATTCTAAATCTCCGATGACTTCTTCGGCGGTCGTTTCCCATTTGTATAGTCCCGGCATTGTGTGAAATGAATTATTAAGACGATATTCCAATTTGTGCAGCCCTAGATCAAGTAGAACTATCGAGGGTGATCGATAACTTTAGTAAAGAAATAGTGATTCTTTCCTGCTTTCTTGCGGTTCTGAAGAGAAGAAATCTTCATGCCTACTGTGGGCTTTTTGTACATTTTGTGTGCAGAGCCCATCTCGAAATAAGTGGAATCTACGCTGTACGGATCAAAAATTTCTATAGCGAACAAAACCAAAAATCCAGCCTTGAGGTTGTTGAATGATATTTGATTACGCGCGTACTCTTGTAAGGAGTTAGGTAATTTCCAATGCGGCCGCAAATTCCACAGCTCGGACAAGAGGGTGGAGAGAGTTCCGAACAATTAATTAGTGGTTGGTGAAATGCTTGGATCTGGCGATCATTTTAACTACGGTACGAGCGGCCGCGATACACTCCCTTCTTTCACGGGTATTATCGGTCATAGCCTCTCCACCTATAAGGATGCCGGTTTTCTCTCTCATGATTAATTGTAAAGGGTCTCTTCTATCAAGGTCATTGGTTGATTCATGGGCACGGAACGCCTGAAGCAGATTTGGCCGCACATGAATTCAACGTTGTCTCCGCACTCCCATGCGAAGGAGGATCGAACAGCTTACTAACAGAATATACAAAAGCCTCAGCTCTGCACTGAAGCAGTAAAAGATCAGCGGACCTGTTCACTTGCCCACCCCAGGGCGGCTCGTGCCGTACAATCATTCTATGCGTGTCGTCTTGCGGACCAACGCCTTGTGGGCAAATATGTTCACAGATATCAGCTATACGGAAGCTTAAGTGAATCGTAAATTTGATCATCAAATGTTAAAGACACTGACATCTCCACACTTGTCGATGTGGATCGCTACGAGCATTGTTATTTTGGCCAAGAGATCTTGGAAGGTGACTGACTGCATTGAGTGTTGATCAAGGAACTTTGAAACTTACTTAGCATCTCGTCCTTCTAAAGTCCCACGGATGATCAACCGGACGGCAAGTTCTTGAGCCGTTCTCCTGGAATCTCTGTCAGGCACAAACCTCACAATACTATCAAGTCTGACTTCGGTTGAAATTGCGTTGTCCTTCTTTCGAAGATTCTTGCAAATGGTCCTGCTTTCTGTGGTAGGAGAGGTGATTGTACCATGGCATCAGAATGCAAGGCAGGTCCTCTCCCAAACTTCGGCCGATCTCATGTCCTTTGGAAATTCGAGGAGAGAAACCTTTTCCCCGTCCGAGGAATCGTCCATGCGAGAGTTGGCACCGGAAGTCTCAATCTGTATGACGGTATTCACCAGCAGAAGATTGTAGATACGTTTTAGCTTTCGGAAGGTGTCTTTTTGTATATAGCTTGGTTGCGTATCTTCGATGGTGACGCCGGAAAACTGGTGCAGGGGATTTTCTTGTCGGAGATATGTGCGTTAGGCTGTTGATGTATTTGTATTTCCCTCTATATACAGAGACAACATTTTCCACAGAGCTCGATGGCTCGACGCCATCAGTAGATTGGACCCTATTCTTGTGGGATCTTAGCTTATTGAGATGCAAATAATCGACTTGTAGTTCCTGCAATATGTTTTTAATGTTCAATTACCAGATGGTAGCGTAGTTGATTGATCAAGGACCCTGGAGTTCCCCCTGCACGGAGCACAAAGTAGTGATATTTAGACATCGTGCAAACCTTGAATATGATCGGGTGATGGGTGCTTGATCTTTTGCTTCGTAAAATACGCTCGACATAACAAGATGAACATACGTTACTCAAGTGATGACCTGATATGGAGGTAATATACCTTCTGCATAATGATCCGCGGTGGAGCGCCGGCAGCCTCTACATCCACAATAGGAGTCAAGCTTTCTTCCCATAAGAGATACGGACCACTAGATCATGGACGGGGCGAGAGACGTTAGTTTTTCCCTTTTGTCTGTCGTTGCAGAAGGCGGAAGTAACGCATAACTTTCAAGCACATTCTGGATCACCCACATGAGGATTTTAATTTGCTTCATAGGTAGTCGGGTTGAAGGCCAAGAGCCCTACGAGCCCAGAAGCTAGTTTCCGAAACCTGTAGGAGGTCCTGGCGGAAAAGTTCCTCCTCCAAATTAGAGCTTGGACGGCGACAAGGGCAAGAATCACAACAACTAGCAGGCCACACTTGAGTCTTGCCGACTACGCTCAGAGCTTGTAGGACATACTCAGACAGTGACGGGGATGCGTCTATGATTTTCACGCACGGGAATATGCTCGTCGGCGAGTTCTTAGAGGAACAAAAAACCTTCCGAGACCAGCAACTGATCTTGTTCCTCATGCATGGATTCTGGCTTCATGTTGAGAAGATGACGTGGTATTTACAGGGGTTTGGTAACTTTATCACTCTGTGTCGTCTATAAACTACATGAGACACAGCATTTTCGACATGGTACTGCCTAGTAGTGCCGGATGATATCTACAAGGTTTAAAGGAGTCCTAATGAATTGTACATAATCTCGTGTCGTTTCAGTGGGTACACGACAAGTGGGTTAGGGAACGAGTGCTTAGCAACTTGCTGAGTGGCATGTACATTTCCCGGAATTCTAGAAGCGGACAGCAACTGGTGCGAAATGAATAATAACAGAGCCCAGCAACAACTCGCAAGTTGTAAGTTGAAACTCGACTCAGGATGCTCGCCAGTTCATTATACCACAGGACACAACGACTTCGTAGATCAGATCCTCCAATGTCATCATGGACGAATGTCCACGCTGCTGGCTATATAATAATACGAGGACTTGCCAAGTACTGAGTCCCAATGTTCTGCTGTCAGCGGCGGCAATTCCACAACTGGCGGAAGGTGCTTCCGCGTTCTCTTTCCTCTTTTGTGCAGAGAGCTCCGCTCCTATCTTGCATGCAGACCCCGGATTTACTTACCCCGTTGCGAGTAATGCGAGGACCCACTAGCGGGTCTAGATGTGAGCTGCATAGATTAGCGGACGAGCCTCGAATGGGCCAGGGGCAACATATATCTTCCACCATACCTCGTACTCTGCTTTAGAATCAAGCAAGTCACTGCTGCTCACCACAATGTCTGTGACTGCGAAGACTACCCACAGCATGGACAATGTCCCAACGGACAACGAGAAAGGTTCCCTGCACCTCACAACAACAGATGACGCCCGTCTCGCTCAACTTGGTCACGTTCAGGAACTGAAACGAACATTCTCGGTATGGTCGTTGGGATGTCTCTGTCTCTGCTTAATGGCTACCTGGGAGGCGCTGGGTAGTGTGCTTGCGCTGGCTCTATTGAGCGGCGGTGCTCCCTGCCTTTTCTACAACTAGTATGTAGCTTCCAAAGCACGGCGACCTCGCTGACCCTTTTCATAGTGTCATCTCTTTCATTGGGACTGTTGCCATCGCCACGTCTCTTGCCGAGCTGGCTTCAATCTTCCCGACCGCAGGCGGGCAGTACCACTGGGTCGCCGCCCTTTCACCTCCGAGCCACCGTCAAGCGGCCAGCTGGTTTACAGGTTGGATCTCGATTGGTGGACAAATATGTTTGACTGCCTCAGCAGCCTTTGCAGGGGGTCTTCAGCTTCGCGGAATAATCTCGCTCAACGACGATAGCTATGTGCCCAAGCAGTGGCAAGGTCTCCTCTTCTATTGGGCGGTGCTATTGTATGCTCTATTGTCGAATCTGCTGAACACGAGCGTTCTCGCAAAGATGAACCTTGCTGCAGGTGAGTGCATCCTTACATGATATGAGTAAGGCCTGACAGAATCAGGTGTACTCCACGTGGTCGGTTTCCTTGCGCTCACCGCGGTGATTGGCGCCATGTCAGACAAACACTCTGCAAGCTATGTCTTCACTGAGGTTGTCAATTCCACGGGATGGGCGAGCGATGGCCTCGCCTGGCTGATTGGGATGCTGAGCACTGTGTATCCATTTCTTGGGTAAGTTTCTATCTTTCGTAGCCAGGATTCCAATTAACACTCCCAGTTACGATGCGGCAGCTCATATGGCCGAGGAAATTCCCCACGCTGCTCGCAACGTTCCTATTGCCATGGTCGGAAGCGTGGTGGCCAATGGCCTCCTAGGCTTTATCTACTGTCTGGTCCTCCTCTTTGGGTCAGGCGACCTCAGCAGTATACTCGAGACGAACACCGGCTTCCCTTTCATGCAGTTATTCCTCAATGTTACCAAAAGCCGAGCTGGCGCGATAGTTATGTCACTCGTCCCAACTGCCATCGCAGTGCTAGCCACGGCGGCGGGCCTGGCATCCACATCGCGGACTTTCTGGGCTTTCGCACGCGATGACGCGGTGCCCGCGCCGAAGTTTTGGTCGCATGTCAATAAGCGGCTTGACATTCCCGTGAGGATGGTTCTGCTGGTCTTCGTGCTTCAGGTACTCCTGGGCTTCCTCTACCTTGGCAGCACAACCGCATTCAACGCCGTGCTCGCCATGGCGATCATCGGCATGTATCTGTCATACGCACTGCCGATCGTGTACATGCTGTTTTGCGGCCGTGGGAGTACTCGTGTTGAACCGGCACCATTCCGGATGAGCCGCAAGATTGGAATAGCCACGAATATTGTGGCACTCCTTTGGCTCGTGTTGGCCATCTTCTTTAGCACGTGGCCGAATTTCTATCCTGTGACACTAGAAACTATGAACTGGAGTATTGTGGTGCTTGCGGGGTGGGTTGTCGTCGGAGCCGTGTACTATGTTGTTTGGGGCAGGAAGATATATGAGGGGCCTATTGTTGACGCGTTCCATGGGTAGGGGGATAAAGTCTGCCAAGGACACTCCCTGGATTTAGCTGCTGTATTAGCATAAGTCTTTCTGGATCTGTTAATATCTTCTTTATTTTTGCAGTAATCTTCCGGTCCCATCGGGCTTTCCCAGTTGTGCATCTTCTTCCATCAGTTCTATGGGATAGTGAGTTTTGAAGTACAATTAGTCAGATCTTTGTATCCTAGCCGAACTATACGTGCAACAGCTAACACATCAGGTGCGGTTTTGGGATGCTGCTGGCCCTTTGCGCAACACCACAGCAAAGTTTGACAACCGCACAATTGAAGATATGAGTGACATGACGTTACTGGACGCTAGCGGCGCAGATAGCTTTACGAGGGGCGGTTCTTTTCCGCTGGAAGAAAGGCTATTACTGAACGACAATCCCTTTCCGTCAACTAAAAATTAGCAAGAAGTAAATGACGCTTAGTCTGGTGCTTCGAAGCTTTAACTTTTCACAAGTCACATCCTCATTGCTCTGTTTCCAAGCTCGCTGGGTCCCATATCAGCAATGGAACGAGGCCTTCCCTCTGATAAAACACCACCTTATCGTCGGCATGGCATAAAATAAGCCTTGTGTACGTTGCGTCACCCACGTGTTGCAAGGTGCCTGCAGTAGAATAGCCACTAATGCAGGAGGAGATGGCTTCGTCCGGGCTTCCCCAGATTGAACGTCCGCAAACCGCAGGGTGACCATTCTCGATCCGGGATCCGGGAATCTGCTCTGTGTGGCGCAAGACAAATCTTGCTGTACAAGACTTCTTAGCAGCGATTTCTCATAACATACTCTGCAGTGATATCAAAGTCCACTTGAAATCTCAGGCAGAGCCTGACTAACCCTTGGTTGGGGGTCTCTATCCCTTTTTCTCCCTTTCCTATGTTCCCTCCTCTTCCTTCTGTCGGTCCTCCGAACATGATTAGCTCAATGATACCGTACCTGGCTCGTGAAATCGACAAACATCCAATTACCCTCGGAGGGAAAATTAGATACCACCCCATGGACTAAAGCCTACGAGGTCGCCTTCAGGAGACAACAGATTCTCCCGGCGGCCGTCTGAAAAGCCCGAGTACTATGTGTTGCAATGGCATCAGCGAAGGACCGCCACTAAAAATCTGGTGTTCGACCTTTAAGTGCAATTTGTTGGCCAGGGAACTGTAGTCCTGGGGTCTTCTCAAACTCCAAGTCGATAATCATAGCACCATAGGCACGCCGAGTGATGATGGAATCGATAACCTCATCCCAGGACGGCGCCTTCGGCAAGTTCTATCAGAGATTAGTGCGATTGAAGACTCTGACAGAGCTGAAGGGGAGCCACGAGGGAAGGGAGAAATGGTTGACTGGAGTGTGCATGTGAAGAATATGAGTGTCAAATTGGCAGCCCAGTAGCTCCTCTGAACAAATATTTGCCAAGACACATTTTCTTCCATAATCCGAAGAAATTAGAGGATGTGATCGACCCTGTGCTGATACATAAGGAGTAGAGAACTAATCTATTGCCTTGAACGGTGCGCAACACGGCGTCCACTAAAGCTTCAGCGTCTGCAAGGGCACCTCGACAGGCTCATCAGTACCATTTAACCCCTCCCCATTCTTCACACTGTACGTCGGATAGTCCACATACCCAACCGGACCAGGGGTATAGAAAGTCTGCATATTCCAAGGCGACAGTTTCCAGTTGTTACGCAACCTCTCGACCAAATCGGGGTTACTGATGAACTGACGACCGAAGACAACGCCATCAAGGACGTTGGACTCGATCGGTTCGATCCAGTTCTCGCCATCGAACGCTCCACTCGAGAACAAGACGGTTTGCTTCAGCGCCTTGCGGAATGGCTGCAGGGATACCTCCCAGTCAAGCTGATCTTCAGGAACGCCTCTAGCCCTAGCTGCTTCTTTTACCAGTTCCAGACGTGCAGAAGCAGATATGATCATCTCCGCTCGCGGCTGCATGATTTCAACGAATGCCAGACCCATCTGGTCAATCTTCTCCAGCAGCCATGAGAAGTCAGCTACCGGGTCGGGATGCGTTTCTGGCATCTGGAAATAGTTGAACGGAGAGATGCGGATTGCGACACGATCGGCGCCAACCGCTGCCGATACGGCTTCGAGGAGCTCGAGTGTGAGACGGGCGCGATTCGCAATACGTTGACCGCCGTATCTGTCTTTTCGGCTGTTATTGACTTTTGGGTTGAGGAATTGTTCGAGAAGATAACCGTTTCCTCCTTGCTTTAAGTGTTGACAATGTCAGTTACTGATCGACGAGCAAGCTGAGAAGTTCGTCCCGACAGGACGAATAAAACTTACCAGTTCCACCCCATCAAAACCAGCCTCGATTGCACATTTTGAGGCATGAACGAAATCGGCAATGGTGTCTTGAATGTCTTCCAGAGTCATCTCTTTAGGTTCTTCTGTCGGCACGTATCCGACTGGAGTGAACCGCTGCTTCCAGTTTTCCAGCTTGAGGGACGATGCTCCCAGTGGTTTACGACCGCCTAGACAGGCAGATACGGCAAGACGGCCAGTCTGATGAACAGGTCAGGACTCAGAATCATCTTCATAGAATGCGGAAGAAAGGCAGCCTTCATTCTCCTACTTACATGCCACATCTGAGCGAAAATGTATCCGCCTTCCGCGTGGACGGCCTCTGTGATCTTCTTCCATGCACGAATATGTTCAGGTGAATACATTGAGGGGATATCAGTGTAGTTTCCTGCCTGAGAGGTCGCACAAGAGTCAGCCTCATTACTTTCACAGACATGGGGGAGGCAGAATGAGCATACCATGAGAGAAGTGTGTATTCCCTCGGAGACTATCAAGCCCCCTTTCGTCACCCGCTGACAGTAGTACTCGCGAACCAGGTCCGTGGGTATCCCAGCTGGGCATCGGGCTCGAGTCAAGGGCGACATAATGACTCGATGTGCCAGCTGCATTCTGCCCACGTGAAGAGGCTCCCAGATCTTACTTCCGGGAGCTCCATTTGAGATGGTAGTGTCCGCCATGGTACGAGGTTGTGATTGTATCAAATTGAAGGTGAGAAGCACGTAGGTAGTGAATTTGTGAGTGTTGAAGCGTTGTAGTTAGTGGTGTTGGTACCGCCATCTTTATATAACAAAGTCGACCTTGTTGAGGCCTTCCATCCTTTCAACTAGATCATTTTCGTGTTTGAGATTTCCTTCAGTTCTCCATACCACAGCAAAATGCGATTAGTCGAAAGCGTCTCTACTGGCCATATTCAGTGCTTGCCTCGAGCGAATGTGGGCCACTGAGATCAAACCCAGCGGTTTTGTTCACTAATCATCACCGCAAATACCCTCTAGCACTGCCCGATCCCCTCTCACCGACCTGCCGCCTTTTCTCAACAAATTGTAAACTCCAGATTCCTGCATGAGTGGAGAAGTGCTACGAAAACTTTCGATCCTGAATGGATGAAGACAAGAAATGAACAGGTGTCGGTTAGAGCGGCGGATGAGTGTGAGTGGTTGATGGTGCGCCAGTGCTAGGTCTGGACGCCTTCATCAAACCCGCTATGGATGTTATTGGCGTCATGATCGAACGAATGAGATTCTGGGCTGTTTCGGGGGATTCTGTTGAGCGTTGAGGTCGAAAAGTCGGGAGAGATTGATTACTCGGACGACAAGGCTTTCTCACACCCATGATTGAAGAGACTCGGGCTTCTAGGTTCGGGAAGGCTCTCAAAGACCAGATGAAAATGCACTTCAGTCTAGCACAGGTAGAGAGATTCCATGACGAGGATTGATATCATGGCTAGGGATCAGTCATTGTGAATGAATTTCTGACATTAAGCTGCTAGAGGGGAAGAAATATGGGTTGAAAGTAGCAGGAAGCATTTGCCACCCTACTGATCATCTCGAGTCCATGGTCGCAGTGGATGACCTCAAGCGGACGATGGTGGAGTCATAAGGAATGTGCTTTCGGCAAACAATATGAACATAACCGTCTTTGGCTGAATTACCATTAGCACACCACCAATGAACTCAGGTGAGCTAGTGAAGCACACTCCCATCAAGGATGCCATCTCGTAAAGCGAATATGGCAGCGTGATGATACTTGATGCGCAGCTTCGAAAATCTGGACACCTGTTGCACGACTGGCTGCTGTAATTCGAATTAGCTCCCTGGCCGGAGGTGTATGCTTCGAGAGACGGCACTACCTGGATCAAAAACCCGAGGACCTTCATTTTCTAGCATCGCGCCGGTATAAGGCATTCAAAATTGCTTTACCCTCCTGGATATCATCATGATCATGCATTTTGAGACCATAGGATTGCATGAAGTGATCAAAATTGCGAAACCCGGCGTTCTTGACCATCTGGTTGAATGACATTTGACTGGTCGTATCGGCTTGAGTGTTGGTGTTTCTGGAGCTGGATTTGTCGCTGCCTTGATCTTGGGCGCTTTGACCTGAAGGCATTGTTGCTGAGCGGGTTGTGGAGATGTTGATAATATGGGGCTTTGGAACTCAAAAGCTTTCTTGCTTTTGAGCTGAAGATGAAGACGAGTTGGCAGAGTGAATTGGGGAGACAAGTTGAAATGTGGAAGGCCAGTGGGGAAGGCTCGTGACTTTTATATGTGAACCAAGTGCTGGAAGGAGCGGACGGAATACTGTCTTTCTGATTGTCATCGTTTAGGGTACCGGGGCAGCTATGTGTCGCCAATCTTCAAGCTGAATATAAGAAACCTCCATTGTAAAGCCGTTTGATGCTCCAAGCTGAAAATTCAATCAGTGCGAAACCTTGAACACGGCACTACAATAGCCTGTTAGAAGATCTGATGACGCGAGTATTCACAGCTCTCCATCAACGGAAATTCAGATGTGAATCTGCTATTGTTCTCTCATCAAACAAGCGTGCATGCTAGTGCAGAATACACGCAGCAGCGGACACGTAGACAGATGATCCTCGTTAGGCATGGTTGTATATTGGGATTTCTAGGGAGGATAGCTAGGGCTGGTACCAGACAGTGGCTCAACTCCTCCGACCAAGAGACGATCCCGTTCCATCTCATTTCCTAGATTTAAACCATAACAGAATCCAAGGGAAAGCCTGTAATCAAACATCTGGCCTATCACAATATTTGTCACCGAAATTCTAGCGAGGGGAACCATTTTTTTAATCCAGGTCGGTTCGTACACTGCTCATCACCACATCCACAGCTTGTTTCAGCGTGGAGGTCGCGCCTGGAGAAATCTTCAGGAATTCCAGCATTGGTGGGCGTGACAAGGTTCCGCTTCGAGGTACCTTCTGGGACCATTCTCAATGCCTGGAAGGGCTGTGAACCCGGATCATAATATAACCCGTCGATTTCACCTGTGAGTCGGTTCAATGCGATGTAATAGAACCCAGAAATGGTCAAACCCCAGGAGGTACTTCCATTGGAATTGGTACCATTACCAGTCCCTTCCGGGCCAGATGTGGTCGTCAAAATTGTTCTTGTGTTGTCTGGATGTGATGTCGACAAGGATGTGGATGAGGTTGGGGTAACGAAACAACGCTCTTTCCAACGCATCAAAATCCACTCTCGGCCCAGTTTCTCTTCAATCCATCTTGCACTTCCAAGGCTGCGTGACATAATCTCATCGTCTTCGGTATCTTTGTTCTGAGTGGAATCTATTTCACCGGGCTGCACATGTGGTTCTGCATCTGTAGGTGAAGGAGAAGGATAAAACTCCAGGGAGAGATCTTTGTTCTCGTTCTCGGCGGCGGCAGCTTTGCGAAAGGCATCCCATAAACGGCTATCATGATAATACTCACTTCGAGATTTACCACGTAGATACCTGACTTTATGAATCTCTTCCCTGAAGGGACCAAGCCGAGCCCAATAACGAGCATCCACGTCTAAGCCACCAACGCTGTAGTTCCGACCTTCACGCTCAGTCTCGAGTGGCTGATGACGAAAATCAATGATTTCGCCTGTGAAGAACGAAGACATGCTAGTGTTGGCTTCTGGGTGACCAGATCCTGCATGGTGAAGAGATGAGGGTTTATCGGGAATATGACTGGCGGACATGGTGCCGGTCAGGGTCATTGAATTGTAATCTACTGAATGGATTGTTACGCTGACTGGCCAGTGATCTGAGGTAGGATGATCCTGGACTTGTGGTGAAGATGTAGAGGAACTGGATCTGGACGCGAAAGCCCAGCGCCCATCAGTGCTCTGACGAAGATCCGAAAGCCATCGATCTGAAGGGTCCAATAGGGAATCACCAGTGGCTAGTTGATCAGATTCATCAAGAAGAGAGTTGGGCGGAAGAGCAAGAGCTCTCCTCCGATGGAGTGATCTGCGGAGTATATCTCGCTGCCTCTCTCTCCGGGCACCGGATCCCACGAATGAAGCGGATCGCAACGGTTCTCGATCTGTGGATTGCAAGCCATGCCAAACCATTCCAGGTTGCAACCATGAAGAGTACTGGGGAACTGGGAGACTGTTGATATGCATCGGAAGGTCACTAGGAGAGTTGGCCTCTTCAAATTCATAGAGGGAGTCCAAGCCTAAATCACGAGCCAAATCCAGACCACCTTGAACACCGGTATGTCGCAATTGAGAAAGATAACGGATGAGGTTCCGGACACGGATGAAGGCTTCTGAGCGCTGGCGTTCTTTGCGAGTGGTCAGATGGGAAGATAGGGAGGGGCTCTCGCTATGGCGTCGTTCTCGTTCCCGTTCAGCATAGAGTCGAGCATATTGAAGTCGTTGAGAGGGGTCTCGATGGGGTCGAGTGCTTGTGCTATTAGGAAAGGATAAGGGAGGTAGCCAGGGCCTTGTCCCGATGCCATTCTCCGAGTCGGGTGTTTCCTCATGCCACCAGGCTCTCAGAGCGCTGGCGGTAGGGACCGGGGGGTAGTCTGAGGAACGGCCAGCTCGCAAGGCAGAGCGAGCGGTACGATAATTCTGCAAGGCCCTTTCGAGGCGTAGTAGATCTCTTCGAGCGGCTGGATCAACATTGGCGGCAGCGGTGCTTGATCCCCCAAGGTCGTCATCGCTGTCATCAGAGAGATGGTTGTTTGGGGGTAATTGTGTGTCCATGGTCAAATCTAGGTCGGGTTGGATAATGGACGGGATTTCAGGCAGGCCATAATGTTGGAGGGCAGCTGGGGGCGGTAAAGGTCGAGGAGTGAGGTTGAGAGTTGAGGCGAGATCAGGGACAGGGGTGGAAATGGCAGCCTCAAGTTGGTGCAGGTAAGAGGAGGAAGTTGAAGAGGGATTGATAGGATTGGAAGGAGTGGATGGACGAGTATGCTGTGAAGCGTTAGAATGAGATATATTGAGGTGAGACTAAGGCTTACAGATGGAGAGTTTGCAGGCGGCATGGGATACAGTGCGTGTTGTTATATAGACCAAAGGTGTAAGACCAATGTAGGCATAGTGACATAGGAAGGGAGAGGATGAAGTCAAGAGGTCAAGAAGTCGAGGTGTTGAGGTGTCGAGGTGTCGAGGAAGGGAGTAGGACATGTGAGTGAGTCAGGCTGAGACAGTAATGAGCGGCTACTGTTGAAGATGCTCGGTCCGGGTATCTCGGAGTAGATTGAATGTATGAGTGTCGAGAACAACAATTTGAAGTGCTGAAGTAAGTACTTCTGTATATATCTAGGTACCTAGGTACCCATTAATCGTAGGCACCCCGTAAGTTCAAGTTGTTTGTAAATGACGTCTTATCATCTGTGAATCATGATATCCAACAAGATCAAAGTCACCCTCGGCACCTGAAGATGGGGGTGCAGTGGGCAACTTCGGCGAGGGGAGTTCCTCGGGACAGCCCCAATCAGACCCCAAGAACGTGAAACTGGAAACGGGAAGGGCGACGAACTCCGACAAACAACAAGGGAACCGCTTGCATTTGCAAGCTAGGGACGGACCCGGAAATACAATCTTCCTCATTGCACGTGATATTTCATCTTCATACAGGTTTTCCTCTCCCAGCAAAAGATTTAGATCACCCCTGCACGATTACCAACAGTGGCGCTACGAATAGGCGCTGTTTTCTCCCCAACGCTAAATTGGACTTACAATTCCGGTCGCGTCTTCCCACACGTCACGAAAATAGGCGCGGCGCAGTCTTCCATCTTCCTTCCTCACCTGCACTCGCATCTTCATTTCATCTTGATCCCCATCCCCATCAGATCCAGACGCTCAATTTCTTCATTCTCTCCCGTGCTGTCGCCGCAGGATTGTTCATCATCTCTCTCACCATGCCCTTTTCATCGCCGTTTCGTCTACACTTCTGAATCACACGCTACACTGCGCGCTTTCGTCTCCTGCATTGCCCTCTTTGACCCTCACCATGCCGACCCTTGACCACCTATTGAATCCTGCACCCCGTCTCACAACTTCCTCACCAAGCGCAGACCCTTCAACTGTCACTACTACCACTGCCGTCACCTCATCTACCACCCTGTGAGTTTCCAAAACCCCATATCGCCCAGAATCCTCCTCTGACACTCCAATATTCAGCATGGACATGGATCCCACTCACCCTGACCCCAGCTCTCCCAACTTCTTCGCTCCTGAACTCTTCCAGGTCGACAACGAAGCCTCAATTACTCATGACGCTCTCGCCGCCATTGCTCAGTCTGCTGCAACAGCCCTGGAAGAGACCCACGATCACAATGGAGATCTCAATATGACAGACTCAACACACGTCAAACAAGAACAAACAGACACCAGCTATCCTCCGTTGGATGAAGAACAACCTCCTGTTACTTCTCTCAAGCCTTCGCCCAAACCATCTAACCCGAAATCACGTCCCAAGAATCCTCCAAAACCCAAAAAGGAAGACTCGCAATCTGGGCCCAAGTCCTCTGTTCACTCCTCGAAGAACGAAGGCCAACACACCGATCGAAGATATCTCTGCTACCTTTGTAACAAGCTCTTCACCCGCCGGAGATCGGTTCGCGACCATATATCAAAAATACACAACACAAAAACCTGGGAACCTGTGCGCAGTCTGGAAATTGTAGTTGATCCAGTAACCGGCGAGCCATCTGAGCCTCTCGAAGACATCATCGCCAGAGGTCCTCCTTCTCCTCCCGCGAAACCGTCCGTCCCAGACCAGTCTGAGCACACGGCTGATCATGATCATGAGAACTCCGACCCAAAGACTCACGACCATCAGCTTACCGACCAACAAGTTCCATCACCCGCAAAGACCCACCAGCCAGATGACAAGTATCATCCATCAGCCCTGCCAAAGTCTCCCCCTCCGGCACCTACGGTCTCGACTCTGAAGAAGGAGCCCTCCATCGCAGGCTCTAGGGCCTCCTCCACCGAACCATTCGCCAGTCCTGCTCCTGTCGCGGGCAAAAAGCGACCCGCGCCGATCGACTCATCAAAGCCTTCTCCAGCACCCTTCAACAAAAAAGGTCTCGCCAAAGCCAAGCCTTCTCCTTCCTCGCACAAACGAACAAAACTCACAGAGTCTGAGCCCAGTCCATCTTACGCCAGATCCATCGCTCGATCTCCAAGTGTTACTCCGTCTACTCAACTCAAAACGCTACCGAGTTCGAAACTGCGAAATCAAAAGTCCGCCTCCAGCCCGAAACTGTCAGGAACTCCGACATCCTCGCGAGCAGCCTCGGTCGCTTCCCGATCTCGTTCGCGTTCGGCCTCGGTGGCGGGCACCTCTGGAAGCTCAAATGACGATGGTGAGATCTTCTGTATTTGCCGCAAGGGTGACAACCATACATGGATGATCGCTTGTGATGGAGGATGTGAAGAATGGTATCATGGCAACTGCGTGAACATCAGGGAGCGGGACGGGGACTTGATTGACAAATACATATGTCCCACTTGCATGAAACCTGGCCTTCATACCACGTGGAAACGTATGTGTCGAAGGAGGGATTGTCGCAAACCGGCACGGGTCATGCAAGATCCCCCAAGCAAGTATTGTTCTGATGCTTGTGGGAGGATGTTCTTTGTTGAGTTGGTTCAACGAAGTGATCCTACCGCGGAGGCAAGCAAAGATGGTCAACAGATCATCGAGAGCACAAAACCTAAAAAGATGCGAAGGAAACTTGCAAAGACAGAGCTTCGCCATAATGTTCCAAAATCTATCATCCCATTGTCAAACGGCGATATCGCGGATGTTTTGAATGATGAGAGCCGCCTTGCTACTCCAGCATATAGTGAAGATGAAAAAACGGACTATGAGACTGACAGTAGTCTCGACGATGATGAGCTTCCAAACCGTGCAGGTGCTTTGAGGGCTGCTGAAGTCAAAGCCCTAGCCGAGAAATGCAAGACCATTGATTCATGGAGAGATTTGGGCAAAAGGCCGGACACCCCTCCCAGAGATGACGACATGGTGGATGGTAATACGATCGAATTCGACTTTGATGAGCTTGAGACGGCCAAAATGACCAGTATAAAAGCACAAGCACAGCAATTGAATGCTCGAAATGACTTGCTTGGTGCAAGGGAAGTTCTCCTTGACCTTATCAAAGTTCGCTCTGCCAATATCACAGATGAAGTCAAGAAGTCGAATCCGAAAGGCAAAGACTTCTGTGGTTTCGATCCACGCCTCGCATGGAGCGATGAAGAATTCGGCCGATGGTATCATGACCGAGGAGGGAAAGATGTACTGGATGCCGGTTCCAAAGCCAGAATCGGACCCCCGGACGAGAACGACTTCATGCCCGCTAAACAGTCCAATGGCATCATTACTACCCACACAGACCCAGATCATACAACCGAAGATGATGATGAAGAGGACAAGAAATCCCTCAAGAAAGGCGGAGTCTGCATAGTCAAGAATTGTCAGCGCCACAAGACCTGGGCCAAAGCACAGTTGGCTGAGATTCGCTTCGAACAAGACTTGGTTCGCAGATCACTGACTCGTTTGGAAATGCAAGAAAATGAGCTCAAGCAAAGAGCTATGGTCAGGGCTTGGGAGAAGCGAGGATAACTTGTGAGCTGGCCAACAGATGGACATTGGAATTTACGTGATATGTTGGTCCATATTGGAAGTATTGGCAGAGTGCCTACATTCGTGTTGGTGACCCCCATTATAGCCAAGCCGAGAAACATCCTGGATCGTCTCCCGAGTATTGGTGTATAGTATTGGAATTGGAACCTGTTCTACACCCACCTACGTGATTGCATTGGATATCCCATCTACCTTCAGCTTTGCCGCTCCTTGGATCCGTACCGGCACTGCACCAGATCTATCCGGGCCTCCAAACAACGAGTTTGTGTTTATGTTCATGGACAACCTGTATCGTTTATCTATATTCGAGTTGTCCCTGTGCCGACAGTCTATGTTTGCTTTCCGCGTGTTGCCGTCGGAAACGCCAAATTAAACGTCGCCCGTTACGGGCATGAGGTTGAAGAAGAACAGAGTAAGTGTAATTTCCTAACCTGGCCGATCTAAAACAACGCTATATATAACAAGGAAGAGGCTCGAAGTACAAATTTTTGCGGCATATCGTCAAAATCGCCACCTACGAAGCCTTCTTGGCCTGATAACTCGCCTGGATCTCCTCACACACCGCACGGGTCACATCGGCCGTCTTCGCATTTCCGCCTAGGTCTTTTGTGACAACACCACTTTCGCAGACGCGCTCGACACACTCGAGTAGACGTTGGGCAGCGGCATCCTCGCCTAACCACGCCAGCATCTCCGCCGCGGTCCAGAAGGTCGCGACTGGATTGGAGATACCTTGCCCTGTGATGTCGAATGCTGATCCGTGGATTGGCTCGAACATACTGGGGTTCTGTCGGGTGGGGTCGAGGTTCGAAGTTGGTGCAATTCCAATGCTACCTGCGAGTGCGGCTGCAAGATCGGAAAGAATGTCGGCATGCTGTAGTGCAGAGTTAATAACTAGGAGCTGAAATGTCAGACAGGGACAGGAGAAAGTTCGCACATACCAGATTCGTCGCCACAATAGTATCCAAGCTCTCGGGCTTCAACACCATCCGACATGTCATGGCATCGACGAGCATCTTTTCGACTGTGACATCCTTAAACTCGGTGGCAATCTCAGCCGCGATTTCATCCCATAGCACCATGCCGTTTCTTTGGGCATTACTCTTGGTTACGACGGTGAGATGTTTCCTGGGCCGCTTCTGTGCGACTTCGAACGCGAAGCGAATGATGCGCTCAACGGCGTGGCGCGTGAAGATAGATACTTCGGTGGCTGTCTCCCATGCCTGGCCTTTGTGCGACCGCCCTCCGTGCCCTGCGTACTCGCCCTCGCTGTTCTCGCGGATGATGACCCAGTCCAAGGAACCTGGAGTGGCGTTGCGGAGAGGCGATTGCGTGCCTCGGAAGATCTTGGTCGGTCGCACATTGGCATATTGTTGGAATGGCTGGCAGATTGCTAGACGAAGGCCCCAGAGGGAGATGTGGTCTGGGACGTCTATTGCCGTTATCAGCATACAATCGGGGGAGATCGAAGTCAAGGAGACTTGTCACTTACCAGGGGCACCAACGGCGCCGAACAAGATCGCGTCATGTTTCTTGAGACTCTCCAGTCCTCCCTCAGGGATATACTGGCCTGTCCTCTTGTACGTCTCGGAGCTCCAGTCGTAGTCCTCGAACTCGAGATTGAAGTCCCCTGATGCGGCGCAAAGCGTTTTCAATACCTCGACGCCCGCTTCGATCACTTCTGGTCCGATCCCGTCGGCAGGGATCGTCGCAATGCTGTAGTTTCGCGATGTTGGAACGGCGACTGGTGACATTCTGGATGGGTGAAAGTTGTTTATCTGTGTATGTATATTTATTGATTCACTCTCTTAGATGAATGCTATCGATAGCTGGAGTGGCTTCAAAGGGCACGGATTTCGAGCTCAGGTGGTTTTGACGGTTGTTGCTTTACACAAAGAACAAACAAATCTCAGACATATCCAGATGCTTTATATCTACCCTCCATCCTTACCTCTCGGAAAATACGCCGCAAATCTCAAGGTGACGATCCGGTCTTCGCCATGTTCGGCTGTGCACCTACGACGTCGAATGTCGTTCTGGAACCGGCATATCGGACTCCATTCCATGATGAAGCGTGCAATATGGAAGGATTAGACGTTACGCAGCAGGTCAATGCCCGGAGAAGGTCAGTCCGGGCTCGAATTATCGGGCTTGGCTTACTCCGGAGACCTGTGATAGGTGAGTTTAGACCTCACAACTCTGGAAACTTTTGCCCGAGGTCTTGTTCTTTCGCGAGTCATGGAGATGTCTTTGGATGCTCTTAATGGGTATGGCAGTTGAGTCATGAATGCCTGTACCCAAGGCCAGAGGTAATGGGATGACTATGTACCTTGATGGTGGTATCATTTGAAGGCTTTGCACATATCGTATCAACGATTTTGAAAAAGCACAACCCTCTTGCGCACCTACAAACCCTCTTGTGATTTATAGTGGGCAAGTTCGAGGCCGCCATCAGCCAGCTCTGTGATTCTATCATTGGAAGCACCCCAGACTGGTCTGATGACAACTCAAAACGGCCACGAGTATCGTTTCGCAGACGTAAGTAATCTACGACGGGTTGGTAAACAGTCCAGAGGCTGAAAGCAAGGCCAAAGATTGCAGTCACATACACGGCCAACGAATTTCAAGGTATCTATCGTGGTAAGAAACAGCACGATGAAGACTTTGACGAAGTTATCAAGCGCGCCGAAGCGGTTGGTTGCTCCAAGATCATGCTGACAACCATGACGATGCAAGGAGCGCGACAGAATCTCGAGGTCTGTACTCGCTGGCCGAAAACTTGCTACATGACGATTGGAGTCCATCCCTACCATGCTGCTGAGCTATATGATGGTACGACCAGCCTGCAAGAGCTCGTGCACTTGATGAAGTTGCTGATGCCCATGGAAAAATCACCACTTGTGGCCTTCGGCGAGATCGGTCTGGATTACTTCTATCTCGAGCGAGCTGGGAAGGACGTTCAGCAACGCGCTTTCCTGGACCAGCTGGAAATTGCGACGACATTCGATCTTCCACTGTTCCTCCACGTCCGAGACGCATACCAGGATTTTGTCGATCTCATCCGACCCTACATGTCCAAACTGCCACAGGGAGGCATCATCCACTCCTTCGTCGGGACGAAAGAGGAGATGCTCGGTCTGGTCGACCTCGGTTTCGGCATCAGCGTCAACGGCGTAAGCTTCAAGACCGCCGAACACCTCGACATGGTCCGCGCTATACCTCTGGATAAACTACAATTGGAGACGGATGCGCCTTGGTGCGAGATACCCGGGAGTGGACCGGTGATAGAGTATCTGAGTGATGCACCGCCATTACCGATGAGTCGCAAGCCCGGGAAGTTTGTTAGGGGGCAGATGGTCAAAGGTAGGAATGAAAGTTGTGTAATCGAGAGGGTAGCTAGGGTAGTCGCGGGTGTCAAGGGCATTCCGCTAGAAGAGGTTGTTGCTGCTGCTTGGGGGAATAGTGTTGATATGTTTGGGTTGGGTGTCAACGAGTGATCCAGCTGCTACAAGGTGGCCCGATAATCTTCAGTGCTCCATGGGAATCTTCCATGGGACTCGCACATCATCGCCAAATTATCACGTCCACGCTGTGGAAGTCGTCCTTCAAGCACAGCGGCTTGGATGATATCAGTAAACCACGAGTCTCGCCTTCTACGAGGTCTTATCCACCGGGGACCCTCCTCATACTCCGGACCAAAGCTGGTATTGACCATGGTAAACAATGCTGGCAGACAAGAAATGAGGGTTGGTTTACTAATATTCGACCGGGTATCCGCTACCCGGCATGAGCTGGTCCAGCCCTTTGACAAAGTCAAAAATGACAATATTTTACCCCGCCCTTAGGCACCAAACTCTACTCTTCCTGAGGTCAGATTCCACATCGTAATGGTTGCAGACATAGGCAATATGCGCTTTGCATGATACCTTAGTATGGAGAGAAATGCTCATCGATCGATGAACATCGTAGTCAGGTTTCAAGATGTCAACGGTGGCGATCAATACGAAGAGTCGCTCTGAGGAGTTGCGCGTCCAGAGCTCACTAAAGGTACATCAAGGTATGAATATAGAGCGCCGATGTGGCGAACACTAATCAAGATCAACACTCAGCCTAGCAACCATGGAAACGTTCAAACAGTTTTCAAATCTGTTGTTGTATATTTGAACATGAAAAGGCCCAATATCATACCTGTGGCAGCAGCAGACCCAACACAAGCGGCAATGCCAACCTTTGCAGTCGTGAGCCAGACCAGGACACCTCTGCTCCTAGAGACTTGCCTCGTGACGTTGAAGTGCTTGAAGCAACCATTGCTGTCGCACTGAAGCTTGCAGCAGCCTGGGGGAAAGCGTCGCCCTCGAACTCGGAACATCCTGATGGCACAAAATCCTTCCAACTGTCACCTAATCCTGTTTCGACACCAAACTGTGAGAAGTCCTGCTCTCTACCACCTAGGTCTGGACAGTAGTTGAGATATGTATCCATCCCGGGGCATGCTCCGATGCAAGTCTGAACGGCCTTAAGATTTTCAGGGTTACTGGGGTCCTTCGGATATAGTTCGTTAACGCAAGCTCTAGCGCATCCGTATGCAGGACAAGGAACCATCTCGAGAGATGACGGCCAGCTTTCTTCGACATTTTCGGTGACAGGGTTAACCTCAAAATTATAGAATCCATCTTTATTCGTACCGGACTGCGGTGTCGTGTCTGTGACATTTAATGCCCCATGGTTGTTGACGCCGTGTACCGTTGAATTCACGTAATCAGTACTATCTGATGTAGGCCTAAACTTCTGCGTATTGAACATAGTAACAGCAACATTATAATATGCTCCATCCGGACCTGCATCGGCCGGAATTTCAGCTAGGAAGTCGGTAATGATAGTTTTGCCGTCGTTGGTTGCGGCCTCAGGATCTTGAACGATCGGAACACATTCAATCATGCGGCACACGGGGCATATGACTCCACACCAGTCCCCCTTGCAGCCTGGTCTTAAAGTGCTTCTACCCAGGAAGACCGTGAGCGCATTGTAAGGTTCAAGAATGAAATCCAGATTTGAGGTAGAGTCGTATTCCGTGTAGTTGATGGATTTGACTAGAAACGGCGTGTTGGCGCGTACACTGTTGTTTGTGCACAATGGCTGAAACCATTTGGGATTATCAAGATCACAACGTGCTTGAGTAAAGAATGCTGGGAGTAGCACTAGAGCTACGCCTAGTAGCCGCCAGGCATGTGTAAGGAAGACAGCCATGCGAGACTGGTATGTTTGTGTCACCGATGTAAATTTCTTTCCGCCGCCATGATTCAACAGTCAAAATATTGTTGTAACTACTAGGTGAATATGTAGATAGCTGATTACTTAAGATGTACAGTGTGATTCATGACGCCCGACCCCTGATTGAGCAGATCTACCAACGCCTGTATATAGACGTGCTCCGTAAGTAGGCTAAGTTGTCTCTAGAAGCAGGGTTCCCTCGGGCCTCCTATTCGTCTGGCACGGGTCTAAGTGATGCTAATTTCGTCTAAATGTAAGGATAGATTCTTCAAATTAAGTTCACTCGGTAATGAAGAGCCTTTTGGCCCTAGTATGGGATTTACAGTTCCATTTCAACGGTCGATAGCTGATTCGGGTCAGATCGTGGAGAAATACACGGCGTTCTTCCTTTGAAACCAATACGGATACGAACAAGATATCGGCCCCCCTCGACCGGTGAGGCCCAGGTTGGGTGTGCTAGTCTAGGCTTAGACAACCCTACCTCCTCGTAGGTACGTAACTCGACAACTGGTAATTCTGTGCACAACTAAATCGTGTTAGAACAAGGCTAAACCTTACTTGATCAGATTCTAAACTGAGAGACATAGATCTATATGACTTGACTAGCGATCCTACTAAATTTCATCCTTTTCCTGTGAGAAGGGGGTAGATGAGAGGCTTTTACAACGAGTAAGTACATATCAGATTTGAGTGGACTACTACTGAATGCACGATACCCTACCGTACTACTGCGACTAGACCCTCATGTAGTCCGCCGTAATGAGCTTGGTGGGTGCACGAACCCGGCCCGGGTCGACACAGGGCGGCACACCTTCATTGCCCTCGTCGGGGAGTTGGCCTTCACATTCCTTTCTCTTGGCTAAGTACATATGATGAAGAATCCATGCGTCGTCCGGTGATAACCGCGAGATTCATTGATAAGCATACGCGCTTTCAGGTCATCGTCAAATACGAAAATATAAGACACCTGAGCTGGCTTACGGCCATGCCAGCCATGGACTAACAACTAAGAGTGATCGATACAAGCAAGGCATTAAATCAACCCTGCTTCAGATCGAAGGAACCCCAAGTCCATCAAAGCCAACAGAAACAACACCAGAACCGAGACTTCGCACCATGTCAAAACTAACTGAGTATCGCTTATTGTCCTTTGATGTGTACGGAACTCTCATTGACTGGGAGACCGGGATTCTAGAAGCCTTGAAGCCACTGCTTTCGCAGCTGGATGAAAGCAACAAGCCGACACGCACGAAGATCCTTGATGTATATCATGTACTTGAGAAGGAACAACAGACCAAAACACCAGACATGCCCTACTCGCAGTTACTAGCGACAGTCTATCCTAGATTGGCTGAAAAATTCGGCCTCCCAAAGGCTTCGACGGAAGCTGCTGAAACCTTCGGCAACTCTGTCGGGAAATGGCCCGCATTCCCAGATACGGTGGATGCTTTGAACCGATTGCACAAGTATTACAAGCTGGTGGTATTGTCCAACGTTGACAAGGGCTCGTTTGAGAGAACCAATGCGGGGCCTTTAGGAGCCGTTAAGTTCGACCGCATCATCACCGCACAAGAAATCGGCAGCTACAAGCCGGATCTGCGCAACTTTGAGTACATGTTGAAGACGGTGAAGGAGGAGTTGGGTGTCGATAAAGCTGAGGTCTTACAAACAGCGCAAAGCCAGTTTCATGACCATGGCCCGGCCAAGAAGATGGGGATCAAGTCAGTGTGGATCGAGAGGAATGGAACAATCGGAAATCAGGACGAGTTGATCTTTGATTGGAAGTTCAAGACGTTGGGTGAAATGGCTGATGCGGTGGAAAAGGAGTAGAGTGCGTTGAGACTGGGGTTTTCCATAAGAATATCATTAATGATGCTGTTGCTTCTCCTAGCATAACAAATCTGATATCTAGTTCTCTAAAGCAAGCCAATCGCTGATCTTGCTATCGTGATCAGGTCGATATAACCAACGCATATCGTCAAAACCCTCAGTCGCATTCGCATCTTTAGCTTTTCCCTCTCTCACGAGCTCGTCTCTCTCAGCCTGTGGCATTCGTTGAACATTCGTTGCGTTCGTTGCCCAATCAAATACCGCATCGATTCGTTCCTGACGCAGTCTTTGCCAGAAGTCAAGCCGCTTCTTCCAACTTTTGCAATTGGGTGCTTTCAAAAGCTCTGTGAATGTGTAGACATCTTCCAAGGTCTGGTTGATGCCCTGGCCCGAGCTGGGAGGTAGAGCATGCGCTGCATCACCCATGATAACTACCCTCCCCTTTAGTGACGACCAGTGATCCAGTCGTGCCATCCGCATGAATGGCCACATGTACATGGTGTTGGGATCACTTGTCACGGCGTCGATGATGCTTCTGGCTGTACCACCCCAGTCATCATATCCCTTTCGGAAGTATTGAGACAGCCACTCTTTGTCGCGGGCCAACGCATCCCAGCGCTCTCGACTTTGCTCTTCCATCCTGATCTGCATTGCAACCATGATCACCGATCCAGCACGATCTTCAGGCATCAGAACCAACGCTCCAGGCCTCCCTTGAATAGTGCAAGCCCGCTCGTAGTCTTCATACGGCCATTTTACCGCGTCCCATCGAATGTGACTCAAGACACCCAGTACTCCAGTATATTCCGGCTTGACATCGGGGCACAGATACTTCCTGACATTCGAATGGATCCCATCGGCTCCGACTAAGATGCCAGCGGTTTCTTCACTTCCGTTTACTTTGAATACGACACGATTGTCCTCCTCACGAACCACACCTTCAAATTTTGACTTCCAGAGGACTTCGATGCCAGTCTCCTTCACTTTCTCCAGAAGCACTTTTAATAATAGCCTTCTCCAGACACGGTGATTCTTGTATCCGTAGAGATACTCATTGGCAATGAGGGTCTTCCGTACCGTCTCATCGCAATCATTTTTGTACGTACGGTACTCGGAGAGCCAGCATTGGTGTGCAAAGCGACTCAAGATCCCAAGGGAATCTAGGATCTTCAGACCATTAGGTGTGAGGATGACGCCACTTGAGCTCGCTGGATCAGTCGTGTCTGGTCTTCGAAGGTCATAGAGTTTGATTTGTGATGGATGATAGAGTCCATGATGTACCAAGGATAGGCTCAGTATGAGTCCCGTCAGAGAGGACCCTATTATCGTGATTGTGTTTTGGTGAGCAGCCATTGAGCCTTGGAGTGAGTGATCTAAAAGTTAGCCGTTGGAGTGAAGTCGCCGCTGCCTGCTTTACAGGCGTCTCGGTAGGCAGCTGGGCTGAGAGTTCTCACATGGGGAGTGTATGCTTGAACGCAACCTCTCCTTTCACAATAGACTTATATGCTGTCTTTCGTTGGAACGAAAGGCAACGTCTTCGAAAGGAGTAAATAGTTGGATATAATGGCTGGACGCTATAGTCCTAAAACTCGTGCATGATCCTGGTTGCATCCAAGTACCTTGGAAAGTTAGTCTCCCATTGACTCTCAACCCTTCCCGAGTGAGCGGCATATTGGTCACAGCTCCACCGTAGTCAGTGGGAACGTCTGGGTGCCCAAGCACCTGTGGTAGGCTAGGCCGTCTGCGTGTATCAGTGACAAAACCTCGCTAACAAGAGAGCTTCAAAATGACTTTGAAGTTTGTCTCTACCTTTTATCTTCAGTGAACTTCTCGCCTAATGAGCGAAGCGACCAGGAATACGATCATCACCACTCATGTTTAGCTCAGATCATCATTTGTTGAGATCGTCTAATTAGCGCCGAATGAGACACGACGGTTCATTCTTAAACAGAGCTGCTTGCCAGAGCTTACCGATTCAGACCAACATAACGAATAACGCTGTTCTCAACTAATTTGGCCGTGAGTCCATGGACGGATCGGCAATACCGTGATCATGAATTGCTGTGTGCCAGCGACACGTGCCATTGGTGCCCGGAAGGCAATTTTGTTGACCACACGGTCAAAGACATTGTACGAGAGAGATGGAACCTGATGTAGGCTTCTTTTCTTTGATCGCGATATTCTAAAGCTTAAGCGCCCCTGGTGAAGACCTTCAGCTCATGGATATGATCTCCGCCGTGGGACCATGGCCCCCCGGGCCAAGCTCGCCCCTTAGGAAGACCTAAACTTAGAACAAGACCAGGCCAGCCCCCGGCCTCGGTCTAAGCCCACATGGGATACGCGGAACATTCTGGGTTACGGATATCCATCCAAGAACCACCAGATGTCACTGATGAAACAAATGGCAAGAGCAGTCCTCTTTCCGGATAGGGCACTTACCAGCCCCTTCATAATCTGCAGACTTCTCTGCCCATCGACCGCCGTCCGTTAATTCTCATGGTCGTGGCGAGGGGCCGTCCTGCCTCTCACTGTCGCGGTTCGTTTGCCAGTGCAGTAGCCAAGAATATGCACGTTCGCAATTCACCCTCGAAGCATTTCACAGCCACGAAGATCGTCAGGCCCGCTCTCAGGTCCTAGCCATCTCTGTGGCAACATGTTTGACCAGGTGCCGCTGGCTTTCTCGATTCAAACACCGCCGAGCTTAACCACCACGATTCGACGCAGTACTAGCACCGCCTTCTCGGGTGGCGGGCCTTGCTATGGCCCCCCTAGTGGTTTTGGTACTTCTGTAGGCCATCAACGATAACGATTCGAGCAAGTACCAGCACTATGTCGGCGAAACCCAAATCTCGGTTTTCGGGGGACATTGTGTTTCAGCGGCGAAGTCATATTAGGGCACCCAACGTGCGACGCCTGGAAAGATGAACACACTCCTCAAGATATGATGGCCTTGCTCTCCGTAATCATGGGCGGATACTTCAACACCAAGTTTACCCACCTACCCCGAACCATCTCTCCACATTCTCGGTCTTGGGACGGCTACCAAAGTCAACCCCCGACGTATCACTGACTTGGTTTGTCAAAAGTACGATGGGCAGTCTTCGTCCCGTCGCAGGTTTACCATCGCCAGTTTCTCCATTGTCACCCAGATCCTCAGATAGCCTTCTAGCGGCAGCAGGACAACAAACGACCATTCCACGATCTATCACACCCACACACCGTAACAATGAGAACATCCTTGTCCCTATTAGCATGAAAGCTCGATATAACTCAAATGGGTCTGCTTCGTCAAGGCTACTATGGCAATCTTTGTGGCTACGCAAGCGCACACTGCTTGCGTTCCTACTTCTATTTACCGTGCTATGCATCAGCTTGCTCATACTATGGCAATACGATAATCAGCATGACGGCATCAGACTCACAGTCTCAACTAATCACTATGCTTGGACTTATGGTCCGGCAGCCATCTTGGTTGTCGTTGTCAGTTTGTGGAGGCAAGTCGATTATCAGTGCAAAGCAAATCAACCATGGTTAGAATTGAGCAAAGGACCGTCTATCGCCTCGAAAAGTATACTCCTGGATTATATCTCCCCTTTGCAGATAACCAGTTTCAGCAGAGCTGTTCAATCTTCTCACTATGCAGTCGCGGCATCCGTGCTGGGATTCGCAATTTTGAAGCTTGTCCTCGCTGCTTCGACAACACTGTTGGTGGCTTCATCTACGCCAGTGAGCAATGATTTTGATGTCCAGATAGCGACTAGATTTACTGGAGAGGAATTTTGGCAAACCATTCCAGACCAAGTGGATGGTACGACCACTGCGAAAGGTTTCATTGGCAATCAAATTACGGAGTCTGCCTACAAAAATATATCCTCGGATCCAGTATATTCATATTGGGGCGTAATCCGGGGAGAGTTAACCGATCCTCTGGGTACGAAGGATGGAATTGCATTTCAGGTTTTCAATTCTTCGCTCACAAACGAGAATTTGACCAGCTTGACAAGCACAGTATCTGCTTTCGTCCCAAACATCACTTGTGAAATCCCAGTTTGGGAAAGCTTTCAAAACATGAGTGGGGAATGGGGCCCTCTAGTCCAACTCAGACTGAACACGCCAACGTGTAAGGCAGGCTATGGAGATTACGAGATCTACGTTGACACAGCGGATGTGGTGGCGGCACCCATGAACGACAATCTCTGTGCAGAAGACTGTTTGCCATATCCGACCTCGTTCACCATTCAGCGTGTCTTCTGCGGGACTGCCGAATCTGAAGCGGCAAAGACGGTGGTGAATGGTTTATCACCACATGATTACCGTTTCGCCATAGTTGCAGCGAATATTTCCCAGCAGGTTGGACAACCATCCTGGACCAATGACACGAACGTGACCGAAGTAATCGGTCGAGGTATCGTAGAGGCAGGAGTTGTTCTCTGCAACATTGACTACAACATGGTTGAAGCTGAAGTAACGCATGATATGGCGGACGATAGCTACTCTTTGCCCACCGAACTTACCGCCCTACAAGGTGGCCATTTATCTGACTTGGGTGGCTTGCAGCTTTCAGAACTCATATTCTCTAGCCTCAGTATAGCAGCTGATGCGTTTGCACCTCAAGATATCGGTCCTTACATTCCTACGCCTGATATGGATACCCTGGCGTCAAACCCTTTGTTTACTTTGATGGCAGACCGTTTAGAGGGAAAGAAGAGTCGCGAACGATTTTTCGACCCAACAACACTACAACAAGCGGCGGTCAGTGCACTTACAGGAGTCTCAGCACAATTCATGCAGCAAAACTTCTTGAAGTCCACCAATGAAGCTAGCACTGGGAAGGGGGTGTACCATGAGCAAAGGCTCCACATACAACGTCCTTCTTTGTGGATCATGGTGACGGGCTTTATCATACTGGACCTCTTGACATTGGTGCTCGTGTTTACTGCGACTACTAAATCAACTCCGCAAGATCCTCGATCAATTGCCGCACATGCCACAATTCTGACTACCAGTTCATCAATTCAAGCTCCACTGTGCAACACTGGTGACCTCCGAACCAGTGGTCTAACCAAACAACTGGGAGAATTCGAGTATCGCAGCGTGGTAGATCAACACTTTTATCTTGAAGCCCTTCCGCGCAGCAAGGAAGCCGAGAGAATGAATGATGGCGGGAATTTCAAGAGCTCAATGTGGATACCTCTATCAGCAAAATTTTGGTTCGTCTGTCTCACTGCGACAGCGCCTATACTGGCTATTGCGGCACTGGAAGCCTTGTATCGACGCTCCGAAGCCAATCAAGGACTCAAGGACGTATCAGGGGAGTCTAGCGTTCTGGCATTCGCAAGACAATATTTATCCTCGTTGGTGCTTTTACTCATTGCGACACTGTTCAATACTCTTGATTTTGCTATCACGACTTTCGCCCCATTCAGTGCCCTGCGCAAGGGTATCGTGTCTTCTGAAGTAGGGCTTTTAATGCAATTACAGGGCAATACTCCACTACTTGCGCTGTATCAAGCAATTAGTCACAGTCACATGGGAGCTGCGCTTTCTAACATGGCGACACTTGTTGGGAGTGCTCTGCCCATTGTTGTTGCCGGCTTGTGGGTCCTAGATGACGCGACAACTTTCACGAATAATGTCGTGGTGACGGCTAGTAGTGCCTGGGATGTTGCTCCCATCAACAGTACAACAGAAGGCAGTGGGGCTGCGCCAGCCTTCAACAATGTTGAGAGAGGTGTGGTCAATCTCCCGGCCGGCGTTTGGAACGACCTAGTATTTCCGCAGATTTCTGAGCTTACTACTGTATACAACTCACGAGATCCTTCGCTCGATTCTTCAACATCTGCCTTGAACTACACTCTTACCATCCCTGCGCTACGACCGGAATTGATTTGCGATATCGTTCCGGCAGACCTCTGGACCATCTCTTATGAGACAGATCCAAATGACCCTCCGAACATGGCTGATTGGTCAGTGAAATGGGAGCTGCCTCCAGGATGCCATGGAGGACCATGGGGCAATCGCAGCTATGCTACAATAAGAGGAGGCTATTGGGAAGACTCATGGTACGGCCAGATGTACGATCTTCATTTGGGTCCTTGGAATGCAAGCAACCTTGAAAATAGGGAAGTCCAGAGTCACGCAGAAGTCACATTCGGCCACGCCGATCAGCCAGACAATCCGTGTGGCTGCCCGTCAATAGCTGTGTTTTTTGGCTACGTTGGACAGAATTATACAGCCCAGGAGAATGTGACGATGTTAGTGTGCAATCAGAGAATCACGCAAGTACAAACCGCTATCACATATGATGGTGATCCGCTTAACAACAAGCCGAATACTGCGCGAGAACCCGTCCCTGATGAATCCACTGCTAGGTACATGACAAATGGTACGGATGGTGTGGTGGACTTCAATTATCGACTGCAGTATGATCTTCAATCTGGACTGGTCACCTTCAATCCCGGCAACGAACCCGACTATTTCGACCAATTTTTCAACCACCTTGTCTATGGACCCGAGGGTGTATCTCCGAAGCAGCTGCTCGGTCCCCAAAATGCCAATAATCTGCGTGCCGCCGTTCAGAAGCTCTACAAACGTTACATGGTGCATGTCATTGATCGAAAGTTCAGGCAGCCGCTTGATGCAGCGGCTGAGTCACTGAAAGACAAGCGCAAGCGACAAGATGCGGGAACAGGGGCACAGACTTCACAATACGAAGGCGTGGTTATGCAACAAATACCACGCCTGAAAGTTGATTATATATCAAAGCTAATCTTGCAGATCATGCTTGCCACGATGACGCTGCTTGGTATCTTGTCGTTCTGGTTGGTGAAGTTGAGGGGAACATTACCGAGGAACCCATGTTCGATTGCCAGTACAATGAGTCTGTTCGCAGGAAGCGAGATGTGTAAGAGCGAAAAGGAAGGGGGAATAATGCCGGCAGGAGCAGAGTGGATGACGAGAGAAGAATTGAAGCATGTCTGGAAGGGCAAACATTTCAGCCTCGGCTGGTGGACTGCCGCCGAGAGATCTCTTAGCAACGCGAACGCTAGGGAAATGGAAACCCTGCCCCAGCGAGGGAGTCGCATGAAATTAGGTAACATGGAGGAGATACGGCTGGCAGACGAGGCTATCGACAGGGAGACCTTGAGATTTGGCATAGATGTCGGTGTACCAATCCGACTTGGCTTTCGGCAGAGAAGAGGCTGGCGGGAAAGATTGAAACCATCTTGATGTGGTTCTAACAATACATGATCGATATCAGACGAGCATGGGTCTCAGTGATTACAGTATCAACATCAGAGAGCAACAGGTTGTCATTATCATTTTTGAAAACAATAGCAGTATTATGAATAGTTTCGAATCGTGACAGGAAAGCCTTCCAGTGAAGTGGCATGACAACAGGTAATACTCGACTTCAGTAAATCTTCTGCTTGGCTAAGTACCCAGATAACCAAGTATCTACTTGCTTTGGTCGGCTCTCAAAATTTCTTGTGTTAGTCATGTCTTTTTTGTTACCTCCCAACTTATGATATACCAAGTACCAGAGAGCATTATTGATCCTGGATCAATGCCAAGCCCGGCTTCCTCACCTCCTCCTTGCAGTATCTGTATCAGGCTGGTCACAGACAGAGGACACTCGCTTAAAGCTATGCTCCAGAAACATCACCCAGGTGGCGTGCGGGGCCATGGGTTGGTCCAGCGCCACCAAATTTAGGCATTCGTTAGACTGGAGCTTACCCCTGGATCTGCATTCCAGCCGAGCTCTTTTGTGGGGAATAAGGGGCAATCGCGTGTCGCAAGGGCAGGCCAAGTTGAAAATCCCATGAGCAACAAAAAGCCAGAGGTGCCGCCAATGCTGTAGACTGCCGGTACTTGCGTCTGCGATGCCTTTCAGGTATCAGTCTATCAAGTGATGGGCAGAGCATTGAGTCCACGGTTCTTGGTGGCCATTTTGGCATTTCTCCTAGTCGTGTTCTACCTATGGCCCTCAAACAAAGACACACCACCAGTCATCAAAATCACCAAGAGCAGCTTCGATTGGAGTACTGTTCAACCATATCACGACCCATCTCCCTTGACCAAGCCTCCGTCGGGTGTTCCAAGGCGTCTCCCACGAATTCAATATCCATTCCCAAAGTCGTCAAAAAGGTTCTCTGACACGGCACAAGCTGCGCGACGAGATGCTGTCAAGCAGACGTTCCAAAGGAACTGGAAGAGCTATCGAAAATTCGCATGGATGAAAGATGAGTTGACACCCCTTACTGCGGGCAGTAAGAATACCTTTGGAGGCTGGGCTGCCACTCTAGTTGACTCCCTCGACACACTCTGGATCATGGACTTGAGAACCGAGTTCTGGGAAGCAGTAGAAGCCGTGGCCAAAATCGACTGGGCTGTTACCAACGAGACATCCTGCAATATGTTTGAGACCACTATTCGTCATCTTGGTGGGCTATTAGCAGCGTATGAATTAAGTGGTGCTGCTGTGCTGTTGGAGAAAGCCGTCGAACTCGGTGATATGCTATATGCCGGCTTTGACACACCGAATCGTATGCCAGCATTCTGGCTGGACTTTAGAAAGGCAAAAAATGGCGATCTACTAGCTGACAGTCATGTCGCCTCCGCAAGTCCTGGTAGCCTCTCTCTGGAATTTACAAGGCTATCTCAAATCACAGGCGATCCGAAGTATTATGATGCAACCTCGAGGATCACTGAACTACTATATGGTAGCCAAAATGCCACCAAGCTTCCTGGAATGTGGCCCACGTTTTTCAACATGCGAGATTCCGACCTCACCGAACACAGCTCTTTCACTCTAGGCGCTCTGGCAGATTCGCTGTACGAGTACTTACCTAAGATGTATGCACTTCTAGGCGGCCTCGACCGAAAGTATGAAAGCATGTTTCTTACAGCAGCGGACACCATCAAGAAGCACATGCTGTACCGACCGATGACCCAGACCAATGAAGATATTCTGTTTTCTGGGAACGTCGACGTTGGGTGGGAAGTCACCCTCAATCCAGAAGGACAACATCTCGGATGCTTTACCGGTGGTATGTTTGCGCTCGCAGGCCGCTTATTTGATCGAGAAGATCATGTTGAGACTGGAGGGAAGCTCGCTCGAGGTTGTGCGTGGGCTTATCAAGCTTTCCCAACCGGGATCATGCCGGAGATATTCAGTATGGTGCACTGCGAGACATTGGCGGGTTGTGAATGGGACGAGAACAGATGGAGGCGAGAAGTCTCCAAGGACTCTCAAGGGTTTATCTCGCTGCCCAAGGGATTCCGCAATGCCCGAGATCCTTCCTACATTCTTCGACCAGAGGCGATCGAGAGTGTGTTCTTGTTATATCGCATCACAGGGCTGGAGGAATACCAAATGGCCGCTTGGGATATGTTCATGGCAATTGAACAAGCGACACATACGGAATATGGCAATGCGGCTATCAGCAGCGTTACCACTACTGGTGTTCCGATACAGAGAGACTCTATGGAGGTAAGTGATATCTTCTCAAGCTCGGGGACTTTAATTCGTGTACTAACTCTGTTGACAGAGCTTCTGGCTTGCTGAAACATTGAAATACTTCTACTTGATATTCTCGCCACCTGACCTGATCAGCCTTGATGACTGGGTATTCAATACCGAAGCCCACCCTTTGAGGATCCCAAAACCATAATTCAGTACGTCTGGTGGGAACTTCCACCATTTTACACACAAAAGACGTATTTCTCACGATGGAGCGTACAGTCGGATCAATTTCGAAACGCTCATATCTCCTACAGGCCGAGACTAGTCGATACTAGGCGTCTAGGCCGGATTCTCAGAGGCTACACACGACAAATCCGCTGGTTTCGTACGACACGAGCTCTGTCGAAATGCAATCGTCGCAAATCGCGCTGAGTTGCGATAGGCGAGGTCAGAAACAGATTGGGAGCCATACGTGAAGCACCTAGACTTGTCCTACGCATATACTTGGGTTATCATCCAAAGTACGGAGTGACTAGAGAGAACAACTTCCAAGAATATGGCTATATATACTGTGGGAGGTGAAAGAGGATACATAGATGGTGGCAACCATCACCTCGAAAGACCGACTGAGAAATGGGCATTGAAGAGGCAGGGCCAAGTCATGCCCAACAGCCTTGTCAATAGGATACGACATTAGATGTTGATTGGGTGATACAGGCACCTGATAATTACCTCAGTCACTCATGACCCTAGATGGGAACATAGTTCAGATATTTACAATTCGACTACTGGCTCTAGCCATAGCCGACCAATAGCAACCGTACCAAGCTCATGGCATTCGGGCGCCCCTTCGCATTTCTTACTCCTTGCACAACCCAGGAATCTTCGACGCCTTGACCCCAACCAGACCGTCCACATAAGCCAGAAAAGTTTGCACAGGGATGAGATCCAACCGCGCAAGGCTAGGATTCGAACTCCTGAGGACCTGTCCTCCAAACAAGACTCTCAAGAAATAACATCCCCTGCGACTGTACAGCTCAAAAACCACTTCACTGCCCATGCCAGGCCACACCATCACGTCTACCTGGAGGATGGACAGCAATCTCGAGATGGACCCGTCGTGCGCGACGTTATGTCGAAATATGACGCCGTCGTTGGTCCCATTCACAATATTTCTAAGATGACTCGCCAGCTCCGCCATCCAGATCCCGAACCCCGCAGTACTCGCTGCCAACGACTGTGGCGCATCTCGATAGATGAAACTATACTCGTATTGTCCGCGGCGGAACACGGCGTCGGCATCTTCCTGAGTGATGCAGTTGGATGCATTCCCCGCTTCACAAGGCAGTGGTTTCTGATGACATAGTCTTGCCGACAGGTTGTCGAAATAGTGGTCGAACCAGTTGTGCCAGTCCTTGTTGGAGACATTCACGCCGGAGACGGAGTCGAGTTTGGCGAACAGAGGTTTCGACTCGTTCAAATGAAGTGTCCAATTTGCAGCGTGGCTACCAACGCCGTATGACGAACGGAGGTCATCGGCGGCGTCGCATGCGTACGCCGGTTCAAGGGAGTCGATTGAGTTTGGTTGAATACTGACGCCGATTGGCGAGTTTGTCAAACTTGGATACTGCCCTTCAATGACTTGCCCGATTACTTGTGAGGTTATGACGTTGTTCGTTACGCGGTAGCCCACTTTCTTGGGATCGTATTCTGCAGGGATGAAATTCAGGAGATCGCGATAGACGCCGAAGAGATCCTTGCCGTGCTGGCGTGAATCGTTCAAACCTTGGCCGGAAATTTGAGGGAACTGGCATGTCCCATTGAAGCCCTCTGGTGCGAGCGGGTTTGAGTCCGATGTGGTAACCTGCCAAGTTATCTGTGCGGAAGTGCCATCTGGACGCGGCGTGCCGTAGTAGAACAGTGCTGCATCATCGCATGACCATGAGTACGTCTCGTGGGGGAATGTGTTGGACGCATATGGAGTACGTTTGTGATGTCGGTGGATCTAAGATCGTGATGTTAGGACATATTGGCCGGCATTAGGTCCCAATGGGTTGCATTGCCTACCACTTCGACGAATTCAAGCTTAAACTCACTCGGAGGCATGATATACTCCTGGCGTCTGACGTGTGGCATGTTGCACCAGTTGTACTTTTCATACCCAGAGGTGATGGGCGTCTCTGACGAGTTGAAGATGAAACCATATACACCTGTTCCATTGATGACTGACTTGAGATCATTGATACTGGTTGCATTCGGTGCATGCCAACTTAAGTCAACCTGGCTGGCGTTCGCTGTTGCGCATTGCGCGACAACCCCACCGGTTAGGGTCGAGCTGACGAGGAAGACGTCCAGGATCCTCTTCACCATCTTGCTAGCTTCAAAAGAACACAGATGTCCCACTAAAGTGCTAAAATTTGTCAGATTGCTAGCAAGCAAGCCCTCTTGTCTAGGTGTTGGCGATGGGGAAACAGCAGACAAAGTCTGGTTAGAGACATGTTGATGGAGTAACATTGCAGTTCCATCATTATATCACGATACTACATCGGAGTTGTCCTCTTTTCCAACGGAAGGATCGGCAAGATAGACTTACATCGGTGTAGAGTAGCATGAGGAGAGAAGCAAGAGGAACCAGGAAAAGGTCAGAGATGCAGAACGTGAAGTTGGAGAATCATTCGTGGTGCTATCTTATGATTGGTGCTTGGAAAACGTGGTTGAACAAGGGCGATTTAGAGGTCGACATCTGATTTGATGGACTGGGGTCGAGGTAACTATTTGCAACAATGAAGTCAATGGGACCATTCAATGCTCACCTGAACGGGCTTATATCTCCGCCAATGTATGTTTGTCACAAGTCTTAGGTTCAACATGTTGTTACGCAAGGCTGGACGACTAAACGCTAGGGAGTTACATATCCCGCTGAAGTCCAACGGGATAGCAACTATTCATATTGATCCCAGACATTATTGATATACTATCGCTAAGGAACGTAGATACTCTGGGTTCACCCTCTTGAAGGGCTTTCCATGGTCTCTTAGGCTACTTCCGATGATACATATGTGAGGCCAGGTCGCGTTTAGGGTTCACCTTGCCTTCCTGCTCGCAATGCCAATCGTGGCAATCGCCCTATCACGAAAGGGCTGGATCAGACAGTGGACTTGGGACTCGTCGGTTTCACTTCAATTGACAGGTGGCTACCTATATCATATCGGCTTCCATGGCCTACGCAATGATGGTCGACCCGTCGGATCTGGCTTCGTGCCTGATCCGTTGTGAGAAGCTTGCTTGGAGGGATCCTAGAGAGGATGAAGGTTGGGGCCTGTAGTTCAGTCCTAGAGATCTGCATTATTTTCTAGTAGATTGGTAATTCAATCATAAAAGTGGGATTATTCAGAATGAAGTCTGTTGTGCAAGGCTCTCACTTTGACATATTTGTAAGGGATTCAATCATTCCAGCATCCAAAATTATGTCTGCTGTCGCTTAGCTTCGGCGTCGAACCCGCTCATATCCTACAGATGTATGGAAATTAGTATACAAGTTTAGTTGTCAATCTCTCTTATCCATTCCTCCTTAAGGGGACTATCCGCTCAAAAAGTTCAGATAGCACGTAACACTCACCGCGAAAGCCTGGAAGAGCACAATCTTGGGATCATCAGTATCCGCACCCTCGATGATCCACCTGTTCGCAAAAGGAGCTTCCACGTATGCTCCATTATTGAACGTCCAACTGGCGGTACCGAAGAACATGAAAGTGTCGTCCGCTGGTCCGGCGCGGAACACTTTGTGGATTCGATGTGTTCGTGCTTGGAGTACTTTCCAAGAAGCATTCTGAAGATCGGCGATTGCTATGTCGGTTAGCGTGAGGTCCTATTTTTATCACTATTCGATATTAGAACATTTACCACATACCTTGAGACCCAGCAAAGGTTTTCTTATTGATGACCATTTTTCCAGTAGGCACAAAGACCTCTCTTGCTACTCGCTCCCCACAATCTTCAGCCTTGAGATCTGCCGTCTCGAAAGCCCGATTGATGAGGACTTTGACGGGCTCGGCAAGTGCAGGACTTGGCCATTCGGTATTCGATGTCGGGGTGGCCATGTCTGGCTTACGAAAATTACACAGAAACGGAACTGGGGCGGTCTCTAGGCTGGAAGAAATGCGTGGATGCGTTGCCCTTCGCAATATGGGAAGCCTGCTGTTTTGACAGTACATATATCATTCCATAAACTGATGACGATCTTCATGGTTGCATCCAGTTATCGCGCATGTCGATTGGCAACCGAGATTCGCTTCAGGCATTATGTGTTACTATTAGCCAGTCCCAGCACCAGGCTCTCAAGTCAGGCCGTCACGGCGATCTCGATTCGACGCTCTTAGAAGCCGCCTAGCCTCTTGTGGTCGTAAATGATCAACCATAGGCAAGCGAGTACCACGGTATCAGAGCCTCAAGCGGCTTCTGGAACTATGAATGGTCCACAAATTGGAGTCATTTATGATGAATATGTATTCCGTCGGAGCACGAGATGCAGTACTTACTAATTGAAACCGCGTGGTAGTTCGACCAGTGTTAAGAATTTAAGTAACCCCAACCGAAGTCGAAGGGAACCTTTTGGGTGCCTCCTTAGCCAAACTAATCAAGGCACTTCGTCGTCTCGGCCTCGCGTTGTGTTCGGGCCCGACATTGGATTGTTATTCAGGCCTGCCAGAGTCAACAAGTAGCCTTCCCCAATCCACCAGAATAAAGACGATGTCCGGCAGAATCTATGCGACGCAGGGCTAGCTTGACCATGCCAAGTGCGGACTGTGGAGCTTCGTTCCTGCAACCATCATCTACCGAGTCTGGAACAGGCACCTCAGGTAAGTTGACCCTGATCTCGTGTCTGCGATGAATTGCATCCCGCTTCACAACCTGCGGCCGGCCGAAATAAATACCCATTGTGGCTTCGTATCATTGGTAATGATGTCATGTTGCTCGCGAAAAGGTAGCTTGGGTAGGCATATAAATACGAACGGCAGCAGCTGCTGAGTATTTAGCCATTGGTACATTGTCGAAATTTACGAACGCCGGCCTAGATCAAGAGAGCTAGGTAGGTAGTTAGTGAAACGAAACGGAAAGTTGACATCAATATCTCACGACGCCCCCCGCATCTCTCTGAGCCTTTCAGGGAAGAGCTGAGCCGAAATTTACATAAATATCAACGACGTCCCAACCCACACCATCCAACTCAACTCAACTCAACTCAAGCCATCCACAACCTCAACCTCAACCTTAAGCACTTGGACAAAATGCCCGCGCCAGCAACACCGGGCCGACTGCTGGTGACACTGGTGATCCTGACGCTGACCCCCGGGGCCTTCATCGCCGACTACAACCACACGCACCTGTTCAACCCACGCTGGCCACCACACGCGCGCTTCCACAACGCGCAGACGATGAGCATGAGCATCGCGCTCACGCTGCCGACGCTGTGGTACGCATGGCGCGGTCCGCGCTCCAGCACGCGACAGAGTACTGGTGCACCGGCAGCGGCGGCAGCAGCAGCAGCACAGGCAGACGACCTCGCCGACTCGATCGTCACGGCCACCATCTTCGCGACCATCTATCCACTCACGACGCTGACGGCCTGGTTTTTCCCGACCGTCTTGGCTGTGGATCCCGAGTTTGGGACCGGGTTCCCGCAGTTTAAGATCATGACGACGGGGATCGCGGTCGCGTGGGCGGGCTGTGCGTTGGAGTTGGCGAGGGTGAGGGGCGTGAAGGCGAAGGCGAGTGGGAAAGGTGCTTGATGGGAGTGCATGGTGAGAGAGACATGTACGTGTGTCCTGTTGTGGTTTTTCGTGGACGGTTTCAGGGATCGATACTCACTCTTCGCTCGATCTCTTGCTTCCATGCAGTATCAGACCCTGGCTTGTTCACTCTCTTCACTCTCTGCCGTCCAGACCAGGGGAACCTTGCACAGCGTCAGTCCCGTCTCCAAATTCGATTGAATTAGAGCCTGGGTAGGAACCTGGGTATAAATGGATAGGGTTCTTGACTTTGTTGTGCCGACGACAGTACCAAAGTCCCGAACTTGGTCTCAAGGTGGTGAGGAGTAGGTCACCGTTTGAGACAAGGACCATACTTGGCCACGGAATAGGTTCGAAGCAGAACGATCCCAGGCTTGTACTCTGGTATGAACGTAACTTGCCAAATGATGGAGACTGATGGATATCCTATCTATGGGCCAACATTGAGGAGCGGATCTGGTAAGTCTGGGAGCTGGTGGTAGGACTAATGACGAGTCGAATTAAAAGCCATGCTCAGCATATTCATCTGTTTGGATGGTCATATCAACTCGAATATCCCATGAAGCATACCTCGATATAAGGCTGATTGATGTTTTACAGCTATCCTCCAATACCTACGTATCAGTCATCCCCGACTATCTTACATAGAATGCATGACAGCCTTCAAAATACATTGGCAGGTTTCACACCACATCATCATACACCCTTTCCACTAGCCATTCGTCTGCCCAAGAAGCTCATCAAAGACTTTCCACCACGTTCACTAGTTGTACTCCAGCATTTAGCCCTATTCGATCGTCCTTCCTCTACATCTCTTGTCTTGAGTCCTGCCTTGACTTCTTCCTCAACCGAAGGACCGAACTCGGTCACAGTAGCTGGCGCAGTCTGGGGGAAGCTAACCTTTCTAAGCAAGCCACCACCGGTAAAAGGACTGAGTGGTCTCTTCTTTCTGTCCAGATCAAAGTCTGCTCCATCAATGGTGAGAGTCAATTTCCTTCTCAATCCTTTTCTTGCAAGTGGTGATTTTGTAGGTGATGGGGGTATTTCATTTGTCTGCAGATTCACTCTCCTAGGAGACTTCTTTGGAGATCTTGGAGATCGTGAGACGTTGGACGCCAGTTCTTCAATACTGTCTTTTGTCTTCACACTTAAGGAATCGTCTGAATCACTCATGGCAGCTCTTTCAGAGACAAGTGATAGTTTGAGGGGACTTTGACTGATGATCTTGTTCATCCCAGGAGGTGATGATAGAACGAGTGAATCTTGTGCATCGGAAACTGATGAGGTTGTCCCATCAATATGGTCTACCAGGGTGATGGTCGGTCGGCCGGGCGATTCGATGTCCAAGGAGGACACTGAACTTTCGCGGACTGAGGAGGAAAGACATGGTTGCAAAGGTACCACATTGCGGTCGTCTAGGTCTTCTGTGACATGTGTCAGTCAAGTCTTCTTCATTGAGACTTGGCCGACTTACCAACAGAACGACAAAAGAAGCGAAAAGCAGCATATGGGGCATCTTTGGGATCGAGGAGTTGATACTTGTACCTCCGAGGACGAGGTGATCCATTGAGAATCCCACCATTACTGAGCCTAGAATTTGGTCAGTGCAGGGCGTGAGCCTGGAAGGCATCGCACCTACCGAATCCCATCAGGACGAACGCTCTCAACGGTGACACTCCCAATCGCCTCTTCCAAGTCTCTGATCCGCTGCCGATGCTCAATACGATGAACATTGACCTGCAGACAATCATCCAACATGACCGTCTGACCCAACTCGGAACGCGGTAAATCATCACCAAACTTCAAGGCCTGTCTTCTGACCGCTGCATGTCCACTCATGGCATCCAAGCCTTCATTGACCAAAGTGTGCATCATCTTACCATGGAATCCATGCTTGGCCGTGCAGTCCCATGAGGTGACTTCCTTTCCATTCACGAAGAGTTTGAAGAAGTAGGCTGCCCCGGGTGGATGTGGGCCTTCGATGGAGTATTCTAGCCAGATCTGACTGCCAGGGTATATGGGGACATGACATGATGCCACTGGATATTGGGGAGAGTTGGGTGGGAGAGGGTTGTCCTCGTTGGGTGACTGCGAGGACACATCGGGTGGGCAGAGATATTCTGGAAGTCTGCAGATGTCGACTTGAGATATGAGGGAGACTTCAATGCCTCGAAACTTGACCATTTTGGAGGGAGTCTAGCCGTGTCCTTGTGAGGAGTAGGGTCAGAGAGTTAGTTATGAGAAATGTAGGAAGTAAGAGATAAAGGAGAGACGAGGTGAGATCAGAGTGATAGAGGGAAGGCGCGTCCACCTGGACTTCACTGGCTGTGACTGCCTCAAATTCACTCTTGCTCTCAAATGATCTCGTCGCCTTCAAGTCTGCTGAAGGAAAAGTAGGCAGCTGGAGCTACACACCAGGTATCTAAGTGGCACACTCATCTCACTCACTCCAGGCCCCCTCCAGTTGGTCGTAGTAGAGCTTCGATGTCCTGTGAGCACAGAACCTGGAATATCAAGACTCCTTCAATCATTCTCACCAGTCCAAACCCACCCTTCCCAGCAATGCAAGCCCGCTATTGATTCTGTTCTCCCGACCAACCCAGGTTAACCTCCTCACTCGCTACCTCATCCACCACCAACTCAATCTCCTCATAAGCAGGATGGGTGTACAAGAAATCAAACCAGCCGAGCATACTCCTCCAAGCCTTGACCACCACATTCTCGTGATATTCATCTTCTCCACTCGCGTAGCAGTTGCATCCGAATCGTTGTCTTCCTGTGACCGGCGTTTCCAGAGGCGATGACGAAGGAGCATAGAATCGACATCGCTTGGAGATGAAGTCCACGAATTCGGGTGGTGCGCCGTTGGCCACGAGGTCGGCCATCTTGTACTGTGCGCCGGCGATGCAGATGCCAGTGATTCGTTGGGACCAGGTATTCCAATGCTTCGCCAGATATTCAAACGCCGCCGTGACCGAATACTCTAGCCCGATGATATCGACCTTGGCATCCTTCCTCACCAGCTCCGGCAAGACCTGATCGAATACATAGTTGATGTGCTCCGTATAATCGCGATTGTGATCAATGTAGTTCTTGACCTCATCAATCCTCATAGCCTCGCTGACACCCGTCTCCCTTGGCAGATCCATCCACTCATTCCTCGACACTGCCCTCCTCCCTCCACGGTACCAAAGCAACTGACACGGATTCGCGACGATGATGCCCGGGCCAGAGCTCTCATCCGTCGAACTTGATCCATTCTTCAACGCATCCACCAGATCCACGAGCGAGCCATGCTTGATGCCCTGCTCGCCAATGGCCCGCCAGGAAAGCACACCAGGCTCCATCTGCCGCTCACCCAGAAACAAAATCACGCGCTTCTTGCTCTTGATGTCCTTGGACACCAGAATCGGTACATGCTTTTCACCCTCCTTGGCTCCTAGTGGCAAACGGACCGTTTCAACCCCCAGCTCCTCCAGCCGCTCTAGAATGATGTTACGCACCGCCACTAGAAATCATCACGCGTTAATTGGTCGTCAGAAAATGGTCAATCAATTCCAGCTGCATTGCAGCAATTCAAACTCACAATTGTTAGCAAGCTTGTAAGCCTGGTTGACTCGCTCATTGGTGTTGATTCGATATTGAAACTTATGTGAGGGGTTCTGAATTTGCCGGATCTTATCTTCGGTTGTCACGAAGAACCCAAGTTTCTCTAGATCCACGGGAAAAGATGGGTCTGGAGGGAGTGTGTGTGCCAAACGGCGAAACATGGTTGCTACGTGGCGGCAGTGGTGGAGGTGGTGGTGGTTGTTGTGATTGATTGATAAAGGGTTGATAAATGTTCAAACTGATATTGAGGTTGAGATTTGGGGTTGCTGGAGAGGAGAGAAGGTAAGTTGGGTTGTTGATTGTGGAATAGTGGAATGAAAGAGGGGCAAAGAAACATGTGGAATGAGTGATTGAATGACAAGAGTGAATGACTGATATACGAGACCAAGATTGAATGGAGACGAGGCTGGCAAAATTTATATGTCCGTAATGTGAGACGAAATTATTGAGGACTGGGTAGTACAATCAAAAATATATCAAACAAGTTATAGCTGAACCTATCTGTCACCATTGATATTTCACAGGCATCTCCACTTTGAAGATCAATATTCATCACTATGTTTGATAGTTGTGCCTGCTACCTAAGTAGGGCTAGGAATACAATTGTCGTGTTTCTGGGACTTCTGGATCGATCAGACGGCAGAACTTGAATAACATGATGAACCCCCGGCCAAAACAAAATCATCAAATCAGTGACAAGCCCTCGGTCCCTTCAACTTCCCGTCCTCAAATCGGTCGTGCATCATCCTTCAAACTTCGTCATAAAGCATCAAATAATCCCATGCCCTGCAGTTTTGTCAATCACCTACCAAATGCTCAAATAACTCCACACGATTTCATGGTAGCCCGTGTATCATGTCAATGCCCATAATGCGTCTTTCTAGTAGTACAGTACACTTCGCCTATGTTGGCCATTCACAGCTCAATGGCCTGAGCAGCCATATGTGGTAACCGTCCCAAGCGATATCAATTAGTCCCCTGATCAAGAACCTGCACGTGCAATGCCAATACTGCTGCTTCTTTGCGAATGGAAGCTAGCGCTGGCAATCGGAGCAAATCCTTTGGCAAGGTCGAATCCGCCTGCTCCATCGTCATCATCTTCATCATCCCCACCACGTTGGTGACGCTCAGCGTTTGGCTGACTTCCTTGTGCGTGGACTGTGCTGTTAAATGAGTCTGGGGCACTGGATCGTGAACCTCCCAATCCAAAAGGGCTCATCTTTCTCGCCCCATCGCCGATACGACCAAACCTGTGACCTTCGTCCGTGAGGGCGCCATTTCTCATGGCGTTGTATGAGGGAGTCTCTTCCTTTTTCGCGCTGGAGCTTGTTGCTGTGGCTGCTTGGCTCCCCCGACCCGGTTTGCTCGGGCTTCCCAATCCAGCATCCATGGGCGGTGGACTGGAGCTCATCACGTGTCGGTCAAGTCCGTTCGATCTGTGATCTTCATCCTTGACAGGTGATATGTCAGGGACTTGATGTCCAGGTGTCACTCCCATGAGACCTTTCCAGAACAAGCCTGGGCCAGCAGGAGATGATTCTGGCATGAACTTGCTAGGCGCAACAAGAGTACTGGGAGGTGCCAACCGAGGATTCTGTCGCAATGGAGCTGGAGTGATAATGCTGTGCTGCGAAAATCGGAAGGGCGTATCGAGATAGGAGGATGAAAGGGTTGGATTCGAGGGAGAATGATGGGCTGGAGGTACAGACGAAGGAAGTGTATATGCTGGTAATCCGTTTCCCATCCGTGGCGTGGGTCCTCCATGCCTGTGAGGAAGTGGAGAGTCCTCAAGTTCGGTATCTGGTAGTGTACTAAGCGTGTCTGTTCGTCGTCGCTGAGGAGTAATGGCTTCCTGATGTTGCTGGAAGGGTGGTGCCAATGTTGGACCGGTGGAGGAGCCACCGGGATATAGAGATGGGAATTGCAGATTCACCTTTGGAGTTGGCGGTATCACACGCCCTTGCCCGTCCCTGGCTGAGAATGAACTGACCATGGACGTGTCGTAGCCTAGATTCTGTCCATTTGGCCCACGAAAATTCGGATTGACGTCTTTGGAAGAAGCTGGTGATGAGGGAGCAGAACCACCACCACGTCGTGCTTGTTTCTTCCAATACTCTTGTCGAAATTCCGGCGCGATTTGCCATTTCATTCCCTTGCCAGGCTCATCAGTCCGTCGGGGAACCTTTTGGAAAGCTTTGTTGAGTGACAAGTTGTGTCGAATCGAGTTCTGCATAAATGTTAGACCTAGGGTCACTTGTGAATATTTCAGAGGGAAACCAACCTGCCAGCCGCTGTTGGAATGCCGATAGAAGGCATACTTGTCGGCAATGTAGGAATATATATTACTCAGGGTCAACTTCTCCTCGTCGCTGGAGAAAATGGCTTGTGCAATCATGGTGGCATAACTGAAGGGTGGTTTGAGGTCCTTGGCGGAGTCGCGACTGTAATCGATTTCTTGGGTGCTTTCCATCATCATTCCTCGTCCGTACATGGGCGACATGGGCATCTTGCTGTCAAAAACTCCTCGTTGAGTTTTGCCTCCGTCCAGCTGATTGGGAGGGGTTGCTTCACGCTTCATATGTGGTGGAGCTGGTGCCAGAGACGGAAATCCGGTGTTTGTCGCGTAGGAGGCGCCATCATATTTGGTAGGCTCGGGATGCGAGTGGGCAGGTGCGAGATCTTCGCCAGCGGCCAATGCTTTGGCACGATCAATAAAAGACTGATCTATTTGGACCTTGTCACCGGGTGTGACAAACATCATCTGAGTGCCGGCGATTTCTAGAATGTCGCCTGATTTGATCTGTCTCCTCAGTCCCTTCTTGATCAAGATATTGTTGACTCGGACACCGTTTCTGCCATTAACTCGAACGTGCCAGCCACCCTCGTCCTCGGGATAATCCGCATCGTAATAAATGGAGGCATGATGACGAGATACTATCTTGCTCGGGCCCAGATCGATATGGACAGGGAACGCATCTTTGAGATCTGCGATCGGGCTGGAGGCACCATTGATGACTGGGCGATCATCGGGAGGTCTACCGAAATTGACGGATTGTTCGCGCACGAAATAGGTCCAGTCGCGACCGGCAATCTTTGCATAGGCCGAGACCTTTTGCGGACTGTTGTTCTGTTCTTTATCGTTGGAATGCTCTACACTGGCGACGATAGGGTCTTTGGAGGTTTGGAGATAGGAGACAACGGAATCAATGAGGTCTATCTGGGAGACTTCTTCTGTTTCATCGCCGGAATCATGGACCATGGGTTGATCATCGTCGAGATCGGGGGTAGCCGACTGTCTTTTTGGGGCTGGACGTGGGTTGTTGACCTAGAACGGAGATAAGTGTTAGCTGCGATCGGCAGATTTGTAAAGGTAGAAGGTGGTGGTTTAGTGCATACCTTGCGCTTCTTTGCGGAGAAACGTGTGGGTGATGAATCTGGAAGATCAAGCTCAGAAGAGGCGAGGATATCCTGAGGTTTGCGACGGGCTTTACGCTTGGAAGGCGGCATCGTGTGTATGAAGTGGGAGGAAGCGATGGGTGCCGAATGGTGTTATCGTAGAAGGGTCAACGAGGGCGGAAGAAGGAAGACGGCGAGTACAGAGTAATGGACTACTCGGAGGGCTGGAACGACAGTTGGTGGTCGGGTACGGAGGAGACGGTACGTCGTACGTTAGGTAGGTGTTAAGTGCAGTGGTGATGGCAGTGATGGATCTGGAGGTGGTGGGAGCGCAGGCTAGAGGGCGCTAGTTGGGATATTTGCGACGTCAATGTTTTGGTTTAGACGCAGGGATTTTCGCGGGTGGGCATTTCCAAGGAGTAAGGGGAGCGAAAGTGAGAGGCATGGAATGGATATGGAGATGGGATGTAATGTTTGACGGGTAGGTTGGAATTGATGGAAGAGTTGTCGAGATTAGAGTCTGATTGTGTGACAAATGTGGTTGTTGACTGTGTAGTGGTGGATGGCGCACTGCCAGTGGCAGGTGAATAAGATGCCAGATCCAAGGGCGGACCGGAGAATTTGTGTGGTGGTGACTCGGAAGGAACAGTGGGAGGAGAGAACGCGTAGTTAATTACCACTGCGAGTCGTGACTTCTTTCCTCGAGTGAATAATGCGGATATCTGGCAGTCACTACGCAATATGAAAGCTCTTCGGTCGTTCCTTCCTCACTCTAGCGGATTGCCTCAAGTTCGCGTAATCTGGGTGCAGGTTCAAGTTCGGTGGGATCCTGGAACGCGTCTTATTATTATTACCAAAGCGTGCCGACACAAACTCTCAAGGCTACCAAAATCAACTAGACTCGACTGCCTACATATCCTGGTCTTTTTTTTGCCTCTAAATAAATGCCTGGCTGGGCCACGACTAAGCAGTTCTTGCCACATCTTACTATGTATCCTTCCTTGTTTGATCTCAGCTAACTTGTGCTCAAACGGACGGCCTTGTGGTTCCATTGGAATATACAACACATGGTCACTATGTAAACAAGTTGAAATCAGCGCTCATGGCTTTTGAATAACTGGCAGCTCGATCAAATTGGCGAGACGGATGCACGGATCCATCATCATGTCGATTTCTGTCTCCATCCACCTATCCCAGCCACATCTCACGCCAACTTGATCCCGACAAAAAAAGAGAGAATCCATGGTGGTGGTTTTTTTCGCCTAATCCTCCTGTGCCGATTGGTCATGGTGCTGCAAATTTGCCTCTTTTTCTGCTCCGAGTTGTGCCAAAGTAAACAAAGCAGTCATGACGTAGTAGCTTCCAAGGTTCCCACGCGAGTCACGAGTCACGCTTAAGCAATCACGCGATTTGCCATGCAGTGCGGCTCGAAGAACTCACCAGTGCAGGTGGTTACGAGTACGAGCTTCAAATTTGGGTATTGTGTACAAAATACCCAACTGGTGCAATTGCCACCACTGTGTCCCTAATATCGACAATTATAGTACTATAAACCCGGTTTAGAGTCAGAGTAGGAGTAAGCGCGCACTCACCAGCAATCATACTCCTTTTCTTCATCATGTCGCGCTCTGAAACTCCTTCGCCCTGCATTAGCCCAATTCCACCTCCAGCCTCTGACACCTCCCGACCGCTTCCAAGATACGAGGTACCTGGGTACCTAGGTACTTTCCCCATCACCCCTTTTGTATCATTCCAAACACATCACTCGACACAGTAATAATATTTATTCAGTAATGTCTGCATAAGTGGTTGATCGAACCACGTGTGTCTACCCAAGTACTCCAGTGAAGAGGTATACAACACCTTGCCACCAACACCTTGCATCAAGTTCAAAGACACAAAGAAGCCCCTGAAGAATTCCCTCCCTCCGTGCTTTTGGGGTAACAACTGGCAATCGCACATATCTATACCAACCCGTGCCTGGATAGGCACCTGTATCTCGTCAATATCGTATGGCCAGGAAAGGTGACGTGCAAATTGACTTGCACGATTTGAGTCGTGTCAAAATCCATGTGGCGTCGGCTCATCCTCTCCCTCCCTCCTCTCTCTCAAGCCTCGACCAACTCCACCCCATCAATGCCGTACCCAAAGTCAATAATCACCACTCGCCCATCCTGACTGGTGCACACAATCTTGCGATAATTGCTTTTCGCTGCCAGAATCCAGCTCGAGGTCCATCCTTCAAAGTTGATTTGCAAGCCACCGTCATCCGCCGACTCTCCTTTGACCGCGTTCCAGACCTTTATGGAATGATCATAACTTCCACTGATGATCCGAGAGTTCGCAGAGTCCAGGTGGAGAGATCGCACCAGATCGGTATGTCCTTTGAGCTCTCGAATTCGACCACCGGTCACTGTATCGTACTCGTAGATGACTTGATCATTGCCTCCAGCAAAGATGGTGCGGCCGTTCTCGGAAAATTCAACACATGCAAGGCCTCGATCCTTGGACTGGAATTCCTTGATACAAACCCCGTCTTCCAACCGCCATAGCTTGGACATTCCATCACCACTCGCACTGGCCAGGAGATTTCCACGAACCTGAACCGCGTTGACTGGTCCACGGTGTCCAACCAATGTCCGGATCAGTCGTCCCGTCGCTCGATCCCATACCTTGATTGTCGTATCCTTGGAGCACGTCACAATTCGATGCTTATCAATACACACATCCAACACACCTGCGTGGTGCCCGATTAATCGGAAAAGGGGTTTGTAGTCATCCTTGATCGACCAAACTAAACACGAAAAGTCCGATGACCCCGTCACCAGCGTCTGGTCGTCATATTGTAGACATAAGACTGAAGCTTGATGCCACAGTCCTGTCTCTAGAGTGACTGGGTCGGGTGATGTAATGTCTGCTTTGAAGAACGGAAGCACCCCTTTAGGTTCGACCGCCGGAGACGCAAACGGCTGTCTTTCACGAGGATTGTTGGGCGGTCCCAATTTGCGAATACACTGGTATGTGTGGGCATCCCACACCCGAATCGTGTTGTCTCGAGAACCCGTAATGATCTTGTGCTCATCGAATTGTGCGCAATAAACACTGTCTTTGTGCCCATTTAGGTAGATTGCAGCAGCCTCCCCATTCCTCCATCGCTTGTCAATCAAGGTTCGTACCTGAAAAAGCTTTCGAAAGTCCTGGCCTGGTATGTTCTTACCGAGACCTGCAGCCGAAGGGTAGTCTGGAGGTGGGTGGGCCATTTTGGACCCGTACTCTCGATGGAAGATGCCTTTCCACACCGCCTGTGATTGACACAGATCGTGCCACTTTTGTGACACCAGCGCAACCTGAGTCAGCGATTCCACATCGAGGAACGACAATATGGTCTCCATCAATTCGGTCGCGAGGACGGATGTAGGATCTTGATAGAGAACATGAGCATTAACGGGTGAAGATCCTCGTCTGGCGCGACCATCAAGAACAATTCCAATTCCACTTTCGGCATCTTGTTCAGCTTTGTTCTCAGCACCCTGTCGTGGTTCGTACGGAGGCAACGGAGGAGTTCTTGACGCATGGAAAAGCTCATTCTGAGCGGCTGCAGATGCTCTGGCTCCAGCCCCACCGAACACAAGATCGGACAAAACGGGTTGGCCTCTGCCACGCGCAGTCATGGGTATAGAATCCGTAACATCTCTTGGCGGATCAAGCATGCCATGCGTGTTGAGAAGTGGCAGAGACGGCCTTCTTCTAGTGCTCAGACTTCGCAGTAGTCGGCCACGGGATTTGGGTCGAGTAGAAATGGCCTCGCTGAAGTCCATCATATCGTCCATGTCGTTGCCAGACCTCAGAGGCATCAGAGCCAGCGGTCGCTTCTCTGTCATATCTTCTTTGTGTCTAGAACCCTTGCTCTTGACTGTGAGTGACATCCGGCGGGTCAGAGATCGAAGCTCCGACATGCCATGCTTCCAGGACTGGGTAAAATGCGAGTATCGCCGTTGCTGAAGAGGGCCTTGTGCGTTGGGCTCTATTGGGAAATGGGCAAAGGGGTCAGAAAACTCGGTGAGCGCATTCTCTCCACCCGCCTCTTCCTGGTTATGACTGAAAGTCTCCCAATCCAACACATCATGGTTGCGTTTCATGGGCATCATAGACATTCGGGTGGCTGGCCGTGATGAGACGTGGTAGTTTTCTGAGAAATCGTCGTAGGCAGTCTTAGGTCTGGGTTGTGCCATGAGAGAAGTTCTGCGTCGAGGTGCAATGCTCGACATTTCTGGTGAAGACATGATGGTAATCGTTGTATCTTGATAAAGAAAGACTGGATCAGATATGCTAGCGATCGACTGCGATCAAGGTCATGAATGGCAGCTGTGTGGGATCTGCGGTCAAATTGTTCAGCCGAGGCGGAGGGATGGGAACCAGGAGTAAGCTGTTAAAGAGAAACGCCAGTAGCACCGAAGGAGAACCAAAAACCAAAAGCAAACAGAGAGCGTCGAGCTGGCTGTTGACCAGTATCTGTATCAAGGTTTGGACATGGGAAGAACAGAATTTTGATTTTGTTGATGGGATGATGGAGAAGTGGAAAAAAGGCCCAGGAAACAAAGTTGAAGCCAAACAAAGTTCGCCTTCAGTTTGTTGGTTGTTTTGACCAGGTGCAGTGGGCCAGGCCCATGAGAATGGAGTTGAGATCGAAAACATACCAATAATAATGGTTCATACCAGGTGGCACCCCTGTTGTTCTCCCCCAAGAACCCTGCCTATCACCCTCATTAGCCTATGCCTAAACCGTCCAGAGATGTCCTAAATGCCGCCGCCGCTGCCCGGATCGTGACCAACAATGCCCGAGGCGTTGCCCCGACGAAACAGCCGGAAACCTCTCCTCCTTTGGCATGAACTCGACCCAGAGGATTGGCGATGCCCCTTGCCCCCCCGGAATACCCATTCCTTCCTGGCTGGACGCCCGCTGGACGCCCCCATTCGACTCGGTGTTTCACCCATCCATGACGTTCACGAACAGCTCAATTTCATTGTTACTCCAGGGTCAGCCATCAAATTCCCACCCTTGCTCTGGGTCCATCGTTCATCAATGTCGACAGGGCCCGTAACAACCACTCGTAACTACAACCACAACAAGGCGAGATACTTCAAACCATATGTGTTTTGATCTTCATTTGGTCCTCTTAATTCTGCTGTCAAACGTATCTGAACCGCCCTAAGCACAGACTGAGCTCTGGAAGGACCAGCTATTACTACACGATATTTCCATCTGGGAGTTCTCCTCGATCTTTGCAATAGCATCAGTATGGCACGCATTCCTTTCCCTTACATTGCCTTCTTCCTCTGGATTGAACCAGTGGCAACCCTCGTGGGAGCTTACTTTGCATGGTTCCAATCGGATACCTACTTGCAATTACAACATGCTGCTTCGAGCCCTAGCCCGTTGGCTTTACCAACAGGAACAGCTGTTGTCCTCAGACAACTCGGCAACATGTATTTTGTCTTCGCCTTCAATGAAGCATTTGTCCTGCGAGCCACCAATGACTTGAAAGTCTGGCGAGCCTTTCTTCTTGGTCTGCTCATTGCGGATTTTGGTCATCTCTACAGCTGCTATCCTCTTGGCTTACAATCATACTACGATTTTGCTAACTGGAATGCCATCGACTATGGGAATTATCCTTTTGTCGTCATCGGAGCCTCAACCAGAATCTTGTTCCTCTCTGGCTTCGGCCTTGGCGGCAAGAAACGAAAGTCACCAAAGGCCAAAACTCCCATCAAGAGCTCCAAGCCAGTCACAAGGAGAAGCCACGTGGAGTGATTTCATGATCAGTATAATCTATCTTCAACAAAATTGTCGAGTTGAAGCAGCAGGCAATGCGCCTCTCTCAAGCAATTGATGTTCTAGCTACCATTGAAGTTCTTTGCCAGGTTTGTTTCCATCGACGGTCTTCAGGACCTCTGATATAGTGGTATTTGATTTCTCTCTGGTGAATGTTTCCCATATACCCTTGCCGAACCTTTTATACGACGCCGCTATACCGTTGTTTACCGTCAAATTGTATTCCATGTCGGACAACTGGAAGGCAAAATCCCGGTCCCCAACCCGTACAGTCCGATTTGGGATATCAATGGTTATATCTTCCCCTTCTGCCGCCGCTTGATGAAATTCGTCATCGTCAATTGCAACTCCGAGAAGACCGAGACTGGGTTGATTTCTTCCATATATGAAGGCAAAGGAGCGAGCAATCACAGCTTTTACACCGGCACCTATATCAAAAGACTGGTTAGCGACGAACGACTGTCAAATGGGAGAATGAGATACCTTTCAATGCCGATACTGCCACTTCTCGGCTCGAGCCTACACCAAACGCGTGACCTGCAACTACTATTTGCTGTCCATTCCGAACCCTTTCTCGAAAATCCGGATGGGTGTATTCGAGTACATGTTGTCCAAATTCTTCGTCTGTTGTACAAGTCGTGAGTGTTGGACCTGGTGCCAACTAGCAACGATTAGCACAAATACTCTCGAAAGCGACTTATTCTTACAGCATCAGTATCCACGAAATCTGGCAGAACTACCACCTTGCTGATGATCTTTTCAAGCTGCTTTGGGGGCTTTGTATTGCCGTTTCCCGTTATGCTGTCTTGTTGTGGAATCTGAATTGTCAGACTGGACAGTAAATCAGGCTCAGAATACTCGATCGGCGCGAGATCAAAATCGGGAAGCTGGCGATACTGCTGGAAGAAAACGGTATCGAGCTCCTTGAGAAATTCTGCCGGACTGGTGATTGACATGCTAAAGCTGGATGCTGCACACACGATCGCGGACGTTACATGTCCAAAAGCACCTGCATCAATCATTAGCAAATGATCTTGTTCCCAGCCTCGTTGTCGATAAGCCTACCTTTGCCCATCCTGTTCTCGAAATTGCGATTCTGCGAACTGAGCCACGTCTCACCCTCTGAAGCCTTCTCAGCAGAAAGGCCAACACAATACGAGCAACCTGGTGGTCCACGAGTAAAGCCTGCCGCTTCATAAACCTCAAGCAATTTCAACTCTCTCAACTTTTCCACTATCGGCAGAGATCCGGGGACATAATGCCTTTTCCCTTTTGCCAGAGGGAGTTTCCGTTCCAACCCCACTTTCAGCACCAGGGCACCTAGTACAAGCTCTTCTTCCGTTGTGGTGCAAGCCCCAATAAAAACTCCATCGAGCTTTGTCCCAGCTTTTTCTGATACTGGTACCACATCATCGGGTTTTGGATAGACAGCTATTGATGCCTCGACGTCAGACAAATTAATGGTGTACCGGCCAGCATAGTGGGCATCAGGGTCTGGTCTGAAATATAGCGAGCTCGTCTTGTTCGCCTTTCGCCGCCGTCTAGAGACATAGTCACTGGTGATACGGTCTGGCACAAACATCCCTGTGATCGCTCCAAACTCGGTACACATGTTGGCGATGGCGAATCTTGCATCACAGGACAGATATTTCAGGCCTTCCCCAGAGAATTCGACGATGCGTTCAGCTGCCACTGTATTCCTCTTCAACTCTTTCAGGATGTGGAGGATGACATCTTTCCCTGACATCCCGAAAGCCGGCTTACCAACAAATTCGATTAAGATTGACTCTGGTATTTTGAACCACGTCTCTCCAAGCGCTAGTGTCATCATAACATCGGCGGTTCCCAGTCCAATTGAGAGACAGCCAACTGCACCACCTGAGCACGTATGAGAATCTGCTCCGATTGCCAACATTCCCGGCTCTACTCGTTCACGCACAAATTCGGTGTGCATGATGGTATAGTTCATGCCTTGGTATTCGGTCATCTTGAAGTCCCTTTTTGCGCGCTCCGATGCCTCAACCATGGCCTTGATTTTGGGATGTGACGCTACATCTGGGTGGACGACGTGGTCTCCAGCAAGCCAGAATCTGTCATTGCGCCATATTCCCGGAGATCCGAAGTCTTTGTGTATCCTATTCATTGACTGCTCGAGATTAGCCTCCTGTCACACGCCCCAAGTTTCTTTACACATACTCCCCAAGAGAGCTCTGAAGACAATATCCAGTCTACACCCACTCTCACGACATCACCTGCAGCTAGACCACTCTTAGGCTTTTCCCCTATAACGTGTTGAGCGAATATTTTCTGTGCTGCAGTCATTGGGCGAACCCCTGGTACTGAGGATGTCCGACAAGACAAATAATTCAACGACTTCTCACGAGAAGTGATGGTTTCGAGCCATGATTCAACCAAGAAGAGTGCTTCGCTTTGCTGCTCAGCAGATGGTTTCGTCACTCCTCGCAAATCAAGTCCACCAAAATTCTTGCTGTCAATGATTTTTCCTCGTGCATCATCGAGTGCATCGGCTTCTGTAGTCTTTGAGATTTTGCGTAGTGCTTCTGAATATCGTAATACTACCACGTCAATTGATGACTCTGACTGGGCACTTTCGATCTTAAGCGCATCGAGATCGAGCTTCCTTGCCCGGGATATTAGACTTCTCAACTGGGTGCCAAATGTATGGTCAACAACGGTCAGCGCTGCCAGTGGAGCTTCCGTTTGTGTCGCCATACTGAGCATGCCTTGTTAGCTATGGAGAAACTGGGCGAAGTGAGGAATATTTGATATTTCTTTTACAGCCAACATCATCAGCTGCATTTTCTCACAAGGACATGATGATCTATATCTGTCTACTTCAAAAAACATATGACTGTGCTCACAACCAATAGGGCCTGGGACGATTCCAATATCAGGCCGTAGTACGGCAGCAGTTGTTCTCTGAATGCTGTACTCCGCAACTCCGCAACTCGGGTTTGCCCTGCGAACATCGGGCCGTTCTTATCGATGTCGGCGCCCACGCCACTTCAGTGCGGAGTCAATGATGTCAACCTTGCCGCACATCAGCCTCGGTCTAACACGCGCAAACGCTTTTCTCGACTTCAATATAATAAAACTCTGGCGCGCTACCATTGAAGTATTGAGATCAGACAGCAACCACCAATCGCAACTGAAACTATGGGCTCTATCGATACAAGTCGTGGCGATGCCACAATTTTCAAGTCTAGTGCACCTCTCACAGGAGGAAAGCGACTAAGGGAATTATTGAAAGACCCGTCGAAGGTTGTGGTTTGCCCTGGGGTTTTTGAAGGGTTGACAGCTCGCTTGGCCATCGCCGCCGGATTCGACGCTATGTACATGGTGAGCAACACGCTGGTCAACGTTGTGGACATCTTGCTGATCAAACTCCAAGACTGGTGCCGGTACATCGATGTCTCGTTTAGGCTGGGCAGATTTAGGCATGGCAACATTAAATGACATGCGGAGTAACGCCGAGATGATTGCATCGCTTGATCCCTCCGTTCCATTGATTGCGGATGCGGACACCGGCTACGGCGGACCGATCATGGTCACCCGGACGGTTACTCAATACGCTCGCTCAGGCGTTGCCGCTTTGCATATTGAAGACCAGGCATGTCGCCAGGACAGTAATGTCGACCACACTAACAATAGCACAGGTACAAGAGAAACGATGTGGCCATCTCATGGGAAAGCAGATTGTGGACCGTGATGTCTACTACAGCCGATTACGAGCAGCAGTCGCCACCCGAGACTCATTACAGTCAGACATGCTCATCATCGCCCGAACAGATGCGAATCAGACTTATGGATTTGACGAAGCAATTGAGCGCCTCCAAGAAGCTGTCCGCATAGGGGTTGACATCGTTTTCTTCGAGGCAATCAAGACCAAAGAAGAAGCAGTGAAGATTTGCAAGATCTTCGAGGGCACGCCTTGCCTTCTGAACGTTGTCCCCGGTGGCGTCACGCCTTTGTCAACGGTCGACGAAGCTCGGGAATGTGGGTTCCGGATTGTCATCTACCCGGGTCTCTGTATGGAGCCGATGATTTCGTCGGTGAGGAAAGAATTGCAGGTTCTGAAGAAGACGGGCCAGCCTTCTCCCTCTGATCCGGAAAGTGGGGTCAGAGCAGCTTTTGTCCTCGCTGGTCTTGAAGAATGTATGGCGATCGATAAGTTGGCGGGCGGGAAGGCATATACTGGAGTCTGAAATTGAGAACTCTCGTCTGCTCTGCGACTGAGGAGGACGACCAAGTCCTCATGACCACCAAGGGCCGGTTATGGCTCATGATTCCGACGTGTATAGAAAACACTCGCCTGTTTCAGCCTTCAACTTTTAAGACCTGTCTCTACGAATGGGCACTGTTCAAATGTACTGATGATGGGAATATAACAACGGTACCGAAAAGGTTACTTCATCCCGATATTGCTGGCCGTGATGGGCTTGGCTCGAGAATGATGGAATCCAACGTTCTGTAAATTAAGACAACCGAGCGTTGTGTTTACCACTGACCAAAATTCAATAGAACTATGTTCTGCTTAATTATCTTTCGTAAGACATGCTGGTGCTACGTACTACATCAGATAAAAGAAATCGGATCTACAACTGTTAGTGTCGAGGCGAATGCCTTCTTTTCTTCATCCCTCTGTAGATTTGTTCTATCTGCCCCTCCTCAGTAGACTTCGGGCCCTGCTACGATCACGAACATCTGCATAGCAGCCCAAATAGATGGCATGGGACTGAGCATAAGGGATCCTGTCCCGTACATCGGAGGAGCAGCAAGATTGCCCTACTTTTACACCACAGCAGAAAAACTTCCGGTCCTCGCAACCCCGAAAGACTCGAGGCCGGTCCGGAAGGTGTGGAAAACAAATACAGGCCGCCGGTCAAGCTTTCTTACCATGAAGAGACGTTTGGAGCAGCCTTCAGTGTTGACTCCGATCCCCTTGTCGTTCTATGGCATTGCGCGGCTTGCGTGGTGCTGCGTCCTCTATGCGCACCGAACATCGGACTTGTGTGTCGAGATCGGCTTTTTCGGCTGACCAACCAGCTTTGGGGGGATATTGCTATGCCGTTACGGTCCGATCTTCGTTCTTTATGCTCTGAGAAACTTGTCCCATGGTTTGTGGGAGTATTTCGACTTTTCTCTAAGCCTGGGGCGACTCAAATGCGAGGTACCTCAGTCTGGCTGAGCTGGCGCTATCGATGCGGTGACAGTGATCCAAGGTCTCGTAAACATGCTACCTCTTGATTGCCACTGGGGACACGACTTTGAGATCCTGTGTACCTGGTCTGAGACCATTCTTCTTGGAGTATATTGCTGATTATCTGCCTCGACATAGAGAAATCTCTACATTCAATTCTAAACCGATACCCAAATTCTAGAAATAGCACTCCCCTACCATGCTTTTGAAACCCTAGCGTATATTAGCACTCATTTGGGTTGTGCTCACTGGAGTGCATGTCTCCTCACAAGATCGACAGCATTATGGCTCTTGATCCAGGTCATCTTCAGATCTCCCGAGGAGATCACAGTTTGGCCTTCACGGAGCCGGTTTGCGGAGGATTCACGGCCTCCCAGACATGTTGCGCTTCCTCCCAGCGCGTGTCTTCCCAGAAGTCCATGGTGCCCTGAGTGGTCAGTCTTCGAGCATATCTAGGGCCCGTCTTGGCCCACTCCATGGTCTCCCCGGCTACAAACTGAGCAAATGCATCGTACAGAGGCTTGATCGCACGCTTCTCGTCCGGAGTGAGCCCATCAGCCCACCCGTTTCCCCACCACCAGATCCCGTCATCGGTGGCATGCGTAACGCCCCATTCTACAGGCCACATGGAATCCGCGCACTTGACTCTCAGCTCAATCCGGTACCGGAGGATGTCTCTCCCGACGACAATTCCTGCGTCCGATAGGTTCTTTATGAAACCTCGTTCCAGGCAATGGACTTGTAGATCAGCATAGATCTTACCAAAGAGTACGGTCCAATCGGTACAGTCATTGGGTAAGTTCTTGTTCGGAGCATAAAGTTTCATAGTTCGATCGACGGTTGGTGCGGGATAGTCCTCGAGGAGTCGTTCATAGACTGCTTTCCATGAGTTCTTTGGTGTTTTCCAGGCTCGGTAGAGGTTGTGCTCGTCTTGACATTCCCCAATCAGTAGTTTTATCTCTCGTTCCTTCATACGCCTGCCATAGTCTCCAGTGTTGATACTGGCTATCAGGTCTTGAATCACGAAGTCGTTGTCCGAGAATCCTCTGAATTGGGAGTTACTCATTTGTTCGAGAGCATCTATCAGGTCAGTGGCTGGTGTCTGGCGTAGGATCTTCAGTTTTTCAGAGCTTGAAGTCGATTTCGAGATCTGAAGCTTCGACAAAAGCTCGTCGAACGCGATTTGGTGTTCGTGAATATTCTTCGGTTGGATTCCAGTACCGTTCGACCACATGACTGCGCGTTTGATGAGCGACCGAGATCTTGGTAAGTACAGATCATGTGAAAGTTGATGGAACACAGAGTGAGCTCCTGGGCTCATGGTCAGCTAACCCAATGAATGGTTAGTCCAGACGATGCAAACATACCTGCAGAGTAGCCGCCCACAGTAATGTTGTCAGGATTTCCACCGAGGAAGGGGACGATGCTTGCAGTCCATTCGAGTGCTGTCCTCTGGTCCCAGAAACCCATATTCCCAGCACTCTCACTGTCCACCTGTGCCTCAGCATGAAGTTCATGGCTTGTGAGAAATCCTAGCAGGTTTAGGCGATATCCCGGCATGACAACAATAGCTTTCAGCGATGTCTCTTCGAACATTTGCGCAACGATGCCCGCAGCTTTATTAGGATTTCCAAATTGCAGAAACCCGCCGTGAATGAAAAAGAAGACAGGCCATCCTCCTGACGGTGGTGTACCTGATGGCACCCAGATATTGGCCCTCAAGCAATCTTCGCTCCACCGTGTCTTGTCCGCTGGGGCCAGAACACCAGGCCAGTCGGGGTGCGGACACACATGGCAGTCTGATCTGTATGCGTAGGGTGTTTGCTCACTCCCGTAGCTGAAGTCGGGTGGTAAAGCTCTTGTCCTACGAAACCGAAGATCCCCAGTCGGAGCTTGTGCATATTGCACGCCACCAAAATGCCGAGCGAGAGGTCTGCCTGTTGTTTCGGAGATTAGATCGACACCTTGGAGCCAACCTCGACCTCCGACACTCTGAAGGCATGATTTCTGTCTGTATATGTTGGTCATGGCAGCTGGTCGAGATATGAGAGGCTCAAAACTTCAAGATTGGTCACGGATAGCGGTCGTCGAGTGCTTCAAATATAGATGGGAGTTGTTGGATCGTCGGCGAAAATTGTGTCGCCGATCCAGACCGAGTATCGATATTCCCCGCACGTAAAAGAGCTTCCCCGCATGAGTTGACTAATCATAGTACTAGCCTTAATAGGACAGTCATGCCCTGGCCTGAACTAGCGCCATACCATACTGATAAGGCTCTTATCGCTTCACGCCATCCAAACTCTTGTGTGTCGCCTTTATCACTCCTGACATTACCTTGGTCAGTCGATTAACCCTTACTTCATCTACATCTCGCCATACGATGCTTCTTGAGTTGCTCCTCGTGGAGTACTGGCCAGTAGAGATGATGATAAGTCTCTTACTCGGGGAAGGGCAGCACTCGCTTATCGTTGCCACTTTAAGTGAATTTCCTGCCGACTTTGGCAATTGCCGCCGCTTTTGAAGACATTTTCCCGTGCACCGTTTTCCCATCCACAACGTAACAACTCTCCAGATCCGTTCAGCTCTTCGACCGCAATACCCTGATCACGATGCCTCAAGGGCCCTGAGAGCTGGTCCTTCTGGATTTACTCACTACTACAGCGTCCTTAAATCTTCGTAAAATGAATAACGCTGTCCCATTCCTCATTTTCTCCCTTACACTCCACCGACTCTACTCCCTTCGATGTCCACACTAGACGCCAGAACCCTTCGAACGTCACCAAGGTCTTTCTGTGCAGTATTGTAGCCACGTGAGTAGGCTAACACACAGCAGCTTCTGCCTGGGATGCCTTGCACAGCCGCCGGGTCGCGTTTGGCTACTACGTTGTGCCAAGCACTTTCCATGTGCGGCAACTTAGGTATTAGCCAGTGCCAACCAATCCAAGGATTCCCCATTTTGGCGCCCATTCGTCTGCACGGACCAGGTCATGCGGCTCTTTCCAACAGGTGAAGCGAGAGTTTGAACCCGATACCCCTCAAGGGAGGGCGTGGTGCGAGCCTAGCTGAAAGCTTGACAATCGTAAAGACACTGGGGTTGTGATAAAGTCAGCCTAGTGGGCTTGCTCCTCCCTGCCTGAAGATCATACTTCTAGAGAATAGTATCCACGCTTTTAGGCAACGTCCCAATTCACCCGCAAGACCCGAGAGCTTTCCCCAGGCGGCTAAGAGGCATTCCAACGGCGCGAATCAAACACTTGGCATGAGTAGGGCAAGGCCGGAAAGTGGCGATCCTCGACTGCCGCGGAGCAGAAGAACCGACTCTTTCGCCTTGCAAAACGAGCAAAAAAGTCAACCGCCCAAGCTTCACAAGGGCAAATACAATGTCTACAATGGGATGACATGGGAGAAGCTGAAGGGATTCTTGCGAGGCAAATTCCCGGCTTCGAAGTATCCTGGCTTACAGTTCAAAGAGGAGCGGGTGAGGAAACAATGATCCCACTGCAGGAGACATATCTGGCTGACATCCTGTTGCACAGGTCGGTGACCATTGGGTTTTCGAGATCCCCAAGCCCTTGACGAAGGTGAGATTGTCCAGCACATCGTAGGACACGTGGTGGTCAGTGTGTCTTTTGCTGAGCGGATACAGGAAGACATGAACCAACTGTTACAACTGAGAGACCCTAAATTGGCACGCCATCGCTCCGAAACCCCAGAATAGAGAGGCCATGTAGCTCGAATTGTTTCTTATTAATGTGTGGCCCCTGTATATTGGCCGTGGAGGACGTCGCAATAAGTTATTGAACGTTACCTAAAAACCGCAGTGGTTTCAAGTGGAATTAAATTGCGAGGTGGATGCCAACGACGGAGCATGCTCCGTGGACGGCTGTGCATGATGAAATGATCACGGTTGCTGTTCGGTGAAGTTATTAAGGGGTGGGGAAGAGGGGCGTCCCGTCCCGGCCCGTAGGGGCCTCGCCCGTTTGTTTTGGCGGCGGTGCTAAGGCGTGTTCTAATCAGCCTAGGCGCACCTAAGCAATAGATTCGGCCAGTTTCACGCCACTATGGCAGTGCTGGCTGCAGCACAAGATTGAAATAAGCCAAAACCCCCTTCTCGTGTGCAGAATCTTTAAGGATGCATTTCCCATACTTATGAGTCGGTTCCCGTATAGCATATTTTGGGCCATCTTGCGTTCGGTTTTAAGGTAATCTTCACAATCATAGTCGTCGAACATGCAACCAGTGCGACTTCCTGCTCTGTTCGAGAAGTCGTGCCTAAACTCAAGATCGTATCCGGAGAGTCTTCTTCATCGGAATACAAATACATATCGGACAGCTCTCGACTTATTCAGGATCCACTTAGATTCTGCTGAATTTGGTCTTTTTGTTGGCGACGAAGACGATGTTGAGGTTCCGTTTCGCGAATTTCACGACTCTTCGCCGACAGGTATTGTGAGACCTCACCTCTGAGCTTCTCTCCGCTGATGATTGCAGGATTACAGAAGCTAAATGTTCACGACTCGGGAAAGTTAACCAACTGGCTCGGCCTGGAGTTTCAGCATGACCCCAGTGACCCCAGCCTTTCTACCGTATCTGCTACAAAGCAGGACCCAAAGAGTCGCTTCATGTAAGCCATATCCCGGTTTTTATTTTTTCCTTCTGGCGAAGTCTTCATGACTAGAGTTCTTTTGCCGACCGCAATCCCAGCTACATATATGGAGACCATTCCAGGGCGCGTCTTAGAATCACCCGCAATATGCTAGCCCAGGTCTTCACTTTTCACCAAGTCATGCCCGTCTATCTGGACTTTATCTCCGTATTCGGAGCGCAAACTGAGCCGCGCGATCGGCGTTTCAGCGGCTTTCGAGAGCAAACTACGATGGCGGATCCTCCGCGTGGGCTTGTCTTTTCTGAAATTGGTCGAAGTGGGCGACAGTACCAGATATGTTACAATTTGAAGACTGCTGCTTTGAAATCTGAGCATAAGGTGGATATGAAGCTGAGTGAGTGGTCTATCCAACCAGCTGCATTTCACCATCAGTTCGACATCGTTAATGGAAGGACTCTTTGGATTGTCACCAAAGGCAACCGGGATCTCCAGGAACGATACAAGGAGCTGACGGGCAAAGACGGAAGACTTGAGGACAAATCATTCGGGACCGTAGAGGAATGTTTTCGATCTAGTCTAGCAGCACATTTGATGTTTTGTCATTGGTCAACAGAGAACTGGAGATGGCTTATTCTCTGGCTCGAAAATGTCGTGGAAGAAGAGGTAATTTGGACTCGGTGATCTCCAAGTTTAGCGCTGAATCTCACGCTGATGCTGAATCTAGACATCTATGGCAATCCTCGGGCCCCGAGGACCAGGACACGCACATCGGCAATACACCACCCATGACCTCCAGGGCTTGCAACGACATGACGACAAGACTAATGAGGTCATCGCAGACCTCGAGGCGAATGTCGAAATTATGGCTTTACTGTGCAAATTTTATACGGGTTTGATGAGCAACAATTCCATTTCGCAAAGGTTGAAAGATGCTGTGGAACTCGACATCAATGCTTTCACTGCCCAAGTTGAGAACATGATCTCAGACTTCAAAATGCAGATCGCGCGTGCGACTTTGCTTGTCAAGATCACCAAGGATAGAAAAGAGCTGGTAAGCCCCCTCCCAGGGTCTGGAGTCTAGACACGAAAATCAACGCCCGCCTTTGTTCTAACTTTGCTGAAGGTGACCATGCATCTTCAGAGTCAAGCATCTGAAAGAATGGAGAGCCTAAATCTGAACATGGAGCAGGATGCCATCGTCATGCGAATTGTTACAATCGTGACCCTAATTTATCTACCTGCCACATTTGTCTCCGTAAGTTGCTCTCCTTATAGGAAGAACTGAGGCTGATTACACCATCCGGCAGACATTCTTCAGTACCGATGTCGTGAAATACCAGGACCAGGGGGGAGGCCCGCCGAATGATGGTGTATTTTCCAACACAGCATTGTACAGATGGCTGCAAGTCACCTTACCGCTCACTACCATAACCTTAGCGGCTGCAGTTTGGGCTCTGAAAAGGGCACAGAACCAACGATGGCAGCAGGAGTATACCAAAGAACAAAAGAAATGGCCGGTGGGAGAGGAAAAGGACACCGGAAGCATTGGTCTGCGAAGTGATACTAACTCTAACAACATCGTCTGATATTTTCCTGGGTTGAAGTACACATTTCTTCTTGTCCAGTAGCCACAGGCCGAAGTTTAGCCAGGTGAGACAAGAGGCAGTTATTGTACGAGGTACCGAACAATGGTTCTCCCTCTCGAACCACCTTCTAAACATCAGCTCATCCTGTGAAGCGACGAGCTTCTAAATCGATGCTGAAATGTGAACATTTTCCGTTCCGACCCCCAACGTCTCTATTGACTACTGGCTATGTAGCCATTTGGGCTGCGGTGCCCTTGGTAAGGTAAATTGCCGTAGCCTGGTGGCCATATTTTGCAGAATGGCGGTTGGCAGCGGGGTTACAATTGAGCCAAGCTCTGTTCCCCGATATTTCATAAGTGCAGGGAAATAGAGCACACAATCTTATTTCTTACGGATTCTGCGCTGGTCGCGAAACATGTAGATACTTCTATCTGATCAATGGTACCCGAATACTGTTCATCGCGAAATCGTTAGAGAAAAACACTGGTAACATTTTTAATTATTGTTATCCGTGCTTCTGTCCTTTCAACCCCTAAGGTTATGGCTCACATGTCAAGCACGCATGGGCCCTGGGAGTTAACCGTCTTTGACAAAGAGAAATGGAGCCACCAGGCAGAAAGGGCAGCAACTAGCAAGGATGACGCTAAAGTGCAAATGGGGCAGCGCATTAGTTAGTGGTCGAGGCGGGATCGGATCGGCTCCTGGGGATAGCACTCCACTAAAATGCTTCTCATGCTGGATGGTGGGTGGGTGGCCCATCGAGATCATGACTACATGCCTGAAATGGGCACGCACCCCTCCTTGAGGCTGAGGCTGAATAAAAGCACTCTCACATCTAGTTCCCTCGACCGTTCATCAAGCTCCTTCTGTCGCATTCACATCTTCATGTTGCCTCACCTGTTTTCTATAACTTGATGTCTTTTTGTTGTTTTGATCTCGCTATCAGGCTGATACGAGCCCATGCTATGCCCAGCTCTACCCTGCAATGTCTCCGTCAGCCTCATCACACGGCGAGTCGCTCCTTCCAGAATTTAAGAGAAAGTTGACCCACGAATGGCAACATCAGGCTGCATGCGGTCGTGTGTATGTCAATATTTTTAAGCTGCAGGCTTGGATGAGAAGCAAAGCTCATGACTCCACCTATGATAACATTACTCGACTGCTGAAGGAAGTCTGGCAGAATTGGGACGGGCATCACCCTCGCTTCCGACCCGGAGCGGAATCGATCTCGACTGGCGACCAGTGCGCAGTTCTCGTCTTCAGTATCCTTCTTGAACTTGACCATGGCCATCTCATAAAAATATTTCAGGACGAGAAGATTCTTGATAAGGATCTTGAGCGTCCTGGAGTCTACTACCACCACTATGTGGTTGAAACACTGCAAAAACATTCTATCTCAAATGCACAGCAACTAGTTGAAAGATTCGAGGAAAAGAAATGGTCATACTGTCCAGTCATCATCAAGCATCGCATGAGCAATGCATTTCGTGACGGTCACTGGGTCATCCCTTTCTGCAAGCGGGAGGAGGTAAATGAAAAGGGTGGAACCGCCCAGGTATGGCAGGTGCTTATACAGGAAGATTTTGTCTCTCGAGAGGTTCGAGATATTATCAACGGCGCAAGGATTGAAGACCCTAGCCTTGGGCCAGTGAGTGTCATCCTACCTCCGCCCCTCGAAGACTAGTCACCCACGAAAGTGACATGGCTGACTTAAGTTTAGTGCTACCAATTGGCATTGAAGACTTACCGTTCTGCGATGAGCGATATCTTCGACTGGGAAACTTTGGCTTTTAGCGGTATCCAAGATAAGGAGGGCATGGTGCAATACCTCGGGCACTACTCTTTGAACGAAGATCCCAATGAAGGCTGCTCCCCAAGCCATAATATTCTGCTTGAGTATGGTGAACATGACCTCGACGAGTTCTTCGCATCCCCGATCTCATATCCTCCGGTACGGGCACCTGAAATCATTGGCTTTTGGCGGTCGTTGTTCAAAATTGCAGAAGCTCTGAAGCGGATACACATACTGGATCATGAACAAGATGGACAAACCGATGAATTTTACGGGTATGCCCAAAACATGTTCGCAGGATGATTGGTCTTGCTAACGTTCAAAGATGGCATGCTGACGTGAAACCTGACAATATTCTCCGAGTGCATGGCGAGTTTAAACTAGCAGACTTTGGCTTTGCCAAATTCATGAAGAGGAATCAGGGGATGCCGATGTCGTATATTGAAGGTGGCACTCAAACTTTTGGTGTGACTCAAGTGCGCATGAGCAGAAATGAACCATGACTGACTTTTTGGCTTACAGGGGCACCAGAGACTGATCCTGCCAGAAGAGGTACCCGGACCCCTCATACACAAACCATCGACACCTGGTCCTTTGGCTGTGTGCTCTCAGTTGCGGCCACATGGGTTGTTCTTGGCTTCCAAGGTATGCTTCAGTACGCAGAGTTGAGAAAACAGGGCGTCAAGAGGGCCCGAGCCGGGCCCCGTCCTGGGCGAAAGCCAACAGCTGACGACGCATTCCATGATGGACGCAAGGTGTTACCTGAAGTTCGCTATTGGCACAATTACCTGAGAAGTATCATGCGTGACTCTGATACCACAACCTCACGTGTACTCCGTACTGTGGAGGAGACCATGCTTCTTGAGCATCCACAACAGCGATTGAACTCTACTGCTTTGTGCAAGGAATTGAACGATATCTTGGTACTCGCTGAATATGCTGCCAGAAAGAAGGAGATTGCTGCAATCAATGAACAGACTTCCACTCATGAAACTGTGCTCCAGGCCTTGTTGGCCGTCGAGCATAAGTCTCCAGTCAACACAGTGCAACCATCTCAGCAGGAGACAACGACATCGAATCGAGATTCAAGCTCAAAAAACGTACAGGATGGTGATCCACGGGGTTCGGGACGTAAAGGCAAGTCGGAACGGATCGAAAATATCCCTCTCGCGAAAACGGCTCATCGAGCAGAGCTCTTGCAAAAGGAGTTGAACAAGATCCAGAGCAGTCCTTTTCAGGTTGCTCATGACCAACGAACATCCAATTTTTCAGGACATCAAGGCGCATTTGAAGCATTGAATATCTATGAAAGTCCTGAGCCAACCCCGAATCTGCAGGACAGCCCTGAAATTCATCCTCACAACACAGAGTTTGACCTCGGTCTACCTAAAGAAACAGCGCCCTTCTCACCACGTTATATCCAGGATCCTCGTACGCCACCACCTCATCATTCCACAATCGTTCTCGACTATAATGCTAATCGCCCAAACCTTCATATGTACAACTGGGATCTTCCGAGTGTTGGGTCCCCCAACTGGGATCTTCCGAGTCTTGGGTCCCCTTCTGCGCAGCCCGGTAAACCTGGTGGCTTAGAAGGGAAGCAGCCAGAGTGGCCAGTGTCCCCGCCCCTGTCTGACCCAGTGAGGCCAGTTGAGGGAAAGAATTTGTCACAGATATCTCCGGTTGTTCGACGGCCACCTGATGAAGTTGAAAACTTCGGACCTCCCCAGAGAGAGTCTTCTGTAGTCTTGCGTCCGCACTACAAAGCTCCTTCTTACACTGCGCCGGAGGCTAGTCTCCAAGTTTATTACGATGTCTGCAAGGTGAGAAAAAAGCTTGAAAGCGAGCCTGAGCGCAGCGGTTTTGCAAAGATCTTCAGGAGTCCAAAAGCGGACCGGGACTTGCAGAAATTCATCGTGAATCGCGATATGGTTTGTTTATTTCCACACTTAATCAATTCCTGCGTGATTGACTGTGTTACAGATCTTTATTGTTGATAACGGAGATACTATGGGACCGTTCTGGAAAGTCGTAACCTATGTTCTGGAGACCTTGACCATGAAGTTAGCTCCTCTTGACGAGGATGGCCTTGACTTAGTCTTCACCATTGGCCACGAAGAACCATTCAATGCAAAAGGAAAAAACGCTTTCAAAGAATTCAGGAAACAGATGGAGAGAGCTGCTCCGTCGCTAGCGAGAGATTCTCACGGAGAGAATAGGACAAATATGGCCGAAACGCTGGGGAGAGTGTTCACCAATTACACCAACCAAAAGAAATCGAAACGGATGACCCTGCTCGTGTTAACTGATGGGCGATGGCGAGATACGGCGAGGGAGAACAAGGTGGGGGATAAGATTGCCACCTTCGTTAAAGACCCATCTGTTCAAAAATATATAATGGAAGATCGTCGGTTTAGCATCTCTTTCATTCAATTTGGAGAAGACCCAGATGCATCTGAGAGGCTCAAATGGCTTGATGATAAATGGGCGGGGGCACATAAGCTTGCGTGAGTGTCTTGAGCCCAACGTTGATGATCGTTACTAACATCGAGAAAGGGACATGATTGATCACGTTTCCTGGACTGGGTCTGTCAGGAAGATGATTCTGGGAAGTATTCAGGAAGATATGGATGAAGAAGATGACGAGATCGCGGTTGCGACCGAATCAACAATACAGAGCAGAGTTTCGGGGTTTGGGCGATATGGTGGTGAAGCTCAGCATGTTTCAGGCATTGTCAACAACCCTCGAAATTCTCTTTCTGGAAGGCCCCCGGCTGAGCAATCAGGTGGAGTGAATAGGAGCTATAGTACGACTTCGACACAAGGAAAAAACGGAACTCGTTTTCGCTAAGGGTCGCCAATATGGGTGCCATTTCACAATGGCCCTTTTTTGCGTTGGCAGTATACGGGAACATGTCTTTGAGAAATATTGCAACCTCCAGAAAACTTTTAAGCGCAGATCATAAGCCTATAGTCTGAGGCTATCAGAGGCATGGAGAATGACTCGGTCTTATAGGGTTGAGGACGAAATCTATTATAGTCTTGTCTTAGAAACCGCCAAAGCCTTTCTTTGGGCCGTCGCTAAAACTTGACGGTCTAGACTAGGGGCGAATTTAGGTCACTGCGCTAATATAATCAACTGGGAGAGTCACACGGTCTGGATGATCTAGAGCCAGAGTTGAGCTGGACGCGGGCCAGCCTGATCAAAAGTGGCGCAAGATCACCAAAGGCCGGGACAAAGGGCAGGCGTCGAGATTCCGGCGGTGAAACAGAGGGGTTGAAATTGAACCGAACGAAATTTGGAAGCTGACGATGGACGCCCAGCGGCTATTATAGCGGCAACAGAGCACTTGGGCTTTCTTCTAGATCTAGCTATTAACCTCCTACTAGTTGGGCATTAGCTCCCAAATGATACTTATTACTCGGACAATACGCCCCCTCCAACAATGCTCAAAGCTTAGAAAAGTGCGAAATCGTAAATCTTCGTTCCGAATTATTTAATCAAAAGCTTAGTAGACATGTTTTCATTCAGCTCTATATTTCGTAAAGACTCTACGCTAAAGAGAACTCTGAGCGTCCATCATGCGATGAGTGAGCCATGTATCTATCCGAAGCTTCTCCGAACCTTCTTAGATATCTTGGGATGATTATGCTCCGGATCTTGGGTCTAATTACTGATTGTCTAGTAGTAAGGGGAGTTAGTCGCAGTAGAGCTACAGCCGATGGATTTATTGCGTGTATCACAAATTCCTAAAACAGCCGTTGCTTCGCTCCACCCCAGCGGAGGCCAACGTCATTTTACAAGGGCAATCATGTCATTTATAATCACCAACCCACTGGGGTAGCGCATCTATCATATCTGGAAGAGCTCGCGAACTGACCCTTAGAACATAAAAGCGCCTCGGAACAGCGAGACTCTTTCTGCAACTTCTATGGACAGTTTCAACCACCTAACCCTGTGTGAATGCAGTGTTACCACAATATTCTTCTTACCATGTCTGACTGTTCTGCTTCCCTTCACCCTTACGAGTCGATGTGGCAGTACAAGCGTATCGAGTCCTCGACCTACGATGGCACCATACTCAGAGGCAACTTATACCACAGTACGAAAACAAGTGGTCCGTCGCCCATAGGGATTTTCTGCCACGGCCTGGGTCTGCTCAAGGAGCAATACCTCGAGAACTGGTTCAACCACGTCCTCACTTCCGGTTATTATGTGCTCACTTATGACCATCGCTTTTTCGGTGATTCTGAGGGTCTTCCCAGAGAGCAATTCGATTGGTTGGGACAGGCGGAAGATTTCTTCGATGCCGTCACATTCGTCCGTTTGCATTCAAAGGTCGACGAGAACAAGGAACTGGCTGGGGTGTTGCCCATGCCGGTGGACTGATAGCAATGTACGTAATCCTGATCATATCGTTTCATTGCCCTCAGCTACCTTCTGATACAGGGCAGCCGCAATGGACAAACGAATTACAGGCACCATGATGTTCCTCCCCTGCATCGACGGCCAGTATGATAAAGGCTTCTGGGGTGAATCGCTCTGGGAGACCACATAGCGAGATCGATTCCAACAAGGAGATTCGAAGCAATTGGACATTAAATTTTGGCCATTGAATGATGAACATGCAGCTGGGAATGGTAGTTCCGTTTAGTCAGGTGATTATATACGGCAATGGTCTGTTGTCGCACAGAAAATGGCAGCACAGGGCGGAAACAAGCTATTCACAAGCCGTCTGACAGTTTCGAGTTTCTGGAGCGATTTTAATTGTCGCCCAGTGGATTTCTTCAATTGAATCGATTCAACACCCGTTCTGTGGATCATGGCCACCCAGAACGTTCTGTGTGGTCTGCTAGATTTCACGAAGAGTGCGTATGATAAGCTTCAGGGACCCAAAGAGCTCTGTGTGCTGGAGGGGAGCATCTTCATCAGTATTTTGATCCAGGGTTTGGCAAGTCTGTGGATGCAATTCTGTCATTCCTTCGAAAGCATACCACATAAGGCAGCTTTTGTCTGACGGTGGAAGTACCAAGTACTTAGTGTGAGGTCCTTCACTTAGTGCTCCAGTCTAGGCTAACTACTAAAGACACACAAGACTCATGATTTTATATATTAACATCAAATAAGATCATTTTCCCGCTCAAAAGTAATATCCGTACTATTTGATAGACTAGCATAATGAAGTCGTCATCTAGCAAAGGAATGTGTCACTCGTGGGCTGGGTGCGATATTTAGCTTGACCACTCCTTTACTTTGCACTGTTCGATGCCACTTCGCCGTGGAGATTTAGGTTTATCAAAGTCAAAAGGGTTTTTAGTGCTTCTTGGCGCAGCCGATCGCACGCAAAATAAAAACCGGGAGTGCAAGATACTAGATATATGTCCCTTGTTCTCTCCATTTTTCCTCAGATTCAGCATTCAAGATTGCTTCTACAATTTACCTAACTATGTCAAGAGTCAAAGATGTCTCGGAGGAGTCGGCCTCCACAACCCTGTGTCAAGCGTTAGAACGAGATCTTAAATTGGAAGAAATTCTCGAACCAGAATCAGCATCGGGCATCCTCAAACGACCGCTTTCAGTTGGGACGGCCCATTCGACGGTCTCGAAGTTTGCAGAGCGGGAGCATACCGCAAGATTGACCGCGCCGACTTCTGAGCTCAGGGATATTGGTAGAGGATCATGCGGGAGTGTTTTCGAAATACCGGGAACAGCACATGCTATCAAGAAGGGCACCGATGTCCGTTCCATCTGGAATGACTTCAACCTCACCAACCTCGCGCACAACAGTTGTGTCGCATCAACAAACTTGTTTAAATACTCTTTCCCTAACCCCCAGATCCCTCGAGTACCCAAGGCAGAAATGTACAACTCCCCCGAGTCTGAAGATTGGTGGCGGTTCAACTTGCTTCGTTTCCCCAAGGCGGATAGAACTGAAGCAGCGGTGTTCTATCTCGACCGCATCCTCCCGGTTACTGAAATCACACGATACGCACTTGTGAATAAATTCTTCCTTCCGGACACTAAGATACAGCAAGCAGTCCTCGGCAATATAGACAACCAAGATTGTCTGATCAGGCTTTACTTCGGGAAGCACAAACCAGATGATAGCATGTACAAGGAGGATGACACGCTCCGCAACTTTCCATTGTACTTGGACCAAGCGAAGGCCATCGACATCGACATCAACAATTACGCCAGAGAGATGGCAATTGGTCTCGCTATATTGCACTGGGAAGCACAGATCGATGCCGCGGATACAGAATTCGTGATTGGAACCTCTACCACTAAACTCTTTGGCCTCCACTATGAAAACCATCAATCAATGATGCTACCCAGATCTACTATGGAGAACTTCACCCAGCGCGAAACACAACTGTGGATGCTGGATTACGACAAATGCATCAAAATCAGCTTTGAAACCTCGAATTGGGACCAAGATGTGGTTCATCCATACTATGTCGCAGTCACAGGCAACGACCCCTACTTCCCGCACCCCTGCCTCGACATCAAATTGTGGCAAATTTTCCGGCAGGCATACCTGAAGGCAAGCCACATCATTATTAAAAACAGAAACTTGAGAAAGGAGATGATGAAACTGCCCGATCGAGTTATTGAACGATGGGAAATTTGGGGAAATGACAATCTCGCGACTGAGGAGGAAGATTTCGATCCTTTCGACCGGACCGACGATGGCACCTATGAAGCTGAAGAGGGTACCGACAGCGAAAACGAAGATGATAGCGAAGAAGAAAGCGACATTGAGGAGGACGAGGATATCACGGATGATGAAGACAGTACAGCTGAAGATGATAGCGAGGACACAGAACAATAATAAGAAGCAGTCAAAGGAGGAGCTGAACATATAGGGAGCGTGGAGAACAAGACTAGCAAGGGAGGGAAATGGGGATGACACGAGGCTGATGGAAGTTATTGTTCGGTGAACAAGACAAATGTAAATTACTGTAAATCATATCGAATTCCTGGCGCCTGAAGTGCGAGCGTTAATGTAAATGCTTACAGTCCAAAGACTACTGCAATGTATTAACCTTATACTTCGTCAACTGCAAGATATCGTGATGCAAATCCCTGGTCCGTCGCGGGCGTTGCACCCGACATCCCTGTTCTGAAGTAAGCCCTAGACCGGAATTTCGCCTTTGCGGTCGTAAATACTACTACTTTCAGTTGTCCACATCAAGCACCCCGCCATTTAGCGGCTGTATGCCTTATGCCCGCAGCCTCCGCGGTATCGAACGAAACGATTAACGTGCAGACTTGCATGTGGACAGCGATGCCACGAATGTTGGAATGCCTAATTTAACCAATACATAGCCAAGAATACTTATCTCGGCAGCTGTCTATCGGAGTTGCACTGAAGCAGCGTCCATCTCTTCTTCTTTCACCTCACTTTGCCATCAAAACCGTACCTTTTCCATGACTTTCTGGTTGGCAAGCCCATTCGACATTCTTCGAGCTTCGCCATTTGCAGCTGCAACCTTGATTGCTATTCGGTTGCTTAATGTAGCCTACTTTCACTCACTGCACGTCTCACGCATGGATCGTTATCTCCGTCAAGCCGCTCGTACAACTACCACGGGCGGTAACGTCGACTCATGGGCGTGTGTTACAGGCGCGAGCGACGGGATTGGGCTCGGCTTCGCCGAGGAGTTGCCATCACGAGGCTTCAACGTTATTCTACATGGACGAAATAAGGAGAAACTGCAAAAGCTTCAGACTACACTTGAGGCACAGTTTCCAGCACGGCAGTTCCAAATCTTAGTTATCGACGCATCGAACCGTGACAGCTGGAGTGCTGCGATGAATAATTTCGTGTCTGAATTTGATAAATCGAATGCTAGACTGACGGTACTGATCAACAACGTCGGAGGAGGTGTCAGTGGGCATTATTTGTTTGAGCCCATGGCGAAACGAACTCCCCAAGCTGTTCAAGCCATGATTGATGTCAACACAACTTTCCCAGCGCTTTTCACGCATTCATTACTTCCTCTTCTTATCCGAAGCCAACCGTCCCTGATTCTCAGCCTGGGGTCAGCTGCAAGTGTATTCCCTCCGCCATATCTTGGGCTATACGCTGGCTCGAAAGCCTTCATCCTGGCCTGGAGCGAAAGCCTGGCAAGGGAAATGGAACTTGAAGGAATAGATATCGAAGTCAAGGGAATCATGCTTGCTCGAGTCCAGTCGGCTGTCAACAGAGGTAGAGTATTTGACAAATTCTCAGTTCCCACCGGGAGGGTATTTGCTTGCGCAACCTTGAACAAGGTCGGAAGTGGAGCACTAGTTGTGACCCCATACTGGGCCCACGCTTTACAAATGTTGTTCATTAAGATCACCCCAACCTGGATACTCTCCAAGATGATAAATACGGGTACAGCAGAAGAAATGAGGTGGGAACGAAGAGAGGAACAAGACCAGCATTGAGGGTCCGCCAACAAGAGCGATGTACTTACCATTGCTCAATCTCAGGGAGTTACTGAACACTGGATGACATGCCTTCAAAACCAAGTCGCGAGATATGCAATTCAAAGGTACTAAAATAACTTTAACATGAGAAAAGGTGATATGACGTCTCTGGAAATTTCGTGTTCTATTGATCTCCCATTTGTCGAAACGTACTCGTCAACTCAAACCCTTGTAAGTGGGGCAAACCTCGGTGGCGTATTCCGAACCCCCTTCCGCTATACGCATACGCTGCTCTTTAATGTTGCCCATGGCACACCCAGTCAAATCGATATCAGCATTCCCAGTCTAAGCACAAAGGTAAGATTCATGCTCACCTCGCACAGAATGCGACTGCTATGGGTATGTCACAAGAATCAGATGTCAAAATGGCTGATAATTTATGCCTAAATCGTCCATTATTCCCACAGACAGATTAGCTGCTGTAAATGTCATATATACCCGTGTACCCTCCAGTAAGCTCTTGATTCTCACTCTCTTAGATGGAAGCCTCCTATGAGGAATTTGAGTAACAATTGGAAACCAATGCGATCAAACAAGCTTTCCAGGGATCTTGCAATTGCACAGCCACGGGACCATTTACGGACTTCGTAAGTGAGTAGCCCACTCGGTCAGGCCTCTGCGCGTTACCAAGTGGTCCTTGGCATTAAGGCGAAGTGTAACGCTACATTTAGCCGAAGGCCGATCTATTCGGCCCTGAGTGGATGGATTCAATCTTAAGATTAATGACAAAGGTTCAGCATTGCTTGCCTTGTCTTAATACTGGGGATGTCGGCTTCAATCTGCACAAAACGAGGTTATGCAATACTGAGCGGATAGCACTGAGTTAAACACCATCGCCAACATCACTTTTGCGCTCAGCGACCAGGACCAGCACTGAAATTCAGTGGGCAGTGCCTGCTCGACTATCATCTCGAACTATCTAGAATGATAGCAGTTGGTATAAAGGTGAAGTGCCTTCGCGTACTATCAGATTATGCTCTGTTCAATTCAATCACTCAAACCAGAAACATCAGACTACAACGATGACCAGGGCTCTATTGTACCTCGCTACTCTCTTTCCCCTTTGCGCTTGGGCTTCGCCAGCGGGCAGCTCACGGAAGTACGGCGACTGCAAGGAACTTAATGTCTCTGTCACTACATCATCGCGCGGCTATGTTTTTGACATCCCCAAAGTCAACAATGATATTGAAGCAACATTTTGGGCCATCAATTTCGACACCTGGAGCCACAAACCAAATCCTGAACCAATACTCAAGAACACCACAATCTCTGGAACTTACAACATTCATGCCCAGGTCTGCGTTCCAAAGTCCGGTGGTGATGTTCTGCAAATAGCCACTCATGGAGCTTACTACGATGGGAGATATTGGGACGCTAAACTCGAGGGACATTCGTATGTCAACGCAGCTCTACAAGCCGGATACTCAATTCTCACTTATGATCGACTGGGAACTGGCCAATCCGATAAGCCTGATGCATACACGGTCGTACAAGCACAATTCGAAGTGGAGATTCTTCGAGAGTTGACAGTGATATCAAAGAACGGCGCTTTCGGCTTCAAACCAAAGAAAATCGTTCACGTTGGCCACAGTTTCGGCTCCATAGTCACCTCGGCATTCATCGCAACATATCCAGCATTGAGCGATGGCGCAATAATCACGGGCTACGTACTGAATGAGCATTTAGGTGAAGTAGGCCGATCCTCCTGGAATGTACAGCACGCAACCAACTGGCCTAGTGGGTATGTCACCATGCAAAAAAGCGGAATCCAGGCTACTTTCTTTGGCGGCGACTTCACTCCCGATCTGCTCGATTATGGCGACAAGATTAAATCACCTACGGCCGTTGCTGAAATCGCCTCTGGAGGTCTTCTTGTCATGGCCTCGGGCCCCTTCAAGGGACCAATACATTATATACTGCCGGAGTTGGATTTCTTCATCTGCGCAGGCGACTGCAAAAATGTGACTAGCCTGGAAGCGCTCAAGCACACATTTCCCAATGCGAGCTCGATTCAACTTGACATACAGCCAAATACAGGCCACGCTTTGCCTCTCCACCACAATGCAACAGCTGGATTCCAGGTGTCGTTTGAGTTCTTGCGCAGGAACAGCCTCTAAAGAGGTGAAAACTTGAGATTTTGCAGCCAATTGCTTAGGGCTTGTAGTGCCTTGCAAAGAGAGCTGGAATGGACGCTGGGCACAGAAGGTGAGGCGGTCCTCAATCGGACGGAAGGAGAAGATTTGTCATGAGCTACAGCAGACTACCTGTAGGCATTGTCTCCTCAAGCCACAATCAGGCTGCAGTCATATGGTTTTACACCTCTAGCTCCACATTCCTAGAAACCCTGACCCCAAAGCCATTGGCTCTCTCGGCTTGGCACGACAGATGCGCGGTATGGTGTAGAACTAGTACGACGACACTCAACTAAAGGTACAGGGTAAATTAATTAGGGAGGAGTAATATTGACAAGTTCAAGCTTCCAATCAGGTAGACCAGCCGGCCCATCAATCGGTGGCGCCAGCTCAATAACAATATTATAACACCCGAGAGTTCCACCAATGACTTGTGATATCGGGTAAAGGTTTGTCCACCCTTTTGCTCAATGTCGTTACGTTCCCAGCTCTCACTGCTGTTAGTTGCTCTCACCGAGTATCACATTAGCATGAGAAAAAGTACCAATCACCAGGGCTTTCCCCCATAGTTGGGGATATTATCTGCTGATTTCCAGTTTCACCAGGATCTGTTGAGGTCGGACATCCAAAGGCTCGAGCCTGCATGGTTTTCGCGGGACACGAGTCGTTGTCAGTCAAAGGAAATTTCAGGAATTTTCCGGAAGTCAAATGAAAATATACCAGCTCTTTTCACTCTCAGGTTCGCTCTCCAGCCTAGTAATTGAGGAGGCTTGGCTATCAATGACTTAGCCACCACACATGACCATAACCAGAGAAACCAATCTTCGTATTATCTACTTTATAGGATGATCTAGCCGTTGCTCATTGCCTTTGTAGATGCCGTGCCACGAGGTGGACTCCAAATCAGTTCGTTCAGTACCTCATTGCCGAACATATCTCTAGCTATCTCTATATCCCAGCCATCTCTTGACGCTAGTTGTCCTACAATATCTCTCCATTCCTCGAATTCTGCCTTGAATCCACCATTCTCTGCTTCCTCCTCTTTCAAGAAATCTTCCCATCTCCTCCCCCTCATAGTATAACCATACCACTCTTTTGCCCAATGCGGTCGCACTGGAATGCCGTTGCCCCTCTCATCCTTGTAGTTTGACCAGCGATCTAACACTTTTTGCGCGTATGCCGGCCATATATCTGCAGTGTTACTTAATGTAACAATCTCGATAGAACATGTTCCCAGCGTGTAACCTCGTTGAGGGGCAAGTGTAATATTGCTATTACCCATGATTCGCATTTCCAGTGGCATTCGTTGGGGGCAGGTGTCAATGTGGCGATAACATTCGATAATAGCATCCCACCAGGCGCGCTGAACCACCGAAAAATCGATTGGGGGGTTCTTAATGGTGGTATCTATAGGGTTTCCTCTAGAATCGGACCTTGTAGAGAGCTCCAGATCCCGTTCCTTAGGTTGTAGTGGAAGCTCAACTTCCATGTCTCGTACGCGTAGATTCTGTACTCCACGCTGAAAGTGTAGGGCATCCGTAAGCCAGGTCTTGATAGGGTTTCCGCCCGGTCCAACATCATCGAGATTCTTCATAGCAAGCCATGATAAGAGTTTCGTTTGTCTCTCAGGGTTATTGTCAGTGAGCTTGAGGAGAATAGTTGCATTCTGAATAATCTGGGTAGCAAAGGTTCCGAAAACTTGTAGGATTATTTTCCCGTTGTTAGGGTACGTTACGGCATTAGATAAATCTGTGGTTTTGCTCCATGTATTGACCCAGACCTCACTCGAATATGGAAACCAGAACCATTCGGCGTAGTAGTCATTGAGAGCTCGGCGCTCAAATTCTTCCTGGTTCTCGCGCTGTCGTTCTTTAGAAAGTGGTTGTGCTGGACGCAATGCCGGCGGTATTGCTGAATAAGGCATATCGAGCGGAGGAGGGATTGCTTCAATTACGGGTATCTTTCGGGGGACGAGGAGAGCGCAAGACATAGCATCAAACTCCAATGTTAAATGAGTGACAATACCGATAAGACCGAAACACCCTGCTGCTGCACGTAGAAACGATGGAGTTGACAAGTCAATCTTGTTCAAATTACCATTCGCGTCAACATATTCGATTGCACGGACTAGATCACTTAATGTCGGATGTTGGAGTCCAGCACCGTGACTAGATAACCAATAAGAGGTTGACGAAGTAAAGCGGGATTTTCACGTACCAAATGGTGGCATTGCTACCGCCCATCGTGATTTCGACTTCAATAATCTGAAGTGGAAGCGTTACCTTACCTATCTCGATACACCACTTACGAAGCTGCTTGTTAGTCGTCGATGTACCCAGTCTCACATACTTAGCCCCATTCGTTAGGGCTGGGCCTCTCACATAACTAGCTTCAACTATTGTAATTGAGTTCAAGTCCTTCGCATGTGGTTGGAAGATATCGGTGGGCATAGACGTAAAGTTTGGGAGGATAGTCGCATCAATCAGACCTAGTGTTGAAATCAAGATGTCGCCGTTGTTCTTCATTCCTGCGGTGTTCAAGCGCCCGAAAACTGGGGACCATGAGTGGCCTACGCTATATTAGCATCCTCTGTGTTTTTAGCGGTCTTCGCTTACGAAAACCAGAAACTCTGACACCCATTTTGTGTGCTTTAGCAAATTTTACGATGTCTTGGATATCCTTTGTGGTCTCGGGCACGCATGTAATCGCCGGCGTATTGTGTATAGTTCTCCCATGATTACGGAAGTTGAGATTGTAGTAAGACTACCACTGGTCAGCTAGGTGCATTCCACGATAGATCACACACCTTGACGCGAAGCTTATGCTTCTCCTGCTTGAAGAACGGAATGCGTTTCCAAAAATACCTCCTTATCCTTGAAGGTATACTTGTTGGAAAGGCCCTTAGCAAGTCTGCATATCCCTGCAGGGCTATATTTTGACGATCATTCTGATTGAGGGTGCTCAAGTCTCCATTACGGCAGCCGCCGGCAGGCTTCAACGCTGTCACTGAATGGTATGGGTGATATAATTTGCTGGCCTCTTCAGCATCGATCTTCCCATCCACAAAAGCTTCAAAAATGTGTTGAGTTTCATCATCGTAATTCTTAAGGAGATCCTGATACGTGTGGTCGACCTCGCTGTGCTTGAAGATACGAAGAAATCGGCGAATGGATTGCTCTTGAGACACCAAGATATTGGGATTCCACCAGTCGGCGACCAGAGAAGCCCATCCGGGAAGCTCTTTCTCGTTGACCTTTTCTGTTAGTCCAAGAATGCATTCCTTCACCAAGGATGATGATTCGAGTGGCAAAATGCCGTGATCCCACTCGTCACCTCCTGCTGTTAGAGGAATTGCCATGTGCATAAAGACCGAAAATTCGAGAGCTGCACAAGAACATGCCCGGAATTTTTACTTTTTTTGCGTTTCACCTGAGTCGCCTCTATGGTGGTGGATAAATATATCGTCGGTCTCGTATGAAGAGACCTCAAAGGAACGATATTGGCCGAACTTCTGGCCCAACGAAAGCTCTCTAGGGACTCTGGCTTCTTCTGGAATAATCAGGCGTAGATGTAGAAGATTCAAAGAATGTTTGTGCTTGTGAGGCTAAAGCTCAGTCATAAGGACTGATCGAGCTCTAAATCGCGAATCTGGATACAACAGCGCTTGGGGCTAAAAGTAAGCGATTACAAAAAGACAACTTTGCTTCTAGTACATGCAAAGCATGAAGTATTTGAACGAAGAGACTAGCGATTTTCAGTGACTCGATTCTGCGTTATTGTTACCCGAGAGGCTGCTAACATCATGCATGACACCTGCTGAGAAGCCATATATTCGCGACAGCAAAGCCCCTTCCGGCATCGCGTGGGAACGGATATTCTCCCATACAGCTCGTAAACAATTTTCGTGAGCTGTTCAAACTGCGATCCCCGAATGTGTAGAAGCTGAAAAAGTACAATCGAAACACGAGCATCCCACCTTGGCATTGGGGCTTCAGAGGCCCACTTTCACGAGCATGATAGGCGCGAAGCTAGCAGCAACCGAAGCAAAAACATTCCGCTGACGGTGGTAATTCAAAGTGTTTCTGGAAAGTCCGATGCCATTAGTCGGACTTGACCTACATCCGTTGGAAAAGCGCGAAGGCCAGAGGCCAACAGCCGAACAATATAAGGCAACGGTAAGCATAGCAGAGAATTTTCATCACTTTAGTATCCTGAATCATGACCTCAATACTCTCGAGAATATCTCAGCCTTCAATGTCTTACTGTCCAGGCAGAGGATGAAGTAATAAAATATACAAAAGAATTCGTGGGCCCCGAGATCAGCTTATCCTCGTTAAGCTACAGGACGAAGCAATACGCACTTCAGGTGAAGGATCCAAATTTGACGGTGTCGACTTTGGGCCTCAGGCGTTTGAAGGGTGCCATTAATTTTGAGCCAGACAGTTTGACACGGCTCACAGTAATTTCCAGGCAGCCCGAGTGTGGCGCTGAGAATCTAATCCCTAATGATAGGTGAACTATGGCGGAGGACTGAAGACTGTGTATAAGCGAGTACGAGGTACTTGACGAGAGCGTAGATCAGTAGCCGCAGCTGAAAAGGGTAAGGAAGATCTATTGGCGTGCCCCACTAGTCGGTTACCACTCCAGGATGGACTGTACTGAAGTCAAGCCCGCGGTACTAGACTATAAAGCTGGTTCTAGGCTCCTGTTTTTCGCTCGCTATATCCGTAGCTTAAATGTACGAGTATGAATTCAGCAAGTCATCTTCTGCAAAACCGGAAGAACCTAGTTCATGATCTGTGCTTCCTCCCTGTCGCTGTTTTAGACTAATCAATGGATGTGGATCGCCTTTCGAATCTTAAGCACGCGGTTATGAATAGATAGACTCCCATCGACAAGAGCTTCTAGGATCAAAGCTGCGATGGGGGCTTCTTGTTTTCCAGTGCGCATGACCTCCAGTATGCGGTGTGTTTCTTATCTGTGTTTGCAGGCGTCTCGAGATGCAGCTGAAAGAAAGTTTGAGAGATTAGGAACTCTCGTCAGCGATGCCAAGTCATTAGTTAGGACGTCGAGTTCCGAATTTTCTACCATGTTCTCCCTTTATCGCCTAGCGGTGATCAACAGGCGCAAGATAAGTTGATACCAACACGAGATAATCCGCTGATGGCTTCGATGCCGAATGTTCGAGGTTCAGCCTTTCTAGCTGCCATTACGATGAGTCTAGACGCAATTTCGCCACCAGCCTCATTGCAGCTTCCAAGTAATCAGCACTTCCTGAGTGAAATACTCTGGTCATTTAGTTCAGCCGTGGTGGCTGCTGGTGACACGAGCGCAAACTCATCCCACTATCGTTACCACCTGCCACTTTAGCGCGCCTTGGATCTCTGGTAAGCTGTACAATACCCTGCGCCTAGTCCTTATCAACACGGATATTTTGAAAGAAGAAATTGTGAGTTTGACGACGAACAAAAGTGAGTCCACAAACTATTCTACTACAATTATCATCCAAGCTTTGACTCATAGTGTGGTCAATATGAGCTACAAGCATACTTCACAGAACATAATTGAAGCTACTGCTTTACCATCGTCGAATCCCTCGACGGCTATTCATATCCGGAACCTGAGCGTGACTTTACATTGGCTAAAGTTCTCCAAGCCGACCCAAATAGTCGCCTCGCTTCTCACAGGACGAGGCGTGATTAAGCAGCCATGCTCAAAGACTATCCTACATAACTTGTCTACAGACATCAGAAGTGGTACTTTGACAGCCATTATAGGTGGTAGTGGCTCTGGAAAAACGACTCTTCTCTCTACAATTTCTAAACGGACAGTACCCAGTCAACTCAAAGTAGTTGGCCAAATTATCTACAACAATCTACCTGTGAACAGCGACACTGATGTCACCAGACCTCTCGCCGCTTCTTATGCAGTACAGGATGACGTGCTCCAACCACATTTAACAGTCAAGGAAACCCTAACATATGTAGCTGAATTGCGCTTACCTCGTCCAAATACACGCTCAGAGCGAGAGCAAAAGGTGCGCGATGTGATCAGAGACCTCGGCTTGGAATCCTGCACTGACACCCGAATTGGTGATAATTCAAGGAAGGGATGTAGTGGAGGCGAAAGACGCAGGACTAGTATCGCCTCGCAGATACTTACAGATAGCTCGGTGCTCCTGCTAGACGAACCTACTACGGGGCTAGATGCTGCTTCTGCCCTTCAAGTTGTCAAAATTTTGAAGACATTGTCTTGCAAAGGCAAAACCATTGTGATAACGAGTAAGTCAATTACTCTACTCCGAGGGACGAATTCTGATGATTCATAAAAGTTCATCAACCTCGTCCAGAAATTTGGTCTTTAATAGATAATCTCATCGTTCTGGCCCAAGGTGCATTCATCTTCTCAGGAGACACGGATGCATGTCGCCGGCATTTCGAAGAAGTCAAGTATGCGGTACCACCATTTGTCAATCCGTTCGACTTTATCATGGACATCGCAACAGTCGATCACGCGTCTTATGAGTTGGAGTCTGAGACACAGATGCGACTTAGTACTTTGACAGGAATCTGGTCACATAAGGCAGCCCAGATTTTTAAGCCGGACGTGAACGAAAAAATGGCCCAAGCTGCACTCGAGCATCAAAGCTCTAATACTACTTCCAGATCATATTCAACCATGAATGGGTATATTCTTCTGGCGCGTCAGACTGAGATCCTCACTCGTAGGACGTGGAAAGTAACATGCCGAGACCGCCTTGGAGCATTTTCTAGCATCATCGAGGCTGTCGTCATGGGAATCCTTACTGGGTGGATCTTTTTTCGAGTGGGAGACGATCTCCCTGGTATCCGATCAAGACAGGGCGCTATGTGGTCAGCTGCAGGTTTACAGGGTTACCTCATCCTTATTCTGGAAACGTATCGATTATCTATGGACATTGGAGTCTTCGATCGAGAAAGAAAGGAAGGTTTATCGTCAGCAACTGCATTTGTTACGAGTCGACGGCTCGCTCGTGCTGTGCTTGAGGATATACCAGTTCCCTTGATCTACTCCACCATCCTCTACTTCATGGCTGGATTTCGCCACGAATCACATCAATTTATGGTATTCTTCACGATCATATTCCTCCTGCACTTCATTGCAGTGAACGTGGCAACTTTCTGCGTTGCACTACATCGCAATTTCCTAGTCTCATCTCTCATTGCGAATATGATATACACACTACAGTCCATGGCCTGTGGATTCTTCATCAACATCGCTGATATATCAATCTGGCTCCGCTGGACAAAATGGACTGCATACGTGGTGCGTGACTTCCTAACCCCCTATCGAATGATAACTTGCTTACATGTAACAGTACTATGCTTTTGGCGCTTTGTGTTACAATGAATTTGCGGGGCAATTTTACAATTGTCCTGCTATTGACGAGTCTCCCACTTCTGCAGCCTGCACCCAATATAATGGGGATTTTGTTCTTCAATCACTGAAAATACCCAGGAATTGGTTATGGAAACCGATCCTAGCGATGGTGTTATTTGCAATATTCTTCACTACATTGAGTGTTCTTGTTCTTCATCTAAAGCACGAAGACACTAAAGTATCAAAACCTTTTGTGAAGGATCAGAATCATCCCGAGGAACGCGTTCATCTACGTAACACTCGAACAGCTCCCAAGCGCGAAACTACAGTTACTCTGCAACAAGTGTCTTTGGGGCTCAAAAAGAAACATCTCTTCCGGAAGGCAAGCCCACAACCGATCATTTCCAATATCTCGGCGGTGTTCAAAGCTGGTTCTGTGAACGTGATTATGGGCCCGTCCGGTAGTGGCAAAACCTCGCTACTAAACTACATGGCTGGGAGATCACATGGCGACCCGAGGAACCAGTATGATATAGCTGGAAGCATGTTGATCAACGATGCCACCGTCACAAAATCTGTAATCCAGTCTGCTTCCGCCTATGTTCCTCAAGACAATAGTGGAATGCTTCCATTCTTAACAGTCCGCGAAACACTCCTCCATGCTGCATATATGAGACTTCCTCATCATCAGAGCAAGACTCAGCATGTTGAGCGTGCGGAAACACTCATGGCAGCTCTTGGTTTGAAGAACTGTGCCGACGTCGTGGTCGGCAATGAGCTTCTAAGAGGAATAAGTGGCGGGGAGAAAAGGAGGTTATCTGTCGCCATTCAGATCCTCGCTGACCCGCTCATACTGTTCCTTGACGAACCAACTTCAGGTCTCGATACCAGTACTGCTTCCTCTATCATAGACCTTCTACACCGTCTCGCCACGGAAGGCCGCACAGTGATTATGTCTATCCATCAGCCGCAATCAAGGTGGTTAACTAAGTTTGCTACTACGCTATTGTTAACCAAAGATGGACAGGTTGCATATTCCGGAGATACAAACTCGATGCGCGATCACTTTCTTCAAATCGGATATGACTGTCCAGATTGCCAGAATCCAGCTGATTTTGCTATGGACGTTGTGACATACGATCTGCAACCACATCACGCTCGGAGCAACATAGAAAAGGAACAGTCTGTGCCTGCGAATGCAGCTCTTTTCGACGATCATAGTTGCCGGCCGCTCGTGTGTACGGCAAATACATCTATTGTACAAGCGGCTCAGCTGGGCGAAATTCAACGCGACCAACTGCCCTTTGGTGCTTCTTTAGCTCTGCTACTTCGCCGAGCTTGCCTGAATCTTACTCGTCAGCCAGTGCTCGCCATTGGCAGAGTATCACAGATTCTTGGGCTTGCTGTGGTTCTGACATGCTTCGTTGCCCCTTTGAGGAACGACTATTCCTCTGTCCAAAGTCGAATGGGCTATATCTTACAGATCACTTCACTGTTCTTCGTGGGGATGTTAAACGCCATTGCCATTTATCCTGCGGAACGTGACCTATTTTACCGGGAACACTATGACGGCCTTTACTCCGTTGAAGCATTCCTTGTTTCGTACACAATACTCGAGCTCTCTTCCGAACTGATTGGAGCAATTCTCTTCAGCTTACTAACCGTACTTGTTGGTGGACTGCCAAGGACACCAGGGCTGGTTTTTATTGTTGCCTTGAATGCTCTTTGCGCCAGCTCTTGCGGAGAGAGTCTTGGTATCATTCTGATGACGTTTTTCACCCATACTGGATTCGCTGTTACAGTATCATGTATCCTGATGTCAGTCAGTATGCATCTTACAGGAGTGATAGCGATAAACATACCCGACTTCCTCATGGTTGTGAACTATATCTCCCCGCTCAGATGGATGTTGGGGAATCTTGCGCCTCACAGTCTACATGGGGTCAATTTTACTTGCAAATTATTTCAACAGCAAGCTAATGGTACCTGTCCTATTGAGAACGGACAACAAGTTCTAGACTTATACAACCTAGACGTCAACGCACCTAGGTATTTATTCATTCTATTGGGGGTTACAGTATGTTATCGACTCCTGGCTTATATAGTACTCAAAGTGCGACGAATACGCTAGTAAGAAGTAAATCATTATTACTGATCCTTCTGGCGAAAACCAGGCTCTTGCTGAGAACCAAATGTCACATAATCTCTTTTGCGAGACATGATATCTTGTTATTGAACAGCATCTTAAAATACCAGAGCCCCACTCCAGGCATCGCGTGAACTGGTAAATCAGAGCACGGCCACTCGTGCGCATCCCTAGTAACGGCAAAACAAAAGCCAATATCCCAGGAGGATGAAAGTTGTCGCGGCTATCAATGCGATGTCTTAAGATGGATTGATATGGTATATCAGAAGCTGCCTAGTGCGCTCTTTCTCTTCCCATATGGATACACAACCAGTGCACTAAGGTATAACCCAACACTAATACCAATAGCAACCTGGACCATGCTATACCCAACTGTGAAGATTGTTCCATCTGCGCTACTACTGGCGTGGGCTGCGGCAGTACCATTCCCTGCAATCTCATTGGCAGAGGTGACGCCTGCCACTAGCGAACCAGAAGATGCCAAACCTCCAGGTACCTGGCAGTAAATGGCGGGTAGCATAGCGGTTGCTGCAAGCCCGTGGAACAGCCGGGAGTATAGGTTCGAGATGCATCCAATAACAAAGGCCCCGATGGCGTTAGCAACCTGCGGATTGCTAGATAGCTGAGTTGAAATCCAGAAATTCGCTTGATGCCCGCATACTGCAATGAATGCCATGATGGGCAGTTGCTTCCATCTTGCCTGATAGATTAAACCCATGCAGCACGCAAACAGGGGAGCCCATATGAAGCGGGTGTAGATCAGCTTATAGTTCATATCAGCAGCGAACCATGTCGGGATGTCACAGGTGGTTGATGACACCGCGTCATGTTTGATTAAACCAAAGATTGTCGTGCCAATGAGCAGGCCGAAAGCGAGGAAGAGGACATAAACAATAACGTACACCATTCGCACCGATCCAGATATTATGTTCTTTCCCTGTAACTCCAGTGCAGCGTTCAACATCATGAAACCGGGTAATATCATGGCGATACTGCTCTGTGCCATTGCAGAGAAGCAGAAAATGTACTGACCGTCGTGGTATTTGATCGAACCCAGAGCTCGTGCAACAAATGCCGCCAGGACGGAAGCGAATACTTCAAAAACATTACTAAAATGCTCAGATCGTGGGACTATCTTGACTTGCATAAAGCCAATAGTACACCCAAGAATGAAAATCGGACCAAAGTCGATCGGGCGGCTTTCGAAAGAAAACGGACCAACCACAACGGATGCAACGCCGAAGAGAAGGATTCGGAACAGTTCGGAGAAGGTGTCTGGTCGCTTTCGAATGGCTTCGATTTCTCTAAGCCCGTCTTCTGGGGTCAGTTTTTCGTGAATGACACATTTGTAGACATTGAAAACGTCCTTCAATCGGGCAAAGTCGAGTCCACCTCGCTTCCTGACAATGTCGACATTGTTTGCGTGAATCGTCCGATCGGCAAAGGTGCATATCACTGCGCCCGGAATATGGAGAAAATCTGCGTCAATGAGAAGTGCTCGGGCCGAAGCACTCAAGTATTCTTCAATTCGATGAGTCGGTGCACCGTATTCCATCAGTGCGCCACATAGCTTGATCAGATAATCTCTTCGTGCAATGATGTCTGCAACTTCTGAGATGAGGCCCACATGGCTCTCCAGCGCACTGTTCGAGAACCGTTGCTGGCTTTGGTTCTTACCGTGTGTGATAATATCGACTGCCGTGGAAATCATGTCGGCCGATTTCGGTCGCATTGCTCTTGGTCGTGGAATGGCACCGGTACCAGCCACACTGGGAGTGGTGGTTGATAATGCTGCCTGCATCAATGCTGCTGCCGTTGGGTTACTCTGCTCTGGCTTTTCATACCATTTGACCTTCTTATTTGGTGTAGATGTGCCGGACGTAGGAACCGAATGTGTCAGTGAGGATGCTTGATAAAGAGATTTGACATCATGCCTCGGTGCTGTTGTTTTACGTTGATGTGTTTGTTTGTGGGTATTGGTCCAGTCCTGTTGCAGATGATCAAGCTTATATGCGAGGAGGGCGCCAAACAAGCCGGGCTTGTATTTTTCAGGAGCTGGCACGTAGTCGATGTCATGTATATATTCGTCAATCGACGGTTCTTCACTATTGGAGCTGCGAAAATTAGTCTCTGTTCAATGCGATGAGTCTAGAGTTGGACTTACTAGAATCCAGTGGAATACTGTGAAGTGTCGTGATTCTGATCTAAAAAGGTATGGACAGCGGCGGCCGCTGTCTTTGTGTATGCTCGAGCGAGTTTTGTTCCCTCGTCATCATGTTGTTGCGAAGGTTGATTTGTATCTTCAGATGTGAATGTCTTTTCCTGGCTAGATGGAACCTCTTCGGTAACTTGGGTGTAACCTGTAGTTGAAGGTCTCACGTTCGTGGAATAAGATGATTGATCTTGGTCATGGCCCTTGACCCAATCAACAATTCCAGACCAGATAGGTCGAGAACTTTGATTGTCCTGAGAGTGTATGCCCTCGTTTGTGCCATCATCTTCCTCGTATTGCCCAAGTGTTTGATTTGAGATATCTCGCGAGTGACCGTCTAGTTCACTAGTGCTTCGCTGAGACATTTGTTGAACCATACTATCAGCTAGCTGAGAGTTTTGGTGTAGTACCTGCCATGGTTCAGGTTCTTCATCCACATTATCCAAAGCATCGTTGGACGGTCTTGAGGCGGTCGTGATATGCTGAGGTGGTTGCGACTTCGATGGCTCGTTCTCCATATGCAGCTAGTGTTATTTATCCTATTTTGTCTGGAGAGAATGACGTCGGTTGCGGGGAAGCCGTGCAGGAAAAGAACAACAGTTTATTTGAGAAGAATGATGTTGTTGGAGAAATCTGCGTCGTCGAGGCCGGGATTGAAAAGTACTTAATGATTGCCATTGCCCCTGACGTTGCGTCACCGCCACGTACATTATGTTATAGATTTGATGCCGATGTAAAAATAACAATGAAGAATTTTCTCCCGTGGAACTAAATGATTTCTTATGTGGTAACGAGAAGGAGGCTCAGTGGCTAGTGTCTCAGTTTTGACTCCGTATGGGGTACAGCTACGACCACGGGAGGCACCCGTTACTCAGCTTACAACTCCTCAATTGGGAAAAAATGTCCCGTTCAGTAGCCGGTTCACACAGCCGGTGCCTGTGCCTGTGCGTTTGATGCCATGCAGTGGGTAGGATTTATTAAAGAACCTTTCCTCAGCCACAAATTATCAGCCCTTCATATTCAATGCTAGACCTTATTCTTCCGATGGATATGTATTGCAGTCTCTGTATAGAGCCAAAGGTACTGCGTGGCATCGTACACTCACTGACTTTCCTCCATCACGTGGTCTTTGACTATGGCGGTCTCCAGGGCGAGAACTGTGGAAGCTGTTCCACGAATTATGATACTTACTGGATGACACCTTCTTATGGATAACGACCTTAATCAGCACGGAGGCCGATCAGCCATATCCACATTGTTTGTCATTCACTACTCAATCTCTGCCTGTTCTCAGCATTTCCACGAACCTTAGAGAACCGACCCGATATTATGAGAGACCTGGGAACGAGTCAGAATCACATTTGTCAGAGGCAAGGCTTCAGGAAAGCTGGATTCCAAGGGCAAAGAAGAATACCTCGTACGTGGTAGAAATGAAGATTCGGTCAGGGGCAGTAATGATTTCTTCCCGATCATGCTGACTACCAGTGCTGACCATGGTCCGAACGGGACCTCTCATTCCGGCGCTTGAAGGGAACTCCTGCCGGCCAGCGTTTTGAGGACTCCAAGGGTCATAGTGCCGAAGTGCAGAGCAAGAATTCTTCATGCCGAGTTGTTTCTCGGAAGGGTGGTTCGTCACGTAGTGTAGAGCAAGTATTCCAATCGTCACTTTTCTCATCATGAGCATGGTTTCATTTGGAAATGGCGACGGATAGATATTCATACCATCTAAAGTGCAAAACATGAAACACATCCATTCCTGCTCGCGACCACTCATGTAGAACAAAATGGAAAGATTGATAGTTGTGGCTAACAACATGATGCACATTCCACGAAGTGTTCTCTTGGCAAGATTCCTCAAGTTGTCTTGCCCACCGTCCTCGAGTCTTGTGACATGGCTGTAGGTGACATCGCTGCTGACCGGGGTGGTCGGAACGAACGGTAGACGTCTGAAGGTGGCGCTAGCTAATCCTGGCCGAGAAAAGTGCAGAAAATGACCCGTAAGGTAAAGATTGATGGTGATGTCGTAGATCAGAAGTGGTAGAGTGATTTTGAAGGGCAGTCCAATGCGACATTGGCCGTCAGAGAGCTCTGCAACTGGGAATATGAAGGACAAAACAGCGATTGACCCAAACCCAAGTACGAGTATCGCAATATTCACCACATACCAGTTATCGGTGAGACGGGTGTACCTCCTAGACCGAACGATGTGGATACGCTCGATAAGGAAGAGATATAAGATGATTTTGTCGACCACATAGAACACCAGGCAAAGGATAATTGATGCAAAGCAGGCGTTGTCGCTCCCAATCTGGTAACCGAATCGGAGGGTAGCGACAGCTATGATGAAACACATGCCCCAGAAGTAGACTGCGATGAGATAGATTCGGATTGCAGGCAACCGTGTGATTGATCTAAGGCTCAATCGTTGTGTCCGCAGTGCTGTTGTGCGATAAGCTATGGTCAACACCCTGGAGTGCACCTAACTAGAGGGGGGCTCACCGAAACATGTCGATACAAGGCACAGGCTTACAAGGCAGACAATGATATATGAAAGTCTTCCTTCCAAAGGCGTGGGATCCGTTTGATTCATCATTGCTGCTCGAATGTAACTTGCTGCGGCATCCTGAACATAACATCAGGCTTCAAAGACCACCATGCACAAGAGGTCTTGCGGAGCAGTAACAGCTTTATCATTCCTGCACAGGTGGCAAGGGCTCTTGGACGTTGAAAGGTCTGCAGGAGAACGTACTCATCCCTAAACAGTTGGCTGCATACTGATGCATGGATGAAAAGCCTCTCCAGCCAGGATAGTCATCAGATCCGATCTACGGATCTCAAGCCGCCGCATAGGCTTCATAAAACAACGGCGGCACCCTGTTGTGGTGAGGACTACCAGGTTATACTCAAAGCATCTGCTCGTTAGACGAGGCGCTTTTTCCTCGTGAAGAATAAGCTTGTCACAGTGGCATTGATCAGTTTTAGGCGGGCATCAGGATCTAGAGCCATTCAACGACCAAGTAATCCTTGGAGAACGGCGTGCTTGTCGTATTTGTAGCAATTTGTACGACCTTGACAGGCGAAAATTGAGTATTTGACAGGCGGTAAAAGTTGTGGTTGATCGCAATCCATCACTTGGCTGCATGGTGGCTGAAAGGCTCAGACTCACAACCAAATCAGTCCTTGTCGGTGCCCCGCAAACATGACGAGTCGCGCAGCCAAACTCAAGATGAGGGATCCAGACCGAGTTGCTCGTGAGATTGTCAGCTGTCAGCTGTCAAAACGCTCTGGCATTCACGACGCCGTGCCACCCTCAAAGGTCGAGTGTTGTCACATTTCGTAAACCCACTTGAGCAAAACTACTTCGAATTGGCAATAGGAAACAATCCTTGGTGCACCGGCGAAAGCCGTTATGCTAAGAGAATTCGGAGATTGTGAACAAGATTCCGACCTAGAGCATGAGGAGTGATCTGCATCCGTGCCCGGCCGAATGTGGAGAATCTATTTGTATTTGCACTAAACCAAAAACTTGTCTTCTTCTCCATAAATAACTCTTAACGTTGTCGAGTCTGCAAATCCATGAAAATGCAAACCCATCACTCGATATCTGGCGGAGATACATCCTCAGGTGGCTGCGAAATCCTGTACACTTTTGCTTCGTGTGGCATGACCTCTGTGGTGAATGGAATGTTGTATAAAGTGAAGTCTGACTCATTCCCCTCTGACTTCCATAGATCTCGCAAGAAATACCGATCCCAAGTGATGATAAGATCTCGCCGTGGGCTAAACGTGATATCCGCCGTTTCCGAGCCACGGTTCAGCAAAGCAATCCCCCAGCTGCTATCATTGAGCTCCTTAGCGTAAACCTGGACGTTCCCAACATCCTGGACTAAAGCTGCTTGATTCCCAGCGACGTCTTGATTGAGCGCAATGACATCCTTGTTCAGCAATGTTTTGAGTGAGTCACTGTCGAGATTCCTCACGTCGGCTCCAATGAGTAATGGAGAGGACAGTATTGACCACAAGCTGAAATGTGTCCTATACTCCACATTGGAACATCCTGTTCCGACTAGTTCCTGACTTTTCCCATTCAGTCCGACAATTAACATGTCAAAGTCGTTGAAATGTCCAGGTGCGGAATATGCGGTCAATTCGTTACCACGGTCGATCATGTCCAGTACATCGAAATAATACTTCTCCCGGTTTCCAGGGTAGTTGAAGTCATCTGGAATGTCTTGACCGATACGCCAGTGATTGGCACCAACGGACGCAGCCCATTGCCAGATATCTGCCCATCCACAATGGCAGGTATGGTATACGATTGGCCGGCTGGAGTTCAGAAGAGCCTCCGACATGGTGCGAAAGACCTTCTGAACTGCCGGGATTGATGCATTCTGGTGTGAACAACAAGCATCATATTTCAGATGGTCAATTCCCCAACTGGCAAACATCTCAGCATCCTCCTGTTCATGGTCGATGCTGCCTGTGTATCCAGCGCAAGTCTTCTCCCCGGGTCCAGAGTATATGCCCATTTTGAACCCTTTCGAATGAGCATAATCCACCACTGCCTTGATACCATTGGGGAATTTGACCGAGTCATACTCGAGAGGATGGTTTGACCGTTTTCCTCTATGGGCTTGCCACCCGTCATCCAAGTTCACAAATCGATAGCCCGCATCTCGGAGTCCAGTGCTCTCCAGTGCATCGATGGTTTCTCGGATCAATTGCTCATTGATCTGATCACCAAATTGATTCCATGACGACCAGCCCATAGGAGGCGTCCGAGCAAGCCCGTTGGCATCGGTCCAGTCAGGCCCTCCATCAGACGTCAGAACAGCCGGGGTGACCAGTTGAGCATTTGCCAGAGCGGCACATGCCCCCAATAGTGACCATAAGTTCTTAGTCTTCATCCTTGTGCGAACTAGATGGAGAGATTTTGTCTTTCAACTTTTAGGATGATGGGACTTTTCATATGGCAAGGCGTCACTATCAGCGATGATGCGGCTTCTTCTCCGTGGCTGAGACGAAGACGGACAAATGTCAGCAATACATGACCAAAAATGACCAGTAAATAGCCTCCGAGCTGGGTGGACGTCGCAAGGTTATTGTAAATTGACAACAATAGGCGATCGTATGAATATTTGAGCAACATTGAGCAAGGTGCTTAACATGTCGAGCGACGGGTATGATTGTTTGCAACAGTTGCAATTCCATACCGCTTCCCTTCGTCGCATGTAACGTTACATGACAATGGTTAAGATCTTATCGCAATCAAGCATTAATATGAGTATAAGCGAAGACTTATCAGTCCAGGGTCAAATACTGAAGTTAGATACCGTGCAGACTGGTGATTTAGGCGGCCTGGATTCCCCCGCAACTTATCAGGCATACTCAACTGCCGGGAGCTCTGGTCGGTTAGGACGAAGACCAATAGAAGCATAGAAACACAAGACATGAAAACCGAATTGCGAGGAATGGGTTTGAAGGGAAAGCAGACAGAGATATTCAGAGTGCGAATCATTCCTTCGCCAAGCGATGCTACCTGGCAATATCGTAAATAGCAGAAGGTCAATACAAAATCGATTCGTTGAGCAAAGGATAGATACATCGTCCGTCCGCTAGCAGCAAGTATCCAATTTTTGAGCCCTTGCAATCTTCACCTTCACCGCCCACGGCCATCAAGCCCACATACCACTGCCACCCAGGTATGTATTAACAACCTTTGATCTGGGTTACTGCCATTCAATCGAGGATATTCCCCACTCTCTGTCGCTCAGCTTCCGCTCAATGATGCTTTAGATACTCTGTGACGGCTGGTGCGATCGAGGGACGTCGAGACTCCTGTCCTGTGACCACACTAGCTCTGCGTTGCGCAGCAGCATCCTCTGCTCGTCCATGAGACGCAAGAGCGTTGGTGATTGATGGAATAATGGATGGGCGCTGTGGTGGTTGGCCAGCAACAGAGTATCGAACTGCCAATTGATTTTGTTCGTGCTCATCAAACTCATCAATGACGGTGGAGGCAAATTTGCGAGCAGGGACCTTCTTTGCGAACAAAATATCGAGCTCGTGGAATGTACGGTCCTAGATGGATGTAAGTAAGAGGGAAAGTGATCTGGGAAGTTTGCAACTGACTTTGGTCTCTGGAAGACGGAAATACGCCCAGATGAAAACGATCCATGCGCAGCCACCCCAAACAAACCCGGTGTAACCTTGGAGGTTCCATGCTTGGGGATTCATGAAGTAGTTTTCAAGAGAACCGCCAATGACACCAGTGATGTTCGATACATTGCGAGCAAGGCACACGGTCTTCTGTCTCAGACGAGTGGAACCGATCTCAGCCGGCAAGGCCCAACCTAGTCATTCTTGTCAGCGGTTTGTATAGCGAGATGTCAGAAGTGCCATACCGAGTTGTCCTGCAGACAATTGGAAAGTGAAGGTCCACACAAGCGTCATGATAGCCTGCGCCCATCCAACAGAAGTCTTCTTGGTCCATGGGTTGAGGATGCCAATAATGCAAAGCTCGATAGCCATGGCGGCCATACCTACAACATAGACGGTTCTTCTTCCGAAATATCTAGAAATGGATTAGTATCCTGTAGTTGGATTCGTTCTGCGCGTGCAAGGGGGTGAATGAAGGGTCAAGGACTCTGGGATGGATCAGAAAAACTCACGGCATCAGGAAAAACCAATTGCAGAAGCATGCGACGAGAGCCAGAGCGTTGGCACCCAATCCCAAGGAATACGCGGCATCCGTGTCCAATCCGACTTGTTGGAAGAAGTATGTCGATGCGTAGGCGAAACATAAACCACAAACCAATTGACCGCCAAAGACAACACAGGCGATTTCAGTACGTCGTAGTTCAAAGCCCTTGAAACAATCGTAGTAAGAAGTGCCGACAGACAATTGCTCTTCGAGATTATTGGTGTAGACAATCTGTGCCAAAGTTCTCTTGGGATCTAGCATTGGGTGGGGTGTCTGAAGACGACGAATTGACTTCTCTGCGGCTTCCAATTTGTTGTGTCGAACAAGATGGTAGGGTGACTCTGGCGCAAAGTAGATGAGTGGGATCAAGAAACATGGCCAAACCCATTGAAGAGCATAGGGAATGCGATAACCCCATTGATCCTCACGGTGGACGAGTCCTCTCAGAACACCAGCGCTGAGGAATTGGCCGATGATGAAGCACATATTGGTATAGGAAGTAAAGTATACGCGGAGTTGAACTGGGAGGACTTCCGAGGCATATGCTGGAGCGGTAGTTGCGAACTGTGTAATGACCAAGTCAGCAGAGATATCGAATATCTTTTTAGAGAGAAGCGACTTACAATACCCCATTCGAATCCCAACATGATCTGACCAACCAGGAGGACTGGTTTGGAAGGAGCGAAGAAGACGATGAAGATGAAGCAAGTCATGACGACTAGAGTACCGAGAAGGACTTTACGAGGACCGTAGGCGGCAATGAGCCAGCCGTTGAGAATTGTACCAATGATGGAACCACAGCCTGCGCATTCTTGTGTCAGTCAAGATCCTAAGAGAAGGAATCTCTTTTAGATAGCTTTAGATAGCTTACCTGCACCCTGACCAAGGCCAGTTTGCCATGCAGCTGTCAATGAATAGCCAGTGGGTGTTTGTTTGGAAATGCCGACGAAATCACCATACTTTCGCTGGAAAGATGCTGTTCAATTGTAGTCAGTAAGATGGTAGTGGTTTAGTACAGACACCAGCTGTTACTCACGGTAGGCGTAGAAATTCCCGAGAAGATTGGTATCATACCCTTCCATGATGACATTGGTAGAAATGATCAGACACCAAAAGACGGCTTTTTTGTATGCTACCAAAGCTTGTCGGATAGTCATTTCCTTCTCATCTTTCGCAAAGTCGTGTGCAGCGACACTTAATTTGCGATCACCCCATTGCTCTTCTCTCCAAGATCGATCGAAGTTGCCGTTGGCCTCGTCGACGACCTCACTGGTCTCGCGAATCTTGTCGTCCATTGTGAATTGATTTTGTCGCGGTAGTCGACTAGATTGGTAGATTGTGATGCACCGATTGCTTGATGAGAGATTGTTATCGAACCCGACAGGTATGGGATGTCTTATGTAGATTTCCAACGCAGTCTGCCTTCATGGATGATCAGGTGCTGGAGCTGCTTGTGATGCTTAACTCCTGTTAGCATATCGACTCCACTCTGTTCAGAATGTAGTATGCAAGGCTGAAGGAGGGTGGAAAACATCGGTCTTCGGCTAGACTGACCACATTGTTCGGCGAGATGGGTAAGCGACATATAGCTGAGGAGCTCTTGTGATTGATGGACCAGGGGGCCTAGGGAAAGCAGCCACATCCCAAATCGTAGAAACTGAGGAGTATGGATCGTTGTCCTATCATTGAAGAGGACTGGGAGGGTTTCCCCTCACAAGCACCCGAAGCATTATTGCGCCAAAGCAATTCTGCAAGTCTAAAGAGGCTTCAGGTTTCTAAGATCGCGGTTGATCTGCGTTTCCCGCCATCTTCCCCACCATTTCCGCCAGTCGCTTCGTAAACAACCCTTGGGCAAAACCCTAGGAATGCAGGGAGTGCGTTTCTGAAGCCCTCCCTTCAAAGCATAATGACGCATGAAAATGAGAAATTGTTTACGTGTTGCATTTCTCAGATTTCCCCAGGGTCTCTTATTGTTCGGGCCACGGAGGATGATTGTTGCAAAATGGCTCTTATCCCTCGAGATTCATCAAAATCTAACCCCTAAATGGTCAGACAAGACCACATCAATCCATAGTGGCAGGGCGCTCTCATGGCGTAATAGAGAACCCGCAGCATCAATCGAAGGGTATCAATGTCCCCAGACCGCTTCCCAAAAACACTGTTCGCTCCGGTGTATGCATAGGGGTGTGACATGTAGTACTGGGCTAAGCTAAGGCCATTCAAGAAGGTAGTGAGTTTTCCGCCAGCAGGCGGTTTTCAAATGCTGAAGGTCCAGCATTTCGGTTGCCATGTGACTACCACCATGAACGGAAATGTAATGCGAATTCAAGTCCAGGTCTTGGTCTACCGAGGTCGTTGGGAGCGGGCCCCAAGAGAGGTTTGGATTCTGCAGGCCAGTCTGGCCTAGGTGGAGCAAGGCCTACTTGCGGAGAACCCTGTCACGCCATCATGATCTCTCAAACCATGAAAAACTCTGTTGGATTTTGATTTCTGTGGTTCTCGCACAAACCCGAGGCGCATTTACATCAGATAGACCCAGGTCGACTGCCACTGTAAGCAAACCATACGCCTTGCGCATGATCGGAAGACTTGTGAGATTCATGACGGGTGGCTTTCCGCCGTTTCCCCTTGGACTCCAGATCTCGTCGACCAACGATCAGTTTGTGATATACTTCGCCAATGCGGGGTTATGCTCGCCGAAATTTCTAGGCGAGTTGAGAACAAGGGTTGTCTGGTTGATTAGTCTTCATAGCTCGAAGTTGTCGAAAAATAGCATTGTTGTCCTGGATGATAATTTTCAACATGAGAGCATGGCTTACAGCTGGACTCCTGCATCTCCTCGTCTGATGATCATGACCTCTCCGTCAGCCTTGACTTGAAGTCGATTTCGAGATCTCTGCATTTCAAAGTAAAGAACCAAGCAGAGCAGCAAGATGCAAGATTTCGACGAGCATGGACGACAAGAACATCCATCCATCTGAACTTCTCGAGTTTGCGACTTTGCCAGCCTCGCCTCTACACCGTCCACAACATCAGTCGAAGCTCAATGATACCACAGCAGTCGAAGCGCAAACCGTGCGAGCAGACTCGGTGGCAACAACCGAGGACAGCCAGAAAGGCCACCACCACCACCTTCAACGGCTGAATTCATGGCACTCAGGAATTCCCACCATCACCACGGCGGCCTTGACCGCGACGCAGCTCGAACACAAAATGACGTTCCGCAACGCGTTGAAGGTGTACCCCAAAGCGATCTTTTGGGCGGGCCTGATATCGCTGGCCATCATCATGGAAGGCTATGACACGGCGCTGATCACGTCGTTCTATGCCTTCAACGAGTTCCAACAGCAGTACGGGATCCCTGACAAGGCCGGTGTACCGCAGATCACGACCAAGTGGCAGGCTTCTCTGAGCAACGGATCGACCGTCGGGTCCATCATCGGCCTGTTCGCAAATGGAATCATCACCGAAGTCATCGGGTATCGGCGAACCATGATGGGTGCACTCGTCATGTTGGGCATCTTCGTCTTTCTCCCTTTCTTCGCCTTCAACATACAAACCCTCCTGGCGGGACAGATCCTCTGCGGCCTCCCATGGGGTGTGTTCAGTACTCTATCCACCACGTATGCTGCCGAGGTCGTGCCCCTCAACCTCCGAGGCTACCTGACGAGCAACATCAACCTGTGTTGGCTGCTGGGCCAGCTGGCCGCGCTCGGGATCCTCCGCGGCCTCGCGGGCGTGCAATCCACGTGGTCGTTCCGCATTCCCTTCGGCCTGCAATGGGTCTGGATCGTGATCCTGCTCATCCCGACCTGCTTCGCACCGGAATCGCCGTGGTGGCTGGTGCGACACGGAAAGAAGGAGCAAGCAAAGAAGGTCCTGCTTCGACTGACGCGCTCGACGTCTGACTGGGAAATGGACAACACCATCGCCATGATGGAACACACGGAACGGGTGGAGGAATACTCGAGCTCGAAGATCCCAAAGTCAAAGTCCACCCGCTTCAGCGACACCTCGTACGTTGCCTGTTTCCGCGGCTCGAACCTCCGCCGCACCGAGATCGCATGCATGGTCTTCATGACCCAGAACATGTGCGGCCTGCCCATCATCGGGTACGCCGCATACCTGTACAAGCAGATGGGGTTTGACGAGCGCCGCAGCTTCGATATCACGCTGGGCATGCAGGGCCTGGGCATCTTCGGCGCATTTGTGTCGTTGGGCCTGTTGAAATATGTCGGCCGCCGCCGCACGCTGTACCTGACCGGTCTGGGCCTCCTGTTCGTCACGCTCGTCACGGCCGGGATCGTCAGCTGCCTGCACGAGACAAACACCACGCGCTGGCTGACCGCCGCGCTGATTATGCTGGTCATCTTCATCTTCGACTGCACCATCGGCCCCCTCACATACTGTCTTGTCGCCGAGCTCCCGTCGAACCGACTCCGGGTCAAGACCGTCGTGCTCGCGCGCGTCGCATATAACATCAATTCTCTGGTCACCAATCTGGTGATACAGCGCATGTTGAACCCCTTGGCCTGGAACTGGCGGGGCAAAGCGTGCTTCTTCTGTGCGTTCCTCAATTTCCTGTGCTTCGTGTACTGCTTTTTCCGGCTGCCCGAGACCCGTGGCTTGAATTTTCATGAGCTGGATATTCTGTTTGAGAAGGGCGCTGCGGCGCGCAAGTTCGCCGCGTTTCAGAAGATCTTGGAACAGAATGGGTATTATAGCTTGACTGAGGAAGGTCAGCCTTAATATCTCGCAATGCTCATCGAGTGTTTCACACAGTTTCTAGACACATGCCCCATAGTAATGGAATGATTAGAAGAGCGGAAACATCGGAGGTTATCTCGACAAATCAGCCATTTCCTGACTTGGGATGAATCATGTCGCAATTTTGGCCTTATTGCTCATTATTCTAATGTCCAGTGGGTATCCAAGCCCTTCATGGTTGCTCAATTGGAAGTGTCAACGACTATGTCCATGATCCATCAACTCGGCAAAATAACTCCGTCACCCCATATCGTTAAAGAATGTACACAACTCCTCTCGCTGATGCTTCGCTAACGTGACGGACTGGCTCGCGCTCGGCTGTGATGGCTAGAAAAACTCGTGATCTCACTCAAACGTTTGTGCAAAGTATCTCTCACTATCACACCCTGATTTAAAAACAAGTCGCTTTTCGGTGGTTGGTTCATGCAAATCCAAGGTTTTCGAGTATTGCTTTGGCTTCGTTTTGTGGCAGACCTGCGACGCCCATTGCTATGGACAAGCTACCACGTCGTAATCGCTGGAGTCCCACTGCGACCTTCCAACCCTCACTTTGTGAGAGAATGAAGACATATTTGCGTCCATCGGACTTGAGAGTTGCTCGAAGCACATGCATTCCGCTCAGCTCGCAGCTCTGTTGCACAGGTTGGTCAGTATCACGTTTCACACCAGAGATCGATGAAGGGTGCCCGCGGCTGTAACATACCTCTACTAGTTTGATCGTCCATGCCTTGACATCCCACTCTCGCTGGGCCACGCCTCGAACATCGTCGTCAATAAAGAACCCTTCAGTTGTGATGCGGAGGATCAAGCCATCTGTGACATTGCCCTGATTTGATAACAACTGGGAGACTGGTGTGCGAGTAAAGGCACTGTTGAATTGAAAGACGCCCTTGATGATGATCTTATCAGGATCCTTGGTTGAATACGGGCCTCGTGTAGAAGGCGGTGGGGTCGTCCGGGCGGTGCTTTGTGAGGGAGCGTACGAGGACTCTGAATACATAGATGCCGCGGAGTTGGCCTTGTGTGCCTGTTTCGGTCGATCGTAGGGTCGGAAGGAGTAGGCATCGTCATCTCGCTCCGTTCTCGCAGAAGGCATAGGGGGTCGTTTTGGTGATGACTGAGACTGGGATTTGGCTTGAGCCTCTGCTTGTGCTTGAGCCTTTGCCTCTGCCCGAGCTCTAGCTGCTGCATCGGCAGCCGCCTGAGCCTCGAGTCTGATCCTTTCTTTCTCAAGCTCTGCTCTGGCCGCAGCTGCCGCAGCTGCCTTTTCTTCTTTCTCCTTTTTCTCCTTCTTCTCACGTTCAAGCCGCTCGGAAGCGTCCTTGTCTCGCTGTCGTTGACGTTCCTTTTCCAGTTCTTCCCTGCGTCGCTTCAACTCTTCCGCTCTCTTGCGCTCCTCTTCCCTCTTCCTGGTTTCCTCTCTAGCCTTCTCCCAACTAGATTTGTTACCTGCAGTGTTGGCCTTGGTGTTGGCCTGAGGGGGAGACCTCTGCCATGATGATTGAGGTGGAGGATTGTTGTTCGGCGGTGGCGGCGGCGGCGGTGGTGATTGGGGTGGAGGAGTGGGTTGTGGTTGAGGCGGTGGTCCTGCATTGGTGTAATGAGATGAATTGGCCCCCTTATGGCCACCGGAGCCTGTGTCGGTCCTTGAAGCGCCAGCAGGTTGTGCCCATTCGCCCTGTGTTTTACCCAATGCCCAAGCAACTACAGCAATACAGCAAATGAGCATAAACACACCACCTCCGCCTCCATTGATCGTGGTAAGCAACCAGTCTTTGAGGACGGGAACTGCGGTAGTGTAAATGAAGAAGGAGGCGGCAGTACAAAAGCAACCGGCGAGAAAGCTGTTGCGCTGAGTCTGCAACGAGGGTAGATAGAGGAAGCCGGAACCGGAGGAATGGGGAGGAATGACAAAAATGTCATACTTGCCATCTGGGAGACCGCCAGACCTGCCGCCAGGCTGACTGGAGCCCTGGCCATGAGGCGGCGGAGGAGGTGGTGGTGGCTCCATGAGAGCTGTGCCCTCGAGGGCTTGACAGGATTAAGTCTCTGAACGACAATCAAAATCAGGGTGGACTGTGTATGGTAGAGCCTTCTTTTTCATGTTCGAGCCTTGACTGCGCTTGGGGCAGTGGTGGTGCCGTGACGAGAGTCTGAGCTCTGGTGTAGGACCAGCTGCGCCGCAGTGTGTGACTGATATGTCAGTAACTGTTCCGTATGATTGACAGTAGGTGCTGAATATGCCGTAAGAGGGCTGGGTGGGCTGGATATGGTCCAGGAATCAAGAGACTGGTGAGCGTGAGACGTCTTGAACTGCGTTGTGATGGGAATCAGGGTTTGGTGGAAGGTGACGGGAAAAAAAGAAAGGCTCGAAGTCGGACAGAGATTTGGGTGGCCAGAGCGTTGTTGTTCCCACGCTAACTACTTGGGTGGTCGTAGATAGGTAAAGAAAGAAGAAGTGCTCGCTAGGCTTCGAATTGGTGAAGGATAGCTGGGTAGGATACGATGGTGTTCGGGGTCAGCATCCGTGGACCGTTGGCGTTGGCGTTGGTGTTGGCGGTTGTGATGGGGGATGGGGGGAACGGAGTGGTGTGAGGCCGGGGACCTGGTTCGTTCCAAGTGACAGCAACCTGCAATGCACAGGACAATTTCAATTGTGACTGAAATATGATAAGTGACGGAGTCGACAACAATGAACCAGGTTCCAGGTTACAGATTCCAGGTCCAAGGAAGAGGAGAATCCAGGGCCTGCTGCTTGCCTTGGGCCCCCCCCGGACGGCCACCTAAAAGAAGGCCGATGGCTACGAGTCCTACCAGGTACAACAGAGGACTGGGGACCTCGTACCGCGTGATGACTGAAGAAAGTAAAAGTGATACAAAGTGTAAATTAAATCTACAAGAACTTCCGTTTATGAAGCAACAACAGGCTGACAATCAAAGTGATACCTTCCAGATCTCTGGTGCAAAACAATATGCAGAGTGAGATGGTAGGCTCATGCAGGCATTTCTACATGGACAAATAAGAGCTGCAGGTGAAGCACTCTGGGTGCTGATAGGATCATTTGTTCCGAATATCAACGCGCTTTAAAGAAGAGGCGAAGGCTTGGACTCACCATTATCACGCATCAGAAGTGGCCACGTTGTGATTCCTGCAGGCGGTGAGAATGACCTGACCGTTGGGATGACTCTACGGAGGACATGGCAATTATCAGGGCGGAAAGCCGGTTGATCTTTCGTGTGATTTGGTGTCATGGTGCAGGCACTCGATGGTGATAAACAACGCGAGGCATAACGGTTGCTTGGGGAACATTGGGCTAAGAGGCGCCGGGAGAGCAGCCGGCAGACGCTAAAACACTGGGGCTTCTCCAGCTTCTAGCCAACTGGCACTGGCACTTCTCAGCTAAGAGTAGCCTAAAGACTCCCGAGACGGGAGCACCCTGGTTTGTTGTCCACGAGGATTTGGGACAGGAGTGGCCCATGCCCATGCCCACGCCTGTTGCTTGAGCGTCCCAGGGGCCAGGGGCGCAGTGCAAAGGACTTCAAGGCTCTGTGTCACTTTCTTCGAGAACACCCGAGGCCTCCCCTTAGGGCTCGTGCCGATGCATAATGACCTCATGTTCTACAGTATCCTTCAGATTGAGAGTGATCTGCAGTCTCCATCTGTTCCCTCCTTTGCTCTTTCTGTAAACATCGCAGTGGTATATCATCATGCGACGGACGTTAAAAGTCATGAACATACACGTAGCCGCCACTAGAGATGTGATGGGTGGCAAAGATGCTCTCAAGTTCTTTAGCCGTAATTTGTTGGTGCCACAAATAACAACCAAATAAAAAAACATTTAATCCTTCCACATCCTTGCCCAAGAGTGCCCCCCACACCACCCATGACTAAACCATGCAATCGCCTACCAGACCCGGACATGCTCGTAGTGACCATCGTTCAGCGTCGCTAGAAGTTCAGTTGAAACCTTTCTCGTATCCGCTCCCCATAATAGTAGAATAACAACGGACTTGGCGCGATCAGGACTCCCACAAATCCAAAGCAACTGATTCCCCAACCATACCCAAGCTTCTCAAACAACATGGGCGAGAACAAAGGCACAATCCCGCCAATCAAGCTTCGAAGAACCGATCCTCCTGCAATGGCGGACGCTGCGTATTCCGAGAACGAGTCGATGTAGTAATTCTGTACCGTGTTGATGATGAGCACTTGGCCTATACCATAAAAGAACGTCGCTGCGATGCACGCCGCCCAATGAACCCGGTATTCGACCAGCCAGGCAAAAGATATCAGGCCCGCAGGGATCAACACGCTTCCAGGAAATATGGCCAATGGTAAGCGAAACTCGGGTTTGGAGATACCATCATTTCTCTTCGTCAACTCGTTGAAAATGGTATCAATTCGAGGCACAAGGCCCCGAACAGCGACCAGAAACCCCAGTCCAGGACCCAGATACAAGAGCCCGACTTGTTCCGAATTCAGATTGTACGGCGACTCGGAAAAGATACTCTGCATGTTGGTATAGATGCTGTAAGTTGTCCCAAATATCAGCGCTTGATACAGACTCATCGTGAGGACGATCGGCTGGGCGAATATCACAAACGGTCTTTTCATGCTATGTCGGAGTTTGGTGGTGAGTGGACGCAGGTCTTCACCGTCATAACGATACTTGCTACCTTCATCGGACCCTTCTTCAAGCTCTCGTTTTCGCTTCCCAAGGAGGACTGGCACATAGGTTTCTTGGAGGAAGAAATAACCCACCGCAGTATTGAGCGCACAGACAATGGTCAAGATCTATCATATGAGCATATTAGCAAGACGTATTCCAATCGCAGGTCACGATACTCACCCAGTATATCCAACGCCAATTCAATCTCGACACGATAATGCCACCAAAAAGGGGTCCCAAGGTAGGGCCCAAAAGAGGCCCGAGTAGATACCAGCCATACACGCCCGCTCGCTGAGACGGCAAATACATATCGTTGATAGTACCACCACCATTGGCAATCCCAACACTACCAAAGAACCCAGCAATCGTGCGTAGAGCAATCAGCGCCGCGATATTCGGGCTCAACGCCGACGCGGCCTGCAGCAGCGAGAAGACGGCAAAACAGCAAATGTACAACAACCGCCGTCCAAACGTCTCGCTGAGCGGCGCCAGAACCAGGGGCCCGAGCCCCAGACAGATGACGAATCCCGTCGTCGTGGCGATCACCGACTGTTCGCTGGTGTCGAGGTCCTCGGCGATCTGCGATATCCCTGGCGTGAACATGGAGCTCGCCAGAGGGCTGAGCACCGCCATCAATGCGACGATCGCCACGTTGGTCATCTTCCGCCTCTCCTTCCATGCTCGCGGATCCCCGTCGTCGCCGTCTGGGAACTGCACTTGTATCGTATCTTGCGTGTCGTGACTTTTCACCGACACTGCATCTCCATCTGGGTGGAGCAGAGGTGTCTCTTCGTCATGTGCGTTCAGTGGAGGCATTGCTGGGGCGGACGACAGTGACAACGCAGTATGCCTGTTTGAAATATCTTACAGTATTCGATTTGCGATTGAGGAAATATAATAATCACATTTTGGTACACACCTGGGCAGTAACTCCCAACGCCTGTCGACCACGGGAAGGAAAATGTATGACGAGGGTATTTGTGGTGAATAGTCGGGTATGTCGTCAACGGAATAGCCTTCCGTGCCCCACGAATATAATTTGAATTATATTCCACACGGGCCGAATCTCAGAACATGCTTTCATTTTCTCAGGAATGGTGAATGTACATACTATCTTTTGGAGGGCCTAGACATGGCAATCTGGTCGACAAACCGCATTATTATACATTTCTCAATATTCACAGCTTTTGTATTATACATAGTGGTGCTCTTTCGCAATGGGCTGGTCATTCAGGTCCTAATGTCGCATGTACGGCCAGAATATGCCTCCACAGCTCGAAACTTGACAGCTGAGTTCCTATGTTTCGTACAGTCAACATTCAGTTACGCTTTCGAAGTCCGCGCCGAAGCCCCTGAACCATGCGCCCAAGGCCTGCATCATTGCACCGTCCATACAGCCCACAAGTGTCACATCGTACCGGTCTCTTTCTGCATTTCTGGTGCCACACCCAAACACACAGGCTGATGTGAGAGATAACAAGTATACACATGACAATGAAGAGAGGCGATTGACCCGGACACATTTTCGTCATAATCGTGCCGAGTCTTGCCGCAAGATCTTTCTGCGTCATGTTGGCTAACTGTGAACTTTCGAGATCCACACCGCGTAAAGCGAAAGTGCTTTACTGCTTGATAACGTCCCCAGCTGGTTGGTGGGCTTCTTGGATCGATAGCTGGAAATACGTAGAGGGTTGGAGGTGCCTTCGGAGGGACGTATCGCCAGGGCGGTTTGGCCAAGAGAACAATTTTTGAGAGACTTCAGTAGAGGTTGTCTCGGGCCAGGGCAGGGAGCTTGGGAGTAGTCGAGCGTACAAACACTGACCACAAGAGTAATAAATACTCATAATGGTGAAGCCAAAGAAACCCAGAGTGATGGCTGCAGCTTCATGAGGTTGGCACCCTGGTCTGCTGTAGCCTGGAGTCTCCTTGTGAGGCCCAGGATTCTGAGATCTGATCGCGCAGCCGCCACGTGCCCTTAATCATTGCTTGCTGGGGACTCCGGCACAAACTTTTGATCGTGCTGCTCACTGGCTTTTGTCACCAGATGCCGGTTCGCTCGTTTCTTTCCTAGCCAGCATCATTGCCATGGCCTCTTCAAACTCTGCCTCTGCCTCTTTCTCTGTCCTGCCTTCACCCTTCAACCTGCGCCTTACTTCTGACATACTCCGCACATCATAATACCACATGGTACCACCAGCCGCGGTCAATGCAACGCTGGCGACATTGATCGTAGCAAGGTTCAATGCCTCTAGGGCTTCTAGAGTACCATTGATCTTCTTTGCCTGTTCAGCTTGGGCTTCCGGACTGTTGCCATAAAACAGAGGATTGGTAAATCTTTTCCTAAGAAATGCGCGTCGCGTGATGAGCAGAGAAAATCCGAGAAAGACAAGACCGGCGCCGAATATTACTTTGGGCTTGTGAGGCTGGTCGCGCTGGACAATTTGCTGAGATGTAGGATTTTGCTCCGACTGTGTTTGTGCTAATATGGGGGAGGGTGTTTCCAGTTTCGAGACTGGCTCTTCCAGCAGACGCTTCTGTTCGGTTGCTGGCTGGGGTGAAGCAGGACTGGAGGCGGTCTGAGAAACGGTGAACCAAGAAGTGAGCCACGACATGGTGAGGATGTGCTGCTACAGTAGGTGCAATGCACAAAAAGGTAGTTATCTCCTCGTTCTCACAAATATTGAACAACTGCGATTGGGACTTCTGGGAAAATCCGAGGTCTGGCTACGGACGAGCGTTATATTTCATCGCGCAAAAGCTACTGTAGGTTATAGGGCGATAAGGTGCAAGACTGAACGCCCGGTACCGAGCCTGAGGGAGCTCTTATGGTCAAGGAGACATCCCGCTAGAACTTGAAGCCGAGGGGTGCCCAAATGGCCTCGACCATCCCCAACATAGGAATCTCATACCGTGACATGGCTTCGTAGCCCATTTTGATAATGTCTTCATTGAGTTATCCAAGTGTTGAGAACATCAGAGTCCATTTACACACCTCGCCTGCTATCCGTGCACATGAGTATTTTTCGGAGCACTTGGTACGTACCGATGGCAGGTCTCACCCACCACAAGCGACATTGATCAACGTCCAACTATCCACATTCCTGCAAACAATCTGAGAGCGGATCGCTTCTTGATCCGCATCAAAAGTCTTGTCTCATACCCCGAAGCTCTTTACATCCGAAGAAAGTGGCTGCCCAGGATGCAGATTTTCCTCTTATGGCCTCAATAGACCCCCAAAATGGCAAAATCCAGTCGATTTCATGACCCAGCAATTCCCAAGTATCGGATGCAGTTTGGGTACTTGTTCAAATTAGCGGCAATGCCATCGCCTGATCAACCCGCCTGTCAAATTGGCATGAGCCTGTTCCATTGGTTTGCAACTGGTGGTTTTTTGGTACCGATATCTTGACCCTGCTAAAAGCCTAGTCTGGCCGTTACGCTACCTGAACTCTAACACTCTGCTCCACTTGGTCCACGTTTGCACGCCCTCGTTATCTCGTAGACCTGACATGTCCAGCTGACATGTGCTTTCGGCACACATTGCTCTGGATAGAACGGGTTGCTAGCCCAGCCGACTCCCAGGCCATTCTTTCCCATCTCTTCCTCGGATCAACTAGACGGGACACCTCACGAGCGCGCCGTGGGTTATTTAATTCCAAGTATCGATGCCAATGGTTGCTTGGAGGATACTGCACAATACTCTACAATTTAACGACACCTCAAGCCAGTCCAGACGATGGATATCAACCTCCGATTCTCCGAGGTAATAGGCATAGGTCTAGATTTTGATGGCTTCACAACTTCACAAGGAGGCCTAAGTTCTGTTGCACAGAATCATCTAGGACCCTCTTCTCGACTTGGAGAGTCTCAAGATACTCCTCGTACGAGTGACAAGTACACCTTTTAGCTGGGAGAACACGTGGCACGACAGATGTCCCACGTGCTATTGCCAACTACGAGTAGTCATGTCTAAGGTTTTTGAACTGACAGCCATCAATCATCCAGCGCCTCACTTTGAGATTGGGATTCATACCAAGCAGACCGGATCCTGGATGACAAGCTGACATACGCCCGGCCATGCACTATTCAAGCAGACAGAGCTCAACATCCTAGAGCGCCCACAGCAGCCTTTTCCAAGCCTTTCCGGTGTCTGGCCCTGGTATGGGTGGGATCTCAGCCTGCTTCATGCGAGGTGTACCGCCCTCGAGATCCTGGGGTAACAAGTATATCTCCTTTATCCTCACCAACTGCGATCGGATCCATTCCAATTGACCAGGCCGAATCTTGGATAGGAAATGAGTCGGAGGTGGTCCAATCTTCGTACGTGTCATCAACGGCGTGGACAAAAATCCGACCAAGGGAGTTATCAAAAACCACCCACCTATGGCTGCTGCTGCGCGCGAGTGGTCTTTCATCGTCATTTGGGTATGGTGGCCCATGGCGTCGACGTAGTTGGTAAGTCGCCTTAGCTCTGGGGGCACTGGCGGGTACTCGCAGCGTTCATGGGGAAGTGTCAGGACAGTGCGGTTTCCAAGGTGATATGGAATTGATGCGCAGAAACCGTCAATGATTGTTTGCGTCTGCTGATCGAGATATGCTTGTAGGTCTGGCTCCAGACGAAGTTGTCCCTGAGCCTCAGATTCTCGTTGGCATAATTCAATCATTCGGAGCAGGTTGAAGTGGGAGCTACGAGCTGCGTTGTGCACATGTGATACTTCGAGTGAGGAATAGACCTCAACCATATCCTTATAAACCCCGGCAGCGCGTATTGAAGGATGCACCTTCGAGATCGGAACCACAACTGGCTGCCATGATAGTGGCAGTGATGCTCGCCAAGCTTGGAGTTTTCGATCGAGTAGGAGTGCTTTCGCCATGATGAGCTGGTAGAAATCCAATGTGTTTATCCCAGCCGCCTTGGGGCCTGCTTCTGCATACACATTGAGTTCGGCAAGAGCAGCATTGACAAAATCTAATTGTGTAGCGGGCTGTTGCGTCTCATCCTCGTCTAGCATGTGGGGTTCCAACATGACCTTCTTGCAATGCTCCAGGGCGTAGCTGATATGCCGACTTCTTATCGCCGTATACATCCGCCTGGCTGTAGGATTCTCGAAGTTCTTCTTGCCTCGGTGTCGTAAAAGTGCAATTGCGCCTGTTTGGTGGGCACCACTATCGATGAAACCCGCAAATCGCTTGCGGAGACCATCGTAGAAGTCAAACATGAACACCGTTGCAAGGGTGTCATCATTTTTACTTTCAACTTCATCCTGAAGTGTTTCGGTCAGTTGGAGCATGGCTTGACCGTAGTATTTTCTTGCTAGATGCGAACCCGTCGTGCGCGAGAACCACATCTGCATGATTTCCAAAGCGATCGCATTGGTCGCTAGGGACAATGCGGAGCCCGCTGGAGCATTGGAGTAGAGGGGTAAAATGTGCTCGATGAAGATGTTCGTAGTCGGATCCCGGGGCACTGAGACATAGTTCCTGAAGAACCAGTAGATCGACTCAGTTTCGACGTTACGAGAGGGCACAATCATCAGAGACAGGTCATCCACCTTCGAGACATTGCAATCATCACCATCCGACTCAGGTGTTCTTTGGAAAGATGATCGGGTCAGCGTTCTCAATTCAAGGACATCGCTTGATGGTGAGCCACTTCCAGAGGAAGACTTGGCGGATGCCAGCTTCCTTTCGGTAGAAGCTGGGTTGTCGAGCTTGTGCACAGCATCAAACAAGTTTCGATACCCAGGGCACTGACGACCCCTTCTTGTACAATTTCCACATTGGGGTCGTGTCTCATCGCACTTTTCGCACCTGTTAGTTCAATCCTTGTGAGTACTGGTCAATATGGAGGCGACCACGTACCTTAACTCGCCGTTTACGACATGATTCGCATCCCTTACTAGGCCCTTTGTACACCATCGCCAGCCATCTAATCACTGATAGTGCTCACAAATGGGTCTTATGTTCTCGTGCAAGAAGATGAATCCACTTGCACTGGGATTCTTCCCAATTCGTCAGCGATGTACGTTGGAGAATTGATGTTTGCCACGGAGCAATTGCTGGCTGCAGTACAGTCGAAATGCTAGGTGGGCTTCATGGAGTGCGATATGAATGGAGCTATGAATTAAAGAAGGTTACTAGACCTTTTGATGTACAAATACTTGGTAGTTATGGATAAGGGATATTGTGTCTGCCTGGTTGATATTGGGCTACAGGGCTTTGGGAGTCCGTCCCTAATGGTTAGTCAGTCCTCCAGAGTGCGAGGTTGCCCCTTCTTCAGGTCTTGGTGCTTAGCTGTTATCGTGGCTGTGCAGATGTTCCACTCGATTTCGGCTGCCGGCGGCCTCACGTTTGTGTGAGTAGTTTAAGTACCTTAGTCAACGCCGCATCCATGTCAAACATTCCTAACACTTCAATCAACATCAGGACATGGTATCATCTACCTGAGTACCTAGGTAGGTACCGGGTCCGGTCGGTAGGATGCATCTACTGAATGCCAAGGTCCATCCCTCGGTCTTTTTACTTGCGACTAGCTTTCCTAAGGTAAGTAGCAATCGTTCCCAATCGATTCAAATATTGAACGCGATAGTTCTGTTCCTTAGCCCTAAGCTGTCCACATCAACTCACTAATAGGATCCTCCTGAACCATCAATGATGCAAAGCTGAATATGTGTCCTCCACCGAGGCTGCTCCAGGTGATCTCGATTCGCTCAATTTCACAATAAGACTTCATTGATCATACGATCGACTGCCCAAGGTGGACTGATTCAAAATGGAATTCAATTCAGCTACTATGAGTCATATGAGAAACCTACACCTATCTATAGGCTAATCGCGCTCCCTCTACCACGGAACTTGTTCACCCTTCTGATCCCAGAACTTTCCACCATGTGCTGATCTATCAGCCTTGTCGAAGAAGCTTACCAGTCCACCAACGCTTTCTTCGATGCTTACAGGGACATCAGCCGCTGTCAGGCCCGCCGATTCAGCCGCTCTTATGCCCATATCGGTGGTGACCCAGCCGGGCTGCATGGCAATCACAACTAGGCGATCTTCCTCGCGGTGAATCCGACTAGCTACCCAGTTGACGGCTGCCTTGGATGTGCCGTAGGCGAGCACTTCCAATGGAAAGTTGTCTTGCAGGGCATTGCTGCCGATACTTGAAGAAATGATGAAGAACTTCGGCTGTTGGGTGGAAGCAAGTAGCAAGGTTCGAGTTGCTTGGTACAAGAGAATCGGGCCTACGGTGTTGACCCGGAAGTGCTCTTCAATCAACTCGGACCTGGCTTCTTTCGCCGGACCATAGTGTTTGAGGATACCTGCATTGGCGACCACAATATCCAAGGTCTTGATGCCATGAGTCCGGGTGAGGTATTCCACGAGATTGACTGCAGATGATTTGTCGCCCGCATCATACTGACCCACAACGATCTTGCTACCCTGCGCGGTAGGGAGCGAGGTGAGGGCAAGTGCTTCAGGAGACTCTGGACCGTTTCGAATCGCAGCAACGGCGAGGGTGTTTGGACGAGATGCATAGGCTTCGAGCAACCCTTTGCCGATCCCGGCCTTTGCACCCGTTACCAGAACAGTTGTTTGGTAAGACATCGTGATATTGCGCGGTTGTTGATAATTGAGAAAGGCTGTTCGATCGTGAATAATGAGCTGAATTGCTGATATAAAACGTGAGTGTAGAATGAATGAGACGACTTTCTTGATCAAGTCCAGCGTCTCATTTTATATCTGAGACTGCGAGCTGGTGATTCTTGCAGCCTGGGCTGACCAAGCGTACATTCTGAGTGACAGTGCAGAGAGATCGCAACGAACGCAGCCAGAGTTCTACCTATGGTGTCTGTAAATCACTCGAGACCAGTATGATTAACGCCGATGACAAACTTGTGAGCCACTGTCTTCAAAATCACGACTCGACCTTCGGAAAGGATTACTATCTCTGCCATGGTATATAGTGATCAAGAGTAAGTACTTTTCGACGGCGCTTTTCCTATTGGTTGCTTCAGAAGTTTCCCGTTTCGGAGTTCACTTCAAATGTTTCCAGATCCGGTGTTTGCCCACTCCACGCTCTGCCATAAGTTGGGTCAAGGAGTTGCTGATAGCAGAGACGCGTATATTCTGTTGCTTTCGCATCCCCCTGGAATCTTCGTTATTAGTAACCTCCTTGCAGGTTTTCGCAAAGAGGCCACGACCATCTGACATATATCAGCATCTGAGGCGTCGAAGCGTATGGCCGTCCGCATTCGTAATGATTCCATCACAAGCCAGCGCAGCGCAGGGTATGCCAGGGCTAGAGTCCTGTGTTGGGATGAACGAGAATCTCACTCTTGCATCCTACTCTACTGAGCTCGATTCTTCTTGTACACCTAGTTCACCCTTTGCGCATGAGTTTTGAATCGTATCGCGCATCAGTTGTGTCAGCGCATGCCCTTGGTATAGACTAACCGTGTCAAATGAACGATGGTATCATGGTCTCCAGATCGACAATGGCTTTCCAGTCAAGGTTTGTCCTCACCAAATCATCGTCTGAGAGGTCTTGCTGCTTCCACAGAGTCTCAACGAGCATTCTCGTGACTGCTATGTTTCCAATACGCCTGTGCCGTTCCATTCCAGCAAAAGTTTCCAAGATTTGAAGTCGCTCTGCATCCTCTGTCACTTCGCACGCGACGACAAATAGCGGCCACGGGCTCGTGCATATTCCCAGTTGCGATATCAACATTAAAGCTGACTGGACCAAAGCTTTAATGGATGGATGCTTAGATGTCAGACGTTGGACATGATGGTGAAAGTATATCAAAGCGGCGATATGGTAAAAGTCGGCAGTCTGCTGAATACGGTGTCTGTCAATAATGGGAGAGGATGCCAGGTGATGATGGTCCTCCTTGACTTGGAGTACTTGAGAAAGATTGGCCAGGCGGAGTCTGACCGTCTCGATATACTCTTGACCAGGATTTGTATATGTTATACTGTTAATGCAAGCAACAAGCTCCATCAGCTCCTCCGAACAACCAAGAGATCCGATTATCTAGGTGCCAAAATCAGTGGGCGATTCCTGGAAGTTGCTCGCATCGGACAGTCACTCACAACAGTCTTGGGCTTTCCTGATTGCGGAATAGGATGAATGTCTCCATCAGCACGAGACGTAGAAAACTGGGATAGAACTTCGTGGTAAAGAAGCCAGCTTCGAAGAAAAGGTGACAGAATGGTCCTTCGATTGGACTTCTCCGCTATGCTTCTGGCTCCATGAAGATGCACAGCCCAATGACCGTCACTGGAATCGAACACTCCGTAGACGCAAAGCATCATACAAGCTGCCACTTGGGCACTCATCAAGTCAGATGTTTCGGCTCGCAAGGACAGCTTCAGGGAGTGCAACGCCCGAGCCTTGTATCGTAGTGCATCTTCCTGGTAGCCTAGGTGAAAGGCACAAAGGCCCAGAATCGCAGCCTTTAGACTTTGAGATGCATGAGAGTCATGTGCGATCGCCATTGGAATGATTTCATGGCGAAATCCATTTTCCGCATCGTCCAAAGTGGTGATAAATCTGGCCAACTTTGCCTCGTCTGATGAAAGGATTCAGTCAGTGCGTCATAAAATCGTGATGAGGCGCGAATTACAGTATGAAAGTAAGGCTTCTTCGCCGTCAGAAACCCTTCTCATCGGCAGTTGTTTGGCAAGGGGAGGTAAAGAAAGCTTGAGCATGACGCTCTCTCGTGTATGCGAGTGGACGAAGCAGTTGCTCAGCTGGACATCACGAACACCAGTATTGATCAAGTATATCGGCGAGAACTTTGATCGACGTGTGCAGCTGAGAGTCGACTCATCATGATTTGATGTAGTTCCGTGTTGAAACGGTTTGCGACGCCGGTCGATCTTGTCGGGCCAACTCAGCTTCAGCCCATAAGCCTCGCAGGTTCTGTTGGTACGAGTACAATTCTTGCAGGTAGGAATGGTCTTGTCGCAGCCAATTTTCCTTTCTAGACCCCCATCAGTGCCTACCTAAAGGGAAAGTCAGGAGGGAGGTCATCCTTACTCTTGCAGGTCCAGCAAGATACATTGGACTTTGACGAGGCCATCTCTCTGCTTGCGGATCGACGAAGGACGAGGCTTTGCCTACCATCTTGGTAGAATAGAACGCGAACTCAACATGTGGACATTCAGTCAGTCAACGAACGCGATTCTTGAAGCAGGAAGAAGGATAGTAAGCTGGTATCGATGCCAAGGCGCATTTTCCAGACGCACTAGACCAAGCTCAGTAAAAATAGGCACAAATTCTTTACCTAAACAATTAAGCCTATCAAGCTTTACACAAGTGTCCCGGGCCTTATCATAAGCTGCATTGTCAATCTGGCTGTCCCCAGGACTGCCGTCCGTCTTCCTATGTGCCTGTGGAAATCTTTTCACTTCTTCATGACTGTTATATGCTTGTCCTGCGATGGATTGACGAGAAGGCTGAGCAGATCAGGCCTTGCATAGTGTCCGACCGTGTCGATGAACGCCTTCGCCCTATCAATATCCCTCAAATCGATGTCTGCAACCAGAATTCCTTCTTCCCCATCTGTTAATGCCTTTGCGAGAGGCTTTCCGTCAGGCCCAAAAATCATCGAAAACCCACCACCAGGCTGTGCACATCGCTTAGTATGATTCAGTCGTGTGGATTTTGAACTTACCGTTTTAATCGGTGGTGCGGCAGTGAGATTATTCAACTCCAGATTTTGCTCCGTTAGGATCTGCGATGCGACGACCACAAAGGTCTGGCCCTCGATGGCCATGAATTGGCTCGCACGATAACTTGCTTCCCCAGTCTCATGATACTGCCATGCCAAGACAGCTGGGTCTGGCATAGAGAACTCGGCCGGCCAGCTTGCAATATGAATTTGCACTCCCTGTGCATATTCATAGTATCGTAGCAGTGGCTGCAGATGTTCCCAACAATTGAGCCCACCGACTTTGCCGAAAGGTGTGTCAATCACAGTCTTGAGTGACTCGGCTTGCCCTTCGCCCCAAAGTGTTCGCTCGACATGGGTAGGCTTGATTTTGCGTCGATGATGCACTATCTCTCCATCTCCAGAGATGAAAGATTGTCCCATGTACAAGCTAGCTCCATCTCGCTCACTGTAACCGAGCACAACAACCATCTTTGCCTCTTTTGCGGCCTGCTGAATTCTTTTCATCTCGGGAGAGTCGCGCAACAGCGAGTTAGCCATATACTTGTGCACCATTTCCGTGTTGTCGAGAACGCTTTTGGTCCATAGTGACCTTGTCGCGTCAGTATATTCAAGAACACATTTGGAAGGACAAACCAGGGGTACCCTGGGATCCAGACTTCTGGAAACCCGAGAACGTTGACTCCATCCTCCGCCGCCTGCTGGATTAAGGATATGGTCTTGTCCACACTTTTGCCAAGATCAAGCCAACCAGGCTCGGCTTGCACTGCTCCAACTCGGACTTTGGTCATTGTGTAGGTAGGAAGAAGAATCCAATGCTTGGAAGTAGTTGTGAAAGAGGAGGTTGATGACTTGAGACACCTACCTGCACCCTCACCTTGATATCAATGAAAACTAACTTTACAAGTCCCACCACTGATCGCAACTTATTGCAGAAACAAGTGATGAGCCGCGTAGTCGAATCTCATGGTCCCTGTGTCCATGAATGGGACTAAGGCTCGATGATCTTGGTTCAACACCCCCACATCTGAGTTTCTCGGTGGAGATTTCGAAAGCCATGATAATGATTCTTGGGTCTGAAACCGTAGAGGTATGTGGAAGAAGATACTCTTTCTGGTTCGTGGGCATGGCTGGGCCACAAGGTCGATAGACTAGTCCCGTTTGGGATTTGAACGATCGCAAAGTACTTCCGTTTTATGAACGAATAAGAGTAGCAGCTCGATCGCCAGGAGTTAATCAGTGAAAGCCGTCCCATGAAACTTCTCGTATAGACACGGCAGGATTATCAGTTATGTTGATCCTGCAATACTTTGCGATCATTTCCACCAGCTCTGTCAGGCTGTATCTCGAAGATATCGATAGTAGTCGTAGCATAAATATGGGCTTGAGAACCATGTTCATCCACAAGGCAAAGCCATCATATCTAGAACTTCAACAATCTCGGGCTCCATCTCCGAAAACTGGGACGCAATATGGGAAAGCACAACGCCAACAAAAACGCGGATGCCGCTCTTGCAAGACTCGGCTACCAAGCCGAGCTTCCAAGAAACCTGAGCATGTTGAGCGTAATGGGACTGTAAGAAAAAAGGAAAACGAGTGTCCCGGTGGAGCATCGAACTAACAATGTCGCAGTTCTATGGCCATCATAGCAACGCCATTCGGGCTGTCTGCAACACTCTCCTTGGCACTGATTGATGGACAGTGTGTGACCATTTTCTGGGGATGGCTGTTGGTCACACTGATTTCGATAGCAATCGCAGCATCGTTGGCTGAGGTGTGCTCTTGTTATCCAACAGCCGGTGGAGTTTATTATTGGTCAGCAATTCTTTCCACGAAAAAATGGGCTCCTCTGGTTTCCTTCGTCGATGGATGGCTCACGCTCGTCGGCAATTGGACTTGCACCCTGAGCATCAATTTCTCGGGGGCTCAGATGATTCTCAGCGCTATCACGCTCTGGAATGAGGAATACGTTCCGACGGCATGGCAAACCATCCTCATGTTTTGGGCTGTGATGATCCTCCATGCATTGGTCAACGTGTTCTGCTCAAAATACCTCGATCTCATTAATAAGGTGGCGATGTACTGGATAGCCACAACAGTGATCGTCATTTTAGTGGTTACGCTGTCCATGGCTGATCACAAGAACGATGCTGCTTATGTGTTTGGCCATTATGACGCTTCAGCTAGTGGCTGGTAAGTCAAACCTCCTGAAGCAGAAACTAATACTAACACTCCCAAAGGCCGGCAGGGTGGGCGTTCTTTGTTGGCCTTCTTCAGGCTGCGTACACCCTAACAGGGTACGGGATGGTAGCTGCACTGAGCGAAGAAGTTCAAAACCCACACATTGAAGTTCCGAAAGCAATAGTTCTATCAGTTGTTGGGGCAGGAATCACCGGCATCGTTTACCTCTTACCTATCCTGTTCGTTCTTCCCCCAGTGGAAATTCTGCTTGCGGTAAAGAATGGTCAGCCCATCGGGCTACTATTCAAGATTGTTACCGGGTCTGCTGGTGGAGGCTTTGGACTCCTTTTTCTCCTCCTGGGCGTCTGGATGTTCGCAGGGGTGGGTGCCTTGACGGCATCAAGCCGTTGCACATATGCATTCGCTCGGGATGGTGCCATTCCGGGTCACCACCTCTGGCGGCAGGTTCACAAGGGACTTGACGTACCGCTGCTTGCAGTCCTCCTCTCCACAGTCGTCGACTGCTTGCTGGCACTGATATATCTTGGCTCATCAGCGGCATTCAACTCGTTCACGGGAGTGGCGACAATTTGCCTCTCCGCATCGTACGGACTGCCTATCCTGGTGTCTGTCGTGCGAGGTCGGAATATGGTTCTGGATGCGCCGTTCTCGCTCGGTAAATTTGGTTACACGATCAACATTGTCGCCGTCGTTTGGATCATCTTAGCAACAGTGCTATTCTGCATGCCAACAGCTTTACCGGTTTCTGCATCGAGTATGAACTATGCAAGTGTTGTATTTACCTTCTTTGCGCTCGTCAGCGTTGTCTGGTACTTTGTATATGCGAGGAAGCACTTCAAAGGCCCTCCAGTTGGTGACACCGAAGAATTAAAGTCTACCTTGAAGGTCATGAATGGAGAGTCTCTCGAAGCGGGTATTGAGGATCAACTCAAGAAGCAAAACACAGAAGCAAAGTTGGCAGATGTTTCGGCCACAGGTGAATAGCAGAAACACCGGAGTGCTAATGGGAGGAACATGGCGGAGGAGCACGAAGTCGAGGTTGAGTAGAACAACGCGTTGTCCAAATCCAGACTTTCAAGTGGCATCTCAAAGTCTAATGTACGGGTGATCTAATGCCAAGGCCCTAGGGTGGTCTTCGAGCTAGTCTAGTGCTATATGTCTGGTATTAGTATCTAGCGTTTGGCGAAGAGAATGTTAGCCGAAGCCCTCTTTAATCGAATTTCGCGTGGGGATACCATCACCACAACGTTGATCGCATTGATCTGTGTCAGCCTGCCACTCACCTCGCTGCTTGAAAAGAGAAATGCCGAACTACAATCGGCGGCTTCTCGCGAACTCATTCACCTCGATATGATACTGAGGTAACCACCGAGGCCCAACATGGCACCGCCTCCATCTTCTCCTGTGCTGGCTTCCACCGTTGGCACCGATGCCATCAGTACACCCAGTGCCGCAACAACCTCCACGACGAGCACGCCAGCCCCGTCGCCTACTCCGTCCCCGATACCCCCTCCAGTCCCCGTAGAGACCCATCCAAATCGTGGAAAGCCTCAAGCGAACAGACTGCTACCGGATCCAAGACGTCTCGCCCCAGAGGATGCGTTCAGGCCCTTCTCTCCGCCGAGACTGAGGCCCGTCCATGAGATTAATGGTTCCGCTGCCGCATCGCTAGCTGCTGCGGCTCTCCGACCTGCTGTTGCGTCTCTACGAGCACCCCCTGCCATTCCTCCAGTTGCAGCACGTCTGGCGGAGGAAAAGAGAAGGGCCGCCAGCAGACGTAGAAAACAACCACATGTGTGGAAGAAGCTGCTCTGGATTAAACAACATGGGTTCCCCGACAACTATACCGATACTGAGACATTCCTTGATCATCTACAAAGAAATCCTAGGTTGAGGCCATATGATTTCTGGCCCCTGGTGGCAGATTCTGCGGTGATTGTGCAACATGTTTGCTCTGTCGCCATTTACATATGTGCTTATGCAGGGATATACCAAGGTCGCCTGTCTCCAGTCGCAGTGGTCACATGTGGGACAATTGCAACCGTCTTGGGTTGGACTTTCTGGGATCGTTGGATAGGACAAGAGGAAGCTGAGGAGATGGCCACATTTCTAAAGGCAAATCGACGGTCCTTGGATCTTGACGACCAATCGAGCACCAGCTCTGCTGATTCTGTCAAACCGATAATGAATGGAAATGGTCACGTGAATGGTCAAACCAATGGCCATGCGAATGGTAGCCTGGGAGGGCGTGGAATCGGTCTTCGATTGTCCACTACCAACCTCAGCGTCAAGGACCATGAATCCAAGACATCTGCCAAGCATACACAGTCTTTGTCCAAATCGTCATTCCAGTCTATCTCACCAATAGATGGTCTGGGTGACACATCACCTGGATTGTCTCTAAAACAGCAACCTCAATCTCCGAGGAGTTTTACATCATCAACTACAATTTCCCATGGCTCTCAAGCGCGTCGGAAAACGTTCAGATCTGCATGTCTCATATATTTTGTCTTGTTAGGACTCTCTCCCATTCTGAAATCACTTACCAAGTCAACCTCATCGGACTCCATCTGGGCTTTCGCAACCTGGTTGCTAATGATCAACATTTTCTTCTTTGATTATGGGAGTGTCTACACTCCAAGCAAAAGTCCAATGGAACCTCTATCTCCTGCTGCTTCAAGAGGTAGAACCATTGAAGCCACTGCAGCGCAATTCAATAACTCGGTCCGAGCCCCTCCATTCCCATCTTCTTTGTCTACGAATGCAGCATTAATGGCCAGTACTGTACTGGCCTCGAGACTTCTCACGTCTACAGCTGTTTTCAGTCTCACATTGTTCTCTATCCAAGTGTTCGGTCTATTCCCCGTATTCAGGCGACATCTCCGGCATAAATCTCCCAACGCCCATCTCTGGCTTACTTTGGGATTGGTGGTAGTGTCCACTTGTGGATTGGGCCTTATCTTGTCACAATCGTACACACATACATATGGGAACTGCGGCTTCTGTCTAGGTTGGATTTGGCATGTTATCCTAAGGAGCACGATAGGACTCTTCATTGGCGGCTCGATCACGGCGTTTGTCATGGGAGGATGTTCATGGTGGTTGATAGGATTACAGCGATATAAAAATGTCGTGATAGGGCCATGGGACCCGGCTAAGCCGGTTCTTGCTGGCGGTGTCTATGGACGAAGTAGAACAGGCACGGATTAATCTAAACCACTTTCCTAAAGGCTGGGTTCTCCAGTGATTGAGATATCCCCCACCCTTGCAATGCCCCCCCCCCCTCCCCACCCTTGCAATTCTTGGATTTCCGGTTGTCGGATGCCTGCCAGAGCAGAGAGCTGCCAGAAGTGAACGCCCCAGAAATTGCAGGTCTGAATGTGCCGGTTTACAGCGGCTCACCGGCTAGTAAACCAATCAACTGGACGATGTTCGCCAGGAATCGGAGTTTTCTCCGACGCCCTCCGAGACTTTTAAGCCAACCGAGCCGGTCTTTGGATTTTTGAGATGTCGGGAGGGGTAACTTTGGCACATCTCAAGGTTTCGAGAAGCCTGAGAGCAAAACAACAGAATTGGTAATTGCCAGTGGAGAAACGGGCAGCGGACGATGGTGACCATGCGGGGTTTGAATCAATGGCCCTGAAGTCGATGACATGGATGACAACATCTCACTGCACTCCTCTATCTCTTCTCCGCGCTGGTTCCCCTCGGTCTTGGTCTGTACGATTCATTTCTTGATGAACGGAAGGGGTCAGCGTTAATAAACAATCTTGTATCCCTTCTCCAACATCTCAGCCCTTCGTCTCATTTCCAGCCCTGCTATCTCGCCCTTTTCGAATACCTCCTTTTAAACATTCCTATAAACCAATACAATGTCGAAGCCTCAACTTCCATTCGAGCTCAAGGATCCAGATCTCCTCCACCAGGATTCTTATATCAATGGACAATGGGTTGAAGCGAAGAGTGGCAAACGCTTCGACATAATCGACCCAGGCAGCGACAAAGCATGGGCCTCATCCCCAGACAACGCTACCGAAGATGTCGATGCGGCAGTCCAGTCTTCCTACAAAGCATTCAAGGAGTACAGCATTCTGAATCCTCGGAAGCGCGCCCAACTATTGATGAAATGGCACGATCTCATCACGGCAGCCAAGGACGACATCGCCAAGATCTTGACCTACGAGACTGGCAAACCTTTGGCCGAATCCTATGGTGAGATCGACTATTCTCTCGGCTTTACCTGGTGGTTTGCCGGCGAGGCAGAACGTATCCAAGGCTCGGTATCTGTCCCTTCAGCACCCAATCGACGAACCTTTGTAATCAAGCAGCCAATCGGTGTCGCGGTGGCTCTGGTGCCATGGAACTTTCCTATTGCCATGATCCTTCGTAAAGCAGGAGCCGCATTTGCTGCTGGCTGTACGATAGTCGTCAAGCCGAGCCCTGAAACTCCGCTTACCTGTCTAACGCTGGCACACCTTGCAACCAAGGCTGGTTTCCCACCCGGAGTGTTCAACGTCCTGACTACCTCTCTGGAAAACACCCCGAGCGTGTCTGAAGCACTCATCGTCCACCCACTCGTCAAGAAAGTCACTTTCACCGGATCGACACGAGTCGGCAAGATCGTAGCAGGGCTCTGTGCGAAAGGGTTGAAAAAATGCACACTCGAGCTCGGCGGAAACTGTCCCTTTATCGTCTTCGACGACGCTGATCTCGAGCAAGCCCTCGCACAATTCATGGCCCTAAAGTGGCGCCACGCAGGTCAGGCTTGTATCACCGCTAACCGCCTGTACGTGCAGAGCGGTGTCTACGAGAAATTTACACAAATGCTCGTCGACAAGACCGCCGCCCTCAAAGTCGGCCACGGCGCCACCGACGGCACAACGATGGGGCCCGTCACGACACCCCGTGGCCTCGTCAAGGCAGAAGAACAAGCAGCCGATGCCATCAAGCACGGCGCCCGCCTCGTACTCGGAACGGGCAAAGCGCACAAGAACGCCAAGGCAGACGAAGGGTCCGGCGAAGGAAAAGGCGTCGGCGGCTATTTTATGGACCCGACCATCCTCGTGGACATGACGCCCGAGATGCTGCTGAGCCAGGAAGAAACGTTCGCACCCGTGGCGGGTATCTTCAAGTTCGAGAAGGAGGAGGAGGCCGTCCGCTGGGCGAACGATACTTCGATGGGGCTGGCGAGCTACGCATTCACCAAGAACGTCGACCGTATGTGGCGGATGTTGGAGAATCTAGAGGCCGGCATGATTGGCTTGGTGAGTTCTTTTTCTTTTTTCCCTTTCTCAATACATTTCTCTCCACGCTTTGCATGCAAGCTTGTTGTGTATCTAACGTGTTTCCCTCGCAATCAGAATACCGGCAACTCGTCCGCGGCAGAGTCGCCGTTCGGAGGCATCAAGGAGAGCGGGTATGGAAAGGAGTCCGGCAAGGATGTCGCTGTCAATGAATACCTCATCTCCAAGACCGGCACCTTCACCATCGATGGCCAGTATTAATTGCTACTTTGACTGGCGAGTGCTATGTTATGGCTTGATGAAAAGTGAGGTTTCCGTTATGGTAGGCTGGATAGGGGCTTTCTCTGGTTAGGATGGATGGATGGATCGCACTGACGCGAAGGATGCAACATGTCAGCGGGGGATTTTTCAAACCCACCCCTTTCCAACACTAAGAAGACTATGCCATTCCGTGTCGATTCTTGGTGTGTCCGCATGTGTATATGGATGCAACGTCACAGTCACTCCGCGTAGGCCGAGTCCGTAAACCCGAGAAAGTTGTTAAATATGCTCAGATTAGCCGTGTTCAAGAACTGAGACTGACGACCCTGAAACAATCGTGGCTGAGATGCCGGTTAACCCTTAGTAGGGCCTATTCCATTATACACTGCTACGCTATCAATGAGACATGTTTCTCCGTAATTGTGCACATACGATTTATAGGAGGTGGCTCTGTCAGTCTTATTATTCCTTCCACTATGTACCTGGACCTTACGAGTACAAGCTCACGCATGGGAGGCCAATCGGAAACGAGGGTAGCACTGGAAAAGGCGCACCGCAGCAATGGGTCCCAGCTTACGTACTCGGTAGTATTCAAGCTCGTAATGAAATTGCTTGATTCGGTTGTCCATATGGGGGCGGGTTGTTTCCAAAGCAGCACATTGCCCTGCAAGCTTCAAGGCCTTTAGTTGAAAGGTCCCCGCGCCCAATCAAGACGGCGCACCATCGTTCTGCAGATAATTTATGGAGCAGACTGTCCAAAGGCTCCAGTGTGCGAATGAGCTTAGATTCACTTGTGTTCACGGCTGCCTGCATTCAAAAATAGTATGAAGCGGGCTTCGGAAATTCTTTTCCATCAATCGTTGGAATTGTCTCAATACAACTTTGTCATGTATGCACAGGCAGACTGCGATCGAGATTCCGGTAGAGGGCAAATTGTCTTGCGACAATGTTGATAGCCCAGCTGAGACTTCAGCACGGAGTGTGTTTGCATTGGATGACGCGCACCATGCTCGCATCCTTCCATCATTCCTTTTCTTCCCGTTGGTGTTACTTCCAGTGTTCCAATCATGTTGGAAACGTATGGTTTTTGGGCCAGGTTAGAAGTCCACTTGATGTCCGACGCGACTCGAACATGTTTGCTGGGGTTTGCATCATAGAGAAGCACTATAGGTCGGCCTCGTATCGGCATGCGTCACCAGGTCTCGTCAAGATATGACCGATTTAGGACGATAATGAGTTAATTGTGAAGCTGTTAATCTTCCGATGCAGAGTGATGAGGATTCTGTTTGTCGAGAACGGCTCCGCTATTGGTCCAGTAGACGAGGACAACAACGCTCATCTTCCTCTGCACCATGAAACCGGATTATGGCCGTGATTGCCAAGCATCAAGTAGGTTATGAAAGTAAAAGCGATGGTGTATAAGCGCGTTGGCTTTGGTTTCATATTCAGCCTGTTGAGTACGACAAAACTTTCATGTCATGGAATCCTCCTCGGGCCACAAGAACAAGTCCGAGGGAACAGATGGTATTCCGGTTGGTCTTCCTTCATGATCAACAGGGACAATGAAAGGTCGATCAACTCGAATGGGAAATCTGTTGGCTGTGGACTGGATATTGCGGTCCAGACTTGGGGGATTCGTGTCTGAAGCCCAACGTGGCAACGGTTGTTCGTCACCCAGATAGATCTGTGGCGTTGCGGGTAGAGCCAAGGCGAGATTTGTGGAAATCGATAAGATTGCGGTTAGAGTCGTGATAAGAAGCATGATGATGTTGGTGGAAGAGCAAAAATGTTGAACACACAGCTGAATGCCAACATCGATGGGGCAGATTGGGTATTTAAGCTGGTGTTGAGACTCCGGTGGCTTGTGTTCAACAGTCGAGGCGAGGGGGACCCAATTAGTTTACAGGATTAGACATCGTGACTTTGCAGCTGCTAGGACAATGTGGTGTGTGCGCTGCCAGTGTGTACGACCCCTTGAAATCGTGGAGAAACGCTTGTCAATATTCCGTCGGAATGGTCGCCTAGCCAATCAAACTCGGTGGCTGTGAACGTGAAGGGGTGAAGAGTGCATTTGACGGCGGCCAGATTTTGGTGGTTTCCACTTGTTATAATTTCTCGATCGATTCCACCACCGACTTCTGCCTCGGAGTTTCGAATTCTGGGTCCGCGCTAGGTGAGGGATCGCTCACGCTTTCAGTTAGCCTTCACGGGAGCGCCACCAATTCACCATTCCTGCTTCGATGTCACAATTGATCATTCATATTCAGCTCGTGGACTTCACTTGACACGGAGGGTTTTCAGCTCCAGCCTAGCTTCAGATCACCACTGGTCCCTCATCGGATGTCATGTACATCATTTCGGGTGAGGACCCATGAATCAGAGTCAGTCAAGTATTTCTGTGGTGTTGTGAACCTTTTGATCTCACTAGTCAATCTCCGTTGGCCAACCCAGATTTGTCGGTGTTGGTAATTCCTTTCGCGATGTTTAGTCGTCAAAATCGTCTTCTCGCCCTTCCGTCTGACTTCCCAACACATGGTATCGATGTCGACGAATGACGGAACGGCAGCAATTGACAATATTTGCAGCGACTGACATTTGCGTCGCAGATGCTCAAACAGTCGAATTGCTTGATCATCCGAAACTGGAAGACAATGTGGAGCTCGGGGACTAAATCGTGGAGTGTTCTTGGGGACAAACGGTGGGAACAGGCGAAGGAATTTCAACTTTCGGAATTTGCATATTGCGTCCAAGAAAGAGTACTGTTCAACATCGACATCGACACCGGGAATCGCGGTTGGATGCCACAAGGTATCGATATAGCCAATGTCCAATTCGAGCCGCTCAAGATTTGGTGCTAACTTGGCAGCGACGGCAATATCGGCTGGGGTCCTCTGACTCTCTGCGCTGTAAACTGACCACCATGCGTCCTCGCGATGGAGTCGAAAGCTTCTGAGTCCAGGACCTACTAATCCCTGGATGGGAACATGATTGCATATGCCATCGATCTCGAGTTCGCGTAGGTGTGTCATCTGGGTGAAATTGATCTCAAACTCAGGAACATGAGGAACATCAGCAAAGAGCCCTGATATGGGAACCTCGTATTTGCAAAGTGGGTGATACAGTCTACGATGGTCTGCACGCAGGCGGAGTGCTTCGAGTCTGGTGAGATGTGTTGAGATATCATGGATGAACTGATTCATAGGTACTGAATACTCCCAGATGATGGATAAACGTCTTAGATTGCCCCAAGGAATGCTGGCATCAAGATCATGGAGAGATTGGCGAGAGGTTCCATCAGCTCGCCGTACAAGAAGGCGGAGCTCATCCCATGCGGCTGGATCCCGCATGCCAGGGCCAAAGGGATGGTTCGGGAAGAACTCTGGGGACGCTTGATGTGGTGAAAGCAGCCAAGCCATGTGGAGGTCTATGGCATTGGCCCTTGAGATTGCATCGTAGGTTGCCTGGCTGGTTATGGTCTTCCCTGTTGGTGGGCTACCAAACGCGCCTAGACTGACTTTGTGACACGGTGCTATCAGTGCAAGATCGACTGTGGCTTCGACCAGACTTGGCCACTGAGATGATGAATAGACTCGGTCAAGAATGACTTCATATGTGCGATCCTGTGGTAACATCTTCAGGACATGATGAGCAGCATCTGCCGAGCAATCCAACCTGTGGTAGCGTCAGTAGCTGTACCGTTTAGTGTGTTTTCCCACAAGATCTGGGTTAGTTAGGGAATTTCCAGTGATTTGTTCACGGGGAAGGTTGAATCATTATGGTCATTGCATACCTGATCTGCTGGAGTCGAGGCATTGCCAGAAGAGTTTCACGAATGACTCGCAAGTCCAAGGCGCGGTACGTCTCAGTCAGGCTGGCTGCAAGGTTCTGGTCTTGAGGAGGTATAAAGCCTTTGATGTCCACGGGTCTCCTGAGATGCAGAGAGCGCACGTGACAGAGGAGATGGTCATGATTGACAAGGCGCCGAAGCAAACCGCCTTCGGCTTGGTCCAGGCGGTCTCGCACAATGTGGGAGACGGTATTGTAAAGTAGAGGTAGTGCGGATTGGCGAAAGTGGTTGGAAACTGAAGCAAAGGAGATCAGACTGTCGAATTGACCAAGGCCATCCTGAAGGACGTGTCTTGCAATGATGTCCAAGATCTCGGATGGAAGTTCCTTGGCTATCGGCCGGGGCTCGTTTGGATAAAAGAAGTCGGAAGGCCGCATAGACTTGAGCGCCAACATGATTCCACTCGAGTCAGAGGGGCTTGTGGACCTAGACGATCAACAATCTACACAGTATAGAGGAAATCTGACATCCGATGATGCATCTGGTTTTGATGATCATTTTGGATCGGTGCTGCTATTCATACCTTATGCTGTGTGATGATGAGGAGCCGCCCATTACCTAAACAGCCAAGTCATGGGGTTAGTGCGCCGTAATCGGAAGGGGGCGCTGTAGGTCTGTGGATGGGCCCGAGGGGGCCTGCCTAACTGTTTAGGGGTCTAGGGGCGCCTAGAATATTTGGATATTGAGGGAAGTCGATAGCGAATCGCTGAGAATGAGAATCGCTATCTTTTAGACTGAAGAACGCAGCTCCAAGCACTAAGGATCCAAGTTCTTGTCTAGACTTGTACTCGAGAATAGACGGGTAAAGCTCAACGAGACACTCAACGGGACGTGATCGCTGTGTCCTCGCTCAGCTGGAGAATTATATATGTCCGTACCGACCACTCCGTCAGCCATAATAAGTGACCGACTGATGATTATCAGATCAACGCGGTCACAACTTTCACCCCATGGTCTCCCACGTGGATAGTAGGTATAGCTTTTCTGCTCTGCATGCAGATGCCTGAAGATGTCGATACCACACATTCCATTTGGCGATGTGATAAACTTGGCATTGAAGTCCGCTCGATTTTTGACATGTTGGACGGGCGAGGTCCGTAGGCTGGGATAACCATCAATCCTCGACCTAGCGATGTTCATGTCTCCGATGAGAATAACATGGTTCCCAGTAGCCTCAAGCTGTAGGGTCTCTTGTAGCATCCACTGATGAAAGCGCAGTTTGTGATCATGTCGTGTGCCGTTGACCTGACCGCTAACAGGGTCTCGATATGGGTTGGATGTCCCGTTTACCCAATATCCATTGATGATGGCCACCTGGTTCTCTAGTTCATGGATAAGTACACGTCCTTCCAGGTCCCAGTCTGGCCGTCGTGTAGTAACACGAACGGCAGGACTCATGTCATCACAGATCAACGTGGCCACACCATGAACCTTACCTCCAAATCCAGTGGCGTTGTATTTGTCCCTTGGTAAGGAAAAGTGAGCGGTGTACGTTGGCTCGGGGGTTGTGTTCCCCTCGTTTGCGGCACGTTCCAAGGCTCGTTGCGTAGCTGTGTCGTTCTTGTTGATCTTGACTTCCTGTAAACAAAGAAATTGTGGCCAGTGGTGGCGTTTTAGAAATGCTCTCAAGGGAGGTGCGGAGTTTGACTGGAATATCAATTGTTTCTGAAGCAAAGGGCCGACACCATTTACATTCCAACTGAAGACCCGAAAGAGATCTGCACTTGCATCTGCATCACTTGTCGCACATGGCACTCGCGTGGGAGTCACCACGTGTTCCGATGACGGTGTGAGTTTCCTGCGTAATGCAGGCGGGCTGATGGTGCGGTTGGTGGTACTCAAAGCACCTTTGAGATGAGGGGACGAGGGGGACATGACACAGATTGTGATTGATACATAGGTTGCTTCCAGCTTCAAGTTGAGGACGATTACTTAAATAGCAAGCATGTGTTTGGTTATGCCGTAGAGTAATTCAACTACCTATTACCTATCTACAGCAAGGGAGGCACCCCCCTCTCGAAGCTCCTCCAGCACTCATTAATAAATTATACCTACGGAACACAAACCACAATGAATACGTCATGGACATGTTGGTGGCACCCGGCGGGTGTAAGTGCTCCCTAGGGCTCCCTGGGGCTCCTGGGTGGTGGTCTGTGGTGTCTGGGAAAATTGTCAAACACTGACGCACCAGCCAGCGGACCGAGCCGAACTAGCTGACCAGGGGACTTAGTTAACAAATAACAAACCAAAGGGGCATCTACCCCGGAAGACTTCCCTCCATTAGGGGACGTTTCAACCGTTCTTTCTTATCTGTGTAGCCCGAGAATCTTGCATTCAGTTACGAAGTCGGGCGTCCGGTTAGTTGAGTGCCCCCCCCAAAGCCACCAACAGCCTCAGCCCAAGGCGGGAGCTCCCCCTTTAGGCGTCGGTACTGGCAGTGGAATGCTTGGAGCTCGGAGCTTCCCAACTGAAAGTCAGGCACCCACTTCCCTCCAACTGTCTTTCCACAAAAGGACCACATCTCGGACATATCCATCTCCTTTTGTCTGTTTCTGTATCTTCATCAGGCCATCCCCTCGTCCAAGTCGTCTCTTTGAGTGCTGATGTTGACGCGCACACAGACCCGGACCCTGTTGTTGACGCTCCACTCTCGCTTGTCCATGTCTGATTTGTTTTTTCGCCTCAATATTGCCATCCCAAGTTTCCAACTCCTGCTTGACCTCAAAACTTGAAGCAGCCCGCACCCGTTGTCACTCCGACTTCTTCTTTCGCCACGGCCGAAGCAGTGCATTCGAGCTTGATCAGACCACGCGCGGGATCAAAGACCCATCCGCTTACCATATCATATCGTACCCTACAACTTGTCACCCTCTCGTGCCCGAAGCCATGGCTCCTCAGCCCTCCCTTTACCCAGACCTCCACCATATCCAAGATCTAGACCATGCGGGAATCCAAGATCTCCAGCAGATCATCCAGACATTTCCCATAATCGACAATCATGCCCACAATCTACTCAATGAAGACAACGCATATGGAAGCGCAGACTTTCCCTTCGAGTCCATTACATCAGAGGCCCAAGGTCACGCCCTCTTAGACCATGTACATTCCAGTCTACCTCACATGCGTGGCATTAAACATCTTGCCGAATTCTACCAGTGTCCGGAAACTCTCCAAGATGTCAAGGCAGCGCGCTACGAATGGGTGCGCAGAGACTACCCTGGTTTGATCCGAAGATGCTTGGAGGGCACACACGCCATCATGATGGATGATGGTTTGGCTCCAGAAGTCATCCACCCTTACAAGTGGCATCGTCAATTCCTGCCCACTGTCTCAAGAATAGTACGCATTGAGGCCGTTGCCGCTGAGCTGCTCGAGCATCTTGCGCATGCTGCTGGGTTTATGAGGGTCGGTCTTGATGCCGACTGGCCTATCAGCCAAACCGAGAGCTTCCTGGTACGCTTCAATACAGTGTTTCGCAATCAGATACGTACCCTAGCCAATGATCCCGATGTCCGTGGCTTTAAGTCGGTCATCTGCTATCGCACAGGCCTCGACATATCAACCGACAGCCGGAAAAACTTCCGTCCCCAGCAATCTCTTACCGAATCCCTCTTGTTACAGTCTTTCCACGATTTCCTCCAGACAGCCGTTCGCGATCACAAGTATCGCATTCAACAAAAAGAAGTCAACGATTATCTCGTCGTGGCCGTCTGTGATGTTCTAGAAAAGCTCGTCGATACCGAGGGTGAGAGCGTTGCTTTCCAGTTCCATACTGGTCTGGGAGATAGCGATATCGACCTCATCAAAGCAAACCCCGCCTATATGCAGCCTTTAATTGAAGCCTTCCCCAACGTCGACTTTGTGCTGCTCCATTCTGCCTACCCTTATACTCGGGAAGCAGGTTATCTTGCAGCGACATATTCAAATGCCTGGCTCGACATTGGGGAGGTCTTCCCCATGCTCTCAAGGGACGGTGAAGAATCGGTCTTGCGCCAAGCACTTGAGTTGACTCCGAGCACAAAGATACTTTGGAGTACAGATGGCCATTTCTATCCTGAAACTTATTGGCTTGCCAACAAGCACTTCAGAGAGGCTCTTGAGAAACTTTTGACATCTTATGTTGCAGCTGGGGACGTGACTGTGGCCCAAGCCATCGACATGGCCATCGATATCATGTTTTGGAACTCGAACACTTTGTACAAGCTGGACGAGGAGCGTAAATACCCCGAACTTTTGAATGCATGTGGTCGGGCGACAGGCGAGAGTTTGCGTACACTTGTCAATGGCAGCTCAAAGGCACCCTCTTTCAGATCTTATGCCAGTACAGCCGTCGGCACAGCGGGTCCTTCTGGTTTACGTCCTTCCGGCTCGGCATCTACATTGCAAGCCTCCAATGCCAATCTGGCTCTGCGCTCTGCAAGTGTGAGCTCTGTATCGGGTCCTGGCACCGGTGCCGCCGTTTTTGCACAAAACCTGACAATTCTTGACACGTTTCTGCGATCGAACCCAGGTGTAAAGTATATTTGGTATCAATTTATCGACTATACTGGTACATCGCGTAACAGGATGGTCACCGTTCAGCACTTCCGAAAACAACTCTCTGCAGGAAAATACCCCTATGCGACTTCCGCCATGACGCGTCTTTTACAGAATGACACGCCGGCTTCAGGTTGTTCACCAACCGGCCAATTCTATTTTGCACCAGATCTTTCATCCCTAGCCCTCAACCGAGGCATACCGTCGCCATCTGCAACAGTACAAACGTGGTGGATGGCTGACACTGAGCATCTACCTTCGGTTGAGCATTACGATCGATGCCCTCGATGGGCGTTGCAGTCGCATGCCAATGCTCTGAAATCAGAATTCAACCTCACTATACTTATGGGCTTTGAGATCGAAATAGTCTTCATGCGTCCCGTTTTCAACGAGGACAAATCTGACTATGTCGACTTCCAGCCATTGAGTCAAGTCCATAACTGGGCTGGCATGACTGGCTTGCAGTTGGATGCGCTTCCTATGATCGAAGAAATCGTTGATTCTCTGGCCGAGGCCGATATTCACTTACCAGAATACCACGCCGAAGCCGCTCCTGGACAGTGGGAGTTTCCCCTGCCGGCCTTTGAGCCCGTCAAAGCCGTCGACGTTCTCTTCAAAACAAGGGATATCATCCGAAATGTTGCAAAGAAACACGGTCTCAAGGCCACCTGCTATCCACGACCCTTTGCCGCCAGCCCTGGTAGCGCAAATCATGCACACTTTAGCATCAATGGACCTGGTGATGTCGTCTCAAGATTTGAGAGCCCATTCTTGGCTGGTGTTCTAGAACATCTTCCGGCAATTATCGCCTTCACATTGCCCGTCGAAGAATCCTACGCACGTGTCGGCCCAGGACTCTGGTCTGGTGGAGAGTACGTCTGCTGGGGCACTCAGAATAAGGAAGTCCCGCTCCGTAAATGTGGCCCGGGTCATTTTGAACTCAAGACGATCGACGGTATTGGGAACACGTATCTTGGAATGGCGGCACTTCTTGCATCAGGTCTGCACGGACTAAGGCAAGATCTCAAGCTCGAGCTGAAAGATTGCCTGGGTGACCCAACAGGAATCGGTGAGGAAGAAAGACAAAAGTTGGGTATCTCAGTCAAGGTACCCAACTCCCTCGAGAAGAGTCTCAAGGCTTTGGATCGAGATAAAGTTCTGAGGCGTTCCTTGGGATACGCCATGGTCGATGACTACCTCGCGACCACGGAAGGCGCCATGCAGATGTTGCGGGGGTTCAATGACGACAAGAGAAAGGTGTGGTTGATAAGTCGATATTAGGATGAAGAGAGTTTGCCTCTTTGTTGCATCACAGTGGCCTGGCTTTCTTCTTCGTCCAATTCGAATGGTCGACATCGACACGAGTCCGCAGCCGCCCGTCGGATAGAGACTAGGAGTCAGCTATCGAAAAGACGTTGTCGAAAGCCATCCACCCCCACTTGACCTGCGCCGGAGAGCACCATCTCGTCATCCACCCTGGCATGCCACAGATCGTGATGGGGGATTGTTTTTCTCCGCTCTGAATCCATCAAACGACCAACGCATCATCTAATTCGATTGTGAGATTCTCACATACCTACAGTAACCCTTTTGTATACAACTCTGATAATGCGATTTATCTTATATTCCCCCAGTTATATATGTCTTTGATTAGACGCCACACCGTCCGATACAGACCAGGCGGGCGGGCGGGCGATGGCGAGCATGTTGAATGCTTGTCTGGGTAGAGAAGGAGAAGGAGGAGAGCCAGAAGAGACAGACCAGACCAGACCGGCTTCTCCAGTTCAGGTTATTGCCACACTATATTGTACAGAATCCGAATGCGCATTTAGACTAGCATTATTGATATTCATAGACTTGAGCACGAATCAAGACCGTTTCTTATCAGTCCTGACCTTGGAGAAGAGAGGGTTCATGAGTAGATAAGATAGTAATTGACGTTTAACCGATCTAGGGAATTTCAACAATAGTGAAATGCAATCACGACCAAGCACCAGGCATCTCCGGCCCATGGTGGCAGCTGGGACAAATCCTCGTCCCGACAGTGATGGCGAGGAGCGGAGTTGTCTTCTCCCCCTTGGTCAACAAGGGACTCGACTCAGCTTCGCCCTCGCTTTCATGGTGGATCCACCAGTCCGACATATCGGCTCCGCAGCGCTCACAGCCCAGGTTGCTGTCACTTTGTAGCCTCCGGTGGCTGAAGGAGGTTTTCGATCTCGATGCATTTCCGTATCCGTATCCACTGTTGCTGACCCGGCTCGGCAGGACCTACTTGCCTGCACGTGTGGCGAAGAAACTGGATAGTTCCCTCAGGAGAGGGGTTTTGGCGGGTGAGATGTCTTGGGATGGAACGAGGGAGTGGGATTTGGCGGAGCCGCAGGATTCTGCGGTAGTGAGAGTGGTGGGACTGCGTGGTTTTCGTAGGGAGAACCGTCGTTGCAAGGAGTTGCTGTGGCTCAACAGCTGCTGGGAGAATGACTGGCGAGGGGATTGATGGGATTCCCTTCCCGAATCATACTCCACGGTGCTGCGTCCTAAATGGTTGTCATCAGGTACATGCCGATGAAGAGATTGTCCACGTATTCCTGGGTCTGGCACCAATGGAAGATGCTCAGTACTTCCCAAAATTCTCGGAGCCCCTCCAGTGTCTCCCGATCTGGGGGATCTAGCTGATCCTCGGGCAGCATCATCCTCAACAACAGTGTCTTCTGGAGAATATATGAGCGGTGGATGAATCGCATGAGAGACTTGAGTGGTGGGCGAGGACTTCTGATCTAAGATCTCCTGAGAAGTGATACGGGCCAAACTCCAAGATTGGCTGGCCCCATATTCCGGATATGTAGAACGGCGAGGAGTCATACCTTGACGCACTTTGGTAGCAAACGGCTTTCGACTTGATGGCAGGAGTGACATCCATGGAGGAGTCAAATGGGACTGCTGTTTGCTGTTTGACTTTATCTGGGATATGGCAGTGAGAGGATCACTCAGGGATATCACCCCGGCCTGGTTTGACAGTGGCTGAGGGGATCTGATCTCAGATGAAGACACGTTTGACACTCGAACGTGTTGCTCCAATTTGGGGGCAGACTCAGGATCTTCACAGCATCGCGAACAAACGGGAGGACTATCGACTATCATTCCATGTTCATGAGGGGTGCCACGATCGGTGAGGTAGCTAGGAGAATCCAGCGGTGACTAAGACAAGGAGTTAGCAATATTGGGAGTAGAGAAGTCCACTAATGACATACTGCACAGATCAAGCATGAGAAGCAGCTCCAATGCCACCAGCACCAGCCAAAGCTCACAGCATCAGTCTTTCTGAAGACAACCTCACCACATCGCCAGCATATACTGATGCTGTGTATCTACCTCTAGCAATCCACGCAGACAATGCGGCTTTCGAGTCCAAAGGTATGCGGGGGAGGGTCGTTTTCGCGCCAACAGACAGTACATCGAAACTGGTACCGAGGGCTCGGCTCGTTGGCAGCCAGGAGGTCTTTAGGAGGTTTGGGAGTTCGTGTTGCGATGACCGAGGGCGAAATCTGGATACGACTCGTCGGTTGAGAGGTTGGTGTTGGCAATGATGGTCGGGGTCCAGATCTAGCGAAAGTATGCTGTGCGTAAGCCATGAATTGGACGAATGCCAGTAAGGAAAGACTGGGTGATGTTGATCTGATGCTGATGCTGGTGAGAGAGATGGGAATTGCACACAGAATGAAATTTCAAAGAAGTGGGGGCTTGATCTGACTTGGGCATGGAAGGTGATACCTATGTTGGTATCGTTGTAGCGTCATAGCGCTCCTTCCAGTTTGGGGACGCAATGGAATAAACTTGAAGTCGGCACAATTAAAACGCCAAAATTGATCGTGGACCAGCCAACCAAGCAGCATAAGCCGACATGCTGGCTATCCAGATCAGTGTCCCAAAATAACCCACAGGTCTGCCCCAGCCCAGAGAATCCTTTGCGCGGATGCCATATTCGACATGTGCAACTCTGAAGAAGAACAAGAGAGCATGAGCCCCGATCAATGTTCCACGACCGGCTCCGTTTGCTTCAGCTACAGAGGCGACCAGCAATGCAAACGGGACGTTTTCGACGAAGTTGCCGTGGCTTCGCGATGCGATTAACAACGTTTTTGACTGGTCCAAATCCGGTTTCGTCGTATCAGGACCTGGTTTGCTGCCACTGGCAGCATTCTGCTGAACTTCGTCGCCAATATATGTGTTGGCAGACTGTCGAACCAGACTTACTCGAAGATTAAGCAGGACGAAGTAGGCTGCAAATGCTAGAAGGCTGTTAGGGGCATCCACGAGATCAGATCATTCTGGAGCCATACCAGGTGCAAATGTGCCTGCCACAGGTAGAAAGCTAAGGCTGAATGTTCCGACTGAATATGAGTTAGCAAGCGTATAGATATATTGAGACTGGAAGTATGGTTACCTGGCAGAGACATTGTTGAGTGTGAGTATCCTCCGGTTCAGCGACTTGTTAGTTTTGCTGTTGTATTTTGTAGAACTCACACGTCGGGCAATCTGGACCATTTATATTTCTTCAGTTATTATTCAGTCAAGCACCCATTGTCCCGTGTGGTCATCCACCCAGGCATGCCAGGCTGTGTAAAGCCGTGCCATTCTGCCTTTAGTAGTTACAACGTCAGAGCGTCGATGCCAGATGTATATAGGGGTGATGATTCTTGAGTGCCACTGAGAACGAGATACGATGGAGTTGCAGCATTAGGAATAGTGGGCAATTTCAGTAGTTCCAAGTCGGCCGTATGGTGAGTGCCCAGGCACCAAGGCCACCTTAGGTCACAATTATTCATGGGCGAGATGGTACTTGTCCGTAGGTCCATCGTTTTTATCTCGATGAATTTGGAAGCATTGAGCGAAGAACACCCGAGCTACTTACCAAGATGATCTGGCATTAATCTGCGAGGGAGATGAGAGGACTGAGTAAGGTCCCCACAGGCTATTGTTCACTGGGCCTCATGGGATGATGTCCGCACGAGCATCTACAAATATATAACACGCTCATCGATGACGATCTGTTTGGGTTCAACCGCGATGGGAATGCCCAGGTGAGCAACAAATTCAAAGTGGTTGGGGCTGAAGTATCGAGGACCAAAGTATCGAGGATTGATTCTCCAAGATTTGGTCTGACGGCGGCAATAAAGCTTGATTTTTTTCGAACCACCAACAGCAATGCGACTTGAGGCCACATGTTTCATCGAGATATGCTTCGTCCGACGGTCTACTTAGATCCCAGAATGACGTAGGCTCGCGTGGCATGCGCGGCCTCCCCGAGTTTTGATTTCAATTGATCGTGTCAGACATGCAACTCAGGACTTTCCTCTGAGGGATTCAATCAGTCCCCGTTCTTGGTGAACAACTGCCATAACATTGGCACAGCACACCGTCATGCTGGGCGCTCCTTGCTCAGAGATTAGTGTCTATCTACCCATAGTTTGCAGCCTCTCAGTACCCACGGCTGCTCACTTGCCGTGAAAGGCAGATAACCGAACTTGAGTTCTTTAGCAGGTATGAAAGAAACTTTCTTTACTAAAACCTTGGGTTGAGGGTGACGTCGCCTCCCGCCTCTGGGGTCGTTTTTGGCGTTCAACCTTTCTTTCACATTCAACGATACCACCGTTCATTTTTTCGTCCATGTCGTCGAAAAGTTGACAACAGGCCACATCTGATGGCGGATAGCAATGATGGGCAAGACCATCTCAACGGCCACAGTGGCTTCATCTTAGCTGTCTTCTGTGTGGTTTCCGTCTTTGTCATCTGGCCCGTCAAAATCCCACTGTTGAAACCAATCCAACGGCCGCTTCTTCGTTTTCTCCAGAAAACACGCATCATCGGCCACAGAGAGACCGAAGCACTTTCGAATCGCAGCCTCTATTTCTCTCTGTCTCTTTTGACAGCTCCCCTCATCGGCGTCATTCTGCTGCTGGCAACGACAACCATCAACGGGAGTACGATAAGACTCGGAATTGTTGGTGACGAGACTATTAAACCATATGATGTTCTCGTTCTCTTCGTCTCCCTTGCCTATATCGCTATAGCGCTCGATGGGACTGGTGCGCTCGAGGCTATAGCCTTCTACGTCTCGAAACGTGGTGGAAGCTCCGGAATTTTACTCTTCACTTACCTCTATGCATTCTTTTTACTGACGGCGTGTATCGTTGGGAACGACCCTCTCATCCTATCTGGAACTCCTTTTCTTGCTTATCTGACATACCACACTGGCTTGGAGCCAAGTGCTTGGGTTTTCAGCGAGTTTATGGCGGCAAATACTGCATCCGCTGTTTTGGTCTCCTCTAACCCGACAAACATTCTCATCACTGGAAGTTTTGGCCTTAATTTCCTGACTGGATTCACAAAATGGACAATCCTGCCCTCCCTTATCCCGGCAGCGCTAAATTATCCCGTTATACTTGCCATGTTCTGGAACCGCATACCAAAGACGATCACACCTCTGACCGAGGACCCCTGGTCGAAGCTCCGTGACCGCATGGGCGCAATATTTTTGAGCACTCTCCTCCTAGTGACAGTCGCTGTCCTCGTGGGCACGAGTTTCGTACCAGCGCACGCAGTAGAAGTCTGGATGGTTACAGCCCCTGCAGGGATACTCGGCTTTCTGTGGGATCTTGGATCCGACTGGTTCAGACCACATCAGAAGAAGCAAAATCTCATTCGACGGGAATCCACCGATCATGTCGCTGAGATGCAGAGGGTCAGTCGCACCGAGTCCAACACCAGTCAGAGAGTTCCAGTACAATCTCCGCAGCTCGAAAAGCCGCCACCCTCACACGAACCAGCGAGTTCGCCCGACGGAAAATCTACCGAGCCAAAATCCGAGAAAACCCTGCTGTCGCTGTTTCGCTGGCTTGGTCGTCGGTTTCCAGCAACATCGAGAACAATCCAACGTCTCCCAATCCCGCTTCTACCATTCGCCATGTGTGAGTTCATTCTTGTTCGTGGTCTTGCTCAGCGTGGTTGGATCTCTGTCTTCGCCTCTGGCTTTGCCAATGCCTGCACAACACCTGCGCGCACGGTATTTTTCATGGGATTCGTCTCGGCTGCTTTCCTCTGTCCTCTCGCTGGTACCAACATTGGTGCAACTATCATCCTAGTGGAAATTCTACGAGATTCAAAATTCTCACAATCCGAGGCTGTTCTCGGCGATGAAAGAGTCCTCCTTGGCGCCATTTATGCCGTGGCTATGGGAAGCAATATTGGAGCTTTCAGTTATACTTTCGCCGGGAGTTTGGCTGGCCTTCTCTGGCGTGGTTTACTCTCCGACAAGGGCATACATATTTCCCAGCTGAAATTTGCCATGGTGAATGCGATTCCCTTGCTCATGCAGATTACAGTGTCGTCGGCAATCATACTGGGACAATTATATTGGTTTGCTTGAGACACACGTCGCTTGCATCGCTGCCATCTCAAAGCGCGGTATGCGTGAATCAAACTGGTCAGTTGACAGATGTCGGAATATTCTCGGCATGCCAATAACGAATAAATATAAGACTCTAGGTGGTCGCACTGCCAAAAGCCTTCAGCTTTGTGGTTTAAACCATCAGATTCGTCATTACTACTCCACCAAAAGACACACATCTTGTGCACCCATCGTGCACAATGGACAGGGAAGGTCAAAGCAGGATTCTTTTGCCCAAGACTTGGACAAAGAGAGAGAAATTCTGGCTTGCAGCCAAATAAATGCTTCGTGTGGCAGCGAATGCTTTTTTACATGAGAACGTTGAATCGTTGCGAGTCGCGATTCGAGGGCCTCCAGACATTGCTTGGGCCAACAAAATCCAACCCCATCCAGAGTCAACTTCGGGCACTGGCCATCCTTGCATTGCGACAAGGCACACCGAGATGCTCAACCCATGAAAAAAGCTAGGATTCAATGGGATGGACGTCCAAATACGTTTTGGAAATCTCTAATAACGCTCAACCGGTTCTCTCTGAACCAATGGTCATGCAGAGCGCTGCGACCACTGGGATGCGGTACGACACAGATGCAACGCATTGCCCATCGAACCATCGGATTGAAAAGCGAGAAGGCTATCGTGTCCATCTACCATTGTGGCTCGCTAGCCTAAGATTTCCCGATCGGATTGAAATCCACGCGACTGTGAAGCCTGGTAGGATGTACGACGAGGCTTGGATGAACCTCATGGCTTACATCGCCTATTGAATATGGATGAACCCATATATCATACGATGTGTCTGCTAGAGGCATGATGTGGCATTTCTCTTGTGCTTGGGCGTTCCTTTACAAAGTGAGAATATACGTGATATCGAGAGCCTCGAGTAGACATTCCACTCGTCCTGTGCGCCTCACGATATGCGCATTGATGACTATCAGCGAACGAAAAGCGGTCGAGAGCATGGATTTCAGCTAGAGTCGTAGACTGAATTGGGCCATCTTAGCTCCGATAGTATGTACCCAGTATATACGCTTCAACGCGATAGACTTGACCCAGGAGGTGTTGGTAGGTCCCGCCTTTGACCGAGGCATTGAATGCTTCAGCCAGGAGAGAGTAGGGGCTCTAGACAGGACTCCTACAGTAGTCATGGTGGTATGTCGGAACAAAAGTTGATCACTTTCGAAGAGATATCCGATTTGTAGCCAAAACAAGATAAGAATGATATTTTGCGGTCGCCGAAGCTACCATCTAAATGTGGAAAAAATAAGTGAAGATCAAAAAAACCAATAGTATGATGCTATTCTCAAGACAATTGAGACGTGCTCCTGGTCGAGCGACGCTCCAAACCGCTCGCTGGTGTTGGTATCAAATAAAGTTCTTTTTGGATCACAAGAAAAACTGTTACAAGTAATCGCTAGGTGTGTTGTTGCGCCCCAATTCCAATTAAGTATAAGTCAAAAACCCCCAAATCCCGTGTCCCTGTACCGTAGGTTGCCCTATCAAAATGCTTCTTTGGTGGTTTCCTCTGTGGAAGATCCACACACGAGATGGAAATAACCCGTTTGCCGCTCCCTTTTCACTGCCGTTGCCGTACGTGCTTGTTGTGTTCATGATAACGTCTTAGCATGCCGATGCTCTGGCCCATGATTTAGTAGGCGATGTGGCAGCGCTGGAGGCACTCCTCGACACCCTTGGCGAGAGGGGTGGGGATGTTCTTCTTGAATTGGGCGAAGTTGTCGGCGTTGATCTCGTTGGGGAAGCCAAGGGTGGCGTCGACGATCTCGGGATCGATGTTGACGATGAAGTTCTGGGCGACGGAGCTGGCACCGGGGTCCTCAGAGTTGAGACCGGCGATGGCGACAGCAGGCTGGCAGTCCAAGTTCTGTTGGAAGTGGATGCTGCCTTGAGGGAAGACGGTGCCTTGGTATTTGGTCAGGGTGGTGTTGAATTCAGAGACGAGACCGTTCTCGAGAACGAAGCCAGAGAGCATCTTGGTGTCGGTGACGAGGGTCAAGAATTCGGTGGCGCGGGGATGGAAATGGGGGGTGTTCAATCCACAGGGGTTGAAGAAGATACCGGCGGCGGAGATGCCAGTGCCAGTCAAGATGGGGAAGTTGGCACGCTGAGCAAGATCGACTTGACCACCTGCTCCGGGAGTGATGGCTGGGTTGGCCGCGGGGTTGAAGTCGAACTTGAGGTTGATGGTGCCGGTGGCGAGTTGCGACTGGATTTCCTTGAAGCGACCGACTGTGTTGGGCTCGGTCAAGAGCTTAGCAACGAGCCCATCAGGAGCAGTAGGGTTGACAGCGACAGCGGCGGGAGCACCAGTGGAAACGGGAGCGGGCGCAGAGCTGGGTGCGACAGTGGCAGCTGGTGCTCCTGATGCCCAAGAGGAGGATTGGCCCTGAGCGATAGGGGTGGCTGTGACAGCGGCAGCGAGGGCTGCGATGATGAAGGTCTTGGAAAGCATATTGACTTGAGGTTGGTTTATTGATTGATTGGGTTGGATAGGAAGTGTTGTAGAGTCGACGAGGGTTGATTAAGTAGTGGTGTTGTAAGTGTTGGATGCTAAAGAGCGTGCGTTAACTGGTAGGAAAAAAGATTAATGCAATTGGTTGTAATGGCTTTATATGTTGATATGGAATGAGAGAATGGGTTTTGAACCGCGGTGAGCGAGAGTCTTAAGTATAGCTGTGGTAAGCAAGGTCTCCGATGCATATTCACAGACATGCCCGCCACAAGATTGGCTGAAGGTGGAGTACTACCAACCGAGGCGGCCATTCAGCAATGGCCTCGGCGAGCGAAAGAACTGCTGACTGCTGACTGCTCCATGAGATTTGGGATGGTTATCGCGTGGTGGATAGCAGTAGGCCACTGGGATCAGTAAGCGTCAGAATTAGAAAGTATCAAAGTCGGCTGCGCGTTATTCTGGTAGACTGAAAGAGGCGTCGCTGCAGAGGCACGGCAGCCCAAGTTGCAATGGCATGGGTATGAGGTTGACTACTCGTAATTGGTCCGACTAGTCGTTAGTGCTCACCAATATAGGATTGAGGTAACCAAAGCGTATACGCGTTAGACCAGAAGCCGTAAGTGACTTCCACGTGTAAGTCGAGTTGGGCAAATGGTACGAAGGCAAAGAAGCTATCCCAAATTCCACGGACCAGGGCATATCGGTGAAGGATGGGGGGCTCTTCGCCAGATCTTGGTGGGTTTCAGTCACTAATGACGAATATCGACTAGCCGGACAGTGGGAGCTGGCAAATGCTGGCAAATGCTGACCTTTGCCATCGACTCGGTGAAATTAAGCCTTCTGGATGGGCGATGGCGGGCTTGGCATTCTATTTTGGATGCTGCTTTCATCAGCAAGGCTAGTGGGAAACAGGCAAGAGCGACCGATGCCATGTATAGTGATTGGGTGGCCCCATTAGCTGGCTGTGCTGACCGCAGCTGCCCAGGCCACCGAGAGGTTCTAAAATACAACGACTAAATTCTAAGGTACTAACCTAGCCTCTCTGTGGAAAGTGTTATTCTGGAGGCTCAAACACACCCTTGGCATCTCCGAAGTAGACATGAACCCTGGACCCCAGCCAATCTAAGATTCAAGCCTTCTCTCTGCCAGCGTTCCCCAGTGTCGATGAACCTCAATCCTCCCAGATCGATATCGGCTGTCAAGTCCTCTCCACCATATCTTGCATGGAAGTCCCGTGCTCAATGCTCAAGTCATCCTATTATTGTCATCATACGTGGCATTGTTTCGCCCCGAGTGTTTCTAGCCCACTCTTGACAAATTTTGAAGACTTCGGCTTCGAGCTATCCGTTCTCTGAATGAACCGGAATAAGCAGTAGCACTTATGATTCCAACTGCCAATTCCATATCTGACAGACTACCTGTTTGAGCACGATATCCTGCTCGGAGCATTAACGGTCTCCACCATGGAATCTTCCGAAGTGGAAAAACACAAGATGCTCATAATCCTCTTCAGGAAATATTGAAGGCACGTCAGTCAGGCCCTCTGGGGTAGTCGGTTACTTCTGCGGATACCGAATTACCAGCGCAGACAAATTTGATGCGGATGACGAGGAGCAACGTAGGGGTCCGGAACCCATGGTCGAGTGATCAGTTCAACCGATAGGCGGCTCGGCGACCAAAGTAGCTAAATGGAGCAAAACTGCTTCTCTCCATGAACCGGGGCCTTACTGCATGGCTTAATGCCGAACCGTTAGGCCCCTCACCTGTTTCCGATTACTCATTTTTTCTTAAAGTAGCTCGAGTTTAACCACTTCGTCTGCGAGCCGCACTTGAAGATGGGCGTCGCGTAGACCAAGACAAAGATGGCAATGGATGTTATGATGTGATGTTCGGATTATGTATGATCCGCTCCTTGCCTCCAATGTTCGTTGCTCAAGCTTGTCAGGGTAACAATAGGTAATGTTAATGTGTAACAACGGCAAGGTCGTTCCGGTAGGGAAGCCCGAATGCATCGCTCACTCAGAGTTCGTGAACCGCCAAGATACCCAGACCATTCTCGCTCGTCATCATAATAATATTACAGAGACTGCATCTATTTCTGCAGATTCTGGACAAACGAATCCAGGTTGTACTCTTCTGCGTACTGTCGTTCGTCCCAAAGCTCACCGACATCATCAAACCATCCCTTCTCCCCTTTCTTCTTGACCTCGCCCGTCTCAAGATCCACCATGTCTTCATCCTTCCCACCGCCGTTGTTCTCGCCCGTCGTGTCCGCAGTCTCGCCGAGATTAAACAAGTCCAAAATCTGATCCGTCTCCATACTGCCAAGTCCGGCATTCTGCTGATTCACCACAGTCGACGCGACGTCGATCTTGAACCGTTGGAGATTGAGGATCTTTTCCTCCAACGTGCCTCGCGTAATCAACCGATAGACATTGACGACCTTCTTTTGTCCGATTCGGTGTGCTCGATCCATGGCTTGGATGTCTTTCTGTGGATTCCAGTCGTGTTCCACGAAAATAACGGTGTCGGCGCCTGTCAGATTCAACCCAAGACCGCCCACACTCGTGGTGAGTAAGAGACAATCATAGCTCGGGTCGTTATTGAATTGATTGACGATGCCCTGTCGCTTGGTGGCTTCGACACTGCCATCGAGTCGTAAGAACTGCACACTAGGAAGCAATTTACCTAGAACCTCCGTTTGCACCATGTCAAGCATTTCTTTCATCTGGCAGAATATCAAAGCCCGGTGTTGGGAGACATAGTTGGATGCTGAGACATCGTTCGATTCGTTGGTCACCCCAATTCCACAATCCACAAGTAGATCCCGAAGAGCGCCAAGCTTCGGTGCATGTGCCACATCACGGAGAGATGACTTGGAAGCTGCCAATTGCTTCTGAATTGCATCATACTGCTTATTACCCTCTTTAACCACCAGCGCAGGAGAGTTACACAGCTTTCGCATGTACTGGAGTGCTTGGAAGATATGTTGCTTGGCTTCCTTATCACCTGAGCCCACGCTGTTCTCAACTGTCTTGCGTTCCTTCTTGAAGAAGTCTTCGAATAGCCGTTTCTGGAGATCGCTTGGGTCACAATAGTAGTTCTGAAGAATCTTGGGCGGCAGGTCATTCAACACCTCCTCTTTCAAACGGCGGAGCAGAAATGGGAGAACTTGCTTGTGAAGACCCTCAATCGCAAGAGCGCCTGCTTCTTGTTCTTTGGACGATGATTTCGCATTTCTGCTGGCTGCAATTGGCTTGGCAAATCGATCCTGGAACACCTTCTCCGTACCCAGGAAGCCCGGCATGAGAAAGTCGAATAAGGACCACAACTCAAGAACATTGTTCTGAATAGGTGTACCCGAGAGGATGAGTCGGTGATTTGAGATGATTCTCTTCACAGCTAGAGTGATTTTCGCTTTTGGATTTTTGATCAAATGACCTTCGTCAAGCACACAATAGTTCCACGTCATTGCAGCGAGGACATCGTTGTCATTGCGGCAAACATCATATGAAGTGATGACTATATCGGCCTTTTCGAGGAGATGACGGCGACTCCCTCTTTCCGTTGGTGAGCCAACATACGCTACGCAGGTCAAGAATGGTGCATATTGCTTGATTTCCTGTTGCCAGTGGCCGGAAAGAGTTGGAGGACAGACGATGAGAGATGGCATCCGACGCATGTCGGGGGCCTGGGTCTTCGCATACTCTTCCGCTCGGATGTGGTGATCGCTCGCTACCATGCACAGTGTTTGTAGCGTTTTGCCCAGGCCCATGTCATCGCACAGCACTCCATGAAGGTTGTACTTGTTGAGGAATGCTAACCAATTCACGCCGTCTTGCTGGTAGGATCGCAGTTCTGCTTCGATAGCAACTGGGATTTGGAACGGTTCAACCTTCTTGGGATTCAACATTTGTGCCATGAACTTCCGTTCCCGCTCACGACCTTCTAGTAATGCCTCGGGCATCCCGGGTGGATCTGGAATACCAGCCTCGAGGGGAACCAGTTTGACCAGTGTTGCGAATGATGTCGTTGCGAGCAACCGAATATCATTATTGGCATCACTCATGCGACCAAGGACTGGGACGATGAGGAATATGACGTAGGGCAATATCCGGTCTCCCATGACCTGGATCAGGTGATAAACACATTCGGTAATTCCTTGTCTGTCCCTCAGATCAAGAGGATTGCTGATATTGGGCAAAATCTCTTGAACAAGCATTGTCATCCCATCGACGGGCATAACGCTACTTAAGGTTGCGAAACACTTTGCGGCGCTGTAGCGGATAACTGATAGCCGGCTGCGCATAGCTTTACCGATCAGGCTTGTAAGGGAGAGGATCCAAGAATGAAGAGCTGAGTCGATCCTTGGAGACATTGTTCGCAGTACAGAGAAGGCATCCACGAGAGACTGACCTGGTTCGTTGTCGACTTGGAGAGTAGCCGCGTCAGCAGGGCCTACAATGTCTTTGATGGGACCTTCGATGAGCGACTGCAAAACTGGAAGTTTCTCAAACAGACTCGCGCCATATGTCCTGGCCAATTCATCAAGCGCAGACTTAGCGCCTCTTCGCATGATCCTGGCTTCTTTGGCTTCTTGCTCAAAGCGCGCAGCATCTGGATGGTCCTTTCGATCTTCTTCCTTCCGGAGTGACAATACCACGTCCTCAAAGTCAGCATTGGGCGCAAACTCAGGGGTTTCGGAGGTATCGACGCAAGTAAACTTGACCAAGTTCGAAACTAACTTGTCAACCGGTCCACGCTTCGTACTCATTGTGTAGAAATCGATTAGGGTTCCAACAGCGGAAGCGGATCGAGACTGCAGCTCTTCATTCTCTTCACCTTTGATGCTGTCCATGATGCACTTGATCAACTGACCTGGCTTTTTTGGTATTTCCTGGAGTCTGACGAAGATAGCAGAAACAGCCGCCTTGACCGCCATGTCCCTACTGTCTTTGAGTCTTCGTGCTTCCTGAACGGCCGTCTGGGCATTAGAGCGAGCATCATTGAGATATTGTACCCCGGAGATTCGTTGTGAGGGAGTCAATCCTTTGAGAAGACGATCGAAATCTGTGGTCACGATTCGTTCGGCATCAGCCAATGAGAAAGCTTTTGGACCTGCACCATTGTCCCCTTGGCAGACGACTGCAATGATCGGAAGCTTATCTCGCGGAACATGTGCATTGTTCTGGAACGCACTGATGAGACTCTGGCACTGTCCACGAGCAGCCTGCAAAGCAGAAACAATATCGGTGTACCACGAATTACCATCCTCTTCTAATATAGACCGCAATTCTACCAGCGTGTTGGCAATGTTGGCGGGCTTTGAGCATTGGTTTCGTGCAAGCTCTTCCAGAAGCAGCGAAGTGAACAATCTGGAGCTTGAATACGAGGAGCTGACAAGTGGCGTAAGGAACGTCCAATAGACAGTAAGATGTTGTTCATCCATCTTTCCAAGTAATAAACCCAAGGCTCTTGCACAGGCGATTCGAGATCGTATCATGACTTCGACGCCGACCAAATCGACCTCTCCGTGCAACATGTGTCCATCAGTATTGTGCGACTGGTGTTGATTTGTGTCGGACTTCTCGATTTTTCGACGTTTCTTGGAGTGTTGATCAGATTCCTGATTTGAACCGAATTTTGTAGCGATGGGCATCATTGGATTGCCAGATGGCTTGATTAGCAAAGTGGTGTCCAAGGGTATCGGGCTTCGAGCTTGACCGATAGGTTGGATAGTAGCCTTTAGCATCGGAGTAACGTGTGATTCGAGGCCACTGGTGAAGTGGGAAAGTCCTTGGCGTTCCATAAACGCGACCAAAGCTTGCCACACTTCGAATGAAGTCCACAGAACATTCTCATTTCTTTCAAGCAACATGTTCTGGAAGATCAATCGTGTGATCCGTCCACCAACCCACTCTGTGCTTTCTGGCTTCGAGATGTTCAGGAATGTTATTAGGGCTTTTAATACTGCCAGTCGCACACTTGTGATTGTATGCCTCAAGAAGGGATAAAGGCGTGGTACCAGGTTATCGAATGACTGTTCTGGATCGATTGCAGCATTCTTTCCCATGGCCTCCAATACTTGGTTGTAGGAACAAAGTGTGGCGAGCAGATCCATGACTGCACCTGTGCTGGCACTAAGATCATCCTGCATGTCAAGAAGACAATCCCAGACCACACTGATGAGTCCGCCCAAAGCCTCGGGTCGTAAAGTGGTAAGTTCGCCGGCCACTGGAACAAGAGTTGCGGCACTGACGGATTTCACATCGTCATCACTGTGAGCCAAACCATGGATGACGGCAGAGACAGCCCCATCAATGAGATTGTTGTGTTGGAGTAGGAGGTCTTTTCGAACGGCAACGAAATATCTCAGACCGATCATGCCTCCATGGCAGACCTCCCAGACAGGCTGTGCAATGCCAGCCTCCTGCTGATTTATCATTTTCTGGAGAAAATTGTAGGTGGCAACGGCGGTCTCGTCGGGCAATTGAGTCAGTAGAGCGCCCAGAGTTTGGCCGATGGATTCTCTGATTGGTGCCACAACTGTGTCGCTAACATAGTCACCAAAACGATCCAGCATCAGAACGCAGAGTAAACGGCAAGCAAGGTCGTCCAGCCAGGTTTTGTTGGCAAGATCGTTTTCGACTCGCGATCTTCCGAAGCGTCGGCCTGCTCCTCGGCCATGAACACGCACGATCTCTCGTAGACCCAGAGCGGCGCCATGTCGGATCTCCCAGTTTGGGTCAAAGAGGTCGATAGAGAGGAAGTCACACATGACATCGAAGGGCCAATCGTGGGCATGTTCCTCATCGGGTTGGATCAAGGGTTTCTCTGGGACTTCTTCGCCTTTGAATTCAGAGACTAGTGCTGTGTCGTCATCGGGGCCTTCTCGCTTGATGGAAAAGTAGTCCGGCTTGGAGTCACCGTTTGATTCCCCATGTCCATTCAGCTTAACAGGATGTGGAGTGGCGGACACAGGGGTCTGGCCTGGTTCTGATGGCCGACGTCCGGACAAGTCGACGACTCTCATCTTATTGGCCCCTGCCTTGGCAGCTGATTTATTTTTGCGCTTGAGCTGATTGAGTTGACGCTTGCTCAGTCCTGATTCATCGACTGCTGCATTGTCTGATGGGGACATGGCACCGAAGGGTGAGCCAATTCCAAAGCTGTTGGATCGTTGAGAGGCCGACTGGGTGTCGACTCGTGAAAGGCTTGGAGTGTTTAGGGATTTGTGTTGAGAAGCCGTTGCGAAATCGTGCTCGTTGACAATATCATCCTCCATATACTCACCGGCAAGACCCAAGCGGCTACTCAGGCTTTGTTTCTGATGAGCGAGACGCTGAGCCGGGGTCATACCGGCCATGGAATACTCGTACTCCTTCCCGGCACTACCGAGAAGCTTCTTGCCATGACGAAGAATTAAGCTGATGTCAAGCTTGGCGAGCTGGAGATGATCATCGACATAGGAAGAGTTGGTCTCGAGCTTGAGCGGTGGTTCCTCAAGTTTCGTCGAGTCTGCCTTGATGTCCGGGTCATCAGCATTTGGATCAAACTTTTCGGCATTGCTAATGATGCCACCAATGGCTTTGGCCGCTGCAGTCCGAGTATCCCATGACTTGGACTGCAGATAGGGAAGAACACGGCCGAGCAAAGAGAAGAGATTATCTGGATTTTGCTTCTGAACGTCGGCGAGTTGAGACGCAGCTGTGTTTCGAATGAGCTGAGTACTTCCCTTGTCTAGTAGGCTGTTGTGGTACTGTTGTTAGTCAACGAGTCTTTCATATATGGAAAAGAGATACTCACGTGACCAGTCGATCAAGCCTGTCGAAAAGAGGTTAGCGTATGCTCGGCACAAGAAGAAGATCCACGCGGCAAGAGGGAAAGAGAGACCAACCTTGAAGAGGCCATTTTGCCTTAGACCTCGATCACCTGCAACCAAAATTTGCGAAAACAGGTCAGGCTGAAAATGAAACGCCATCAAATGTACGATTGATGCATCGACAGATTAACTTGACTCGATCGACGATAAGGCCAAGTTATTAGTAGTGAATACGATGATGCTCAAAACCGAGGACGCGTCACGTAAAGTGATGTACGCGATGAACCAAAAAAGTGAATTCTGGGTGAGGCAACACAGAGCCTTGCTGGTTTGGCCTTCAGGTTCTGCTTTCTGCAGTGGGTGGAAAGTTGGAATTGGGGGGGCACTGCGCAGGCTTATGAGGGGGTCTCGAACCGCATTTAAATCCTCGCTTGGTCTAGGTTGCCTGCAGTCCGCCGCCCGCCCCTGCCTCTAAAATGTCCACCTCTTGCCTCTTCAGTGCCTGTGAAGACGCCTAGGTCAGAGTCAAGCTTTCTTTAGTGCCTTGGCATTAACTCCAGGCTAGAAACAGCCATTGTCATGATTGATCCCAATGCTCAAGACACTACCAATGACGGATCATCTTGAACTTGAACATTAATTCGATCTCGGTCCGGGTGGTCTACTACTGCTGAAGGCTAATTGCGTGCATATGAACTGGTTTGTTGCGCATAACTCTCGAATGGCTATGGCGGATGGAATATACGGAGCACGGAGGAAGGTTGTTCCATCGAAATCACATTTGATCAGTTCACGTATGGGAGTCACATTAGGCAGCACGGAGCATCCAAATTTACCGGTATACTTCTCACAGAAGCACGAATCTTACCAGTTCGTATCTCGATTAGCCTCACGGTGTCTTGCTTGTTGTTGGAAATGCGCTTTCATGACCTGGCCATCATCGAGTAGGATCTTTCGCCTACCAAATGGTTCCAGTCATGCCACCAAGTGGGTGCAAGCGGCTTTTATATCGAACCCTCATGGCTTAAATATCCTGTTGATCAAATGCGGAATGATATTTGAATCTTTTGTATTTGCTCACGTTGTTGGAGCTTCTGTTCGTTGACACCGTATGTACAAGTCTGTCTGAAACCGGGCAGCCCCCTCAGGCGGTATTGTTCTCAGCTCAATGAGACTTCTGCGCCTATAAACCAAGTAGAGCTTTCGACTCTTTCTCCTTCCCTATCAGTCCCAGACTTCGAATCTGATCGAGCTTAGGAGCATTTTCTCGTGGGTGTGAAGCTTCGGCCTTTCGTAATGCGTCTTGCATGGCGAGAGCGCGTGCATACTATGACGAATCCATCAGTCTCAAACACTGGCCCTCAGGAAAGCAGCTCACGAACCTCCTTTTTGTGGTGCAAACACTCATAGTAATCTTCCAGTCGCGGTAAGCACACTCCTTGCGACCTTGCTACTTGATCGTTCTGATTGATAACATAACAGGCCATGTACTCTTGCCAAAAAGGAAAGCACCGTGAGACACCTGTAAGCGAAGGACCTGGGTTAGCATAGCTGTTCCTCTCATGGTTGTCATCGGCGGATGAGATCCGATCATTGCTCACCAGAGTTTGCTGAGTAACCGGAGGCCATATTTTTCGTGTCAATGGAAGTGTACCAAGACCATTCAACGCCGAAAAGACGAGAGAACCGACGTTTGCAGTCAGGCTGTGGAGGGTTGTCGACTTGTTAGTAGTAGTGGTGGCGGCAGTGAGTTGACGTTTGGTGCAATTCGAGTTGGAGCTGCAACTGCGGCTGCGACTGCCGCGGAGGCCAAGCTTTGAAACCCCGATTCTGAAATCAGAAATTGATAGGCTCCACGGCCGCTTATAGACGCCTTGTCCGGGCCCTGGGTCAGACTCCCAGGCCTGCTTATTAGGGCACATCGTCACTAAAGATGCCTATTGACGCCTAATGCATCCCCAGGTAATAACCGATGTCATGGCCGACTTGTTCACCAGCAAAAGACCAACATTGCAGGATCGCCAGTCCAAGTGCCTCGATCCATTTCCACGCGCAGGACCGCAACTATGCCATTGCCTCTTCTCGTAGGAGACAAGATATGTCGGACGTTTCGCGATTGACAGATCCTCAGGTCCTCCTCCAGGCCGTCCAACTCGCCTCGACTTCTGACCTGGATCGATTGCTCCATCTCCATCGCCTGCGACAGAACATCCTTTCGACGACCGTCATATACCGAATCCTACTTTCTTTCTATCCGGTCAACCAACTGAAATTATCTGACTTGGCCACGTTCCTACTCTCTCTACAAGATCCTGCAAGGGATGCCTTGTTGACAAATGAGTTCAAGGTCGACCCATCTATCTCAGCCCTTTCACGCAAAGATGCACTTCGCCGTTGTCGTTTGTTAACCCTGCGCCCGAATCACCACCATACCATATTTGGCTCTGAGAATGCCCTTGCCAATTTTGTACTCAACTGGTCATATCGAGTCCAGTCAGTTGGTGGCATACAGCCGCTCCTTACCTTCGTCGAACCATTTCTAGACCATGATCCTGCGCTCCGGTTGTGGTATTCCTCATGCCTTGTTCCCGCTGTCCGTCTCCAGTACGACTTCTACCCAGATTCGGAGGATACCATTGGGCTACAAGAATTTCAGAGCCTGTCTGGTGTTCCCGGTGTCAAGACCCTCCTCCACAATGCGGACATGACCCACGATCCTACACTGATAGCACGGGATCTAGGTGACGTTGTAACTCCCTGGGTGCATGGAACGAGTGAGTGGAAAAGGCGGAGAGTAGAGCCCGAGCCTGCAGAGGACACTGGTTCTGAATGGGACAGTGTGAACCAGTGGCTGTTGTCAGCAAGCGCAGAGAATTTTGTGGCCACGGGTAAGGCATACCTACAGTGGAACGGGCCAAAACCAACTGAAAGCGACCCTGATAGCCGTATTGAAAAGGCTTTGCTTGCAGGATTTGCGCAAACAGGGCTAGCCATCATTTATGCTGGCTCGGAGCTGTCCAAGGAAGCCCTTGTGGTGTCGCAGAATGTCGTAGCCAAGGTCGCTAGAATTGCCGGCGAGCTTCCACTTGACTCAACCAGTACTTCTCCTGATATCACTCTCGATGGCACTTTGGCCCAGAGCCTGAAGGAGAGTGACCTCCTACCTACTGTTCTCTTGCGGCCAGAAAACCCATTTACACAAGTCAAGAAATCTTCGCTGGATTTGATACAAGGCTTGCTTCTAACGGCGGATCACTTGCTACAGTTCGACTTACCGGCTCCGATATCAACCTTGGCAAAAATCTGCCTTTTCGGTTCGGAGAGGCAGCAAAAAGACGAGCTCGGCAGGATATTGCAACGATTCTCCGGAAGCTCGAGGTCACAGGTTGATTGGGTATCCGCATGGCACCGATTGCATTGGTCTAGACGATGGACCAGCCAAGACACCTCGGATTATGATGGAACACAATATGGCCTTTTGTCTAAGATGTCCTCTGAGGAGTTGGACGCTCGGATCTTGGATGCAGCCCTGAACTCTGGGCAATTTGAGGCCGTCGCAAAGATATATTTCGATGCCGGCACACCACGCCTGCCTGTTGCTGAGATAGAAACACATGTGGCAGATGCAATTTTGCGAGCTTATGATAATGCGGCAGATGGCAATCGCGAACGTGGTGGCCTTCGACCTGCTTACGAGATGCTGAAATTCTTCCGGCTCAAACTTCCTCAGTCATCTAAATTAGAGGATATCGACCACCTTATCAAAGCTACACATCGCTTGTCATTCTACCGACTCAATTTGTCGCACGGCATTCCTTTCAGGCCTGTTGCAATTCGTGTGCAGAAAAATCCAATCAATTTGGTCGCCAAAGTCTTGGAGCAAGACCCGAAATCGTATACAAAGCTTGACGACTTACTTGAGATAGGCCGTAGTCTGGTGTTGGCTCATCTTCCAAGTCGGATGGTCACTGATGATGCTTTGGACCCACTCGGTCTGGGTCAATTTCAAGCAGAACATGAGATCACGCGGCTGGCAATCGAGGCTGCACTCAGATCGAACGACTTTGATACAGCTTACTCTTATATTACGACGAGACTATCGACCGGCACGAGTAGTGACTACCATGATGACATCTCGTGGAGGGCAGCGTACGCTGCGGGGAAATATCGACCATCCGCAACACCCAAGAGTCTAGATGCGCGCATCGAGAATTTATCCCGACGAATGGAACTTCTCTCGCGAGCGCTCGTACTCGCACCTGTGGGAGACTCGCTCGCAGAGATTCTCGGGACTTGGCGCAGGCATGAAGAAGAGATGGCGGCCTTGAGAGAAGAGGGCGTACAGGAAGAGCGAGCGTCAGATGCTCGAGCCGATGCCGACCTCCCCGGAGCATTTGGTCTTGATGACCGAGAACTTGATGCAGCAGAGTCACAAAGAGCCATGGCAAGACGAGCCTGGCCTGGAGCGACCCCTGGGCTTTCCTATGAAGAACATGCTCCCATGGGTCTCTTCGATGTTGCAAAGGGAGCGGCAAGCGCTTTGCGAAAGAGCTCGTTCTTCCCACTAGGCTCAACTGGTTTACAGGACCTACAGATTCGGGATGCTGCCATGTCTTCCACACAGCATGGATTCGATGTAAGAGATTCAGCACCGGGATCTCCACCCACTGGTGAACGGGTGCGGAAGAGGGATCAAGTCACGAACATGGTTACCAGTGGGATTGTCAGTGGGATGGGGTGGGTTCTGGGAGCACAAGCACAAGATCGTAATGACTTTAAGAGCAATGGCAAGAGCCATGACGAACAACCGAGTTCGAGAGGCGATCATAGTTAGCGGTCTGTAAGGGATTGAACAGACAGGTAGTATGTTGACCGATGGTTGACTGTCTGAATATGAAGAGATGGTAACTTTGTGGTTATCAAGAATTGAATGGTAAGTGAAGGTGCAAGAGTGGAAGGGGCAGCGCAAGAAAAAGGAGCCGTCCCACCAGACGTAAGTCCTATCTACAACTTCTTTTATCTCTCACTTCATTTTCACCAAAGTGTCAAATATGAACAAGGTCAATGATACGACGACATGCTTTGATCTTCTTCCCTTTCATTCCCCACCATCTTCCGTCATTCTAACGTCGCGTCTCTCTCTCTCTCTCTTGTGATATAATGCACCTTATCTCAGTCGCTAACTTGCGCACCGAGAGAAAAACTCAACAAACCACTCAGCTTCGCGCCGCCGAGAATAAGATTCACTCCTCTCTTCGCGCCGCCGAGAAAAGAAAAAACACTCAATCAATCACTTGATCACGCGACAATGCCTCCTGTTCTTCATCATCCTACTCTCGGACGCCGAGAGGAAACGCAGAGCAAGATATTTCCCATCGTCTTCGCTGTCGTTGCTCTTCTTGTCGTCTTTGGTTGTATCCTCTGGGCTGTGCACCGGTCCAAGATGCAAAAGAAAGCCAACAGAAGTCGGTCAGTCAGCGAGCGAACGACAAGTTCATCTCGTGTCAATGACGGGTTCCACTTCCCCAGCCATCCAGCTCTCCTTAGGGGCTTCATCAAAAAGCCGTGGCCAACTGTTACTCACTACGACCCCAGAACTGAAACTCCATTCCCAACAGTGGGCCCTTCACAAGACAACCCTTTGCCCTTCACAACGCCACGCTCATCGTTGACCCCGACCAGCCAGCCTGGAAGCAGTCACGGTTTGTTCACACCCGCCAAAGCCGCCGCCCTACCCCACCAGATTATCACATTGAAGCAGGACAAGACGGTCAAGTCACAGGCACAAGCGACAGGTACCAATGAAGTTGAGATGACAAGATATGGAGCAGGACATGGATATGATTATGATCATGAGTACATTCTTCCAGTACCTGAACCACTCGTACTCAAACCCAGACCTGCGGGAAGACCACCACCTCTCACGAGACAACTGGAAAGATTCCCCGTACCCATCGGAACCCTCAAGCGGAATGACCTCTTGCATCCTGTAAAATTGTTTCAGGAAATAGAGTCCAGAGCCTCCCAATCAACAGTTGAAACTGTCGGTACACCATGCCCCACTCCCTTCCTTGCGAGACATGGCACTTTGTCAAGAGAAGCTATGGGTGCAAATCACGGAAATGGTCATGCCAAGATCACCTTCTACGAGCGAAGCCGAGCATTCAGCGATACTGGTATTGCTGACGAGATGCCTGCCAAGAAGATGCAATTTAACAACAAGAACGAAGGAAATCACTTTGTGGTCAATGTCAGAGAGGAAAGCCGCAAGCTGGAGAGGACTGGAACTGTGACAAAGCCCAGAACACCTGTCGCTGAATTGCGCGAACGTTTTGATATGAGTTCTACAATCCCTGCAAACGGCAGAACCTGCGCAAAGGAAAAAGATACCCCCTCCGTGAACCCCTTCGACACGCCGGGTGATCGTTCTACACCACCAACATCACCCGCTCGCCCAGAAAGCCCCAATCTATCTTTGGATACACCAGTCCCTGATCACAATCCTTTTGCAGACGCCCAGGTCGAAGACTCAAAGAATTCTGGCCTGTGCCAAGCCACAAGCTCAACTACCTCCCTTCTGGGAGAACAACGCGCGATTCAAAACAATATGTCCACAGTCTCTAATGACACCGAAAGCTTCTCCAAGAGCTTGATTCCTGCACGTCTGAATTTGACTGGGTCTTCAAACCGCAACAAGGCCGAAACCGTCTTGAAAGGCCATTCGATGTCGTCACTTTCAACGATCCTCAGGCCGATTCTGGCTCCAAGAATCCACCAGAGTTATCCTGTGAGCAGTGTCTACAGTCGTGACACAAGGGGAATGAGTTTACTCCCTACTCCAACAAATGACCGGTTTTCACAGCACCATGCAGTCCAGCCTTCGTCCATGATTGATGCAAGAAATATCATGTCAGTCGAGAATGTGCAATCAAAGATCGATCAGTGGGACTTGCACACAACAGACCTAGAGATTCTAGTCTCAAGGGCCACAAAACCAAAGCGAACCCTATCCGACTACGGCACTCGATGTCCAATGTTCAGAGATTGCGCCAGTTCGGCCTTGACACAGCCACTCCGGATCCGCCAACCGGCTGATGAGAACACTGTAAATCCGACTTATCAAGTGCCCACCACATGCAATGAATCCAACATGCTCAAACAGGATCCGAATGACTTGGGAGCCAAGAAGAGAGATCATGCTCATCATTTTGGAGCCAGCGAACAAACGAAGGAGGATCTGTCTTGCGAATCTACTCAAGGTGAAGGACTTCGAGGTGTGGCATGGCTATGAATGATGAGAGTTACTATGCATGGAACTTGTGGCGAGAGAAACTGGGTCGGATGTAAGAGTAACGAGCTTGGGCGAGATATGAGCTGACAATCTGGAGTGGACCAGAGGTGTGAAGTAACGACATGGGAATGAAGAAAAGATGAGGCATGATGAATGAAACATGACGAACGAAACATGAGTTCGGTAACATGAGAACAAGATTCGGAAAAGGGTTTCCAAGATGTCGAGAACCTCTACCCCTTAGCTAGCTAGCTGCATAGCCACAATGAAGGCCCTGAAATGAATACCTGGAACCCCCAGAATCAAATCTCATTCGAGTATCAACTCGATTCTTTCTTAGTGAACACTACGAATGGTAAGATCTTGGCACGAGCATTGAAGCAGAAGGCAAGGATAGTCTCGAGTTCTTCAACAAACTGGCCTAGCTTGAAATATGTTTGCACACTAGGCAGCGAGCGAATGATGCGATTAGACAAACACAACTGATAAACGAAGAACTTGAGGTTTTCCTGTAGCATTGGGGACGGAGTTGGATCTTTGCTACCATTGTCTAAACAAAGGGCAGTTCAAGACTCAGATTCTCCTTCATAAATGCATTTCCTCTGGCCATTGAGGAGGGAGAATGACTTCGCCAAGGTTGTATTCAATTTCGAAGCAGGTGCAGAGTTGATGTGTCGGCTGGAAGAAGCAAAAGAAATGTAAGCATTTGGTGGACCACAAGAAGCACGATCTCATGCCACATCTTCACATTCCCATCATAGTTAATCACAATTCGTTGCGTGGCAGCACAACCTGTAGTTTCTCGGATTCAGGCAAGTATGTGTCCAACACGTAGTCTGCGCAGGAAGCACCCAAGGCTGCTCGAAATTCCGGCTGCTCGAACTGCAATGTGTGGTGGTGGTCTGGAAGGACTTCCTCGACGATCGAGGAGAGGAATGTGATGTCGGCCTGAGTGGCCTCGCCTAGAATCACCACTGAGTGGAACTCCTCTGGATCCAGTGGATTCTTCCACTCCCAAGAAGACGTTCCCGGTGCCAGATATTGCTCGACTGCATGCTTAATAGCCACACGAACATGCTCTGCGTCCAATTTTGCACACTGCATGACTGGTTAGCTAGACGCTATAGTAGATCATTGAGTTCGATATGAACTTACCGATTTCATGGTTGCAACAGTTCGGCCATAGAAAGTAGGACTCTGCGCAGGAGTCACTCCGACGACGATGTCGAGGTGGTCGAGATCGTAGTTGAGCATCAAAATATGATTCGCTGGCTCGTCCTGATGATTATCGCCACCCCAGACAGGTTCTACAGTGCAGTAGTTGTCGGATCTGGTGTATGCTGCTGCTCTGAAAGCGTCTCCGGTCCACGGCAACCCGCGGAAGGTTGGATCGACTTCCTGTGCAGCTTGTGCCAAAGATATCTTCGATGTGAAGTTGAGATACACGGGATGTGCGACGGTTCCAATGGCAACAGCGTGGTTCAAGCGATTTGCTGAATCTTGTGTGATGCTCTGGAGCGCACCAACCAGAATTTTGAACGTGGTTTCGTCTTCGGATTGCCACAACTTAACAGAGCCAAAATGGTGTGCGTGACTGTTGCCTGCATGAAGGAAACGTCGGTCTGGAATCTGCAGACTAGGACAATCAGTTCAATATTTTCATTGTGAAAAAGGAGAGGGACTGTTCTCACTGCTTGGCCCAGTCATTCTGAACAGCATCAAACATAAATCTGTGGTACAAAGAATTTCCTTCGATACGACCCATGGCAAGAGGAATGTTGTCTTCGCCCATGCATGAGGCAGTCCTGTCAAAAGTTAGCCCACGTCCCAGATCACGGCCCCGATTGGTGGCTTACATATGAGTGGCTCCAAGATTGATACCGAGACGTACAGCCCCATTCGCGATGTTACATGTTCTTGTGGAAGTCTGGGTTGTCGCAGAGGAGATCGTAGCGAACCAGCATAGCACAAGAAGCACTATAAGACCAGTGGACCAGAATCGGCTTCCCATGATCCCGACCTTCACTTCACGCAGTGCCCATAGAAGAGACAAGAAAGTAGTTAGGTGGATCTCGCTGTATTGCGGCTCACCACAGATCGAGAGACTGAGACGCTCCGATGAAGCAAAGATGATGATGATGATGATGGATGGTGGTGAAAGAACAGGATTAGCAAGGCGGAAAATAAAATAGGTGGAAGTTACGTGTCACGATTTGTGAACCAGCCGACCGAGAGTGCCTGCCTCAGGATCAAAGTTTCCAGCGACAAACAAGAAAGGTGAGTACCTAAGGCAGTCACTGGTGCTCAATACTTAATCATGGTAGTTGGATGACCATGTGTAAAGGTGAAAGTGCACATTCACTGATACCTAGGTACCTAGTAGGTGATGGGTGACAACGGCACAGCTCTGGGCAAGGCTGTCACCCCTGACAGCACTTGAGGGCTGTCACCGCGCACTGCCTCGTCACCAGTATTGCGGTGACACTGCCAATACATCTTCACTTAATTGCTAGTCACTCGCTAGCCTGGCACTGGTTGTCTGTGGAGGTATTTATTCTACTTCTCCCCGGAAAATCATTACTGTCTTTCAATCTTGGACAAACGGCTGCCACCCAGGGCATGACAGAATTCGTGGATCACGAAGCCTACTTTCTCACCCTGTCGCCGGTCGTACTCAAATATTACATAACCTGTGACATCCACTGGGTTGCTGTATCACACTATCGAAATCTTGAGCCCTCAACGCTCGAGACGCGCCACAATGGCTGTCCGATGCTTTGTACTGCTATTTGCTTTGCTATTATGCTTCGTTCAAAGTGTGCCTGTCGTGCTTGAGAGCAGGTATATTTCGCCACTTCCACCCAGAGCACAATAGAATTCGTGACTCACGAATCCTATTCTCTCACCCTGCCGCGCGCCGTACTTAACGATTTCTGGAAATGCTAACCGTGCCAAAGCTCCAACCAGACCATTAATATCGACGAAGCTATCAAAGCTACGGGCTACTATGATCGCGAGCACCGTCCTGTGTTTGAGCACATGGAAGGCATGGACTGGCAGCATGTTCTCGACCTTTCGGAATGCAACATCAAGCAACAGGATATCATCGAAGACGCATTTCACACTGCAGCCTATGTGATTTTGATCCCGACCATTCTAGATGGGGGCAAGATTGATCTCAACAATGCTTGGAATCGTTTCTTCATGAATGACAACGAGGCAGCATGGGGCTATGGCTGGACCACTCGTGGTGATGTAATTTGATCTTGACCCCTTCTGTCTAATTCAGATTCTGACAGAATATAGAGGGGTCGAGTGAACAAAGACGCTTTCGAGGCCATTGTTGGGAACTTTCGGAAAGCTGCTACATTTTATCCTACTGGCTATGTCGAGGGGCATTGGGTACAGAGATCTCAGATACACCGACTCAAGGTCAGATGTAAAGAGGTGTATGAAATAGGAAGATGTGAAAGCAGGAATACTGCAGCATACGTGACGGAACCACTGAAGGACGAGGATGGTCAATGGGCCATGACAATTTGCCCAAAGTGGTTCACGCGCCGGGTGGAGTCCATCGTGGACGTTGGGAAAATGTGGAAAACCCTTGATAATTTACCACAAATGATGTCCCGGGAACACGTTATCCTTCACGAATGGATGCACTGCGATCTGCCCAAGTTCAGACAGCATATAAAAGATGAGCTTTGGTTTGGAGGGCCTGTCAATGGAGCTGCGAACTCCCACGACTTTGCATGGGTAAATGCCTTTCGCTCCGACCAAATTACACCCGCCGAGAAACCCGCTATCAACTTGCGTGTTGAGACAAACGCGGACAACTACGCTTGGTATCTTACGAATCGATGGTTTGAGAAGCTCATCGAATGGCGCGACCCTTCACGAGGTAGAGACATCTGAATTTGTGATTGTGTGCGCGATCCTCAACTCTTGTCCGATACATATCTTGATCATTACTCATCCGGAGCACGCCTTTTACATTGGATCGCATGACTCAATGGCCTTTCAGGGTAAATCCTAGCTTGACGGTGAATGATCAATGACACTTTACGCTTGAACCACAGCCTCTACCTTGTCGTACTAGTAACTGGGTGTGGCAACCTTAGATCTTCAAGTCGCTGCCTGTCTCCAAGTGAATGACACGCCATTCAAAATTCTCCCTTGGCGCTTTCATTTTCTCATCAAGTCCATCAGTTACAACGAAATCAGCACCTCATCTTTGTTTCCATCGTTTTCTAATTCAACAGAATCTCATCCAGCATTGCGGTGTGGCGGAGGCTGTAAGTACTCACTCGGCTCTCACAGGTAAGAGAACTCTCACAAATCCTCAGATCTACAACCCAGATCTTCACTCTCCGACTCTCTCTATCTGTTCCAGTAACTTCCTCAGATAAAACTAAACAGGCTGCTCTAATACGACCCAGTCCAAAGACCACAAGGTTACCTTCACCACCATGAACGGTCTAGCCACCCGAGAGGAGATCGGCCGGTACATCAAAGCCTGGACGGATACATTCTTCATTGCTGTGCATGAATGGAACTTCAAAGATGGCGCTTTCAAGCAACAAATCAAACGCAACACCAATGTTATAGACGGCTTTGATGTCTTCATAGCTTCTTACGAATTGACGAAAGATGAAAAAGTCGTCTTCTCTAAAGCTCGAGCCAGCATGGTCAAAGTCATGGTTGATGGTCTTCGGATGACTTCCTGTGAAGTGACTCTGGAAATGATGAGCTTCACTGAGCGAGTTACCGACATCTTCCAGGGAGATTCAAAGGACCGCGGCAAGTACATTCCGGACGTCATGGCTCAGAGTTTCGATGCCAATGGCAATATGGCGGAGACCTTTGAGTTCACCGACGAGGGCGTCAAGGTTACCGCTGGAGGCGAAGTAGGTGTTCCTCCTGATGCTCCAGAATCATTCAAGCAGAAGCAGCGCGAGGAATGCATATTCAACACAGGTAGGAAGAACCCGTTCACACTGACGATGGTGAGTTTACAAGTTCCCAGATCTGGCACATGTTCGCCTAAACTAACTCTGGTCACAGTTCTTTCAAAGAAACCCACCACCGAGAAAGCTGAGAAGGCCGAATATGACGACACCTTCAAGAAGAACCTTCGCGGCGCCTTCATCTGAGAGGTCAAACGTCGGAACCAGGTCTGAAGGATCGAAAATGGCAGGATGGAGAATTCTGGGATGGCGTACGTTGGTCATCTTCTAGAAATGCGATCTATGCATTCTATGAAGGCCATGTGGTTCGGTTGGAGAAACCACGGAGATATGCACGGGGATAACGACTGTTGAGAGCATGTCACAAGGATACATAGATCTCTTTATTAGCAATTGTCCCAGAAACTGTCAATATGACACTTCAATCCATCATTTTGAGATTTCTGATGATTGTACCGTTTTTTTGATTTCATGTTCAATTCCTCGAGTAGCTACACAGTCGCATAGAAGGCGTCAGTAACCCGGGATTCTCGACTGTACAAACGCTGCTATTCTCCTCGCAGCCTCAACAGACTTCATCATGGTAATGTCAAGCTCGATCTCGTCCTCCCCACTCCAGCGATATGTTTCATGCTCTGATCTTAGGTCTATAAGAACTTCGACGTCTGTCAATTTGGACCTTCTGCCAGTCAAAGGCTCAGTTTGAGCGGGCAAATCCCCGCTGGAGCAAGTGCGAGCTACTAGTCGGCGACAGTTTTTGTCCATTTCGCAGTTCAACACCACCGATATGAAATTTGATCCCCTCATAGCTGCAGCCGTTTTGTAAGACTCAGCAATGGCTTGGGCGATCGGGTCAGATGTCTGTTGTGAGTCGGTGAAGATCCAGGTGACATCCTGTTGAGAGACGTTGGTCACGATGGCATTCAGGACGGCTTCCCGCTGCACAATCCTTGATTAGATTCTCGACGGGTACAAGGGCAGACTAACCATGATTCGTCGCAAAGGTCGATATATTCTGGCATGTCCCGCTCGAAGAGCGCGGCGCATGGATCGATCAATAAATGATTGTCAACCAATCTCGACTTCGGGATGAATTTCCTGGGGGTAAGAGAGAAGGAATCAGCAATATTGTGTCCAAACACGACAATCTGGGGTGAGGAAGACCCAACTGGAGCTCTCGTGCCATTGAAAGCTTCCCGACGCCTGGGAAGCCATTTATGTAGATGAATGGTGGAGGATAAGGAGGAGGAGGAGCCTCTTCTTGCTCTGGTGGAGCTTCCATGATCTTAAGTGTCTGTAAAAGACGGTGTGTCACACCTATCTTAGAGGGAAAAGGCATCAGGATAGGATCCACGAATATTGCAAGCAAACTAAGAACTAGAATGGCTGAGATGACTCACGAAAACCCAAGCCATTGGATTGTTTTCTGAGTTATGCTTGTGCGGGTCTCACGTGCCAGTCTTCAAGCCCCAAGGCATCGAGAGGCGAACTATCATGATAGTTTCCCGCAATGGTAACGTCCGATAAAGACCCAGCAAGCTCTCCGTCATGAATCCCGAAACGGCATTGTCGCTGACCAGCATGGTCCTCGATTCAAAATTTTCCTAATGACACAAAGTTCCTTGACCAGAACACCCTGATGCATTGTTTGACAATTGTGGACGGCAGCAAACATCAACCATTCAACGAATAAGCAAACTGCTTGACTGGGAAAAAGCATTTTGACAAGCCTTTTGGGCTTACTGCAGGACAACAAGCGTTCTATTCGTTTTCCAGAAGGGCTTGCAATGCCAGTGGAAACACTCTACATATATATCTTGGTCTCTTGAAAGCTATCTACATTGGTAGGTGAACCCCTGAAGAGGCTGAGTTTTCTAGGGGAGGCTGAGCCGAGGTTGAGCCAATTTGCACGGCGGGTTAGTCCCTAAAGCGGCACCCACAAGCCTAAACCAGCCACCAGGGGGATTGGTCAAGTTCCGAAGGCCGTGGCAAACCATCAAATTTTACAGCACAACATCATCCGAATGTGCCTCTATCACATGGCGTACAATGATTGTGTGAGGCAAATGAGACGACCCGTTTATACTGGACTTTTGTTTCGCTCATTCGCTCCATTTCGGCTCCAATGTTGTACTACTACAAACGGGAAGAGCCGCCCATGAGTATGGGTCTCAGGCTCACGCAACAAGCTTGTTCAGGCCAACCCTGAGCACTTTATGGACGATGCTGTCGATCCGTGCGAGAGACAAGCGTTATCGGCCCTCGTTCATGTCTTTGGGTGGCCTCATTGATCAGAGCCCCTCAAAGAACGGAACTCCTGTGCTGTTGATTGTTGCGAGTCGTGGATACAGTGTTCCCGAGCCCGAGTCCCTGAAACCCTGTCTGTTGGATACAAGGTCAAGGCTGTTTCCACTGTTGATGGTGGAGAGTGTGATCCCATGTCACTTTTCAAATTCCCCGTCTTTCTACTTCCTTCAATGCGTATTTTTGGCTCCTACGTTCTTGTCCTGCCGGCGTGTGCTATTTGAAAGATCTTCTCCCCACCCTGCACCGATCACAGTTTGTTGATCATATTGCGAACCTCACATCTTTCGTTTAGGTCTGACCTAGATATACTGCAAAAGTCAATCCAGAGATCAAAATGGGGTGGGGCCATCTGGTGGGTTATCTCTCTTGCATAATGAGTCAAGAGATCTTACAGGTTCGCCTTAGTTATTGTCATGCAGCATACTCGCAGCCTCGACCCTCGCCAGTCCATTGATGAAAAGAGCCCAAGATGTTGTACAAGGGGCACTGGGAACCGACGAATATTGGAATGAATATGATGGTGCGTTGAGCAGAACACCTAGTACAAATATGGAGGGCTGATCAGTGAACAGGCGGATCCAATCACTATGTTCAATATGAAGGCAATGGATCAGTTGCAGCCGGGTGGCCAGCCGTTCTGACCTGGGTCAGTTTCAATGACCTCTGGGTCGCCAGTCTACATTCCATCAGCCGAAGTTGCGATCAATTATACAAAGTACCAAACAATTCCGACCAGGAAACCCAGGACCTCAAAGATGCCATTAATTCGGTGGCCCACGAGTCCAGAGTAGACCATCGATTTATTCTGGCTGCTGTTATGCAAGAGACCAAAGGATGCGTTCGGGCAGCAACTAGCGTGTCGCCGGATGGCATCAGAAACCCCGGTTTACTTCAATCATTCAAGGGGACCTTTTCATGCAATGACAATGGGAAAGTGCAGACGCCTTGTCCGAGAGATCAAATCTTGGGCATGATCACAGATGGAGGTACGTTCAGCAGAGAGCCCTACAAGAATTTGACTCAAGGGACTAATATTTGCATCTAGTCGGTGGCACAGCAGATGGTCATGGATTCGCCTCGGACATTAATGCACAGAAAGAGGTTAAAGATATCGAATATGCCGAGGCGTACTATCGTGGCGCACGACTTTATAATTCTGGAGCGATCGATGACTCGAATGATTTGGGTAAGGGATCGGCAACGCATTGCTATGCGAGTGATATTGCCAACAGACTGGTGGGTTGGACGGATAGTGAGTCGACGTGCAACTTGGACAATGATAAATGAATGAGAAGGGCCATCTGGGCAATCGCTCCTGGTTTAATCGTGTTGAAAAGCTACTCAACACTCGAAGATACGCATAATGCATGGCGTTGGAGGTGCTGGGACAAGATTTGGACCTGAATGGATAGCTGTTTACATATTTGCTGGGTCAAAACTACCCTAAGTATATAGAAGAATAATAGGACAGTACTGCATATTCATAATATGAAATATGGAAACTGAATAGCCTTCGATGACCTCTATTTGCTGTACTACTAATCATGATGAAAGAAATCAATGACGCCTTTCTTCCCTCGCGCGCGGAGAGAGAAAAGGATTGCCCGCCTCCGGAGATAATGATCAACCCACTTGATTTTCCCCCAAAGTCCACCCACCACGGGCTGACCAAGAGCAAACAACCATCATGACTACATACTAAGTTGTGCTTCTATCATTAATGATTCATATTTCCCTATCCCTTCTCCATCGTTCCAGGTGATCATCTCGCCATCATGTCAGGTGCCGGAGATGCCCGAGACGGCCGCAGCCCATCCATCGACATTCTTGACCTCTTCGCTGGAGTTGGAGATAGTGACGTCGATTTTGAGCCTTCTGCCGAGGGCCAAAGTACCACAAACACCGACACCAGCGGCCTCCGCGACGAAGACCACAGCGATGCCGACTATCTTGGTACGTTCCCATAAATCAGCGCCCAAAACAAAGTACTGACGCTTATTCAAGATGCAGAAGAATCTCTAGGCGGTATCGAGATTGCGTATGGAAATGACGATGGCAACGATGATGATGACGATGATGGTGATGCAGACGGCACTCCAGATGCAGAACAAACTCTAGGTGGGATTGAAATCGTGTTTGGAGATGGCGATGACGACGAGAGTGATCACACTGAAACCGAAAACCCCACGCGAGGCGGTACCCAGAGTGCGTCAAGAGCCTCCCCTCCCCTGAGTGCAGACAGAATTGACTGACCTTGTTCCCTATGCAGTCACATACGCCGATTTGCGCGGCCTTCTACAACGAAATAACCCCTTACGCCAGATTCTCCTATCACAATACCGCATTATAACACCCTCAGGCCGCGCCCTGTTTGCCGAAGACGATGACGATGAAGATCTTGGACACTACGCAAGACAGCGCAGGAGGAGGGCGGAGAAACCCAAGGGTGACCGATGGCCCAAAGTACCCAACAAGAATGGAACAACTCTGATGAGCTCCGGCTTGTACGGTACCCAGGACGGCCATGTCGACATGCGGTACAAGAGAAGGAAAACACTGAGTGAACGTCTGATGTGGAGGCGACTCGGAGTTGAGCCTCGCTCGAGCATGCGCCGACAGAACAATCTCATCGCACAAGAGATGATTCCCAATAACAGTACGGCCGACAGAATCATCCATTATGACAGTCGAGCGTATTCCGGTCAATTCTCCGATGACGGAAATTTCTTCTTCAGCTGTACGCAGAACTTCAAGGTGAGAATGTATGATACGAGTAACCCGTACGAGTGGAAGTACTACAAGACCGTCGATTATCCCTTTGGCCAATGGACCATCACCGATGCCACATTATCGCCGGACAACAAGTTCCTAGCCTATTCCTCCATTCGTCACGCCGTATGCCTCGCCACTACCGACCCCACTGACACCAGTGACCATACTATCCTCGACTTTACCAACTTTGCGCCGGGCTCTAATATGGGAAGGCCTCCAGTCGGCTACATGGGTCGTCATGGCTTTGGTATCTGGTCATTACGTTTCAGTGGAGACGGTAGAGAAATTGTAGCAGGCACATCCGACCACAGTGTCGTGGTGTACGATCTCGAGCGGCGGCAATCCATTGTCCGGCTCTCCAATCACGAAGACGATGTCAACGCGGTATGCTACGGCGACAAACTCTCACCTCACATTCTTTACTCTGGCAGTGACGATCAGACGCTTCGTGTATGGGATCGAAGATCGATGGCGGATGGCCGACCAGCTGGAATCTTTGTCGGCCATACCGAAGGCCTAACATATGTGGACTCCAAAGGCGACGGGCGATATGTGCTTTCCAACGGGAAAGATCAAACGATGAAACTGTGGGATCTACGCAAGATGATCTCTCCCAATGACTTCTCCAAGATCAATCTCCACCACTACACGACCAACTTCGACTACCGCTTCAGCCCGTATGACGAGGACGACTATGTCCCGAATCCGAAAGATTGCTCGGTCGTGACATTCCGTGGGCACAGCGTACTCAAGACTCTGATCCGATGCCACTTCAGTCCTCCAACCTCCAGCAACTCACGATACGTGTACAGCGGGTCTGAGGATGGGAAGGTCTGGATCTGGAATCTCGATGGTACAGTCAAAGGCACGATCGATGTGGGTACGGCCACGAAGAACACAAGACCCCGAACGGGTGGGCTGGGGGATCATTATGGGTATGAAATGGGTGGTAGGAGCAGTTCGGCGTGGAAGACATGTGTCAGAGACGCCAGCTGGAGTCCCACTGCGCCGGTCATGGCAGGTATGTGCTGTTTTATTTTCTATCATGTTTCCGTTCAAGATGGTGTACCATCTCTTTGCGATATTGCGAATGAACCTCTCAAGCTGACCCTTGATGCTTTTCTAACAGCAACGTCCTGGAACGGATGGGGCATGGCAACCGGCACAGTGTCAGTGCACAGTTTCTCCGATGGCATGGACGACGACGAGGGTTTCCCACCCATGTCGAGCAACTACAATGCCCGTCTTGATTTGAGGGAAGATTTCAACCCGAGTGGCAATGTGACCCGGATGACGAGAGGCGTGGCGACGAGGTCGACTGGTGCTGCTGGTGTTGGTGGTGGTATCCGGGAGCGAGTCCTTCGAAGTCGTGTTGTGCGCGCGGCACAGCAAGTGGATGACCATGACGACGACACAGATTCGGATGATGACGATGACGATGAAATGCGTGTCCCTGGTGCTTGGTGATGAGGTGCTCCATCGACGGATGCCACGATCGTAGAGTTCTCATTGTGCTCGACTTGTATACGAACGAGATCCACTGAACAGAGTATGAACTATGTTTCAACAGTTGGGGGTCCGATTTTCATGTGTTCTCATAGATGCATGTTCTGCTTGTGACCCGCCTCAGGCTATGGCTGGTTGGTTTTCATGGATAGTCACGGACTTACAAAACGAGTGTTGAAATAATGCACCAAAGACTCGTACATGGCCACTTGAAAATGATGGGATATGTTTAAATCTGTGTGTAATTATGTGCGGAAATGGCCATTGGAGGACTGGAGCGACCCTTCTGCGACGAATATAAATATAGTTTCTGGGTCAAGTCCTGCCCGATTATTGCCGTCAACAGCACAAAGCTATCTACTGCCACTCGCCAAAGACGCATTTTCCACTCGGCTGCTATCATCATCATTACTTTGAGCATGTCCGAAAAATGATACTACTACAATTTCTATTCAACAATCCTGTTGTTCGAGATTGCGCCGTCCGGGATGAGCAGGTTACAGATGGACGGTTCTCACGCGGTGAACTCCTGAACCTGGAAGAAAACAAGCAGATCTCGGGGATTCATAAAGCTTGGAAAGTTGAAGACGAAGAAATTTCTTGAACGCTAGTTAAACAAATGTACAAGTGAGCTGAAGGTGTGCATATTCTTGACCACTGGCATTGAGCGCCACGTGGTTCATCGCCATTCTGGCCATGCTGGCTTTCAAAGTCCTGTCCACTTTGATCCGAAAAGTGGCCTGGTATGATTTCTCGATTCCTTGACCACGTCTTCCAGTCTGGACATGGGTGAATACAACAGTCCCATTGAAGGCTTCTCTTCCGCTCACAGGAAGGGATTGTCTTATTCGTACAAATAGATTATCAAATTCGACGTCAGCATACATCGTTCGCCGTGCACGTGCTATTGCTCTGGTATTTTGTTCGATGATTATCCCACTAATACATTGTTGACTGGTATATGTACTGGACATGCGAGTTAGCATAATTCGAAGGACTGTGGCGCGCGCTACCAGTCGGAGATCGATCGAAGGCAAGGGGAGATGAGATAAGGAGTCTCACTCAGCTTGATGAAATAGCCTATGGCGCCCATGATCAAGAATCCCATTCCCACAGCTTGTGAGATCTTCATGAACTCTCTTCGATCGGCTGCGGAGAGTGAGTTAGCGGGTTTAGGTTCTCGGTGTTTTTGTACAGAGGTCTGGGTATTGAGGAAATATGGAACCTACGCTTTGTGCATCGGTTGATAAACTGGGTTCCATCCTTGAAGAACTCCCTGGGTACATCCGCGATTTCTTGGATGAGATCCGACATGGTTGCAGTGGATTGGGGAGGTGAAGAGTTGTCTCGTGTGGTGGTAAATGAGGGAGATTCGACCAGTGGTATTTCTACTCAGATAGAGAAGGTTACTGGGTTTGAGTATGGTATACGGAAGGGATGGTGGACTTGTGAGGTGAATTGAATGCAACAGACGAGTTCGAGGTACTTGAAGGTGGAAATGGGGAAATCCAGATGGGCAACGATTGTGGTGTAGGTGGCCGGACTGGGGACTCGAAGTGGTAGTATGGATCTAATGTGGCTAGTTTTCAGACTGCACGCTGTGATTAGATGATCTTTGACTGCTAATGACTAGTGGGGTAGACTGCCAGGCTAGTTTTCTGGAAGTTAGACTCAGTCCCACCAGATTAAAACAGCAACTGATATATCCCGCTAAACATCTAGCGCGCATTGTAGAATTGCCTGCGCCTCCCGGTGTCAGTGTGACATGACCTCGATGGCCTCGTAACTCGAGTCAACCACGAGTCTCATAAACGCCCAAGTTCTTCCTACTCCTCTACTCACAACTATTCTTCCTTCTTCAACCCTGTTTCTCTTTGATCATCGTCCTCCTTGTTTTCTTCTCTCGGCTACTTTCTGTTTGTTTGTCATTCTTGGAGTTTACCACGAGAAAAGAGTTGAGATCCGCGAGTTCTGATCAAGGCTACCTACCACCTCCCTCCTCTCGACAGTAGTTTGACCTCAGATCCTCCCCGTTTCCCTCCGAAGTCCCTCCTCTTTTTGGCACTGGCATTGGCATTGGCACTGTCACATCGGGCTTCATGTACTATTAGAGCTGCAAGACAAAAACATCCCACTCATCTGTTCTCCTTCAGCTGGTCTGCTTCATCATAAGCTTATTCAATACTTGTATCACCTCTTGAAAATTGTACGTATGTCTTGGTGGAATGGCCCTGGGATGTTTGAACATTGGAGATGACAGTCGATCGAACCTCATGGAGTGAAGCGAGCGGACCTCTGGATTCTTATTCTTCCCTCTTCTTGTATTGGGTGCTAATTCGCCATGGCTTTGTACAGAACTTGAGACCTGAGACTGAACATCTTCTGGTCTCTTTTGCACTGGCACCTCTTGTGCGCTCCTCATCTTTTCAGACAGAAAATCCACTTGATCAATCATAACATTTCCCACCATGGCTACTGAAGAAGACAATTTTGACATTGACATTTATGGCGATGGTGAAGGTGAGGGTGCTGGCCTCGCTACCAACGGTGGTCATGTCGATTATGAAGACGACGATGAAGAGGTGAATTTTGATCTAGGTCAGGACGACCTTGACTTTGCTCCAACCGCGGATACCAAGGTAAAGAGCGAGCCTCAGCCTCCTCTTAGTCAACCCTCTGAAAACTCCATGGCGATTGACAAGAAGGAAAGTCATTCCCAACCTCGTGTCAATGGCCAGACTGGCGGTCTTGATGGTGCACCTCCCCCTTCGACAATCCCAGCGAAGCCACCTCCAGTGGAAGCACCCCAACAAGGCACGAAACGAAAGGAAACCTCAGATGACCGACCTCTAGATGCAGGGGCGACCAGTGCCCTCATGATATCAGACCTCCATTGGTGGATCACCGAGGACGATATCCGTGGTTGGGCTAACGATGCAGATGCCGAGCAGGACCTCAGGGACGTGACATTCAGTGAACACAAGGTCAACGGGAAGAGCAAAGGGTGAGCGTCGTGGATTGTTTTCTCGTGCTGTTTGGACTCGACAGCTAACTGATACGTCTTCCAGACAAGCATACGTCGAGTTCTCCTCCCCTCAAGCGGCGACGGCGGCAAAGCACAAGATTGAACAGGCCGGGGGAATGAACCAAGCCAACCGCAAGCACAACGTTGTGTTTACGAATCCGATGCAAAACCCATTCAAGACGCTTCCCAAGGACGCTCCAGCGCGCGCCCGAGAAGACAGACCCGCTCGAGGTGGATCGCCTGCATTCAATCCCACGACGCACTCTCAGAACAACTATGGTACCAACAATCAGGGCTATCGTGGTGGGAGAGGCGGTGGTTTCAACCGTGGGGGTTACAATGCTCATGGGGGCGGACACAACCAATACAACCGCAACTTTTCGGGCCCAATGGGTGGAGGTGGCTACAACAATAACAATAACAGTGGAGGATTCCAAGGTAACATGGGGATGAACAACAACTATGGTGGCAGCTTCAACCGAGGGGCGATGATGGGCAACTCGATGAGAGGAGGCACTATGGGTGGGATGCGTGGCGGCCGCGGAGGTATGAACAACATGATGCCTCAGATGGGAGGTGGGATGGGGATGGGCAATATGGGTATGAACCCAATGATGGCAGGGATGGGCATGGGAGGTGAGTCTGTGTCTGCACAGGTCAAAGATCCTGACTGGATTGGATTTTGCTGACTGAACAGGCTTCCAAGGAAATCACTTCAATCCAGCCATGTTCAACAATGGGGGACCTGGACCCAATTTTGGCGGCGGGGACTGGAACCAACATGGAGCCAAGCGGCAGCGACAGGAATAAACAGCTGACTCTGACCTGGAGATGAGACTCCACGACCGATGATTGGGCAGCTACAAAGTTCTCCGGATCGCTAATACTCAGCATCGGGGTTGAAATCCGCGAAGCAGTTTTTATCACATGAGTGTTCCAGGACGATATACCAGTCAGCGCTATCTCCGCATAGGAGGCAGAAACGAGGGTCAGGCGACTTTGCACTGTGAGTGATTGTGACTGGGAGATAGGCGACCTGAAATCTCGTCCCTATCCGCACTGACGAGCCACGGTGGTTGATGGAATGAGTAAGAAATCCGGGTTTATGGATGATCAGATTGATGAGGCTGCAAGATGATGTCATCAAAGTCTGATCCGAGTTGCTGTGTGTCCGGAACCAAGATCCGGGACACCACACCCATGCCCTGGGCTCTTTCCACATTTTTCCAGGGTAACTGCTTGAATATCTTTTCGATTTCTGTCGATGCCAAGCCCAAGGTACAACCATCCGGGTATTACCATGTGTGGAGAAGGACATATTGTGTGGGACTGGGCATGTGCATAGGAACTGAGGAAAGATGTAACGAGGTAGTACTCGAACCTTCTATAGCATGTACTAGCTACCCACAATGTTTTATCTATAGTATGGACACTGGACACCTGGACACGAACAAGCTAGAGCACCACACTACCGACCTTGGTACCTAGTACGTGTTCAACCCAGGTGGATACTTAACGGATCAATCATCGGTACCTGGATTTTTCCGCGGTGGCGAGTTCCATGCATAGTATTTCAAGTTCCTGCCTCAGGAATCAAATCATTTAATTTGCCTTTTGCAACTGCAAATTGGTCGTAAGTTGTCGCAATTTCTGCTTCCTCAATCACTGCCGCCGGATTCCAAGGTTACCAGTGCTCTCCTTCCCTTAGAGTACTTAGCGTTCCGTACCGTTACTACCACTCTCGACTCTCACTTCCACTTCACGCAGCGCACACACCCCGCACCACCCAAGTCCCTCCAGCCTCAAGATCGCCCTTGCCCCTCAAGCTGTTGCAATCGAGGACCGCGTACTTCGGTCACCCTTCAGATTTCCTTCGGCGGTTCTTTTTTGCGACTTCATCCGCCACATTCCTAGTGGTTAGCTATCTGGGGTTCTCAGTAATGTGGTTCGACCATGTCTGGCCAACAGCCTCCAGGCAGAGATAATCGACCACGCCCACCGCGCAGCGAACCCTCAAGGTCCAAGTCCTCCACACAACCTCCTGTTCCCTCCATTGAAACTCCAGACTCCATCACTCCACGCTCTCCTGGCACGTTTCGTGTTCCCCAGTCTCCCCAGACCACCACCTCCGACCATGCGCACAAGGCAGCAAAGGTTGCCATTCCAAGATTGAAGCGAACCGCCGACGGGGTCGCTGAAGATGCAAACAAGTTCGGCGGTAGACACCGCGTCACTCACGCCTGCGAGCCCTGCCGACACCGAAAGACAAAATGTAGTGGTGAACGCCCGGTATGCCGACACTGCACAGACTTCAAGATTACTTGTTTTTATGCCGACGGTAAAAGAGACCGAGTCAAGAAGTGAGTCTCCCCTGCCGATCCACGTGCTTGGACTGACGCGGTGACTTGGTTCAATTTTACTGGCTATGAGCATGCGCTGACCGGTCACAGGCAATTTGGCACCATGACAGAAAAGGTCGCCGACTACGAGAAGTTGTTGAAGGACCTGATCTCAAGAGTTGCTGATGTCGATGCCAACCTCATTCGAACAGCTCTAGAAAAAGTTCGTAGTCCCTTGGAGCCCCCATGAGTGAGGAAAATCATGCTAACCGTTGGTCGCAGGAAGCCATCTACGATCCCGACGAACCGTTTGCCGATTCAATGACCGAGGCTCCTAGCATTCCAGTCACCGAACCAGCAGAACCTGACTCGGAATCTGGTGCAGAGTCCGTCGTCTCTGCTGGAGCAGGGTCCACAGGAGCCCTAGATAAAACGAACGAAGATTTCACGCGTGAAAAAGCCCGAGCCACCGGATTCATGGGTAAGAACTCGGAGATCACATGGTTGCAGCGTGTGCGAGAGGAAAACAAATTCGGGGAGGATGGGTCCGAATCTCGTCCAGATGATGCCCATGCGCAGCGCAAAGGTTCCAACCCTTCACACGACATGTCACTCGCAGAAGGCGAGGTCGGGTTCGCTGTCAGCGAGTCTAGCTACCATTTGGACGACATGGCCATCACCACTTTCGAGGCTGTAGATCCGTACGAAATGCCCACTCGCGAAACTGCCCAGCATCTCTTCAACGCCTACCTCACCCGGGTTCATCCCACTTTCCCCATCATTGGAAAGGTAAACTTGAGCAACCAGTTTCACAAATTCATCAATGGCTCTGTGCAGCGACCCCCAGAGAAATGGCTTGCCATCATCAATCTGATCTTCGCCATCGGGGCCACCTACTCGCATTGGATCAAAGCTGATTGGGAGGGTGATGAGCGGGACCATCTCATTTATTTTACAAGAGCTCGAATGCTCAGTGTGAACTCGGAGACCGTTTTCCAGCACCCAGATCTTCAGCAGATACAAATCCTCGGCCTGATGAGCTTTTACCTCATGTGTATCAGTCAGATCAATCGAGCTTGGATCTTGAACGGTGTCGCCATTCGGGAAGCCGGTGCTTTGGGGATGAATATGCGAAATGATAGTGCCAATCTCAAGGACTCTCTCAAAGAAATCCGCTATCGAGTTTGGTGGGCACTTTACACCCTTGAACACCGTCTGTGTAGTATGACTGGTCGAGTCAATTGTATACTTGATGACCACTGCACCGCACCATTACCAATTCCTCTGGAAGAAGAACAGTTTGAAACACCCGAAGGTCAATATCTCCTCAGCAAGGAAAGACAACAAGGCGATCGTGCGCCGTCATCAAACCAACATTCCCCGGGAATTCCATCCACAACGCCCTCTAGTGATCGTTCACGCTCCCAGACTAACGTCGAATCTCGATCACCCTCGTCAGGTAATCGAGGTCAAGATCTGGAATGGGCCAAAGATGTCCCGCCTAATTCTTCATTGTACTTCCTTCATGTGGTGCAATTGTCGAGGCTCACCCAAGACATCTTTCACAGACTTTACAATCCTGCTTCCATCATTGGTACATGGTCCGACGTGCAATCCAAAATCAAAACCCTTGATGAGCGGCTTGAGCTGTGGTATCGACGATTACCTCCTGCCTTCGCCTTCAGACGGAAACAACGCGAACGAACGTCATATGAAGCTCGCTTGGCCCTGGGCTTCTCCTTTTTCGGAGCAAAAATGGCCATTCATCGACCTTGCCTGTGTCGCCTAGATCGAAAAATTCCTAACCAATCTGATAAATCCCATGAATTCAATCGGGTTTCCGCATTGACGTGTGTTGAAGCTGCGATAGAGCTTCTACAGGCGATTCCCGATGAGCCCAACGCGATTGGCCTGGTCAGAGTCGGTCCTTGGTGGTCTATTCTACACTTCTTAGTGCAAGCTACCACAATCCTGATGCTCGAGATGTCCTTTCGAGTCAATCACATGCCTGAGGCCGCAGATCAAGTATTTGAATCTGGTAAAAAATCCATCAGATGGCTTCATGCCCTTGGAGAAGATAACCCTTCCGCAAAACGAGCTTGGATCCTTTGCTTCCCCATGTTCAAGGATTCGTCCAAGAAGATCGGTCTTGATGTCTCCGATCTACCTCAGGAACCACCAGGGAAGCAATCTCCATCACAACCAGAACCTGCCATGCCCGATTTCGGCTTCTCGCAGTCGATGTATGCACCTGGCACAGTTCCCAATACGATGTATCCATCGATGCCCGACGCCCAAGCATTTTCGACTTATGATTCCATGATGCAGTATGATCAATACTATCCCCCAGATATGGGTTTGGCTCATGGTCAACAAGCCAATATCCCTACTGATGCCGAGATTGAATTCATGACCAGCGCATATCACGACAATCAAAGTCATGGACAACCTGGTCCCCCCGGTGGTCAGAGTAGCCGACAAAACTACCCATGATTTTTAATGCTTCCAATATTACACGAGCTACGAGTCCAAGATGTTGAGTATACATAAACCAGCCACCATATCTATAAGGGGTGAGTAAGGTGGCTGGCGCAAAATGCCACTGTTAGTGTACATACCAATCTGCACCTTGGCATCCCAGCCAGCCGGCATCTGCCCTTCAGTCAGATGTCCCAAAGGGTCCAAAAGCCTGCGATTTCGCTTCTTCCCACCTGTTCTATCCTGTGATTTCTGATTCATTGCGTGTAGCCTTCCGATTCCCCTTCACCGATGGACGAGCCAAAAATTTATCAATGACACCCATCACCATGCATGCCCTTGCAATTCTCGGCGTTCTGACAGACCATTCCTCTGCAATCAACCCGACAAGCAGACACACTGGACGTGGCCATCGACATCCACAGCTTCGCCAGGGGTCGGGAGGCAATGGCTCTGCTGCAGGATTGACCGAGATCATCCCTCCTCCCCCTGTCTTGTCAGGCCCAATATCCAGCTCAACAGCGGCACTCCATGATACCATACTACCCGCATCGGCCACTGCTATAACCCTCCCTAGCGTGTCATCCTACACATTTCCATCGACAGTGACTCAGGTGGCATTTGCAACAATTTGTCTCGATACACCCTCTTCCTCAGCAATCTTTTCAATATTGCCCACTGATTCCGCTTCCTCCCTTACGACCAGCACAGCAACGAGCCATCGATCGATCGAAACGAGTGTCCTGCCAGTTTTAGTCAATGCCACAATGGTACTCTCGAACGGCAGTAGTGTCACATTCCTGTCCCTCAGCACAACCACGACCACGGTCACTTCAGATCCTTCCGGAGCATTGATCCAGCCTACGGAACAGCCCTCTGTCGAAATAGCACGGATAGTACTTGATGCCAACGGCTGCCAGACTGTCTACACTGAAACTACTGCACCCGCGTGTGCCACGACTCTACGTCTGCCAGGGATGCTCCCAGCGCCCATCACAGACTGCGATCAGTCGGTGACTTTCTCTTCTCAAAGCCTGGGAGATTGCTCTGACACCTTGTGGATTGCATCACAAGCGTATCAATTTTCTACTCTGGAAACTCCCGCCTCAACAGTATCATCATCCCCAGCGTCAACCCAGATCACCGGTCCAATGGCATACTACGTAGCTCACTGGTACGAACTGATTCAAGGACCTGTGCCTGAGGTTGTGAAGATTGAGAACTGTATCCCGCAGTCGGCCAGCGGACACCTATGTCAAACATCAAGCGAACAATGGAGCGTGGTGTACGACACAGAAGTCGTCACCACGAGTAGCCTGACAAGTTTTCGAGAAGTAAGTGGACATATCCTTCAAGCAGACAACTAACATTCCCTTTCTCTCCTGAAGTTTAACCCGAATCCCGCTGACCAACATCCCGTGAAGCCGGCCGCCTTGACATCGTCTACTAAGACGTTAAGCACATACCTTGACTTCCTCACAGCGATCACCGTCTACCAAACAATCACCAGGTCGAGCATTTGCCGTATGCGCATTGCCACAGAAAATTTCAGCTCAACGCCACAGCGAACAGTCACGGTAGTGGTCTCAACTCCCACTATACGAACTCTACTGTTGGAAGAGGTTGCAAAAGAGACTGATACGACTGTGACGGAGAGAATCACGATTGTGGAGACGAGTACAGTCCAGATCACTGAGACCAGGACGAAAAACATTGGCAGCGCATCTCCGGGCTTGGGTATTGGAGATGACCTTGATAAATAGCACCCTCGCATTCGAATCGAAGAGGTGGACACAAGCATCTTCATCCCAGCCGCCATTGAGCTTCAAATCAGCTCTCCCGCGCGTCGCGTTTTCTCAAGACATCAGCAACAACAAGGACAGCAAAACAAATGTCAATTACCGCTCCACTGATCAAGAATGCTTTTTTTTCGCTCAGAAACTTAGCATTCACTTCGCTTTCTAGCTCTCTCCCCGTCCTCGTCATTTTCACTTTCCTTCAACCCATATCCTCCCTCCCTTCTCTTTTACTAAGCCGACGGCCTAACCATACGAGCAATCCGAACTTACCATTTCCTCGACTACCCTTGGCCTTGTCCGCCCCAAAAGCCCCTAACGCGAAAAATCATACGTAATGTGGGTCCGCCCTACCGCTATCCTAGGCTCAGGCCACACAAGTTCCGCCTGCGTAAGGATGGTTGACTATTACAGGGTATTTCGGGTTAGAGCTCGCAACACAATGCTATTGATCTCTGGGTAGTTTATACTGATGATGTGGCTGTTAAGGTTGCGGATGCAGGGACTGAGGCAAATAAAGTTAGAGTTCAAACATTTTGCAGGACAGGGCGTGGATTTGAAGATCGGAGAAAGGGAGCAACAGCCTGAAGGGGTGTTGAGAATTGATAGTGACGTCGATGCATTTGCCCTAGATGTACCTATCAACTTGAGTGCCGCTGTGAGGACCGATGGTCAGGTTGCTGGTTCTGGCCTTGTGGAACTCCCATTTCGTACCTGTATCACACCTAACGGTGAATGATTTGTGGTTCTGGTGCTCTCCTTAACTTGTATCGGATGATACCAGCGACAGAGATGATGGCCATTCAGCCTTGATTGTCCTTTACATGTGATGCTTCGATTGAAACTCCCAGATACGATGCCGTTCGGGTCCAATATGAAGGTTTCGAGGCACAGATGTTCGTGCTAGGATAAGGAAACAACACAAATCACCGCAGTTATTCAATTCCGTGTGCTGTTGCTTGCGGAAAGTCTCTATGTAAGCCTTTAGTTCGTCTGAAGCATGTGATCACTTCCAGGCTCCAATTGAGGGTGTTGGAACTCTGATGACCGCTGACGACATGGGCTAGCGATACGCTTCCGTTTACATAGATCTTTCAATATTTCACCGTTAGAAGATTCAAACAAGAGAGGAATACCCATTTCTTGGCATGTGAGATACTATCAGAGGACCGGCAAAAGAACCTACAAGCAAACACTAGCTGCAGGCAGACATTAAGATTAGGACACCCGGCTGGGGGCTCTGTTCAAACCTACAATCCGCCACTAAAGCAACATCAGAGAAGCTACACTCTCCGTCTTCATGCGCTGTGGAAACATGGAAGCCATTCATCCAAGGCCTTTAGAAAAAGTGCAGTACCCTCATCAGCAGTAGTGTTTTCAGCACCAAGCGCTTTGCTCAAGTCGTTGATATGATAGCCATTAGGATACAAAATTCCAAAGACGTCGCTTCCTGAAGGGGCCTTGTTACAAGCGGGTATCTGGTCTGTGGTTCGACGATTTGGAGCCCCATACTCTGCAGCAGTGGACTGTACGCTAAGAATATGCCAAGGGTCTTTCAAGCCATCAGTGAACATGACATTTGATGGAGTCATGTTCCATCCTCCATACTTGAGAAGTCTTTCGGTGTCGGGCGTCTCTGGAAGCTCTGGAAAATCGAAATTAGTATGACAATCGTTGAGCCACGTGGTAAGATTGAGAAAGCTGGAGGCTATGTTCCGTGGATTGGATGTGTTGGCGGTCTGCGCATATCCAAGCTCATAGCATGATTGCCATTCCCACGCCCTAGGATTGCCTTCCACGCTTCCGAGTGTGTCCGCAAATGCCTCCAAGTCGACTGAAATGTGATAGATCATCGACACGGTCGCATCAAATGCTGCCCGTTGTCCAAATTTTGCCGCAACACCACCTTCTGAGATCGTGCCGGTGAGGTCATTTGATACAGTTATATTGATTGCTTCAAAAATTGATGCAGGACTCCTTGTCGATGGAGCTGGATCGTAACTCTCGAGTCCTGTGCAATACGGCAACATTCCTTCATCAAAACCGGTTGATTGTACATTGGGTGGTAACACCGATAGGAGCAGTCTAGCAGTATCCACCTCAGTAAGATTAGCCACAAGCGCTGCTATCTCGGCATCGTTATAGTTCTCCTGGATTCCTTTGGCAAGAAGTTCCGGTTGGTTGGCAATTGTCAGAGCCGCTTTCAGCTGAACGATTTCTTCCTCAGTTCCACTTCGCAGGATCTGATCGGTGTACTCCACAGCTGCGTGGATATCAAGGGAGCAGTTCTTGGTCATGTCTTCCGCGAGTTGGTCATAGTATGCCTCGAACCTCAACTGGGTTTGAACGGGAGCACTTGACACCCATGCAGCGTACCAGATCTCGGGGTGACTAATTCGGGAGAACGCGGCACGAATACCTGGGTAACTGCCACCAATGTAAATCCAAGGACTGGCGGATGGTTTGAGTATGTCCCAATAAGCCTCCAACCCTGGTGGCTGAAAGTTCTGCGCGATGTAGACGAGATCTTCCAATGACTGATCGACGGTGAAGTACTGGTATCCTCCCCAGCCTGCCGTAAGGAGACCAGTTTCATCGTCGACGGGATAGGGGAGGCTTTCGCCATAGAACCGATTCTCTATCACAAGAGCAAGGCCTCCAAGATTGCGAGCTAAAGTCATGCCCGATGAGTTCAACGTTGCTTCAACAAGGAACATGTCAATCAAAGCCTGGTTGACAACATTTTCACCTGGGTCGATGAAGATGACGGGCCCGCCAGGCTTGTAATATGTTGCGTTCACCCAGTATCGGGTGTTGAACTTTTCTGAGTCGTTGGAGAAGTGATCGATTGGCACTTCGATGTTCAAGGTTGGAGGGCTTGTTTCATCGGAACGGCGGTCGAGCTTGCTAGTTCGGGGAGGAATCGCGCGTGGTTGGTCCCGAGCATGGACATGATATATGCAGTATAGTGAGCATATGGATAACAAATTATTTAGCTTCATATTCGTAGGTATGGGGTTGATGTGATGTTCAGAACCGAATGTACAAACAGCTTGCTGTAGATTTAGAAAGAGGGGAAACACGTTGACACGAACCATACCCCCATCTTATATGAACTCTGAAGCGACATCTCAGATCAGGAGATCGTCATAGGTAATGAGGCGCGGAGCTGATGAAGATTTCCAGGCTTCGTATGCATCTACGCGCAGCACACGGCTTTTCTTCATGGGTCTGATAATACGTCGACCTAAGCTAATTCTGTATCGTTTAATTTGGTTGACCTGAGCTAGCATGGTAGCTGAAGGATTCATAGCTTGACAAGGAGAAGCGGAAGATATGGAATACAAGGCCCCCGCCATATGAGACAGCAGCTAGTCGGAGGAACCTAGCCATTGCCCCAAAATTGTTAATTCAATCAAAGCAGTTCACACGCAAGGTGGCAAGAAGCTCGCTACTAAAGATCTTCGAAAGTTTAAATGTACGAATGGTCAGCTATTATGGTGGGCACTGTAACCGTATCAGGCTAAGCATTCAACTCGTACGGTGCGAGTTTTGATTGGCTGTGCTCCCCAGAGCCTGAAGGGGGCGGTGCATATTCCTCCGACTCACCCATGAAAACAGGTCTCGTAACCATTGCTCCAACGGGACAACATCTTCAGACCGTCATGTCTGTGACTACCGACATAAAGTCGAGCGTTGCGTGACTCTTACAAACTGTGCTCACGCCCAGACCAAGTGACCTGGAGCCTGCCAAGGACACCATTTATACCCTCAGTGGTCGAGACCACGCCATCTATAGATCAAGACGGCGCTCAGAGGGCTGTCCGGTACAGTCCAAGATCACATTGTTGGCAGATATCGGAGAAGGCCACAAGGGAGGACAAAGCATACATACACATGAGCACCGCATGGATTACTAGCAGTGATCCCACATCTCTAACTCAGTACTTTCAATGTACTCTTCTCGCTGTGGCGGAAAACATATTCCTCTGGCCACATGAAGGTCTGCATCATTCACTGTCGAGTTCCGTCGGTTTACCATTCCACCGAAAGGTAAGCCCCGGTTGGGCTTCACCAGCGAGAAGGATGGTGCATCTCACAACCTCATACTTGTCTGTTTCGTAGAACCGCAAGGAATTTTCTTGCTCAGCACTTTGAACCAGGAAAGCACTGCCTGAGACTTCAGCTGTCGAATTCGGCGCGTCCACCAATGCTTTATACCGGCCTCCCCAAGTCCGTAGTCGCCCACCTTGGATTCGAGCCGAGATGAGCACCGGCTGTGTGTCGGGGACAAGGTGCTTGACCAGGACTTCCGGATCCTCCAATGTGCCGTAGAAGAAGTACCACACTGGGTATTGGTCTTGGAGAGGCAAGGGGATTTGACCTTCGTTGAGGAAATGCTGAGGTAATGTAGACTCAATCGATAGAGTAGGCGCAATTCTGCAGTGACTGAGCTCTTTGGGGGCCATGGATAAACGGACAATCGTCGGAGAAAACTCTGGGTGGCTTTGAGAAACCCATTTTCGGATTCTTGTCGTGGTCTCTCCATCGATCTCGCAAAACGTCGCCGGTTCGCCATCGTCTGTGCTGGCGTTCATCACCTTTGGCACTTCGAGGAGTTCGCATGCTTCTTGTAGCTTGATTGGCGTGTCCAAGGGGCCCTCCAATTTGAAGATGAAATTCCCTAGGGTCTCTGTGTCGTTCCGTCGGGTTGATATTTCCTTCTTTTGCTGCACTTGGAGGTAGAACTCGCAGGCCTCTTTATCGAAGCCTGTCCACTTCCTATCGTCTTTGATCGACGTCCACAGCTCGTCTGAAATTCTTTGTCTGTTGGAATCAAGTCGATATGTTTTAATTTGATCGATGGCAACGGATTCAGTAAGGTCAAAGAGCAGCTGCCACCGAGTACTGTCCTCCATTGAGATATTCTCGTAGTCATCCACTGAAACATTTCCAGCCATGTTTTCGAGCACAGAGAGGAGGTCGTTCATGGTAGAAGTTGGAGTGCTTCTTTTAGTTGTGCTCGCGTTCTTATGTTAAGCCGGATGTGCGGACGGTATAAAACGACCAGGCTTGTTCTTGATCAGTGAAGAGCAATAGTGGGAGATCTATTTATGTCTATTTGAGGTCCTCATGCAAAAAGCTAAAGGGGTCCCCTCAAAAACCTTATATCTGCTTGCTCGGGTCCACTTTGACTGCTCGTAGCCACCCAACCTTATATTGACAATTAGATGAGTCATTCTGTGACCAACATAGAGATATTCATAATCAAGAAAGAGCAAACCTCTCAATCTTCCTGAAAATCCACATCTATCTCCACTTTTATATCTGGTGCATTTAATCCATGGTGCTTAAAGTCATCGAGGACTGCAAGAGTGTCAAAGGGGTAAGGAAACGCAGATATCTACCTGAAATTCAGTATTTCACCGTGAGAAAAATTATTGCTTGGTAGAAAGAAAGAGTGCTCCATATAGCCATGATGTATGAGCTGGACTTGCAATCCTCAACCTGAAGAGGCAGTCCTTCCGTTCTCTTGCAAAACAGTTATGAGCCAAGAGACTATCTGAAAATGATAATCTGTTGAAGCCTTCATTATGCCCTTCCCAAAATCCAGGAGGTCGTATCCACCACCACAAAAGAATAAGAATCCCTTGGGAGTGTAGGATTGTAATAAGCTCTCTGATTTCGCTTGCTGTGAGCCTCTTAGATGTCGCTCGCGAGACAATCGCCTCAGGCAACCGAATCACCATCTTTCAGGGTGGTCGGAGTAACAGCCTCCCGTTTCTGCCGCTTGAGGTCCTTGTTATGCAAATGGCGCATAAGCAGAACAAGAATAGTAGCTGCAGCGCCGAACCCGGCCGTGATGTAGTTACCAGCAATTATATATGGCTGCTTATTGGCTGGGAAGGTAAATATGGGTACCCAGGCGATGAAGATGTAACCGAAGGCATTCATCTAGCAATACTTTGAGCATCAATAATAGCGGAGAAAGAGGTCTAGTACTGACCAGTGCGCCAACGTATGCTCGCTTCTCTGGATCATGTCTGTTTACTTCATTCACCCAAGTCCAAGTTATGCCCGCGGCTATTCCCGTAAGAGATGTAAGATCTGGACGAAGGAAATTGTTATGGTTTCGCGTTTACACTCTTGGGGTAAGAGAGGAAAACTTACAGTAAAGTGCCCAACGTTGTTCTCTATGGATCGGATGAACAGGCGTCGCAGCGAGAGCTGTAGGGAAGATCATAGCCATTATACTGACAAACAGCATTCCAGGCCACCTCAAGGAGTTCGGTAAGCTGTCCGAAATCCAGGCATTGGTAGCTGTACCAAAGATCTTGATTAAATTGATCTGGACGTATTGATTTGAGCTTTACATATCATGTACCTTGGCAGATGACTTACACCGAGAGGGATGATGTTAATCTGAGCTACCGAAAAGAGGGGTGGCTGTCCTTTGACATTATAGCTCTTAATCCAAAAAATCACTAGCAATGTTAGAATCTAAATGTATTATAGCCAACATGCACTTACTGGATCCTCCGGACTGGCCAAATTGTATCATAAGCGCGTAAAATAAAGGGACTGACTTTTTGTTATCTCTAGTGATTGTAGCTATCCTTAATGTACTTACAAAGAAAAGAGTGCCACGTTCTGTGCCAGCGTTGAATGTCTTTCCACCGATAAAGACCGGTGAATGGCTTGATCTCCGTTGGCATTCTAGCTCTTGCTAGCTGGATCTCCTGTTCGGTGAAAACCCTAGGTACGATTAGTTTGATCGTTGTGAGAGATATTTTTGGCGTACCAATTGGGTTTCGCTCTAGCGGGAAGTTGAGGTATAGCAAGCGCAGTCCATATAATACTAGGGGCAGTGATACAGCCACAGATTCTATCAATTTCAGTATTAGCATTTGAATCTCACATTGATTTAGAGCGGCGTACATATACATCCACCGCCAGCCAGCAAGTCCTCCAGATCCGTCAAGTCCAGAATATATCGCGGCCATCAAGAAGCCCGAGAAAAGAGGTCCAATCTCTGTAGCAATTGCAATTATTGTGGCACGTCGCGCTAACTCGTGAGGCTTGTAATAACTCGCGCATACGTACATAACCGCTAGCAGATAGTTAGAATATCTGACATTACGAATCTATACCGTTCGAGTCTTACCTGGGTAATGCCCTGCTTCGAAGAGTCCGACACTGGCAAATTAGCGAAACCTTCCTGGACAAATGGACAATATACGCACAAAAAGCGGAAAACGTAGAGCTGCTGGACATTCTGCACACCAGCATGAGCAAAGGTGAAGATCGTCCAAAATAGCTCCAGAAAGGCTATATACAGCGGAACATTAACCTTGAAGCTTGTTAGGATGTATACCTCATCATGAAGGATGTATCACTCTTGAGAGTAGCAGATTCGACGGAATCTGCCCAAAAACGTATGCTGCACTCCAGAATGCATTGGCATAATTTAGCTCTTTTCCATAGAGTGAGAGATCTTCTTTCATGCCACTATCTATGCTAAAAGTCAGTAAATCTCAGGCAATCTTGCCAGCACCTACTAAAAGCATTGTTAATATTGACTTGATCAAGATAGCGGCAAATAACTCCTAGAAATGCGGCTGACAAGAGTGTCAAGTCGAGCTTGTTTAGAAAGCGGGCCTCTTCTTTCGAACAGTCGAGAGCTGCAAAGATTAGTTGGCCTTACCCCAGCGCGCGAGAGCATTCCGCAACTCACTGGACCAAATACATGACCTCCACGTTCGCAGAGGTGCATTTCGTACCTGGGGATCTGCTCCGCTGATGCTCGAGGAAGGCTGTTTCATGTCTGGACACACCGGCTTGTCAGCACCGGTTTCAATGATGGTTGAATGCTGACCTAGTGGCATATTGATTAACCCGACCTGCTAGAGCTAAAGTGTTTCCGAGAGTCCAAAAAATTCCCACCCAGATCAACTCTTCAGGACCCTAAATTGCGCGGTTTTGCAAGTCTCTTAGTGAATATCGAAGCAAGCAGATATGATTAGTGTGGGCGATTTAATTGTTGAAGTTATTGATTTTGGGGATGACACTCTCTCACGAACAAGGATTGGCCGGAAATCAGCGTGAGCTCGTGGGTATTCTGAAGTAAAAAATATTCATGATGACTTTTAGAAGTCTCAATATGTTGTTCTATGCTTTACTTTCAGTTCGCTACTTCAAGTATGCCTGGAGCGAAGCTCATGGGTGCGGAACAACCAACATGAGGGATCTTCGGAGCGGGATTACTAAAGGTGCAGAGATCAGCTTGGCTTGGATTACCAACCGTGCAGCAGTCACCTTGGCTCTGTGGTTACGTTGACGAGTGTTGGGCTAATTTGCTCCTGCTGTTCCCCATCTCGGGAAAGGTTGGATCTAGGCCCTCGCTGCCCGCGACTAGAGTCTGGGCGAGAGGTATCACTTTTGTGAGTTGCCAACCACGGAAGTAAAGTTGTGTGCTGCCCGAACACGGAAAGCATGTTTCCTTGACAATCACTCAGGGCGAGTAAGACTTTCGCTGGTTGTGGTCGTGACCAAAACTCGTGTTCTCACAACAATGGCAGGGCTTCAAGGGGGACAGAAAGAATATCTTTGTTCTTTGTTGGGTATAATCGTGTGGTTCAAGATCAGAGTCGAACCTTTGATCTGGACAAGCCTTTTGCACTTCCACAGTCTTGGATCTGCACGAGCACTCCCCATGAAGGTGCAGAGGTGTTCACAGGTAAAGTGCCAGGATACTTCGGGTATTTAGTCATGATGTCAGGTAATCTCGGCCGGGTTCCAGGAAGATAAGACTCGCCCGGCATCCCCAATCATGATGGATGCCAAGCCTTGACACGGCCGTGTTCTTTCACCATCCGCACCCAGGATCTTAGATCCTTAGGGAGCACTACCACTGGGGCCCTAATCTGCACTTCCTCGCTGCCTTCACGGACGAGACAGTTGACCACCGTCGATTCATGATAGCACAAGACTGAAAGCAATCAATGATTGATCTCGAGACCGATAATAGTACAGGGTGAGAAATGTCATCGCCGCCTCGAACTCGTGTCTCGCAAAGAACTCCGAAATCCTGCAGACAATGTTCGCGGCGTAAGATGCGCTGTTCGAAAACAGTCCCATGCACGAACTGCATGAAACGGGGTCTGAGTTCTGAATGCCACCTGGAGTCCGTGATCCTGACTAAGGACAAACGTGCTCTTAGTACGGGGAAAGTGCTTCATCGGCACCCGATCGCATTTACGTCACCAGATACAGCGGTCGACCCACGTTCCTCAGACCTCGCAGAGGCATATACCAGTGCTACCACCATCAACGACAACCATCTGCGAGACCCAAGTTTGGAAACCTTTGGTGTCCTGGAAAATTTGGCCTGGGGCAGACAAAGTGACACACCACAATCTGTGACCCCAGGACGCTCTATGATACATGAATTAGGCGAGGATGGATTAGACGAGGCGTACCCAGGAATTCTGAGTCCGCAGCAGGAAGATGCAATTCTTGCTTTCCACAGGGATGAGATTGCTTGGATGCACAATGTGCTCCATGTGCCTACCTTCCTTGCGGAATGGGCAGAACGACGCCAGCAACCCAGAGAGCGTTGGTTAGCCCTAGATGCTTTGTATCTAGCATTAATGGCGGTAGGTCTTGTTCAAGGAACCCTGGTGATCATCTTCCTGACCTGAACTCAGACCGGCTTATATTACATGTCTCCTGCTCAGCATGAGCACATTGGCATTCGAGCTGGCTACAGACTTAGCGAAAGGCTCTACCACAAAACAGTCATGGTTCTTGACAAGATTGACTTTATGTATAATCAATCGAGTAAGTCATACATGAGATCTGGACGAAATGAGAAAGAATATAGCCTGACAAAGCTAGTCCATGCGGTCCAGGCCATCTGTGTCTTTCTCCCCTGTGTTTATGGTTTTGGGTAGGTAATTACGGCTATCATTCGTTGTCCAATTTTGGCTGACTTGTTGTCTCAGTGAATACAAGCGTGGCCTAGTCTTGCTGTCAATCGCTACGACCATTGCTCAAAGTATGCAACTTCATCGATTGGACTCGGGAATTGCCAATGTGGTCGAAACAGGCACAACAGATGTCCTTGAGCTAGAGATCAAGAGACGAATCTGGTGCTTCCTGGTCACACAAGATACTTACTTGATAGCCGCCAAGAAGACTTATACCATAATCCTGGAACACTGCTCAGTGAAATGCCCTTTGCACGTTGAAGAACCGTGCACAAATTCTGGCGGGGATGTTCTCCTCGCAGTACCATTGGAACATGTCACTCAAAATAGCTATATGCTTCTTCACTACCATATGTCGCAGATATTCCGCACTCTGCACTCACGGAATGGACCTCCACCTGCCGAGCCTCCTTCTCTCGAGAGGCTATACCAAAGGGTTCTGGACGCAGATGAGCAGTTGACTGAGTTCATGGAGCTTGCTCCTTCTTGGCTCAAGCTTGATGCACAGAATGGTCTTGAGGACGGGGAATCTTCCCCTCACACTTCGTCGACAACTGCTTCTCAACGTCGGTCGTTTCGGATCGCATATCTCAATATGAGATCCAAGATTCACCAGCCTTTCTACTGTCGAGCATTCACGGATAAAAAGTTCTACTACTCTAAGGCAACATGCCTAGACACGGCTCGAAGCTTACTCAGGATATTTGCCGATCCAACGGAGCAGACACTACCACTTATGTGGACGGCGACATCGCATGTTATCTACGCATGTATCACCATTGGGATACACCTTTTGTTTCCTCAGCGTGGTAGCCATAATCCTGAATCATCCTGGACAACCACAATGAGCGGAGCAACAGACAAAGCGCTCGTGAGTTCTTGCATGAATGTTTTGAATCTATCCAAACGCCCTTGTCGTATTGTCAGCAGGGGATTGAGAATGCTCAACCATCTCTTTAATCAGCAAAGACAACAGATTCCTGCCAACATGATCGTAGATCGTGCCCGCATTGAGAGTGTACTACAAGATAACGAAACATCTCCATCCGAGGAGGAGCAAGAAGATGAACTTCCACCGGCATCTCCTTTCCATTATCCACTGGACGAATTTGTTGGGAGTTTCGAGCTTTACACGAGTAATCAAGGTTATTCTCTCGATGACTTTAGCATAGTTTGAGAGAATGTTATATATATTCCTCCAGTCCTGGATGCCCAGGGTTTAAAGGCATTTACGGTGACATGGATACACAATGTTCAAACCTCCATTCCAATTTCAGTAGAGAGACCGACTTCCAACGTGTCGTACTACTCGAGTTTTCAATCTCAGCGAGCAGACTGGCAGCGGGTGCTGCATTGCGATTATTAGTACAATCAAATAAGAGTATTGAGATTTGAGCTGTGGAAGTGGAATCTGAAGCTTCTTGATTAATATTATCAGACTATTTCGGTAAGGCGACAGTATCAAAAAGGTTCTTAAGGCAGTTTTTTAAGATATGAAAACCACGTCGGGAACGGCCACTGTATCTTGGTAAACCCTGCCATCAACTGTACAAGACGGGCTCCTGAACCCTAAGGCCAGCAACCTCCGGTCAATAGATCCCTCTCACATCTTGCGGTATTCAATATCGTCCTCAAGTTATACCACGCTCTGGCCTCCTCGCCAAGCTGGATACCGTCAGAGATCCAATCCGAAAGTAAAGCAACACTTGGACCATATGACGTTGCAAGACGTCCAAGTTAATTTCTCGGTATTCTTGGCAAGAAGTAGTAGGCATGGGAAGCGCGCATGATTGTGGAGCTAACACTCACGGCTGAGTTTTTTTGATGATAACGGGTTTCGATAAGCTGCATCAAGCGTGGAGCCCATCTAGCCCGATCTATTCTCTATCACTTTTTATCAATTTCAAGAAATTTGGATTTCTTCTACACATCATCGATGGTGTAGTCTGTCCACTGCTGAATGAACAAGTCCTGCGGTTCGCGCCGGCCGCCGATTACATGTAGATACTAGATCAGTCTTATCAGAAGGTAGTGCGTATCTATCTCAATGCACGCCGGAGGAACTTTGCTTTGAAGCACTATATCAACTTCTCTATCGCACTTTGAAACCTTCTGATTCTGGAAACAAACTTCGATTCATTTGAGCTTCAATCACAGGTATCATTTTCGACACGAGTACTATGGAGCGCAAGAAGAACTTCACAACAGCCTTCAGATCTCGCAAGTCTCTGAAGGAGCTGATTACGACCACAGAAGGCGACATGTCATCCTCACGCTGGATCAACAATGACTTGCGTCCCACTCCTCCTGGTAAGTCTTGAGTGTCATTAGTGTCATTATACGACCCAGTGTACAGTTATATTGATCTGATCCTGCTTTTCTTAGAATCCAGAACTTGGACATGGTACCATCTTCCTCTCTTCTGGTCCGGTCTAGCTTTCGGAACCACGGGCTGGAACATCGCTTCTTCGTTGATTGCAGTTGGTTTGGTATGTACACTACTCATGACCCTTGATACTTGCTCACTTTACCGCGGAGATATGGGAGTGTGCTGACTTGGTTGACTGCGTAAAGCAATGGCAATACGCGCTGGCATCGTGTTTCATAGGTAGCGCAATTGCTGGTGTCGTCGTTACCTTTTTAGCCCGTATGGGTGCTCGGTATCATGTTGGATAGTGAGTATTTATCCAAGACGGCCATCCCATAACAGTCACTAAAGCATCCGCAGCCCCGTGTTCCTCCGCTCGGTCATGGGCATGTATGGCTCGTGGCTTTTTGTTTTCCTCCGTTTGATGACAGGCCTTTTCTGGTAGGCTCAAAGTCGCCCCCATTAACCTCTTCTCATGACTAACAAATTTTCAGGTTCGGTATCCAAACATATTCTGGTGCAAATCTCATTTCTGTGTGCCTGTTGTGCATGTTCGGTCACAAATGGAGAGACTTGAGCAATACGCTACCATTATCCGCAGATATAACGACCAAACAGCTGATTTGCTTCTTCATTGCTTGGCTCGCTCAAGTGCCATTTGTATGTTCTTGCCCTTAGACTGCCTCACAGAAATATCGTGACTGACAGATCAACCTAGTTCTTTGTTCATCCGTCCAAGATTCAATGGTTCTTCACTGTCAAAGGCCTCGTCATGCCAATCGCCACCTTTGGACTTTTCGGATGGTGCATGGCGGAAGGGCGAGGAATCTCGACGATCGGTAACCCGCTCACAAAATCTGCTAACGGAGTTCCGCTTGGATGGGCTGTCGTGGCAGGTATTAATGCCGTAATGGGATCCCTCGCTTCCCTCATGGTTACACAGCCTGATCTGTCTCGATATTGTCGAAAGGTTTCAGATGCTGGTTGGCTCCAAGGTTTGGCCGTCTTCGTCTCAAAGTGCCTAGTGTTCTTCCTCGGACTTGCTGCCACGGCTTCCATACAAGGTGCTTGGGGTAAAGCCTACTGGAACATCTGGGATTTGCTGGGGGCGATTCTTGAACATTACTGGACCGCTGGAGCCAGAACCGCGGTGTTCTTAGTCTCCTTCTCCTTTTACTTGTCTGCGATTGGATCAAACATTGGAACCAACACCATCGCTTTCGGCGCTGACCTGACTGGAATCATTCCAAAATACATGACCATCGTCAGAGGGCAAGTTATCTGCTGTGTTCTCGGTGTTGCTCTCGTCCCATGGAAAATTTTGGCATCTGCTGAAGCTTTTGTCACATTCCTTGGATCTATGCCAATATTCTTCGGCCCATTGTCTGCGGTACGTTTTATTCCAACCAATAGCACAGCATAGTACTGACTTTCGGAATAGCTCATGATCGTCGACTACTACTGGGTACGAAAGGGCAACCTGCATGTTCCTTCCCTCTATCGTGGAGAGAGAGGCGACCTTTATTTCTTTACACAAGGTTTTAACTTGCGCGCATATGGAGCATGGCTTGTTGGCTTCTTGTTCGGTCTACCAGGGATGATCGGCCGCTTCCATCCGACAGCAGTCAATGATGCCGCGAAGAATATGTACCGAATGGGTTGGCTTCTGACTTTCACTGTGACAGGTGTGGTCTACGCAACACTCATCTACCTTTTCCCCGTGCGAGTCTATCCCGAAACTCACCACACTGTGCCAACCACTTTCGAATACCTGGGAAAGAGGGATGGATTCTTCGAGGATGACACACCTGAAGCTCTTGTTGGCATCGAGGGATTAGATGCTACGGTCGACAAACATACTATGGTCTCCGAGAAAGCAGTTTAGACTCATACATTGTGCTTCAAAGGTAGTGCTGGGCAGAGGATAAACAGTGTTGTTGAACTCGGACAAGGAGAGAATTAAGTAGACTGAATTAGGACAATTTGGCTGCTTGGCGGCTGGGGCCCGCCATCTATATTCAATTTATAGGCAGCAAGGTGCCGGAACAGCATACCTGTGTGTCGCGATACTTAGATAACGAGAAACCTAGCTGGAACAGAGCACCTGTCGTACAAAGCTAAGCTTTCACGTGAGGTACTTGATGCACTGAATCCCCATCCATCGTGAGCAAAATAAGCCCGAGTGATAGTATTCAAATAAACGGGGTTTGATATAGGCGTATAAAATAGCGAGTTAATAATTATGTTAGAAAAGATTCATTGAGTATCAATGCCAAGTTACTGAATTGCAGTAACCGGAGTAGTATGCCTAGGACAAGGTTATCGTAGTCTGTGATGATCAGTACACGTTTGATTAAGCCTGTCATTTGGAAAATTAGGGCCAACGCCGGACCAGATGGATACATATCACTCCACACTGAAGAGGTCGGAGAGTGGCGAAGGCTCTAGTATCTCTCATTCTTATCACCGAAAAGGCAACCTTCGACATGGAACTGAATTGTTGCGACAGATACCGGGTGAGATTGTGAATTGTAAATGAAAACTCGGCCGGGTGACCCCACAAGTTGTGAGCTTCACAAGATTCTACTCGTCGTTATCAACGACATCTATGAGATTGTGGACTTTAATTGGCTATCTTAAAATCTAGTGTGCACAGTCCTGAACCATTATTTCAGCTAAGCATTGTGCGTTGGGTGTTGTGACAGAAATATAAATCTGTCGCTGTAGTTCGAGCATCGACGCTTACACATATCAGGGAGTTAATTTCTGGCCCAGGCGAAAGAATAAACATTCGACTGCTCCGATTATGACATAGTCACCATAAAATCTGAGCTCCAAAGTGTCACCAACAAACATGTCGCCAGCAGCAATTGAGGTCAACGGTTCGCCAGTACCTGAACTTAAGCGACAGCTAGCATTTTACGGAACCCTAATTCATTGCCTTTCTTCAGCGAAAGTCGAGATCATCGATCGCGGGCTACTACTGGTAGACACCCACGGAAAAATCGCCAATTTGCACAAAGACGTCTCAAAGGATCGGATCGATGCCCTTATCTCTGCAGAAGGATGGGAACTCAACTTCGTGGCCGTCACTATCCTCAAAAGGGGTTCATTCATCGTCCCAGGATTCATCGACACCCACAATCATGCTCCTCAATGGACTCAACGAGGAACAGGACGAGGCCACATCATCATGGATTGGCTGAATAAGACGACGTTTCCGCATGAAGCCAGATTCTCGGATACAATCTATGCAGAGAAGACTTATGCCGCTTGTGTTGACGGCTTCATTAAGCAAGGAGTCACTACGGCATGCTACTACGGGTCCTTGCATGGCGAGGCGACCAAAATTCTCGCGCAAAAGTGTTTGCAGAAGGGCCAAAGAGCATACGTGGGAAAATGTAACATGAACCGGAACGCTCCGGATTATTACAGAGATGCCAGCGCTGAGGAATCTCTGGCCGTGACAGAGGACTTTATTGCTTTCGCCGCAAAGCTCGATCCTCACAGGGAGCTCATCACACCAATTCTCACGCCCAGATTCGCCGTGGCATGTGATGCCGATGTGCTCTCTGGGCTGGGGAAGATTGCAGCCAAAGATCCGACCCTGCCAATCCAAACACATTTCAACGAGACACCGCAGGAAATGGAGATCACAAAATTGCTGTTTCCGGAGTTTGGCAACGAGTCAGACCTCTATGAGCACTTTGGTCTGCTTAACAGTCGGTCTGTTCTTGCCCATTGCATCTACATGGATGAGTACGACATGTCACGCCTCGAGCATTTGCAATGTGGCATCTCTCACTGTCCTGTGTCCAATATCACCAGCGGTAGCTTCGGCGTTGCGCCCATTCGAGAATATCTAAGAAGAGACATGAAAGTTGGGCTAGGAACAGATAGTGGTGGCGGATACTCCTCGTCCATCATCGATGCTATGAGGCAGGCCTTTGTTGTCTCGAACGCGCGAAAATTAATGCCAGACTACGACGCGGCCAAGGATAAACCACTATCATATTTCGAGACATTCTATCTTGCCACCTTGGGAGGTGCGCGTGTCTGCAATCTTGAGGACAAGATTGGAAATTTCATTGTGGGAAAGGACTTTGATGCCTTAGAGATACATACTATTGGGGATGATGCTGGGATCATCACCTTGGTCGAGGATATCGACACAACCGCCGACATGTTGGAGAAGTTTATCATGAGTGGAGACGACAGAAACATTGCTCGAGTTTTCGTAAAGGGACGCTCGATCAAGTGAGAAATTTGACATCCCATTGCGACTCCAAAAGATAGAGGCATAAAGGCAGCTCGTAGCTACCTGAATTTCGGCGCTGCAGTGGTTTATCGAGAGATTCTGAGCCAGTATTCGTCCTTTAACATGATGCTTAGCTCCCAAGGAAGAAAAGCATATGCACCCCGTACTTGTTAGAGTTTTAGGTGCCACCGCCACCTAGTACGCCACACGGCGTACTCCAGAGTGTCCAGCAATTTCTTTTATAGGGCACCCTGCCACCTATAGTTAGGTGTATACAGCGGGCTGCCTGCCCCTAAGGTTAGTGGGAGCCCTCAAGCATTCCATTCACTTCATACCTTGCTCATAGTACTGCAGCCTGCATGTGATCGCCGCAGCAGTGACTCTTGGCCTTGTGATTCGATTTTTAGATGGCCTCCACCCTCAAAAGCTAGTTATCCTTCGAATGGATGGAGGTAATAGTAGAGATTGCTTCCGTTGTCTACAATATCGATTCCATGGCATGTAGTTCACCAAGTTTCTCGGGATTTTTCTGTGACAGTAACTACACTTCTTCCGTACAGCTGGATGGGGAAGTTGACGGCCTCAGTACTCGCTAATCTGGAGTTCGGTGACTCGGAGAACCGACTATAGTCCGCAACCGGCTCCGAAAAGCTTACAGTACTACTTACTTCCCCCAATGCATTGAGCGTCAAGAGTTCTCAAATGTGGTTCTTGTATCTAAGACTCTATCATTTTTTCGAACCAACACAACCCTGTCAAGCGAAGAGACGAGATTGAACTCTTCTATCTCGAAATGAAAACCCTCATTCCTTTAGCCCTGATATTGTCTCTTACGTTCCGTTCGGGCCATGGATGCATTCCTCAAGAAACAGACTTTGAGCTCCAAATTGAGACCGGCCTGCAACGTCGCTCCTCGTTAGGACATGTTGGGCGAAGGCCAAAGCGTGGGATTCATAATGTACACTACTTCAACGGGATGAAATTCGTCCCTGGAGCAGTGGCAATGAAAGATGGTCGAATAACCTTCGACGTACATGATGTCACGAGTTGGATTGATGGGCAGCATGGATTCCTTCTCCCGGGGCTCATCGACAGCCACTGTCATCCTCAGGCTATCGAGGACCTAGAACAACTCAGCAGCTATGGCGTCACTACCGCTCTATCAATGTCATGTCCCTCTTATCCACTTTGTGCAGCATTGAGAGACCAACCTGGCCTGACCTCATTTTTCACAGCCAGTCGTTCAGCAGTTGGTCCGAACTCCTCCCACGCGATCAATCTCCGAGTACCCCCCAGTGCGTGGGTTTCATCGCCATCTCAAGCTACGCAGTACTTGGTGGATGCTTTTGGGAACAGGTCAGACTATATTAAAATTATTGCCGAGCCGAATGGGGTGCCACAAGATGCGCAAAACACCTTAGTGGAACTTACACACCAGAAAGGGAAGAAAGTCATGACGCATGCAGTCACCATAGCATCTTACCTACAGGCAATCGAGTCAAAGACTGACGGAATTCAGCATACGGCAGGAGATGGGTATCTGACTCAGGCAATGCTTGACAGCATAAAAACTTTCGAACAGTTTGTCACCCCAACCACTGTCATTGTGAAAGCATTCTTATCAGACTCTCGATCTCTGGCTGTTTCAGATTATAACAACGATTCTTGGGCTATCGTCATCGAGAATGTGCGTAGGTTGCATGATGCGGGCGTGCCAATCATAATTGGTACTGACTCTATTCCCAGTACCGGCCCTGCTGCTGCCATAGTAAACAACCCCTTGGGTAGCACTCTCCACGACGAATTGGAAATTTGGGTGAAGGAAATTGGACTTCCTCCGGCTCAGGCTATACGGGCGGCTACCTCATTACCTGCCAAGCTACATCAATTACTAGACCGAGGAGCGATCCTGGAAGGGAAAAGAGCCGACCTCCTGTTATTGAGATCGAATCCTTTGTTGAATATTTCGGCTACAAGGGAAATTGCAAGAGTGTGGAACGGAGGGATTGAGTATACTTCCATGACTAGATCATGATTATTGTGAAGATAGGTTTTGCTCGAGTCCTCAACTACTGGTCGAAAAATATGAGAATATACATTAAAAGCCTCATGAGATCAGCACTAAGGCTTCTCTCCTATTGACATTGAGATCAATCTTGATTTGCTATTTCTTATCAGGAAAACCTTTCTCTTTTTACAAGGCCCGGTGCAGTTGTGGTTTTGGGTAAAGTTCAGTCCACTCAAGTTGAGAGGAGGCTCTTCAAAGTTCAAACACTCCACCTAAATTCTGGGTGTTTCCATTCAAGATTCTGGATCGTTTCCTGAGACAAGCCAGTCAATTCGGCAGCGCTATCTCGTTGTTCTCTGCGTCGGTTATCCCACTTCATGTATAATAGTGTAGCAGTAGCAATCAAAAAGATCAACGCCGAAGTAGTCAGATTGATGCCAGCACCGATTCGGTAGGCTGGGGCGTCGGCTGGAAGATATGTCCAGGTCGCAATGAGACCGCCAATATTCCCGCCCAAATTGGCGAGGGCTATTGCTGAGTTACGTGAGGAGTCGGACATGGCATTCGCAGCGGCTTGGGCATTGCAGAAGATACCAAATGGCATGGCGGCGGCAGTGAGGAGAAATATCGCTCCATAGCGTGCTGATGCTTGCTCAACGGATGTACCAAGAAAAATGGCATACCCTGCTACACACACAGGAGCAGTCAAACACAGGAAAATCTGCCTTTGATGCACTCTGGTGCTGATGGCAGGCAATATTAGAACGGTTGCGACTCCGACTATATACGGTGGGACTGTATAAAGCTGCTGATGAACAATCGAGGTATGTGGGTAGATGGTCGCAACGACAGTGGGAAGGAAAACAGCAATTCCCTGCACGGATATGCCCACGAACAGGAAAATGAACATGTTCGAAATCTGTACTGGAGAAGTGATTCCACGAAGAATCTTCGTACGATTCCATTTATCGATGAGTTCGGTGGCCGCCAGCCTTTCATTCTGGAGCCGGCTGATAGCCAGAGCTCTTTCATCCTGGTTCAGCCACCGAGCTGTGTGAGGCTCATTGGTGATTGTGAAGAAGGCGATAAAACCAATAGCCATGGTGATGATACCCTCGATGGCAAATATCATGCGCCACCGCTTGAGGCTGCCGAAATGATCAAGGGATAGAATTCCCGATGCTAGTAAGCCGCCAAAAGCTCCTGAGAGTGGGCCCGCAACCATGTAAAAAGAAATACGAACTACAAGCTCATTCTTTCGATACCACCGTGAGAGGTAGTATGCAATACTAGGAACCATTCCAGACTCTGCCATTCCAAGCAAGAATCTGACAGCATACGCAGCGCCTTTGTTTTCGACAAAGGCCATTGCGAGGGTGAAGAGACCAAATAGAAATGTTGCACCTGGAAGGAACCATCCGGGGCCGATTATCTTGCAAATGAAGGTGCAAGGGAACTCAAAGAGGATATAAGCCACGAAGAACATGCATAGCGCCGTGTTGAAATCCCATCGCTTCATATGTAGGTCAGATTCCAGTCCGGCAAGTCTCGCATTGCCTGCGAGATCAGCTACCACGCTCTCACGGTCATATTAACGAATGTAAACTTACCAATATTGACACGATCAAGGAAACAGCAGAGATATATGAGGAAGACGTTGATTCCAACATAGCGATCGATTTTGCGGCGCAAGTGCTTCTCCGCAGAGGTGTCAACAAGCGTTGATTGTTCAAATCTTTTGAGTGATTAGTCTTCTAATGGCTTCTAGATGAAATCACTTACTGATGGGTATCATCGCGCGCTGCTACAACCGCCGTATTCTTGATATCCAGGTGCAAGTCACCTTCTGCTGACAAATGCTCTCTCTTCTCAAAATCTTCGACGTGCTGGGGGGCCAGATCGCTCTTAGCCATAGCGAGGGTTCCTAAAAGTGATCGATCTGTGGCATTTGTTGGTCAAAAAGCTTTTCTGTATCAGAAGGCTTTTAGTATGCTCACTAAATGTTGCTCTCTTTACGCCAGGTGGTTTTATATGATAGTTCAAAGGCCCCTGTTCCGACACCCAACACCATTTTAGACCCAGGTCTGGCTTCCCGCTGTACTGTACTCCCTTTGGATTCAACCGTTTGGGACGGTCCGAGGTCAAATTCATATCCATTCTGATTGATAAGGTCGGAGTAAGTTGTGGCTTACAACCTCCGGTACAGGCATTCGATCGGATACATCTCAGATATCCTTTATTGTGGAGAAGGTCACCGATCTCTTGGTCCGGCTTTCGATTACAACGGACAAGGCACAGTGTCCCATGACCTACGTGTGCAATTGAACTCCGAAATGATTATGGTTAAATATGCCAAGACCCCGAAACAGCTCCCCGACTCGTCAAGGCCTCCGGATGCAACAGAATGTCTCTGGCAGCTTGCACCGATGTGATCGAAACAACCGAGGTCCACATATCAGGCGGTGGGGAAATTCAGGTCGCCCATAATGCGGCTATGCCGAACTTGAGAAAGACCAATCGGGTGATGTGCAAGTAATCTTCTGGCTACCATCTGAAACCATCGGCACCGAGACTCGACCTATGCCTCAATGTGACCGGCCGATTAACATAGGTAAATATCTATAGCTAAACAGGTAAAATACAATCACTTTCAGTAGCTGGGAAGGAAGGAACAGGTAGGGTCTGTCAGCTCTATTGCCAATACCCACGCCATTCAACTCGCGACTACTAGATATCAGACATAAAACATAGTTGGCAGGCAGGTTGAGAAGGGAGAAGATGGCCCCGACTGAAGAGTTCGACAACGCAGTGAATAGTGGGAAGGTCATAAGTCCAAAGGCTCTTTGCCATGTTGTGTTACGCACTTCAAATCTCAAACCAATGCTGGCATTTTATCTGGAATTTCTAGGCGGCCGCATCGCATATGCAAATGAAATGCTCGCATTCATTACGTACGACGAAGAGCATCATCGCATTGCTTTGTTGGAAATACCTGGTACAGAGGACAAAATATCAACTAGTTGTGGCCTTGAACATATTGCATTCGGGTTTTCCACACTGTACGAGCTCTTCCTATCATATCGCCAACGGCTCAAGGCTGGAATAAAGCCTCATTGGTGTGTCAACCACGGTCCAACAACAAGCATCTACTATAAAGATCCCGACGGCAATATGCTAGAGACTCAGGTCGATAATTTCGATACGATCCAGGAAGCCGATGAATTTATGAAGACCCGAAGTTTTTCTGAGAATCCCATCGGTGCAGACTTCGACCCGGAGGACCTCATCCGCAGATTTTTCGCTGGGGAGGCGGATTCCTCGCTGAAGAGACGCATTGAGATTGGGCCGCGCCAGCCGGATGCTACTATTTTGTCATAGGGGAGAGGTTAGCGTAACCTCTGCTCAAGAAAGATTGAGTTCTACGTTGCAATGTATTTTACCATGGTCGACGGTTGCAACGGTAAATTGTGGAGACTGTCTAATGCGCCAATAGCAGGGACTTCTACATAATAAGATAATGCTGTTGTTCTGCACACGATAACGTCCTAGACGCGTCGGAATCATAGAATTCCTGTGTATTCAAGTCGATTCATAGTGAATTTGTCCACGCGCAAGTACGAACAGTGCAAAATCTCATCGGCAGCTGCTCATTCGCAGGTCATCAAGTCGAGGTACGAAAATCTGGGCAACACAAGTTGGTCAATCGAATGGCGAGACTTTACCACTCGAATTCATACTTCTTTTCTATAGTCAATGTGTTTTCTTATCCAACCACTGGTTGTAGTGACTGTGGATGCTCCTCGACACTGGATTCGCGAATACCATGTGTTCGTGCTCGGACCGAAACAAATTCACGTTACCGTTCGCTCATTGCACCCCCCTGTTCTGAAGGTCTTTAGGAACAAATACCGAACAATCTGTTCATGTCGCCCGTTTTTTGTCACCATTAGCTTGCAAGTACTCCCCTAAGGCCGATTTGGCTTCTTCCACTGTCGCTACAATGCCAATGATATGATGATCCGGTCTGACAAGAATTGCTGCGCTACTAATTTGTGCTGAAATTGCTGCCCAGCATGCATCGGCGTCCTCAAAATCACGATTGAGTTGCTGGACTATCACGGGAACACCTCGTACTTCAATGGTCGTCCTTTCTGTAAAGTCCTCAGGAGTGAGAAGAACGAACTCCCTCCCACTAATCAGGTCTAAAGTTGACACTTTTTGTCCTCGGCAACAGACCCAAATGTGAGGGAGCCGTACCCCAGGGATGAACTCCTTCTTGTAATCCGCTGGACCACGCGTCCGACTTCCACCGTACACGTAGCCCAGTTCAAGATCAGGTGAGTGAAAGTGCTCCCAATTATCATCAATGGCGTCTTTAATCTGTTGGCGACAGTTGGGGTCCGCCATGAGCTCCTCTGCCAAGATTCCAGGCTTCAGGATTGCCGCAGCGAGGCGAAAGATCTTTCCCTCATTGATCTTGCTTTGTGTGGCGTTTTCTAAGGCTACTGGACGTCTCTCACCCGAGATTGTCGCTAGGAAAGACTGCTCAGTCCAACCGTGTTCGATTGCAAAGATTTTCCAGGCAATATTCTGGACATCTGCAATGCCAGTATTGACGCCAAGGCCTCCTGTGGGCGGAAAGCTATGAGCAGCGTCTCCAGCTAGAATTCCATTTGGTACCTTGGTTGAATGATATGTGTCAGCAATTCTTGGGGATGTCGACCAAACTGTGATTCCAATTTCCTTGTAGTCTAATGGCACTTCTCCAATAGCCTATAGACAGCTTAAGCGACATCAATCAATCGTAGTTATCGAGTTCACTCACCTCACCAACCAGAGCCCTGAAGTAACTTGAGGTCAAGCTGTCTTTCGATGTTTTCTCTGGATCAAAAGATGTAAAGTAAACCCAACTAGTCTTCCGGTTGTACGCGATTAATACTCCCATCCTATCATGGCTGAGAATGAACCACAGAACCCCTGTGCTCAGATGTGACAAGTCGGCGCTGAAATGAACTGAGGCATAATGCAAAACTTGCTCCTTGTCCGCCATTGCAGGTCGAAAGCTGATTCCGAGCTGCTCTCGGGATTTGCCATTAGCTCCATCGCACCCTAACAAGTATTTACTCCTCAGTGTAGTTGTAGTGTTTGTGATCCGAGACAAAACCTGTGAGATGATTAAACCATCTGACGCCTTGGTGCAGTCCATCCATTGATGTTGGCGTCTGATTTCAACTCTTCCAGTGGCTAGCGCTTCATGCAGCAAAAGGTCCTCCAGATAAGGCTGCGCAACGTGAAATGCCACTTCAGGAGACATAATTTGAGCCTCATCCTGTTTGACATCTATCGTGCCAAATTGGACGCCGCGCATAGAAGACGAAAACCTCACAGAATCAGCTTCTTCGGCCTGAAGCCCGTGCTTTCTGAGTGGCAACGTATCAACTTTGAGCTGATGAAGGATTTCTAGTGTTCGAGAATTGAGATAATGCGCTTTTGGCTGGTCTAATCTTTCCGAGTGTTGTTCCAAGATGATACTGCTATATCCATAACGAGCCAATGCCAATGCTGTGGTGATTCCCACTGGCCCTCCGCCGATTATCATAGCAAATATGTCAATGTGATCGCAGCTGGCATTTTCTTGGTTCCTGGACATCCTGATTCTTCGCAGCCAGTGTGGCAGCTGGAGTCCTGTTCAAGATATTTCAAATATTTAGTTTCAAGAAAGCAACGGTTCAACGGAAGGTCAGGAGGAAGTATGTCAGTAGGTTTAGTTGGCACCACCAAACACTCATATCTTTGAGATCACACCAGTTGAGATCGGTGTTTGTAGAAGTCTGCGGTCATTATGCAGCCCGAAGGACCAATCGGACTTTTGTTACGAAAGGATCTAGATAGTGTCTCTGTTAGCGTCGAAGGACAAATATTGCAAAATATGAATGGTGGCCGCCTCTTCATGAAAGGCCTAAATCCAACCGCGGAGGTCGCAAGATTTTTAAAGATAAGTCCATCACTAAACCAAGTAAATCCTTATTAAACTTATTACTCGAGGATGAACTGTACTATACCCTTCAAGACAACAGTCATACGTAAAGTCATATGCAGTAGTAAATCTGGAAGTTAATCAATAAATCTGTGTAAAACCACCAGTCGAATCGCGGATATAGTATGTTCGTCCTCAGACTAGAGCACCTTTTCGACGGCAGAGAGTTTGCACGAGGCTTTTGCGCTGTATCCGGCTAGTGCCTTCAAGTGGCTTCACGCTCTGAGGTTAAACGATATTGCTCTCGGACAAATACGCCGGGACACAATCTCTCTCGGTCTCTTTTGCGAATGAGAGTAGGGATCGAGGATGTCTGTTTTTTCCCTAAAAAGACAGACATTTAGAGGTATGTGACATGTCTTTAAGAAAACCCGACGGTTTTTTGTCTTTTTACACTTTCGGTTTAGCGCGTGCCAAGACTCTCTAAGTATCGATAAATCTCGTCTTTACAAGTCTAGTAGAGTTCTCTAAAAAATTTAGGTCGCCTTCGGCGACTAAATATTCTATTAAAAGTGGGTCAACTTGAAATATACCGACAAAATGTCGAACCTCAAGAAAACGCGACACGTCTATTGTCGTAAAATAAAGTGACATTTTGTCGTGTTCGACAGGGTCTCTCGATCCCTAAATGAGAGGTAAATCAAAACTTCGGTCGGGCCTAGAACTGCCAGGGGGTTTACACGTCGCCACGCAGGCAAGAGAGGTTGGATACACTAGCTCCAGAGAGTTGGTAAATGCCCGAAGTCCGAGAACTAGTCGACACCGTAACTAGCCAACGGTTCATCCACAAATGCTTCACTCTTGGAAGTCATGTTAAAGTCGCTTTCTCTACATTAGTTAAGAGTGGTTGGAAGTAAAACTTAACCCTTCATTGAGATGGCAAATAGGAGCGATCGACAGGATCATTTTCTCAATCTCGTTGAGATTAAAGATCTACTGGTCCGGGAAAGATTCTACCGTGACAATGCAAGATGGACAGATCTTAGAGGATGCTACGATCCAGATACCACAAAAACGACTATCGATATCTCATGGCAAGTTGCAATCTCGATGAGCTGTCGATGAGTAAATTCAGCTGATAAGACTGTGCATCCAGGTACTCTGGAGATATCGACGGCTTCGTCTCCAAATCCAAAGAAATGGAAGCCGGTGGCCTTCGGAGCAACCACGAAATAAGTCCGGCTGAGATAAAATTCAATGGTTCTCGTGATAAGGCTATATCGGAATCACCAGGTTGCCTGCGTGTACCTGTCAGTATTGATCAAATGGCGTACCATTTGACAGCTCACGTGCGTTTCATCTCAAGACTCAGGAAGCACGATGATCGATGGCATTTGCTTAGCTTCGAAGCCATCTATGAATCTGATTACCTGACACCGGATTTTGCGACTCAGAAGCGTCCCTCCACGGAGCCTTCACCCACCTCAAGAAAGAGCTACCGTACCACTACCTGGGTCCTTGAGCAACTGGGTCTTACTATTAACCAGGACTTGCCGGGATCCGATATGCCAGAAAAGGTCGAGGAAATGGTCAACAGGAATTTCAATTGGCTCAACGACTAGATGCATGACTGCACAATGGCTCATACAGTGCTGTTCCGCTGAGACCAATATTGATTACCAATTTTAGCTACTGAAAATGCTTCAGGTAAGGGTCTCAGTCAGGAAAGAGTCTTCACTCTCAACTCGAGTGACTTATAGACTGTTCCGCGAAGGACGAAGGGAGTGCGGAAACTTTTCTATCTCGGGGCCTAGCAACTTTATTCTCTTCCCTGGCTACATTGAAGAGAGTGAACTACGATGCGCTGCTTAAGAGGGATTGAGAGTAAAAAAACGTCATTACCTCGGGAGCGCCTGGATTTTTTGGATGATACGCTTCTTGTGGCAATGTTGAAAATGATAGACAACTCAGATAGTCAGAGCAGCCCATTAATCCTGCAAACTAGCGAAATCTCCCAATGAATCTGGTTGTAACATTGACCAGTCTTCGAGCATCCAGTCTTCGTTGTCCCAAGACTTGTTCTGAAGAAAGTCATCAGCCATAATCCATGGGGTATTAGCTAAGACAAGGAATGTATCTGTGATCAACAATGGAGAACAGGTGTGCTAGAAACTCGGCGGGGCGATGGGGGACTCACAAATCCCCAATCTAGCAGGGCATCAACGTTATCCGAGACTGCTTGATCCATTACATCCATAGTACCAGAATTGGCAGTCGAGGTCTGCTCTTCGCAGGCGGACCATGCTTTGTCGACAGCCTTACGCGCGATTTCTGCGAGCTTACGAGCGAATGGAAAACTCATGTCTGATTCGGTGATTAACTCAACTCGACCATAATGGCCAGCCGCGACATCCAATAGCGCCAAATCCGCAGCCACTGATGGTAGTTTGGGTGCTTTGAGGATATGGATAAAGAGATTTGTAACTCCGATGAGCGGATATGTGAACGCCGACCTAAAATCTTAGTTTAGCATAATCATTGTAATTAGAAGATACATGACACTTGCCATTGAGGTGAAGCTGCATTGATCTCAATCTGGGTGGTGATCACAATAAGATTTCGTGCAGCATCCGCGACAGTATTTGTGGCGGTTTGATAGTGTTCATCGCTCGCGGCACTATCACCCACAATCGTATTTGAGATCCAAGGGTTCATAAAGGGTGTGTAGAGAGCTAATATGCTAGCATAGTATCCAAGCTGGAGTGATAGTGTGGCCAATGGGGTGGGGTTGGAAAAACGTTTTGACAGATGGAGGGAAGCCTTTGGTTGCAGCTCGACGGGCAATTTATCTTTCCATGAGTTAAGCTGCTCTTCAAGCTCTCTCGTGGCTGTCCAAGCAGCACAATTTGATTTTTTTGGAGAGCTGAATGACGCTAGATGTCGAGATATCCTTGAGGCTATCTGTGCATGCTTGATAACGTATGTGAATAATGGTACATTAATAGTGCCCCCGTTTACCCCTCGGTTCGGGACGCGACAGGTCACTTCCTCATCGCATATAGCCTAATATTTTTATTAGTTCATGAATCAAGTAGCATCACGAGTAATAATCGAGCAAATCCGTCTCTTACCGAAGGCCGCGATGATCGAAGTGCGATACTCTTATCACAGTGGTAAATGGCCCAAAACAGCCAATTTTGATTGTCGATCTGATCTGAATCAAGCTTCCATGAAGGTGCTGGCTGGCGATGAAATCCTTTGGACTGGGCTAGGCGAGCTGCGCTCGAACAGAGCATATACTGGAGTGCCGGGCTTCCCAATCCTTCTGTGAAGAATGTCTATGCATTTAGTAAGCCTATCAGTAGGGAGTTCGTAGAATTTACCATAGCAATTAACGCTCTGACCGCCATGATGCTAGTGAAGGTGAACAACAGCTCAGTATGGGCGGACATCGCGTTCTGGAAATAGCTCCAGGCCTCTTTTTGAATTTCTGAATAGTGAGATGCATCGTTCTTGGAGAGAACAATGCGGCATCCCGAAGCGTAAACTGTGTTCCGGAGTGCATGCCAAGCAGGATCATTTCTTAGATGCTCATCATTGCGGAAGTGCGCACTGAGGCACGTAAAGAATTCCGATCGGTCTACAAAGCCGTAAGTAGCTTCGAACGATTCTTCAAAATAAGCTGGAAACAGTCTTAGTTTCGCTTCACCGGGAAACAGAGTGAATATAATACCTGTACAATATTCCCATGCTATATCTGCTTCAGGTTCTTTGTTCTCCCCGAAAAGCATAGTCCGGCTTGGTATCTTGCATCGTCGAGTCCAGCCCACGACCAAATTGCGAGCCACAAGATGGAAGTCCAAGCTACCTGTCACTTTACGCACCCAGGATGCAGCTGGTGCCGAGCAAATCGACAAGCATGACGCAGGGCCTACCGTAGTTCAGATCAGCAACGAGTACACGAGGACCAAGGTCTTTATGCTACCTTGATGCTCCCATTGAAACTTTATCTTGTCAGCGTCTTTGATGGATATCGATTGGCAAAGATAAATCTTACAATGTGTGCCGGGGGGGTCAGATCTTCTTTTCCAAATGGCACGGTTTCTTCATGCTCAACTCCACTCTCAATTTCTACCAACCCACCAATGTCGGACATGGATCTCGTGTTTACTTGCGGTGTTTGCTTCGCATAGGCGTTGCTATTTTGAGGTAATATCGGCCCCTCCGCACGAAAGTTCGAGATTGTGTCGGTGGCAGTAGGAGCGCCTGCGCATTCACCGGCCACCATAGACCAACCATCGATTTCTAAGCATTCTTGTGTTGTTGCTCTGTTAGCATTGCCGCTTACTGGAGGTAGTTTTCGGCCAACGAAAACTGATTCCTTCTGCTGGTCGCGGTCACTGCTGATCAACACTGTTGTGGGTCGGAAACCAGGCAAGCGACCGGTGGTCGCTTGCACATTTGCCTTTCTGTTCAATCGCTGACCTCTTTTGGAAATGGCATAGATGCATTCTTCTCCCCGTGGCTAGGAGAGAACATTAGTCCGTTGCAAGGCCGCGGGGACTTTGCATTGCTTACAGCACATCCTGAACACGGGATTGTCTTACTACCTGCACTGCTGTGAGCCCTTCCCACGGATACCAAGCACGCTGGAAGTCTGGATTGCCATACATCTGATTTTCCGTTCGCGACATTGATTGCAGGCCAAGGTCCGTTTGGGCACCTCACTAGGGGTCATTATAGCATTGACAAGCCTATGGAAGAGCTGAATCTGCTACTCCGGCGTTTGAGCGATCAACCTGCGAGTAGAGTGAAGTATGCGAGGTAGGGGACTTTCTTTGGTCGGGAGGATTGCCCGAGTTTCTCGGTGAAAATATTCTCCCCGCACCGGGCAACCACTTAGCTTCTATCTCAGGGCCGAAAGCCCACAGAGAATAAATGCTTCCGGGTGGTTCCTTCCCCGCAAATTACTTAGGCTCAGTGCCGGCAATATTTGTTTTCATAATAGAGAGGAACAATGCATGAGTAGGTACGCGAGATCGCTCTTGTCTCTTTGAAACCGCTCTTCTGTGTAAACCATGCGCTGTTTCTCAAATGTTGGCACAACGGAGGGATATTGACTGCTCACGGCGATTCATTCTCACCCAAGACACCTTCTTCGGGCTCGGGGTCTTGGCAAGAATCACCCAACTGGTTACTAACTAAGTTAGTTAAGTGCCTCCCCAGGTACCAAAGAACTAATCCTTAAAATATTATAGTGCACCGCCTAGCCCGCCACCCTAACTAGTTCTAGGTCCCTCCTGCCTAAGAAGTGATGGAGAGGTTCCCCAAACCAAAACGCCTAAGAGTTCTCTTAGCAATCTATGTACGCTTCCAAGTCATTGCAAATCCCTACGGTATCGCTGATTCTGTTCAGTCTCCTCTCCTCCAATTGGCAGTTGTCTTGGCCCTCTCTTGCCACAAATTACGAGAAACTCTTGAAGCAGCATTCTGACTCCTTTCATATCTGGTGGTACGGATATATCCTTAACTAACACTAACCACAAGGAATAGAGTGAGCCCACCCAGTCGATATCACAGCAAAGTCTTCGCAGTCTCGGACGTAGCTATCCAAATCTCATAAATTTTGTGTAGACTTTGGTGGTCAGCCTTGACTCAGAGAGCAGTACCCCCCGACCAGCGGGCGGGAGCTTCCGGATTTGCTTGAAAGGTAGTAACGAAGTATGAACTAGAAATATCGCTAGTCTGTACGTCGGGGGCCACAAGACGACGAAGGACAATAATTAGAGCCGTTCAGTCGCTCTCGCCTGTTTCGGAATCTGTTTCTTACCCGGTACACGAGGGTCTCCCGCTTATCTCCCCAGAAGCCACGGTAGATCCCGGCGTTAGTCGCTCTGGGCTTTAATTCCGAACATAGATTGTAAAGAACGTGTTTAAGATACCGCAGGCTTGGGAAGCTTCGAGGTGGCCGTGAAGACATGCGAGAATGATATGCGTCTGAGTTTCCGGCCATGTTGCGAGATATTAATTTCTTTCCACCTTGATAATCTTGATTTTGTGCTTCGCTGGTACAAGCATGATTCAAAATCAGGATTTTCCTCCTGGAAGCGCAACGGTTTCCGTCTTCGCATTGCCCACTGGCCATTTATATCTCCCGGACCGTTGGCTTTTTGAAGATGGCAGCAGTGATATGCTACGAGACCGACAGTACTCTCCTGACTTCAGCTTTCTCATCAAGCACCCAAAAGGCAAGCTGTTATTTGACTTAGGGCTCCGGAAGGTTAGTAGACATATCATCATGCTACGACCACCTAGGCTCACACTTTGCAGGACTTGGATAAAAATCCTCAAGTAATTCAGAGCGACTACAAGTTTATTGCTCCCGAGGTCGAGCAAGACGCCCAAGAGCTCCTTGACGGAGGACCCGAGCAGTCTGACTCGATCACAGCTGTAATCTTGAGTCATCTACACTTTGACCACACAGGTGACTGTACCAAATTCCCCAATGCAGAGCTCGTCGTTGGTCCTGGGAGTCGCGCCGCTGTTACTCCAGGGTGGCCCGAAGCAGCTGACTCGCCGTTCGATGGCTCTGTCCTTAGCCATCCGCACTTTCGAGAGCTGGACTATGAAAAAGATGACTGGGAACCACTAGGCCCATTTTCGCGAGCAATTGACTATTTTGGTGATGGGAGTTTCTATTTGATTGATGCCCCTGGACATATGGACGGACATCTTGGGGCTCTTGCTCGAACTGATAGTGATGAGTGGATATTCATGGGTGGTGATTGCTGTCATCACCGATCTCTACTTGCCGGGACCAGGCCAATGAGCGTCACAGTAGGCCCAGGCATTGCTCCCAGCTTTCATCGCTACCCGGACATGGCCAGAAATACTATTCGGAGAGTTCGCGAGATTGAAAAGCAAGGTTCCGTTCTGGTTGCTCTGGCCCACGATGCAAGACTGGATGGCCTCATGCCACTGTACCCGCATCCTCTCAATAACTGGAAAGGAAGTCAGTGGAAGCAGACCCTCGACCAGAGCCTGGAAAAGGACTATCCAATGGAATATATCGTGGGGAAGTAGCAGTAATGAATCAATTCCGTGCCAATTCTTTTGCAGCAGTCTTTGCTCAGCTACTATCCCCGTTCTTTCCCCTTTTATGAGGTACTTGGCAGAGGGGTCTAACCAAAAACATTTCGGAAAATATCATTGGTTCTTTTGACGGAAGAGATGGTGACTGCCTCGGCTAGATCGATCCCCGCATCGGGTTTCCGACTCATGCCCGATGAACATTGAATCAAGCTCAAAGCTCCACTGGTCGGAAACAGCTGTTCTTCCCCAGTCACCAGAACATTTCCTCCAGCAATAGCTGACTCCATATGATCTTTGGCCCGTCTCAGTATCGAGACTATCATTACGCGAGTACTCAACATGTCTCCCATTGCTTCAGTGACCGATCCTGCGCTGCCGGAAGATCTCCATAGGGCGCCTCGCAAGCGTCGTCGCATCCCAATTGCCTGCAATCCTTGTCGTAACAGGAAATCGAGAGTATGGGCAACCAATCCAATTATCGCTTTCTGCTCTAAAATTCTCGCAACAGTGTGACGGTGCTATGCCAACATGCGCTATGTGCAATGAAACCGGCAATACCTGCGTGTATCTTCGTACGTCCCCCAACCAGACTATTGAAAGGAGCGAGTAAGCGTCTTCATATCTACCTTCAAGAGCATGATAATGTATCGATTCGACTAACGAGCGTAATGGTTTTAGACCATACCGGGAGCTCGAAAAACGACTTCGCACCCTGGAAGACTTGATAAGCTCTTCGCGCGCGTCCAATGCATTCTCTTCTCCAGAAAGGGCTTCTCAAGGGGGATTCGCACTTTCCACCTCTACCACTAGTCCCGCCAACGCAAGTCAGGAAGCTGGAAATCTTGCACCGGAGGAGCCTCGAAACTTGGCGGCGGCAGTGGACCCCGTTGACGGAATGGGGGCGGTGCTCTCCGGCGATGAAGAGTGGTCAACATTCCATGGTGGGTTTCCAGTTTCAAAGATTTGGCAGCATGCTCACGCGGGCTCTCTAGGCCCCTCTTCAAATATCACATTCACCCGCTCCATTACAAATATGGTGGCTCGCGTGGGCAATATCACTAACCCTTGGAATTCGTCCAACCAACATAGTCGTGGTTCATTTGGGTTCGTGAACGTTGCTCATTCGCTTGGAGGCGTCAACATTCTCGATCAAAGTCGGAACACACATGAAAATGAAGAATTCGATCACTTTGCTGTTCCGCCCGAAGGACACTCAGATGCGCTCGTCAAAAACTATTTCTCCTCGTCTGGAGTTCTCTTTCCTTTCATCCATCAATCGTCATTTCTTGACAACTATGCGCGTTTGAAAAGAGATGGACCAAAGAGCATGCGGAGAACATGGCTGGGATTATTCAACATGGTCCTGGCGGTCTCCACGAACACAATAGTTCGAGACGATTCTCTCTCAGCAGTCCGTGCGACGGAAGCGCAAGTATACTACGCAAGGGCTGTGAGCCTGTGTGACAGATATGTGTTGGGCGGCTCCAGCTTAGAACTCGGTGAAAACTCTGCGTTGAAACCTCAGGAAGCCTGCTTATGTTTGACTTTAGTACAATACCTCGTCTCCCAGACACAATATCTTCAAGCCACTCACAAATCGGTCCAGACGAGCCTGACCCATAGTCTGGCAGTCAATGCTGCCATCCGCATTGGATTACATTCTCGGCAAGGCTCTCAAGTATATCTCCCTCTTGAACGAGAGATGCGAAAACGAACATGGTTTATGTGTGTCGTGTTTGATAGGTCAGTCTTTCTGATTCTGGTCTTAGACAGACACTTATCTGTCATAGAGTCTTGAGTATGACTCTTGGGCAACCGCCGGTGCTACCTAATAATCTGGTTGTTCTCGACCTACCAGAACGTCTCGAGCAAGAAACACTGGAAATTGGATCAGAGGATAACTACAGCCTCGGAATATTCGTTGCTACAATGTGCGCACCTCAATCTTCTTAGAGACATCGCTGAAAGGCTAATGTGAGATCAGAAAGCTCTACGAAATCCTTGGAAAGGTTATTGAGAAACAATATGGTCAAAACATTGCTTTCGAGAACACGACTAACGTCCTCGATGCTGTGTCCCCAATCGCACGCATCGATAATGAGCTTCGCGAATGGGAGCAAGACTTACCAATTCAACTCAAGACACTGTCTTCCACTGGTGTCGTAGCGATGCTATCAACCCTGGATCTGACTGGACCATCGGTAATGTCAAAGAGGTTTCAAGTCACCCTGACACTACGCTCGCTGAATGTACGATTACTACTTCACCGTCCCGTACTGGTCAAATATCTTGAGATGTCGCACACCTTGCCACTCGATGTCGCGGAGGCGACACTTGTTCACAGGTTGGGATCCCACAGTATCTATGTTTGCTTTCGCTCGGCCATGGAGATCATCACAATTGTCACAAGCTTAATCCAAGAAGGAAGTGTCGCTAAGCAGTTTTTAAATGCTTGGTGGTTTACACTTTACTATAGTAAGCTCTTCTTCCCCCATGATTGATTTTGTGAAAGGTTCTCAAATGATGTGTTTAGCATTCAATGCTGGCTTGGTTAGTTTCGCGGTGATGATGCTTTGTCAGGATCCTAGGAGACCAATTCTCGATGCTCCATCGAAGGAGGAGTGCAAGAAAGGCCTAGAGAAAGCCGTCAAAGCTTTGAAACTGTTCGACCCGGGCAACAAGATGATTGAGAGGTGTCACAACTACCTTGAACGATTGATAGTTGCAGCAGCAACCCTGAGTATGTCCTCTGATTTACCCCTGAGCCAAATTATTCAGCTGACGCCATGATTCCCAGCCTCGGCAGAGGATTCCCCAGACTTTGATAGCATTGATTCTCTGAATAACATATCAAGTCACCTTGCAAATGGCGTTCCAGAGCTAAACTTCTCTCAATCATTCAACAATGGCGATACCACGGTGGAAAGGAATGTGGGCAACATAATGACAGGAGAAGATTTGGGATTTCTGGACCATTACTTTGCTCCTCCGTCAGGTATCTCCTCGACATTTAACACTACAGAATATACCGCAGGAGTAGAGTATTATGTATAATTCTCATGCCTGAGGCATGCCCATTGAATGTTGGCTAAGTAGACATTTTCTTGATGTTTTTAGCTGTCCAAAAGTCTCTGCGCGTTGCCGCCGAGAACAACATCCCATTTTTCGTCATTGCTAAACACAGTATGCCCTTCCTGGTCTATCGCTTTGAGAAGAAACTCGACGCCCGACGCAGGAGTGTATGGAAAATCGCTCCCATAAAGTAAACGACTGGTGTCAACATAGCGCAATAAACCGTGGATCTGGTCCGGAAAAGGAAAGCCTGCAAGGTCGAAAAAAAAGCGCTCTTGCAGCATCTTTCTTACGGTTGTTGCATTAACTCCGTTTTGGTTTTTCAAAATTGCTTCAGAGAATGAACTGAATCTTTGGATCACCGGAGGAATAGTTCCACCAGCATGTGAAAGAATGTATACAATATTCGGAAATCGATGAATCGTGCCACTCAAGAACAAATTGATAACACATCGCGTTGTGTCGAAGAGGAACTCATACATCGGGTCCGGGAACTGCTTGAGAGGTGATACACGAGAACCTGGCAGTCCACATTCCCCAGCAATGCATGGTCCAGTGGGATGAATGAACACTTTAGCGTGTCTCCTGTTCAACTCCGCAAATATGGGGTCCAGACGCTCGTCACCAAGGTATATCCCATGATAATTGCTTAGAAGAGCAACTCCGTCCGCGTTGAGTTTGTCAAGTGAGTGCTCGATCTCGGCCAGGCTCTCATTCACAAACGGAAGGGGCAAGGAAGCCCAAAATCCGAATGACTCCGGTAAGCGAAGCTTCAAGTCCCCAGCATACTCGTTACATTCGCGAGAGATCCTCGTTGCAAGTTCCTTATTGTCCTGGACTAGATTGGTGCCGGGTGAAGTTATGCTCAAGATCGATTTGGCTATTCCCAGCCGCTTCATTAGTAGCAAATGCTGATCAGGGTCCCAGGCCTAATATATGGAGGTTAGCCACATTTGTCTGTTGCATGATCATGGGTTTGAGGTTCTTTCACCAGCACTTACTGGGATTTCCGGCATACCGTCAGGCTTCCCATGTCCATATTGCTCACAAACACTACGCCAGGTTGGGGGAATGAAGTGAGCATGTGTGTCGATGAGCCCCATGATTGACTCCTTCGGCACGAAAGAAAAGGAGAAACGGGTAAGGCAGGGCCTGACTTGAATGCTGACGAAGATTGGCCAGTTTTGGGGTCCGAGACTTGGAACCTTGAAGATAGCCTGATGAGTATTTGTGTATATTCTCCTCTCAGGGCGATAGATGATAATCAGTCACATTATAATATATTGAGGATTTCTCTGACATGTTGACCGGCTATCCGGGACTTGGCCCAAATGTACTTGGCTCGACGAGGAGTCATCTTGGTCCGGTCGCAAGCACTTTGACCTTCCGATTATCCCCCGTAGGAGTTAAGTGTGCTGTAATGGCCCCAAGAAATCCAACAATTCGTCTTTCCCCGATTAACCTTCGAATAGAGTGCACTACCACCGCCGAGGCGTTCATCGACCCTACTTTAGGGTACCACGATACAAAGCTAGGGGTGTATAGCGGGCTCCCGATTTCTAAGGTCTAGTGAGCTCCACAGGGAGTTGATTGACTCCTATCTTTTCTCGTATCAAGCACCAAAGCTTAGATCTCAAGTCGAGGTCCGCCTGGTGCTCGCTTCACGAGAAAGACTACTGGTCTACTCTGCTATTGCTCATATGCCAGGACGAGAACTTTCTATGACATTTATATGTAGAACCAGTGCTATATAATATTAGCAATTTACTGGTTATTCAATGCGGAATATCGGCTAATTTGTCTTCGGTAAGCATGTTGTAATTTTGATTCAAAGAGTATCACCATGGCTTCTCTGCTCTGCGTTTTCGAATCTCGTGATCGTCCACTTCCTTAAAGCTTGCCCCTGAAAGTAACAGAGCGCCATGAAACCATGTGCAACTAGTAGAATGATCGCCATGACAACAAAAGGTACGGTGTAACCAGCCTTTGTGTTCCAAGGGATGATGGCGTAGCTAATGGCGAACGCCGCTAGATTTTTGCAACCGTTGTAAACAACCATGACAGCATCAGTGCGAGACTCATAAATATCTAAAAGATACGCAAATGAGATAGAGAGGCTGGATATGAAGCAAAAACTGACTATTACGTAACTGTTAGTGGTCTGGAGCTTGCATGGAGGGTTATTTTTCGAGTTCCTTACGCATGCCGGATCCGAACAACGGAGCAACCCAGTGACACTTCTCTTGCGTGCAGATTCCGAAAAGCAGAAGACCAGCTATACCAATCGGTCCAGTAGCGAGAAGGAGCGGGAGGCGGTGTTCTGGCTTGGGTCTTGACCCCTCTTTTGTAGTCCATCGGATGAAGAGCTTGTCGGCGAGAATACCGCAGAATAGCATAGCCAGCCAGGTTCCAATGAGTGGAGCGATGAAAGTCAGGCCAGACACGCCGATGCTGAATGGATAGACAATGAGGTACGTAAGTGATTGAGTTGTCTGTTGATTAAGGCGTTAGTAATGTTTCACAATGGAAACAGAGTAATATTGTAGTAAATCCATACCAAGAGATAGCTATTGGTAAGCAGACACAAAGAGAAGAAGGTCATATTCAGAACGATGACAGGATGACAAAAATAGGAGAAGATATTCAAAAATCCAAGGGCCAGGTTGCGAGACTTTGGCGGCCCACCACCACTAACTGGCCAAAAGCGAAGATCATCCTTAAAAGTCCTTTTGGTGTTCGATGTGTCAGCGTTCCTGGTGTATTGAGTTTCAGGAAAGAAGAGCAAGAGTCCTATGGACGTTGCGAACGTGGAGATTGCCATTGTCCACTGGACCCATCGCCACCCAAGATCCCTAAGGCACAGAAATAGGAGTTGTCAATAATTGCACGTCAAAGTCAACCAGACGTGGAGAGGAGGTCATACTTGTTTTGAACGATGAAAGAGCCTACTAGCGGGCCCCCCGCGAATCCCGAAGCTTGCAGGATACCTATCCAAGTCATTGCCTTTGACCTGTCCTTGAGATAGAACAAATCACCGATCATTTGAGGCGCTAAAGTCTCAGGGGGTGCAAAGAACGCAGATGCAAGCGTCCTTGCTGCTACTAAGCTGCCGAAGGTGCTGGCTTTTGCACCCCACACGCTCATGCAAGCTGCCGTGACTGCGCATATGACGAACACAAGGCGCGACCCGTAGCGATTTCCCAATGGGACCCAAACGAAAGAAGCAGCCCCATATGCTAACAAAGGACCTCCGACAAGATAGGTTGACGTGTCGAAGGACGAGTGAAGATCGACTGGGATAATCTGGAGTGCTGGCCCGATGATGATCATGTTGGTTGTGCCTAGCAGAATCCAGATGCCGACGATGAGCATGATGCCCAATTTTCGTACAAGGCTCCATGTTAGGGGATCATGTGGATCATGACTTGTGTCGCTGGTATCGTTGTGGAGCTTTTCTTCACATTCCTCAACGGGCATTTCCACCTGCGACTTTTGTTTCTCTCCAGAGTAAGGCATGTTATGTTCTCTTGGTGCGTATGGTGAGAAAAGGGCAGAAAGTTGTTGAAAACAGTGAACAGCGGTCTTTACGTTTTTAACACATTGTACAAGCTGGGCCACCGATCTTATGATCCGAGGCTATGAACGCCTCTCAGTTTCCCGGGGCTGCGCCGGACTTAATGTCGGAGTTTCTCTCAGGTGGCAAGGTAAAATCCGGGGAAGTGTTGCCGTCGGGGAAGTGACACCTTAAGACACCAAAATCTAGCGAGACGAAGATTGCAACTTCCATAACACTGCTTAAAATCCAATAGATGAGATATCTTGAAGGAGGAGGGTATATCGAAGTCAGCTAGGGCTATAGGTACGGAAATTACTGCTTATATTTGGGCGGATTGCTTTTGTGTGGCTTTCAATTCGACAGTCCGCTAGGCAGAAGGGCTCCACGACTTTGAGCCAGAATTTCGCCTCTCGAACTTGATAGCGGCTCTGCTAACAATGACATCTATGACCGGCATCGCGGAAGTCCTGAGTGTTTTACTACTCCTTCTGTTGTTTAAGGTTTGTCTTTTCATGCAAAATTGGACCGATTCACGAAACTTAGTGCGCCTGCAGTACATATACCGCCTTTGGTTTCATCCTTTGGCAAGGTACCCTGGACCTTTGCTAGCACGAGCTTCAAGAATTTGGAGTGCTTCTGCGGCACGAAAGTTGCGCAAGGCCCAGGCGGTTCAAGACGCCCACCAACGTTATGGACCCGTCGTTCGCATTGCTCCGGACGAGCTATCCTTTGCCGATCCGAGCACCCTAAAAGCAATATACGGTCATGGCAGCCGACTGCCCAAAACAGAGTTCTATACTGGGGGAAAGTTTACGGAAGTCGATAATGTCTTCAGTATGAGAGATATTCATCAGCATAGTGGTCGACGCGCAGTGATGGCTCCAGTTTTCTCGCACAGATTCGTGGCGAGCTATGTCCCTGCGATGTACGAAAAACTCTCCCAGACATTCAACATGATGGCTACCCTCTCTGCAAACGGTACAAAGCCAGTGGATGTCTACCATTGGGTTCACAACTTCGCACTCGATGTTGTTTGTGAGGATTTGATGTGGATATCTGGCATAATATGCTGAGGTCTGACGAATTCCTAGTTCATTTCACCCTAAACCACGAGAGTGGTACCCTGAAAACAGGCAAGCCCCACGCGGTCATCAGAGACTTGGAAGATTTTCAATCAGTCTTTGCCTGGGTTTGTGACTTGGTTTGACTTTCTGGATAGTGGCTGGGCTGAAACTTTACAGACTGCACTTTTCCCACCGCTACGTAACCTTGGCAGGTTTGTGCCCATTCAGGCAGTGAAAAGACCTTTCATTTCCTTGCATAAGTGGATACATGTAAGATCTCCTTGCATATGATATACACAGAACTCTGAGGTCCTGATGTACCCAAGTTTTGCCTCGACATTGTAGCTCGAGAACGAACTACAGACATGAAAGCCAGTTTTGTAAGCCGGTTGTTGGAGAACGAAGACGCCTATCTTGAAAGAAAGCTGAATGATCTCGAAGTTGCGGAGGAGTTGATTGGTATAATGTTCGCTGGGTCCGGAACCGCCGCAAACACAATCTCATTTCTCATTTGGGCAGTGCTTGAGAACCCTCCTATCCGCGAAAAGTTGGTGGCAGAGTTGGAGCGACAAGTTCCCCCCGGTATTATTCCCATGTACGAGGTCGTCAACAAGCTCCCATATCTGAATGCAGTTATCATGGAAACATTGAGGAGATGGCCAACCATTCCCGGTCTCCAGCCTAGGAGAGTTGTGGGAAAAGAACTGGTTGTCGGCGATTATATCATTCCTGCGGGTGTACGTCCATCCGATCTATGGCGCAATGCCTACTCGTGACTGACAATCAATTCAGACTGTTGTGGGATGTCAGAACTACACTGTTCACCTGGACCCGGTCACCTTCCCTGAGCCTGAAATATTTGATCCAGAGCGTTGGCTTCAGCCAGACACCTCTGCACAACATGCAGCTTTCAATGGTTTTGGGACTGGACCAAGAGCATGTATTGGAAGAAAGTAGGTCACCAATTCCTGTCCCATATCAGCTCTCTCGAAAACCTTGCTAATATCCGTACTGAAAGTCTTGCGTTGATCGAGTTGCAGCTTTTTACGGCTGCCTTTTTCCTGCGCTTTGATGCTAGAGTTGCTGATACCTTGGAAGAGAAAGATATGGAATTGACGGATGGATTTAGTGGAGGGCCTGCTGGCAAGTCGTTACCGCTATATCTAGTAGAGAGGAGTAAGACTTAGTAGCTCTTATCCACCCATTTTTGTTTGAAATGGATTCCAATCGTTGTACCATTATTGAGTTTCAGTTTCTCCATATGGTTGTCACATTATTACAGACTGAAGAATAGGCAACAGATATTGCTGTTATAAGATATAACATAGTTCACCGCTAGTAGCTTACAAGGTATAATGTATTCAACTACTAGAAACCCGCTCCTCTTCTTTGCTAATCTTGCCATAATAGCACTATATGCGTTCAAATCGACACTCAGTAGTTCGTTTGATGCTGGGTCGGTTCCAAAATTTCAATAAGGTGAGTTCAGTAGGATAATAGTAGGATAGTCTATTATACGCGGATATAGAATAAATCATCCGCGCCGAAGTATAGAATGTTATATCCTAAGTTTCTAAGGTTCTATAGCCTAGAAACCCATACTGAGGATCAGGTAGAGTCCAAGGGCAATTTCTTCTAGTCGTTCCATGAACCGTTTGCAGCTCCCAGTGTGGAATTCTGCACTAGGAATATCTGCAGCTTCTTCGCTAACGACTTCAATGACCTTACCTCCTGGCGAAGGATTTTACACAAGGGAGATGATTTCTGCCACTACATTATCGACTGTTGTGAAAATAATCCGGCCTAGTCGTCCATCAAGTTCGTTCCCATGGTCCCAGGGCAACTGCAGGCGACACGGCTCTTGTCGCCCTTCCACTCAAGAGGTGCCAGAGATCTGCGTAGGCCAAGAACGGCGTGCTTGACATGAGCATACATTGGGAAGCCTGGTGTACGGTGTAATGAGTCCGTTAGAGTGGTCAAAACCAGGATCGAAGAAACTCCACTGACTTTGTTGTGGCAAAAATAATGCTAAGCAGAATAAGCCCCGCCATAACGGCAGTTAGATTGACGTCCACGACTGTTTGGTCTAAAGAAGGCGAGAGCTCGTTCCGCGTACTATGAAGGAGTCCAAGGCTTCAATGATCCCAGGATTCCCGAAGTCTATCGAGTACATAATTTGGGTCAGCACAAATCTCTGATATACAGTACAAGCAGCGTACCAAACTCCAGTCTTCCATACATCTGAAAGACACTCTCATAGGAACGTCCTAAGCTATTGCAATCCGTAGTGTCCACCAAGTAAAGATCATGGTATACAGTCTCAGTCTTGTCGGATTTGAAGTTGATCTCGAAACGGCAACTTTCCATCACTCAGAGATAAGGGCATTTGCTGTGACAAGGCCGACACCTGAGGCTTGCTGATGTTCAACCGAGGTTTTTTCAAATAATGAAAAGCTCCTACTGGTACTTACCTCCTCTGTGACAATCGCAACCTTGGGTTCCGTGATTGCGAATGGTCTTGAGGTAATAATTAAATTTGCAGTACGTGCTCCAGCTCTTATTCATACGAAGTCCGAAGATAGTAAGTGATTTGAGATTGCAACCCATCCTGCGATTCCAAAACCAGTGATAGAGCTAATACACCTCTACCAGATCCGGAAGACGATTCCGATAGAGTACTACGAGCACTTCGTACTTTATAGCCCCTAGCTGCAACACGATGTATGCAATACTGCGGCACTAGCGAAACTATGGTCAGCAAGAGGGATCAGGCAATAGTTTCGAAGACAGAATCCAAAGACTGCAGCAGGCACAACATTGAAATGTGCAATACCCATTTTGGTCATTATAACCTCCAATCTATGACTCCCCAATTTGCACAGCTGTATGTATCCCCTTTGAGCACTTTAACACGAGCACCTCCTAGACCGGTAGAGCGCAAAGGAGCATCAGCAGGACGTCTCCGATTACCATTTCTCCAATTACCGACCATTTAAAAATGCCATTTAAAAGTGGGACAAAGCATTGTTGGGGGTGAATGAGATTATTCTCTCAGGTATGCTGCTCAACGGCTTCGTTTCGAGAATAGAGAGCCGGATTTTGGGTTGCAACTAGCTTGAACTTCTGTCCGGAAGTGAAGTGAAGGTTTTCCCATCGTGCGCTAATGCTACTGCAGATCAACCAGGCTCTTAGTCCAGACCTTGTCCTTATTTGTATGTCGTTGGACTACATAATGGGCTCGGCGACAGGGGCTCACCATAGTCGGCGGGCTATCTAACATCTTCGGGCGCGACGAACATTGGGAGGTGTGGGAATTCACAGACAATATTTTCAGTTGGCTGGAAGACCTATGTGACTATCAGAGTCGTAGCACGCACAAGGCATCGCTACGGCTAGAAGACGATAGTTAGCAATGCTATGGCTCTGTCACTATAATACTCAGCCTCGTTGTGGCCTTCTTCTAGTGTACAGTGGTCCTTTATAATGAATTGTCTGGGCTCATTTAGACATAATTATAGGAGCGTCTTTCGAAAGCCCGCGCTGCCCCTAGAACGCCATGGGTACTCTAAACGGGCGTCCAAGAGTCCAACTTCCGGGACGAATGCCAAGGCTGTGGGGTCGGGTTTTCTTTGTCCAAGTAAGCGGGGTAATTACCCAGGTATTTAACTAAGCCCTTGGGACCTCCGAACCTTGGACATATTCTTCCTGGCAATTCCGAGAGAAATCCGAAGATTCTTGGGGAGATTTGCATTCCTACCATGCAACCTCATTAACTACTTGTTTGCTAATGACCTTGAGAGCCCACCTCGATGGCACTTCTTAATTCACATACAACAAACCGCTTTGTATTCAACCTTTGATTGTGAAAGATTCGCGGAGTCAATCTGCACGAAAGGAACTCAAACCTTATTGAAAGCGTTCGCTTTCTTTCCGATGCCCATGACTCGGAGGGATCGAGCCCAGGTCGTGTGTGTCACCTGCCATGCTAGAAAGGTAAAATAGGACGTCCCCATTAGAAATACGCCAATCTCACGTTTCAGGTGCGGTGTAATCTTCAGGATAGTCATGGTGGTAAATGTCAAAACTGCTATCGAAATAATCTCGAGTGTGTAGTAAGGACAGGACCTCGAAGTGGTCGGCTCGCAGCCGTTTTGCAGTTGTCCTCTTCTTCATCCGCTCGAGTGCACGAAACTCGTGACAGCAGGCTTGATCAAGGCCCAAGCGGAATTTCTCTGTCTCCGACGCGGTCTGAAGAAATGTTGCGGGATCCTCCATCAGCACAGATATCTCATAATACCTTTGGCCCATCGAGCTATGTCGGAGCGCACACACTTCTCGCCCATGATGCCGTCGCCGAGCCCGCAATCGAAACTTCAGTCTTATCTCGAACTGCACCTCAGATTGAGCCGCTATTACAATGCGTAGAGGCCACGATATTACCCAAACCTCCACTGCTAGCAGCTCTCACCGAGGCTTACTTTGCCAACGTTTTCGATCGTTATCCAGTGACTGATCGCAGGGAGTTTGATGACCCTACTTGTTCGGTATTATTGAAACAAGCAGTGTGTATGGCAGGGAGCTTGACGCGCCATTCTTCGAGGGGTGATGGATTGGCTCTTTCTCGTAGGCTCTATGAGAAGACGAAGCTAATGCTTTCTCTGAATTACGATCCAAACCCTGTCACAGTTCTAGCCGCACTCTGCTTGATGATTTGCTGGAGTCCCAACCCGACCGACTTACTCAGCCTTGACTGTCCTTGGCAGTGGACCGGCACTGCGATCCGAATGGCGTTACAAATGGGTTTGCACAAGGAGTCTACATATCTGAAGCATTCACAACCTGGTCGCCTACGACGTCTTTGGTGGATTTTAATGGTAAGATTCCCAACTCATGATTCGATTTTGCCTGACAAAACTAAAAGCTGAGCCTTCCAGAATGCAGATCGGTTGCAAGCAGCCTGCTTCGGACGTCCTCTAGCTGTCCGTTACTCTGACTGTGACACTAGATTGCCAAATGTGGCAGACTTTGAGAATCCAGACAGCGCAAGCTCTGTATTCATCCAATATGCAGGACTAACAAGCATATGGGGCGAGATCGCTGATATCGGAATCAGCGGGAGGTCAGCTTCCACAGCAGATCTCCAGCGGCTGACGGACTCTGTTTACACCTGGATCGCCGCATTACCAGAGGAAGTTCGATTATTCACGGCAACAGGGCTACGCAGACCATACCGTCAGTCCGTGTCGGAGCTCCACATGGTTTACTTCGTCACCATCATCTTACTTGAAGCAGTCCGTCTGCAAAATCATCATCGATGGTCTTCATCGGTGCCTTCTATCATAGCTGCATCCTCCGTGGCACGCCTCATAGAAGAAGTAGACTGCTGGGAAGATCTAAATCTGATGTCTTCGAGTACAACGTTCTACATGATGGCCGCCAGCATACCACTGATTTATCATCGCCCCAATCAGGCTGGGAAAATCATGGTCCGGAATGAAGAGCTCCAGATTCTATGCTCAACGCTCGATCGACTGGAGTCGAAGTGGGGAGGGGCACCAGTGGTCCGCAAAAACATCGAGAAAATCCGCAACATGGTGGAGTGGCAAACTCTGGAGCATCAGTCTGAAAACCAGGAGCCGAGCACGATTGGTGCTGCTGGAGCTTCAACGCTGCTGCCAAGACTTGCAGAGATTTTTCCTTTTCCGCAATCACTTTGCTCAAACATGGACTTGGTAAACGACAATGTTGAAAGGCAACTGGACTCCGAAACCTTTCTGCCCTCATTCGAAGAAGATAATCTTCCATGGTTGGGGCCTGAAACCCAGTCATATCTGGATTTCTTCCGACTTGATTCTTATGACGATCCACCTATTGTCGATAGCGAGACATTCGCGCTGATTGATAATTGATCTCCATCAATATTTTCTCGAGAGGCTCATGATCAATCTAAATCAATGCCTCAACCCGCCACCCACTTCGAGTTCATTTTTCTTGGATAGCTTTCAGCACTCGTATAGTGTCTATAATAAAAACCAACCAGATTTAAAAATCGTGAACTAGGGCTAAAAATGAGTACACTCTTCCCACCTTGGGATATGGCCTTGAAGCCTGCCATACAAGTGCGTATGCAAATAAAATATCAAGACCCAGACAGCCGAGCGGCATCCTGGGGCCCTACAGAAGTGGAGCTTGTGCCGACAGATACCGAGGTGGCTTTCGGCATCAGAAGTCTTCGACAGTCAACCGTGTGCATTTAGCCCAGCTAGTTGAGTTCTTGCTAAGCCCAATGTTCTCAATTAGAACGCGACGGTAATTCCTCTTTGAGAAAGCGAAAAGGAATAAGATAGAAGTTCAATAACTTCAAGCCTAGGAAGGGTCAACACAGAGAAGTCATTGGCAACCTAAGACGCAGTGCAAAGCTTTTCACCACATAAAGTTCTCGATATCAATCACCTTAGATACAACCTAGCACCGGCGTTAGAACTTAATCCGTTCATCACCTGGCGCGACCTTCCCTAGAAACCTGGAGTGAAAAAGCAAACAGCGAGGATGCCTTTCGATGGGTATTTAACGACCCCAAAGGCAGCACCTGCCTTGGATGTCCCTTTATCCAGTACATCTGTCCAGGTTCGCGTTATTGACACGTGAGTATCTGTCACATCTCGTCGTTCAGCTCTGCTCACTTTGTTGGTAAACAGCACTTCTCGTTTGTCAGCTCCTGCCTCGATGATCCTCGAGCCAGCAATACCTGGTCATGACACTTTGCACTGTCCAGCTTATTCATTCCTCATCGAGCATCCCTCAGGACGAAGACTTCTTTACGATCTTGGCACCCGCAGGGACTGGCAAATGCTGTCACCCATGGTGCAAGGTCTGTTGAAACAACATGATTTACACATAGAAGTAGAGAAGAACGTGGCTGAGATACTTGAAGAGGGTGGCGTTGCTGTGAGCAACGGCGCCATTGAAGCGCTCATCTGGAGCCATTGGCATTACGACCATATTGGGGACCCAAGCACTTTTCCGGCTAGCACAGCGCTTATTGTCGGTCCAGGGTTTAAACAGGCCTTTCTGCCAGGCTATCCGGAAGGCAGCAGCTCGGTAATTTTACAGTCTGATTACGAAGGTCGCGAACTCAGGGAGCTCATTTTTGAGCCATCGGCTGCTCGAATCGGCGGACTGCAGTACCACGACCATTTTGGAGACGGCAGCTTCTATATATTAAATGCTCCTGGACACGCGATAGGCCACCTTTGTGCCCTGGCTCGCGTCAGTACTGGGGAGCATGGGCAACAGGGCCAAGATAGTTTCATTTTCATGGGGGGAGACACATGTCATCACGGTGGTGAATTTCGACCTACCGAGTATCTGCCTCTACCGAAAACGCTTGATCCATCTCCAATGTCAGGGGCGCGAATGAGTGTTTGCCCCGGAGCATGGTTGCAAGAGATTCACCACGAGAAGAAGTCCAATGAGCCCTTTTATCGAGTGAAACAGGGATTCTCTTACCATGCAGAGGACTGCGAGCGAACTATTGCCAAGATGAGCGAGTTTGATGCTGCAGATAATGTGCTCGTCATAATAGCGCATGATACTTCTCTACTAGAGGAAGGATTTCCCATGTTTCCTGACTTCGCGAATGACTGGTTGAGCAATGACTTTGCAAGGAAATTACGCTGGTGTTTTGTGAAAGATTTCCAAAAAGCAATAGAAGGAACCCGGAATGTTTGACAGAAAAGTCGTAAGATATGTAGTCAAATACTATGATACGGCATCTTGAATACCTTTCAAGTAATATTCTTCATTCTACAAATCAAATAGCCTAGAACCCTAGTCTGCCCATACTTCTCAGGTTACAAACCTTATCACTAAACATTACGACCAACTGCGGATTGAATGGCTTCGTTTCATTGCTTCAAAATTCCGATTATCTAGTTACTTCTCTATGTACCACGCTAAATCATTGCCATGATCGAGTTCGAAGTTCGTAAACCCATTTCCCAGGAAAGCCCAGCGATTATCACGCCAGTACTCGATCTCGAAATCTTCCCCACGAATTTCACTGAGCAACTTCTTGAAAACCAATGCGCTGCCAGCGAATGCGGCTGTAACCCTCCCGTTGATAGTATTCCGTTTAAACCAGCTCTTGCATGTGTCTGTCCAAACCATCGTCTTGTGGATTTGGTCGCCATAAGCGATGAGTTCGTCTACCCCAGAAGCCCGTGGAACTATCGATTTGATGTTCTCGGAAGCAATCTTTCGAATCCATTTAATAATATAGTCGCCGGTCCAGTTGATGGCTTCGATAATTGATCCATGCGCCACCACCGCATTAGGACCAAGGAACATAAAGTAGTTAGGCATATCCCGAGCACATATTGATAAATATGACTCAGGATCTACCTCCCACATTTTGCCGAGATCAACTTCATTTCTTCCAATCATACGCCACTGAGGCTTGTTTGAGACGTCAAAGCCTGTTGCACATACAACAACGTCAACTTCAAACGTACGACCATCAGCCGCAATGCAAGAAGTATTCGTCATCTCTGCAACAGGACTCATAACGAGCTGAACATTTGGCCGTAGGAAAGATTCCAGGTAGCCTTCGCCAGGCGTGATTCGGCGACATCCTAAACTCCATTCGGGGATGAGCTTTGTGCAAAGCTCAGGATCGTGGCGCAGAGTTTCCTCCATTTGGGCTTTCGCGGCTTTGCTAGCCTCCAAGTTGAGCGGTGAACCTTTAACATACTAGATTGATTGTGAGCCAGTGGAATGTGACTTCAAGGGGTTGTTATTTACCCTAGTGAAGCCACTATTAATAAAATGAATAATCTTCTTCCGATACTCTCTGTGGGCGTTGGGTTGCTCGGCAAACCGCTTCTGATCATCGTCAGAGTATGCAGGGTTGGAGCTGGGGTCGGATCGCCCTAGTAATGCTGCAGGAGTAAAAGGAGTATAGACGAAATTCGGGCTTCTTTGGAAGCTGATCACCTTAGTGTTGGGTAGCTTTGCCAGCTGAGGGATAATCTGAACTCCAGAAGAGCCATTACCAATAACCGCGACTGTTCTGTTCGAGTAATCGTATTCATGATCCCAATTGGCCGAATGACATTTGTGGCCCTGAAACTGTTCGAAATTGTTTATCTGTGGCCATTTCCATTTGCTTCTCACAAGTCTCAGTCCCACTCTAAAGATTATGAGAACTGTAAAGCAGGAGTTTGAACTTACTCCAAAACTCCTTGGCCGGAGATCAGTATATCAGCAAATTCCACAATTGTTTGATTCTCATTTTCAATCGTGATTTTCCATTTCCCTAGTTGCTCTTGCCACACTGCTTCGATAACTTTGTGATTAAACTTGATATCTCTATCCAGTTCCCATTTTCTAGTAGTAGTTTTCATATATTCGTAGATCTGAGGTCCCGTAGCATAATAGTGACTCCAATCAGTCTTCGGGTCGAAAGGGAAAGCCTATCTATACGTCAATACATAACAGTGTCCGCTCCTAGTAGGTTATTCTTACGTATATGTGAGCAGGCACATCACACTGTACCCCAGGATACCTGTTGACAAGCCACGTACCCCCAATGTCATGCCTGGCCTCGAAAATTTTGTGACTCACCATATCTTGCATGTCAGGATATTGGTGCTGTAATTTATGTGCGAATATCAAACCCGAGAACCCAGCTCCAACTGTGACCACATCTAGCCGTCTTTCAGGGGTCCAAGCACTGACGTTGTTGAGAGCAATGTGAATATTGCGACTGGTGGTTTGAGGATCACTTCCCGTAGGAGTATTGCTGTTGACGGGCATGAACCCATCTGATTTCGAGCTCACCATCGCAAATGTCGAAGACGTTGTAATCTATTGGCTGGCGGACAGGTTCTGGAAGCGAAGATTGTGTCGATTGAGAACGAAAATTCTGGCGTGCAAAAATCACGACCACGGTAAGGGTAATACGAACTGTTCATATGATATATCGGACACTTTCGCTCTATGGATATTGTGGAATCGCAGTAGAGCCACACGTGACATTGCCATCTCAGCTCACCGTTCGTTGTACTTCAGACCCTCCTGAGGCTGAGGAACCACATTTCGGGCAGCCATGATGGCGAAACTGCTTAGCCGAGCGCCAATCGGCATCTTACCGATATGCCGAGCCTTCTGCCGAAAGTAGCGCAAGAAATCGCTTGACGGCTTTGAATACACTGACATATGCTCCTTTCGGAAAGCGGGCCGGGGGGAAGCATATTTGAAGATTCGTGGTCATGCGATATCGATATACATAGCATTCTGGTACCTCTCTAAGATCGATTCGCCGGCTGTGGTCCCTTGCTGTGTACTCCAGAATTCATTCATTATACCCTTAGCAGCAACAGAAGATTTCGATGGCCAAACTGATCGTGATCATTGGCGCGACTGGCGGTCAGGGCGGCTCAGTCCTCAAGTCACTGCTTGGAAATCCTGATTGGAGAATTCGCGGGGTGACTCGTGATCTCAGCGGCGCACGCGCCAAAGAGTTGATCGAGAACGGAGTGGAAATGGTGGCCGGCGATTTGAACGACCTCCAGTCTGTCAAGGTCGCATTTTCTGGAGCCAAAGCAATCTACGCCGTAACAAACTTTCCTGGTCTCTTAGCCACAATGGGGATCGAAGAAGCCTTTCAGACCGAACACGCACAAGGGCTGAACATGGCACTTGCTGCTAGCGAACTCCCAGACCTAGAGCACTACATCTGGAGCACTCTCCCCGACTCCGAAGCCATATCTGGAAAAGAGTACTACATTCCCCATTTCTGTGGGAAAGGAAGGGTTGATACTTATATCAAAAATAAACTGCCCACTTTATTAAAGAAGACAACCTTCCTAACACTGCCGCTCTATGGCGATAATTTCCAATACCCTGTGGTAACACCGCGACCAATTGTAAGTGAACTCAAGAACAATCTCAAACGAAGCTTGGACTAATCGAACTTCCGGAACAGAAATCTACGGGCAAGTACGTGCATCTCGTTCCTTGGTCGGCAGCAACGCCCATTACTCTCGTTGGTTCACATAAAGACAACGTTGGACCAGTTGCACAGGCAATTCTAAACATGGGTTCAGCAAAATTGGGTGCGAAGCACGTTGTGGCTGCTTTGGAAGAAACAACGGCAGAGGGTATGTTGAAGATGTGGAGTGAAGCAACCGGGAGAGAGGCTATTCATGTTCAGATATCCATGGAAGACTATGAAAAGTTGTGGCCTATGTGGGCGACTGAGATGGCTGCAATGTATCTATGGTGGCAGCATGAAGGAGAAGCTCTGTGGGCTGCGCGCGACGAAGAGATCATAGGTCTCGAGGACCTCGGTCTAAAGAAGGAAGATCTCGTTTCCACAAAGCAGGCCATGCTTACTCAGGATTGGGACACTCTTTGCTAGCGAATCGGACAAGCTTCAAGCGGTGGTTCGTGAACTGGAACGACTTTTCATCGAGCCACAGGCTTGAGTCTATAGCCTCTTTTATCAACCCTTTTTTTGACTTATTGTGTGATCTGCTTTTATCTATGGAAGATAGTACCAGTCCACACACCCGCAGTATAAATGGCCACAATCTATGAGACATGGACACCTAACACCGAGAAGGTAAAGTGTCAATCAAGTAAAACGTTGTCGGGAAGCATCACCATTCTGCCCTGAATTCTCCCATTATGCAGATCATCCAAGATCGTTGGAAAATCCTGCATGTTACCCTTCTTTATCTGAGGAACCAAGGCACCATCTTTGATAAGCTCCAGGCAGGCTGTGATATTCGAGATTGTTCCTCCGTAGCTCCCGACAATATTCAATTGCCTGCGTACAATTGTTCCTGTTGCGAATGAAAGGTTGATTCCAAGTAGGCCAACGATAACTATAGTCCCCGCCTTACGCACTTTAGGCAAGTCGTAGGTTAGCGAAACGTTGCTGGGAAAGAGGAAAGTTAGAGGTGCTTTACCACTTTCCACTGCCACTTTAAATGTTTCTGCCATTCCAATAAAATCTATGGCAACGTCAATCACTAAGTCTCGGTCCTTCACCCATTGACTGACATCCGTGATATCTGGAGGAATGATGTCGTTGCTAGCGATGCCGAGATTTCTCGCGGTGTCCAGCACAGTTTGTCGTTTGTCCAGCACGATGCAGCGTGCCCCGATACTCAGACAAATCTGGAGAGCATTAAATCCTAGACCCCCAAGACCCAGGATCAAAACAGTATCTTCCCTTGCAACACTTCCTCGATCTACAACTGCGTGATGTGCTGTCATGCAGGCATCTGTTGCAACAGCTCCGGCTTCCATGCTAACACCGACCGGTAACAGAATAGCCGCTCTTTCTGGTACTACGGCATAGTCTGCAAAGAAGCCATCTTGTCCTCCTCCATAATGAGGGCCTTCTGGGCAAATTTGTGGAGAGCCTTTAGTGCATTCCCAGCAGGTTGACTTACCACACCCGGGAACACACATAACTGCAACTCTGTCTCCTGGTTTGAAACTCTTTACCGACAACCCACAGTCAATAACTTCACCACAACCTTCATGACCCTATAGATGTGACCACATGAGTCGTTGAAGAACTACCAAGACTGTACTGCTACTCACAAGGGTGAAATTCGGTTTCCAATCGCTGAATTCGGGCGGAAGAGTCTCCATTTCCTTGAGAGCATAATCACTATGGCAGACTGAGATTTGACCACGCTTTCAGCAAGCCAACAGCAACCAAATATAGTTAGTGCTTACCACCAGCAGCATAGATTTTAACTAGTATTTCGTTTTCACTGGGCGTTGGTACAGGAACTTCAACCCTAATCTGTTGGTATTCTTAGAAAGATCATAAAGTTTGTGTGCTAGGAGTTTGCTGACCAAATCTCGACTCGGAAGATGCTTCTGCCACGCCAGCATTGTTGTTGGCACACTTGTTAAAGACATCTTTGGGTTATAGAAACGAATAATTCCGTAAGATAGAATCTCAAATATAATGTTTGTCAAACCTTCTATACGAGAAACTGGCACATAGGGAGTAGAGGTTTCTTTTGGCAGTCATAGATTTTTATTCTTGATCACAGAAATGATGGCCTAGCTGCTTACTGTGGACTCTACCGGCCCTCCGGTTCTCGTATTAAAGGGTCGCTTAAGTCCTTCCAGAGAAGTGTTTCTACGGATTAAGCTTTCAACTTTCGATAACGTCATACCCGAGCCGTATGAATTATGTGGCAATCTGGACCGAAGCAGAAGCGCTACTTTCGGGTGATTCGGCATAAGAGTCTTCGGCTGACAGTCGTAAATTCCTTTACTACAGTATAGCTATACAGGTCGAGAAACCTAACTCCAAGGGGCATTCGGCAACACTTGGTAACCGGTCCAGAGCGTTCACAAAGTTTTGAAGTGCCAATTTGTCTTGGTATTAAGACTACTGCCTCAAATACAAGTAAGGTATCAGCACGCGTTGCACATCGGACATTTTCAATTGAGACAAGACTTTGAAGTTGTCTCACCATTATGGGAGCAATCATTCATGGCGGCGTGCCTGGGAAAGCGCTTTTTATCACAGACCGCGCGTTACCTAAACTTCGACAAGGCTACTTGCGGGTAAAAGTCCGAGCAGTGGCCATGAACCCGACAGACTATAAGCATATTGACAACTGGAATAACAGAGGCTGTTTAGTCGGCTGTGATTACTCAGGAGTAGTTGAAGAGCTGGGCTCAGGCTACTCTAAACCATGGAAAGTGGGTGATCGCATCTGTGGATTCGCACATGGCGGCAATGAACTGAACCATGAGGTGCTTATAGACCTTGATTTTCATATATTCTCTATACCAACGACTAACACGTCATTAGGATGGGGCCTTTGCGGTGAGTATCGTGGTGAAGGCGGACATTGCTATTCGGTTGCCCGATAGCATGTCTCATGAGGAGGGATGTACTTTACCCGTGGCAGTGATCACCTGTGGACAAGCTTTGTTCATGGACACGGAACTGCCCAGGCCCTTGCCAGATGGCGTTATGGCTTCAACAGGGAGATACATACTCATATACGGTGGAAGCTCTGCTACTGGGAGTATTGCAATTCAATTCGCCAAATTGTAAGCCATAAAAAGCGGGAATAGGATCTATATGCCACTTACTGATTGCTGTTCAGGGTTGGTTTGGTACCGATCACAATCTGTTCGGCACGTAATTTCGAGTTTGTGAGCTCTCTAGGAGCGGTCGCGGCTTTCGATTATAATAATCCTGAAGCCTGTGTTGCTCACATTCAAGAATTTATGGACTCCAGAGGCGGGATCGAGTACGTTTTCGACACTATATCTACTGCAAAAAGTGCAGAGATCTGTGGTAAATTGATCGAAACTGGCGGAGTATGGGCATATACTCTTTTAGGTACCGATATTCCTCGGGAGGACGTGAAGAAGATCTATCCACTAGCATACCTGTCTACAGGTGAGCGGATTAAAAAAGGCGACCACGTGGATTTCGCAGCTTCTCGTGCGAATTTCGACTTTGTTCAAGAATGGGCGTTGCTCGTGGAAAGCTTACTTCAGAAAAGCCTTTTGAGGCCACATCCAAGCTACATCGAACACGGCTTAGAAAAGGTGCTAGATGGGCTAGAACTCATGAGGGGTGGCAAGGTTAGTGGCAAGAAACTAGTATATATGCTATAGTGACTTTTGGGCTTGCGATAGTTGTTCGACCCGTGTGAACAATTATAATTTCATCGAACATAACGAGATACAAACAGACCACGAGGTATAGGATGTTCATTATTTGGTGCGAGACATCAAAAGTACGTATATATCATTGTTTAATTCTTTAAATGTATCTCAAATTATAGTTACCAACCTGAGTGTAGACTCACTCTAGCAGAAGGAAAATTAACAGCGTTAAGATACACCACCAATATCTAGATCTGTACCTATCGCTTTCCATTGTTTGGGGACTAACTAGTTGTGGGAACGATCAAAGTGTGTATCTAAAACCCTCACGACCTTCAAGGAGAATACCTTCTTCGTCCGCAGCTTTGTTCTTCGCTCTAAACTCATTCATCAAAAGCAATGTAAAGAGAATTGTTAGTGACATACAGCCAAAGGAAGCGTATAATCCTGGTCTGAATGCAGGTGCATCCTGGGTTCGGAATATGAGAGAGCCAATGATTCCTCCAACTCCTCCTAGTGTTGTTTGAATTGGAATTGCTACCTGGCGTTTCGCTGACCCAGGGGTATTGTTCATCAAGAAGGTTGCAATTGATGGTACTGCACAATAGTTGCCAATTATGCCGAGGAAAACGCCCACTAGCCGACTTCCGTTGTTAGGGCCCCATCCTATCAATATGAGTCCCAAAATGACGACCAAGCAATATCCGATGATGAAGGGTCCACGGCGACGTATTTTGTCAGCGACAATGCCGGTTAAAATGGAGCAAATCGCCGCAGCTATGTAAGGGGGCGTCGCGAGGCACTGGCTTGCAGCAACACTATAACCAAAGCCGTTGAGAATTGTGGGGGTAAAGAAGGCCATCGTGTATCCTCCTGCTGTTGGGAAACATAACAGAGAAGCCATCATCCATAATCTCCAGTCACGAGCTGCCTCTCGGAAATGTTTAGGGCGAAGAACTTCCGAGTCTTCGCCACGATCTTCCATTAGTCTTCGTTGTAACCATTGTTTTTCTTCTGACTTCAGCCATTGAGCTTTTTCGGGGAAGTCGGACACGATCAAGAAGAATGGGATTGCGAGTAAGATCGTAAGAGCCCCGGGAATGATGAAGATCCATCGCCAGCCTCGAAGGCCGCTTAGACCCTCCATCCGGCTCAAACCATAGCAGATAATACCATTGAACCCGGAGATTAAAGCACCGCCAATGAACCAGATGGCAACTCGTTTTTGCGTTTCGTACCTTTGATACCATGACGAAATAAGGTACAAGCAAGCAGGCTGTTTACTAGATTAGCTTCCACTCATGACTCGGATGTAATGTGCTGTCCACGTACATTGAAGCCTGCTTCAAACAAACCTAGAAGGACACGAAGTCCACACATCTGTGAGAAAGTCTTCGTAAACCCGAAACACATGGCGACCGTACCCCAACCGATAATGAGCGCAGATAAATAGTAGCGCACACTGACCCGGCGAATGATAGTATTGCTTGGTATTTCGAACAAGGTGTATGTAATGAAAAACAACATGAGTACCACATTGTACTTGTTACCGGTCAATTGAAGGTCTGAAGACATCCCTACAATCCGTGCGAACCCCAAATTTGTTCGATCGATGAAGGAAAGACCGTAGAGGACAGTCAGTGGTGGGAGTAATCTGTAGTCGGCGCTCCGCATAATGCGTTGCCCCTTCTCTGTAGTCACCCCGACGTTGTCCGGGTCGAGTCCTTTCTCATATCTGTCAGCGGCTTCGAGGTGCTGCGATGTGTCTTTGACCTCCGACAAAGCCATTGTGAAGATGCTGCAGTAATGCTAAAGTGTGGAGAAGCTATACCCCAAAAAAACCTGATACTCCGATCACCACATGCCTGGGGTCAGCTCAACGTCTTATACGAGGTACTTCAGCGAACGGAGGGGCAATGTCAGTTCCCCGACAAGACCGAACCAAGCCAGAAGAAAGTAAGCAGTCCCCGCAATGCGGTAGAGAGACGACTATCCGTCTATCCTTGAATAGCAAGCTTGAGAAGGTCTAGAAACAAGCAGCGACAGCTTAACATTCTGCCGTGTGTCTTTTCCTTCCTCTAGCGCCAAGGCCGAGCTGAGCCGAGATTTTTCTCGTGTCTCCTGGACCCAAAACATGGCACACTGCCGATGGCCGAGCAGCTTCTCTCGGTGCAAAGCTCTCAGTAGGTGCGGGCCAACTCGCCTCCTTCAATTTCCAACCACACTCCCTAGAGGCTGTCCCTAGCGGTACGGCCTCTCTTGGGGTCCTATGGTCCAAGCACGCAGCTGCTTTAGACATTTGATCTGAATCTGACAAATGATGCAGCTTGAACAGTCTTGACGCTCATTTGCACCGCACACTTAACCACTATTGATAACACCACAGCAACACGTGGTGTACACTTCCCCGACGAACGTTGCTACCACTTTCTATTCTACGGCAGTACAAAAATATCTGCAGAATCTTGCAATAACTTTTGATACTATTTGACTGCATCTTTCCGGACACACGATGGCCGCCGCATTCGAAAATCGACTTTTCATCGATGGAGAATTTAGAGAGGCACGATCTGGTAAGACCTTCGAGATTTTCAACCCTGCAACGACAAAATCGATTGGTGTCGTGTACGAAGCAGGGGTTGAAGACGTTGATGCAGCTGTAGCGGCTGCTGGTAAGGCATTCGAATCCTGGTCGGAACTTCGTGCGGCTGAGCGGGCTCAATGGCTACTCCGCCTCGCGACCAAGCTCGAGGAAGAGATCCCGGAAATGACTCGCCTCGAGGCTCTGACTATGGGTAAACCAGTCCACAATGAGTTCGTAAGTATTCCTGCCAAAATATGACGAAATAGTCAAGACATTTACTTGAGGTACTACAGTCCGTGCCAATGGGAGTCGAGGTACTGCGATATTTTGCCAATAGGGCACCTGACGTACAGGGTGAGACATCACTAAATGACCCTTCGTTATTTGGTATGACGATACGTCAACCTTACGGGGTCGTGGGCGCTATAATCCCCTGGAACACTCCCATGCTAATGCTTAGTATGAAAATCGGTCCTGCACTTGCTACTGGAAACACAATGGTGCTCAAAAGCTCTGAGAAGAGTCCACTTTCATGCCTAGTGGTTGCACGCTGTTTGGCCGATATTGGATTCCCACCTGGAGTGCTTAACATTTTGAATGGGTTTGGTAGACCTTGCGGCGAGGCGATTGCGAAGCATATGGGTATTCGCAAATTAGCATTCACGGGATCAACAATAACAGGCAAGGCAATAAAAATCGCCGCCGCGCAGAGTAACTTGAAGAATGTCACTTTGGAATTGGGCGGAAAGTCGCCCATGATCGTCTTTGAGGACGCTGACTTGGCAAGAGCAGCTTCAGATGCCGCGGCTAGTATACTCGCAATATCTGGACAGGCTTGCATGGCTAGCTCTCGAATCTATGTCGAGGAGAGTAAAGCAGTGACTTTTCTGAAATTGGTACTCCCCACCCCCCTAGATTGTCTAATGAAGCTATCAGCTGACTCGCTTGCAAAAGGTGACAGCTGAAGTTACGAAAGCGGGCGTAAGTGGCGATCCGCTTGCTGAAGGTACCTGTCGGGGACCTCAAGCCGACCATGTTCAGTATGATCGAATTTTGAACTTTCTCGATTTGGCAAAGGAAGAAAAGCTTCACGTTACCCTTGGTGGAGCACGAGAAAATAAAATCGGTTACTACATTCAGCCAACGATCATATATGAACCTCCAGAGACCAGCAAACTGGTACAAGATGAAATCTTTGGACCCGTCCTGTGTGTCTCAACTTTCGCGAACGAACGAGATGTTATCCAGAGAGCGAACAACACAGAATATGGACTTTACGCGAGCGTGTACACAAATGATCTAAAACGAGCACTAAAGATATCGAAAAAGCTACAAGCCGGAACTGTCGGCGTCAATGTCACAAGTCCTACAGTGTCTCTCGATCTCCCATTTGGTGGTTGGAAACAGAGCGGAGAGGGTAGAGAGTTGGGAAAACATGCTTTGGAGAGCTGGACAGAACTGAAGACGGTTTTGATTGGAATGTGATAAAGGGCAACACCTTGACGTCTTAGACAATTCTTCGGCCTTGATAGAAATTTTCTCCAACATCTGTCAATGATCTATCAAAGATCAATCTATTCGAAGACTATGCTATTGTGAATTGGATTCAGCCTGGTTCAATTGTTGGAACACGTCACTGGCAATTAGTAAAGCGTCCCTCCCAGCCGGAACCCCACAATATATCATCGCGTGTCGACAAGCCTCACAGATCTGTTCCTTCGTCAATCCATTATTAACAGCTGCTCGGATGTGGATGCGAAGCTCAGGGCCACGTCCAAGGGCGATCAACATGCCCAAGTTGAGAAGGGAGCGCTCCCGAAACCCAAGATCTGGGCGAGCGTAGCTGGCGAAGCAAATCTCATGTACATAATCCATGCTTGTCTTCAGGAATACATCGTCTTTCTATAATGTTTTCAAGTCTGAAGTTAGCCATTGATTGAGCCTAATCCGCTTACCCATGAGGTATCTTATTGACTCACCATCTGTGCGACGATGTTATCATAGAAATCTTGGCCTAAGAACTTCCCTGCCATTTGTCGGCCCAATTCATTCTGATTTATTGGCTGTGAAGCCAAATCCAAGTATGACTGCATTTTTTGCAAACGTTTGCAATGAGATGACCACTGCAAAGAGGACAAGTAGCACATTCGAAGAAACACTTTTTCGGGATAGATCTGTTTTTTTATAGTATCATCTAGTTTACGATTCCGGAAAATAAAGGTAACACCCGATGTTTAATTCGGCTTAGGGAATAGAAGAGAGCCGAGACCCTTGTGTCGCATCTTGGATACGAAAACACTCGGAAATACCGAAGTCTTACCCCACTTATTGGCAGGACACTTGCTAGTAAGAGGTTCATAAAACTGCCGAATGCTTCATACGATCCACCCAAGACCCACCCAGACCCAGGCCATGGTAATGGCCATCGGAAGCAAGACACTCGTTGAAAGGTAAGGACTGCTCAGGCTCCGCGCGTCTTGTTTTACAGAGACCATCATTCTTTCAAAGATGTTATTTGTTTGAATTGACAATATCTAAAACCAGACCTTTGCAACCTTAACTACCTCGAAGACCTGTCAAAAGTTGACCTGAACAGATCCTGTGGCGCAATCCAATCAAATAGTCATAATTGGTAATGCAACGAGATGGGAATCGCAGGCATTCCATCGATGATGACAGCCGCTCAAGTTGTCCGTATGATGTGATTCAGTCCTTGACCTCTACAGACCACTAATTAAATCCTTAGAGCTGAACAAACCCCATGAGCTGAACCAGGTAGAAACATTCCATGAACTGAGGTCCCATGATCTTCTTATCAAGACTGTGGCGGCATCTCTCTGCCACACTGATCTCATGATAATCGATGGAACACTCCCTGCGTCCCTACCGATGACAGCATCGCACGAAGGGGCTGGGATAGTCATTGCTACAGGTGACGCTGTGAACAACATCAAAGTAGGCGAACGTGTGATGAGTGGATTGCCGCTCAACCTGTGTGGACAGTGTGAGGACTGTCTAGGTCCTGAGGATCGAGTTCAATATTGCAAACATACTGAAGGGTCTATCGGACTTGGTATGGATGGGGCGTTCGCAGATTATCACGTGGCAGATAGCAGGACCACTTCTCTGATCCCAGACACTGTCAACTTTGCAGAGGCTGCAGCCTTAGCCTGCGCAGGTCGCACAGTCTATCGCGCAATCAAAATATGTGGACTAGGTGTAGGAGACTATCTTGCAATCATTGGAGCAGGAGGCGGCTTAGGTCATCTTGGGGTGCAGTTTGCACAGGCGAAAGGTTTCAAAGTTATCGCGATTGATGCGAGAGATGCATCACTTGAGTTGTGCAAGGAGATTGGAGCAGATCATGTGCTCGATGCAAGGGACGGTCAGCACAGGATCATTGTTGAGGTTCAAAAGATTACTGGGACATCTGGGGCCAATGCTACACTCAACCTGAGCGCCCACCCGACTGCGACGCAAATGGCATGCGCCGTGACTAAAGATCATGGTACTATGATACAGGTGGCTGGACCTGAGAAGACCACGATATCCATCTTCGACCTGGTTTTTCGCGATATTAACATCAAAGGCACCATGTTAGCAGGAAGTAAATGCTCTGCTGAAATGCTTGAGGAGTATGCTAAGCATGGATTGAAAGTTCAGATGGAAACGTTCCATGGTCTCAGACAGGTCCCGGAAATGGTGCTTGCCCTACATTCTGGCGCATTGAAAGGCAAAGCAGTTTGTGTCGTGGATGCAGATCGATATGCCGAGGACATTGCCCAATAGAAGGCTTCAACGCTAAATTAGTTCAGGGAAGATTGAAAAGCCCATCCCTTATCTTTCTATCCTTAGTTAGATTCAAATCTAGGCAGCGGACGAATGACACTCCCGAGGGAAAGCATCCGTACATGTCGTATTTCTGATTCAGGGGACAGATACTACAACGAGTGCTTGCACTACGTTAAGTGGCGGGTCCGACAATCACTCACCCTAATCGAAGTCGGCGATGAGTTCGTTGTAACGGTACTGTACCGATAGTTGGTGGGAAACCAGTGGAATATTGGCGTGACACGGCGTCGGCATTCCATGAATATGGGCCAGCCGACTAGGCACAGAGGTCTTGACGTGACAGGGTTCTCGACTTCGGCATAATCACTGAGAAGGAGTCTCCATTTCGGCGGAGTATGGCTGGGGTACCGAGCTGAGCGTTTGTGGAGAGTCCTATCTGGGGAGGCTCGGTCTGGTTGATAGATCGACAATTCGCCACATAAAAGGTCATTGGTGAAGCAACGAGGTTGAGTGGTTGAAGCAAAACTCTCTATCCAGATTTTTCTAGTCGTTCACTATTCCCACCATGTATAATCCTTCTCAGCAGTCAGGTGCTTACATTGAGCACCACCATGGAAGGCAATATCGTTTGTACAACATTCTCATGCTACTGATCATGGCGGTGGGATCACTAGCATTTGGGTATGCCAACGCAGTCATTGCAACGGTTGCTGCACAGCCATCATTCGTAAGTCAGCTTGGTCAGATGATATGACCTATGATATATTAACAAGCGCTGACAACGCCACTTTGAAGATTCTCACATTTGACCTGGATAAGCGTGCGAACGCCAATGAGCTCATAGGCTTGATTAATTCTTTGTATTTCGCGGGAGGCTTTGCAGGCTGTCTGTCATCGAGCTTTGGGTCGGACAGATGGGGTCGTCGTTGGGGAATCGCGATTCCGACCCTGATCACGATTCTTGCAGCTGCTCTTATGGCTGGATCGGTCAATATTGGCATGTTCATTTTTTTTCGCTTTGCATCTGGCTTTGGTGGTTTTATGCTGCTTGCAGCTATCCCTGTCTGGATGAGCGAGGTAGCTCCGCCCAGCATCCGCGGAGCTCTAGTCTCAGTTCACAATCTTGCGCTATTGATAGGATACAGCGTCGCGACTTGGACTGGATATGGTCTCTACCACCATGACAGCATGATAGTATGGAGGATGCAGTTTGTCATCCTCTGCGTACTCGCGGGACTCCTATTACCGCTCTTGACGGTGGTACCCGAGTCTCCACGTTGGTTGTTACTGAGAGATCGTATTCAAGAAGCCGAGAAAGTGCTTCACCGCCTCCATCCAGCTGAAGAAGCTCGCATTGAGCTCCGCCAGATCCAGCGCCAATTCGAGATCGACCGACAATTAGAAAGCTCATGGGTTTCCATGCTCATCAAACCATCATATCGCAAACGCTGTCTTATGGGGTTCGGGCTCACTGTAGCGATTCAGCTGACAGGACCACTCGTTATCAACAACTATGGTCCCACAGTATATGCGTTGCTGGGATATGGCGTGGAAAAACAGCTACTTTACCTTTCAGGCTGGGTCACAACATCAATTGCAGGCAGTATATGCTCTTTATACCTGATTCAAGTGGTTACTCGGCCAGTCCTGTTCAGTGGCGGTATGATTGCATCGGTCGCATGTCTCAGTGCCGAGGCTGGCTTGGTGGCAAGGTACGCAAGTACCCCGGAGGCTCTTGCCAATCCAAACAAGTCAGCCCTGAGAGCTGCGGTGGCCATGTTCTACATTTTCATATTTGTCCTAGAATGCAGTCTCGGAGGTGTCCAATATGTCTACTTGGGAGAGATTTTTCCCACTCATATTCGCTCCAAAGGTATGGCGATTGGAACATCAGGACTGGCTCTAATGAATGTGATATGGTTGCAAGTTGCACCACTCGCTTTCCAGGGAATAGGATGGAGATTTTATCTCTGCTTTATCTGTCCATCGACTTTTGCGGCTGTGGTTATATACTTCACCCTTCCAGACACGCGTGGTCTTCCTCTTGAGAGCGTTGGTGCACTATTTGGAGATGAGGTTCGGGGCGACGAGAGGAACCAAGATGAGATGAATTTCCATGAGGGTTTGTCTGAAAAACGCGGAGAAGGCCCGATAGAGAAGAATGGAATCATGGAAGGGGTTATCACAACAGATCACATTGAGAAGACAAAGTAGACGTTCCAGAAATCGGGTGGCCCTAATCTGTGCACACAGAACATGCTAGTCTGTGCAGTTCACGTGACCTATTCTTCTGTGCATTCTACTATGCTGTGCACCACCGTTTTCTACTATCTAGAAGTTAAAGTTCACTTATTTAAGCTATATATTATATACATATAAGACTGATTAGGCATCAAAAGGAGTTTTGTATCGTTTTCGATCGAATTGATACATTGAGGTGGCTTAATGACCTCGTTGTCGTCTTACTTATATAAGTTGCCAAGATATTGAGCAAGTGCTCCTAGAGGATCTATAGTATACTGTACTACTACACTAATTTTATAGTCCACCGTAATCACGCGTCTTTTTTGGTGGGTGCACAGACTAAGATGTTGTATGAGCACAGATTTAGGGACCCCTAGAAATCGTTTGGTTTAGAACGACTAAGCCTTAGCACTCTTTAAGGATTATAACTCGCTGCTTTAAAATCTGTATACTCATCCTCAAAACCACTCTGCGAAGTTCTTCGACCCTGCCAATCCTGAAGCTTCGAAGCTCCCCGAGATGCAGCCGCGATGGGCACCCTCGAAGAGTTGCTCGGTTTCTTACTGTTAGAAGGAGGCGATGTAGGATCACTTTCCAGTGACGGTCTGGCGAGAACTACACAACGTATCTGCTCAAAGCAATTGCCCACAGGTAAGCTAAGCATCATGTCAGTAGCGAAAGCTTGACAAGAACGGACATAGTCTTCCTCGCATGATCAACATCGAACTGCTCGGATAGATCGGCATTGAACGCACAAAAATACTTCAACACGCGGCTATGCTTGTCGGCTTGATGAAGTTGAAGTTTCTTGATCCCGCTGGCCCGTTGATCTCGGTCGTAAACACCTAAATGTATAGTTCTTTAGCGATACCAATGTAACATGCCAGTGGCGGAGACAGATCAGGGCCGCGAATTCAGTGAAGGGAAGTGCAAATGTCGGGCGTGATCGCCGAGTATACCAGTATATGTTGGTCAGTATATGTTGGTTATCATCGGAAAGTCTTCTTAAGATCATGCCGGATCTACTTTCATGGCTGATGTCGCCAGAGTTGTTGATTCGTGGTTGAGCGAAAGTCTTTCGGAGCCCGGAAGAACCTCAGCAGGCTCGGCCGAGACCCCGAGATTTATTCTACGGCTAGGGTAGTGGGAACGGTCGTTCAATGACGACTCGACAAGTCCTGTGGCCGATGAGATTTATGATTAGCTGCACCGAGAGCCTGCAAATATACCTAGGCCTTGTAAGTCCTGCTCCTCAGCACCGAATTAAATGTTAGGCAGTCTCAGATTACGGACTCGGGCCACCGAAGGCTTGCCACTTTGTGCCCGTTACGTTACCGTAACAGCGTTCTCCGCTCTTGGTATCCTGACCAGAGAGCACTATACCTCTCAAGGGTCTTTTTCACAACGTTGCGCACCAGCGGGAGCGCTGCAGGCTTTACTACTCCAACGTGGCCAAATCCTCAGCTGCCATTTGAAAGTTTAAGCCACTCGTCTACGAGGTCACGTTGCCCCCGACGGGTGCCTGTCTATCTCTGCGATAGACAAGCCATCGTTCTTCCGTTCGATCAGCACTCCAAGGTTTTAATATGAGGCATGTAACATACAGCCAATTTTCTAGCACCAATTTACCGTAGGCGTTGACCTGGAGAAACCGGCGTTTGAATGTCGCCTCAATGGTTAGAGTGTTGTACAGTGTATCCGAATGTTCTCAGAGCAACGGTAGATGACTAGCCCCGATTTTATCTCCTGTTTATTAAGTCAGTAAGTAGACCTTGTAGCGGCCTGGTGCATCCCTAGCTTACGCTAAGGATGAATTCGGAGATTCGGGCCAGCGTCGGCAACACCTCCGGACTGCCTCTGGGTTTGACGACAGACGTTGTGAGTAGCCGGGGCTCTTTAGGCCTGCCTTCCCCCACAGCAGAATCCCCGCGCCAACTTCCACGCTTCTCCCTCTTTACCTCGATACGATGGCAGTCGCTGACCCACCTCAAGCTCCTCAGGGGAGGACACGGCCGTCGAGAGCACGTGGCCTGCGCACTTCCACAGGCTGCCTCACGTGCAAGACTAGGCGGGTCAAATGTGACGAGGGAAAGCCAATCTGCAGAGGGTGCGCTAGGTCGGATGACAGAAAGTGCGTCTACAGCAATGCGCTTGGCGATAGTATATCATCCGAAGAAAATCAACATCTACCAAGCCCAACAGCTAGACCTCCGGAGAATGAGTCTCTCTCGAATAACGCGCAGATTCAGTCTACAGACCAGGAGAAGCTTTTAGAGCACTTTCCCGTTGACACGACATCGCAGCCGGATTCTGTAGACAGTGGAATTGGCGACTGTTCCCAGTACGAAGACATACAAACCCAGTTGCGGTGGCATTCGTTCGGTCAGAGCATAGAATCGGTCCAGGGGCCAGAATCTTTCAATAGTCCCGCACAAAGCCTGTACCTTATCGATGGTAGTCGCGGTTCAAGCACACCCCTAACGCCAGGAGATGGCACGCTTGAGTGGTATGATTTGGTGGCACAAGATGCCGTGATTGATGTTGACAAGATTGCTATTGCCGAGTCTAGTCCTAGATGGAACTTTGATGACGGGGTTTCACATCGCAAAGTCGGGCGTGAAAAGGTGCAAAGCATGCAGCACGACACAGATAGTGGTGGCTTAAAAATGGTCCCCAATCGCGATGTGGATTTCAAGGCTCACGAAATTGAGTACTTAACTTACTACATTCGTGTGGTCGCTCCAATGCTGGACTTCTTCGATCGTTCCTGCCAATTTACGGAGGTGGTTCCTCAGCTCGCTCGAAGAAATATCGGACTTGCGAAATCAATATTTGCTGCGGCAGCTCGACATAAGTCACTTCATGGTCTCGCGGAGGAAGCCCGAAATCGCGACTGTCGATATGCAACCGAGTTTCTCTACGACGCCTTGAACTCTCTGGCGAGCGCAATCCAAGATACAGCGTACGCCCAAAGTCAGGAGACTCTTGCCACAGTTGTTATGATCAGCACGTGTGAAATGCTCAATGGCAGCAGCAAAGAGCTTGAACGCCATCTCAGAGGGGCTTTTTGGATACATCGTCACCAGACTAACGATGGTGAATCGACTGGTCTTAGACGAGCTACTTGGTGGGCTTGGCTTCGCCAGGACATATGGGCTGCATTCAGTAATGGTCGAAAAACCTTGACCATGTGGACTCCGAAAGAAAATCTTGCTACTTTGTCTGCAGACGATCTCGCTTTGCGCATTTGCTACATAAGCGCCAAAGTCGTTGACTACGTTTCACGAGAAGCTATACAGACGCAAGAATGGCATCTTCGTTTGACCCATGGAGAGCGGCTACAGCAGGATCTCGATGACTGGTTCAGTGTTTTACCTGACTCTTACAAGCCATTGCCAGGCCACGGATTCTGGGTGAACCCGCCACCATATGCAGGTGCATTGCAGTATTATTATTTTTCGACGCTCGTCCTATCTTTACATCGACCATTTCTCGGAGGTATAACGGAACATCGAGCTCGCGAAAAAACCATCACGGAGACTGTCGAGAATGTGATCAACATCGTTAGGGCGAACGCCACATCACATGCAATGGCATTAGTCAACTTTCAGGCTCTTGATGCAGCCCGACTGTGTTCGGAGGGACCGCAGAACATGACTGTGTGTAAAATGCTCACGATCTTGAATAGATATCATCGCCTGCCCCATTGATACCGCAATCGAGTTTTTGTATTAGTTAGTTATTGCCATATCATGATCGGGTAAAACAAATCTCAGACGTAACGCTACTTGCAATTGTCCTTCGCCGCATAGCAAGCCTCCCGGACGGCACTAACTGATATAAGAGCAGGCATTTTGCCAGTAAGCGGCCCAGTCGCCAGTTGCTCTGGGCATGAATAGGCCCAGCTAACGTCCGGCAGGGACTGTCAGCGACATTATTGCCCAGAAGACTTTGGACAACGTCGATCAAGGTAGCTAAGGAAATATTGGCCCGCGATTTGACTCGCCCATCTCTTCCCGTGGATCAATGAAATGACAATATGCCAAAGTCCACGAAGTCTGTTTCCACCACTCCAACAACAACCCTGTGATGTGCTAGATGCTTGCGTTCCTCGATGAGTGAAGCCACATTGACAAGGCACCTAGACGTCAAGTGTAGTAGGTTGACCCGCTCCAGAACGGGCCTAGACAAGGAAAATCTAAATCTCGCATAGCGGTCGAGACTAGCATTGACTTTTGATGGATTTCACAAGTCTCAGCTGTTTTTGAGGTGCAACAGGGAAAATGCTCGTCTGTAAACTCAAGATATATGGGATGTAGCACTCCGAAAGCTGTCAACCCTCCCAAAACTTTTACATAATATGCGAGACTTATTTTTTCTCACCATGATTCACTATGACCAGATTCTGACCGTAGGCGAGCGACGGGCTACCAAGTGATTACCCCTAAAGTCCCAACCACTAGATAGCCCTGCCTTGCTATACACAGTAACATATCTTCTTCTCCACAGAGACGGGGGATGGACAGATCCAGTATTGACCCAGCCGTAGTCCCATCTATCCACTTCAGCACGACCCCCCCC